AGGCCTATAGGAGAAAAGGTACGCTTCCCACACACGGAAAGCTTCCTTCTCTCAAGCTTTGAGTCTTGTTGATACGATACGTAAAGGATACTTATTACCACGGATTCTATCTATCGCTGAGTACTGCCTATCTTCAATAAGGCATCCTTAACATTACTCCGCTCTTCCTCTCGAGCTATAGTAGCGCATAGGGATACTTCTCCCCTACGAGTCACGTACTCTTCTACTCCGTTTGTGACATAATCCAATTGAGGCGTTTATGAACGTGTTTCATATAGACGAGAGTGCTAGTTGAGTAATTGAGACCTGTGCAGGTGCAACAGTGGTTGAATCGCATGTTGCAACGCTAGGGTGTTGCAACAAGTGGGTGGTGGACTTACTGAAGTCTGAGACCTCTCCTTGGAGGGTCTCTGGCTACCTACCTATACCTTACGTCGATACCTCCTCGTCGACGCTGAAACCGGGATCTCCCTCTTCCGTTCGGAGCCTTCATTATTTCGTTCGGAACCTCTATCTCCCGTCCGTTAATAATCGCACCCCAGGGTATGATTGAGCCACTGCCCGTTCAACCGTATAGTCATGTGCTCCGAGAGCCCTGAGGGCTTCCAGTCGTTACATCGTCATCTTCAAAAGCAAGAGATGGGACTCAGAATAGTCTTCAACCAGGACTTCTCCCAGGTCAACAATCCGAAGAAAGTGAACGGGTGTAAGTCTCTTGGTCTTATGGCTGAGACGAAATGTCATCACAATCCCCTTTAACAGTATCGAAAAGATCAGCTTGGAGATAAGCTTCCTAACACAGATGAAGAAGGGGAAAGAAAGGATTTGATGAGGCGTGGGAGTGACGGCTTTTAAGTTGAGTGCGTCAGAGAAGCTACGCCAAGACTGTTCGTGCTCGGACGGCCAACACTTAAAGAGGAAGTAGGTAAGTGCCTCGAAGCGATTTGCGACTAGGCAGGTGCAGATTCAGTTCCCTTGCGGGCTTGGGCTCTCCGCCGTGGCCGTCAAGTGAGTTTTTGTGAGTGCCAATTAAGTAGTTGTGTGGCACGAGGCCTAATTGGCTACGTGGTTTTGAAGCAGTTATTTCGGACTGTTGTACTGAGCGGCTGTGGGCATTCACAAGGAGGGTGCATCTCCTGACCACAATAACAAACAGGAAATCTACAGTACCAACTGGGTGTGAACTTTCTACCCGATATTGAACCCCGGAGCCGAAGCTACATACTCTGAGAATGGCCTCTCCAGACGACAAATGCCCCATCCCATAGCACAACTTCAGCAGTCATATTCTTCAATCATTTGTCTCTTGTCTGCGGCGTCTGATAGTCCGCTAACACTGCAGTCTTGAAAAGTATGCACCTTGAAATTCCGGAACTTGGTAAGCTGGATGGACAGGAGATTTGAGGACGTATGAAGTTTGAGTAGGAGATGTGATCTTCCGACATTCCTGCATCTCACACGCTGACAAATTACTCTCAGACAGATGTTTTAGGACTTACCTAATTGCTCTGAGATTCTGGGCGATATTCTCTGGGAGTTCGATGGTCATCACCAAGCATGCTTGTTGGCGTTTGGACAGATCTCGGTTTCACCAGCGGGCTGGTTACTCACACCCTGCACCACGAGAAGGTGTCTGTCCTGAGCAGGGCAAGATGGTATAATGGAGCCAAAAATTGAGTGTCTCTCTCCCAACCGGGGTCGTCGGGGTCCACGCTCTTGAGTGCGGGCTGGACAGCGAATGGCTCTAAGAAATAAAAAATGCTCTGTGTAAGTGAAAGATTTTCAGCATCGTCGACACCGAAGTGAAGACTCAAGCTGATCTTTTCAGATACAGTCTCCTCATTGAGGCCCCGCATGGAGAGGAAAAGAAGGAAGAGAAAGAAAAGAAGAAAATGGGCTCTTTGAGTCCGAGCCAGCAGACGAGCAGGCAGGAGCGCATGTATAGTGGCAGGAGCATAAATGACGTAACCCAGTATATGTGGAAGGAAGAGATCAGTTTCAAAACACGGCCATGGGTAACCGAAATGTTGCATGAGCACGGTGTTTTTCGCTTGTTCGGCTGTCGCGAATACAGTTCCACTGCTTCAAATTGGTTCCGCGTTGTTCTTATTTCGAAGCCAGAAATACCTCCTGGAGATTCGAAATTCCGTCATCTTCGTTCCATGTCATGCGATGACCATCAGTTCCAGTCATCGTCTTCATCGCGTATCCTCTGTTGCGGCCTTGAATCCCCTTCCGGCCCGCTACTCAGCTCACTGCGGCGTCGTCCTCTTCGTCACTGCTCTCATCGTCACGGCCCAGGAGGAGTCGTTTCTTCCAAGACAGTCCAACTGAGAACGATCTCCTCCAGAGACCTCGTGACATTCATGCTGTCCTCCTTGCCATCCCAGGATAGCCCCTCGAACCCGGTTACTCTGCCCTTGGCAATGCCTTTCACGAAACCGATAACGCAGGGAAGCACCCACACTCCCAGTTTCTCGACAACGAAGGGCACACATCAATCCTGGCAAATGAGACATCTGCATCGCCATAGTCCGAATGCCGGTCTGCGGTCAGTTGGCAATGATCGTCCATTGTGGCGCATCTCGCGAAATCAGGGTAAAAGAAATGAAGTATAGTCCTCTCATTTTCAGTGGTAAAGCTGAGCGCTTCGTCGTCACTCCTAAGTGTGACATACGCCCTTTTTGGATCGTTGTTGGTGTTAGACGTGGTGGAGCAGTGCAGGATGAAGGGTGAGTGCGAGAGTCGCGTGCGAAGGTGAGAGAGAGGGTGAGTGGTTATAAAAGCGGCACGACCTTGGTGAGTTGCACGTGAACTCGCTGCAAATGTTACTCATCTTGGCGCCTCCAGCAAATATAAAATCCAGGTGCATGTACATCCTCGTACTCCATATATATATCCAACCAGCCTCTTCCTTTTGCCCTCAAAACGCTCAGGGCATCCCAGCCGCCCTTTTAACCGCATGATCGCACGAAACGCCTAGACGCTGATAAAAGAAAAACGTAGCCTCCAGTTACAGTTAATCATAGAATCGGGGGATGAGTCTGGTCGGGCACTGCAAAACCACTAGCCTAGTGAGCCTCACCGTGTGATGGCCCACCACAAACTCAGATGCGAAACCCTTCTTGTTGCAACTCCAATGTGTACGCATGGGCTTAGCTAGGAACGTGTTCTGGATCACGTCTGTCCCCAGATACTGGTTCATGCAGGGCAATGCCCTTCATCATACAGCCACTTATGTCGCAGAGCCTGTTGAGGACACCCCCCCTTCAGGTTTCCTGCCATATATCACGGCACTGCAGCAGAATATGTCAGCTTCTTCCCTGGGGACTTGATCACCGACGTACCAAGGCCAGTAAGTATATCGTTTCGTCTTCTTGAACTCTTTCCTCACATCAGCGAGGAACACCTGGACACGTTCTGGCTCCCAGCCCAGACAGCGCGTGAAGATGGCAAGAGTCAGTGCCTCGACGCCCTCCAGCATTGCGTACAGTTGAAACAGCCCTGCCTCCTTCAGTCTCGCATCGGCCGGCCATCGTCCGATGGGGATCTTGAACGGTCGGACAACCACGTCAACAAAGCCAACCTCACGCATCATGTTTCCCAATGCCTCGAAGTTCAGGTCAAGCCGACGCCCCATGCCGGTGATGCCTTGTCGCATCAGACGACACCACTCGTCAACGGCGTTGTCTGGACTAATCGGAGCGTGGTCGCTTCGAAGGTATGTGGCCAGATCGTGAAGCTCGAAGTAGCCACCGGGCCTGCAGTGTCTAGATAAGGCAAAATATGCGTTAGAGGCACGACGTGCTGAGGAAAGGGTATGTCACGCGGGGTTCTACCTGAAAGCCTGTCGGAAATACTTTGGGAAATCCGCGATACTCCCGCTGAGCATGAACTGGCTGTATATGAGATCGAAGTGGTTTGGTGGCCATGTCCAGTCATCCTCGACATCATCGATCTCCCACTTGGTGTTTGGCGGCGCGACTGTCGGCTGAATCGGACTCAAGTCGACACCTACCACGATGGCCTCTGGGTGGGCGTCGGCCACATCGATGGCCCATGTTCCAATGCCGGTGCCCAAGTCCAGGACGTTCTGGAGCCGCTTGACAGGTGCATAGAAGAGCTGGCCGCCGGCAGCGAGAAACATTGCGCGGTGTTGCAACTCCAGTCGCTCGTGCTCGGCAGAGTCGTTGGGCATGAAGTACTGGCCTTCTTTATATGCATGGTACGTCCGGCCATTCTCGACCTTGTATTGATATATACTCGAACGAACTGATTCCGTCAAGACAGAGTCTTGCTCGAAGCCCGAGTCCTCAGTGTCATACTGCCGCCATGATTAGTCTGCGGCGCAAGGCGAGACCCGCAACGAGAGATTGGACAAACCCCGTGGTCTATCTCCAAATCCTCGCCGTCTTGATTTGGTTCATCGGCGCCGCCATCGGGGGGATTTGAGGCCATACCCGTCTCTGTGTGTGTGTTTCAATTTCTTACAAGATGGACGAAAGCGAGCAGAGTGATGCGATTCCTTCCTTTCTTTTTTGGCTCGCGGGATCCCGGGAAGTAGCGTCTTTACTCTCGTGATAATAGAGGCCCATCTGCGGGCGGCTGATAGGCCGCGCAACGGTTCGGCTCCGGGGATCAAAGCCCAAGCAGTCCCCGAGCGGCCTAAAATGCGGGCGACAACGTGGTGTCCTCGGTGGTGACTCTGGGAGTGGAAGCCGAAAGTAAATGTTCATTGCAGAGACTGCACTTGGCTTCATTAATATGATGTCTATGGTACCCTACCCTTGTCAATCGCCATGGGGTGTGCCCATTCCCCGGATTCAATTGAGCACCTGTACAGGTTAGCTACCTAGGTGTTACTTGTTGTAGGAATACCTCGAAAGAATGGATCCGTCAGCCAACGACTCCAACGGCAAGTAGCCGAAACCATGTGGTCGACTTGCCTACCAAGTACCGAGCCTACGAGCTAGGAATTGTCCAGCTGCATCCCCGAAGCCGCCTCGATAGCGCACCAACAACCTACCAGCACATGAACTTGCGAGAGGCATTATGCATCTCGATAACCACAGCTCGCTAGCCACATGAACGAGAATCCCCCTCTCACTATCACCGAGTCACCCGCCATTTGCACATCAAGCTCTACATATCACCACAACCCTGCTTGTATTCAATCGCCTCGCTCTCTGAAAGCAGCATCGCAGTTGCCGGTTCTCATAAGCATTCGAGCGTGACCTGACACCTTCCACGTGAACTCAGCATCTGCAGAACGTCGGTGGAGCTGCGCCCAGCATGCTCGAGCAGATCACAGGTTCGCTGCAGGTCAGCCTCACGAAGATCCTGGCCCTTTTCGCCGTCTCCTGGCTGAGCTGGTTCGTCGGCTCGACGCTCATCGCCTACAACAAACTACGACATATCCCCGGGCCACCGTTGGCCGGTCTCACGAATTGGTGGTGGATCAAGGCAGCAATCTCGGGGAAAGGGCATCTTGCCCTGAAACACGCGTGTGATCGTTATGGTACGAGATGTTTACCACCTAGAGGGAGCAGAAATGGACGAGGTGGTTCTAACGAGTCCATCCACAGGAACCATTGCGAGAATTAGTCCGTCCATGGTGGTGACCTCGGACCTGGAACTGTACCGCAAGGCCAATGCCAACAGGATCAACGACTACTCCCGCGGCCCGTGGTACAAGGCATTCAAGATGGATGCCGAGCGAGAAAACCTCTTCACAGAGCTCAACGACGAGAAGCACTCGATGATGCGCGCAAAACTTTCTCCAGGCGTGAGTCCCCAACATCCCATCTGTGTGTGTGTGTGTGTGTGTGTGTGCGTTTGGTGCAGACGCGACTGACCAACAATAGTACTCGGGCAAAGATAACCCTGAATGTGAGCCCAGCGTCGACCAGATCGTCATGGACGTCGTCCACTTGATCAAGCGGAAATACCTCTCCGTGGGAGCCACCATGAGACCGCTGGACTGGGCTCAACTGGCACAATACTTCACGCTGGACGTGATTACGTATCTGTCTCTGGGGGAAGCATTTGGGTTTGTCGCGGACGATGACGACAAGTATACATATGTGAAGTCGATGGAGGACAATTTCCCCATTATGAATGTCTTTTCTGCAGTGCCGCTGCTGTCAGCCATCGCGAGAATTCCGACGGTACAGGCCAACCTTGTGCCTTCACCGAAAGAGAAGACTGGGTTAGGGAGGGTGAAAGCGTGGGTTCTTCGACAACGATCCGTGCAAAAAGCGAGACTAACACGTTCTGCAGGGTTGCTCGGCAGATCATCGCTGGCCGTTTCTCTGGAGAGAAGGCAGGACGCTACGATATGGTCACTTCGTTCAAGAATCATGGCTTGTCAGAGCTCGAGATCTCGGACGAGTCGCTGTTCCAACTCCTAGCAGGCTCCGACACGACGGCGACCATCGTCCGTACCGGCTTCCTCTCCATCTTGTCGAATTCACACGTGTACCGAAAGCTGCAAGCTGAGGCCGCAGCAACAGACATCCCCTTGGACAAGATCATCTCCTATTCTCACGCGCTGAAACTGCCCTACCTGCAAGCTTGCATCAAGGAAGCTCTGCGCCAGCACCCAGCTGCGGCGGGCTTACTCCCTCGAGTCGTGGGCGCACAAGGGGACACACACAATGGCGTCTACCTTCCTCCCGGCACGGAGGTGGCCTTTTGCGCCTGGAACATGCACCGCCACAACACAGAGGTGTACGGTGCCGATGCCGAGATCTTCCGGCCCGAACGCTGGCTTGAGGCTTCTCCAGAGCGCTTGGCCGTCATGGAAGAGGCGCACCACCTCGTCTTCGGCAACGGCAGGTTCCGATGTATGGGCGAGAATATTGCAAGGCTGGAGCTGAACAAGATCTTCTTCGAGATGATCCGGAGGTTCGACTGGAGCTTGGTCGACCCGGTCAACCCATTTCAGAAGAACACGAATTACGGGTTGTTCGTGCAGAAGGGTATGTTTGTGAGAGTGAGCGAACTGGAAAGCTAATGAGCTGGCCTCTTCTGTGGGAGGGTTATCAAACGAGGCGCGCTCCCTTGTGCATTTCGCGACAGTTTTCATCGAACATAGAAGTTAATGAAGAAACAATAAGCTAGTTGATGTAGGAGTGAACTCGACTGGTGTAGTAACTCGTACCAAGCATTTGGATGGTGAGAGGCCACGAGGCTTAGGAAGCCGGAATCGGAAAAACTCGTCGTCATTTGAAACTCCACAAAGAACTCTCGAAAACGCACAATCTTAAACTCTGTCTTCTCACACCACAACTGCATGCCTTTTTGACGCTGTTAATCTTGCACAGGCAGTGCTGAGCTCCTAAATGCTAGCACTGCCGATGAGATAGTCCTAGGCCTGCTCTCGTCTCTGCCAATCTTCCCTTTTGTATATCTGCCCCCGAGCCGTGCATTGTCGTTTCAGGCCATGGTGCTCTCAAGTCGCTGGGGTTGAAGTTGTCTGTCAGGGAGGTTTCACTGGCAAGAGGCAGGCAACTGCTTTTTGCGTCTAACTTACAGCATGGCCTCTACAGAAGACCCCCAGAAATATGCTCCCTCCGATGGGGATTCCTCCGCACCAGCGCAGTCCTGGACATATCCCACGCGAACCTGTCGACTCTGTCTCGAAGAGGTCCCTGCCACAGTTACTCTCTACCCTCCCGGTCTTCCTCCCGCCTTCCAGCGTCCCATTGTTGAGTACAAAAATGAAGATGAATACGGTCGATTGATCAAGCCCTGCCACTGCAGAGGAGGCATGCGGTACATCCACGAGCTGTGTCTGAGGCGGTCTCGGACAGAGGGCGTGCGGCCGGGCTCGCTCTGGAAGTGCCACGAATGTGGGTATCAGTTCAACTTCAACAGGCTCACCATCCAGAGATACCTCGGCAGCCGAACCGCGTCGGGTGTTTTGACGGCATTCGTCATGCTGGTGATGGTGTTTCTCCTCGGGTTCATCGCAGACCCCATCCTCAACCTGTACACTGATCCCTACGAGACCATCGTCGGCCACGAGGATGTCTGGCAAGCCGTGGACGTCAACCACTCGAAGGGAAGCTTGTCCAGCTGGGCGCAACATTTTACAAAGGGACTGGTGTCGATGGGCGTGCTGAGCTTCTTGAGGACCATGGTTTTGAATCCTTTCCAGTGGTGGAATCTCCGAAATACCGGCCTCCTCTCTGGCAGAGTGTCTGGCAGAGCGGCTACGGGTCGTGACCGCGCCGTGAACGTCAGCTGGATTGTGGTGGTCATGGGCGTCCTCTCTGCATCGTACTTCTTCTACCAGTGGGTGCAAACGATCATTGGCAAATCACTCCAACGTATAGGAAACAACATCGTCGACACGCAGCTGCCGGGGGATGATGACGATATCAAACCGCCGCCTGGGTTCAAATTTGGAAACAGCTACGCGAGCACTACCAATCCTGAGGCCAGTTCCCGACAGGATGGAAATCTTCATGCAGAGCAGCATGAGGAAACAACCAAAGCAAGGGACTCAGAGGTTCCCCCAGCCGAACCAGACGTTATGCCTGGGACTTGGGAGTCCAGGGGATACAGTTCCGCATTGGACGATGCTCAGAGGCAAGGCTGGTCATTCAGAGGGCTCTAGCCATGGGCCTGGGAAGTCGAATGGGTACAGAAGCTTTCACCACCTGTTGTCCGACTGAAAGGCACGAGCATCCCGTCCACAGCACTCATTCATCTGCGGCTCGGGGCGAAGAGGATATGTGTAGCCATGGCTCCTAGGTGCTGAGCTGACTGGCTACGGGCTTTGCGTGCTGGACGGCTTCAGAGGGCTCCTCGTGATGCCTCTTGTTGTGAGAGCTACCCTGTTTGAAAACCCTCTTCGTGTACTCTAACTACTAAATGCCTATCACTATGCCACAATCGCCCAACTTTGAGTTGTCACATCTGTTTCAGTGAAGTGCCAATCAGTCAGTGCGCGAAGAGCAACAGCATGCCGTCTCCGAAGTCTGTGGGCGTCATGTCCTCGGTTTCAATAGGCGGCATGCCAGGCCAAAGGCTTCCCTCCAAGCAGCCGGCCCAGTCCATGGGCCTGCGGTGGGAAACATTTGGTAAATCCATGATATAAAATCTCCAATCCCGTGAACTTTGTGCTTCATCGGTGGTCCTGGCTCCTTGTTCCTGGGACCGGGTGAGGCGTTGAACGAATGTGACAATAATGCCACGACAAATAAGACGACAGTCCTATTTTCTCTACTTCTTGCCTTGCTTCTTGTGGTCCGATGTGAAATGTGTCTGCTCGTCCCTTTTCGATCTGATCGTTGCTTCTCTCCAATGATATGTGCTGTCGTTTTTCGGCCAAAGTCTGATGTCGTCTCAGCTGCAATCCTAGCATCCTTTTTATGATCGTCCGTCACTCCACGATGGCGAATCCTACTGAAGCTACAGAGATCGATCTCTCTGCTCTGTTCGAACGGTATCCGGACATTAACTTTGACACGACGGAGGACATCGTCTCCAGCTCGGAGCTCTGTGAGTATTTCTCGTCACCGTGCTCAAACGCTACAGACCGTGATGACACCCCCATCTCGAACGCCTCGACGTCAACCGCCCACACCACTCCACTTCGACCTAACCTTCGTTCCGCTGAAGCAGTGGAGTTTCCAACACTGGACGGCTTCCTGGAACGACTTGCCGGTGCTGATCTCCCGGTGACGTCGAAGGAGGCGTTTGAGGGTTTTGCGCAGGTAATAGCTACGCTCGGATCTTTATTGGTGCCTCCCAGCGGTGACCACCTAGGGGGGTGACATCTCCTACAACAAACAGCAGATACTCGCCCATAGCCGGACTATGTCCGATCAGCTACAGCAGTCTGTCCTCAATGTCATCGAACAGATCAACGTCGACTTTGTCAAGACGCGGGCTCCGTTCACCGCTAACCCATCGAAGCAAGATCTCTAGTGTACCTGTCGACAACGAGCCGTCCTCACCACATAGTAAGGAGCTCGTTTTTGGCACGAGTAGAGATGCTGATCGCGATATAGGTACACAGCCTTACCTTGCCGGACGGAGCAGACGATGTTGGAGGATCTTGTCCACCTCTTTAATTCCTATATTTATCACCCCTTCCTACAGTGACTGGGCATTGAAAACGTTGACATTGATGTGCGAGATGCAATTAAGAGTCTCTACGACCTACTGATGACGCTACTTCACGACTACACTATGTGGATGAACGGGATGAAGGACATCAAAGAGAATCACATGCGGCAGCTGATGAACAGGATCCGGAGATCACCAGAAGTACTGGAGGAAATATCGGGGGCAGAGAGTCTCGGCAAGACGATCAAGGCGTTGATTGGGGATTTAGAAGCGCCTGGCATGGAACCGGCTGACGAGCGAGTCATTCAAGAGCTCAACCTGAGCATCAGTCAACGGAGACCAGCAATTCCACCCAGGAACAAACAGAGGTACCGGCGAGAACACACGGTGTAGGGCCTATCTGAGCCGTGATGAGGGCATTGCTGAGGATTAGCCGGGCTCCTCTTATTCCCGATGATATAGGAAGGAGGGCTACTTCACCCTGATGCTAGCTATTATGTTTACTATCCAATGAGACCCACTGCTGGACCATGGGGAAGACTAGTCATGGCCATTAAAGAAATAGCTGCTGGTGTTGCCTGTCTCTCACCTTGTATATGGGGTTGGCGTCTTTCACTATTGGTTGACGTCACGCAAACCACTTTACGCGCCTAGACGCGTCGCTCGTGATTTTTGAAAATCGTCTGCATCTCACTATCAACCACCACCACCGACGATAATACTACAACTACGACGCAGCTATCTCGCCCGCCACACATCCAGCCATGGCCCTCCTAGTCGATAAACTGCGCCCTCGGTCTCTTGATGCCCTCACATACCACAGGGACCTCTCAGACCGTTTAGCAGCTTTGGTAAATAAAACCCCCCCTCCTGCCCCCTCTATTTGAGGAGCGATGCACCAACCATTCCGTCCAAAATAATGTGAATGCGGCATGCTGACCGCCAACCCACCCAGGCCTCTTCCGCCGACTTCCCCCACCTCCTCTTCTATGGCCCGTCGGGCGCAGGCAAAAAGACTCGGGTCCTCGCGACGCTGCGGGCCCTGTACGGCAGCGGTGCGGAGAAGATCAAGATCGACGCGCGCATGTTCACGACCAGCTCGAACCGCAAGCTGGAGTTCAACATCGTGTCGTCGGTGTACCACCTCGAGATCACGCCCAGCGACGTGGGCTCGTACGACCGCGTGGTGATCCAGGATCTGTTGAAGGAGGTCGCGCAGACGCAGCAGATCGACCTGGCCGCCAAGCAGCGCTTCAAGGTGGTGGTGATCAACGAGGCGGACGGACTCAGTCGCGACGCACAGGCCGCCTTGCGCCGCACAATGGAGAAATACAGCGCCAACGTGCGCCTAATCCTGGTCGCCAACAGCACCGCCGGTATCATCGCGCCCATCCGCAGTCGTACCCTGCTCGTGCGGGTGGCGGCGCCCACGGAGGCCGAGATCTGCGACGCGCTGGCCACGGCCGGGCGCAGGGAGAACTGGAAGGTCGACCCGGCGCTGAACGAGCGCATCGCCCGCGAATCCGGCCGCAACCTGCGCAAGGCGCTGCTGATGTTCGAGGCCGTCTACGCCCAGCACCCGGAGCCTGCGGGCCACAAAACACCCATCCCGCCGCCGGACTGGGAGCTGCTGATCGAGCAGGTCGCGCGGGACATCATCCGCGAGCGCACACCGCAGATGATCCTGACCACGCGCGCCAAACTCTACGACCTGCTCACCCACTGCATCCCCGCCACGCTGATCCTCAAGACCCTCGCGTGGAAACTCGTCGCCCAGCCCGAGGTCGCCGACGAGCTGAAATCCGAGGTGGTCAAGTGGGCGGCGTTTTACGAGCACCGCGTCCGCCTGGGCAGCAAGGTCATCTTCCACCTTGAGGCGTTCGTGGCCAAGTTCATGCGCATTTTCGAGGGATACCTCGTGGGCATGGACTTCTGAGGGAATAGAAGGGGAAGAGACGAGACGAGACGAGACAAAGGAGAGGAAAAGGACATGAAACAAGAACGGAAAATAAAAGAACAGAAAGAAATATGGAACCCCAGCTCATGAGAGTGAGAGCTCTGGAGGTGTGCTAATCGTGGGTTTTTGCGGCCAAGATGGCTGGCCCCTTAAGGAGTTCCGTGTCCTCTGAATGATGAAAAAGACTCTGGGATACTTTTTAAGCTGGGGGGCGTTTTGCTGGCGTCACAACAGTCAGGGATCTTTGAGAAGCGGGCGGGCAGCATGCATTGAACTATGGTAGCTACATACTTACATAGCTGGCTAGGAAAGGAAGCAAAGCAAATAATGAAAAAGATCCAGCAAGCAAAGAAAGAACTGGCTGGCAGGCTGGACTCGTATGTATGAACGACTGACCGACCGACCACAATCCAACAACAATTAACCGTCGTACCGTTTGTATGAATGGCAGTCTATATATCTCGCGACGGTGCCGTCCGCGATACATACCGAGTAAGGATGGAGAGAGATTCCCTATGATTGATAATATGTATATGTACGAGGTGGAGGACTCTGTGTCTAGTTCAGGGAACTGGCAACGTACACATATTTGTCAGATATACATTACGTAGAATGTGTGAGAGAGAGAGACAGGGGGGGTGGCGGGGGGTTGACTGACTATATCTGATCTGGAGTCTTTCTTTCTCCTTCTCCTCCTTCTCCTCCTCTATCATAAGAATAAAAACTCACGCGTTTACCAAGGACTTATATAATATAGCTTTCTTCCTATTCAGAGCATCGTGGTGTCTTTGAGATGGGAAAAGAGCATCATTATATACGTAAAACCAGGTGAAGTCTGCTGACCACACTGTATAAGTCCCCTTCCTACATCCGGCGACCATAGAGTAGTAGTCTTCAATCCCCCACCCCCTCCCTGCCTTCTATCGTATTCGTAACTGGCTAGTCGAGCATTTCTTCCTCGTGCTCCCGACCGTCCTCGTGCTCCCTCTCGCAACTCACCACCATCCCCACCGCCTTCTCCGCCGCGCGACACTGTGCCTCCTCCTTACAGGTGGCGCCCTTCACGAATGCGATCCGCGTCCCCTCGACCATGACTTTGCACCTCCAACGGCCGCGAACGGCCTCGCCCACGTCCGTCTTCTTCCGCTCCTGCGCGACCAGGGCGTATTTCGTGAACCTCTGGCCCAGAACTTGCTCGGGATGGTCCACGTCAATGTCCCTGTCCGTGGCCAGGCGGCGCACCAGCTCCATGTACCCCATCTTCTCCAGCACCGCCTCACACGCCGTCATGTCGCCCGCGGAATCGAGGAAGACGGCGCCGAGGATCGATTCCACGATGTCCGAGTAGCACTTCGGAGCGCCCAGGCGGGAGAGCGCGCTCCAGGGGAATTTTCTGCCGTTGCGAAAACTCGCGAGCACCGAGGACCGCACTTCTTCGTAGGCTGCCAATGTGGCTTTTCGCTGCCCGGGCGCCAGGGGGTCGCCGATGCGTCGGATATAGTCCGGGAGGTGGACCGTCTCAGCCTTCTCCCGACTCACCGTGCGTTTCGTGTCGAGCTCCGTCTGCACATCGTATGTGCTGCGGCTGGCTGAAGTCTGGAGGGCGAAGAAAGCCAGCGTTGCATGGCTGGCTAGGGCGTGACGCCGGACCGTCATCTGATTGGGATCGAGTTGAAGGGAACTATGAAAAAGCGTCGGACTCACAATGCGGTCGAGGATAGCATCACCCAAGAACTCAAGCCGATCGTACGACGAGACGGCGGCGCCTCCAAAGCCCGATCGGGTCAGAGCCTGTGTCAGGAGAGCATGACACGTGAAGGTGTAGCCGATCAAGGACTCAACTGACTTCAACACCTCAGGTCGTTGGCTCGACGGCCACTCTGGCGGCTGGAATGTGGCGATGTTCTCTGACACAGACTTCCACGAGACATCATCGATGAACAGCCTCAGTACTGAAAGCACCTTGGCTTCCTTGTCTTTTGATCCGACGCCACTGGTACTGGCAGCCCCGATTAATGCTTCGACCACATCCGCCAATATCTTCGACGACAACCGTGTCTGCGGCGGCTTCTTGGCTCGTACTTTCGGGTCGCGCACGCCCATTGACCATTGAGAGCCCGCGAACCGGACTCGAGTCAGATACTGATCCAGTCCCAAAGCCCGGGTCGCTCGTTGCAGCCGCGCGTTGTTGATGATCCGACCGCGGAAGAGAGTGAGCTGGCCTTCTGGATGGTTTGGATAATCGAGAAAAACTTGAAGTGAAGAGTAAAACTTGAGCAACACGTCTCCGAGAAACTCGAGCCGCTCGTAATTTCGACTACCTGTGTTAGGAAGTGACAATGCTTCAGACACGAGATCGACACTGTCGAGGCTGAGGCTGAGCAAAGGTCCTTTACACGCTTCGGTGGTGCGCATGGCAACCTCAAGCATGTATGTGATTGACGGTATGAGCAAGGCCAGCCGTCCGTATGCTACAGGTAATCCTAACACTGAACACTGTGCCACAGGTAGGACTGTGAATGTGTCGGAACTGGTTGCCGGAGGGTCTTGTGGCAGAGTCAGATAGTCTAGCCTCCTTGGAAGTGTGGTCGCACTGATTTCCGTGATGCTGTTCATGCTTTCGAGCACCTGTCCATGATGGTGGGCGTTGTCTTGTTGAATGACGGGCTGCCATACGTAGGGAACAGGGTGTTGCTTGTACCGTACCAGATATTGCTTGTCGTCGCCAGGACATGTCCTCAGAAAATTTGTCGTTGATATGGTGCTAGACGCCTTCTGATACCAGGCCCAGATTGATGGCAAGTCCAGATCGGGGACGAGACAGAACGGAAGCAGTTCTTTCTGGAGGCCTTGTAGTCTTCGCCCGAGTATCGTGTCCAGAACAAGAAAAGTTATATCTCGGCCTAGATCTGCAGGGAAATCGTCCATCTCCTTCCCGGTACCTACACTAACTTGCATGGAGCTGGACGGCGTAGAAACAAGGGGGAAAGTAAAACTGGAAAGTTTCTGAGGAAGAAGCAGGAGCATGGTAGGATAAACGCAGTCGGCAGCTTCGACGTGAAGACGGTGAGCAAAGACTTTGCCAGAGGTTGTCCATAGTTTCATGAGCACAGGCCAAGGATCGTGTTGACTCTGTACATCGTAGTCACTGTCTCTCTTCTCGATCGAAGATTCGGCTGAACATTCGGTGTTATCTTCTGTCGGCCACTCCGGGGGTAAGAGATGTTCCGTCACAAGTCCAGCCTTGTAAAGTGCGAGATAGGCCTGGAAGGCGGCGTCTTGCTTTGCCACTTTCTCCGTTCGCCAGCTAAACTTCGACTCTGCCGTCTGCAAGTTCGGGGGAAGTGTAGCTGGAAGGTATACTGTCGCCCCCATTTCGATGCCGGGTTCGCCCTCAATGCAGAATATCGGCCTCGATTGTTCGAACTCACCCGTCCTGGGCAGTTTTGCGCAAAATCGATCCAGGAGCTGCCTTGACCTGTCATAAGTCAATGTGGCACTGTGGTCATTAGCGGACAGAACTCCAAACAGGCCACCGAGGTCGCCAACGAGATGATCAGTGCCAATGAATGACGTACCCTGTGGAAACAACCCTATAGACCTCTTTACCAGATTCATCCACGTTTTCGATGCGCTTTCGCTCTTCCAGCTCCTGATAAGAATCTTCACACTCCTGCCTCATCTCATCCTCCAGTTTTTGCCATTTTTGCAACTTGGCATCGGCCTCCTGGAAGAGCACCAACCTCGACCCCTTTTGCCGGGCTCTGCCTCTGCTTTGGAGGAAACTCCGAAAGGTTGGTCGCTCGTCGAAACAAATCACCAGGTTCATTGCAGGCACGTCAATGCCCTCCTCGAGCACCGAAGTCGCCACACAGAGATTGAGCTCTCCTCTTCGGAATTTCTCGAGGTTGTCATGCTGAAGGCGTAGGTCTGCAAAATCAAATATGCCCGCATGAGATGGATTACGCACCCCGACAAAGGAAAATGCTTTGTAGGAGCCTTTTGTGAGCGAATGATTATTGAGAACCTCAGCCAAGGCCCACGCCGTGTTCCTAGTTTTCACAAAAATAAGACAGCTGAGGTCTGGGCCATGCTCCTCTTGGAGGAAGCGAAGAAGCACTCGAACCTTTGGCGAAATGCTGCCCTCCGCAGAGATGGTCAAACGATTGCACCGTATCTGCTCATCAAGAGGCTGGAGACAGGATTTTATAAATCGATAGTCTTGAGAAAGAGACGAGTTTGTGGTTCGTTGGTCAAGTATGGAGAGCTCTTTCATCTCAACCGTCTTAACACAATGCTTGATGAACATGTCGCAGGCCCAATTTCCCAGGTTTTCTTGTATGCCTTTGCTTGACCGTTCAAATGACCTCAATTCAGCCAAAGCTGGCGTGCAGTTCTTCTTGAAGATTTTCTCAAGCTTGATGCGCGCTTCTGGATCATCTCTCCTTCGGAGAATCTCCATAATCGGGTCAGCATGTATGTGGATGCCAGAGACAATGCCGGCTAATGCGACGAAGAATTCGGAGGGAGGTTGCTGGGCGTCGCTATATGACAATCTTATCACTTCTGGACTGCTCACGAAAGCTGTGTATTCTTCTAGCTGCTGCAACGGACTCTTGCATATGGCGTTGAGATTCGTCTCCAACGCATCTTTCTCTGAGACAGCCTTGCTGGTGATCGGACTTGCGGAGAGCCCAAGTATATGGGGCAGTTTGAAGTCAGACCCGCGTACATTGTATGGGTGGTAATGGTTCGTCATGAGTTTGTTCTGAACATCACTCTTGATACCATGATGGGCTTCGTCGAAAACAAGCAACGAAATGTCAGCCAGGGAAAAGAAACCGTAGTTGAGAGCTTCATTCAGGATGGCGACTGTCGAAACAACAACATGAATATTATGGAGGACTTGATCCCAAACGTCCTTGGTAGTCCAATATTCACAGTTGTCCATGCCCGTTAGCAGCCTGAACTGGAATGCCGGCAGCTGTTGTGACAGGAACCGGTACTGTTGATATGCTAAGACCACACTGGGGGCAGTGAACCATACCAACTAACAGTTGGTCGTGAGCAAATGGAGAGCATTGGAGATGTGAAATATACAGACTTTGTTCGGGGAACGCTCCAGTTCTGCCTCTATTCGCAGTTTGGCACTAATGACAGGCCCAAGGATTCAGTCTCCGCGACGCAAGTGTTTATGTGTCAGGGGAGCGACCCGGGCGGGGAAAAGGGCGAGAAAGGCACAAAGGAAGCCTCTTACATCTGTGTTTTCCCACTACCAGTGGCCATCTGGGTCATAGTCAGTAGATCCCAGGTGTTTGAGACACGAAGCATCTTACAACAGCAATAATGTTGCCTTTCATACTATGGTTGAACATCTCAATCTGATAGGCACGAGATAAAAGGGGCAGGTTAGTCTGGACATCCTCCTCCTCCTCCTCATCAGAGGTATCCGACCAGATGCCATCAACGTCAAGATCCATGATGCACTGGAAATGGCGTCCACAGAGAGCTGTTAAGCAGACGAGACAGAGGACGGGAGGTAGCTAGAACAGATAAGGCATTGATAACAGACAGTGGTCAAAGCAGAAAAGACAGGAACGAACACGTCTACCTGATATGATTTCATTGCAAAGGGATATTCAAGAGTTGCAGAGTCCATCACGACTTGTTTGCTTCTAAAGAAGTAGTTGAGGATTGAGGCTGTCGTGTAACAATGCCGGCCACCTAATATCGGCGCTTGGCAGCTGCTGCCAGACGGATAAACTGATTGTCCGGCATTCCGGTACACAAGCAACAAGGCAGAATGAATGAAGCCATGAACCAACTCTCACATGCCAGTTGTATCTCTGTTCTCCTTTCAGTGTCTGTAGCGAGACACCAAGAGATCGTCTGCTCAATAGCACCCATCGCTGTCACACAGCAACTGAGCTTCCTCGACAGTCAGCAACCCATCCCCATTCCCGTCATGCGCTCGAAACTTGGCCTCGACATATTTGCCGAATGCCGACTGCGTGTCATTATCCGCGACGTTGAAGAAGCCGAAGTACTGGTCTAGAGTGATGACACTCGTGCCATTTCTCTTTTCGCCCCTGCTCACCGAGCTGAATGTCTCCTCCAGTTCTGCAAGCGAGTCCTGGTTGTACGCGGCATGCAACAGCATCGTCGTCAAGGTGGGTTGAGGCTTTTTCGTGATTGTGGCCACAGGCTCGCCGGAGCCGAGGATGGTTGTCACCGTGTCTTCAGGAAGGGCGCGTTTTGTTGGAGGAGGATACCATGTCGTGATGTGGCTGGCACGACAAGTCCACTGTTCGTAAGTCGAGTGTGCCCAGTCATAAGGTGCAGTGATGACGGATGTCCATTCTGTGCTACTCTTGTCGATGATCTCTCGTATGACGGAGACTGGAGATGATGGTCAGTCACGGACAGATCCCATTGGGGCCAGATGGACGAGTGGCAGAGTTGGATGTAGGCAAAGGTCGCAACAAGCCTCACTCACCTCCAGGACAAGAGCAACAGAAGGCGTTACAAGCCTTGTACCCGCAGCAGGGCGTGCCTACGGAGTTGTCGCCGCAGTCGCCTCCTGAATCTTCTCGGCAACATTTCCCGCATATGCCAGGAAGCCACAGGAGGAGTGCCAGGATGATGGACTGAAGTATCATCTTGAGCAATTCGAGTTGATCGTCAAGTGTGATTTGCACAGGGAATGAGCTCGAAAAGAGAGCCGCACTTGATAAAGAAGTTTCAACACGAGGACCTGGTGACAAGTTGGCGTCCACTTGTCACCATTGCGGCGGCAGTCAACGGCAGTGAGTGAAGCAAAAACAAGGAAAGTATTGCATCGATTTCTGCCACTCCCGGCCAATTCTTGCCAACGCGCTCAGAGACACGTGCATGTCGACTGTCGGCCCCTTCACTTACAGTGAAAATTCATTTGCTTTGGTGCATGGCAGAACCTCGACGTTTGTATCTACCCCTTCGATGTATATGACAGCCTCCCCGTCACCGCGTCACCGTCGGAGAGCACTTCATAGTTACATTCACTAGAGTGTTTTCGTCCAGTCAGGACTTGCCAGCTTCTGTCCAGGAACGGCTTGAGATATTCCCTCGCTTGCACAAAATGACCAGATAACAGGCAGAATGCCATGTGTGAAAAACCCGAGATTATCTTCTCACCATCATCCCTCCCTCTCTGAACCCGCCCTTGTGAAGACAAGCTCGGGCACCTCTACTGATTCGAATGGATCAGCAATCACCTGTGCCTCAATAGGTCAACCGGGATATCCGCCAACAGTCATGGCATTGCAGAGAATGCTTCCTACGCGAACGACTGTCCCTTTTACCAAACGCAGTAGACAGTCATCTCCTGGCCGGCCTGGGCGCTTTATAACACCGGCCATCGGATGGAGATCGGCACTTTATCCAACGTCTCTCTTTCCTGTCTGGGACCCGGGAAGAAGAGAAACAATGGCATGGCATGAACTTTCATCCTCAAATCACTCCAACAACATTCACTGTAGGCGAAGATAAGGGACGAACATGCCACGGCGTATGGCTGAAGCCGACAGCGGTCAGCAGAGAATCTATCGAATGCGGGGAGGGGCATTTGGGTTGGAGAAGCTACTGAAGTATGTAGCGAGCTGGTGCTTATCAAAATCCCCTGGCCTTCCTCTTTGGGCTATAGCGATATCTCCCTTATTTCTTAATGCTTCACGGCTGCAGGTACAAGAAATGCACATCTCCGCTGTTGTCGGGATTTGTCCGAAGGCAAGCGAAGAATGAGAAGGTATAAAGGTCATCAAGATGAAGTGGTTACGTCCTTGGGGGCGTGCTTGTATAGTACTTAGTCGGCTCTCCTGTCGATATTCAACCTTGCCGAGGTCTTCAGTATGGGCGTCGTAAAACTACTTGTTTCTGCTCTGATCGCAAGCTCTCTATGCTCGGCGAATCCGCATGCGTTGGAGGAGCGTCAAGTATACGCCTTGGTCGGGGACGGTTTCGAGCAAGCGACAACCACTCTGGGAAGCTACTACAACTATTGGAAGAAGCTGCCCAATGGAACCTTTGACCTCACCCGCAGCGACCGTTCCCCGGTGACGACTCCAAAGGTGTTGCCTATGATGGGAGACCGATCTTCGATCAAGATCGAACCGAACCGCACCGGCTTGGTAATCATTGACATGCAAAACTACTTCCTGCACCCAGACTTGTCTCCGGGGGCCAAAAACGGCCGGGGCGCGGTCCAGCCCACGGTCAACATGATCAACGGCTTCCGCAAGCATGGCATGAAGGTCCTCTGGGTGAACTGGGGACTGACAGAGTATGACCTCCTGACCATCCCACCCGCGTTCAAGTCGGGGTTCAGCGGGGGTTCGGATCTCGCCAATGAGACCTTTGGCAGTGACATGGGCACCATCAAGGAGAACGGGACGACGATCGAAGTTGGTCGTCTGTTGATGCGTGGGTCTTGGAACGCCGAGCCCTATGGTGTGTTGGAAACAATGAAGAATGAGGGTCTCGCAGCCGGCACGGATATGTTGTTCAACAAGAACCGTCTCTCCGGTCTCTGGGGTCCTCAGACGCCTTTCGGGATCTGGCTCCAAGAAAATGAACTGTCGACGCTGTTCTTCGGTGGTGTCAACGCCGACCAATGCGTCTGGTCCACCTTGGTGGATGCTTACTTTAAGGGTAAGAAGGACAAACCTGTCTTGTGTCTCGCGAAAGGCAAATGTTGACCATATTGGTTAGGCTATGATGTGGTTTACGTCGACGACATCTCTCAGACAACAAGTCCACCTTATGCTCAAGAGATGTGCCGATACAACGCTGACGGATACGGTAAGTTCTAAAACAGAGGTTAGTTGAAGTTGAGCTGACAATTGTTATAGGATTCGTAGCCAACACCACCGCTGTATTGAAGGCTCTTGGATAGATGAAAGAGATGTCTCCAGGTTGTTGAAAGGGTAAGAGCCATTTCAGGAGAAGTTTCTTCCAAGATCAGTCATATGAAGAGCCACCCTGGTGGGGGGATAAGAAATACAGACAGTGCGGTGTGACAGCTCTCCTGATATGAAGCTCAACGCAATTGGGCAATGTGAGAACTCAGGTGACAGTCATCTCCCATGGTATTATGGCGGAATTCATCCTTTGCGCTGTCCACTGGGGGTTTAGAAGCATACGCTGCTGCCACTCTCAGGCAATCACACTGGAGAATCAATGAACTGTTCCGGCTGCGTAGACCCTTGATTGACCCGAGACAGATAACACCAAGGAAGGGCTTGGACATATGGAAAATTAAGGAAGACGCGGGAAACGTACCAGCAAATGGAATGCGTCTTTGGGACCCCCTGGTGTCTGGACTGCTGATCCGGTCAGGAACTCCGTGCTGGGGAGAGCAGGGAAGATGGCGACAAACCCCTTCCCCATGATCAGAAGACCCAGAACAGATTGACAAGGCTCGCCACATCGCCCGATTCATCATAAGATTTTGTTTCCACCCGGCTGTACTTTCCCGGATCTGATCAGGCGTTACGCCCAGGCTGATGGCAACAATGCATATCACTGTATTGTGGCGCGCTTCGCAAGATAAAAGGAGTCAGCAGAGGAGGGATGCCAGGGGGAAGATGATGATATCATCTCTTTTCCTCCTCTCAATCAGTTGAGAAGTGTGGCGTACTGCCTCAGCCTCATACACAAGATGTGTTATCAGTGCCGGGGCAAGCCTGTTATCGACCCATTGGCCCAGAAACAGGGCCTCCGACCAGGCCAAATTGTTCCCTGAGAACCATTGACTTGGCAACCAGGATCCAGGCCATATCAGTGAGAGCAGAATAAAGCCGAATCGGTCGAGTATTGGATGAATGGAAGGGAAACCCCCCAAGAGGGAATGCCATAAATAGATAGGCCTGTTTTGGGAATAGCGCCGTCTGTAACCGCCCAGTCTAGACCCACCCCAGCTCTGTCTAACCAATCATGAATCTTCCCCTCACTTCTCCCTCCATTCTCCTCTACCAACCATGCGTCGCCATCCACCTTCAACCTCCAACGTCCTGCCAACACGTCTCAGCACTATCGATCTCCGCTTTGATGCTATTTCCTGCGCGTCTCGCTGGCTGCAGCTCCATGTGCTTTGGTATTGGCCTACATGTCTTCCTCAAACAGCGGGCTATTCCCTTTCGGAATTCCAGGCCTCGCCCACAGCGGCCAGAGCCAATCGACACAGGGTCGACATGTCCCTCTCCCGATTTGTAAAAGAGTGCGTGACATTGCCCCGGTCCGCTCGATTTCTCCCACACGGCCTCGAGCGAGACGCCAATGCGGTCCTCACAGCGCTTCCATCCGGTCCTCTCTTTACCCAAAGGTCGCAGCTCTCCTCTTTTCCCGTGTACCTTTCTTTCCCCCCTCACTTTCAACCTCGCCGTCGCTGAAGTTGCTGGTCGCTGTCAGCTTTCTCTCGTTAGCAAGTTTTTTCAATTTGAAGGCCACTCCCGCGTGCGACCGTTGACCGGCGCCGTTTACACACTACTAATAACCCCAGTTTTGACCGCCACCAGATACTCACGCTTCGCCGAGCGGGTGCCGGGTGGGCATTTGACGAAGACCACGACGATCTGCCCACCAAATAGTTAATATCTTGCGAAAGGCCGGTCCCTAGCAATCATGAGCCTCCTCCCATCTACCACCTACCAAACTCCGCCCCGGCTGGGCCGTGGACGACAGCTTAATACTATTCTCGAGGAAAAGGAAGACGCAAGCCAGGGGGTGAAAAGCGACAGTGAGGGGGATGGGAGCGATTCGACCGTGATAGGCCGGCCGGCGGCATGGGATCCGGCTCTTTTTACTGTCAGCGCTCGCAAGAGCTCTCTCGCCAAATCGACCTACGCGTCCTCACCGATCTCTTCTTGTGGACTCTCCCCCGCCAGCAGCGCTGGCGAAGGGTATCGACGAGATTCAGCCCGCAGTTCTCTCGCTGGTAGTGACTCGGGCACAGTATTCAGTGACGACTGTCCGTCTCTAGCCAGCGACCCGACGAGCTTTGCATCCGAATCCAGCAGAAACAGCTTTGCCAGCGACAAGTCCGGCCGGAACCGCTATCCTGCTCTGGTCATACCCAGAGACTCATGGGGGTCGATGGATTCGAGTCCGATCAAGGAGATAACCTTCGGGATGTCTCCTGCCACGAAGATTCGGCTCTCGCCCAGTGCACTTTCTGCTCTCCCCAGAGATGTCCCCGCGATCAACGCCCCGCCCTCGCTCGGAGACAGCAACAGTTCGATCTCAGATTCCCCTTGTAATGCCGAGACCAGTGCCCCCGTCACTCCGGACATGAGACACCTCGAGGTGGCGGAAGGAGAAAGCTGGGGAGGTCCGCCGGCGGCCAATCTCGAATCACAGCCTCTCGAAATAGCGCTCGACGACGGTCACAGTGTGATCCTGTCGCCGGCGGAAGCACACTCCAGCAATCCGTTCGGCACCCTGGCGTCACCGGCAGCTTTCACTGAGATGATCGTCAGTTTCCCGACGGTGCCCGGCGGGACTCCACAGGATCTGTCACCTCTCATGCCGTCTCTGGACGAGCTCAAGAAATTCGAGGACAAACCGCCGTCCAATGGATCCGACTTGGGGGTGAGGCTCCCTCCAGAGGCCTTGCAACTCCTGCAGCTCCTGGCCGGGCAGAAAAGCAGGGACGACGTGTCGACGAGTTCTGGCAGTTCACGGCCGTCAAAGAAATCTGGGAGACGACAAGAAATGCGTGAACGCAACGAGCCCGAGCCCATCAGTCGACCACGCAGCGCCGACGGAGAGACTCCCGTGTCCGACTACAGCTTCTCGCAGCTGAGCATCCCGTCGCCGGGCGGCTTCTTTTCTTCGCTGCAGAATGGCTCGCGACACACCTGGTGTCTTGCCAAACCCAAAGGACCCAGTGTACCCAGCACCGCCACCGCAGAGATGTTCTACAATCGCCCTTGGGAGGCCAGCTCAAAGGACAACGTCGTGGAGACGGTCCTGACGGTAGAAGATACCAATATGACCGAAGGCCCGCCGACAGCCAAGCAGGCCACCTTTGATCTGGCACCGCCAGGGAAACGGAAGAGCCAGCAGTCCGAAGACGACGACTTGTACGGACCCCCGAAGCCACCGGAAGTGGTGACGGTAAACTACGAATACGACGAGAAGTACTACGATGAGCTCAGGAAGACCGCCGGCCAGAATCTGGACAGGACGGGATCTTGGCTCGCCGCACAAACAGGCTACTTGTCGGCGATCCTGGACTCCGACCCGAACGAGGAGCCACCTGACAGTACTGAACCTCCCGATGACAAGGGCGCCAAGGGAGCAGTCCGTCGGACGGTCATGTTCGCTGACAAGGCCACGATCGACACATCTGTGGTATTGGTGGATGCCGGACCGGAGAAGGGCAGTCCCGATAGCGAACCGGAAACCAAAGAGCCCATCTTCCTCTCGGCCTTCCAGCATCTCGTTGCCGTCCGCAAGCGCCGGGACGCCTTCATCCACTCCTCATCCCGCCTGGACGCGATACAAGCTATGCGCATTGCCCTGCCGGAGAAGCACATCAGCAATCTCCTTGGCCAGCACACCCTAGTCGACCCAGCACGGCCCAAGTATTCCGGTCCGTTCAGCCAAAATCCTCGACAGACTGGCGTGTTTGAACGCACGACCGAACAAATTGCCTACCGAGTCGTCGAGCGCGAGCAGCTTGCCCTTGCATCGATCGAGCCGTCCAATTGGCAGATTGATGCCCTACGGGCAGTGTTCAATGGCCGTCTGCTCGCTTCCGAGGCTGCGTGTCAAAGGCTGAAAACCAAAGCCACGATTCCGTTAGATGATCCTGCATGCGTCGGGAGCAAGCGGCTCCGCATCCTCGACCTGGGCGGCACAGCGTCTGCGTCGTGGGCGTGGAACGCGGCTCTGGAGTGGCCGAATGTGAAAGTCTACACCGTCATCACCAAGGATCAAGCACGGTCTCAACGGCCCGCGGACATGGCCAAGCCTGAAGCGCCAGTAAACCACCGCACCATCTCCGTCCCGCACCTCTGGCAGCTGCCCTTCCGAAGCGGCCACTTCGACGTCATCTCGGCACGCTCGCTGCACGTCCTCCTCAAGAACAACCCTGTGCCCGGCGTGCCCGAGATCGACGAGTGGGAGCTGACTCTTCGAGAGTGTATGCGGGTGCTGAAACCGCACGGGTACCTCGACTACATGATCATGGACTCCACCATCGCCCACGCCGGGCCCAGGGCAGAGACCATGTCGGTTGAATTCGGGTTCGAACTCCACCGGCGTGGCTATGAACGCGAAGCGGCCCGAAGCTGGCTCCGACGCTTGAAGAAAGAAGGCTTCATCGGCGTCAAGAGAGCGTGGATGTTCATGCCCATGGGACGAAGACCACCCAGCGAGACAGAAGAGCAACCCAATGGATACACGGGAGGCTGGCAGACGTGGCGACAAGGAGGCAAGCCCTTCGTCCCCGCGCCGCGTCCCATCAGCGAGGTCTCGACCATCAGCAAGATCGTCAAGCAGTACATGGACGTGGAGGCCGTGCAAGGCCCCGTCGGCAGCACGCAGGATGTCGCCGACCTGACCGGCCTCCTCGGGGCGCGGATGTGGGAGGAGTGGCTGGTCAAAGTGCGGGCGGAGTCCGGACGCGAACAGAGCCGGTGGCTCGAGGGCGTGGACGAGGTGATCGAGGAGGGCAAGGAGCAAGGCTCCGGATGGAAAGTGTTGATCGGTTGGGCAAGGAAACCGAAGCCGCCCAAGTCGAAGAGGAGCGAGCGGGCCGAGATCACGGTGGCGGTCGAAGATCTGGCCGAGTTGAGCCCGATCGACGAGTCCATGGAGATGGGCATGATTCCCATGGTGATTCAAGAATGAAATAGATGATGACGGTGACACGACAAACCAAGCCCATTGCCTTTTCAATTGACGGGACGACTTAGAATAGGAGGCGGGAGGGAGACTGAAACCAAAACAAGAGATGTGTGTATATGTCCTTTCGCTCAGACTGCTTGACTGGCCTTGGAGCAAGCGAGCGAGCATTAGCAAGCGAAGTATGGAGTTGGTGGCCTGGCGATGTTGCGTTGGTTGCGTCGGGTTGGGTTGTCATTGATTCTCTGGGACGGACAAGGCTGGATATTGGGACAGGGGAGAGAAAGAGAGAGGAGGTTAGGTTGTATTGATAGATACCTACCTAACCTACCTACATATTTTGGGTACATTCTGTAGATAATGGGTGGATGAAGGTGGCAATGCGCGTTAGGGACATTCTCTTTTTCTTTCTTCTCTCTTTTTTTCTCAGAGCAGCCTCAGTATATAGCAAGCTTGGGTATCTGGAAGTAGAAACCGGAGACATTGTTGATGACTACGAGTGGCATTTTCCGCATCCTATCTCGGAGGTTGGTCGTCGACTCGTTGTGGCATACATAATAGTCAAGATGGGATAATGGGTGAGTCAGCGAGGACTCCGCCGCATGATGGCCCCCTTTGGAAGTTAGGGTGGCAGCACCCGTTGGGTTGGTTGGGCGTGGATGCCCTTCGACAACCACCCCTGCCCCTAGTCTGCGAATGCCTAGCAGCGCCCCTAGCAGCGCCCCTAGCAGCGCCCCTAGCGCCACCGCCCGCGCCGCAACGTTATTACTGTACTACCGCACTACCGTACCCAAGGTACCTCGTACATGTCCCTGTGCAAGCCTGAGCCCCTCCTTGCATGCCTGCACCTCAACCCCTCCACCTTCCCCCACCAACCAACCACGGTAAAATTGTTATGGGAAAAATACTCGTCCACTCCTCAATGGATCTCGTCTCTCGTAAACATTGCAGTGATGACCTATGACCCAAAAAGCTGAGTTTACTCAAAAAAGGGCCAACAGAGCTCCATTGCCCATCCCCTAGCCCAGGTCTCTTTCCACAGACTGCCCATCCTGCTGCGATCCTTGCATAAATACGTCCCAAGATCAACGATTCCTTTCCCATCCGGATCGGGCGAGCCGTTTCTTCCTCTCCTCCTCCTCCACCGCCTGCGGTACAAACCTCTATCCTAACTCTCCACGCTGCATCTTTTCTTTCTGACCTTGTAGTTCTCCTTCCCCTCGATCCCATCACCCACTTTAGACATCCGATCTCTGTCGTTAAAGCCCGGTTACCGTCGTTGAGAGAGGGCGACAAAGAAAACAGGGTGAGACAAAGAGCAAAAGAATGACCACGCCGCGCTGCTTCATCGTCCGGCACGGCGAGACCGAATGGTCCCTGTCGGGAAAACACACGGGCACCACCGACATCCCCCTGACGAAGAATGGGGAGAAGCGAGTGCGCGCCACGGGTAAGGCCCTCGTCGGAGACGATAGGTTGATCGTGCCCAAGCAGTTGGTTCACATGTATGTTCTTCCCCCGTCTCTCGATATCGGTGGGAGAAACACACACACACACACAGACGCAATGCTGTTCCCACGGGACTGGCACCCTCGACACCTCATTCCCCTCAGAGAAGAAGATATATAACTAATACATCTAAAACAGCTACGTCTCCCCCCGCCACCGTGCCCAGAGAACCCTCGAACTCCTCAATCTGAACTGTCACCAGCCCTACCCGTGGCAATCCCAATCCCAATCCCAAACCACCACCTCCTCCGACCACGAACCCCCAAACCACACCACCAGCGCCGAGGTGACGATCGACGCGCGCATCGCCGAGTGGGACTACGGCGAGTACGAGGGCATCACAAGCGCGGAGATTCGGGAGCTGCGCGCGCGCCAGGGCCTGGGGCCGTGGGACATCTGGCGTGACGGCTGCCCCGGGGGCGAGTCGCCGCAGGACATCATCGCCCGGGTCGACAGCCTGATCCGCGAGATCCGCGAGCGGTACCACGCCAAGGTCATCGGCAAGCCCAAGCAGCCCGGCGTCACGGGCGACGTGCTGGTCGTCGGCCACGGCCACATTCTCCGGGCCTTCGCCGTGCGCTGGATCGGCCGCCCGCTCACTGAGACCGCCATGATCATGGAGGCTGGCGGCGTCGGTACCCTCAGCTACGAACACCACAATATCCACGAACCCGCGATATTGCTGGGCGGCGGCTTCGTGGTCGGCGACGACAAGGAGGAGATTGAGAAGAGTGAGAAGGAGGAGAAGAAAGAGGCAAAGTCGTGACATTAATAGAGCCCTTTTCAGTTCAGTTCATTTCATTTCACCTTTTCGTCGGACGTCACGTTTCAGCTTCCATATGATCGTAATAGACCGTGGTGCTTTTCTGCAGCTCCATGGCCATGCCGGAAGAGAGCCTAACCTATCCCAGGCTGTCACGTACCGGGGGCCTGAATCAAGAAGACATGAATGGATCCGGGCGAGTCACAAGGACTCAAGAATCCAAGACTATTAGACAGGAGTCGTACCTATGTCATTGTCTTATCTCCTTTCCTCTCCTCCCCTCTCCTCCTTCCTGCCTCTCCCACCCCTGTGCTTCACCAACCATTCACCGGCAGATTCGGATTCCCTCCTCCCCAGCTCCCGGCCCCAAACCCTCCTTGATTCTGAACGCTGAGAGGACTACACGGTGGTGGAGGTCCCGTGGGCGTTGGGGGCCGTGGGCCGGCGCCGCTGATGTTCATGTCGATGTTTGTCTGGCCGCCTCCGACGGTGCCAGAGCCGGTGAAGGCGATCGGTGGTGGTGGAGGTCCAGACATGCCCATCCGCGCCGCCGCCTCGGGGTTGCTGAGCACGTAGTCGAGAATGTCTCCCGGCGGTCCTGCGTGGCTGCCTGGACCTTGAGCTGGCGCCTGTGCCTGTGCTGGATTGAAGCCCCTCGGACTGTTCATGGGGCCGCGCAGAGAGCTTGCCCGCCCGCTGAAGTTTCTGGAGGGTTGGGAGGCCCCGTTGGGCTGCTTCTCTTGTTGCCCGTCCCAGCCGTTCTTGTTAGTTGCGCAGGTGTTGTCCCAGCCGCAATTGCTGTTGCTGCCATTTTTGTGGTTGTTGTTGTTATTATTGTTATTATTGTTATTGTTGTTGCTGCCGTTGCTACCTGGCGGCTGATTGTTTCCTTGCCAGTTTTGCCCACCACCACTGTTCTCGTTGTTATTTTGCTGGTTCTGCCAATTGTTCGAGCTATTGTTCCTGTTGTTGTTCTGTTTGGCATTGCCCGCATGGCTCTGATGGCTTGAAGCGCTGGATAATCGAATCCCAAGACCCGCACTGTTTGAGACGTTGCGCGTGCGCGGCAGATTGTATTTGAGAAAAGGCATATCAGGAGCGTCGACCGGGACTTGCTCGAAGCTCTTCACCGAAGGCGGTGTCACTGTCGGTCGCGGGTCGGGTATCGTACCGCCCAGAGCCCCTTTTGCTCTAAGCACCATCTGAATCAGCTCTGCCTTGTCCAGGTTTTCGAGAGCATTCACGTCCTCGTTCGGGCTCGGCTCAGCGGAGATCTCGACCCCAATCTCGTCCTTGAGCTGTTCCTTTGTTCGGTACTTGAAGACAAATCGAGCGTACGGCTCGTCCAGACTGTCAATGTAGTGCGGAATGCATCTCTTTTTGTTGTACAGGTAACCTTTACCCGGCTGCACCTGTTTCGTAATTCCCATGGACTGTGCAATCGCTTGAGGGACATCATACCGGGGCTCCTCCTCGGCTTCGGGCGGGGGAGCATTTTGCACATTGGCTTTGAAGGTGTAGTACGCCCCATACGGTCCATACAGAGGCCGGCTGTTGTTCGATGGATTTCCTCCGAATACGGGTTCGTTGTTCGATGTTGAGCTATTATTCTGATTGTTGCTCCCGCCCCATGCTTGCCCATTCCCGTCAATCCCAGGATCTTGATTCTCTGTGGCCCGGCCACCACCGTGATTGCTTTGTGCATTTCCGCTGCTGTTCTGAGCTGGCTCATCTTGCCAGCTGTCGCCTCCGGGGTTGGCATGATCATTATCCCAGGCTTGACCGGTCCCAGCATTCATGGAACTGTCTCCCCAATCTTGACCGAAGTTGTCGCCGTTCTGGTCGTTATTGTGGTTGAAACTGGAACTGTTATTGTCCATGTTTCCGGAGCCGTTCAGATTCTGGCTATTGCGGTTTCTTCCATCATCATTTGAGCCTCCATTTGCCGACGCATTTTCGGTGCCACCGGTGTTTTTGTCATCAGAAGTTGCCCATTCGCCGTTGTTGTTGCCGTTATTTGTATTTTGTTGAGGATCTTCGGCCGAATGGGGCTGACCTGTGTTGGAGTTGTTGTTCTCTACATTTTTGGCAACGTCGCCTCCTTGTTGCTGGGAGGTGCTCCCATTTGATTGGTCTGGAACCCCATCTGGAGTCGAAGTGCTGCCATTTTGAGTGCTTGGCGCATTGGTGGCATCCATTCTCTGAGTATGGAACAGGGGTGCATTTCCCGGCGGTGGATAGATCGGCATCGCAGGAGGAAAGGGTGGAACCGGCATTGGGGTTGGACCGACCCAGATTGGAATAGGATATTGGACAGGCTGTGGTTGAATAGGAGGCAAGCTCGTAGGTTGGATCGGAATTTTCGGAGGCAGAGAGGGGAAGGGTGTCACCGATGGAGCAGAGTTCGGCAAATTTGCTGGAGAGGCAGCAAATCTCGGAGGGCCAGGTGCTTGGTAGGAATGGTGAATAGACTGACTGGCTAGAGGAGCATACTGTGGCGAGTTACCGTGGATCTGATGCGGATCGGGATAGTGGCTGTAGACTTTTCGGTCCGCGTTGTACATGTAATGCCCGCCTTCGGGGGCAGTGGGATACTCCGGATAGTGAGTACGATGTCTGTGGTATTCAGGCCGATGGTAACTCGGGCGAGGTTGAGGGTATGCATGTGGATCATCTCGCTCCCAGGTATGATGGGGTTGGTGATCGTATCTTGTATGGTAGCTGCTTGGCTGCGTTCCTCTTCTGTCACCGTAGTCAAAATGAACATGTCTGTCCGGTCTGCCAGGTGGATGTACATATGCCGACGAGGGCGGAGAGTCGTGATAGTCGTACCTGCTCCGCCGCGGTTCTCCATAATGTTCTGAGGCGGGACGATAATCCGATGGAGGCTGTGGTCTTTCCTGCGGCCCGTAGGGAGCAGAGTGACTGTGAGGTGGTTGCCAATGCCATCGATGATAGCCATCGGACGGGGCATCGCCGGAATTCACAGGAAAGAAACGCCAGCCATCGGCAGATCCGTCAAACAGGCCAAACAGACCACCAAACGCGTCCTGTACCTCACTTTGCGGCGGTTCAGGCTGCATACTGGCGGGGTTCTCTGGCTTTGATTGACTTCCGGAGTCACCCGCCACTACTTCTCCCCTAGCATCTTCATTGTCATCCATGATCGCGCTGTGCTCGGCTGAAGAGGTGGTTGAGCATCGACTTTCGTCATGATGGTTGCTTTGGCATCGCAGGACTAAGACCTCGATCGTTCCCAGCTCATCAAAGTGACTCTTGTCCATGCCCTCGGGCATTTGGGAGACTGGGAGAGCAGAGTCAGCTTCAATTTCGCTCTGTGTCAGGGCACTTACCAAGATTGCAGTCGTCAAAGCGCCACTCACGACCCATGTAGGATCCATCACCCATGGGCTTCTCTTTCTGTCTCACGAGAAAGTCGATGTTGGTTCTATTGTCAGGGACACCTTTCTTTGCAGCCTGTAGGTTGACTCTGTTACGATTGCACTGGTAGTTTCCGTCAATAAAGACCACCATCGATATTCCTGTGTAAATGAACTTTCGTGAAGTGAGTCGGATGGTAAAGGCTTGTGGATGGCCAGGGATAGCGATGTAGGTCTCAACGACACCATCTCCGTAGACTGTCCCATATTCGGGGAATGCGGATCCAGTATCTGCCCATTGCACATGGCAAACGAGATCTTTTAGTGTCGGCATGGCGACAATACCGTCCGTGACATGCGTCAACACATGTGTCAACGAACCACGCGGTCAGGCAGTAGAGTGAAGGGGTAGTAGCACGGGGGGAGATGGTCATCAGAGAACAGGGAAAAGAGGTACTGAGCAGGGGTAAAACAAGAAAGAATCCTCGGTGTGAGCGTGAAGTGACGGAAAGACGGAAAGCTGAGGAGAACAAGTCACCAGTCAGGAAGACATGAATAGGGAAATACACTTAGTATCCATCATGGGCAAGGTTCTTCACGTTCGCCCAGTTAATTCGACATGATAAGACCGGACCTGTTGGGTGTTGAGAGAGCGAAAAACGCGTCATGGCTAGGTGACGGGTTGTTCACGCAGCGGGTCATTGTGCAAACAGCCGTTGAGGTGCAGTCTGCCTGAAGTGTAACACAATACACGTGAATTCCATAGACATGCACTGATCAATATCGAGTGAAGTAGAAACGGATTCCACATGCTGGTGGCGCAGGGAATGCGCTTAGCGCTTAGCGCTTAGCGGCGTCTGCTGCTCCTGCGCCGTAGTTACCAACATGTTCACGAGCCGAACCCGGCGCATGTCTGCGATAATACAACTCCCTCCTTCATTGACACTGTCCGTCTGAACTTCCTACTCCCCCTACTCCTTTGGCCATACTGTCCCCAAGATGAGCGCATCAAAGGCCCAGTCGCAGAAAATATTCGAGAAACTGAAAGCCAAACCTGCCAACAAGGTACGCACTCCGGTACTCTCTAAGGAGGCCACCTCTGCGAATCGACATTTCCACATGTTCCGCGCCGGCTGACATACGTTCACAGATATGTTTCGACTGTGGCCAGAAGAACCCGACCTGGTCTTCTGTCCCGTTTGGCGTCTATCTATGTCTCGACTGCTCTTCCAACCATAGAAATCTTGGTGTCCACATCTCCTTTGTGAGATCGACGAATTTGGACGGTACGTGCTAGAGTCTGGCTCATGCAGAAGCAGAATATTGACGGATCATAGTCTGGCAATGGAGTCAACTACGAACAATGAAAGTTGGGGGAAACGAGTCTGCCACGAAATTCTTCCAATCCCACGGTGGGAGTGCGGCACTCGCGAGCAAGGACGCGAAGGTGAAATATACGTCTAACGCCGCGAATAAATACAAGGAAGAACTCAAGCGTAGGGCTGAAAGAGACGCCCAAGAGTATGCTGTTGTCGAAGTCCTCTTTGTCCCGATACATCCTAACTTGTTGTATAGGTACCCAGACGAAGTGGTCATCACCGACGACCCCCTCTCCACCCCTGGCGCCGAAGGAACATCCACGCCCGCCGGTGAACCCGCAGACGATTTCTTCTCTTCCTGGGACAAGCCAACCATCAAGCGGCCTAGCAATCCGCCCTCGCGAAGCGGCACACCCCCAGTGATCTCACGTACAGCCTCCCCCTTCCTCTCGGCCGGCAATGCGACTAATGGCTCGCAAACACGGCCAAAATCTCCTTCGCCTTTAGCTGCAAACACAGCCAATGATGCCGTAAAGGACGCCGAAGCCGCTCTTCCTGCTCCCGCCGCAATACGCACGACATCTTCTTCCGCAATTCGCAAGGGTCCCAACGCTGCTGGTGGTGCAGGTGCACGACGCGCCAACGTCCTCAGTGGGAAGAAACCGGCACACAAACTTGGCGCAAAGAAGGTCGTAGGCGAAGAAATCGACTTCGATGCGGCTGAAAAGGCGGCAAAAGCCGAGGCGGAGAGGATAGAAAAGCTGGGCTACGATCCTGAAGCAGAGAAGGCGGAGGAACTCTCGAAGGCGACCAAGTCCTCCACTTTTGGGGCTTCTTCCGCTACAACACCGAAGGAGACGCCGACGCCTATCAACACGTCCTCGAGGACAGTTTCGAACCCCAGCCACGCGCGAAGTCCGAGTGAGCTTGAAAGACTGGGGATGGGCGTCGGTCGCTTGGGTTTTGGACAGGTCGGTCCAAGCAAAGGAGCGGCGAGCTCAAGCGCGCCAGCACCGAAGAAACTGGGATTCGGTGCTGTTGGGCCCAGCAAAGCCTCTGCAGCAGACGGTAAGGACGTCCTCAACGATACACACCCTCTAGCCCTTTCCTCCCCTTCACTCCCAACTCCGCCATGTCTAATACAACTTCATTTTCTCTGGGTCAGCCACTAACTGTCCCGGCTTGGTTGCTTTGGTCTAGACGAGGAAGAACAATACGCCCGCAACAAATTCGGCACCCAAAAGTCGATTTCCTCCGACGAGTTCTTCGGCCGCAACAGCTACGACCCCCAGGCGCAGGCTGAGGCGAAATCGCGCCTCCAGGGCTTTGAGGGCGCCACATCGATCAGCTCCAACGCGTATTTCGGACGTCCCGAGGACGACCCCACGGGTCTCGAGGGCGGCGACGGTTCGTACGGGGACATCGAGACGGTGGCCAAGGACTTTGTCCGGAAACTGGGGCTGACGGCTGGAGACGACCTGGAGAATCTGATCAACGTGGCCGGTGAGGGCGGCAGGCGGCTGCGAGGTGCGGTGTCGCGGTATTTGAATAGTTGAGCCCGAGCTTGATCTTGGGCGAGTTTCCCTTGCACATGAGCTCGATCAATGTGCTCACCCCTCCCCTTTTATTTTGCAATTCGGCTTTGATTGAAAATTCAAGCACCAACACCTACGAAAAAGTACACATGGCGAGAGGGCGAGTCGAATCAGGTCGATGTGATTGGTGGTGATAGCAGCCGCAGTAGGAAAGAAGTGCGAGCGGTACGTAGACGAGGCAGAAGAGCGAAGAGCGAATAGCGAAAGAGAGCAGAGGAGAGAGCAAAGAGCAAGCAGGGAATGAAGCACGAAAAACGACGAATACGAGAGCGCCACCAGTGCTGGATTTGCTTGATTGATAGATTGCCTGCCTGCCTGCCTGCCTGCCCCCATGCATGCATTCATTCATCCATTCCTTCATCTGTTGTTCGCCAAAGTAATCCTTCACAATGCTAGAACATGTATGTCTGTCTGGAATGATATAGTCTCATTTAGTAGTCCCCCCCTTTCCTCTTCCCCCCTGTGGCCCCCGTCCCTTTCGACCGTGGTTTCTTTCCGGCGTCGTTCTATATAGTCAATAACTCTTGCCTTGGGTTCGTTTGTTTGTCCGATGAAACATGTGGTGGTAGAGAGGAGCAAGAAGAAAGACATAGATGGAGATATTTTCAGGCCTAAATAGATAGTAAATAAGTGAATTATAGATAGATCTATTGATAGAAGACTTTTCGTCTTTGTTTTCGTCTCTGCAGAACCAGAAACTGGACAGACGAGCGCGGATGTACTGTGGCATGTTGCGTGTAAGTAACTGAACTACATGCAAGTAGGGGAGCAGGCAAGCAGGCATGCGAGCAAACTAAGCAAGCCACCACCAAAACTACTCCTCTCCCTTCCTTCACTGTCGCTATATGCTTCGAGCTCTCACACAGACAAGGACTCGAGAGGGCCAGTGCATTGCATCCATCCTCCATCAACCAACCGATCAATCCACCCATCAATCCAGCCATAAATCCATCAATCAATACACTTCCTTGCCATCGTCGACACCGTCGAAAATAGTGGAAATCCCTTGGTACCTTGAAAAGAGTGTATATCCCCTCAAAGGAGCCATGCTTCAACGCCGTCCAGTCCAAACGGGTGCAGGCCAGCCGTCATCTTCTGACCATGCCGCTACGCTCGCATTGGACCGTTCCGAAGCCGACCATCCGCGAGAAGAAAAATGAACTGAGCAGCACTGGAGAGGAAAGCTTTCTGCGGAGGACTTCCGCACATCAAACCCTCCCAACATGTTGGCTCATTCATGCAGGAAAAAAGAGAGTATGCCGCCCTAATAAAGACGGTGAAAGGAACTCTCAAAACCAAGTCAAAGTCAAAACAGGACTATTCGATGGAAACCCGTTTCATTAAAGGATATTCCTAGTGTTCCCATCGAAGTTTTCAGGTGCGCTTTTTCCGTTAGGGGTGGTTCGAGGGTAAAGTAATATTCATGCCAATCAATCTCGGAGTAGTAAAGTCATCAAGGTCGTGATGAAAGGAGTGGCTGAGTCTACCAAGAGAACTCAAAAGGATGTTGTAAATAGGGGGCACCGCCCTCATAGCCCGCCTGTCCGCTTCAAATGACGACGCTCTTGCGTTTCTCAGCGCTACTAAGAACCATCAATGGTGTGTTGCGTCTGGCCGGCTCGATCTCGACAATAGACCCTCCGACAGAGTTGCCCTCATCGCTACTCAAGCTCTTAGAACTGATCGCTCCAACACTGTCGACAGACGACCGTTCCCGGGACTTCTCCTTGATCTCAGATCCAATCACTCCACTGGCAGCAGCTCGGAGACTGCCAAGGCTCGGCTTGCTCGAGAGGCTGTTGCTTCCAGCAAGAACAGAGTCGTCAGACGAGACAGAAAAATTGAACTCGTTCTCGCTCCCAGGTGTTCCGGCCCCAGACCCGGGTTGACGACCGCCGTCACTGCGGCGCTCACGGCCCGCACGGACGAGGTCATGAACAGCTCGACGACGCTGTCGAGTGGCAAAGTTCTTGCTGCCCTCGTGCTTGGAGGTAGGCTTCTCCTCGAGCTCTTGCAGAAGGGGCGGACCCTTGGGTTGTCTGACAGGATGTTCTCCGGCTCTTCCGTGCCCCGGTCCGAAGGTGGCCGTCATGGGGGTCTGTGGGAACCCAGCCGGTCTGATGGCAGATCCCTTGGTCCAGTCGCCAGCAGTCTTGATATTGGCAGACGACAAATTCTTCCGGTGGCCCCGGCGGAACGCGTTGGCAGATGGAGGCGGGAGAGGCTCAACCTCCTGCGGTGGCGAGGGGGTGGACTTCGGAGGCGTCTTGGAACGGGCCTCGGCCAGGGGAAAAGAGGGCTCCGGATACTGGCGCTGATAGGCTGGCGTGGGAGGAGGAGGCGAAACCGATTTATGCTGACGGACAGGCGAAACTTCCTTCTGATTCTGGTGGTGATAGGAATTGTCGACGAGATAGCTCGATTGACCAGTCATCGGATTGTAAACAGTGAAGACGCCTGGGCTACCGGGGACGGGGTGAACCACGGGTTGCAGTCCTTGCTGGAATTGTTGATTGTACAGACCCATCGGAGAGCTGATGGGAGACTGGTATGGCTGCTGGCCAATGTTGTTCACGAACCCGGTGTTCAAATTGAGTCCAGATAGCTGATGCGCCGCAGCAGTGACATTCAACAACTGCTGCTGAAGAGCTCGTTGCTGTTGGGCGAGGTAATTATTCGTGGCTACCAGTTCATCGTACAGATTCTGATCCATGTTCTCCGCTCCATCAACGAAATCAAGGGATGGAGGGGCAAGCACATGTTCAGGAAGCGAGTAAGGTTGCTGCAAGTTGCTTTGCACACTGTTCCTGCCTCCTGGGAAGTACATGCCGGTAGCTGTCTGCGGCACCTGGCTGGCATACGCCGCAGAGGCGTACTTGCTACTTTCCAGACCTATGCCATGGGTGGCAGGAGGTACCGTGGCAGATTTTGGAGCCGTGCGTAGACCTGCCAGAAGATGACCCCGGCTAGTGCGGGGCGTGGAAATGGTGTTCGCCTGCTGCGTTTCGTCAATGGTCGAGATCTTGGAGGGAGGCGCAACGCTGAGACGCTTGATATGGGAACCTTTCCCTCGAGAAGCAAAACCAGGGCCAGAAACGCCGATAGAGTTGTTGAAAGGAGACTGGTAAGTCATTTGAGCAACACCGCCAGCGTCGATGCTCATTGTACTCTAAAGGGAATATACAAGGGATCGTGTACTGTGTTAAGTTGATAAGACTGAAACCGTGTATGGATGGGGGACAAGCCGAAGTGTCCGAGCTGTAGTTCGAAAAGTCGAGGAAGAAAAATAGTCTGTGCACTGCCGACGCGAGAACTGAATGCGAGGAAGGAGCGTAAGTTCCCCCTTTTTGGTGGATTAGAAAATTAAGAGACAAGTCGTGACTAGGTAGGGGCGAGTTCGTGATCGAGCGTGGCTCCCCCAGATGCCGGTAGTAGTAGAAGTAGAGAAGGCGTAGGGCGTAACTAGAAAGGAAATACCTGCCTGATCCCTTTGTCAGAACAAACAGTCTGGTAGATGAGGGCGATCACCGAACGAACCAAATGTTCAGCCAGCTGTTGGCAGAAACCTTGAAATCGGACAAATACTAATGTGCTGCTGTTTCGAGACCAGACAGGGGCAGATGGTGGATTGTACAAAGCTGTTCTTGAATCTTGTGGCAACCATACAAGGGTGATTTAGAACAATGAAGGTGGTTCGGCAGTCAGATCGAGGTGTAATAAGTGTAAGATATTGCACGGCAATGATCGAGCGATTGACAGCTGCTGGGGTGGTGTGTGTGTGTGTGTGTGTGGACGATTATCAGGTATGTTGCAAGTCACTCTCCACGATTGATGGAGGTTTTTTTTTTTGAAACGGGCCGTACGGGTATATCGGTTCAAGATGGAAAGGATCGAGGCGGGTCTTTATGTGAGGGACCTAGATGTCGGCGCAGAGAGGGCGAGGCGGATTGGAAGAAGCGATTAGAGCGGAAACGGTAGAGGGTCGAAAGGAAAGGCGAGCGACGCGAGACCGAGAGTACTGGGTAGCCACAGTCGATGCCGGAGTCGACAGGGAAGAGTGAAAGGGAACGGAAAAGGGAGGCAATAAGTTCAGGAAGGAGTAAAATGTGAAGAGTGACAGCAAAGGATGGTAAGGGAGGGAAAAAAAGAGAAGATCGAGGTAAAACGATGATGGAGATGGGTGTGGGTAGATGGATGGATGGCCCAAGCCTGGCGAAGGATGCAGGGAGGAAGGGGAGCAGTTTGGAAAAGACGAGCAGCAAAGGGAGGAGAAGCCGAGCGAAGGGAGAGAGGAAAAAAGAGCTCGGTCTGACTACTGTAGATGCGGCCCTTCATAGGGGCTGCCTGCGTCCATCTCATGTCAGACCGCTGCCACTGCATCCAGGCATCTGACGCATCCACTTTAACTGGCCATCAGGGGAGTCCGCCAGCCAACGGGAACCCGCGGCGAACGGTCAAGGGGGGTTTGCTGGGCCCCAGGCGATTGGCTTGCGGGGGTTTGTTCGGGTGCCACCAGCGCTGTTGAGCTTGGCAGACTACCGGGAACAGGCGCCACCCAGGCCACTCAGGGTTCCAGAGCGCTTGACGCTTGAGGCTTTCTGGTTAAAAGGGGTCACCAGGCCTGCTTAGTCTGCGTCCTTCCACTGTGCTGTCACCCATCACCCGAAGAGCAAAGGGCTCTTCTCACCCAACAGACCGTGCTCTTCCTTCATCACTGCCCATCTTGCATGCATCATTCAATGTCTTTTCTTTTCCCACCGAGGGGGGGCGAATTCTGGCTGTTCTTCCCAGCATCCCTCACAGCCAAATCCAATCACTTCAGCACAGGAGCCAACACCCCTACCTACATCACTGCTATTAATACGTCTCGCTACCACTCCCAAGTCTATTTGCTGATCTGCTTACAGTAGGCCACTAGTGCAGAGCTAGTCCCGAATCCCACGAGGGTTCATAGGCTGCGGTGCTCCCCAAACCACTGTTTCAAGCTCCTCCGAATTGGTCGGCTCGGGGTTTCGGGTGGAGATGCAGACTGGTCAACCCCTCCCCAATGCGTATACGAAGGAGTACAATATGTATCAGGGGACAGGGGGTGTTAACAGTAAGACAGCTAGACATATCTACACGTTATCGAGCTCAACGATGATAACACGCTCTGAACATTCTTCTCTATTGGAAAAAAATCGTTCGGAAGCACTCGGACTCACCACTACTGAGTCGGTTATCTCGCGCGACCGTCTCGAACACTCGATCGCGTCCGCCGTCCCAAATTTGCCTCGTGGCAAGCGAGGTCTAGGCGGAGATTGCTTGTTCATCAAAAACTCCATATCCAGCGAATCTGGCTGGCTACCTGGGCGACCCAAAATTGTGTCCCAGTAATCAGACGCGCTCCTCTACACAGTACAAGCGCGCCACCACCCTCTTCATCAGCTCTGCCACATGGCAGCCCTAATCTTGGCTCACCACGACTTGGTCCTTGAGGGGAAAAAAACGGAATGCTGGGCCCCGGTAAGGCTATTTAGCGTGAACGAAACCACGTAAAAATGGGACTGGAGAAGAGGTCTTTTATTTCGGCCGCTACGAGGAGACTCCGTACCTAAACGATGACAGCACGACGACAGCATCGCGAACGTGTCGAAGTAACCTTTAGCCATCTGTTGATTCCAATATCGTACAGGTAAAGCCTCGCGTCAATGATGTACAATACCACCTTTTGTCTTCCGTGTTCTGCTGTAAATGACTGCACCGCACTGGTATGCAAAGAGAAAAGACCGATTCTTCCGTCGTGTACATTAGGTCTCTTTCCGGGTTCTATTCTCACTTCTCTGCATCATCGCCGGTAGCATCATGCGCCGCCTTGGGCACAATACTAGCTTCCGGACTGTACGTGTCATCAGTCGCAGAAGACTTCTTCGGCTCACTCGTCACTCCTGATTTCTGGCCCTCGGTGATGTTTTCGCGCTCGGGCGACATCGTGGAAGAATGAGACGGGTCGTCACTCACGTGCACCTTTCCTTCTGATGCAGGCGGCTTGTCACTTGAGAGATGTTCTGCTTTTTTGGACGTCGTAGCATCGTTCTTCGCGGTCTCCGGCCCAGGCTGTGACGGTTCTTTTGGTTCAAGAGAGGTGGCCTTCTTCGTTCGTGCGGGCCTCGGCGCCGGGTCCGGCTCCTCGAGCAACCTGTGCTGCGTCGCAACCGCATCCTGGTGCTGCTTCTTGCGCTCGGCAATCTCATTTACCAACTCCTGTTTCTCGGCCTCCAGGCCGGCATCCAGCTCTTCGTCATCTTCCAGCTCGCCCTTGTAGACCTCCGGATACCGTTGGAAGCACTGCTGCATGTTCTGGAACTTGTCGATGCAGTCCATGCCCTTGGGCTCCTCCTTGGAGAACACGAAGCACGAAAACGCTTCGCGGAACTCAGGCCCGCATGGCCCATGCGCCATGCCTCCCAGACACGGGCAGTCCCAATTGATCTCCCCCGTCTCCGGATTGAAGGCGCCCTCGCCGGCAGCCTCTTCCTCGAGCCCTTCGGCCGTGCCGGTTGTGAGAGGCCCGTGGTCGTCAATGATGGCAGTGGTGGAGGCATTCTCGGACGATATCGACTCGGCGACGGAGTGCAGGGCGGACGCGTTTTTCTCGGCTTCCCGTGCGCGGCGCGAGGTGAGGGCTTCCAGGGTCGAATGGTCCGGCCGCTCGTCGTCGAGGGCGTCGAGGTTGGGGTTTAATAGATCTGCGAGGCACACACGCAAGTTGTAAATCAGTAACGAGTTGCCAGAGAGAGAAAAACGTGAACCCATTCAACGAGCAGCCCCAGACAGGGAGCCTGTTGAGAGCATGACTTACTATGTTGTGGCTGCTCCGCAAAGACCGGGCTCGTGTTATAATAGTAAATGCCCGCAATAGCGAGACCCCATCTCAACGCCGAGCCCTTCCAACTCCGTCGCGCATTCGCGGGCGATGTGCTGGCGAACCGCTTTCCGAAGGTACTTCTGGCTGTGGGAGCAAGGGCAAAGGAGGAGGGTGAGGCGCGAGCTACCGAGCGCAGGCTCGATCGGGCGGCGGGTCGGAACATGGTTGATGAAAAGACGGAGGGGATCGACTCGGCTCTCAATGTGGTGTGTGCAGTTCTTCGTCCGTTTCAGAGATACAGTAGAGAATGGGACATATCAAGCAGATGTAAGGGAAAAAAGTGATCTGGGCATGTAAACGAACGACTGGCTGGAGTCCCGGCCTTATTCATATGTAGTGATGCAATGGGCTTGTCAATTAATAATTTGTAGCTCGAGATTTCATATTGCGTCTAATGGGCGCTGGACGTCGCCGTAGAAGGGGGTGGTGTAGCAATAGGGTGGAGCAAACGCATGTCTGATGTCTATCGCCTTTTATCAAGCCAGCCAGCGTTGCTGGGGATTCCCAATCAAGGCTTTCTCAAACTGTCATAACTCTACCGCTAGAATTGTGCATCCAGGATACATTGCTTCGGCATATCGATGTAGTGGGGAAATGGGCAGTACTGCCTCTGTATTCACATCCGCAGCCCGTGGACATTCACACGATATTCCTTTTCGGCTTTCAGCCGCAGATTGTCCTGGAGATAGAGTGCCCAGGGGTCCAGCAGGAATTGTGCTTCTGGCTCCTTCTCCGCATTGAAAACGCGTACGAGGAAGTACACATCGGTGGGGATGCTGGTATCAGCTGATTCGGGGATGGTATATGTGCGAGCCTGTGGCAAGTGTTATTAGTCTGGAGCGGCAGGGGATATGCCTCACGCCCACTTACCATCTTCCACTGGGAATTGCTGTAGGCGAACTCAGACGCCAGGTCCCCTGTGGTCGTCCTCACGTCGAGATGGTACACCGGCGGACGCTTGACCCATCTCTTGGCCTCGGGATAACACTCTGCGACGTAACGGCTGAACATGCCGCTGGTATCGGTGACCGTGAAGCTGGCGTAGAGCTTGGTCTTCCCGTCACTATTTCGTTCTCGAACGAAAACTTTGTGTCCGTTTCTTGTCCTCAGACTGCTCGTCCAATGGACATCTGGGTCATAGGCCGTGCTGAGCATCCGTCGGAGTTCTTCCGAGACCTGCAACGCTTGTTAGCATCAAAGTCACATCGTTCGTGAAAGTTCATATTTTGACGCTGGCTTTATCATTGGTGGGACATACCTTTTTCTGACCCAGAAACTCCAGATTGTCGTCAGCCTCTCGACGCACGTTGTCAGAGAAGCCGGAACTTCGTCTCAGCATTCTACCGGGAACTGCCGCGAAGAGTCTCATCCTACTGCCGCCGAGTGTTGAGCCAGAAAGTGTCGAGGAAGCCCTTGACGCGATCGACTTAGCGTCGTCATCATCCTCCTCCTCTTCTATATAGAGATCACTGGCGCGAAAGCAGCCGAATGCGCCGTCTATCACGAAAGCCTCATCGGAGTTACTGAAGCCACTGCCCAGAAAAATCCGTCTCGGACCAAAACCGGGGCCGAGCATGCTGAAAGGTCTGAACATACGCACCGATTCTCCCTTGAGCGTGCTCTGTCGACCATTCTGTCGCGGCCCACTGGTCGTCGCTGCGCCCCAACCCTGGGGCTTTCGCGGGTCGAAGTCGTCAACATCTTCAAAGTCGTCCGCTGCGTCATCATCCAGGTTGAGCGCGGCAACACCGTGCTCTTGGAAGCATTTCTGTATATTCGGAATGTCGTCCTGTAAGGCGACTGTGAGGAGAAATAAGCCTTTGTCTTCGATCCCGCAGAAGCTTGCAATTGCCTCGATTAGGTCCCTGGGAACCTTGGTTGATTCGAAATACCCGTTTTTCAAGTAGATTTCGAGCCGGTTATGTTCGGTCGAGAGAACAACGTTCCCATCCTTCGAACGCCCCGATCTGCTCTCAGAGGCAACTTTCACGGACCACTTTTGGATGACTCTCGTAGTGGTGAATGCTTGCAGCGATCTGAGCTTGGCCACCTTTTCCTTCTTCCCATGTTCTTTCTTTGGGATGAGTCTGGCAACGGCCTTTAGTAAAGTCTTTCAATTATTGAGAGGGATGCTGTCAGCCATTCGTTGGATGACGGAGCAGTACTTACCTGGCTATGTATTCGGCTCTTGATCGTAGATCAGCTTGCCGAGTCGGATCGGGTCGTAAGATACCAACAGTCTCTGCAATGCTCGTGACTGCTCGGGTCAATCGCCGTTTGTCGCAGCCCAGCTTGCGAATCAAGAGTGGAATTTTCAGTACATCCTCGACCTGGAAGGCGAGCAAAGGCACGATCCCACTGAAACTCTCCAGCAAGTGTGTCCTGTCAGCAATGAACCACGGGGTTGAGTTGTTGGCGTATGCAAGCATATCCCACTCTTCTTGGTTGCTTGTTTTATAGATTGGCCATATGCAATGTGTCTGAAGTGAGTCGATGGCCGTCGTCGTCTCGTCCTTCTCCAGATGCTTTTCGATTTCGAAGAACAGCGCTTTGATGTAGGACAACGGGTCGCCGACATTGAGCAATTTGGTCTCGCGGACGATGTCTGCAATGCCAGCATCGGGAAGCAAGAAGAAGTCACGGAAGAGCCGCTGGCAAGACGGATAGATGTTCTTCAGAGCAACAAATCGTCGAAGACATTCTGGGCCGCTCCACAAGCAATCTTGCACCTTCACCCAGCGTGGTTCACCTCCAACTCTTTTGTTTGGGATGCAAACCAGCGGTTTCTGTTTGAATGACTGCCTCACAACGTCTGGGAGTTCGGCGCACCGGGCCTGGATCTGTTCAAGCAGCAAAGCAGCCCGGTCGATAACGATTGCATCTTTTGTACCGCTCATTGCTTCTAAGCATCGGAGGTAGAAGCAAACATCACCTTCGACACCAAGGCCCAGGATTCTCAATCTTTGCCAACGCGGGTCGAGAGGATCGTCGACATCGACGAACGGCACCTGACCATTCGCTTGCTGAACCAGTTCTGGGATAGGCAGGAAGACCTCGCGCAGGGACTTCTTCCCGCCTCCAAGGCACTGCACTTGTGCTTCCTGCAGCGAGTGTCTGAGTCTCTCTCGACATGCCTGTCTAGCCTTTCTGGAGTCATCTCTAGCACCGCCGGCGTCATCTTCGAGCCATCGAGAATAGTAGCCCCAATTGTCTCTCAGAAGGACCAGAAAATCTCTCGACTTGAAATTCTGCATGATCAAGGCGAAATGCCGCGATAGTCCGAAGGAGTGCGGTGATTGCGCGTCGGCCTGAGTAAGGCGTGGCAGAATAGAGATTTTGGCGGTATTCTCCAGCCACTCAAGCCAACTCGCTTGATCCTCCTCTACGGCCTCCAAGTAATGTGGATGGATGAAGTTGATATCGCTCCGACCAGCAAAGTATTGGCTCGCAGCAAAAGGAGCCTGCCACGGCAGATATGCGCTTTCCGCGCGACAGCGGCCAGAACCATCTGTTGTAGCAAGCCAGAGATATCTGACCTCAAAGTCATGTACTCTGGCCCTGAAGAGGAACACTGCCTGAGATATCAGGTGCTCGACAGTAATGCTTTTCGGGTTGAACAAAGGCTGGGTATGCACGTGGAGGAGGAAATCGGCGATAGCATCCTGACCGAAGACCTTGAGGCCGAGCTGAAGATACAGAGAGCGAGCTGTGGGGTTGTTGGCAGCATCTTCTCTGACTAGTCGGAATGCAAGGCCCTTGGGCGCCGTGAAGTTCTCGGCTTCTTGAGGAAGAAAGATGCTCTTCTCCTCGGCGGAAACCCACCTTCCGTCATTAAGAGGAATGATCGGTAGCTTGCGAAGCTTCTCGTGATGTTCGGTATTGAAAGAAAGCTTCAGTAGGACTTCTGCAAGTCGCGTGTGCCACTCGACAGTTTTCGTCTTCTGGAACATTGCGGTATTTTGCTTGATGTAGAGATCCAGATGATCCAAGAATATGGCTTCGGTCATTTTCGTGACACCTAGCGTTTCCAGATTATCGTAAAGCGAGACATCATACTGATGGCACAGATATGCCAGGTCGGTTCTCGGTGATGAAGTCATTGGGATACCTTGTCTGTCGCAGAAGTCCAAGGGGACATAGGTCAAGGAGGACGGCATCATCAGTTCTTGAGCTCTGGACTTCAGCACTGGCTGTCTTGAGAGGGCTTCAATGATATCTCGTCTGGATGGTTCGAAGAAATGATGTCCAGTCATTTTGAACGGGATGAATCGGGGCCAGATATAGCACAATTGACTGTGGCTGTATGCTGTCGTGACAGCGACGAAAGCCTTGACAAACTCTCTTCGAAGGGCTCTGTTCCAAGGGGAGTCTGACAAGACGTCCTCGCGGCTCGCAGAAAGAAGAAAATCTCCCTGGAGGAGAAACTACAGAGGATTAGATCAGTGGGAGGTGACGTTCCACCATGAGAAATGGCTACATACCTTGAAGCCATAGTCGCGAATCGGAAGGAATGCGTAGACCTTTTGAGACATCAATGGCTGGTCCGTGATGTCTGGGAAGGCAAGCAGGATCTGAGAATCGCTTGTGCCAGGACGTTTCGACTCAAACGGAAGGTTTCTTGCAGTGTGTGAGCTGACAAGGTACTTCGTGATTTCCCCATCGCGAGTCAACTCAATCGCTGTCTCGCCGTGGCTCGTACCGACGTTCTTGCTGAAAGAAGTCTTCCAAACCCGTTCGCCATCTCGAATTGTAATCGTCACGGTTCTCAAACGGCGGAGAAACATGAGCATACGAGGGTCGAATTCTTTCAGATCTGAGAGCAGCCGCCTCACGTCGTAGTCAGGAGACAGATGCAAGAGCATTGATGTCATAGATGGCGTGGAGGGCTCGGGGAACGGCTCCCAGATGGGCGCGATCATTCCTAGGACCTGTCTCTTGTCGAATTTGAAGGTGTAGCAATTGGACGAGATCCAAACGACATCAGCAGCTTTGAAGACCGATTTGAAGCCGATCCCCTTCTCCCCGACGTAGGCGGTGGCGCGGTGGGCGCCAGCTTTAGTGCTGCTACCCACCCTGCAGATAGCCTCGACATTCTTTTCACTGAAGCCTTTCTCATTACAATCGATCCTCAGGCGTCGATTCTGGTACGTGAGAGAAATGCTGGGTTCGGCGGCATCATACTCGTTGTCGTCCGCATTCTGGATGAGCTCAAGGAGGAAGTGCGTGGACTTCTGATACAACTCATCCGCGAGGCTGAGGCATGGTTAGACAATAGGCTCAGAGGCAGAGAATGGGCAAGGACAGTTCACGTGTGAAGGGCATTTTGAAGATTCTCGACATTTCGACTCTTGGAACTGGTGTCGTCCAGCCCAGCTTCTTTCCTGATGGTATCAATGTGGCGCTGAGCCTTCAGGACAGCCTGATCTCTGCTCAGCTGTACCATTTTGAAAGCTTAATAATATAACAAAGCTCTCCAGCTCGATAATAATTCGAGGGACAATGCAGCCTTTTGTAGCTGGTCATGGGGCCAAACGACCTGACTCCCCGCGAAAGGACTTGACTCAGGCAGAGCGAGGCAGATTTCAAGTTGAACCATGCCCTCATTCGCGCCAAGAGAACGGAATGGCTGTGCAAGGCAACCCTCGCATTAGCATCGGACAAGTTAGTCACCAGCACCTGATGCATCTTGGTTGGCCGCGGAAAGAATAGCGTGAAAGAGTACAACGTGTATCTCAAAGGGCGTGGCTCCCTGCAGGCTCCCATTCATGTGCTTAAGCTTCCAGATACTGGCGAAGCTCCAGGAAGGAGGACGCGACACCCAATACTTTGCGAGCAGTGGCACTGCCATTGTGGGCTGGTGCGGGTTCTGATCAATAGACTATTAGTCAAAGGCATGATTTCCGTAATACGTGGAGTCTCATTGAGCAGATCGGAGAGCATAAAGTGCTGCAAAGGGCGACAAAGTCAAGAGTGGGAAGTTATGAGACTGTATCCGAAGCAAGTGGGATAGAGGCGTTTTAGGCTGAGAACAATGCCGCTTTACTACAGCCACCCGTAGCGCCTTCTTTCAGAAAAGCGGCACGAAGCCCCTGGTATCAACGCCATGTCTACGAGATACTCAGCCTCAAGTCCCTTCATCACGATGGGATTGTTTGAACTATTGAAAAATTGTTGAATGGATGGAGGCATACGTAACAAGGAAGAGAGAATACATCCCGACCTCACGCTGGCAGCACCAAATCACCCTCCCAACCGCCTGAATCCTTGTAACTCCCATCGAAGGCGATGCCACGGATCTGAAAGTGTACCTTTCCCGCGGGCCAGCTTTTGATTTCCTCCTCGCTGATTGGGAACCCCAAGGTATAGGCCACACCCAAGAATCTACCGTTTGCCCGGACATGGAAGTGCGAAAACTGCATAGTGGTCGGGCTCAGGGGTAGAATTCTAGGTGTGGTTGTAGGTGTGGTGTTCGGTAGGGGTTTGGGGGGATTGAGGTCATTCGCAAGGGTCCACATCAGGCGAGTGTAGCTTCCCGTTTTACCTGTCTTCTTCTCGAGGGTAGCTTTCGTAATTTTGTTGTCGGGGTAGTTGTGATCTTGCGGCTTGATGGTCAGGCTGATGATCTCGATGAGATCCGCCACGCCGTCCTTGGTCAAGCTAGCAAGGGTGTTTGCGGGCGCATTGTCCATGGTTATGCGGATGTCCTGAACGAAGTCCTGGGTGTTCCTCAAGGGGATCGACTGCGTTAAAGTCTCATTTTGTCCAGCCAGGGAGGCCTTCCCCGAAAGAGTGTAATGCTCATCATGAGCACCATTTCTGGCACAAAGCTGGATGGGTAGGCCTGTTGTATCCATGAGCCTTCTGTAGACGAGAGTAATTTCCGGTTTCAAAGCAGCATCAATGTTGAGCTGGTGCAACACAAGTGACCCGCTCACTTTAGACTGATCATTGATGCCTTTATTCTGAAGATTGATGCGCAGCGTGCATTTCGTAGACATCACAGCTTCCAACTCTCCACTCGATTCCCCAGCGTTGGTGAAATTGAGCGCCCGCTTACGTCGCCCAGGGATAGGCAGTACTGATTGCTGACCAAGTCGGTATCTATACTGTTGGCCCGACTGGTCGATGACCGGCTCTGTATAGTCGGTGTGAAAGAAGCTTTTCGTGCCAGCAGGGTACTCCAGAGCTGATTTGACGATGCCCCAGTCCTTGAAGTCCATAGCCGTGGGTGGGTGCCGCCAAAGGTGTTGAACGATGCTGTGGCTGCACGGACAATCGAATTCAGCTTGCCACCCAATGTCCTGGGTTCTCCGAAGGTCTTGTTTCTGCTTCCATACGCTGGCAGGCATACGACGCTTATCTGTGGGGTCAGTCAACGGTGTCAAATTCGGTTCGCCTTCCCACATGAAACGATCCACGGAGGTCCCTGGCATGAAATGCTCATAAGCCCAGCCGTGTGCGAAGAGTCCCACGCCAGCGCCACCGGGCTTCGTGGAAGCATCGTTGACGGCTTTCCTCGCTGCATCCAACTTCTCAGCGATGAAGCCGACAAACCGGCCGGTGGCTGTACCGCCATGGCCAGTTCCCCTTCTAAGTTCTAGCTGGCCATCTTCTCTGAATCCCGCAGTGCGGCGGCCTGAATCCGGATCATAGGTGTTTTTCATGTCGTCGTTCGTTTGTGCCCACTTGAGTAAGAAAGAGTCAGTGCCATGTGGGTCAAAATTGGTTGTGTCGCGCAAAAGGCACTCACACAATCAACGCCGTGATATACAGTATCCAGTTTCGCCCCTGCCATTTTGATCGTGGCGTCAAGCTCGTGATTCGCATAGAAGTAGTTGATCAAGATCGAGCCAGCTGCATCGCGATATGGATCATTGAAAGTGTTTAGTACGTTCATAGAGCCGTAGTCCTTATTTTTCTTTGTCAGTGCATCGTACCTGGAGACTGTCAGTGGATGATGCTGGACTCCAACTGTCACGCAGCACAATTACCAAATAACCTTGCCATGTGGGACTTTTTGGGCCAACCTGGTTTTCAATTGCGCCACCCAGGTCTTGAGCACGTCTTGACTAAAGTCGGACCACTTATCATGTCTCGTGAGCTGCTTGCCGTTCGCATCCTCTTGGAAATCTGCGCCGTCCACGATCATGCTTTCGAAATTCAGAAGCCATCCATCGAAGCCGTAGACGCTCGCCATTTCAGCCAGGATGTCAGGGAGACGATAGGGCATTTTAGCAGGCGTTGGCGAATACGTGTGGAAGATCCTTTTAGGATCCTCTTGGCTGAAAGGCTCGATGATGAAAGTTCCCAAGACGAGCGCCCCATTCCTATGACCGGCATTGATCCAGGCTGGTGGAGGGATCGTGACCCGTCGATGCGAGAAGTAATTGAAGATCTCAACATGCTGCCAATACTCCATAATATAATCTTTCCGAGGCTGTGTCAAGCCCTGAGAGGCTTCATAGGGGAGGTAATTGCCCCTGTAGTCATGCATGACGAGAATCTTGCATTTGCTCTGATCACCTCCGGTGGGCCGCTTGTAGAGAGGTGTGTTTGCAATCTGCAAGACGTCTGCATCCTTTGGCTCCCAGGCGTAGATGTCATCTAACTTGCGGAAGAAGGCAAAGCCATTGACAAAACGGTCCTGGTCGTCCTTTTTCTCCTCTTCGGTGGGCGCCATCGTGTCAAGAGAGGTGGTGTCACGTTAGAGTCTAAAGGATAAGATAGGAATGTCTGAAAGTACTCAACCTCTTCACCTTGGTTTGTCCACGTATATATGTGTGTGTATTCCAGGAGGCGTTCACGGACGAGCTGAATCGTGCAGGAGCTTTGCAATCTCATGACCATACAGCCAGCCACGCACAAGGTACTGGTTTTCTCATGTGTACGTGGAACGAGGATGTACACATTGGTCCTGCAGCGTGGAGGAGCGTCACTTTCAGCTCGGAGAATTGAAGCCTTCGAGAAAGCTTGCCTCATGAGTGAACGAGAAGAATATGCATACGAGAGGCCCGGCGTGACAACCATGCACATATTTTCAGCTTCGAGGTTCGAGACCTTGAGCTAATGCAGGTGCCTTGCAAGGGAAATCCATCTGACCGCATGATTCGCCTTCCCCTGGTCCAAACGAGCACATTCAATTCCGCTTCGGCTTACCTAGTCCAGATTCACTCATCATACACGTCCTGGAGAATGCTCAGTGTCAAGCTCTTTACCGAACATGCTTAGACGGTCCTAGAATGGCCTGGCCCCGAGACCCACGATATAACGAGGCTTTCTGCTCGGGTTAGCTTGAATCTCAATTGTACGAGATAACAGCCAGCCACGGAGCGGAGGATTGGTGATGATTCGTCTCTTGAGAGGACACATGGTTGAAGCTGAACTTGGGTTCGTCTGATTTCAGAAGTTTAAAGCCTGCAAACATCATCTCGGAATATATATTCTTCCGATACTCCGATACTTTCGTGCCAAGCATCCGGATAAATCGTGCGCGACCATCCTCGTCGACGACGACAAAGATATCTGACGAGATGTAGTAACTACTCTTCGCTATAGCCTTTAGACGTGTGCCAGGGGAAGCGATCGGCAAGAATGGTGACAGACTGGCACCCGTGCGGCCTCTTGAACAACAAGCCGACCCATCGCTATGCAATTGTCATCCTCAACCAGCCCGTGAACAAAAAGGCCCTGGACGCCGTTATCGGGTCAGCCTCGTTGCTCGTGTGCGCCGACGGTGGCGCCAATCGGCTGTACAAGTACGACAAAGCCGCACAGGACAGCATGAACGGCATGTCAAAGTTAAACCGCCGCGTGCCAGATGCTATCGTGGGGGATCTTGATTCCCTGGCAGAATCAGTGGGAGCGCATTATCGCTCTCTCGGGGCCCAAGTAATCAGGGACCCAGACCAGTACTCTACAGACTTCACGAAGTGCCTGAAATGGATCCGTGTCTGGGCCACATCGAAGCTCGAGCGTGGCGCACCAGGTCACGACCAAGAGCGAGAACCTATCATGGACGTTGTTGTCCTAGGGGGCCTGGGAGGTCGTGTAGACCAGGGCTTCTCTCAAGTCCATCATCTTTTCATGGCGGAGAACGATACGGCACTTTTGAGAGGCCGCATTTATTTATTGTCAGAACAGAGTTTGTCATTTGTTCTAGCTGATGGCCGCAATCTCATCCACCTCGAACCTGGTTATTTCGCGGAGAATGTGGGAATCCTCCCTGTTCTCGGGCGCACTTTCCTCACCACCAAGGGCCTTGAGTGGGACGTTGAACAATGGCCCACTGAATTTGGCGGCCAAGTGAGTACCAGTAACCATATACGGTCCTCCGAAATCGACATTGCCTTCGAGGGTCCAAGGCCATTGTTCACCCTGGAACTAGACGAACGTCTGACGACCACTTCCGAATGAAGCTTGTGCCGCAGAGAGTGACCATTCGTCTTGTGCCACGCCTGTTGGGCGCGGGAGCCAAAATTGTCATTGCGGATTGGCGCTCTGCCTTTTCTCTGGACCGGCTAGTGGCCGGACCAGAAATGGGGGCGGCCGTCTGGTTTTTTGTCAGACGCGGTCTGTGTGGCAGGTCTCGCTTGTCCATCCCTGGATCGAGGCCACGAGTGGCTCGGACTGACGCATGTGGTGCGATCTTAAACCCACCTGGCGAGGAGTGGCTTTGCTGTAACAATCGCCGAGGCGGAATCGGTTCGCGGGGTACACGAAGCAGAGTTGACTGCTGAGTGATGAGCAGGTGCGCAGAATCTCATGTCCTATTGAGGCCAAGTGGCCAAATCAGCCTGGCTTCTTTTAAGTAACGAAGGGATGGTTGTGCGGTGAACGAGAGCCGTTGGTCGCCTCTTTCTCGCACGTTGCCGATTGGGGTCGTGATTTCTTGGAACCGTACCAGTCCACATCGCTCAGATTGAGTCTTCTAACTCGGGGCGCGTTGCGTCCCGACCTCTCAGCACGACTGAGGGAAGGATTGTAGTGATCGGGTCCTAAGTTGAGTCCTTTAGTATTGGGGTTCTTCTCCAGCGGAGGTTGTACAATAGGGCCACAAGGAAATCCATTGGAAATACCGTCGTGTTGGTCGTCTTCACGCAGGTCGTAATTCAGGACCAGGTTCTTGATGCGTTGTTGTTCCTCCCTTTCGGCGGCTTGCTGCGACTTCATCGAGACGGCAAAGCTCGAGTCCGAGGGTAACTCAATTGTCTTTGTCTGAAAGGCTGTTAGTACTGCGTTCTACCTAGACCTTACCTGGGTTATTAGTCCAAGGATTGTCTATGGGGTGAACTTGCTTGTTGTCGATTCCCCTTCTTTGTCATCAACGAAAATGCCATCGTATTGGATTCAGCTTGGGGGGCGGGACTGGGTTCATCGTCGTTCGCCTCAATCGGCGCTCGTTGAATCTTTCGAATGGGTAAAGGTACGTCGAAGTGCGTCTTGCGCTCAAATTTGCGGGAGTCCAGGCTTTCAGCCATCATCTTTTCGAACGCTCGGTCAAACTCGGCCTCAGCCTCCGGATCCAGGTGCTCCTCTTGACGCAGGACGACAATCTGTTCTTCTTCGTCGGAGTCCACGTCCTCCTTCTCCTCGCCTGTGTCCTCTTCTGCACCGGCCTCCTCAAGATCAGTAAAACATCTCAACACAAGCCGGCACAGCACTTACCTCGCCTTCTTCATCTGACGATCGCGCAATCTCGGCTTCAAGCTCACCATCGGCTTCGCCGAGTGCATCCTCAGAGCCAGAGTCTTCAATGTCTTCCAGCTGCTCCACACCTTTATCCCGCTGTCTGTAATTCGCGTTTATGGCTTCACCAAAGAGTTTGGCTGCCTCTTCAAGCTCGGTAACCAGCTTCCAGTTGGGGCGGACGAGAGAGTAGGTGTCCTGCACCAGAAATTCAATATCCATGGGCAGTGGATCCTTGGTAGCCATGTAGTATTGGAAGAAGGTCAGGAAGAAGTCGAGCTTTTTGCGGGAACTACCTCTGTCGAAACAGATTCCACAGGTGTCGAGGAGAGTGCACACCAATCGGATGCGGAAGAATTCGTCAGGGGGATCAAAAAGTGTGAAGCCTCCGGGCTGGGGCGTTCCGCCGTCATGACCGAACGTCACGATCCGATACAACGTGTCGAACACTACCGCTGAGTCGATCATCTTGTAGTTGTAGAGCTCTCCGAGGTACTTAACTTCGGCCACCCTTCGCTGATTGAACTTGAAGTCGTTCTGCTCCAACCCCAGAGTAATTTGTTCCAGGACGTTGTCTATGATCATAATGGCAAAATCCTGATGATAACGGAAAAGTGCCTGAAGCAGAACAGCCAGGAGATGGATGTTACTAAACTTGACCTTTCCCGGCTTGCTGAAAATCTTCTCTAGCATCTGGACAACTTCCTTCTCTTCCCAATGGAGTTTTCGGATGGTCTTGAGAACTTTCATGTAGTTGCGTTTGGTCATGTCCACATATACCAGTTGCCGGACGAAGAGTTCTGTCGGCGTCCTTTCCTTTTGTTGTATTGCGGCCCGCTGGGGAGGGTCAACATAGTATAGAGCGTTGTCGATTAGCATGCGCTCTTGAGCCCCCATGTGCTGTGCGGTCTTCTTCCGATTCAGCGTCTCGAGGAAAGATGCCATCCGAGGAGAGGTCTCCGGATTGCGCAGGAGATATCGACCGCAGTTTTCGAGCAAATGGGCGATGATCTCGATGTTCATCCTCGAAAAGTCGTCCAGACTGACTTTGAAGCAATGGAAAATGACGTGCTCTGGGACGATCCCGAACTTCGTGAGTTCAGCCAAGTAACGGATATTGGCCATGCGAATCTGCCCCAGAAAATCTTTGGATTTCCGCCTCTGGAGGCTTCGGAATTCGTCATCGAGATGCGCGATCAAGCCTTGTACGACATCGGGCATGTACTGCCCGAGAGTGGCGGCAAGTCGTGCATACAAAGGGAGCAGATCGATCCGACCCTTGGGAACTTCCTGGATAGCCTTTACCAGACGGTTTCGGGAGGCTTTGGAGTTTAGGAAGCAGAAGTCCAGAGCCACCTGATCGACCATATCCTTGGTTTGCATTTCTGGCAGGCGCAGGAGAATGGCATCGACTTGAGCTCCGACCGTCTTGTTCGTGATGGCGGTGGACTGGTCGTCGTTCTCCAGAGGCTTGTTCGTCCCGCCATCAACGGATGCGGAAGAGGCTTCCCCACGATCGTCTGATTCAGGCTTCTTTTTGGAATCCTCCAGTAGAATGCCCGGAACTCGGCCTTTGAGATCGACCAAGTTCTCATAGAAGCGACGTTCCTCTTCGTCTTCCCAAATCCCGGCGCCTTCTCCTTGGCCCTTGAGGTAGTCACCCGTCTTGATCATCCCAACGCTGCCTGACGCAGCGGTCTCCGCCCCGTCTTTCATCTCCAGGTTTGGCATTTCTTGTCCTAGGACATCACAAAGGACTTGGGCATTTGCAACCAACTTCTCTTGAGCCTTGACCTGCCTCTCAAAATTAGCTTGCCTGTCTTCGAAGATTTCACCGCTTTTGACATAAGCCTCCGCGTTGCGGCGGCTTTGGTTGTTGAGAGACGTCTGGTCTCGGATGGCGTGGGCTTTGACGCTCGTTGAGTACCGTTCCAAAATATTGATGAATCTCTGTCGAATGGGCAGGGGAGTAATGGGGGCGTCTTCCTCAGGGGAATCAATAGGGCCATCGCCCTCTTTTGCGGGCTCGACAACCTGGCCGTCGCCGTCGACTGTTTTCCGGCCTTCCTCAGACGGTAGCTTCAGTCCCAGAACATCCCAGGCGAAATTCTTCACGAAAAGAACGGCCAGACTAAGGTTCGCATGCTCCGGGTCATGGCCTAACAAGTCCTTGAGGACTTCCAGAGGGAATGGCTCATGCTCACCGTAGCCGTCGGAGCGAATGCCATTTGTGCTCGGCTTTGCCTTGGACTCAAGTTGTGAAGCGGCGTCTTTGCCTCGCGACATAGCTTCATCTGGTCGATCTGCGTCGTCCAGGCTTCGAAGAATACCGCACAGCCAAAATTCGGTGACGACGCGAAGGAGTACTCGGTGTCGAACCAAGCGCTCCTTCTCTTCTCGCTCGCGGACCTCCTGAGTCCACAATTTCAACTGCGCCTTATCAGGACTCGTTAAGCCCTTGCCCAGAAGCCATGCCAGCTGCTTGGTAAACTCTTGGGGTCCAAATCTTTGATGTAGTGCACTGACAACCTCGACACCTGTGGCAATCTCACTCGCAGTCTTGAGCCTCCCCAATCCTTCCACCGTTGCCGTTGTGATCTCGGAGAGGTATTTCTGTAGGGACAACGTGCGGATCTCGGACAGAAAGGTATCCTGTGCAGCAGACGATAGCCCGGTTCGCAGTCGTTTAATAAACGCTGTATTTTTTTTCAGTGACGAATCGAGTGACTTTGCTACTTCATAGACATCTGCGACCTGTGTTAACCAGTATCGGTCCCATGGCGCGTAGCAGACAGATGCATACCCTTTGCGCCTGCCCAGACGCGCAGGTTTAGGTCACGTAGTTCTCCTGGTGCCCGATTGTCAGTGCATTGTCTGCCAGTTGCACGGTGTGAGCCTACTCTTGCGCTTGCGGTCCATGACGGGCCGCGGTTTTGTAAAGAGGATCCTGACGCTCGCATGACGACGAGGGAGGATGCAGAGGAGGTGCAGGAATCCTGCCTGGGAGATCGAACGGCAGATATCACTACGCGTTCGTCACTGTAGGGCTGGCGCAGCGGATGGGTACATGAATGAATCACTTTCCAGGGATATTCACTTGGAGGGGCAACAGTGCCTATGTTTTCACGGGGCTCGCTGGATGGAGCCCGCTCCGATGATGGGTGCCAAGAATGGTGCCACCAGCCCTTACGAACCAGCCAGCAGCGTCCCTGGATTATGGAAGTAGCACCCCCGGTACCAGCGTTTGCATGGGTACATTAGAGGCTCAACCAGGACACACTAGGCGTTGGAGAGACTTCAAACTCTTGTCCATTCTGGGCGTGTCTGCAATACGATGTACTCATGACGGCTCTTCACGTATGCTATGGTCATTGCTTAAACTTGTTCCTCAAACACCTTCGCTTTTTGGGCAGCCAACTTGCTTTTCCGTGCACGTGCGGCTTCCTGATCAGCCGTGGACGTTCCATTCTTTCCTGCGTCGTCCTTTAGACGTTTCCGAGAACCAGCCTGGGGTCCCTTTGTACTTGCCACATTTCTCTTTCGCTTCTGTCCTTGCTGAACTTCATCTTCTAAAGATTCAATCCCGTTTTCACCAGCGATTATATCATCATTCTCGGTCCACAGGTCGTCCGCCAACCATATTGGCACTGCGAATGAGGATTGACCTTTTATGTGGATGCCTCTTACGTTCCTCCATCCTTTGACAACGTGCTTCTCAATCAACTTTGAGACAATGGTTGAAATATTTTCTGACAGCTGCTCGGGCTTGAATGAGGCAAGACCAGCGCGGACGGCCACAAGCGTACCGGGTCGGAGACTGACAGGAACAGCATTGATCGCTTTTTCAATTTCTTTGGCCAGGGCTAGCGGTGATGTGGGAGCAGAAGCGCCGTCTTCCTTTGATTTTTTAGACTTGTTCGCCTTGTCTTTCCTCGTGTCCGCAATCACGATAGGGATGGGCCTTTTGGAGGTTCCCTTGTAGAAGACTTTGCCCAGGATTCCTGGTAAGCGGGTGACTATCCGGTCGTCGGCGAGGAAGATGTCATGTTCAGAGAGGAGCTCTCTCAGTTGTTCAAATGTCTTGTACCTCGCCTTGAGCTTCGTGCATCCGATGATTCGAGTGATGCGAGACTTGAGATGGTCGGGAAATGTAGGGTCAGCCACCACGTTTTTCACTGCTCTTTGGGGATCGGTGGTGATGAGACATATCCGAAGGTCTGGGGATGTGTTGAGTGAGTGTGGGACAGCAATTTTGCTGGGCTTCAGACGATTCTTGTCGACGATATGTTGTTTGGTAGTGAGGGTGAGCCAAATCGGCGCCGTTGTGTCATCATTGGCATCGTCCTCAGAATCGGAGCCGCTGGCAGCCAGCAGACTCTTTTTTGACGATGCCTGCTGTAGACGCTTGGTTTCTGACTGGATGTGCTGGAGCAAGGCTCGGGAGGCTTTGAGAGTCTGGAGGGGAAGAGGTTAGAGAGAAAGCCGATTCGAAGAGACTAGCTATTGCATGCATACCTGGTCAGGGTCGAGCTGATAGGGAGTTTGTTGTGGCTGCTGCTTCGAGACAGCAGTAGCTGTCACCTTGGTCAGGGCAGCCATCGTCCAAGTTGTGTGGTTGTCTTTCTGGTTGTCGAGACGATTTTCTCTTCGACAAGGCGCATGGAGAAAAAAAGTCCCCAAAGGCCCTGGATCCGCTGAGTGGCTGTCGCAGTTCGCGGTTGTGGGGAAAATTCGAATCTTGCTCGGCTCACCTTCCTCGATCTAGTTGATGTCTCTCCAATTCTCATTTCCGCCTCTCATAATCGGTCACGACGCCGCGCCAACTTTCTCCCAGGACGCATCCCGCCCACAGCCGACGAGCCGGACAATATAGCAATGAAAATGCAGACGAGGAAGCTGAGCGAGAATCCGACGTGCAGTGACCGATGTGTGTTCAGCCAGTGGAAGCTCTATAATCTGCTGCGACGACGATGGATCGACAGCTGTAGGGACACTATGGGCTGTCTCCCCTGTCTATACCGAGTACCGCGTTTTCATGGGATGCTCGGTGTATGATGAAGCCAAACATGCAATGTAACTCTAGCGTAGAAAGCGGCCAACGACATGTCGACTCAATCGAGCCATTTTCTCACACTGCATTTCTTCCTCTCCTCAATAACCCTCCAACTCCCACGGCCCATAATCTCGAACTGGCGGTATTGGGCCAACCGTGAGCGAATCTCTCGAGGATCGGTGCCAGACGCGCTCGTCGTGCGTGTCATGGTGTCATGAGCAATTAGTGGCGTCCGAAAAATGCTGGCGCGAAGAACGTCGACTCGGGCCACTCCACATCTGCCAGTCGGGAGCCATTTAGCAGCCCTTTCTCCAATCCACTTCGCGTGAGTTGCCCTCGCTCCATCCATTCCAGCACCACGAGCACCTTTTCAATGTCCAACCTCTCGTGCCCTTTGACCTCTTTCGTGGCCCAGCTGCACTCTTGACGTGCTGTTCTTCTTCACATCTCTTGCCTGATTCTCTGCTGAACCTCTCATGAACAGAGTCGTGCCGAACAGCCCCGTTCCGCTGTCGAGGACGCGCTTTTGAGCTGGACACTCTCCCCCCAGCGACCGCGCTTCCCCGAGTAGCTAGGCCCGGTGATACCTGATGACCATGTCTCCCTCGACCACTCTCGCAGAGACGGTCGTCTCGCCCTCTCCAGGCCCGAAACGAGCAGCAACGTCACTGCTTCCCGCCTTCGAACCACTGTCTTCGTCCCCGGCTTTACCACGACCCCTCAAGCGAAATCGAGATGCTCTCGACGAGCACACGACCTATCCGACCCCCGTTCCGACTTCTTCTACCGCGATTCTGTCTTCCTCGCCAGCACATGTAGTCAAACCCCGGCCTGGCCTCCCACGAACCACGTCTACCCTTGCTGAACGTACTCCCCTGGGTGCGGTGCCCTCTATCCAACTGCAAGCCGATGGCAAGGTAACGCGTATGGGGAGATCCAGTGCTTCTTGCGACTACCAATTTTCCTCGAACCGCCTGATATCGCGAGTTCACGTGGAAGCGTGCTACAAAGCTGGGAGTTCGCGTCTCGAGCGTGATCGTGTCGAAATCACCTGTACTGGTTGGAATGGTATCAAGATACATTGCAAGGGCCAGGTGTACGATGTGAAGAAGGGAGAGACATTTTCGTCCGACATTAGAGACTCGGAGATCATGATTGACGTTCATGACAGTCGCGTCGTCGTGGACTGGCCTCCGAAACCTCACCTAGGCGCCTTCTCATCTGACGAGGAGGAGGAAGATAATTCTCCTGCCAAGCGCCAGCGAGCCATGCTGCGCCATTCAACACCACCCAGCCCGAGTCCTGTGCAAGTTCGTCGACGGCTTGCTTCTCCCATCTCCCCATCGCCCGCCGTACAAGCCGTGATGCCTTCCTCACCGCCACTTCCAGCTACTGTCGAAATATATGAAGACCCCGAACCAACCAACGAGAGCAGCGGAACAGTCACCGGTACCGAAGTGTCAGCGTCTACACTGGCATTGTCCCAGAATTTTGGGCAACCCGAGGCCTCTCAGAACAATAACCCGTTGTCTGCTGAAGACTTCTCGGACAATGACGAAGAAAACGACCCCATCATTCATTCTTTTGGACCGTTTGGTGCAAATCTGCTGCCACGCATGGCCTCAGTTACCGCTGGAGATTCGCCTAATCCTAGTGACTCTGCAACAAGCACACGGTCGTCGCACACCGAACCCCTTCACAGCGGTGGCCTGAGCTCACTTAAAAAGAAAGACCCGGATTTTGACGTGCAGGGTCACATTATTAATCAGCTCGCATTCTCGAGATTGTCCTCTACTCCATTGTCCACCATTCTCAGCCACCTTCCCCGCGAGGCTGGGGCGTTGTCCATCAACGACATCAGAAAACTCATCCGTGAAACAGCGTGCATTGGTGAAGTTGCAAGAGAAGGGAAGGATGCGGCAGGCAAACCTCTGGAAAGCGAATTCTACTACATCCCCGACCAAGATGAGGATGAGAAGCGAAAGGAAGCTGTGGTCAATGATTTACGAAAGCCGGGTTTGCGAGCTTGCCGCAAACAGCACAAGGTAACTCCTCCCCATTTGCGCTCTCTCGACAGTACAGACAGGACTGACACATCATAGCAATATTTCTGGCGGAAGCCCAAATAGGTGCATGTTCAGACATTGTGCTTCGTCAAGGGATGAAGCGGCAGGATAGGTGTGGAAGGGCGGCTTGCCTACTGAGTATGATTTCTTTACGTGTCTTTTTGGGGTTGCATGTCTGTGCAATCGTCTCTGTACACGACAGGCTGTCGTCTCTTGTCTAGCGTTCAGCGTCATGCATAGCGAAAGGAAACCAGACATCAGCGTCTTTTCATCTGTGACCGGAAAGTGGGGTTTTGTCGTCTTTCATATCACTGTTGAGAACCAAGCCAAGATGAGCTCTGATAGGTAGAGTTAGAGCATGGCGTGGGCGAATACCAGTGGTGCAGATGCCATGCAGAATATATTTTGAACAGATCTCCTCGTCCATCCTATTGCTGTGCTGTGCTGTACTGTACTGTACTGTACATAGATGGTGATGCTGGGATAGAGGTCGAGCTTCGGGACAAGTTTCCCGACATCGGAATGCTCGCCTTCGGGAGAAACTCGCGTCACACCCTGAAGATCCCGAGGTCGAGGCCGAAGCTCGCAGACGTCAACCACCGAGTTAACGACCGCGACAAAAGAAGTCACCTCCATGACACTCCTCTGGTCTTTCAGCGTTCCTCTTTGATCTCCTCGCTCATTTTTTTTGCTCCTCCAGCAGGGAGAGACGCACTCTATAGCCATGCTCTCAATAGCTGGATCGTCCGCCATCCGGGCAGTTCGCGCACGCACCGCTCCCCGCGGCCTTTTATCCCAGTTTCAATCGGCGTCCCTCGCACGACTGCTCTCCACACTGGCCATCCTCGAGCAACGCGACGGCAAACTCAACAGCGGCTCGTTAGGGGCAGTTACGGCGGGGGCAAAGCTCGGAGGCCCGGTCCATGGCTTCATCGCGGGGAAATCGGCAAAGGCGGTTGCACAAGAAGCATCAAAAATTAAAGGTTTAGAGAAGGTCATCGCGGTGGAGAACGATGCATATGACAGAGGGCTGCCCGAGAACTGGGCCCCGCTACTGGTCGAGAACATCAAGAAAGGAGGCTATACACATGTGATCGCGGCGCATTCGGCGTTTGGCAAGAGTCTGCTGCCTCGAGTGGCGGCGTTGTTGGACGTCCAGCAGATTTCCGACGTGATGGGTATCGAGGGAGAGGACAGTGAGTTTCACGCCATCACCTGTAAAGAAGGAAAGACACATTTTGCTGATGTGATGCAGCGTTTGTCAGACCTATTTACGCCGGCAACGCCATCCTCACGGTCCAGAGCACCGACCCCACCAAAGTATTGACCGTGCGCCAGACGTCCTTCCCACCGGCAGAGACAGAAGGCGGTTCCGCGAGTGTCGAGGACGGCGCCGATCCCAAGGTTGAGTCGCCGACCGAATGGATCTCGGAAAACCTGACCAAATCCGACCGCCCCGAACTGGCCTCCGCCGAGAAGGTCGTGTCGGGCGGCCGCGGCTTGAAATCCAAAGAAGAATTCGACCGGTTAATGCCGCCCCTGGCAGATGCACTGGGCGCGGCGATCGGGGCTTCCAGAGCGGCGGTGGACAGTGGCTTTGCGGACAACAGTCTCCAGGTCGGCCAGACGGGGAAGAACGTCGCTCCTCAACTGTATCTTGCGGTCGGGATTTCGGGCGCCATCCAACATCTCGCGGGCATGAAGGACAGCAAGGTCATTGCGTGTATTAACAAGGACCCGGACGCGCCGATCTTCCAGGTCGCAGACGTGGGATTGGTCGGCGATCTCTTCGAGAGGGTCCCTGAGTTGACGGAGAAATTGAAGTCTCAATAATCACCTGGTGTCTTCTTGTAAAGAGGGGATGAATCCTTCCTGTCTGTCTGTTTTGGGGGAGGCTCGGGTCACTGGCGGTGTGATATCTCAGGTAAAAGGGAGGGCAGCATCGTATAGCATATTCTCTCCCGAGCTATGCATAAAAAATCTCTCACACATAGAGAAACGAAGGACAGTAGTCTTCCAAGGCGTCAAGACGAAGCTTTGAGGGATTATCACATGGAAAGGACCGGTGCATTACGAGGTACACGGGGCCAGAAATAGGATTATGCATCGACTTCGAGCCTGTTGAGTGTTTACGCACGCATGAGGTACCTATGTATCAGGTGACATTGAGTTGACTGCAGGTTGGGACGGTTAGTGACGTTGAACTTGTGGGCGACTTGGGGCTGTGGGTGGGTGAATGGCGTGACACCCATTCGTAATGGGGGGGTTACCATCGGCACACAAAGGTTAGAATTCGGGGCGGGCCATGATTCTCGGTTCTACATCCTCTGTACTGTCCATGGAATATCGAGAATTTTGTCTTGTTGTATGTGCTCTGTCGGTAACCCCGAGATGTCGGTTCTAGGACTGTATGGGTATTGTGCAGTAGATAGTCACGAGGTATGACCTCGTATTCAGTTATTAACGTACGGAGTAATATGGCACGGAGCACGGAGCACGGAGTCGTCCGCGACATTATTATCATTAATTATTTGGGCCGAGCATGTGTCGGATTTCCTGGCGCTAAGTTCCTCGCTAGTACCCCGGAGTATTGTTGCCGCCAATGGGAGACGGCCATCGAAGCTTAAATCTAGATCTTCTTATGTAATCACTCTTCCGACATTTTCGCTGGGCACGGTTCATAGCAAAATCAACTCATCGTCTCTCGCCATGTGATCCAAACGTCGATCAATGTCAATAATGCTTCTGTACAATACGGTAGGGTTCTACAGGCATCCAGTTCATCCGGGCGAATGCGAGAACATGTGCGATGGCCGTATGGTCACGGTGTCAGAAAGGGATTTTTGCGACTTGGAGCCCCACACATCCAACCCGGTTAGCCATGGACCATCCCACTCGAGTCACCGAAAAGCACTCGGTACGAGTCATGGAGCCTGACGACGGGGGTGGTACCCATATTCAGGGTCTGCATAAGGTTCGAGATTCCCGAGTCTGCAGGCAGCAGGCAGCAGCACCACCCGGGCGAGCATCGGGGAACACGATAGCAACTTACTACCAGGTAGGGGACTCGCTTATGGAAGCCCAGCCAAAGTTGAGTTGGGGGTGGAGAGAGAGAGAACAGCGCGGAAACCACTCCGGATTGGCCAACCGTTGGAGCCGTGTTGTGAACGGGGACGCTTCGAATAGTCCCTGCTCTGCAGGAAGAGTTTTCCTCCCTTCTCCCTCCCCAGTTCAGGCTTAGACACCGCAGATTGAGCAAGCCATTCCGCTCATCCGCGCAGGTGCAGATCGACCGTTGCTTCCTCGACCCACCCGGTTGAGGTGCAGGATCCGAGAACACGTTCTGGGCCTTTCGTTTCCAGTCTTACAGGGGCTGTCACAAACATACCTGGTCTACGTACGCCGTCCGCTTTCTTTTCTCGACATGCCACTGTGTCCATATCCGTGATGTATGTAACGAGTTAGAACAGAGGACAGATTATCCGGGGGAATTCCTGGTCAAAAATGCGTGTGATTGGAAGGAGTTGCTCGTCCGTGGGTCTTGGTTTGGCGGCACAGATCCAACGATCCCACGCGGGACAAATACCGGATTCGTCTCAGCGTTCAGATGAACATGTTGCCCTCCAGCATACAGATCTCAACAGACTGTGCATCTCTACAACATCTCTGTGAACAATCTCGTATTTTTACCGCCAGTTGAAGGGTCAAGAAGCAGCTCGGTCCGTCTTGAGTGATATTCGCCGGGATGTATCTGGCATTCCTCGGGCCCTTCTGGCTTGTGAATAGACGTTCTAGATTCTCTGGGATGACGAGCACAAGCAACCTGGAGAGGCGCAGTGTGGTAGGAGGATCTCCGTCATCGTCGCGAGGGGTGGAGTTGCCCCGTACATACTGGACCGTAACACATCGCACCGTCGGCATCCCAGCCCAGATGGCCTCCGAGACCCTGATCCGGCCATCCAGTTGCACGTCTTGTGACCATTCCATTCCATTCGATAAATAACGCGGCTGTGTGTCTCCCAGATTCGCGAAATGGTGCGATATAGCATGTTCTCGACAGAGGTTGACAGGTGGAACGTGAGTGTCGTGCCATGTATTCTGGAAAGGCGGCATGTCCCGTTCCCACCCAAGCTAAATGCCACACCACACACGAGACGCCGCCCCCTTGCAGTCTAGTCGCGTTGCCACCATCAATACGCGGGTTGTCTATTGTGATAAGAGGCTGAGTTTTTGCTGCTCTGGGGGGAAATACAAGAGGAACAGAAATGCCGTATTTTGATTGTTCAACATACACGGGTCCTGTCGAGGCCATGACGGAGCATGGATCGCTTTCAGGACACACCCACACCACGCAAACCCGATCTATTATCGCGAGAGGATATCGACGAGGTTCTGCGACAACGCCGCGACAACAGGACCCCCCGGGCCTGCTACCCGTGCCATCAACGCAAAGTCAAGTGCAACTACGTGAAGCCCTGTCAAACCTGCCTCGATCGAGGCTATCCCGAGATCTGTATCTATGACGCCCCTCGTGCAAAGTCGTTTCCCGACACGGCGACCACCTCGTCATCTTCTGCCGCCGCCAGCACCACCACCCCGGCCCCGTCAGACGAACCCGTGCTGGCACAGAAAGTCGCCGTGTTGGAGCAGACGCTATGGAAGATGAGAGACGACATCGACCGGGTCCTCGCCACATGGACCCCGCGAGCAGAGCCGTCCACCGTGGCCGGGCAGCAATCACGACCAAGTCCTCCCAGCAGGGATGCGACGTGGTGGACAGGTCCGGCTCCAGGGCCAAACACGCGGGGCACTGGTCAGCCGGTACACCTGGGACAGCGTCTTGCGCAGCAGCCGCCGTCGGTGGTCGCAACAACAGGTGCAAACCTCACGGGCTGGGCCCAGGACATCTCGAACCAGGAGATCCTCTCCATCTTCGCGCTGGAGAACCAGTCGGTCACTTACCCCTTTTCAGCGCTGTGGGGGTTGCACAACGAGCCGGCGTCGAGGTTTCAGAGCCTGTGCGAATTACTCCCCGACGACGTCGAGTGCCGCAGCCTCTTCACCTGCTACAGCGACACCGCCCACGCCGTGTTCCCAGCCATCCCCGACCTCGACCAATTTCAGAGTGATCTCCACGCATTCCTGGCCCGCCGGCCAGACACCACCCACACGACACCCCTCTCAGAGGCGGACCCGGATCAACCACCACCGCATGCGGAGCTCGGCGGCAGAGACCTGCACTGGCTCGGCCTGCTTTTTGCCTGTCTGGCCTCAGGGTGCCAATACTCGACGCTTCCATGCGAAGAACGGCGCTGGAAATCGCGCGTTTACGGTGACCTCCCCCCAACTTCCACATCTCTTCCTTGCTCCCCATGCTGATGGAAAATTTTTGCAGTCTGCTGCGCCTACGAATGCTTGCGATCGACCAATTACCTCGGATACCCGACTCTGTTCGACGTGCAGACCATGTTGGTCATTGCCGATGTCATGGCCAACAGTCTCGATGCAGGGGTGGCATGGTGCTTTGAGGGTAAGATCCCGGCGAGTGGACATCTTTTGTGAGAAGAACATACTGACACCGGTGGAAGGACTGACCATCCGACTGGCACAAAGTCTGGGACTTCACCTCGATCCGCCCCTGTCTGCCCCCGACAGTCTACAAAGACTGCGCAGGGAATTATGGTGCGTGAAGCTCCACGTTCCAAATCGAGTGTCTACTGACTCGTGAACAGGTGGCGCATCATATGGCAAGAAAGCTCACTTGCCTTAGCCTTCGACCGACCGTCGACACTTCAGATCCAGAGAGTGACCGGGACTCCTGGCACCAACGACCTCTCCTACAACGATTGCATGAAGCAGATCTGCCAGATCGGCCTGGAGATTGTGCGGGACCGTTCCACCAGAGGAGCCGGGCAGTTCAGTTTGGAAGACATATCGCGGTATCGGGTGGTCCTCAACGACATGTCCCAGGAGGCGGCACCGTACCTCAAAGATGCGACGCTCTGTCACACCACCAAAGCGCGACTCGAATACTGGAGCTTATATCTACACCGGTCCTACGTCAACGCGGAGCTGTACCGGACGTTTCTTCGAGACCGCAGCTCCAGTCCGGACGACATGGACGCCTACGTGCGATGTCTGAGCGGCACCGTCACCGGTTTCCTGCACCTACAGGTCATTGCCCCGGCGGTCAAGCAGTCATCAATCTTCGTGCAGAGGGCGCTGAGCTCGGCCCTGATGTTGTGCACCATGGACGACCTTGCCCGGACGAGGTCGGTCCAGTACCTGGTGCACAACTTCATCTCGGTCATGGAAAGCCCCTGCACGCAATGCGCCGAGGCACACCTGCCCACCCCCTTCTCCAAGTCCATTGCCAAACTACACGAGATGGCTGCGACGCGGTGGAGTTCGGATCTCTCCAACCTGTCGATTGTTGGGATGTCCCAAACGGCCGGGATTGAGAGTCACGAGCAGCTGAATTGAAAGAACAAGGCGTCGACGTTTGGACGCCCATGTGCATGGAGCTGTTGTTTTGGTTATGCTGAGAGAATTGGTTGACAGCCCGCAGGCCTGAATTTGTGCGAGACTTCTGCCCTTTTGGACAGTGGCTCGGGGCACCCCCAGACTCCAGGCTCCAGACTATTTTTTGGTGGCCACCAGTCACACCACCGGAAGAAGTTTCCATGGAGGACTGACTGACTGAGCCCTAACTGGGAGGGTATGCCCAGAGATGGGCGGCTCACACAGCTCACTGGCTGGAGAAGGTATGCGGTGATAGTCCCAAAGGGTGTCTTTGCAACGAAGTGACGGGGTATTTATAGAGAGGGGAGGGAGGGAGGGAGGGTCTTTGTCTTTGTCTTTGGCACATGGTTCCAGACTCCCAGGCTGTTGCTATATTACTATATAATATCTTCTCCTCCACCGACCCAACTCTCTTTTTTTTTTAAACCACATGGATTCTTCCTTCCACCCATTTCCCTCATGGGTCCAGGGCCTGCGTTCTGTTCAACTGAATTTCGGATGGTATCTATATATTTCTCTTCCACTCACTAGCACGGCCCAGCCTCAATCTACGATGGTTTACTCTGGTAATTTCCGGTCATCAAGCTTGTCGACGCAGAGCCTGTCCACCTCCAGGGAGAGATCCCATCGTTGTGGACATTGAGCGGATAACTCTGCAATGTATGAATTATGCTTTGCAGGCCGAGTCCATTCCGCCTCCCATCGCTCGATTCTCACTATCAGGATTTTCACGCCTCCCTGCATGCACAATTGAGGACCATCAGCGGCAGTGGCAAAGCTGTGTCCCACGAGAAACCCGTCGCTGTTCTCCTCAACGTCCACGCTGTGCTATGGAGATTTAATTCCCAGCGTGCATCTACTGTACCGAGGACGTGTCTACCATCGTACCTCGTCTGTACTGCCCTACTCGGTATCCATTGGCCCGTCTAACAGGGCTAACACATCCACACAACTCCAACTCCCCTGTGGACCGCCGAAGCCGCCGAAGTGACCGAGCAACCCGAGCAACACCTAACCTCGATTCGGGCATGTTTCCAAGCCAGGCATGTGGAGCTAATGCATTAACAGGGGCAAGAATGGATCCCGAAATATCAGACTTGGTACTCGGTAGAACACATTGGGCACTGGTGGGATATGCCCTGCCCTGCCCTGCCCTGCCTGCCTCCTTGCCTGCCGGGCGACCGGGGGCTCTTTCGTTTCTAGTATTCCAGACCAGTCGACGACAATTCCGCCCATGTGAGCTCAAAGTACGAGGTACTCCGTATCTCCTCCAAAGCTCCAAAAACTCCACTGCTCTAAGCGAAGCACATGTTCATATGCCGCCTCCCAGTTTGATCGTCTTCATGGAATCGGCAGTAGCCCGCCGCCGTCGGAAGGGGGCACCTCTTTCAACCTGGTGGACGCAGGACGGTGGCCTGTTTCCTTGGGGCTCTTGGTTCGTTTGCTCGCTCGGCCACAAACCAGACAGACTGACAGACAGACAGATTGACAGACCGACCGGGGCCAGCCCTGGCTCTTTTGCTTCTTTCTGGGCCTGTTCCATGCCCTACAAGTACAAAAGTATGCTTCCCCTCCAAGGCCCCCCAAGCCATCCGGGCGGTCGGCCAAGCTCGCGACTGACGCAAGTGGAGCTTTGGTGACGATCCATCTACCTCATACAAGTATTATTATTCTTATGATCAATTTATGTTCTTATTCTTATTATATCAAAGATCGAGATAACAGCAGCAGCAGCAGCAGCAGCACTCTCTTCCCTGAAGAATGAGCTAGCAAGTCACCACCATCACCGTCACCGTCACCATCATCCAGTATATTGACGCCAGTTTTACTGTACCTGGGTCCCAAGGACGTCGGTTCACTTGGGTCACTTGGGGGAATTCATTTCATGTGTCTATATGGACTATAGTATGCCCATGTCCGCCCACTCCCTCGTGGACTTTGGCATCAGCAACGGGGTAGGTGTATATACCACTTGACCCGAGCCCTCGATAGCCCCTTATTCTCTCTTGTCTTGCCCTGTCTGGTCTTGTGTGTATTGACGATTGGATGTTTCTGCCGCAGCCTCTCAATGACATTGACATCTCGATCTTCCAGCCATTCATCCAGAACGAGTACTTGAAGGACCAGCAGCACCCCGGAGCCAATTCACGATCAGATCAACGACAACAGCAATTACCATTACAACTACCACAAATACAACAACATCAACATCTGCAACTGCACAATGTGACCTTCCCTGGGCAGCCGCTGGGCACAGGGACCGGGCCTCCCTCACACTCACACTCTCACTCACAGTTCCCGCTCTCACCGCCCATCTCGTTCTCCGACTACGAGACGTTACATTCCGCCACCCCGGAGGAATGCTATCCCTCGTGTGCCGGTATGAGTTTCGAACTTCAGCCTGCTGACGACGACGATGAGGAGGAACAGGAGGATGGCTCAAGCCAGCAAGTGGGCTGCCAAGAGGAGTCCGAGGAATGTTCATCTTCGACACTGAACGCCTCTGCCGCCGTTCCTCCGGTCAAGTGGTCGGAGGTGGTCCCCTGGATCTCGACGAAGCCGCCTGCCCGCGGTCGTACCCGCGGGAGTAAACGCAAGGCGGCAGCGGCTCAGAGCGGAGAGTCTGCCGATGCCACAACAGCTGCCGCCACCATGGCCGCGGCGAACAACAAACCGGGCGCCAAAAGAAGGGGCCGGAAGTCTCGCGCGTCGCGCCAGCAACAGCAGCAGCGCATCAAGACCTTGGCCGACGAGGACGACAACGAGGACGACAAGAAGAATGCGGCTGCCCTGGACCAGGAGGCCAAGGCGGCGCACTCGGTCGTCGAGCGGCGATACCGCGACAACCTCAACGGCAAGATGAGCCAGCTGTACTATGTGTTGAGGGAGGTGAACTCGCCGGGCCCGCACTCTCAATTGCGCCTGTCGAGCACCACAGGACCCACAGCACCGGCGGCGGCGGCGGCATCGCTCCCGTCGTTCCAACCGCCGACCCGCGTGCGCAAGTCCGAGATCCTCAACTCGGCCATCGACTACATCCACCAGTCCGAGGTCGAGATGCGCCACATGGCCGACGAGATCAGGCATCTCCAGGACAAGGAGCGCACCATCCGCAACCTCGTCAAATGTGAGGAGTGGGCAGTGCTCAAGGCGTTGATGAGTAGTGGGTGATTGAGTGAGTGATGGGCGTGTGTGATCGAGTTAGTGGATGTGAGTCCTCCGTTTCGGATGGGAAACTCGACAGCGAGAGGAGGGGAGGAATCAATTGACCCCATCTCATATATGGTCATACCATACCCGGAAGGAATGGTAACATATGTCATCTATCATGAATATCGTCTACTCTACAATAGAGTCGGTGCTGGAGTCCTGGAGTCGGAGCCATGAGTGGACGCAAAGCAACCGTCTCTTCTTCATTCACTGAACAGGATGCGAATGAGACGAAGAAATCAATGTGTACGTACGTATGGGGGAGTAGTCGACCGGCTGGGCCGTGTCGGGTTTGTGTATTAAGAGCAATCAATCAATCAACCAATCAATCAACCAATCAATCAATCAATCAATCAATCAATCAGTGTGCAGTGCAGGGACGGACAGCAATGGAATGCGAGATGTGTTGTTTGTGAATCTGTCTTTCGTTCTGTCTGTCTGAACTGACTAGTGTACGCATACCGCCTCGGCCACGACAGTTGCTGCGCTGATTGGGAGTGGTTGGGAGTGATTGATGCTTCTGTCTCGACTGATATACATGTATATACATTTGATTCCCCGTGTTCTGTTCTCACCGTGTCTCCTGGGCCCCTCTCTCAAGGAGATCTGGATAGGTATTTACGCGCTCTGTGAATAAGTTTGGGTAGACGTCTGTCTATCTATCTATGTATCGATCAAGGGGACATCCATCTAACATACATACATACATACTCGGCCGAAGTGGGAAAAAAGAATGAATGAATGGATGAATGAGTGAATTTGTTTGCAAACGTCCCGACTGCAGGATTCAGGTCTTCAAGCGTGGATGGAGGAGGGCTCAGCCTCCCAATCAATCCCCATGGTCATGCAAAGGAGAAGAGAGAGAGAGAGAGAGAGAGAGAGAGAGAATAATATTATTAGATAGATGCCTCCCTTTGTGACGTGTCGGGAAGAATTACATTGTCAGAACATAATACTCGTACACACACACTTACAGTACAGTACAGCCTGTTCCAGAGCCTTCGTGTCCCAAGGCGTGCTCATTGCAGGGCTCATAGTGGTACCTCCAACGCCAAGCAAAGCCGTGAGAGAAAGATCAAAAGAGAGCGCGAAAAAATGGGGAAAAAAAGAAAGAAAGAGAATCGCAGAAAACTACGATGCCATTTTCATCTGAACTATCTGCTTCAGCGCGTCACAGTCGCCCCCACACCGGACCAAGCGCTGCAGCGCCGCCAGCCTGCTCGTCAACCGCTGGATCTCGTCCGACATGTGCCGCATCTCCAGCTCGGACTCGTCGATGTACTGGAGTGCGTTGCTGAGGATGTCTGACTTCCGCGGCGGCTGCTGCTCGCCCTGCCGCTGCGGTGGCGCATCACTGTTGTCGTCACTGCTGGTGGTGGTGGTGCTGGTAGAAGACATCCAGCTCGTGCCCTCCAACGTGCGGTGGAGCTGCCACATCTTTGCATTCAGGTTGTTGCGGTACTTGCGCTCGATCGCCGAGTGTGTCTGCTTGGCGAGCGTGTGCGCGAGATCCTCGCCGTCGCTCGAGCTGGTCCGTTGAAGCCTGGAGACTCGGGAGGAGGCGTGCTTCTGCTCTCGAGCCGTGGCTTTTCTTGACTGGGTCGCACGCTTCTCGCGGCTCCGGCCACGTCGCGTCTTCGGGTTCTGAGATCTTTGCTGCGTGGTCGTTGATGTCATCGCACAGTCTTCGGTTTCTGAACAGGTCGCGGAATCTGAAAGTGACGGCTCGAGATCCGGCACCCGGTAATCGTAGCTGGAATCGCTGTTTCCGGCTTCGTCCTCGCCGGTGTATCCTCCGAAGAAACCGTTTGAGCTGTAGCATGGCGTGGGATCTGGCACATACTGTGCGAAAGATGTGCCAGCAGTGGTCATCGATTCTGGAGGCGTCTTTTGATAGAACATGCTCGTGTCAATCGTGTTCCAGGGATACTGTGTTCCTTGGCTGTTCAAGTATTGTGGTGATGGGGTGAAGTTGGCAGTGATGGACTGGCCGTAGGACGCAAGAGGATTCGACGAGCATCCCACAAACGACTCAGTCATGTCAGCTGTGGACAAGGGATAGTTGTACCAGTCGTCCATGTCCACCATGGAGTCTGGTTGGGGGATGATGACGTCCATTATTTACGGGGTTGTGTAATCGAAGAGTGGGAGTAGTGAGTGATTCGAAGAACCTGTCGAGTGGGAGTGATGTGTAGGAGCTGTAGATCCATTGACCAGGCCAGGAGCCGTGGGTAGAGTCATATTATTATATATATGAGATTCGATAGCAGCCAATGTTGGTTGTTGGCACGATCTGCAGATAACGCTTCCTTGCTTGCAGGACTTCTTCGGAGATGATCAGATAGGTTCGGTTGAGGAGAGAGGATGATTGAATCTCGGAGATGATGAAATCTGAAGAGGTAGTCAAAGTATGACGAGTCGAGACCAGACGCGCGAGATACGGAGCATGGGCGGAGACAAGTAATAGTGGACAAGTACCGAGTAACCTCATATAAGGGTACAAGGGCAACTGCTGCCCTAACCACGGAGGATCTACGGCCATCATGTATTGTTCCGGGGGCCTTGAAGCCCCCAGGGTAGCCTAGACCCCGACTCCGACCATGTGCGCTGCAAGTCCGAGGTCTCCTGAGCCGCAACCAATACGTGTTACTCCCGCATTCCACGCGCCTCGCCACAGATCAACCACACCACCCCCTCCGAAATACATCCGAGTGTGCCCGAAACGGGTCACCTCACGCGTCAAAGTGACCTATAAGTATGTTTCGTCAAGGGACTTTATCATCCAAGGGGTTCCAGAGTAGAAAATAGAAAAGGAGGAAGGAAAAGGGGAGACACAGAATCCCAACTTTGGGCTCAATTGCACTGAAGATATTCCATCGATGCACTATCAAAATGACCCCGGCGCCCACGACTTAAATGCTTCAGATATGCCGAGCCCAAAGTCAAAGAAAGAGATATAATCCTTCTCACGCTGGAGATATGCCCTGGGATCCCCACAAGATCTTCTCCATCAACTCATAGGGCGAATCGTCCGACCGACCAGCGTCATCCCCCGATGCTTCATTCGAAGGGTGTCCCATGTACACATCCTGGCTCATGCTCCGCTCCCAGCCCGGAAGGGCGTGACCACCCGCGCTGTACTCGGTCCCAGCTTCGGAGCCGTGATGCGCATTGAGTCGTGCAAGAGCCCTCACCGCTCTCGAGATGGGAGCAGAGAGCTCCGTGGGATCCAGTGAAGAGCTGATGCTCGACATGGCCACAATCAGCTTGTCCAGCAGCATCCGCACCCGGGGTTGACTCTGGGGCTGTTTCAAGATCCCCAGCAAAAGCGCCGAGCTCAGAGACCGATGCACCGCGGCCCAAGATTGCGTGGCAAACCGAGTTACGTTGGATAGTCCCAGGAACGCATCCACCGTGTTGGCCATGTTTTCCAAGCACGCCGCCCGAAAGCTGCCGAGTTCCGGCGACGTCTGCTTGCGTTTCAACGCCGACCGGTACAATTCCGACAAGATATATGACCGATGGAGATAGAGGTTCCAGTGCTCGAGTTGATCCCTCATCGACTGGCACGCCGTGGCATCTTTGAGATGCTGCAGCGCGTGCTCCATCATTTTGGACAGCTCCGTCTGATGACGGTGGATTCGCGTGAGTTCGTACCGAGGATCGCTGTGCTTACTCCTCTCCCGCACAATCTCGAGACCCGTCTCACACAAGATCTTCATACAATCGGTGTACGACAGCCACGTGTGGTCGGCCGACTGGACGGATTTGTGGTGCGAGATGGTGGGAGTCGACGATGCTCGATCAAAGGTGATGGAGATCAGACTGTCCTGCCAGACGATCCTCCACCTACACGAGCCCGATTAGCACGAATGGATGGGACAAAGTCGCCGCTGGGACCTACCAAAGTTCTTCTCGTGTCGACCGCTCAGCCTCAGAGCTGGCCCGGTAGGATTTCTGATGAAGACCGAGGCTCTGTCCGATCCGGATGGTCAGTCCTGATGTACGGTTAGTGGGAATGATTCCGACAGAAAAAAGTAATGGCACCCCACCGAGCAAGCACCAGGCAATGCCCGAGTTCATGTTATTGGAAATAACATTCCCCAGCACCAACAACGTCTGGATATCGAGCAACTTGGAATTGGACAGGTAATTGATGATGCGGAGGCATTCATACGCACAGCATACTGTCCCACGTCAGCGTGTTGATTTTTCCCCCGCGAACGGGACCGTTCCTAACCGTATACCTGACTCGTCAGTTGGCGTTCTTTCCGCGGCAACGACGAGCATTGGTAGCCAGAAGCGAGGATGGCGAACAGCAACCCCACCCAATGGAGCGTTTTGCCGTATATATTGTCGTTCGACAGCGCCTCATACGGGGCATCCCTGGTGGCGGCGGCTTTGTTGATGAGAAAATGGGTGAGTTCCCCCTCAAAGTGTTTGATGTCCACGACCCCCGGGAAAAGCACATGAGCCGTATCCCGGTACTGTGCAAAATATTGCAGACAGTCGGCGTCCGTGGGCAACAACCGGCACATGGCCTGCAGTCTGGCATAAGATCCGTGAGGTAAGCCCCAAAGGTCCACGAACGGGTAGGTGGCACTCTCATTGTCCAGGCCGAACAGAGGTAGGATGCTCTTGCCGAGGACGTCCTGGACATCATACTCGTTAGGGTCGCTCTTCAGTGAAAAGACCATGGCCGGGACAGAGTTGCCGCCCAGATGGACGGTCTCGCCCGTGACTTCGTTGCTGGTGTGGATGGCAAAGTTGTCCTGATCGACACCCTCACTGCTCGAGTCTCGTCCCATTCTCTCGACCTTGGGCCGGCCGACCAGCGTCGCAGGAGACCCGTCCCGTCCCGGCAAGTCTTTCAACTCATTCCGCAGCTCTTGAATGGCCTGTTCGATCGTCTGCAGTCTTTCGCTGATCCTGCTCCATCCCATCGCCGTGGCTTCGTTGGAAGCGCCAGGTGCCGTTCCCGGGCCGGCCGCCGTGTCGAGATTTGCACGCTTGGACACGGGCTCATAGATGCAGAGCTCGGGGTGGTTGCGGTCGACGCACTTTTGGCAGGGGTGTTGATAATTGCAACCCACTTTCCTCTGGCGACAAGGATGGCAGGCCTTTTGCCCGCGGGCCTTGCGCTTGCGGCGCAGACGCTCATTGATTTCTTCCTGAGTCAACGCTTCGACCTTGGGTTGTGGCTCGTCACCCTCAGCGGATTTGTGGAAGCCCGGGCTCGGATCCATTGCAACAGAGCAGTTTTTTCGGAGGACGCGCCGTGCACGTATCCGAAAAAGACCGAATCCAGCAAAGGGAGCTAAGGAGGGGGGAGGGGGCCCGTGCGCAGATCGTCAGGCGCCCTGGCGACTTGGCTGTAGGGGACTTGATCGCAGAGGAAATTCTCAGCCAGTTCTAGGGCATCGACAGCATATACTTTTGCACAGGCTGAGGAAGCGCGTAAACCGAAGACGAGCTGGGATTCTGCCGAAGTTCGGGGTTATCAGCTGATATTGAGAAGAGGACGAACTGAATTGCCATAGGCGCGAGAGAATGGGTGTGCCCGTGCGGTACAGCGATATGATAGGGAAGGTGGCGCGAGGCGAGATTCGGCGCTCTCGGCGGGCTCGGACGCGTACATGCAGTCAGTACAAGTACCAAATCACTAGACGGAACTTCCATCAACTTTCTCAAATCCTGACAGCTGCGTCGGCACTTGGAGGCCACTGGATTCCCTTATAATACGAGGTCCTCAATTTTGTGAATGTGCCTTGGCCCGCATTGCTAACGAAACCAGGCATCAGAGGTCCTCGTATTTCCTCCAACCCAGCCAACACGACGCCATCACCTCTTCGTTGTTTGCTGCTATCAAGTCTTGACCAGTGTTTGCTTTCCTCCTGACTGTTCCGAAGAGACACCCGTAAAGGGCAAACACCGTCATGTTTCTGGACCTCGACCCCTCGACGGCTTGCTCGTGGCTGGCTGATTGACTGGTTGCTGGGTCGGTGATGGGGCAGGCAAGCTGTGTGTGACCTCGCTTAGACCGCTGGTGTGCTCTAGAGGCACGGGGAAATGTATTCCTCCACAACAGATCACGATCGTGGCGCCATCCCGACCAGTCTGCGCAAGTCTATTGGTGGCTGAATCGCTGGGAAAGATCTGATATAACCCAGCTCAGTTGCCCGTACGATACGACACAGTTGCCCAACTTGAACCACGATCTACCTTTGCATCGTCGCCATTGCCCTTTCCGCATGTCGTGGCGTTGTGATAATGCATATGACAGGTCAGATTGTGATGAGAGGTCTATCCCAGCCAGCCCGAGCATCAGGACCTTGACACCACAGGCCACCAGCCCCGAATCCAACCGTCGCGCGCCTGTTTGACGACCAGCATATTCTTTCCCTTGCGACTTTGCATCTCTGGGCGAGACTATGCTCGACGCCACATGATGAGCCTCTTGGAGAGGGGCCTAACAATGACGACACCCGAGGAAGAACCAGCTGGTCTTGGATCACAGCGCGTCATGCTTCGCAGTCTACCCTTGCAGTACGTCACGACTGTGAGATGTTACTACCACTTCGCTCGCATCGAGCATGGGTTTCAAACAAGAGTTGAGATAATCGAGATGGTACAACACATGTTAGAGAGCATTGATGTCATAATGTGGGAGAAGAGAAGCTTTCAGGGGTCAAGCGTTCGAGAGCCAATCCACTACTGAATTCAGCTGGAAATGTCCCAACGGAGCGGAATGGATTGCAAGTTTGTGGTACGCCAGGGATCCACCGGTCAAGCCCATACATTGCGAACTGTTCCGCACCAGAGAGATGCTCTATTTGCCTAGGTCCAGGCCCGACTGAAGAGGTAAGGATCTAGCGAAATGACTGGCCCCAAAATGAAGACATCAAATAGCCATATCGACGTCAAGTCCGCTGCCAAGACCCCATCCTAATCAAGAACACATATTCCCTTGCGGCGATCCCTCTCCTCCAGCGCAATCACGATTGAAAAACGCGAAGAGAAGCATTGCCTGCAAAGCAAGGAGTCAGCGTGACGTCCTGCGGAAAATCATGACCATCACAAGGCTGTCTTGTCACGTCTATATTACGGCCTGGGCAAACACGGGAGGTAGGAATGGCATATGTCAGAGGCGCCAAAGGGGGGCGTTTGGAGGTCACAAACCTCGGCTTTTTGTTCTTTGTCAATGCAGAAGAAAACGAAGAGCAGGGAGTATGTCAAAATATCTACCGAGCGCCTCTGTACCCATCCGCAGTGCAGTAGGTATATCTGTCTTGTATTTATATGACGACTACCTCAGTGGTAAGTAACGAGGTTCGAAAATGGTCAAGACTCACACGAGACCATGGTCCTGCTCCGCAGTTGCGTCGTGCCTCGTGAGTCACCGCTATAACTCTGTGGAGACGATATGTATGGGTCCGTGACCAAGAACGGACCTGAATACATAAACACATGGGAGTTGGCAACCGCTTGTGTACGCTGGGACCAATCGTTGTTGAGGATACCTCCCTCTCTACAAAGTGCCGAGACTTGGTGATAGGCCACATCGAAGGGCGGAGTACTCCAGAGGTAGCGATGTAAGCACCAAGGAGGGAACAGCTGCTGCAGGACTGGTACAGGAACACCCAGTGGCCTCTTTCCCTGCGTCCCGCGTACTGGCAATGGTTGCGCTGTGGCGGGACTATTGATCTGCACTGAATATTGATGTTCTCCTAAGAAACCGGGAGAGATCGAGAAGTCAACACACACACACACACATATAGCCGAGCCTCTACAGGAATAGGCTTAACCGTCTTCTGGTTTAGTTGGTACTCCAGAATTGCAGCCCACATGTGGTGAGTCAGACGATGCGGGGCAGGAGATCCAACAAGGACATGGACGTATTCGTATCACCTCGAGTATGGACGTATGCAACATATTGCAATATATCCCTCACGCACGCATGTGCCCTTGGCAATCTGCTAGATGCAGTATGGTGCTCGGTACGAGGAGAGGTACTCCTGACCATGTATACCTGAGATCCTCGTATGTATGTAGGGAGACAACATATGGAGGTAGGTATGAAGTAGGCATTGAAGTAAGAATGCCACCATTGCTCATACGAGATACGAGCATAACAACCCAAGTAATACCTCGTACCTGTCCCTATGAACTGTCTAACTAGGTATTAGACTCAGCCCGCTCAAGACCGCCAAGGCCAGGCACCAACCGCCGTTGCCACGATCCAGCCCTCCAGCCAAGTCCCCTGGTAATATGACGGTGCGTCATCCTCATCCTAATCCAAGTCTGGAAGTTAACTATCAACCTTGCAGTCATGGGACAGTTAGGGTTCGGAATGCTAGAGATGGAGAAGAGCGTTGTTGAAGAGCAGATCAGTGCCGATGTAGGGGAGCGTAGTAGAGAGCAAATACATACATATAAAGGGGGCCTGACTCGCCTGACTGAGTGGCTCAGAGATCGTGGCTCACACTGTATCCGGAATCCCTTTCCTGTGTATTGTACCTGGAATCCCTTTGAGCGAGTCGCTTGTGCCTCTGTGTCTGGCCGTCTTCTGAGGACCTGAGACGTCGTGCTTGGTCCAGCTCTCACCACTGCTGCCTCGTATCTTACATCAGCCTCTTCCCGTCCCTTCCCTCCCGCATCCACTTCTTCCTGGTCCGGGGCCCCCTCGCCGCCACTATTGCTATCTTGATATTTGTACTCGGAGACGTCCACGATCAGATATCACTCTTCGTCTCTGACTTCCTCCCCAACATCCACACCACCACGCAACAACCAATACACTCCAAAAAAGGGACAAAGAAAAGGGGAATCTCCTATCGTCTTCAAAATGCCGGCCCAGATGAGCGAGAAACCCAAAACCTCGAGCGTGAACGCCGAAACAGCCTCGATCCAGAGCACTTCCACCATCTCGAGTCTCAAGGCGCTGCTGCACCCCAAGAACAAACAAGAAAAGCCACGGATCCAGCCCGAGACCATAGAGCAGAAGACCACGAGGAGAGAGGCTGCTGCCACCTATATGGCGATGATGAGATAGCCTGCATGGACGGCGGATGTACAAAGCAAAGCAACGCAAAGGACAGGAAAGGAGGGAGGGCGAACCGAGGGAGGATAGACCCGTGGTATAATGAGTAATATAGTAAAGTCTGAGCTGTCAGTGAGCACAACCCGGCTCGAAATCGGGAATGCAATGGTTAGATCGCAAAGGCTGATTGAGCTACTACCCTTCCTCTGCTGTCGCACTTGTGCATTTGACAGCTGGTCCAATCTGAATCGCTTTCCAGGGTGATACTGTAGAGCCGAACATTCCCCAGAAATTGTGTACTATGCGGCTGTCATCCCCCACGTGGTGATGCCGATAGAGTAAGCTCAAGTGGTTGCGTGCTGACATCCAGCCCTATGGGCCCCCTTTCTTGACAATATAAAGGGCACAATCCTCTGGTGTATCATCCCTCTGATTTTTTCGGCTTCTGACATTGTCGCGTCGAAAACCGCCATCGCCACCGCCATCGACACCGCCAACGCAGAGCCAGAGCATCAAATTTCTCGTTTACGGTTGGAGTGTATTCGCCCGGTCGATGTTTTCGGTGGAATGGTGTCTCCTGGAGAAAGAAAAAAACATGATGCTCGCCATTGTTGGAACGTCGGCCACCAAAAGAGCGCCGGTCCCGACAAGCAGCTCGGCCGAACTCGGATTACCAACATGCGGGTCTGTATGCTGCTAACTCCGACCGCCTTTGGTCAACGCCCCCGACTTGATCGGCTCCACTATGGAAGGGTTTGTCGATGGACGTGCAGAGTGAGCTCCAGATTGACTCAGGGGCCTCTCCAACCAGATTCCCGTCGCTTGAGTCGATGGCCGAGCTCTGCTGTTATGAGCGAACCGCGTTAGTGTGTACGGCTTCGTACAGCCCCACGACGGCGACCGTCCTGAAACGACATGGCATCGAGCGGCATCATGTCCGTCCGTCCAATGGCGCAGGTCCATCTAATCTAATCAGTGTCCAAAGTTTGTTGCTCGCGCTTTCAATAAGGCCGAAGCTCGTAATCAGGGTGTTCCTTGGGTCCCTGGCTCTGCAAGGCATCTCGGGTGCATCTTGATCTGGATTCCGAGTTTTCGATATATCAAGAACCCGGCAGATTCGACTTTCAGCTTGAACCTACCTAGCCCTTTTCCTCCAGGTCTCTCTTTTCTCTCCCTTCCTGTTCCTGTTAGCGTCGAGCAGAAAGAGCCCCAAACCTCGAACCATTCACTGCCCAACCCGATTGTTGTTTGTACGATAGCCCAGACCCCCCTACACGGACAAACCCCCTCCTTCCCTTCATTCAGCTCGATATTGTCCGACGATCGCCGCAATCATCGCCATGTCGCAAGACCTGGAGAAGCAGGTGCCTATCCAAGGGGAGTCCGAGCCTGAAGCCCAGGAGAGCCATGTTGTCCCCGATACCAAAGATTTCTCGAATTCGCCCACGGAGAAGTCGTCGCTCGACCAGCCTGCCCAAAATGAGCCTCCTAAGCCTGCCAATCCCTGGATGGACCCGGCTTCGTTTCCAGACGGCGGTGCGCAGGCCTGGCTCACGGTTGCCGCCGCTAGCGCCTGCTTTTTCGTTTCCTGGGGGTACGTGGTGCTTCGAGCTGTCTCTCGCGGAACCTGCGATGCTAATGTATATGTGTGTCTCCAGATGGATCAACTGTATCGGAGTGTTTCAAGACTACTACATGCGCGCCGAATTGAAGCAATACTCACCTAGCACCGTCGCCTGGATTCCGTCACTAGAAACCTTCTTCATGTTGGCCACGGGTCCGGTCGCAGGATTTATTTTTGACAACTATGGCCCGACGAAGCTGCTCATTGTCGGGAGCTTTCTGCACGTCTTCGGTTTGATGATGGCCTCCATCTCCACCGAATACTACCAGTTCCTCCTCAGCCAGGGCGTCTGCAGCGCCATCGGGGCGTGTTGTATTTTCACCCCGGCTGTCTCGTGTGTCTCGACGTGGTTTTTCCACAAGCGGGGTATGGCTATCGGCCTGACCGCCGCAGGCAGCTCTCTCGGCGGGGTACTGTTTCCCATCATTGTCAGCCGCATGATCGACGAGACCGGGTTTCCCTGGGCCATGCGGACGTGCGCGTTCCTGATCCTGGGCCTGTGCACCTTCGCCATCTTCACCCTGCGCTCTCGGTTCCCTCCAACTCGGCGTCCGTGGAGCCTCATGGCCTTCATCCGCCCGCTCAAAGAGGTCCCCATGATCCTGCTCACTCTCGCCACCTTCTTCTTTTACTGGGGCATGTTCCCCGTCTTTTCCTTCGTCACGGCGGTCGCCAACGGGCGAGGCATGTCGATTGAGCTGGCTCAGTACCTTGTCTCCATCCTGAACGCCGGATCGGTCTTTGGTCGAACATTGCCAGGGTTGTTGGGTGATCGGGTCGGGCGATTCAACGTCATGACCGTGTTCTGCACCCTGACAGCCATCCTGATTCTGGCTTTGTGGATTCCGGCCACCAGCAACGCCGGTCAGCTCGTGTTTGCCCCTTTGTTCGGTTTTGCGTCGGGTGCCGCTATCGGATTGACGCCTGCTCTGATCGCACAAGTGTCTCCGATTAGAGAGATCGGGGTGCGAACAGGCACCGTTTTTGCTGCCGGCTCGATAGGAGCTTTGACCGGGTCGCCAATCGGAGGAGCACTGATCACTCGCGACCACGGCGGCTTTCTGTATCTCCAGTTGTGGGGAGGTTGTGTTTGTATCGTCGGCTGTGTTTTCTTCCTTCTCGCTCGGATACACCTGGTTGGCTTCGAGCTGAAGAAGAAAGTGTAGGGGACGATGTCTTCGGGGGTATTTTGCATGCAGGAGAAAGCGGCGAACAGGATTGGCCGTAATCTGTGTATTCCTGGTACTATTAGCGATAGAATGGAACTTCACCTAATGGGCAAACCATGGGTATTCGAGAAAACGTCTCTCAGTGTGCCACTGGCGGACGAATTGCTTGTTCGGCAACGGGCTAACGTGGTGGGTTTACACCAGATACCATGCCTATTTGAGTATGCAGGGTTTGAACGGAACATGTAATATGTAGGTGATGATGGTGGTGGTGGAAGCTACGGGGTTGGTGTTTGTCAGACTGTTTGTCAGACTGTGGCACGTCCCCACGTCCGCGTCCCAACTGCGCGCTGCGTCTAGTTTGGGTATGTAATTACAAACGACTTTTCATCTCGTTGTCATCGACTCGTCTTCATCTCTTCGTCATCCCATCCACCCATCCTTCCACCCGTCTGTTCGAGGATATCTGCGTGTGGTTGACGATGGCACAATCTGATGGATGTCTCGGTTGGCCATGTCAAGGCCAGATCAGTCCTCAACGTAATCGCTATCGTTGGGATCATCACCGCCATCCATCATCTTCACGTCCTCTGCTTCTCCTTCTTCAGTCTCCTCGACTTTGCCCTTGTCCTTTTGCTTGCTGCTCTTCTGCGACGCAGCCACAAGACGAGCAGCGCTCTCCATATCGTTGGCTTCGATGGCCTTGACCAGCGAGTCCTTCAACTTGGTGAGCGTGTTGACCTCCTCGTCCAAGCACTTTTGGGCGGCGATGAGATTTTCTTGTTCGACCTTCAGCTCTCTGTTCAAATCATCGGCTTTCATCGCCTTAGTCTCGGCATCCACGGCCTTGACTCTGGCCTCCAACATCTGTTCTTGCATCTTGACATAGCTGCGACAATCTCCCTCAATGTCGAGATCCCAGGGGAGCGTCTCCAGCTTCTCCAGGTGGTTTCGAAGTAGCCGAGCGGTATTAGCGGTCCAGAAGTTAGGCAAGGTGACCTGTTTCGTGGCCGCCTCGTCTGAATGCCACAAGACAACCGCGATCTTGACCATGTCGCCAGGTACCCGCTGAGATTTGGCGACCGTCAACCACCAATCCTTGAAGGCGGCTTCTTGGAGGAAAAGACCACGAGTGAAGCTCTTGATGGTATCAGGCTTGAACTCAGTGGTCGGCCCGTAGACCATCAATCCAGCAAACTGGGCCTTGGTGACCTCGATATTGGTCCGCTTCAGCTCAAAAAGGAGACTGTTCTTGACGAGGTCCTTCACAGCTTCAATCGAATTCATGTTGTCAATGTTGGACTGTACCTCCCGCGTGAAGCGGCCAGCCTGCGGGGCTGCGACATGAACCAGGACTGGCATGATTTGCGGCAACAGCCATCCCTGAGCCGATGTTAGCATGATGTTGCGTTGCGAAAGATGGAGTCCTACAGTGGTATGTTTGTGTTGGTGAGTGATCTCTCCAACCTGCGCCGATTCGAGTCTTTCCCATGTCTCAAAGAGTGGATATTTGGTGGTCGTGATGGTGGTTTCAGGGTTCGTGACATCAGGCCCGGCGTCTTGCGCAGCATCACCCTTGGATTTCAAGGCATCCAGCCTCTGGTGTAACTGTCGATCTTTCTTCGTCTTCAACCTCGTCTGCTTGTGCTTTGCACCTTCGGGGGCCATCTTGACCGAATTCACTTGATTCAGGTGGAGGGAGCGGTTTAGGAGGCTTTGCCCAACGACAACAGGCAGGCGATTCTATCAGGCGGTTGAAGGAAGCTGAGAATAATGGGTAATACTTGATTTTGTTGAAGGACAAGAGTAACTGACAGAGCTTGTTGAAAAAGCGGAATTGCATCAAAACAACATGGGACTGTTGATAGTGACAAAGGAGGCATTTCACTTTTGTTACATGTCACTGCCTTCGATCTCTGCCGGACGTTAACGCATCTCTCTGATTTTAAAATTAGTGCTGGTGCCCTCCTCGTCAGTAACAGCCATATCGACAAACGCTAACAGGGCCACTATGGCAAACTGCACACAACAAACCAACAACAAAATAAACACCTCAACGGTAGACGAAAAACAAAAAGAATGGTATTCATAGAGTTGAAGGGACATTTGCAACGGAAGGAGGCCTCCGCGACGCTCCCAACACCGACGGCGTCAAGGATGCGCGGCACTGAAGCAGGTCGAGGACTCAGTCGAGAAGTACAGGGCCACTCGTCTTTTCGCAGTCGACGCCACTATCGCTGAACAAAGACATGTCAGATTGGAGGATCTCGCTGCCTCAAGGTCCGCATGCATGGCTTTGAAGCGGACACGCCCCTCCTTCGCAAGCTCGAGGTAGATCCGATTCTTACGATTCGATCACCATCTCTAGAAGAACCCGTTATCCACCTTGAGCCAAAGTTCCGAAGAACCGCTTTTGATGCGAAGGCTTGGGTAAAGGAATTCGACCTTTCTACTAGGGTAATGTATCTACCAGGGGAGGCGAGAGGAATTGTGGGATTGTATATTCCTAGCCGCAACTTGTCATGTGACCACGGCCAGTCACACATCGCAAGGGGACAGTACACGGTGATAGCTTCACATTCTACGTGAACCTATGACACAGTGTTCTAAGGTGGAAATGTCAAGATTCGTGGTCGGCGACCTGAAACAGAGCACTGAGAGCCGGGGCCTTTCTCAGGTAAGCCCTCCTCTTTCCCACCCTACACGATGTCTTCCAGGCACAACTGGGGCTTTCACCGACGGCAGGATGTCTGGCCTTGTCAATGACTTCTACAGCGATGCGTTGTTCTGACTCGAGGCTATCTTTGAAATCTCGTGGGCCTCAGGTCCCGCCAGCCTACTTTGGTTCAAAACTGACCATCATTCCGGCATTCGGATCAACATACGTTACTCTCCAATGCAAAGATCGCTCTTTCCTGCAGCGGCGGCATAATCGCAGAGCTTGCGTGTTGAAAAAGATCTGTGACCACGACCGGTGACTAGGATGAAAGGCGCAGATGAATTCGACGCCTGGGTTGTTTGTGCGACCATCAGGTTCCCGTCTGCATCTCCTCGCCCACTCGTTCCAGGGCACGAGCCAATGACAAGTCGAAGATAACCGAAGATTAAATTCCACAGAGATTGGCTGCTTTATTTCCCCGACGACTGAAGCGGCTACGCATGCATGCTTGTATCAACCTTGTTACGGCACCAACATGGCGAGACGAGGTTAGGATTCTCCAGGCCTGCGCCATCGGACCCGGACCGTGAAACACTGGCACTGTACAGATCATGGGCGGCCGCGCCCTCCCACCAAGACCTCACGGACGTCTTTCTTGATGCGGGCTTCTCAATGGCCCGTCCGCTGCGCAACGACGTTCTCAATCAGCCATCCACTGCTGAACCAATATTTTGTTGCCATGTGGCATGCGACATCCAAAACCCACAACATAACCTAAAACCTCTTTCTAGCTACCTCCATATTTTCGCCAGCCATTGTGCCGTCCTTTTTTCACGCCCAAAAAAAGGCAACGAGGCAACCCAACGGAGACGTCTGCCAACCACAGATCTCGATCGTCGTGGATGACGAGATGGATAGCTCACGCTTCCAGATGCCAGGAGGTCCCAAGCGGTCTCCATTGGTGGCCAGACCCAGGTCGCCCCCCCCATGCGTTCTAGGGTCCTGAGAAGCGATTTTTGCTATGGAGCCTGGCGGCTCTGTCTCACGTTAGGAAACGACCCCAAGCTCCTCTCCAGCCGTTCCGATAGATGTGATCACGGGTCTGCCATCCACGCTGACTGCCTAAGCCTAGACTGCTTCAAGCGTTTTCCATTGCCAACAGGAATCGAACACCGAACAGATTGCTCCCGGGCGAGAGAGTTCTAAGAAAGGAAGAGAATGAATGAAAGTTTCAATACGAGATTTTCCCTAGCGGTTACGACTTTATGAGGCAGTTGATTCGATCAGCTCCCGTCCTCCTACTTGGGGGGATTGCCACCTTCTGCAGGGATGACGCTTTTCCTTGCAACTTGCAATAACCATAGAGAGCTGGAGGTTGCCTAGTGCCCTTCCAAGCCTGCTGTCAGGGAAATAGGTGGTCCCCACCGAATGGGTACCCAACAAAGCTCTTTCATCGGCCATATAGCTCTTGGATACTCTCTCTCTCTCTTTCGCGCTCTCTCTGTCTCTCTCACATACAGACTTCTTCTCGGTTTCAAAGCTAGCCAATACTCCTGCTTGCTGCCAGTCAACGACCTTGGCGCCTCCGCCAATCCATCTACTCATCATCTGTCGGCTGTTTTCCCATAGTAATGGCAGCGTCAACAGGCGGAGATGGCCAAATGCCAGGTCGTCACAATAGAGGTATAAGATTCAAATCAGTCCACCCAGATGAGCAAGCGCTCAGGAGTTGTACTCAGTGCTTCGAAGATCACCGCAAGGTATGTCTCTCCGGTCCAGTTGAGGATCTAGACTAATAGTACACTTTCAGTGCGCAGAGCGTATGCCAGGACAGAAGTGCTGGGAGTGTAGACAAAGAAAAAAGGATTGCAGTGATGAAACTCTCCAAGGTGCAACGGGCCCTGACACAGACCGCTCTCCAACTGGAGTTCACCCACCGCCCTCCGCGCAGCCACAGCAGACGTGTGTTTTACGGCATTTTTACGACGGGGCATCGAAGCTGACACCATTCGCAGGGAAAGTCCCTTTTTTCCTATTGACGACATCGATTTCCCAGAGCCACGGGAGGCGGAGCACCATCCCTCCACTTACTACATGACTAGCCAGGTCCAAATCCCTCGATACTCTTCACGCATGTATATGCATGCCAATTCCGGCGAGTTTGGATACAACACCCACACAGCGCAAGACAATAACCAATACGGGTACGTAAGTCCAGCGTCATTCCTGGACGACCAAAGATCGTTCACGGTCTATGACTACAATCAAACAACGGAGCCACAGGCACACACAGTCGACTCAAATATGGCTACAGAAAGCGTGCGAGAAGGGTCAAGAGCTGACGAAGATGGAGGGGCAGAAGCTGATGAGGAAGAGGAAGAGGAAGAGGAGGAGGAAGAGGAAGAGGAGGGGGAAGGGCCCAGACGGGAGGCTCTGTGGCCTGGGAACCCCTGTGGTACCCCGTGGCAATACAACTAAAGCGCAGAAAGAGTCGATCAAATAGGGAAACAATAGGTGGGAGGGGAGGTGTGAAGAGAAATTTCACCAGTCCATGTGGAATCACATCAAGGGGTAAAGTTGTTGAGGATGGGCTGCTGGTCGATGTTGTCGTTCTGCTTGCCATTGTTCTTTTTGGGTGTCTTGTAGGGTTTCCCCCAGCTCACATCTTTTGGAGCCTCATGGCTCAGCACACGCAGCACGCATTTCTTTTCATGTCATGTCTGGTCTTGTGTTATCAGGCACACGAATTGGTTGCCGGTCTCCTCATCCACGAATTCCATATCATGTCTTGTCATACTATGTGTTATCTAGCAATAAGAATTGATAACCAATCTTTCCCATTCACGCATTTCTATGAAAGAAAATGATATATTTTTTTTGGCCGTGTTGCTTGCTGTACTCACTCCTATCCCTTGGAAGGGAGGCCTCCTGCTCCTGGGGCAGCCCGCCAGCCCACCAGCCCACGCAGCTCTGGGTCAGTCGGCCTCCAGGCTCTGGATTGCATCCGTTAGGGTAGCTGGACAGTTCACTGGGACATAGGTATCAGGGGAGCCGGGGGGTGACTGTTAGTACAAATTAGCGAGGCCTCACTAGCCTAGCGAGCCAAGGTCCTCTAGGCGCGGATAGAAGGGGTGCGGGAGCTTACTCTAGGCAGCCTAGTAGTAATCAGTAGCCTGGAGAATTTCGCGGGGGCGAGGCGCGGAGATGCAGTTACGACCCGTACAGTACAGTACATCCACCATCGGAAAAGTAAGTACCAGTCGAAATGACAGAGTCTTGTCAATTAACCCTCCAATTTAAGTCCGAAACAAGAGCAATTAATTCCCCCGTCCTCCTCCTTATGTTATGGCCAGCCTGCAGAAATGCGTCGAGGATTGGCATTCGGGGCGGGAGTAATGCAAGGCGGGTTCGTGGGCGGGCGCTATTGGGGTTAGTCTGTTCTGTTCCCGCCGCCAAGCAATCTAGCTGCCTCTTTCGTCAACAAACATGTGCTCCTAGTTACCTCGGCCGAAGGCCTTCGGACTAGCGTCGACAGGACGTTGTAAATTACTCGAAGGTATATAGTCAGACGGTCCCCAGGACCTGGTAGAATTCACCATGTTCCTCCATTGAGTCACACTGGGAATATTTAGAGGAATCTGATTAGCTGAGGGCTATTGTCGCCCAACAGCAGCCCGGCAGCCCAGTCCCGTTCGCCAGTCCACAGCCTTACCACAGTACTACCCAGGCAGGGTCATCCTGACTCGAAATCACTAGCACTGCGAAACCTTGTTCGACCACGACCGCGTCTCAGCCCTCCGCCTGAGGACTCTCCAACACCCAGGTGGTCGACGTGCGCCGAAGTCAACGCGAAGAGGAAATAAGGCTTGAACATAAATAAGCGATGGGGCCGGGGTGATTGCCATTGATGCCGTGTCATGTGGACGACCCAAGGATGGATGTAATGGAGAAGAGAGGAGAGCAACGTTGCAAATCATGTCCGTCATCCCGGCACAGAACACCAGGCAACCAGGCCGGGGCCGCTGATGACCGATCGGTCAACCAATTAATCAATCAACCAGTCACCTGGCACGATTTCATTGAGGTGAACTGTGTAGAACAGACCCGTTCATTCACCCACAATTCAAGTGTATGTGGATGAAAGATTTATGGCTTACATATTCGTTCAGCATACATTGCTCGGACGAACGACGTTGGGTTTACCGTTTGGCTGTTTTTACGGGTTTCCTTTTGAGGAGATCTACACGGAGAATTATTTCTCCGGGGCTTGGTTGGGTTTGCTTCTCCAGGGTATTTATGTTCCTTGTCTTGGTGAGTAGGTAGATAATGGGCAATCAATAGCTGGATAGCAATTGTACATAAGAGTGAGTACTCACGATCCTCCATATCTCTGCAAGGCACAAAACATAACAAAAAAAGACACGATCCTATCGACGCCAGCTCCTTAGAAGCATCAACATCCAGCATGGACCCTCGTGTCGCGGCCGTCGACGGCTTCACCAGGACACGCCACACGTCTGTCCCATCGTCGTTGGATCCTGCGAGCGTGAGGCTAGAAGAGTCATTCACGGTCTGCATCATCGGCGCATCTACGGGAATAGGCGAGCATATCGCCTACAGCTTTGCACGGGCCAAGGCAGCCAGGCTGGTCATATCCTCCCGAACACTCAGCGACCTGGAGATCGTGGCTGATGAAGTAAGACGGATCAACCCTATTGGCCATGTTGATATAGTGGAGTGCGACGTCTCGAAAGCGACATCTGTCCAAGCTTTGGCAGAGCACGTCAAAACCCGGTGCGGACGATTGGACATCCTGATCCTCAACGCTGGCTACGCCGGCCCAGTCACCACAAAGATAGACCAAGGAAATCCCGAATGTGTCCAACACGCCTTTGAAGTCAATGCGTTGGGCACCTACTTTGCCGCACATTATTTTGTTCCTTTACTGATGCAGACCGAAACCGGAGCAAAAGGATTCATTGCCATCGGGTCCATCGCAGGCTGCATCAGACGAGGGCCCATTGCGAACACGGGTTACACAGTCAGCAAGTTTGCCCAGATCCGCCTGGTCGAGTATCTCCATGAACAGTATTCCGGGGAAGGGTTGGTCAGCCTTGCCCTTCATCCGGGAGCAGTGATGACGAGGATGGCACGCGGGAACACGCCGGACGAGTTTCTGCCCTGTAAGTGGTTGAACGAGCGCCCTTCAGCTTGTGCATGACTGATTTTTTTTTTCTACAGACATGACCGACGACGTTGATCTCTCTGGAGCAGTCTGTGTGTTTCTCAGTAAACAAATCAGGCATCTCGGCTGGCTGAGCGGAAGACTGATCTCTGCCACTTGGGACATGGAGGAATTGATAGCAAAAAAAGACCAGATAGAGGAGAGAGATTTGCTCAAGTTTGCCCTGTTGACGGAGTAGGCTGTGGTCGCAAAAGAGGTAAACGCGCGTCATAATTGGTGGTGCGAAAGAAAGCTTTGCAATTAGGACAACAGGAGCCGCTGACTCGCCCGAACAAACTCTCATGATTTTCCGTGAGGACGGCCTTCTGTTAGGGCAGAAGACGCGACGTGATTTGCCCAGCATCTTCAGTGTTTCTGCAGGTTTGGGATGACGATGCAAGGTACCAGACGTTGATGCCAATCCCGACCAGTCTCCTGCAGGTAAGGTGACACACACAAACTTATATGATCCGCAGGGTTTCTGGACAGAAATAGAAACCTGACGGGCTAGACCAACCACTCAGCTCGCCATATCGGATGGACGAGGCCAAAGTTGTTTTGCATGCGTTGTCCGCACACAACCACCCCGGCCCAGATAACTCTACTCGCCAACAGTTAGGCACACACCTACGAAGAATAAATCGCCGGTCGGTTGAGTCTGTCTTATATCTTGTGGGCATCCAAGTCATCTGTGCTCGGTCATCATGGTTGTCATGACTTCACCCGAATCCACATAACAGATTCATCGATTCTTCTAGCAGGAAACGTCCGGCGAAACAGGGAGTTCAACGTGACGGGCGTTTCACCGTCAAGCCACTGATGCAGGAAAGAGGGAAGCATGACGCAGGGCATGGTGCATGGAGCAGGTCAAGGACGCAAGCGAAGGCCGTGGATGTGACAACGGGAGGAGGCCACCCCGATGTGGAGGGCGGATGTGGAAGACCGGAATCATGATTTGCTCTGTTTGAGGCAAAGCCCTGGGTCGAGGAAGCAGGTTCTTTGGCCAGGTTCCACTCGTGCGCTGCAAGTGGCAAAAACGCCCAGCTTCCTTTATGAAACCTGCCGCAGACGGGGGTAGAGGAGGAGGAGAGAAGCCGCTGTATCTAGCAGAGGCGTGATCTGGGCCAGCTTGTCAGCTACACAGGAAACAAATAAGAAAAGCATGTTCTCCGTAGAAAAGAGTGAAGGACTGAGATAGGCGGACAGAGAAGAAGAAGAGCGGGCGGATACCAGCCTCCGAGCCAGAGCCCTGATAGTGGTGGCTTGTTGCTCTGATGCCGACTTTCCGCTCAGCAGGCACCGCCCGGGTACCATGACCGCCTGGAGCGCACTGGGCCAGCCACTGGCAGCTTACCTAGGGCACAAAGTCCCAGGCTGGTAGTCGTATCGCATGGGGAGCTTTTAGTGGTACCCGGTTGGTTCTGCGTAGTGCTCGGCTAGCCATCGACTTTTCAGAGGGGACGGAGTTGCTGCTCCGTACGTCTCGCATCGCCCACGTGCGCATCACCAACAGCTGTCTCTTGTTGTTACCGGTTTGCTTCAGCTCTGAGCCTCTTTATCACCACCATCCTCAAGGATACAGTTACAGTGCATATGCAAAATCTTCATCCCTCATTGTGTGCTATTGCCTCAGCCGGACCCAGTCACCAGGAAATCATTCGATTCCTACTCGTCCTCCACCGCATCACGGAACACTCGCATATCCCGCGTCTGATCTGACAGGGATCCCACGCTGAGAAGAGGAGGACAGACAGGGAAATCCACTCCTCCCCGAACCTGTGGACTCAACGCTGGGTGGCTCGGTGGCCCTCGACCAAGCCACGATTTTCCCTTCCCTGCGGCACTAGTGGCAGAAAAACTCTCTTAACTGGGACACTGCAACTGGCACCTCCGAAACTTCCTCACTCTGCCAGACGAAGCCCAACTAGGCCTTGAGCACACACTCTCTACCAGCCTTCTTATTTCTCCTGCCATCTTCCAACTCGTACCACTTCTCATCGTCACTCACTGTTCACTACTGCACCTGCCACGAACTTACCTCTCGTTTGGTTCGCCGCATCTGCTTCCTGCACCTCCCATTGACAGCCATGATCGGCCTGCGCAACGCCTTCGTTTTCAGCACTCTGCTGCTGGGCGCGCTCAGTTCGCCCGCCCACGTTCCAGAAGATGACAATGCATTAATCAACTGGGACGCGTTCCAATCTTTACTCGACACCGTCGATCCTGCGGCCCTGCATTCCGTCCTCCACTCCCTCTCCCCGAAATTCCAAGATGGTGTCTTCAGCAAGGACCGTGCAGCCATTGAGCACGTCCACTCCGAGAATCCCGTTATCGCGAGCAAGCTAGTACATTTGGCAAAGAAGAGGCAGTCAAGCAACTCGACCACTACCGCCTCGACGACACCCTCCACTCCTGCACAGAGTAGTGCTGCGTCGGAATCAAGCTCCCGGGCAGCCAGTGTCTCTTCCATCCTGTCGTCTGCCATCTTCGCATCAACCGTACCAGGAGCCACCACGGTGACGGTGCCGCCGACGGCCCCGCCCTCTGCCACTCCCGTCGAGACTTCTGATGGTGCTGTCGTTTTCAGCACAGTCGGGGGTGGACTGGTGACCCTCACATCCTCTGCTTTGAGTGTCCACTTCACTCCCAGCACGTCCACCCAGCTCTACTACACAACCGCCGGCGACGGAAGTGTTCAAACGTCGACCTCAGTGGTGGTGGTCAATGCGCCAGTGACAGACAGTGGTGATGCCACTGGCGCCGCCGGTGCCGCAACCACCACCGGCAGCCCCGGATTGCAGAATGGCGGTTCTTCGATAAGAATGGGAGGTCTCGCCTCTGTATTTGCTGGTCTGGGAGGATTCCTCTTCCTGGCACTGTAGACAGAGTTGGAGGCGGTCCATTTGGAAAAGCAAGTTCCGCCGATGGGTTTCCTGGCGGCTGATGTGAATTTTTATTGTGGGATTTTCAGCGTACATAACGACGATACGGCACCGGCATTTCTCTCCTTTGATCAGCAATCTGCAACGGCATAGCCTTGGGCGTTTCAGCACTTCCTCTTGGGAAGTCGACTTTTCAGTTTTGGTAGGCAAGGAAGGGAATACACAATGTGTACATGAAAGGGATATTGGGAACATCGAGGATAGAACGACTTGGATGGAAGTTGAAGCACCGGAGACTACCGCAACGGAGACAGGTAGTGCGGCACTGAGATAGTGTCCAGATGTGTAAGGACGTTAATCAGATTGTGTCTTGTCACCAGAGAGACTGGGCTTCGATTTGTCAATGTTGCCCAACTGGAATTCGTAATCTTTCTCATGTCTTGACTCCATTGAATCCCATCACGCTGACGCACACGTGACCTCTTTTCAGCTCATCATATGGATGCAGTTCGACGTCCATCTGCATCGTCAGCACTGAGATACAAGAATATTCGTATTTGGGGCAGTCCTTGGCACGAGCGAAGCTGAAACACTCGGTGTTGTTGATCAAAGCGATCACACATGCCCAGAGCACACTTGCACCACTTGCATGAACAGTTCGAGCCTAACTCAAGACGAGAGAAAAATACAAAGAATGGCGACCCTTTCACCAGCACATCTGCGACTCTTCTCTGAATTATATACTTGTCAAAGGCCCGGAGTTTCATGGGTGTTGTTTAATTAACGGATATCCAAGTGGTCCTTGTCCTCGAGGCCAGACATTCGGTTTCCCCTGGAGTACGGAGTAACATACGGCATATACCGGGCACCCATGCCAATGATTTTATCGATATCGAATGACACGAAAGCGATTGACGATCTCGAAAATCATCAGCATGGTCCGAAGAGAAGCTGGTGACTCTTTAAGGGCATCCTGAGACAGATCTGGAGGCTACCAAGTCGTCTTGAAACAAGCTCCGGGCCATAAATGTGGCAGTGCTCAACGGGGGGGGCGCTGGAAATTTGCCAGAGACGAGATCGGCCGTTCGTGGGCATAATAACACCACATTGAACTTGTTGTCTACGCGGCCTTCTCAAGCGGTCTCATCATTGAGCATCATCAAACAACCACCCTGAGCGTCGGACACAAGAAACCCACCTCCTGCTTTGTCGAGGTTGGAAGCGGAATTACATGACCAGCAAGGTCGAATGTCGTTGGTCGTGTGTCCGTCGTGATCAAAGCAAACTTAACAAACCCCCCTGGGTGCCCCTTGTGCGCAATTCGAAACATGTGCCAATCGAGCCCCATCGCCAGACGGAAGTGGCCAGATCCAAGGAACTTCATCTGCAAGTCGTTTGCGGGCGGGCAGGGAGAGGGATGGAGGGAAAGGCGTGTGAGTGGTGGAGGCCGAGGGTGGCGCCTCTAACGAGGGCCTCTAACAGGCACTGGTGGCACTTAAGAGGCATCTAACAGGGGCTGGCGGACATCAATGGGGGAGGCGACCCCCACCACCGCACAGGCGCGACAGGGGAAACCGGACAATTCATCAACTCAATTGAACCATCCCTGCCTCAAAATATTGTGCCTCTTCAACGCTGTGAACCTGCATCTTTTCCCTTCCTTTTTCCTGCCCTTCGACATTCTTCACCTTCCCCCCCCCTCATTCATACCAAAAGCAAGAGCCGTCACCACTTCGTTTAGGTGTCGCTCCTCCATCGCTATCTCCTACTCACTTCTAATACCCAGTGTCTTCTGTTGGGAAATTCCTCACTCCCTTGGATCCCAACCCCTGTTCTTTTTTCTTCTACCTTCTTGGTTGAATTGTTCGACACAAAATTGAAAGGAGAGCACCTTGATTTCATCATGCGCACTACAACTTTGGCTACTCTCGCTTTGGGCGCAGGTGCTGCGTCTGCAGCTTCTGTCAAAAGAGCAAGCAGCTTGCCGACAGTCTCGGTCAAGGGAAATGGTACGTTTTCACGTGTCTCCTACGTGTTATTTTTTTGCTGTGACTGACCGCTGTGACAGCTTTTTTTGCCGGCAACGACCGATTTTACATTCGTGGTGTCGACTATCAACCCGGTGGTTCCTCGGACGTGGCTGACCCAATCGCCGACGAGGATGGCTGCCAGAGGGACATCCCGGAGTTTCAAAAGTTGGGCATCAACGCGATCCGAGTCTATACTGTTGACAACACGGCAAACCATGACACCTGCATGAATGCTCTGGCAGATGCTGGCATCTACCTGATCCTGGACGTCAATACCCCCAAGTATTCCTTGAACCGAGCCGACCCCGGCCCATCCTACAACGATGTATATCTTCAGAGCGTCTTTGCCACGATTGACGCCTTCCAAGGTTACAGCAACACCTTGGCCTTCTTCTCGGGCAACGAAGTCATCAACGACCCCTCGACCTCCGCAGCTGCGCCGTACGTCAAGGCTGTCACTCGTGATATCAGACAATACATCCGAAACCGAGGCTACAGGACCATCCCTGTGGGCTACTCTGCCGCCGATGTGGCCGAGAACCGTTTGGAAATGGCCGAGTACATGAACTGCGGCACGGACGATGAGCGTTCGGATTTCTTCGCCTTTAACGACTATTCCTGGTGTGATCCTTCGTCTTTCACCGTCTCTGGCTGGGACCAGAAGGTCAAGAACTTCACGGGCTATGGTATCCCCATCTTCCTGTCGGAGTATGGCTGCAACACCAACACTCGTGACTTTGGCGAGGTTGTGGCTCTCTACAGCTCCCAAATGACCCCGGTCTACTCTGGTGGCTTGGTCTACGAGTATTCCCAGGAAGCGAGCAACTACGGCCTTGTCGAGATCAATGGCAACTCCGTTGACGAATTGCCTGATTTCGGTACCCTTCAAAAGCAATACGCCAGCAACCCTAACCCTAAGGGTGATGGTGGTTACAACTCGACTGGCGGCGCATCTGGTTGCCCTGCTTACTCGTCACCCAACTGGCTTGTCAAGGATGATTCTCTCCCTGCCATCCCTGACGGTGCGCAGAAGTACATGACTCAAGGCGCCGGCACAGGACCTGGTCTCTCTGGTGCTGGCTCTCAGAATGCCGGTGGTGCTTCTACTGGAACCGCCACCGCAGGCAGCGGAGCTCCTAGCCAGACCGGCGGCTCTGGCACCAGCAGTGGAACCAGCAATGCAGCCGTTTCCGTCATGGTCCCCGAAATGTCGTTCGCTCCTCTGGTGTGCGGTGCTCTCGTTGCAATGTTCACGCTGTTTGGCGCTACTTTGTTGTAAATCTGCGAATGATGGCACGGAGTTGATTTGTGCCGGGGAGGAGTGAGGCAAATAGAGCCGGCCGTCTAAAGGAAAGGTTGTGGACATGGATTGGCTTCTCTTTTGCATGTAAGCATTGGGCGGATTCTGTTGGACCGGTTCGGCGTATCAAACAAGCTTTGAATATGAAAGTGGCATATTCATGCAATAGAGTTGCGCGGGTCTTTTGATAACAGATACAAATGAGGTAGCAACATTAATACGCCAACAATCATACTTGTACCCGGTTCTTTTGCGCAATGGTTATCTGCAACGTCGCCTTGCCCTTTTGGGTGTCCCAGGGGCCATCATACCATATGTTGCCGCCGCCCTTGGCGATCAGCTTGCCCTCGTCGGTAAACTCGACGCCCTCGTCCTTCAGCAACTTCAGTTTCATGGTCTGGTTGACTCCAGAGGGTGCCTTTTCCCAATCACCCTTGAATCCGCCCACGTAGCCGTCGCTTGCAATCACGCGATGACAGGGGACTTCCGGGGCGTAAGGGTTGTTTCGAAGAGCTCCGCCGACGGCGCGGGGGCTCGAGTTCAGCGAGCGGGCGAGGGCAGCGTATGTGGTTACACGACCCGGGGGAATAAGGACGAGGTGGGTGTAGACTCTCTTTTCGTTTACGTCGTGTGTCAGAGGGATGGCATATACAAGAACGGTGTGTAACAATTAGGAAAGGGCGAAAACTCACCTCTTGGAATTCGGTGATGGCCATTTTCGTGATTGTGTCGGGCTTTCGAGTCGATCTCAATTTATTTACTCAAATGGATTCCCGAATAATTGTCTTCTAGACTGAGATGTCTGGTCCGAGGTGGAGGATATATGTTTGATGCTGCTCTTTGAGTAGGATTCTGGAGAAGTCAAGTCGCTCGCACGTATTTATCTCCTCGAGAGAGAATGGCTTCTCTGGAGAATAGATAGGCACAGGAGATTTGAGTCATTGCTCCCCGACAAAAACTCAGCCCACGACATATACTCAAGGGAGCAGTAAATTTGGGAGCAGTACTCACCGTAGAGGGTTGGCTTATGGGATTTCCGGCTGCGTGATTGGTCACTTCTAGAGCAACGACCAGATGCGCGTACTCATTGAGCTAGCCACGAAAAGACCAAGGAGATAATTGTAAGCCACACTGGGGACGGCGTGATTATCTTAAGTTAGATTGGGCGGTTCCACGACTGAAGCGCGAGATCACGTGATAAGGAAAATGAAAACCGCCGACTCGGGTTGGACGGGGTGGAGCTTTTGCTCTGCAGTACAATATGCACTCCGATGCGAAATACTTTACCCGACTGTAGTGGCAGCTCCTACTCCAGATCAATCGCAGGCCAAAAGAGCTCGGTGCCTTTCCCACCAACCCCGAATTCCACCCTCTGTGAGGCTCGCCCTTCAAGATGGCGGTCATAGAAACGGTCAAAGAGGCCATCGGCCTGGGAGACGGTTCCGGTACGCATTTCTCTGACTCTTTCGTCATCTTCCCTCACCCCAAATGCAGCAGTCAAAGCATCTCGGAATGAAAGCTAATGTCAGCCCATTCTGCTTCTGCTGCAGCTCCTGCGTCCCGACAAGCAATGTCTGAAGCCCGGCTTCCCCTCGCCTACCGTGACAGCTGCGCAAACCTCCTGATACCCCTCAACAAATGCCGACACGAGACGTGGTACCTGCCCTGGAAGTGTGAGGTGGGTTTTTGTCCTCTGCTATCAATACGAAAGATATCTATGGGAATGGGCGCTAGAGTTTGAATGATGACATATGCTAACGAGCGCTTTCTTCCCTTTTTTTCGCGGCCGGCAGACCGAGCGACACAGCTACGAGAAATGCCAGTACGAGGAGTTCAAGAAGCGGGTTGCGAAGATGGACGAGTTACGGGCGGCCAAGGCGGCGGCGGACAATTAGAGGGAGAGAGTGTTTCGAGCACAAGGAAAATAAATTGAATTCGAGACTCATAAGGGGGCCTCGGCTGTATATATGGGAAAGAATTCCCTGGTGATGGTCTCTCGAAGGCGTCTACAGGCGGAGGGATAACGCACATGGCTACGACCAGAAAAGATGTTCCGAGACTGCACATTTGGGACTTTCTCAGCGTGCTGTAGCATTTACAGCTAGTATGGGAATTACTGACCCGACCGAAAAGGAATACAAGCTGCGATCCAAGACAAGGCCGTTTTCGTGGGTGTTCTTGTGCTCTCTGTCTGGAGGAGTTGTGATATCACGTGATGCGGTTGGCAACCTCCAGCTTTCTCCCTGCGTATAAGTCTTCACCTCGCGATATACATGTACTTCTTGACATGGTGAAATGATATGCAGCCCGCCATACGAATGCCCCCACGCTATACGCACGTATGTACAGCAGTTGGTCTAAGCACCATGCGGTTGAGCTGACAGGTGTGGCATTACACAGTCCGTTTCCGCGGATATCACCGGCGCGCCCAGCGGCACCATGGAGGAATGCTTCAAGTTGTTGCTCTCTAGCATCCCAATCCCCTTCCAATACCTCACGGACAAGTTGATGATGACTAATTGCAAATCTCTGCAGGCTCCACGGCGGCCAGTACGACGTCCCTCCTTCTGACCTTGATCTCGCCATCCATCCCACCCTCAAAGTGTGTGAGATGGCCCACGCGAGATCTCCCACCTCCAAGTTGTAAATAATATGGAGACCATCTCAATTGCCGTCGTCTCTCCATCCTGATACAGCCTTTCTGCTCTTTGCCAGTTCAACCCCACGAGGCGAGGCTCGCACTGCCAGAACCCACCTAGCCAAAAGTCTTTCCTCCCTCTCCCACATTGCGGCTGTTCCCGCCCGAACTCTGCCGTTCTCATCACTGCGCCCTGACAAGGGAAAAAAAAAATTGCATAAGAAAACGTCACAACCGGTACGAGGGGTTTGGCCGCCCATCGTTCCATTTCGGCAAATCCGGAGCCTTTTTCCATTCTCGAAAGGAAAAAAATACATCATCTATTCAACTTTCCCATTGGGGAGAAAAAAAAGATAGGGTCGACAATTTGACAATAGCTTTTTTCCTCTTGAGGTCCGCCATGTGTCTCCCCTAGATGGCCCGGAAAGTGGCACCATCGCACGGCTGTTCACTATAGAGAGTCGAAAAAACTTCGGGGGTTGATCGTTCCCATCTTTTGAATCCTCTCACTCCCTTCTGATTCTTTTTTTTTGCCCCTCTCCGGGCCCTTCTATTACGGCGCAACTTTCCAAAAGTAGCCATTGTTACATTTGAAAACTATACTTGTCTTATTGTTTTTTCCCCCAATATGGGTCTTTTGTAGGTACCAAAATATCTTGATCCGATTCCCCCTCCACTACCCCCCTCTCCCTAAAGGCCATTTTTATTCACGCGATGCAGAGTCTTAGGGACGGCCTTGGATTGGCCAGACGCCAAAAAGGCCGCGAACCAGGTCCGGGAATGGGGTATCGAGGTAAGGGAGGCCAGAACGTGCCGGTAATCTACATCACTCCTTGTTTCTACCTACTGATACCCGTCCAAGCAATTGCTCGCAATATGGCGCAAGGCCAAGGGTAAAGAGCGTGATGCCCTCCTCTGGGGGGACGAGGTATGGCTTCCCCCCTTCGGCCGGATTTCCGTCCGTATTACTAAACACGTCTCCCTGCCACCTACAGGTCGAGTACCTCGTTGTTGCGATCGACGAAGAACATCAAAAGGTGCGGCTGTCGCTGTGCCAGGCTGATGTCCTCAAAGCTCTCGCGAAAGATGAGGCTCTGTCGGAGAAAGACACTGTCGTCCCCGATTTACAAGATGGTGTTATGTGAGTACTTCATGCAATCCCGATACTTGCCCGCTGTTGGTCTTGCTCCATTGACTCCTGGTTCCTAGTCGAAGCGGTGCCCTGCCGACCTTCCATCCTGAGTTCGGTCGCTTCATGCTCGAAGCGACCCCTGGGAAGCCATGGGGTATCGACTTCAAAGATTTACTCGACGTCGAGTACGACATGAGGCTCCGGCGTGAAATTGCTACCAACCATATGGAATCCGATCAATTCCCAATTACACTCACAACATTTCCTCGCCTTGGATTGCCCGACTCTATCAAGCCCGATTATCCTCCTTCCGGCCCAGCCTTGCGGTCACAGTTCGTCCCGGATGAGATCGCCAACCCTCACATTCGGTTCCCCACATTGGCGGCCAACATCCGCTCACGGAGGGGGAGAAAGGTAGAACTCAACGTCCCTGTTTTCAAGGATAAAAACACCCCGTCTCCTTTTAACGATCCAACGGTCAATTACGACCTGCATAAATGGCCCGAAGACGACGACGTCCGCAATGGCGCTGTCAAGCAGGACTGTGTCTACATGGATGCCATGGCTTTTGGGATGGGTAGCTGCTGCTTGCAGATCACGTTTCAGGCGAAGAATATCCGTGAAGGACGAACCCTCTACGACCAGCTGTCTCCACTTGGTCCCATTATGTTGGCACTGACTGCTGCCACTCCGATATACAAGGGCTTCCTGGTTGACACGGACGTCCGATGGAACCAAATCTCTCGAGCTGTCGACGACCGCACCGCCGAAGAACTCGGCGAGGTGCCCCTGAAAAACGATCGGTGGCGAATACCGAAATCCCGATATGCCAGCAACAGCACATACATCGCCGAGGATCCGCGCCTGCGACCTGAATATATGGACCCTGACCTGGTCGTGAACGAAGAACTGAAACAGAAGCTGCTGGCTGGAGGCATGGACGAACTTCTAGCGACGCACTTCGCGCACCTCTTCATTCGCGACCCAATCGTCATTTTCGCCGAGGACTTGGAAGCCCTCGATCCGGAGGGCTCGAACCACTTCGAAAACATCCAGAGTACGAACTGGCAGCACATGCGGTTCAAGCCGCCCCCTCCAGACGCGGATATCGGCTGGCGCGTCGAGTTCCGGAGCATGGAGATCCAAATCACCGACTTTGAAAACGCGGCCTTCGCCATTTTTATCGTTCTCATCACCCGTGCCATTTTGAGCTTCGACCTCAACTTCTACATTCCAATCCCGCGCACGACGGAGAACATGGAGACTGCGCACATCCGGGACGCGGTCATGACGGAGAAATTTTGGTTTCGAAAAGACCCGTTTCCGAAGAAGAAACCGTCGCCAGTGTTGAACGGGATCAGCGAGCCGCCGTCAAGTGGGGTATCCACACCGCGAGAGCGGCAGCAGGAGACCCCGAACGAGTCAACAGGACGTGCGTCAGCACCAGCAGAGACTGACGAAGCGTCATTTGGGCCCGTGGAAGAGGAATACACGCTAATGACGATCAACGAGGTCATCAACGGCGGCGGCGCCGGATGCGACGGCTTCCCCGGCCTGATCCCGCTGGTCGAGTCGTACCTGGACAGCGTCAACATCGACGTCGACACGCGCTGCCACCTGGCTGTGTACTTGGACCTGATCCGCAAGCGCGCCAACGGCACGCTGTGGACGGCCGCCAAGTGGATCCGCGAGTTCACCCGCCGCCACCCGGAGTACCAGGGCGACAGCGTTGTCAACGAGAAGATCGTCTACGACCTGTTTGCCGCCGTGCGCGACATCGAAGAGAGCCAGGAGATGGGCAACCGCCGCAAGCAGGGCACCGGTGGCAAGTACGCCACGGGCTGGGAGATGCTCTCGGCCAAAAAACGGGCGAAGGGGTTGGACGATAGTTGACACCGTATGCGCGCGTGTGTGTGTCCGTGAAAGGACACTATATGGGCATCGACACTGGCGTTGACCTTGACGTTTGCATTTGCATTTAACGTGGATATCCATCCGGATGATTCATGTTGACGTTTGTTGTTTTTTTGACGCATGATGATGACGATGCTGGCTGTGGTGGTGGCGTTGATATAGCTTTACCAACGTGTGGTGGGTGTCTCGGTTTCCCATCCGGAGGCTGCTTCGGTCGGTCGATCCGTTGCCACGACCCATGATCTATCGCCGTCTTTATTATCCTCGTCCATCATATTCATCACATATACCATACGTCCCATGGATACATCCGCATAGAGTCTGAGCCTCTTCCGTCTTGCTCTCTCCCTTTCTCTTTCATATGACAAAGCCGCTCGCCCGCTTTCCTCAGATATCGACGGATAACTTACGCATGGGGACGTGGGTAAGTAAGCAGGTGTATTAGGCGAGGGGACGCCGTCGGATTCGGTCATCGTCTATTCTCCTTGGCTCCTTCGCAGATAAATACTACTCGGGTTTGTTGGCTTCCCCAAGGGTACGTACGATTGAGAACAGCGCCCCCGAGCATCACTTAGTTATTCTCAGTCACCATCCAATAAACCCGTGAAAGGGATAAGAAAAAAGGCTATCACGCTAAGGACAACGAAACCCAAGACACCGGCAATCCCATAGCCCAAAACTTTACCACCAAGGCTGGGGCTCCGAAACATGCCCAACACAAAACAGGCCAGGACAACGGCCCAGATGAGGAGGTAAACCAAGAGTTGGAAAGGTGCCACTATTCTCAGCCAAGGCTCGCGGTCGAACGCCCAGAGAGCCGCTGGCGACCAGTATGCTAGGCGGGTTTTCGATTTGACGTGCAATATCACCTTAACGGCAAAGTACAGGACGATGGTTACCGAGCTAACGAGGACGAAGACGCCCAGCCAGTCGAAGAGGATGAGATCGAGCTCGTGAAACCGTTGCGACATGCTGAGAAAGGACGAAGCCAGGGAGGCAGGGAGAAACACCGCCGCGAGGATGGTCAATCTCTTCACGCTCGTAGACTCATGGATGTTCAGAAGTTTGTTCCGCGTTTCCAGAGTCCGATTGATCCGCTCGATTCTCCGCTCGCAATTCAGGCGGCGCTGTGAGCATGTCTCTCTGAGCCTCAGATATCGCAGTCCGTGGAGACTCTCGAAGTTTGGCTGGCTGGGAGAAGACGAGGAGGCCAGGTTGAGAGCTGCGAGGAGGAATAGAACCGCCTCCGTAACGTGTTGCACTTCTTGCAAAATCTCCTCGCATTCTTCAAACTGGAGAGTGATTTCCGAGTCTTCTCCCTGGGGAATACTGCTGTTTTTGTGACGAATATTTGAGAGCATATGGTAAGTTTGAATGCGCTGGGATTCCGGCGGGACTAACAACCAAAGACCATTAAAGGAGCTCGCGGGTTGCATGTATACATCCATGAGGAGAAAATCTAGTGTGAGGGCCGCTGCACATATCTTCGGGGCGCCCGTCGGAAGATTGGCCCAAGCTTCGCGGGATAGAAGACGGTCACTAAGGCGGGAATTTTTGCAAATGGACATGTCAATTCGGGGTGCAGACGCAACAGATGCCCTGCTATGATTCACGACACTAACTGCGCAGCGTTAGTCTATGACAGCGAACAACGTGAAGGCAGGAGACCGTACCCAGGAGACGATTTCCCCCGACTTCAACACAACAGAAGGAAGAATTTGCGAATTCGAGCTCATAGCTAGCGTCACTCAGTCTGAGTGTGGTCCGCGCCCAGATTTTGTGCAACTTGAGGGAGGTCAAACTTTGATTTAGCTGAGAGCTTATGGCATCAATGTCGGCTCCAAGGACATTGGACCCGTAGTAGGAGTCGAGGTCCGAGACCATCAAGCTCAAGTCGACATGGGGACTGCAGTATGCGTCGTCGAAATGCCTGATCAAACTTTGCTGAATTGGGTTCTTATACAGTTCCATGTGAGGGGTGAAGTCAAAGATTCTTGCGACATTCTCTGGATGCTGCCTCAGAGCTCGCAATGATGTGTCGATGCCTTCTGCTGCATCATTCACGAGAAGTTCGAGGGTAGCTTCGCTACCGTCAAGTGGCACGTCAACAACGTTTAAGGAGGGTTCACTGAACAAATTTTCTTCTGGCGCAGGCAGAGCGTACGCTGCGTTTTTCTCGAGATCTCCATCTTGGTTCTTTCCTGTAGGTCTACCGACGCGCGTAGCGATCTGGGGTTGATCGAAATCTATCGTGGACTGGCGGTTGGCTTGATGAGAGAATTGACGTACACGTTGATGAGACTCGATATTGACTGAAGGGCGATGGAGCAGTTTATCAGCCGGATCTGTTGGTGGGATAGTAGTCTCAGTGTGCATCACACCCTTGGGGCTTTCGGCTGATGTCTGGTTGTGGGCCTGGCGCCGAATCGGAATCATGTTGTCAGGTGATAGGTGCGGCTGTCTTCCATTTGGGAGGACTTGAGCCAGCAGGTGAGACGGGGGATCCTGGACAGGCGCGAGTTCCTGGTCAGCAACCTGGGATAGACCGACATCTTGGCATGCTTGTTGCACGTCGGGGCTGGAGCTTGTTTCCACATCAGGCAGCGTAGGCGCGGACATGTTTTTGCTGGCATTGCCAATCACAGCTGTTCAGCTCAACAGTTTTTGGAGTCCGAGGAAGTAGGAGAACCTGGTGCGAGATGAAGATAATTGATGGCCAACAAGGATGCAAGCGGTGCCCAATACTTATGCCTAGTTCTGCGCAAACATGGCTGAAAGCCTAGTAGAAGCCACAGAATTCTCCGTCCAGTTACCGCAGGCCCCGTGTGTTTTGGCTCCATGCATTTCCAGCTCAGCTGTATGCTAGGTTGCGTCCATTCGGTGTTGTCGGCGACTCTCCTCTGGCTTGAGGTTTCCTAGCTTGAAGAATGACCACCGTCTAGACTACGACGCTCTTCGGAGAGTAGTTATGGCCCAAGGAGTTGTTGATAACGGCCGTACCCGAGAGCAATTCCGACCGACATGAGCACGCCTTGTTTGCCCAAAGCCAAATTTCGACGGCTGTGGCGCTTTTGGTGAGTCAGAAGTGTCTGAGGTTGGCATGCAAGGGGCCGCAGCTGTTAGCTAGTCCTGCAGAACATTCGTGAGCAACAGTCCAGGGCCTCAACCAGTGGCAGTGCCTACATAAAAGGCTTCCCCAACTGAGTTGATTAGGCGGTGTCACGCGAATACTGCATTTTCCGATCGCTAAAGCATCGCCTGCGCCGGAGTTATGGATGGTGAGTGGCAGACTCGGGGCACAAGGGCCGGTTTTGTCCTACTTGTCCTCGTCCTCCATGACCTTCTCGCTACCTGCACGGCCATCTGTACGTGTTATTTCGGTGGACATCTCTTCGTCAAGTCCCTCACCGAGCAGTGGATTGATGACGCTGAACCGGTTATCGGCTTCATCGCCCTTCTCGCACCACACCGAGCTTGTTGCGGGGACGGGTTTGAGCCAACACAAGAGGTAGTACACGATTGAGGAGACCAGGAATCCCGCGAAGAAGTCTACTCTATAGATATAGTTCGCCCCAATAGGCACCTTTTTGACAAATGAGATGAGTCAGTTCGTTTTTCGTTTTTCATACTTTGAATTGGAGGAAACATGGCACACGAGCACGGATAGGAATTGTACGCACTTTAGCTCCAATCGCGCCGGCAAATCCAACAATATTGATGAGAACGCCGCATATGTACGAAGTATATGCCCGCCATGATATGCCGAGATGGTAGTAATACGGAGATCCTGCCCGAGCCGAGTACAGATTTCTCAGCGAGTAATATCCCTTGCGCACGAGATAGTAGTCGCAGATGATGACGCCCGCAATGGAAGACAGGAAGACGCTGTACGCCGACAGATATGTCGTGAAATGGTTCGAGCTCTTCAATAAGTTCCACGGGCTGATTTGCCGTTAGCATACGAAGAGATCGTCTTGGCCAAGGTGCCGGTCAGGGTCGAGCCTTACCACATGCAGAGACCGACGATTGCACAGATGTAGCCTCCCCGGCGGATATTGAGGTATTTGGGTAGCAAGGCTGCCATATCTGTTCCTGCGGAAACACTGTTCGCCGCAATATTCGTTCCAAGTTGGGCGAGGGCAAACGCCAGCGCAATAATGAAGACGCCGAATCTCTCAGCTGATGTAGCGTCGTCGAGGAGAAATTGAGAGAGGAGATCCAGGGGGTTCCAAATGGCTGTACCGTAAATGACCTTTGACGAGGAGGACACAACAATACCCACGAAAGACGTCACAACAAACCCTATGGGGATGGTGAAAAACTGCGTCCAGAAGGCGTCTCGCGGCGTTCTGGCGAAACGAGAGAAATCGGGATTATTGACGATCACCGTCGCGAAGTTGGCAATCGCGCTCATGATGCCAACTAACCACTCCCTCGCAAGCGTAGAACCCGAGGCCGTCGCCGGTTTTGTCACGATCGGGCCCATGCCATGTGCCCGGCCGACCGCCCAAGCAAAGAGAGAAAGTCCCGCTACCGGTACAAAGTAAGATTTGACCACGAAGAGATAGCGAATCTTGTGCACGGGGAGCCAGATGGCCGGAAGAGATGCAACCCAGAAAATGAAGAAACCCACAAAGTCCCTCGTGTTGGTTCCCGAATGGGGGATGCTATTATGCAGCGTGTAGAAGGAGGGCCAGATGGATCGGATCATCAAAGTGATGCACTGACCACCAATCCAAGCTTGCACGCCGTACCAGACACAGGCCATCGCGGCTCGATTGAAGACCGGCCACAGCGATCCCCAGATGCCAAAGGATGCACGAGAAACGACAGGAAAGGAGATGTGGTAGGTGGCTCCTATTCGCCCGGTCAAACAGACCAGCATGGCAGAAATGGAGTACCCAATCAGAATACATATTAATGCGTGCCACCACGCAAGGCCGGAGGTCAGCATGGTTGAAGCAATCATCCAGGTGTTGATGTTGAACGCATCAGCGATCCAGAAGGCTGGCGAGCCCATATCAGTAAGAGCAAGAACCATAGCGGCCCGCGGAATTTCGTACCGACAAAACTCCAAGCTGTCCACTGGCGTCGCTGTGCTTCAACTGGTCTCAGGTCATGATTGGTGAGCATCAATTGAGCGTTTGTGAGGCCGGGCTCTGATTCCGTCCGCAGCTTGGAGAGCAGGCGAGCAGCCCTGGATTTGACGAATCCGGGCGCAGTCGTAGTCTCAGGCGGAGACCCAACACGGCTGTCCGATGGGGATAGGAGCGGTTCGGCGGCCCCCCAACGCAAAAGCCTTTCCGATGGGGACGTTGCCAAGTCTTCGAGCTCGATCGCGGCATGTTGGGGAGGGGAGCGCATGCTGGGAGGCTGGGTGTAGCCCACGCAGCCTGAGCCAGTTTGCACTCCCGAAACAAGTAGATAAACTAGGTTGTTGTCATGCCTAGCTTTGATTCATACTCCTCGTTGCCGAAGAAAAGACGACCGTGAGTGACGTTGCTGGCGGGGAGATGCACATGGAGATGGAGAGAGATGGAGAGAGGTGGAGGTCCAAACTCGGCGCGGGGGGAGTTTTAGGAAGCAAACACCGCAAACATGCAAAACATGCAAAACACCATACGAGCACGATAGGTCAGGCTGAAACTGTGGACGTCGGATTTACAAGCGACGAGTATTTCGATGTCATGGAAAATCGCGTGTTTGGACACGAAACCTGAACCGAAACTTGTTAGGACGCCGGAATGTCAGAATGCAACAGCCAATATAGCATTCTTACACATGATCGAAGCGCGCTGGACTTTCCGAAACGAGCAGCTTGCCAACTACAATGATGATGTCCATCCCAGTGTGGCAGGGTAGCCTGCCATGATAGCGGATTTCTCTGCGGCAACTTTAAAACGCTAAATGGCGCAGGAATAGGAGTGTTCGATATCTCTATAGAGAGCGCTTTGGCAGGGCCATTCGCGCAACAAGATCGACTTCAATTTACTCTTTTTGACTACTCGAGTGTCTTTTCCAGCGATTCTAATTCGTTAATAGTTGTCTGTATAGTAGAGAGAGTCTGATGACCATTGGTGGCGGTTCCGCAAAGTTCTGGAAATAGATGGCATGCTGTGGGTGGCTGAAGACAGAACCTTTCACAGGGCGTCGACTGGTTTAGATAGCCTTTGTAATCGCTGCCTTAAGAGCCTCTTGACCTGTATAACCCAGTCATGAACCCTCCGAACCTTTCTATTATGGTCCCCGACTTCTTTGGAAGAGGCGCATTCTCTCGATAGCGATAACGAATGACAGTGAATCTGCTCGAAATGTTAATGAATGAGAAAGTCGTACTGTGATATTCCAAATACCGTAATATGTACTGCCGGAGTCTCCCACACGAAGGTTGAGAGATCACACTGCCATGGGCCCCGTCAATGCGTTGCTTGTCTTGCCATTGATTCAGGGTTGTGAAATGCGGGTGTCCGACGATGACACCAACGTCCAGCTGGCTCATGGCGAGAACGAAAATGCCGATTCCACTCTCCAAAGTGCTCCAGGTCGTGATTTTCGCAATGCTGTTCCAGAATGCTTAGGGTGAATGCCAGAATATCAATACCACATTCCAACATTGTAGGAAGAATTAAGGTGGACAGTGCAAGAGTCGAGCACGTTACTCTGGGGCGAACAATTCCTGGGTTATTCTGTTCAACAACGGGACGATCGAACACAAACAATTCGGAAATTATGGAAATCTGACTAGTTAATCTTCTATACGATGCGAGGGATGGAAACATCAAGGTTTATACTCTTGGAACTGCCTTAGTACCATATACATGCGTAATAAATGCACAGAGTATCTTTCTCAACCCATTTCAGTCCAGCCAATATATCGTTGGCTTTACAAATGGCAATAAAAGCAGTCATACGTCTACAATCTAGCACAGTGCTGTGCATTTCCAAGTCGCAGGTCATTAATCGAGGCTATTGTCAGGCAAGGCTGGTGATATTATCAACAGACACATCGATCTACATGGGTTAAAATGTGACGATCATGCTTTTCATTGTAGGTGTGCGACATTTAGAGAGTAGCTGGATTTTTGGATATGAAATACACTGAATTACAGTATCCGGCCGTCATCACAACTGGACACGAAGAAGATGCAGATTTTGTGCACAAGGAATGACTGTTTCAAACAGCGATGCTAGCAATCCGATACGGTATCCTTCACAAGATAAGCAAATAAGCAGAGGTGTGACATTCTGTTCCAAAGAAAGAAAGGAAAAGAAACACCAATGCGTCACTACCAGGCTCGACTAGGACAAATTCTTGTTAGTTTAAAGTAGGCATCTATAATCCGGTCAGGCTGCTTACCAGAGCATCTGAATTCCCATTCATCAATAGACCAAGGCCGGTAAAGATTCGCTTCCATAGTAGTCGGTCTCGGCCTGAGGGCGATAGGACCTCCACTGCTGTAATGCTATCAGATCGGTCAACGCCTCCTCTTTTATGAGGACCTGGTCATGTCCGAGGTCACTGTGTGTCTCTTCGCCGGTAGGTGTAGTCTTCATTAGGCTTTTCTCTTTCGCCTCCCTAGGCAGCTGAATTCCCTGCGACCACTTGAAAAAGTTATCAGGGTCCCATCTTTGCTTGACAAGCCGCAGCTTCTGGCGATTGTTCCCATAGTATGCCTGTTCATGAACGTTTGGCATCAGGGTATCGTCAGGGAAATTGATGAAGGTGGCCCATTTGACCATGCCATAATGACTCAATCTTGGCTTCATTTTGCTCAGAAAGCGCCTCATGGGCTCCTCCAGCCACTTCTCATCCCACTGGAGCATTATATATGTGTGATAAACGGACCGACGCCAGCGGTAAGCCATATCCTCACGTTTCTTCGAGTTTGCCTCTCCGCCGGAATGAATGAAGGTGACTTGCATCAAGCCCGTTTCGTTTGCGAAATGCTGTCTGAAGCTTGCCATCTCCTCTCTGATAACGTCGGTGATTTCTCTCATGTTCTTGCTATCGTTCTGGAATACGAATGAAGTATAAATCTGATATACCTGGTGGTGGGTAGGGCTTTCTTGGTCTCCTCGACCCACTGTGCCGCGAGAGTCTCGTGAAGAAAACGTGAAGATGGTTCCTGCAACGATCGCGTTTTGAGTTGTTCCTTTAGCTTTTGATGTTGGCTTGGGGCGTTCGGTAGGGTCCAGGCATCGATTGCTTGATTGAAGGCCGTCCGGTTGCCGTTGTAGTAGACCAGGAACCGAACTCCAAGGTCACTCTTGGTCTCCTTGAGATCACATAGCCAGGAGGTGTCAATGGTCATCTCATTCGGCCAGTTCCTGGTATAGAAGCTGTTCATCGTGGTCATGAATCCGGTCATAGTTGCCGCATCTTTCTCCGGATGCCAAGTGTATCGCCCTGCGACGACGAGATCACCCTTCAGCTGTTTCATAGCCAACTTCATCTCCACAACCACACCAAAGTTCCCACCGCCAGCACCGCGAAGGGCCCAGAAGAGGTCATCCTTATCTTTGTCTCCAGTGTGCTCTGAAACAGTCACCTCATCTCCCGTCGCTGTAACGATGGTAAACTCTTTCACAGTGTCGCAGCCCATTCCGAAACTTCTGGTAAACGGAGAGAGACCGCCTCCCAATATGAAGCCACTCACACCTACCGTAGGACAGCGCCCGCCGTTGACGACCCAGCCATCGAGATGCTTTCCATCAACACGCTTGCTGGTCAGTTTCTTGTACACATTGAACCACAACGCACCGCCTTTCACAGTCGCGGTTTCCGCCCCCGGCGTCATGTCGAGGATGACGTCGTTCATCAGCCCAAGTTCCATCAAGATCCCGATATTGGTAGTGGAGCCTCCTGCATAAGAGTGGCCACCATTCTTGATGGTGATGGGGATCTTCCTTGGTTTTGCGATCCTAATGACGTCCCGAACATCACAAGCACACTTGGGTTGAACAACGCAAGGGGGGGTTGAGAAGCGATAAATGAGATTGGACGTCGCAATATAACGTTCGTAGTCTTCTTCTCCGGGTTCGTATACGGGGATTTTCTTAGCTTTCAAAATTTTGATGGCAGTCTCCATATCCTTGTCGGAATATGGGATTGTTTGGGGGATGATGTGGGCAATGCTCGTCATTGTTGATTGTAAGTGAGCCGACTTGAGCAAGTGATTTTTTAAACAGGAGTAGAGATGATCCAAGCTGTAGTTATCTCTGTCAAGGTCGGTCAAACGGGATGATTCAGAGGATGAGCTCGAATTTTCCAGGGTTAAGTTATACTGTGATGGGAGTTTGTGATTGCGGACTGTTCAGATTCACGATGCGGAGGAGACTGCTCGCGAGGGCGTTATCTGAGTGGGACAAGGCCGGTATATCGAAGAATTTGCCTCGTAGAAACCACGACATGGTGCGTGATGAGAGGATAAAATGAACATATACGAATGCCTTTCATGGTTGCATATGCAGCGCTAGGCACGCATCCCAGCAGAGTCAACCTACAGTAATGATTTGTCCGCCCCACTCTATGCGTTGCGGAGAATAGGGACTGAGCGCAGAAACTGAGCCAGAGATGAGTGTTCGTCAGCCATGCAACTGGACCTTTATGTCTCCCAACGGAGCTGGGCAGCTCTCAAGCTGGGCGCAAGAAAGCCTCGGGCGCCCTATTTGGCATTTATATTGGCTAGTTGCTCGCAGGCTTATAAATTTTCCTGGCACCGGGAGCCACTGCGGGAGCTTGCGCGGGACGAGCCATGAAGCAACTATTGATCTTGATTTGTCGGCAGGCCTACATAACTGAGGTTGGAGGTGATCTGTCTCATCGACAGGGTTCTTTCGAATAGGCTTTGCAATTCCGATTTCGTGAAGGCAACGAATTGCAAGCGAAACGGCTCCCCAGCTGACGTGGTGTCAACACATTTTCAGCGACGTGCGCTAGGCTGCCTGCACCTAAAGGGCTGTGTGATGCCGACTCTGTTTCCCCTTGCTACCTAGTCACGAGTGGATGGTCTGTAATCATATAATACGACGTGTAGCTGGTCTGAGAGTTGCAGCGTGCTGAAAAACGGCTTCGTTACCACCCGTAAAGCATTCCTACCGACCAGGAAAGACCTCATTATCCCTGCCTTTCTCTTGCTTTTCAGAGCCCACCCACTCGGCGCCTTGCTCCCCATACTCTGAGACGCAGTCACCGACATCCTCTCACAAGCAGCTCTAGCTATGGGTTCTCTCAAGCTTCTTCCAGACTCCGGTATCACTTCCATGGTGATGGGGAATGATATATTTGCATATGTACAAACCTATGAGGGCGACATCTACCAGTTCGTGGGCAATGTCGAAAATTCGTCGGAGTTTTATGGTTCAAGGAGGAAGTCAAACGTCATCATAGAGCGTCTGAAAGGCAAGAATCCTAGGCCTGACGCTCCTAAGCTATTTACTCCCATTGCTGCGGTATCTTTCACCGATAATCTCAACAAGCCGATGAATGAACGGGTAGACAACTTTGCGCTATCTTTCTGCCGTCGGGGAAGCTGATAGGAAACTAGTACGTCTTTTATCTGGACGACAAGAACATTCTCCATGACCAATACGATCGTGGGAATGGCGACTACCAACATGGAACACTGGCTGGGTTGAAGATCGAATGCGCTCACTACTCAAGCTTAGCAGCCGTCACTATCAAAGGCAACGTTGTGAATCACATCTGTGTATTCTACCAAGCCCCCAGCTGGGACGGAGCTGTTAAGATGGTCAGCTTTGCTGGCATCCATCGGACCTGGCAGCATGGCGCCGCCAACCTCAGAGACCCACCGCTCTACGGCACCTCCCTCACTGCAGTGCCTCCTCGCGCAGGTATACTGGGCCGTAGTAGTTTAGACTAGTCGAATGAAGGACAACCAATATACTATCTGCAGCTGGACACCCACGCCTTGGTCAGTGGACAGGGTACAGCAGGTATGAATATCATGCCACGCAGTTCTTCTATGCTTCTGACGTTCAATACCACAGAACCTCTCCCGTTGGCAGGCTATGATCGCGACGGGAAGCCGGTGGCGTTCTCACCGCACACAAGCCTCACCGCTGTTGACAACGGAACACACCTGCATCTTATCTACAAGTCCCACTCTGGCCAAGTGAAGGTAGTTCGCATCGACCCGAAGGAAGGCCTCCTGCTGCCCGAGCTCTTCTTCCACGACGTTGACGTTGCGCCTAGGAGTGCGATCGCCGCGTGTATTGCACCCAACACGGGCACTACCACCTGCATCGTGCTGTTCTACCAGGCGCTGGACCCGGACTCGCGGAAAGTCCAAATGGCGGCGAGAGTGGTATACAAGCCCACCACCGCTGCCACTGGCACCCAATGGAACGTGTCTGAGAAGGAGGTTCTTGGGGAGTGATCGCCGAGGACATACACCGTTGTTATCTGCTGGCTGCTTGAGTAATACTTGGCCTCTGAATTGGCCAACGGGGTGACTGTGATTCTCATATACACTGCATTGACCGAAGTTTTATCGGCGTAGAGACATAACGTCGCTCCGAAAGGTCCAGTAAGCATTAAACATCAAATCGGTTTGGCAGTTTTGATCGTTGATAATCAGCATCCTAGAACGTATGCAGCGCACGCGTGGGTTTTGTGTCTTTACAGACAGTTGCTCGCGGCGAAGATCGTTGTTCCATTGAGTAGCTCGATTCTGATGCCCCAGGTTGCTGGTAGTCGTATTTCGATCGTTGGACAGAGCTATGCGATCCAGAAAGGGATCGACGGGTTCCAGCAACGGCGGCTCTGTCAGCTGCCTTCGAGGGTCAATGTGCAAGCCCACTTGCGGAGGGCCATTCATCGACTGATGGTTTCCTCTGCTTCCATGCACATGCTTGATTCCCGCTGCTAAGAGGCTTTCCCCGATTGAATCTCTCCTCCAATCAGCCAAGCAGTCTCACACCCTCTTCGCCTCGAGCCCGCATTAGCCATATGCATGGTTCCCGAAAAAAAAAATACGAAGAAAAAAATGAAAGCAAGAAAACGAGGCGTGATATGGCGTGGCAAACGGGTTGGCTTAACTTGGTGATGCGCAAATCTCGCATAATTGATTGCAACCGTAAGCCGAGTAAATTGAAGTCCTTGTCTGTGCGCATCTGGTCCTGCCAGAGCGCTGTTTATATCGATATCTAGAATCGATAGGATCCCTCTTCATATGTCTCGTAAATGAGGCTGTAAGCCTCGTAACTGGGGTTGTCCTGTTGCGGCCCCAAGAATTGTCCCTTCCCGGCACCAACCTGGCTGGCATCAACCTGGTGAATTGGCAGCCCATTGAGTTGAAGACATCGAGCAATTATCGCTGTTAAACTGATGGCTCGGGGAACAGGTTTATATATAATCATATGGCGAAAGGGTCCCTTGGGCATTCAAATTCATCCTCCTCTTCATCGCCAATGCTCCCGAGGTCCCCCGTACTAGCTAATTAGATCCTGCTAAGCATAGATATTCACCAATTTGATCTCAGCCAGCACTCAAGTCATCGTACGACTCACTTCATGGAACCCAGGCTGAAAATCACTTTGGAGCATAAGCCCCTCGCTTACCTCTCCGGAACTGAGCACAACCCATTGCCGAGCAAGAACTGCACCTGGATGCCGTTCTCTAGCTCGATTCTAGCTATGTATCCCCTAGAGCTGACGCAGGCTTCGTTACGAAACCACCACCCTCGGGTTAATTCTACATCAGACAGCCACGTCAGGACACTCAAGGCTATATACGTCTTGTTGTGGTTCTTTTTCTGCTGTTTCCGTCCTCAACTCTCCTATAGAGAACCGGCTCACGAGTTCAGGACCACGCCCGAGTAAGTCGTCCAACGAGGGTGCAGAACCGCGTGCAGGCAGTGCATCACGTGGCTCTCTCTGTCGTACCGGGGCTCAATCATCACCCCGGTGTATCGCTGTCGATGGATCTTCTTCCAGTAGAAGAGGCAGTGCGTGACGTGCCACTCCCAGGCCATGTACACGTTGCCGTGGTCGACCTGGAAGCCCATCAGCCCGACTTGCTCGATGGTGATGGGAATGGTGTGGTTGTAGTCCAGCCCTGCTTTTGGTGTCAGCAATTCTCTGCCGTTACTGAGACACCGGGGATGTCTGGAGGTGGATGTTCTCCGCGCGTTTAGCTAGCACGGCGAAAAGTACTTACAATATGTCCAGCTGCCGTTGGGTCCCGGTCCAGAACGGTCAAACTCGGCTGTGAGTTCCTCGTCACGGCAGTATGGCGGCAGCCAGGCCATGGCCAGAGTGTCGAATGTGCAGTTGTTCTCGTGCATTTCATCCATGGTGTAGCCGCAGTAGCAGTACTTGTGATGCTTGTTCGTCGAGTTCGCTGTATTCGTCTTCTCTAAAAGCGCAAGACCTTTGGCCCCTGGGGTATCTGTCTTAACCAGAGGGTGGCCACTAGGGCAGCTCGATGACCGGGAATGTGTGATGACCTGGTTGATGGCCAGCACCAACCCCATAAAAGCCATGGTGTAAATAACAAGGTTGAAAACGAACCGGACAATATTGCCGTGTTTGCCAGGTCCATGTGGTGTGATGCCGCCAAAGGAAACAGTTGGTCTCTTTAGACCGTGTTTCTCGCCACAGGTGGTATGGTTGTAGCTCTCGGATTCGCCTTCCTCCAGCATCGTCACGGTGTCTTGACTGAGAAGACTTTCCGAGGATGGAGAGGACGGTGCATTGCTTTCAACGAAACTTCAGCTCCTGGGTACCAAAAGCTTTTCACCAGTACTTACTCTTGATAACGACTTTCCATCATTCAGTCAATCGGGATGGTCTTTTGTTGTTCTTCCAAAGTCTCTGGATGGTAAATTGAAGCTTGGGGTGAAGATTGGAGGCGGTTTGCAAGTCCAAGGAGGCTCAGTCTCTTGGGTTCTCATCGACTTAAGCTGGGCGGGTGCCTCCGGCAATCAACCTCATCCTGTGACAGGCAGAGGCGATGTACATCAAGCAGTGATTAGTGAGGGCAGTGTTGGTCTTCTGTACATCGATAGATCGCCGGTGACAAAAAGCAAGTTGCGCAGGATTCTGGGGTGATGCCTGAAGAATGCCTATCCTCCTGGACCCTGGTGATTTCATGTCAGTCGTCTCGAGCGACATGACTCGAACGAACATCTCTTCCTGAGGAAGAAGCATCACAGTTTTCCTCATCTGTGGGTACACCGATGTTTGTGGGTCTAAAGCTTCAGCCCAACCCCGACGACGGAGATATAGACGACATAGAAAAGTGGACGTGTCTATCACTACCACTCCCTTGAGTTCCCCAACAGGCGACCTACAGGGATCGAGTCATTATCATGAACGCCGAGGGCGAGCATACATTATGCCGAGCACGATGGCCCCAAGATTCGATCGGCGGAGGAAGAATCCTTCGACGGGATTTGTCCGCTCACGAATCGCAGGGGACAAATGCTCTGTGGGACGAAAAGTTAATCTGACATGCAGGTGGAGAAACGCTGCCTTACATATTAGGAAAGCATACACGCCACAAAAGAACACTGGGTAAGTGGGGATTTAATAGAGCAGACTGATCGAGAAGTTGGAATGAGATATTCTCGACCACCACATCTATCACCTGCGGAGATTCAAGACGCCCCCTGCTCCGCTGACAGAGGCGCGATCAGCACGAGCCGAACCTGACGTAGCCGTACGTGTGGATCTCGTCCCGCCGCGGAACCATCTTCGTGGCCTCCAACAACATCATCAGACAGTGGTGGCTGTGTGTCTGGTTCGCCGTCATCCAATCTACCCTCCTGCCGCGTGCGAGGGCGGCGTGCACCCTCCACAACATGAAGACGCAGTGCGTCCAGTGCTCCGCGGTGGTGGTCCAGTAGACTCCATCTCCACCGATGCTGGACAAGTTGTCGTATCCTCCAGTGATCTCCATTTGTCCTGCTTCTTTTTTGGGTAAGGTTTTCCCCAGGTCAGCAATTTTGTCCCTCAACCAAGTCCTTTTCTGTAAACCAGAGAGAAAGGGCAGGGGGAGAACTCACGGTCGTGCCAGTAGCGCCAGGATGGATTTGCTGCAGCGACGAATTCATCAGCACCGTCTCGCGGGCACTCTGCAGGGAGCCAGGCCACAGTGAGCGGGTCAAATGTGCAGCCTTTGTCCCGGGCTTCGGCGACACTGTGGCCACAGTCCAGGGTCTTAGAGGTGTCTCCGTCACTGCTGGCTGGTCGGGAAAGAGTGCTCATGGCAAATGTCGCACCGATGGCGAGAACGCTGGAAATGAATGCAGTCAGGAGGCTGATGGCCAGCACCTCCCGCAAGCCAAATTTTTTGGTTGATCGAACAAGACTTGGGCCGTCTTCCAATGGTACTCCGTCCAGATCGGCGTCCCTGACGGGAGCGTACTTGGTTCTTTCGTCACGGAAAAGGAACATGTTGTGAGACTTTTGCGGCACTGGCTACTGAGCTGCTGCTGCATTATCCGAGAGAAGGGAATCATCACTATGAATTTATGTCTTGTCCGCACTCACAAAACTTACACGTCTCGGGAGAACAACAGCCAAGCGGATCAGCAAGACCTCCAGCCATCAGATAGGGTTTACTACACGCTTCAGCGTAAAGACCTCTCATTATCGATGGGCCGAGATCGTCTAGAGAACCATGCATGATATGGGACCCCCCAGAATCCCTTGGATCCTCCCAAACCTTGAGACCCACAGACAACACTACCAATACCCAAAAGGGGTAACCGGTACATAGCTAATCATATGGGTGACTATGGTGCGCGCTTAAAGACTGATTGGACTGTGTCCCCTGCCCTATATCCCCATCGCTCCACAGGGCTGCGCTCCGAATCCTTTGCGACCTCCCATAGCCCGCTCGCGTCCTGGCACTGGTGCACGACCCCGGCACCGTTCACGCTGGATCCGACCAGCTCGCCTTGTTCGTCAAATTCCTCCGTTGGGGGCTCGATCGTCCCGTCGGCGGCGCAGAGGAGGGACTGCAAGACACCACATAGATAGATCAGCATATTGCTTTTTGTGAGGGGTTGAAACTTTCCAGAGGACCCGAATCACACAGGCACCGACAGACACACCACAGTCATTGCCCACCTCCATATGTCAGAAAAACAGGATCGTGCTTACCTCTGCAACATAGCTGAAGCAATGGGCAACATGCTCGTAGTCAATATTGCCCCCTTCGCTCCGTTCCCCCGGTCGCTTCCCCTTCCCCTACCTCCTCCTCCAGCCCCATCTCCACCAGTATGATGACGATGATCCGCATGATCCACCATATCTCCGTCTCCGGCCCGGTCCTCGTTTGTGTGAGCCTGTAAGGCGAAGCGAATCATCTGCAGGCAGTGCAGGGCGTGGAACATGCTGACCCCGTATCCTTGCGTCATCGTCGCGTTGTACCGCACCGTCAGGAATCCCCCACCTCGCGTCGACGTCCGCACGGCCCAGGCGGCGTCCCCCCTGCGGCTGAGGTCTTCGAGTTCGCGCATCTGTCCAAATGTCCGAGGCACCGTTGTCCACGGAGTGTTGGCGTTGATGTCGTCGAAGTGCCCAGTAAGGTGATCTTGTGTCGTTTGCCGTCCTCGGCCGCCTCCGGCGTGTGGCTTCCAGGTCCCGACATTCGTTGTGGTTGGGGCAGGGGCATGGCTGTACCAGAAGACACCAGACAGGAACAGAAAGACCAGCAATAAAGTCGAGATGAGGCTGACAGTCCGCCTCTCGAGTTCACCCATGGCGGTCGTGCTTTTGGCGATTGCAGGTTGAAAGCAAGAGGGACCTCTGGTGAAACTTCTTACTGCAACTTCAGCACAAATTGGCAGAAATGTCGGCTCTCCTGAGGATGATAAGATAAGAGAAGACCTTCAATGGGATTATGAAGTCAGCTATAGGGTGCTCCCTGCAGTGAGACGCATAACACCGAGCTGAAGAGTATCCACTGATACAATGCCACCACTTGTCATTGCCATTATCAGTCTGAACGCTGTATAAGGTGATCTACAGCGAACGTGTCTTTGTAGGTCCAAGCTATCACCTCATTTACACAACCCACCCAATCCAATGACCTAGCATTCCTCCGCATAATGCGATCCTACGGCTCACCTGTGTCAATCCTCTCCTCACATTCCTTTTTCTCCCCACCCAGCCTGACACATTCATCAACGCGATTTCGCCGTCTCTGTTCGAGCATGCTCTGAGGCGGGTCCAACTCTTCTGCATTCATGTCCCATTTCTTCATGCCCCACTCCATCATCTTGTCCTTTGGGAGCGCAACCGAGTCAGCCCAGCGGTCGATGGCCTTCCAATCCCTGCAAACGTGCCAGTTGTTGAAATTGGGGTACGGCGAGTCGTAGCCTTTAATCCAGTTGTAAGTCAACAGGGTTGTGTCGGCGTGGCAGAGGATATTTTGCCGGAGTATGTTGATGCAGTGGTCTATCCAGGTGTGGTGGTTAACGATCTCTGCTTCTGCTTCGGAGTTGACGAGGCGTGTGCCATCATATTCTCTTGAAAGCAGAGCGAAGAACAAGGACTTACCGAGGTGCACGCGGATTATGTTTGATTGATTGACAAAAGAGACATCCTTGGACTCGTAGTAGTGTAGGTGTGTATGCTTCCGAAGAAGATCCTGAATTGCGTTGAGCATTCAGCAGCGAGATGATGGAATTTTCGCCGGTGTCAACATACCAGACAGTGCAACTGATGGTCCATCTCCAGGTCTGCCCAGATTCCGCCTCCCAACTCAGGCGGGAAACGCACCAGGGCCTTTGACTCAACATTCAGACGTCCGAATTCTTCGTCAGAAATACTCATAGGTGCTCCTATCTGCTGGTGAGCGATTTTGAACAGGGGCTGAAAAGCTGTGTTGAGGTTCGAAGTCATGGCTTACGATAGACAAAATGGTCCCACAGTGCATCTACCTCGTCAGAAGGTTCCGCCGTCCAAGGCGAAGGGAGCCCAAGTGAGCCGTTGAACCGGACAGTCTTGAAGTCGCGCACGGCGTCGAGACCTGGCGCTGGAGGAGACAACGGGCTCGAAGTTAGCAACTGACTGGCAGTCAGAGAACAGTGAAGGCAGGACGAACTCACACCAATATGATTGAAGCCTGACACAATCATTCTCGATACGTTTTGAATGATATCCAGCGGCGAAGGCGGCCAGTAAGCCTAAAACAAGGGCGAGGGAAAAGAGCATGGCTTGAGCTATCCGTGGCTCCTTCTTTGGTGACCATGGCGCGGATGCTTGCTCTGAGCCCTCTAATTTCCTCAGTAATCTCCAAGTTGGAGCAGCCTCGAAATCTTCCAATGTTCCTATGTCCATGATCTGTGCGTTTGAAGCTGCCAGCCCTTGAACGTGGATATGGACTGTGTTGCCTCAGTGAACTATGCCGTAGTACACTCCCTGACCAAGACTCAAGTAAATGATATCTGCCTCCGTGATCTCGGCCTCGTGAATCGACTTCTGAAGACTTGGGAGTTTCGTAGGTGGAGCTCTTCTCCGCTTCAGCTGTCTCCAAGATCATCAAAATGTCCGTGCCTTGACAGGTATTCCTTGTCAGGAACCACATTGGAGCCTCGGAGGTTAAAGGATCAAATCACATGAGCAACAGGAACACTTGCTGATGTTGTCTCCGTATTTGAGCTGGCGCCGCCAGCCCCATTTGGACTTTGAACTCTCCAGGCTGGACGCGAAGGAACGCATGATGCGCAAGTTCGAAATGGTCAACTCTGAGTAAACAACAAGTCTGCACCTGCAGCGAAGATCGTCCTGACCGAAGACCGAGAACAACCCCCGCTACTGATTGCCCAAACAGGAGAACATCCACTGGAACCGACGATCCATCGATCTGCAAGGATGTGGAGAGCAAAGTTCGTTTCTTGCTCATCACGTGATTGCCAGCATCGCGGTCCACGATTCAGGGGGATCATTCGTCCAGGGTGCAATGAAAGCGCTGAAGTTCGAGCATCACGCAGCCGACTCGGGTCTATCATCGATCATCATGAAGCCGCTTCGGGCCCTGGATGGCCATAAAGACCCGCATAAGCAGTCATAGCCGTCGACCTATCGTTGACTCCGTCCTGGGTCAAATCCTTCAATGCTGAGTGCGAGGATGTGAGCCCACATTCCATCCCTGCCAATCGTGCTAACTCCTGTTCATACCAACTCCCGATGTTGCATCCAGCTGCAGTGTGTTATGTTGATCAGAGTCCGACGGGAAAGTCAGTTGTCCGACGACAACCTGTCGTTCGTTGGTGGTATGAGCAGATGATCTGGTTGACGGTCATGCACTGATGACGCCAACACATCATTCGAACAACCAAGACTTGATGGAAGAGGCGAAAGGATTCGACCAGCAGCAGCAAGCGCTGTGTTTGCATTGGAATGGCTTCAGGATTGGTAGAGAGAGGCCTTCAAAGAAGAAAGGAATTACAGGCAAGCTGCAATAACACAGGCGATCAGCATGTTCGATGCCAATCCACACAGAAAGGGGATCCAAACATCCTGTCCGCGGTGGAGGTGGTGGTGTACAGTGATCACCAAGAGTTGGCAGGCAACCTGCTGCACGCTGCGGAGGATGTGGGTGTTGAAACTCGAACCAGGTACGACTATTCCACTGTCGATATCCGGAAAGTAGTAGGAATATCAAAGCTCGCAAGGCGTGGCTGAGGATGAGGACACTTCCGCTGGCTGAAGTTGGTTGGGGTATAAAAGCATAGCTTTTACCCTCAGGACTTGACCCAGGAAGACACAACCTCAGACCTCCCTTCAACTTCAACCATCAGCTTCTGCCTCAAAGACTTGGGCAAATACATTGTTGAAGCCTTTTTCCACGATCAAGTATCAGCTTCCGCTCTCTGCGTCCTTTATTCAAAATGAAGTTCCTCCCTGTTTTTATGGCAGTGGCTGCCATTGTTGTTCAGACAGGATATAGCTTCCCGTTGGAACTCGATGAGCGTGGAAATTGCTGCAGCGGCCAGAGTGGTAGGCCAACTACAAGAGATATTTTGATCCCGGCCAAGCTGATTCATGCCAGGGTATAATCAACCCAAGCGAGATCTTATGGCCGCTATCCGACATGCGATTCTGGTCAGGACACCTGCACCAGAGCCGGCTCCTGAGCCTGCTCCAGCTCCAGAACCCAGTCCAGGCGATGAAGAGACCGATGGAAATTGCTGCAGCACCCAGAACCGTGAGTGTCATTTGTCGGCTATTGCGCACTTGCTGACGGCAGAATTAGAGTATCCAAAACGTGACGGCGAGGACGAACTCATGGCAAGGGCTCCTGAGCCTGAGCCGGAGCCTGAACCTGAGCCGAGTCCAGGCGAGGACGAGACGGATGGGAACTGTTGCAGCACCCAAAACCGTCAGTCTCATTCGTCGGCGTTGCGCACTTGCTGATGGCAAAACCAGAGTACCCGAAGCGTGACGGTGAGGATGAGCTGATGGCAAGAGCTCCTGAGCCCGAACCCGAACCCGAACCTGAACCGAGCCCAGGTGGTGAGGAAACCGACGGAAATTGCTGCAGCAGCCAATCTGGTCAGCACTGCCCTGCGCATTCTCCTTCGCATCCAAAATGCTGAAACAGAATCAGACTATGACCAGCCGAAACGCGACCTGGGAGCCGTGCTTGGGATTAGGGATCCCGAGCCGGAACCGATGCCAGCCCCAGCGCCGGCCCCAGAGGGTGAAGAAACAGATGGCGGCGAGGAGACGGATGGAAATTGCTGCAGTACTCAGGCCAGTCAGTGCCTTTCATGCTCTCCTGTGCACCCATGATGCTGACGGAGGACAGACTACTACCAACCAAAACGCGACGTGGACGACGAGCTCATGATCCGAGAGCCTGAACCAGAACCGATGCCAGCTCCTGAAATGGCTGCCGAGCCCGCTGTCGACATAATAGTCAGGGAGGCCTCACCGGAACCAGCGCCGGAGCCAGACCCACAGGGCAACTGTTGCAGTGGACAATCAGGTACGCGGGGATGGTGATTTTTGCAATATATGCTGATATGCCCCAGACTACAAGCAGCCCAAGAGAAACGTCGAGTTGGATGCACGAGATCCCGCTATGGCCATCCCAACAAAGAGGTCTGAAGCAGACGCTGACACATATGAGGATGCGTACTAGCCTCATAGAAGGATTGTGGTAGTTGTGATCTCGCAGGGGTTGTTGGGTACGTGGCTCGTAGCTTGCAGAAGAGAAGAACGAAATGCTGGATATGCAAGGAGCAGCACCCAAGCTCGTGGGTGACTTGGCCGTGAACACAGAGTCCCATAAAAATACGCGATGTGAGGAGATGTTTGTTCGACGATGATAGGCAGTCAATCATTGATTCTCCGCCTCAATAAAAAACATAAAGGATGTGCTCACATTGCGGTTTGCCCTTCCAAGTCATCATCTAGATGACTACCACATGTGGAAAAGATCTCGCATTGTCGCTTTTTTCTCAGTATTGTCGTCGCATTGCAAAGTTGAAGCCTCGGAAGATAAGCACTGAGGTGGTTCCGGTTAGGTCGCCGTGGGCAGTTTCATCTATCATGTAATCTGAGGCACACATACCTGACTACTAGGGGTCGTCAGGTCACACAGCAACATTTGTACCTTATATCCAGGCTTGTCAAGCAGGTGTGCCTGAAGGCATCCAGCGATTACGCTGCTGAAATCGTCGTTGTGCCTCTTTCCTCAAGGGGAAAACATGAATACTTTGCCATATAGTACATGATATGAGCAATATAAGGTGATTTCGAGTTTAAAATGGCGATTGGGTGCAGCTGAAAGTCTTGAAAGGAGTGCATTGGACACGCAAATGTAACGATAAGATAAGAGACCAACGTCACCGTGAAGATTAGGCTCTGCCAAACGGACGAGATGACTGCATTGACGACTGTCTTGGACATGCTTCTAGCTAGCTGCATCCATTTCTGAAAAAGATCAGTTCGCAAAAATGGAAGTTGCATCCGAGCAGAGCAATAACAAGGCTGAAAACAAGATAACGCTTGGCCTTTTGAGCCTCGAGCTAACTTGACTGCTCCCGACATCTTCGTGGAATTCGTTTGCTCCATCGAACGACTTCGAACAAGTAACAGAGGACGAAGAGCCCATTCTGTGTGTGATCGACCCGGTGAGGAGAGAGGCTGAGATCGACCGAGGAGGGTTCGGATATAGCTGACTCTTCCAAGCAGACTGGGGCCATGAAGAATTCCTTACGACAAACTGCGTCCGCCGAAATCCACGACGGAGACGAAGAATTGACTCCTTACACCCTCCGGTCAAGCCGAAAACAGGAGTCTGCAACAACTGATCCTCCTATCCGTGAGGGACTTGATCGTATGTCGTCTGGTCTGCCGGGAAACCTGCCTCGCCCGGGATCCAGTTCGTAGCGACACCCTAATGGAGCGATGACCCTTCAATACTTCGGGATCGTCGACAACTGGACATTCGTGTCACGCGGAAAACAAGCACGCTATCGGCATGCGCATTTCTGGCCCTCTTGGGGGTTAGCAATGAACTTTAATGGCTCGTGAGTCAGCAGCGTTTTCGAAAACTCAGCGGTGGAAAGCAAACGTACAAAGAGGCGGTAAAGAAGACGTTCTCTTCTCTCCCCTGCTGTGGACTTGCCCTCCTTGCTATAAGTAGCCACACTACTTATAGAGCTGTTTCAGTTCCTCGAGAGGAGGATGACAGCAGAACGCCACAGCACTGTCAATAAGAATAACGCAGAATGGTGAGACGGTAGATAAGTAGAAGCTGGGCGGAGATGAAAGCAAATTGAGCTGTACCAGGTGGTGAGCTGGTGGGTCGAAACACGATACATAGAGCAGTCGAAATCACCAAATAACCTGCGAGCGGCTTTGGCCCTGCCTTCAGGGTATCGAGAGTTCTGCCCAAACAAAGCGAGCACTAGCACAATGACGGCCACATTGTACAGAACAGAACAGATGTGTTGCTCATACCATCAACCGCACAACATGCGCAAGAGTTTGTTGATGATTCGGGACAGAAGGCTTTGGCCAACCTTCTCTTCTTCTCCGCCATATTGTCCCTGCCCTTGATCAGGGTAGTATTGCTGTTGTTGAGCATGTTGAGGCTGCCAGGCTTGCTGCTGATGATTTGGATATGTCTGGTAGCCATCCCAGTTGCTCACGTGTTGCATCTCCACGGGGCTGCCGTCAAGCTTGATGTATATTCTGCCCTCATTCGACTCGGTGTGGTATTGCAGACCCAGGTCACGACAAACTTGTTCGACCCGAGGCTTGATCTTCTGGACGTGGTCGGGAGAATGGTTTCCTTTCCCGACCACGACGTGAAGATGTGTCTGGCCCTGACTCTGAGCAAATCGGATCCTCTGTTCCAAGATCTCTTCCGCCTCTTCGACATACAGTCCGTGCAGGTCAATCGTGTCGGCGGCGACTCGGCCGTCGGCGTTGTTTTCGCGAAAGATGAATTCGGCGGCCTGCTTATTGTACATCTCCATCTTGGCCCCGTGGTCCTTGCCCTCCTGTGAGAGCGCATGCGCAGCCGCGCCATCGCCGTTGGCGTACGCTTCTTGGGATCGCTGGAAACAATTGGCGCGTTTCGAGGCTTCCTGGCGTGCCAGGTTCCGCAGCCGGTCGTACTCTTCCTCGGCAGCTTGGGATTGACTGTGGTTGAAAGCTACACGATGACGCGGAACCAGTCAGTCAGACCCCCTGAACCAGCTACTAACAACAACAATCAAGCGAACTGGAAAAGATTCACTTACGTCTGGCCCCTACTCGGGTTGCATGCTGTGTTGACATTTCATACGACATCGTCTCTGTAATTGGCTGTTTGATCAACAACCTGGTCGATTATGTGCAGGTGAGAAGTGCGGACTGCATAGATTGAGCAAGATATGGAATCAGAGAAATGAATCCAGCTGGGCTTTGGGAGATATGTGACTACCGAAGTCACATAAGGGATCTTCTATCAAGATCAGCAGCAATGACAATGGGGTAGATCTGATCTGATCTCTTGCTAAATGTTCGGTTCCCTTAAGCGTCGATGGGAATCGTGGAGTCGAAGAAACTAAAATGGCTGGGAGGCTTAGTCATTCATGATGCCCGATTCGGTAGTTCACGACGCCCGCGGGCTCCTAGCGGACGCGGACATGCAGATTGAGCGAGGCTCAGCGAGACGTCCGTCCCCAGGTCGCTTCCGGTCATTGATTGACCGTGCTATTGCATTCGTAGTACATGCGGCATCTATCAGAACGGCGATAAGGCCAGATCAAGAAGCCGCCAACTTGATCTCGTAATAGCTGGCCAACTCGCGCAGAATATATCCCATTCGAGGAGTCAATCCCCATACCCATGTATCATCGTAGAAACCGGCCCAGTATCGTGCCAGCTTGGCTGCCAGGGAAGGACCGATTTCACCATCGAGCCCGTCCTCTAATTCCGACAGCAGGTTTCTGATGGCCTGCATGGTCTGAGCCTCGAGCTCGCTGATCGAATCACAATCATGACTTGACCGTGTCTCAACCTCAATGGCATGCACCCATTTCGTAACCAGTAACGCTGTGACGGGATAAGTTAGTGCTAGGAATCAGCTGAATGGGCGCTTCGGTTGTCAGCTGAACTCACCTGCCTCCCACCCCGCCAAAGCGTGTCCGATCGCCCAGGTCAAAGCAGCCGTCTTCTTGATAAGCATTGTCCCCGCTTTATAGGGTATCAGCATGCCTTCGAATGCGCGACCGACCGCCCTGGCAACGAGATTGCCGCGGTTTTGCGGTAGCGCGACAAAGTCCTCTATCGAGGCCATGAATTCTTCCTGGCTTTCCTTGAGCAGAACCGCTGAATCGGCAGCACTATGTCCCGTAAAAGCTCGACAATAGCTGACCCGCAACAGCGCCAGACAGTTAAATAGCAGAGGCGTTTCGGCTTCTGTCCAGGGATAATCCGCATCGGAGCTGGCTTGGGTAATTAGTGCCCGACACCTGGAAAGGGCAGCCTCTGTTTGGGCAAGAGTCTGAGACTTTTGTGTTTCGTTGGACTGTCCGGGGCTGGAGAACTCGCCGAAGAAGTACGACCCTTGTGTGATATGCCAGATGTGGATCGAAATGACGTTGATCACCACGCTGATTGCGAATGGCGACCATTCCCAACATTCCTGCGGCACTGTCTTGGTCGAGTTTCCGTTCATGACCATCGACACAGCTTCTTTGACGTTGAGTGAAGAGCTCTGCCCTTTTCTCGTCGCCGCCACATGCCACTGCTCTTCTGTGAGTGCATCCCACAAAGATTGGTCGCACGGCATTTCGATGAAGCCATCTGAAACTAGAGAATAACCGGGAGGGATCCCATAGGTCATCGTGACGAGGTTCCCGAACATTATCTGGCCGTACAATAGCCTATATATTCTGTTAGTGAGCGGTGCGTCCCTCCAATGTTTCCTCACTAACCTCTTAACACTCTCCCTTTCAACCCATTCCCGCCAACTCAGCCATTTGTCTCTATTTTTTTGAGGCTTCACAGTCGGCGCTAGATCGCGAAAGTCCTATGAACTCGTCAATAACGGATCTCTTTTGCCCGACGCTGTGAGCGTACCACGAGGAAGTCGCCAAGACGTATGATGGCCTTCGAAATGACTTCTGCGTCTCCGCTGAAGCAGCTGAGCATCGCAAGCAGTAATCGGGTTTGACTCTTCCATAGAGAATCCGGGGTTGATTTCGGTGATTGAGATCGCGGCTGGACCCACTCTTCCAGCAGCCGTGGTTTCTTGTCGAGATGCTCACCTCGGTCAACCACGGCGGCAGCCAATGCCTGGTCTGCCTTCAAATACAAGGAAGCAGCAATCTTCCTCTCCAGCCGATAAAGAGCGCCAATGGCACATATGGCGAGGACGAGTGGTGACGGCGTCGTTTCAAAATCCATAGTCTGAAGGTGGAAGATAGGCAGGTGGACGTGGAAGGCGTCGACGTAGGTTCGGATGCATTTTTGTAGTGCAGATGCACTGGGCAATCGAAAATTGTTCAACTTTTCAGCAGAAAGTCTATTCGATAGATCCTTCAGGAGATGAGTTCGCATTGATTCAGTAAAAGCAAGTGCGGGAGGCTTCGCGTATTTTGTCTGTGGAATCGGAAATCCGGAGGACCCGTCGAGATCAGGGCGATTTGTCGTGAGTGCCTGTGCTGAAGTTTCGTCCCACAGGCTGGAGGTTTCTTTAGAGCGAGAGTTTGCATGACTGGCCGTTTCCCATGATTGGGTAGAGTCATCCACGGACGGGGTCGCGTGTGCAGTCGAAATATGGGTTTGCTGGAAACCGTAATCCTGCATCGAAGCCTGGCTCGAACCCGAAAAGTTCTCTAGAGGTGACCAGCCATCCGTGTTACCTCTCAGAGGTGGCATAGCGAAAGCTTCAAGTTGCTTCGGAGGTAATCCTAGAAACGGATCGAAGAAATCGAGGAATTCCAGGTCGCCGTCAAGGTCTGGGAGAGGCACTGAGCTTGGGAACGTTCGCATCTTCTCGAGGTCTGAGACGTCGACGCTAAAGTCTGCTAAGTGAAGTCCCATAAAAGGTTGTGTCTCTTCAACAACAGCGGTATCCACACTGAAATTTGAAGATAGCAGTGGCTCAGTTGCGTTGCCGACCTCGACTGCCAGTTTTCGACCTTGAACCACCTGGGGTTCTGTTGACTGGGCGGCATTCGACCTTGTGAATGGTTTAGCAGCTGCTTTGAAAGATGTGGATGCAGAGCTTCTAGTTCGGCCAGTTGGTTGATTTGAGAGAGTCGAAGGCGGTTCCTTTCGAGATACTGCAATCTCGACTTCTTCTTTATCCCTGGATTTCAACGGCTTCGATGAGAGGTCCTTCGCTGATCTCTAGGTTAGAACTATTCAACTAGAATTCGGGGCTGCGGACCTGAAGGAGGGTCTTCAGCAGTCGGAACATTCAATCGTTGTTTCTCGATGGCGGTGGCCACCTGTTCCGGGGTGTGTAGAGTTCTCTCGTGGCGAACTAGAAGGTCTCTAAGTGGAAAGGTAATCAACAGATGTCATCGTTGATGAGAGCCCCAAAAATACCTTCGACTGTATCTTCTCCGGCAGACTCTGCAGCCAAAAGGCTTCTCTTGGGTATCTGAAGACCTGTAAGCGCTTTTGGAAAAGCATGCAGACGCGATGGATCAAAGAGCGCGGCTTACGGCCTCGTTGATGACGAATACAGTGTTCGCTTCGCTTGAAGGCTCTTGAACAGACGCTGCAGACATGTTTTCTCTTTGCCGCCGCATTCTCTTTGTCGAGCTTAGGAAATATGATGGTCGAAGTGCCGATTAGAGCCATGACGGACACGATCTGTTACTTTATCCTGTCAACAGGAAATAAGACGTGGGAAGAACTGTCTTTCGAGAGCTAGAATCTCAAGTAGTGAGGGACTGTTCTCTCCCACGAATGCCACCGAGGCACCTGATCCGCAGACCCATGCATTCGTCTGGCATAGGATCCAAGCGTTTTGTGGATGGAATCGTGGGGCTAATTGCGGAGGGGGAAGCTCAGCAAAACTTGGGGAAGGGAGGATAGAGGAAAGCCACTGGTGGGAAGAGAACGAGCCGAGTGGGTTTATCGTGGGAGTTTATGGGTTGAAATGGTCGTAGGAGCGGAGAATCGAGGATGGCAGTGTAAGCCTCGTGCGGAGAAATGCAAAAGGCGCCCCCTTCATGTTGGCTGTAATAGATTCTCTCTGCTGAAGAAAATCATGACCTGGAGGTTGAGATCCTACACTCTGTGCGACCCTTACGGTTTGCCCGGGGCATTCATTTGAAAGACAGGTGCGAGGCCTGAAGAGTCAAGAACTGCACCTACAGGCTCCACAGGCGTCTGACGCCGTGTTTAGACCAGTTGAACCGTCGCAACAGGACGAATTCACCAGCGAACGAGAGACAGAGGAAGAGGAACGCTGGAGTTGCAGACCGTCCGTCAAAATGAGCTGGTGTATCGACAAGAGCAACCCTGCATACTTAACATGTCCTTCAAGCAAGCAACTTGGCCTCGACTCACGATGCTGGAACCAGCGGCCTCAATTGGGAAATGCTTTCTACCCCACATGAGGCGGTAGCCTCGCGAGGCTGAAGTGGGGGCTGAGATACTTCCCCGAATGGATTTTCTCACCGTCACACGGTATGGCCCGACGAGGGCTAGTGAAGATCACGATACCCCGTGACATAGGTGCCTTGATATGCTGAAGACATATCGCAGAGAATCATTTATGGGCTGATTGCTGATGGAGATATCCATATCCCGTTGTACATTCTGGGACGCGTGGTGTAGCGCGATACGGAGGGTGAATCTCTTCCCTGACCGCGTCACCTCTATGCGGGAATCGGGTGAGTCGATATCAGGCGGCGGTAACGTCCGTAAAATCCCTGAAATGGACGACTTTAAAGTTGACCTATACCAACGGCTCGCCTGCAGTTTGTTCGCCGACGTGCAAGAGCGGAGTTCAAGAAGCTGGCGGAAACAGAGTACGAATGGCCCAGAAAGGGGACCCATCCAGCATCGAATCCTGGGATGCACCTTCTATTCTCGACTCGATCTCTGGGCTTGATTCCCGAACTTGTTGGTGATTCCGTTTCACGGAGGTTTCCTGTTGGAGCGTAAAAATACCCACTTTATCTATCAGAGGGGAGAATGCGAGGCCGACGCTGGGGGGCCGCCCGGGGCTTGCGGCACATCTTGCCCATCTTGAACAAAGCCCGTGATACTTGTACGTGATACTTTGGGGGTTTCAAGATCCTCATAACAACGTTCAGATTGCTAGCATCAACCAGCAGGAGTCGAGAGAAGTGAGGTTTGCCACTCTGTTGGTCGTGACTCTATTGACCACGTCATTTCCCATCAGGCTGGCCGTCGCGCTCGAGGGCATTTGGCAGCGTGTCAATTGATGAGCTCTTGAACGACCGCAGTGTCTGACTGATGGCGCCAAGATGCAGATCCTCGAGTGCCCTTTCCGGCTGAGGTCGTTTCCTCTCGACCGTATTGGGGATACATTGGTCTCACTTGGTGCAAGTTGGAAAGGTTGGACGGATAAATCAAGCGCCAAAAGGTGGGGTTGGACAATGAGAGGTTGGATGTGACGGAGCGAAAGGGCGCCGAGTCCGGAGCCCACGGGAACGCCGCTGAGCATTATTTGCTGGTGCTATCCGGAAAAATGCGTTGTGGCACTTGATCGCCAACGCAGAACACAAAAACGCTAAAGGGGTGGACGAATGATTGTCTCTGGAGTGGTTGGAATCGCCGAAGCAGAGTGCCTTGCCTTCCTTGCCGGGAAAGCCTATGGGAAGGTCCACCATGACTGTCAAAAGCCAACCTGTTCCACAAAAACTGTCAATCCAAAAGTGCTTGAGGTCCTTGTGCGTCGCACTGTGAAGGGTAAAACGTCTGACATCCCAATGGGAGAGCCGCAGCTGACATGTGAAACAAGGACGCAGGATGTTGCTAGATTTGTGCATCAAGTAATGTACGTAGTATTCGAGGTCAGGCCCAGATCGACAGCTCCGCTGGTGGTGGTCTGGGCTCTTTTCCGTCAATCTGGGACCTGGCTCGCAGTTCCAGGTTTTAGCCTTGACGCCTTCCCCGATTGTCTGAGTACGACTAGACAATCAACTCCGTTGCAGTGCATGAGATAGCAAGACGAACCTCAAGGCAAATCAGGTTTCTGGATGAACTTTATGTGCTGGAAAAATAATCCAGGTACGGGGCTGGCCTGAGCTGGTGGCATTTAGCAGTCATAGCGGGACAAGCTCCGTGCCCCGTACCTGAATTCTGAGAGATCTATGTCCAAGATAGAGTTTCAGTAAGCTTGGGAGGGAATTCCTCCCAGGCTTGAAGGGGCCCATCACCTGATAGGGGAGGCTCTGGCATGAAACACAGAACCACCTCATATTTCTTTCAATTGACTTGCGAGAGCGGGTCTTTGTCGAGCACAAAGGCCAGCAAGTCGCAATTTCCAGGGCTTTTATGGAACGCGCTAGATTGCTTGAGAAGCACGCTATGGCCCGAAGCGATGAGCAAAGGGGTGACCGAGTCGGACCCTAGCGACGATGATAATGAGCCCTCGGGAGAGCAGACGTTATATCAGGCCAAGCTGGGCGGCGACATGTCCCCGCCCACTCCCTTGCTTTTGATACAATTCTTCATCGGCGAATAGCGTAACTTGCTACTCGTAAACAACCCCAAGCTCGGAGGCGGCCCCTGCGCCAGCAAGGCGACGGATATCCGAAAGTGGCCTGGGCGGGTGTAACCAAGTGGGCGATCCCAGTGTTGGTCAAAGCCAACTGGGCCGTAGTGACCAGGGTCCCCGAGGGGGGTGGCAGCCAGTGAGAGAGGGCGAAAGGAGCGGTGGGCGAGGGTGGGAGGTCCCGGCGACAGTTGGTCTCAGTGGGTTAGGATAAAGTGCTTGCTTGACACGACAGCCAGCTCAATCCGAAGGTGATCTAGTGATGGTATGAGAAAGAGACATGCTTGGAAACGAGATGAAGAGATACCCCCTGAGGAGGTAGGCGAGACGGGAGAGTGCCCATTGCCTGATCAATCGCTCGTTATTAGTAAACCACCTTATTCCGGGCTTGATGATGCGCACCAGCACCTTGGATCATCGATCATTGATCGACGCTGGCAGTGGAATTCAACATAAAGTTAAATCTGGCAAAGGTGTTTGCTCTCAGTGGCAGGAGAACATAGTAGTCAAACACTGGGACGGGAGTTAATTACTCGTAGCTGGATTCGACGAATGTGCAAGCCACCAACCTCAGGGACCCCGTCTGCAAAAACTCTTTTCCCCTTTCTCTTCTGGGACTGTCGATGGGGACTGGGGACAGACAAGACACTAGCGGGCACCCAATGGGCGCCCGGTGGGTAAGCCCTCACTGCTAGGAACTGCTAGGGGCGCGATGCCGGTTGCCACTAATATTAAGTCGAGCCCCGGCGACGGACTGGGGGCCCCCAGTAGGCCCCAATAGCCAACCAGATTGTAGGCGGCAAACAACCTGCAGAGGTCAAACACCCCCCAAAAAGGGTCCCTGGTGCACCCAAAGGATTGCGCCTTCGCCCTTGGGGGGGTTATGCAGCTCTCCGATACCTGGGTGTCTTCTCGATTCCCTCGCTGGCGGCTGTTCCTGCCCCCTCCCTGACCCCTACCCACTGAGCCAGCTACCTAGCAGGTACCCTAGCTGCTGCGTCTTTTCCTACCTACGGTGTCCCTGCTTCGCTTGTTCGGCCATCCTCATTGATTGCGGTCAAAACTGCGCTAGCCTTTTGACTCCTTCACCTGATTGATCATCCTCTCATTTCATCCCCGTTTTTGCCAATCCATCCACTTCAATTCATCTTCACCCCGACCACCATCATTTTCCCTCGATCTGCCTCCCCTTTTGTACAATATTGTCATTTATTCTTTGCCCTGTCTGCGCGCCCTGTAGGAACCTTATCCGCTGGGAGAGGGCTTCTTTCGTTCGAGATTGAGTCTCGAAGCGCATACTTTCCCTGCCCGGCTTCGCCCAGCGACATCGTTGTACCTGACGTCCACACCCGCCGCCGCCCAGCTCATTGATCGACGCCTACTCTTCCTGTCCTGTCTTGGCCTGCGCTGATCACCTTCGGTCTTCTACCTACGACTCTCAAATCCTCTACTTCACAGCCTCCGTCACGTTCGTGTCACCAGCCTTGCATTTTGACAAACCTCTTTAAGCTTGAACCGGAGGTGAGTAACCTGAGGGCGTGACGCGCATAAACGCCTGTTCTGTACACTTTGAGAGGGGATTCTCAGTTGCGCATCGTCCCCTGCATTGTCTGGCGAAGGACGTTCACTAACTGAGTTGAAGATCAGTCGTTCTCTCGAGAGCCTCGAATCCAACCTTGTCCCCTTCACTTCCAGACTCTGTCAGGAGATTATTGAACATGGGGTGCGGTGCCAGCAAGGAAGATACCGCCGGGAAGGCAAGAAACGATGAAATCGACAATCAACTCAAGAGGGACAAGATGGCCCAGCGCAATGAGATCAAAATGCTCTTACTCGGTATGCCAACTCGCATCATCTTGGCCTTAGCTTTGGTCTAACCACTCTTTAGGCGCTGGTGAATCTGGAAAGTCTACAATTCTCAAGCAGATGAAGCTCATCCATGAGGGCGGTTACTCGCGTGACGAACGCGAATCATTCAAAGAGATCATCTACTCCAACACCGTTCAGTCCATGCGTGTCATACTTGAGGCCATGGAGTCGCTGGAGCTGCCCCTGGATGACCAACGAGCCGAATACCATGTCCAGACCATCTTCATGCAACCACCACAAATAGAAGGGGACAGCCTGCCCCCCGAGGTGGGCGCGGCCATCAAGGCCCTGTGGCACGATGCTGGCGTTCAGGAATGCTTTAAACGGTCAAGAGAGTATCAGTTGAACGATTCGGCACGATAGTGAGTCTTGGAATCGAATTTCTATGAATTTCGTTGCTGACTCTATTCACCAGCTATTTCGATTCTATTGACCGTATTGCCGCCCACGACTACCTCCCGAACGACCAAGATGTTCTCCGATCTCGAGTCAAGACAACTGGTATCACTGAGACCACCTTCATCATTCAGGACCTCACATACCGCATGTTTGACGTGGGTGGACAACGATCTGAGCGAAAGAAATGGATCCACTGCTTCGAAAACGTCACCACCATCCTCTTCTTGGTTGCCATTTCAGAATACGATCAGTTGCTCTTTGAAGATGAGACGGTCAACAGAATGCAAGAGGCGCTCACACTGTTCGACAGCATTTGCAATTCTCGATGGTTCATCAAGACCAGCATCATCTTGTTCCTCAATAAAATCGACCGATTCAAGGAGAAGTTGCCTGTTAGCCCGATGCAAAATTACTTCCCTGATTACGAAGGTTTGTGCAATCCGGTGAAGCTGGAACATTCATTTACTGACATCGAACGCGCAGGTGGTCCCGATTATGCCGCCGCCTGCGATTATATCCTGAACCGATTCGTGTCGCTCAACCAAGCAGAGACCAAGCAGATCTACACGCACTTTACCTGCGCCACAGACACCACACAGATAAGATTCGTGATGGGAGCGGTCAACGGTTAGCAATGTTCCGTCACCAAATGGTACTTCTTCTGACATTTTTTAGACATCATCATTCAAGAGAACCTTCGGATGTGCGGTCTCATATGATCATTAGCATCGCTATGGCGTTTTCTCGTTACAGCTTCGATTTGCCCACGACTTGCATATACCACCGGCGTTATCAGGGGGAGGGGACGGCTCTACCGATTATTTCTTCGATCAAGGTTTGGCAAAGATTTTGCCAATTCCACACTTGCAGCTAAAAGTGCGATTGACTTTCGAATTCGACATTTCACTTCTTCGAGCACAGCAAATCCTCTTGCCCCATCCGGTGCCGGCCAAAGACGACGACGGAGTTCTCGGCGATCGAGGTACTTAGTTCTTCTTCGCTGTCTTTTAGCAGAGCGACTTCCATGCAGGTCGCATGCATCATATCCCTGTACTCATGAACCATGTGCGGGAGGACCTTCCAAGGCGCGCCCAAGAGTGCGACCCTTTTCCCCCTTTCCATGTTGAAGATTTTTCGGAGCAGCAACGGACAGACGGACAAACAGACGGACGACGAAAGGATATGGAGATTTTAAGAGGTGAGACTATGAAGAGGCAGGTGATGGAGGAGTTGCCTGAACTAGACTTTCGGGTCCAAGAATGCGGACATTGTATATCACTCTTTCCGAAAGAAGACATAGGCAAGCAGACGTGAATGACTGTAAATCTCTCAGAAATGGATTGGATTGGATATGCTTTGAATCCTGCAAGATGATGTGGTGCTTTTCGATGCTGACTGGAGGGATCAGATGGACTATTCCCCCACCACCAGCGACCGGCGTCCAGCATCAAGAGACCAGCACCATCCCTCCTTGCCGTGGCTTCAAGAGTCAACCACCGTCCCGTTGCCTGGCACCGTCCGGTTCACCCAGAACGCGTCCATGATCCTCGCAGCTTGGCCCTGTATGGCGTAGCTGGTGTGTCCGTCGCCTCTTCTCGTCAACACCAGCGCCTTGTCGTCCCCATCTCGAGCAGAGGTTGTCAGCTGATCCTTCACCCCCTGTGCCCATACGTACGATGTCTCCGGGTCGTATTCGGCGTTGACTAGCAGGACCGATTCGGACGGCAACTGTGCCACCTGCGAGGTATTCAACGCGTGCGGTGGATTTGCGATCGGCACCGGCCAGTTGAAGCACCAGCTGCTGTACTGGAAGAATTGGTTCGCGCCCAGCGTGTGCGGTGACACCACCGAGCCGAGCTGCTGCAGCGCCTGGTGTTCGGGGAACAGACTATGCTTGGCTGTCCAGTCCAGGCAGCCGATGGCGATGCCGGAGAAGGCATCGTTCGACACGCCGGTCTCCACGGCATTGGACAATAACGTCGCATTGCCGGACAGGGATTGATTGAGCGCGACGCCGAAGGTCACCCATCCTGTGAGACGGGGGTCGGACAGATAGGCGCCTTGGGCGTTGAAGATCATGTCGTACCCCGTCACACTGGCCTGGCAGGTGCCCGCGGAGGGGGTGTCTGAGGTGTTCAAGCAGCCCGGGGCTGGAATCGGGGCACTATTTGCTTGGGCAACGAGGCTGTCGAACACCTGGGGAATGTTCTCCTGTCCGTACAGGGCGCACGAGGTGTTTGCCTGACACCACTGGAACCAGCGGTTGAGTTCGGCTTCATATGTCGTCCCGAGGGTCGAAAACGCCACGGTCTCGGAGAGACTGTGGTCCAACACCCCATCCAGCACCAGTGCGCGAACGTTCTGAGGATACAGCTCCGCATACGCCGCCCCCAACTGTGAGCCGTACGAGTTACCGAACCAGTTCATCTTGCCCTGGTCGAGGGCCAGCCGGATGGCTTCCAGGTCGTGTGCGGCGGAGGTGGTGTCGACGTGGCGGAGCAGGTTCCCCGTCATGTTCAGACAACTGTTGCCAAAGGCCAGGTTCCAGTTGGCCAGTTTCTGGAATGCAGCCGCGTCGTCGCCAACAAGGAGCTGCGGCATCTGGTTGTATATCGCCGGGTCGCACTTCACAGGCGTGCTCTGGCCTACACCGCGGGGATCCGGGCATATGATGTCGAAGTGCTCGTACAGAGCCGGGCTAAAGTACTCGATCTGACCCGCCCCGATCAATTGGCACGTTATGCTCGCCGTGACTCCGGGACCACCGGGGTTCCAGAGCAGACTCTTGCCCGGGCTGCTGTTGGTCGAGGTGGATTTGATCTTGGTCATGAAGAGGCTGATCTGAGCACCGCCGGGGGCGGACCAGTCGAGCGGCACCTGCATGGTTCCGCATTGGAGATTCGGGAGGTTGATATCGGTGCAGTTGGACCATTCGATCGAGTATTGGGGTGCTACTGCTGCTCTGGCGCGAAAAGGTGCTGCGTGGACCACCGTCGGAGCGTTTAAGGAGAGCAGGAGAAGTACAAGAAGCATATTGAATGGATCAGAGCGGCGGCGGCGGTAGCAGCAGCAGAGCTATTTTTGAGGGGGGTCTGGCTGGTTGAAACGACAGTGGAAAGAAGGAAAAGACGTTAGTCCTCTGACCTCTCGTCTGGGAGGCAGAAACGGATTCTTTGAAGCCCGAAGGCAGAGAGCAATCTTAAGTACCCTTCTCCCAGACTGTGTGACTGAGGAGCAAATGGCGGGAAAGGGACTCATTCCCCATCTTCTGCAGGAACGACTATTCCACCATCGGCCGAGGCGTGCCGTCGTGGTCATGGAGGACCAAACTGTACACTCTCAATCAACTGACCACTTACGGTACATGCCATCACTACATGTCAACACTGCAGCGGACCAAGCCAGTTCGGAATGAGGACCAGACCGGAAGGCCTTTCGACGGCAAGGGCCACTCCCTGTTGTCGAGACCAATGGTGATTCCTGTACAGACATGAGTGCTCAAAACTTGCAAATGAGATGTACTGTAGAAGACACAAACTTCGCTCCCTGGGGGTCAGGCCATCCCATATGCCTGAACCGAAAACCTCAGGTCTCCAAAGGCGATCCGCCGGGTGTACTACTCGTACACCATACCCGTTTTGTGCGAGGCGGTGCAGATCAACGGGATGACGGGGACGACGGACGATGGGGGCGAGAGGTCGCCATACATGGACCTTGAACGTTCAAGCGATTGATGGATTCATCATCCTTGGACATAGTTCCCTTACATGGGAACCCCTTGTTGCGTCAACCTTGGGTTGATATGGAGCACGCTGCAAGTGGCTTCAGGCATGAAGAGACGCATGGGGGACCTTGGGATTCAGTATTTACAGGCGAACTGCCGCTCTTTGCACAGAAGAGCTTATTATGCGAGCTGTGACAGAGATTGAGCAATGTGCTATTGTTATTCCATTCTGGCTATCGTCTATACGGGCAAGTCCTCTCAAGTCCCGTGTGGAACGGCGATGTCCTCGAGAGCTCTCAATTCCGCCCTCCTTCTGTCCCTCCGGGCAATGATGAACCAGGACGTGAGCACCGCTGAGATGGACACGATGAGGATGCACAGGCAGATCAAGTAAGACTTGTGGTAAGTCGGCCCAAAGACCGTCGAGTACACGTGCGGCCCGACGATGCCACTCCACTGCGCACAGGCGTTGGTCAACCCGATCCCGATGCCCGCGGCGACGGTGCCTTCGAGCGCCCGGATTCGCTCCGGCCAGATCACCGGATACGCAGAGCCGGCGCACGAGACGGCCACGATCAGCGCAATGTACTTGACCGTCGCGCTGTGCACTGTGACCAGGATGATGTAGCACACGATTGTGGTGCTTTCGACTAAAACGATGAGTTAGTAAAGAGGGAAGACAATATAGTCTGTCAAAAGAAAGGGGGGTTCCTTACTTGCGACGGCGCATGTCCATGGCCGAATCCACTTCCGATGAATGAGGTAGCCGGCGGTGTTGAGGAAGAAGAAGCAGCAAACATAGGGTGGCTATATTGAAGAACAAGTCGGTGAGTACTCAGGTCAGTGGGGGGTGGACTTGGGGGACATACAATATTCATCAGTTGCGAGTTCGCAGTGCCAGTAAAGCCGAGCTGATAGATGACAGTTGGCAGGGCATACGAGACACCGAAGCCCCCTATACCATGTGCAATCCAGTACATCCCAAAGGTGTAGACAGTAGGGTCTGCAAAGAGCTGCTTGAGAGAGCCCCAGTCCCAGTTGTGGTGTTTGCCTGACGGCGCTGTGGCAGCCAGACGCTGCTCGATGAATCGGCGCTCTTTCTCGTTCAACATACGTGCTGTTTGGGGATAGTCCGGCAATCCGAAGAGAGCAACGAAGGAGAGGATTATTGCGGGGAGACCTTCCAACAGAAATAGCCATCGCCATCCCGGGAGGCCCCCAAGGCCGTCCATGAAGCTGATGGCGTAAGCCAACAGGCCGCTCAATGCGCTGGACAGTTGGCCCACAGCATAGAAGAAGGCGATGCGCCATGGCAGCTCGGTGGGTCGGTACCAGAAGTCCATGTGGTAGAGTACAGCAGGATAGAATCCCGCCTCGGCCATGCCAATGGCGAAACGGGCACACATCATGCCTGGAAAGTTTTCCACCGCAGCCACGGAGCAGGCGCAGATGCCCCAGCTTAAGATCAGCACAAACATCCAGATGCGAGGGCGGAACACCTTGAGGAGGACGGTGTTGGTCGGTTCGAAGATCATGTAGCTGTAGGAGAAGATGGAGAGGGTCCACGCCCATTGGTTTGGGTTGAGGTGGAGTTGCTTCTTGATGCCGGTGCCATGTTCGAGATTGATAATGGCAGCATTAGAGTAGTTGGACGAGTCAATGACTCGGAAAATGTAGACCAACGAGTAGAAGCCAACGAGCCAGAGGTCGACCTTGCGCAGAACCCTTTTCTCGAAAGCCTCGTCCCCTTCTTCGAGCACGACGTCGGTCTCACTCGGAGAGGGTGATTCGGCAACGATGTGGGTGAACGTCTCACCCAGGCTCTTCTCGGCCGCCATCTTCGACTTCTGACAGTCGAAGCAGGTATGGAGATGATACTGTATCAACTCTGCCTCTTGAAAACTCCCATGCGGACCGACTCGTTAAATAATGAGTTGAAAACTTCGTCAACTCCATCCGTAGAGGCCGGTCTCGATGACTGTCATTCCTTCATCACGACATGATCACGACAGAAGACGTCAACATCTCGTGGTTATCCATGCTGCTGGGATACTCTCCGGAGCTGTACAGAAGTCCCCGTGTGCCCTGTTGTATCAGCGATTGGCGGTACATTTCGCCATGATAAGGGCGATGGCGACATGCCTCTCAATACAGTCGTCAAAAGCCCAGAACAGTCGAGCGGACATGCCCATCAGATAACATAGCTTCCCCTCACTCTTTAGCAGAATTTATTTGTATCTTCCGGTTGTTTGACGAAGATCCATAGGACGCCAGGGAGTTGAAGGCGGAGAAACGTAGGAAGCACGTCGCCTTAGTTCAAAGCACGCAATCTGCACGTATACATGGTTAGTAATTGGACGGAAAAGGTACATCAGGAGTACGTACAGAATGATACGAGAGTAAGCTCGATGATAACCCCGCAGTCCTTTAATCGGGTATATGTGCATTGCAGTCCCCTGTCTTCGGTCAAGCACGTTGGTGGCACATCTACCTGCATCGCTTTGTTTGACCAAGCCCTGGATATTCCCAGCCCAGTACTCGGCACAATTTGCTTAATTGAACGACATGGCTCCATCAGCGATCGAAGAACCGGCGACTCAGACCGATGTTCCCAAGCATATCCTTGTGAAACCATGGGTGCGTCCGGCTGAGACGACAGAAAATCTCGAGTGGGCGCCTTTGACGACGATCGATCTGTCGCGCTTCGACGAGCCGGGTGGCAAGCAAGAACTGGCGAAGCAGCTTTATGACGCCCTGACTCGGGTTGGATTCTGGGTTGTGACCAACACTGGAATTGACGACAAGAAAGTCCTTCGCCAGTTCAGCATCGGGAATACTTTCTTCAAGCAGCCGTTGGAGGAGAAGCGTTTCTTCCCCTGTAACTTTGCCGAGGGCGAGTATTTTGGTTATCGCGAGAACTCACGATGGATCGGTGACACTGGTGTCAAAGAAAACATTGAAATGGTAAATTCATTACCTTGGTTGCAGCTCCGAACTCAGAACTTACCGTATGATAGCTCAACATCCCTAAGGATATCCCAGCACTTGCGGATGTCCCAAAACATCCAATCACGCAGGAGTATTGGGATGAAATCCGAACTTTCCACCGTGAACTCTGGGACAAGGTGGTCCGCAAGCTTTTTGTTCTGATGTCCATCATCCTTGAACTACCAGAAAACTATCTAGCAGACGCTCACGCCTATGATGAGGTATCGGATGATCATCTTCGATATATGATCTACAATGTTAGGACTCAAGAGGAATGGGATAAGGCTCAGGCTTATTCCAAGGGCGGTCATACCGACTTTGGTAGCCTGACGCTGCTGTTCTCGCAGCATATTGCTGGGCTGCAGATCCGAACTCCAGAAGGAGAATGGAAATGGGTCAAGCCTGTGGAAGGGGGCATCACCTGCAATGCTGCTGACACCCTGACTTTCCTGACCAAGGGTGAGTATCATCAGAATTCCCACATCTCAAAGACGGCTCGACTGATTTGGTGTGATAGGCTTCATCAAGTCGACTATTCACCGGGTTGTTACACCCCCTAAGGATCAGCTGAATACACCTCGTCTTGGACTGTTGTACTTCAGTCGTCCAGGAGACAAAACATTGATGAAGCCGGTGCCATCTCCGCTTTTGGACCGCCTAGGCCTTCTTTCAGAGGAGGATAAAGATGCCAGTAGGCCTGCTCCGACGGGCACCGAGTATGTTCGAGCACGGGTCAAGGATGTCCACCACAAAACCGTGATCGACAAACGCGAGGGGACGGCATTCGAATACCAGGGCCTCAAGGTGCAGAACTATTATGAATAGTCGACCTCCATAGAACAGACTCCAAGTTTGTCGATTGAAGCAGACGCTGAATATGCGAACTGCAGTCTAGAACAAGGTGATTTGTGTTCGGGCCCTCCAACTCTTTCCTGTCCCCTGCTCTGCTACATAGGGCTGCATAAAAATGGAGAATATGTCAGCAGGTGCTTGGAATTAATCCAGGAAAGCAGAGGGCACGGGGAGGATTTTCTCTGCGGGGTTGAGGTTCGTGAGCAAACGTTATGTACGGTGTTCCGAATAGCGAGCCTCGGTAGAGCGTATAGCACCAGAAGGGGGGGTGGTTTATTTTGTTAGCGAGGGCTAGCGTCGTTAGCAGCCGCCAAGCCCGCTAACGGCCACCCAACCGGAAAAAGAAAATTCCTTCCCCCAACTTCCGAGCTCCGAGCTCCGGAGTCCTCGTCGTCACTTGTTTATAATTTTTTTCTCATGGCAGCTTCCAACATTCGCCTCCCACTCGATTGTATTACCGTGGTGCATTAAAGAGTAAATGGTCAGTTTAGGATCATCGTTTCATCATTTATGAGATCACTCTTTCCCCCGGAACACCATGGCACGTCGTCTGTCACACGCGTTCCCTGATTGTTATTGTCAATGTGTATTCCGCCAACGTGGTCCGGTGACTCCCGCATCCCACCCGAAGGGCTGGGCGTGTCCTCTGCGCCGATATTTCCATTCTTCCAGGTGCATGCCTAGATTACTATTTTCTCTTGCGCCGTCCTCATTTCTTTCACTTCCATCTCGTGACACTCGCTTCCACTGCTGACCAATGCCCATTTTGGTCTCGTGTGCTATTTATCGGCTATAGACTGCGCGCCCCTCGTGGCAGTTTACTCTTTTGACAACTACTACTGTTCACTGCCCCAACGCGGACGAGTAAACAAGCCTCCTGTCAGGCAGTGACTCGACAAGCAGCAGACCCAACAGCCTTGCGGTGAGCAAGCCGGCCCTCTCCAATAAACCAAAGCGTCCTCGAAGCACCATGCTTCCTCCGATTCCCAGGGTCGAAGACTATGGCATCTCCCCAGAAAAAGGCTTCCTCCCTTCCGAGCTGCCCCTCCACTGCCTGTCGCACCCTGTGTACGACCGCTGGGAGCGGATCATCAACAACTTCCAGTCGTTGTTGCTGTCGAAAAGATTAAGAGCTGTCATCGATAAATTGCCCGTCATCCCCGCAGTACACCTTGAGAACGAGGCCGAATGGCGCAGAGCATATACTGTTTTGACATTTTTGGCGCATGGCTACATCTGGGGCGGGGATAAACCTTCAGAGGTAAGCCTCTACCTGATGCCGCAAATTGACAGTCATGCTGACTAGAACCGACAGCGATTGCCGCCATCGATCACCTACCCTCTCCTACAAGTGTCTGAATATCTGGAGCTCCCTCCAGTCGCCACCTACGCTGGGCTGGTCCTGTGGAATTGGAAACCGCTTTTCTTTGCCGACCATCTCGCCTTGGAAAACCTATCCACTTTGCTCACCTTCACAGGTTCGCTGGACGAACAGTGGTTTTACCTGGTCAGTGTGGCCATGGAGGCAAAAGGAGGCCCCTCAATACCCCTCATGCTGAAGGCGATCCAAGCTGCCCGAGACAATGATGTGGAAACAGTCACAAAATCTCTCCAGTCATTTGCCCAAACGCTGGACGAACTGGGCACGCTGCTAGTGAGGATGTACGACAGCTGCGACCCCCACGTGTTCTATAACCGCATCAGGCCGTTTCTGGCAGGAAGCAAAAACATGAAAGACGCTGGTCTACCACACGGCGTGTTTTACGACGATGGCAGCAGGCAATCAAGGTGGCGGCAATACGGCGGCGGCTCCAATGCGCAAAGCAGCATGATCCAGTTTTTCGACATTGTGCTCGGGGTCGAGCACAGACCTACCGGGTCCAAAAAGGACGAGACCTCGGAATCGGAGGCCGAACCAGGAGCAGCCCCCAAACCCCGACACAACTTCATTCACGAGATGAGACAGTACATGCCTGGGCCCCATCGAAGGTTTTTGCAAGCGGTGGAAGGAGTGGCTAATATTCGAGATTTCGTCGAGTACAACAAATCGAATCAACAGTTGACGGTATCATATGACGCATGTCTTGCCATGCTTCGAGCTCTTCGAGACAAGCATATCCAGATGGTTTCGAGGTACATCATCGTCAAAAGCCGAGAATCTAGGAGCATGTCGAGGTCACGCAGAGAGAGCAGTCCTGAGCCGATCCCTCGAGGTGGAACGGGAATTGCTTCGATTCGATATGGCCGGCCTGAAGAAGCGGGAACCGCGCAGAAGAAGAAGAAGATGCGTGGGACTGGTGGAACTGCATTGATCCCATTCTTGAAACAAGCCAGGGACGAGACTGGTGAACCAGCAATCGACGCATGGGCCCGCAAACTCCTCATGGGAGGTCGCCGCACCGAAGCCGACGCCGAAATTGCGTTCGAGGATAGGATTACTCGAGCTGAAAATCTGGATGCAGATGAACCGCAGATTGTCGGCATGGCCGGTGCTTGGGATTTGGAAGACTCAGGTGGTGGTCTCTGCGCCTATTGAACAGCGATTCACGCCGGGGTTTTCAGGATTGTGCTTACAGGCCAAGGGCATTCGACGCGTACTACAGCCGCGTACTGGACATGAAGGCATCTTGTTGACACAGAGACAGTAGTATATGTCACGACTGTCATAGAAAAAGGGGTTGTGCACGTGATCTCTGGCACGTGATGATACGTTGTTCGGTCCGAGGATTCGCCGGGCCGACTTCACTTTCAACTTCATCTCAAAACTCAACTTCCATATCATCTGTCTTGGACGCGTGCAGGGCTTATAACACGCGACAGGTGAGACGTGAATCTTCGGGAGCTGCGGCTTGCTCAGTCCAAAGTCGAGAAATGTGGATTTTCCCAGACGTCGTGATGTATTGTCAAATATCCCTGTTGCAGCCTCTCATGAGCAACGCGTCACTGGCTATACGCTCTTCCAGAAACCGGACGAAGAAACGTCCGTCTTTATGTGAACAGAGAAGAAGGCGTGGGCTCCCAAGAGGACAATATATACAAACCATATATTGTTGTTTTTCAGGAGGAGGAATTTCAGCACACTAAGAACGTTACAAACAGCAGACACACCAACATGCCTGGTGAAATCGCGGTGCCCGCCAGCCCCAATGACCCATGATGGGACAGAGACAAGCTCAAGATGCTTTACAACCTGTATTGCCTTGACTCTGATGAGACCCAGGTCAAATCGCCATGTCTGTTCGTTTTCGCCCAAGTGCAAGCAACGCCTGGTCACCAGGCTTGGCTGTCATTGATATTCAATTTTTTCCAACATCATCACCACCAATTTTGTTGGGAGGAGGCTGGTCGAGCCTCAATTCACTTGCTGCCTTTTGTCACTTCTGTTAGAAGAAGGCTGGGGTGCGCAAATAGGTCTGGCAGAATGGCTCAATAGAAGAATTTCCTATTGTGTCGCCTGGCCTTGCCAGACCTCACCCACACTGTGACCACCATTGGGTGAGAAGATTCTGTTCGATCCCGTTGATGAGTATCAATAGCTTTAGTATCTTCCTCCCTTCTCATCACATCCTGCATCTTTTCATTTCCCAACTTTCATCCTCTGTCCCAGGATTTCATCTGTATCATTATCCTGTACCATTCTTTCTCCCCACGTACGATAACCTTACTTACAACACGGCCACCTCGAAGATGGAACGGAGAGACCTTGACAACTCTGATGAGTTCAACTTCGACCATCCACTCCCTATTTCTTCGAGCACAAGCCTGAATTCAACCGTTTATATAAATGCAACAAGCTTGGACACAGGTACTGGGTCAGCTGGACATGCTTCAAACAACTGGAGTCAACATCTGACTGACAAGACCGACCCGTTTGTATCCGGTGACCCGTCGCTGTACCGACCTTCCTCGGAAATTGACATTGACGGTGCGAATATTGTCGCCAACGGCGCAGTGGGTGATATCCTTGGCTCCACAGTACCGGATACAGACCCACACAGAGACAGCCTTTTTGACCAGATGGAAGATGAGCAGCTGGCACAATTGTTGCAAGCGTACATCGAAAGAGGCCCGAGCCCAACTCAAGGTACCGATGAAGATTGGTCCAACATGGATACCACTTTGAACTCCGTCGACCAGCCCATCGATAACGCCGTGACCGGTGTATCCTGTGTTTCTGGTGTCGCTGCCGATGCTCCGGACATCGCCAACACTCCAAAGACCAATGTCTCTGCCGCACCGCCTACCTGGTCAGGTACGGACACCGCGTGCACCCCAAGGACCTATGTGGCTGCCGTATTATCGAGTTCACCGGCCACGCCTGGGTCTGCTTCATGCCAGCTGATGGAGGCAATGTCGCGTTCTCCGATTGAGATCCCAAGAACGTCCCATTTTGTCAACTTCCAATCAGCAAGTCCTGCTCCGAAAAAGAAAGCGAGAAGCGGCAAAAAACGCAGTGTTGATCATGGCCCAACAAGCGCGGAGACATCCTCACAGTCTTCACCCGTCCGGCAGAAGACATCGGCACAACAGGTACTGGGCAGCCCCTTCAAAATGCCACATCTTCCCGCGTCCACACCAGCGAAACAAATCCCAAGCGCCCATGCCTCGATGGGTACTCTATACTCTCCGAGTCCCGCATCCAGCCGGGTCCTTTCCATGGACAACATCTCCCCTTGGATGACAGCCCTTCCAGGCTATACCCCTGTCACAAACAACCAGATGCAGGGCATGGCCGATCCACGAAGCCGCACCATGTCTTCGAGTGACAAGTCACCACCAGACCACGCAGGTTTCACCAGCGAGCTGCTCAGCAGCAGTGGTAGCAACAGCAACGGCGGGAGTTTTCTCGACCGTGATCTGCCCTCTGCAGAGCAACGGTCCGCAAAGCGTGCCCGCAAAGAACCGATACCCGCGCAAGCCGTTTTTGCAAATGCCGCACACGAGGCGCAGATGCATCGTCAGGTCTACTTTCAACAAGTGTCGCAAGCAAGAGGAAGGGGGCAAGGACATTTGTCTTTGGCACACCATTTCAACCACCTCGTAGATTCGGACTTCAAGTGGCTTGAACGCGACCGTACCGATCCAGAGCCACCCCCGTCCGAGGTTGCCCGTACCACTGGGTTCGAGTTCCCTACTACTTTGCCGACTGGTACCATGGCGTCGGTTAACAAAGAGGAACAAGATGAACAAGATGGAGAAGAAGACGACGTTGTTTTTGTGGGGCAAAAGCGCAAGGCGATACACATGAGTCGAGATGATCGCGATCATAACAACATCATCCAGAACCCATATGCGCTGGCAGGCCTCGGTATCTCCCAGCCTGCACCGCAGTACCTGGGTATGTTTATTCCACATACCCAGGCTCAGACCATGTCGCAGCATGGAATGTCGGTCCCACCCCAGCCTCAATTTCCTGGGAATGGTCAGACTTGTGGCAAATTTCCTGGCCAAGGTCAGCAACAGGCTCAGATGCACGCACGGGCTCACAGTCAAGGGCAGTTTACCCAGCCTATGGCGCATTCCCGTGGATTGAGCTGGCAGAATCAATCACAGCAGCAGCCACAAGGCCGACTAGTATCTCAGCATCGCTCAGTCGACGGGCAACAGCAACACGTGAGGTCCAGCTCAAGTGTTTCCAAGGCTAGAGCACCTGGGACTCCAACTCCTTCGTCACGGCACCGCTCAACCCATTCGAAAGCCGGCCAGAAGGTTGTTTCCAATTCTTCTCGCTCTTCTGGCACGCCACGCAAACATGTTCAGACGCCCAGTGGCCGGTCCTGTCGGACTCCCAACCACAAGCCGAGCCCGAGCCTATCTCTCTCGCAGATCCCGAAGCAGACGCCACCGAACGCGACGCCGGCTGGGCAGCGCATACACCTACCCACGCCGCAGCAGCCCACTTCGACTGGCTCTTGTCCTAACACCATCTCCGAAACTCTCGCGGAAACCAACCGTCGCACAGAGAACGAGCTTCGCGCCCTCGGTGCAGACGTAGTGGACTATGATCCAAACATGAGCTGGGATGATGCGGGTGTTGCGGGTGGTGCTTCGTTCGAGACCCTCTTTGGGGGTATCGGTCTCATGACGCCTGCCGAGCAGACGTTCAGCGAGATGATGGGTCTGCACATGTCGATGCCTGCGCCAGTGGACCAGCACCTGCCTCAAAATGGGAGTGGAAATATTGTGGGGTTGGGAAATACGCTTTTGAACACAGAACTGAAGACCACAGTCAGCACGAGTGGCGACGACGCAGGCTTGTTCGAGACTTACTTGTCCGATAGCTACAACCACAGCAACCACAACGCGAAGAACACACCTGACATTACCGAATCAAATGGCGTCGCCATGGCAGATGTGGTCTGCGAGACGGGAGCCGCTGTTCCTGCCACCGCCGATCTGGACTTCGAGAGTGACTGGACGAAGGGCTTTGACGAGGACAAGGACTTTGATCCCATGGACTTCGGCTTCTAGTCATCAAAGGGTGAAGTAAGTAAGCGCTTGCTGCACAAGGGTGGCTATGGTGGCTTGTTGGGATCTGTCTGTGTCGGCGTCTGCACCATCGGCGATGTGTCTTGCCGTTTGTCGTTTGTCTTGTCGTGCCGTCTCCGGTCGTGTGTGATAATACACACCAAAATATGACGAAACATGACATTGGACAAAGGACACAAGGGCAGTGAGGGTCCGACACTGAAACCAAGAGAATATGTGCCAGTCATATACATTCACAGTCACGGCCCGAGCAAAGACAAACATGAACATGGATTGAGCGCCCTCCGTTTTCGACAGCGAAACACGACTTCTCACGCACAGGCGCAGAAACAGATAAGGGATGGAAAACTAGGGGATCATCAGTGTTGATCGTCTGTCAAGGTGACAAGGCGGCAGTTTTTTGGTGGGAGTACCAGGGAATTTATGGCTTTACATTCCACATTCCCCATTCCACATTCCAACGGACAGGACTGGGCTGGGCAAGATAGACAATGTAGAGGCTGTTCAGGCATGTAGGCACACAAGCAAGCAAGGCGTGACAGAGATGCAAGGATAGATTGTGTGGGCTTTGCTTTTTATTTTTTGTTTTTGTTTTTTTCAAGTTATGAATTGCCTTGCTGGATTGGAAACTACAATGCAAGGGCTACCGTACAGTTGCACGGACGGACGGGCGGCAGAACAGCAGCAGCGCGCAGCATCGCTGGTACATGGCAGCACTTTGTGATGGTGACGGCGTACATTATTCACACGGTACACGGTCCAGATCGAGAGAGGATACGGATACGGACAGGGACACCCATCGGGCGACTGAATAGAAGCCAGGGCAGGGTAGGCAGAGCTAGACATGAATGAAAATGGTTTCATTTGTATAATTAAGTCGACCACGAATATTACAAGCCCGGGAGCACATACTTCATGCATCCTGTAAAGCGCGCTGTGAAGAGCGCCGAACTTAGAAAGCTTTCCGTGTAATGCGCACTCGAATATGCTATTTCCTCCCAGACTCTGTCGGGAAGGCCGGAAGTCGAATAGACGTACAGGAGCAACCAGGAAAGCACGGGCTGGATACTGGCGTTCTGATCCCAAGGCATACCCAGATCTCCCCTTCCACGCTCTTTTGGAACGATCAGTTCTTTCGGCTGTAAACCGCATTTCGCTCCAGAGCGACCTCACTGATGCCCGTCATGTCAGGCCCGTAGTCAATTGCTTGGCCCCACCATGATAGTGGTCCACGCGTCGGTACAATGTTTCCATCTCTTGAAGCAGACGCGACCTCGCAGCCACGCCATCCTTTATGCATTTCAAGGGAGTCGAGGATGCAACGCCAATCATCATCAATGGAAACAGATCGTTGTCGAATTTCCAGAAATCGTCCAGAAGCCGGGGACAGCGATCTAAGAAGTCCTGTCCAAAAAGGAGAGGGATGGCAATGCAGGCTCCGAAATCTCGCGATAGACTCCGCAGGTCCGCCTCCACTGCCCCTGGCGGACCCGGTCCGTTGGGTGTGATGACGCGGGCGTTGGCAGATAGTTCCCAGCGTTTCTTTTGTGCTGGATCGGTCGAGAAGCTGACGAATACGCCTGCTTTTGGGGAATGCAGCTCTTCTTTGAGGGCAGATGTCGCCGCACTGTCGTTGAGAAACGTCCGCTCGACAGGTCCGAGAAGGTCTTTCCACGAGTCTCGGAGCTTTTTCTTGAATTGAGGCGAGTTTGTTGCTCCAAAAACACAGGTAGCCAAAGGTGTACTTGGCCGGTTCAGCACTGAGAGTGTGATGAGGCTGCGACATGGTGCGATCAATGTTGGGGAGGTTGGCTGAGACCTGATGCGATGTGGTCAGGCCGAGGAGAGAGCCATTGCGTCGTCGTACTCATGACCTGGAGTCGATGGCAGTCTCCATGTTTGGTATGGCTCTTGCGTATGCCTATACTCACCAGAAGTGTCGGCTCAGGCCGCCACGACCGACGATGTAACCGACGACAGCGATCTCAACGGCAGCCCAGCCCGGGAATAGTTTGTATTTGTTTTGCCTGAATATTGCTCAGTGGAAAACAGCAGCGGCAAAGACCACAGCGAACAGTCTGTATACCGCTGGTAGCCCCAAATGCACCGGCAACAGACGCTGCAGTATTTCGACCATTGTCCGTTTGGATGATCTTTATGTCAGTGGGAAGAGAGGAGGGACTGGAGTGGTACTCAAGGCTTGGACAGAGGCTCGGTGGAGTTTCTTAATGGGTCTATACCATATAGCGCCCTTGCCTATCATGGCTAGACTGCTTGTGCATTGTGGGCCACACGTGCCTCAGCAGTGGCCTTGTTCTAACAAGCAGCATCTGTGACATGCAAACCACAGACATGACGTACTGTGGCGAGGGAATCAGGAATCGGTCGGGTTTCTCTGCATAGAGTCAGATGTTGGTTTCTCTGATTCCAAAGTTGGCTGAGCTTACAAGCATACTGCAAATGAGCAAAGTTGAGCCTTGTGGAGGAGACTTTCTGGGACGAGGCCACAATAAAGTAAATGTTCCAGGATCTTGCTCCTTCGCAAGTATATCATATATCATATACCTACAATTCCAGGCAATCGGAACGTTAGGTGACCAACAAGGAACGTTGTTCTCATTCTATTATTCGTTCGTAGTCACTGTGACTTCATGATCTTCTTTTTGTCCTGTCCTGTCCTGTCCCTCTTGCTACTGATTTCGAACCCCCAGCTCCTTTCTTTCTTCCCATCGGTTCAGGTTCTCTCTCCCTCTCTCTACATGGACAGGATATTCAGCATATATGTAGGGTCACACGCCCTTTGAAGCGTAGATCCAGAACAGAACAACCATCTCCACTTCTAGTCGATTGCTTCACATCACGGGGTTCCGATGTTTTGTGCCCCCTATCTGCTGTTCGCCGTCCTGCCGCAGCGTCGATCGAAACCCCTCTTTCAAGTTATCGCCCATAGGCACCGGCTGCCATGTCCAATCCCAGCCCCTCTCCCACCTTATTCACCATCCAGCGCCGCTTGAACCCTTCCCTCGCCAATTCCCTCGTCCTCCGAGCCCAGATCTCGCTGCCCACACGGCCCCGGACGAAGCCTTCCTGCAGGGCCAGGATAGCGGCTTCAATCCCCCGCTCCTCGCACGCCGCATCGTATAATTGGCGGGCCACGACGGTCGGGGCGGTGAGCATTTCGTCGACGTGTGGGATGTCGTTTTTCGCGGCGCGGGCGTGGGCGGACGATATCGCTTGGTCAGCCTTGGTCAGGGAGGATTGGAGGAGGGAAATATTGTTGGATACGGTCGCATGCAACGCCTTCAAGGTGCTCAGTTCGCCGTTTAATGCGCTCGTGGTGGACTGCATTGCTGCAAATTGCGATGCCAACGGTGCCAACGCAGAGTTGTTCTGGGAGATTTGTTGGTGGAGGGATGTCGTCATCAGGTGGGAAAGATGGGTGAGGAGAGCCTCCTTTTCAGGGTTGACTGGTATCGGAGGCGCGGGAATGTTGTGGGATAATCGAGGATTGGGAGCAGGCAGGGGAATGTCGAAGGGCGAGTCGAGAAGATTTGGTGTTGGCGCCGGTTTCGGAGCAGGAGGTTGAGGCGGTGGCTGATACTGCCGTGGAGGTGGAGGGTAAGGTTGTTGCGGAAGTTGCTGGGCGTAATTGGCCGGGAATTGTTGCGAAACAGGTCGCCCGGGAGGCTGGCCCTGAGGAAAGGGTGATGCTGTTGTTGGCATCTGACCATATTGATCGGAGAGTAATGGCTGTCTGGCGTGGTCGGAGACTTGGCCTGGACCTTGACCTGGGGGAGAAGTCATAGCATGATGGGGATGGGCTGGGGGATATTGCTGTGGCTGACCCGGCGGAGGGGGTTGAGGCGGGTACGAAGACGGAGGTGGTTCGTACGCAGCTTGGACATGATGTTGTTGCTGTTGTTGCTGCTGCTGCTGCTGCTGATAGGGCGGTTGAGGAGACATGGACTGTCGAAGGCTACTGGAACGCTGAGGAGCAAAATTTGCTCCGCTGGAGGGTCGTTGGACGTTTCCATTCCCATACGTTTCCTGAGGTCTTTGGCCTGGGACTTGCACCTGAGGCGGCAGAGGAGGCGGAGCATCATACCGCCCTGTTCGCGAAGAAATCGTCGGAGGGCCAGGACTTGCTGGGGCAGAAGCTGGAAGGCCAGGTTGAGCAGGCTGTTTGGGCGGAGGAGGTGGTGGAGCGGGCGCGCCCGGATGCTGAACAGGCGGAGGAGAGCTTGCTACCGACACATTCGAAGCTGGAGGTGGTTGCATCTCCCTTGGTAGAGGCGGTACCGGTGGGGGAACCGGCTGTGATGTTCTCTGCGGTTGATGCGGTGACCTGGACATGACAGGCGGCTCTTTGGCGAAGATATCGGACAAGATGGACATGAAGTCCAGGATATTCGATCTCTAAATACCGACCAACTAGTCAGAGCTGTTCCATTTACCCTCCTCTTCCCAGATCTTAGGCCTTTCTTTGTGTGTCTGAACCTACCTCCCAATGTTCTCGCCAGTGCGCCAAGTACGGATGATATATTCTCCCATCTCCACCGACATGTTGCCCCGGTCTGATCACCATCTCGTCCGTCGGAGTGACATAGCACATCGGCGCCTCGTACGGGTAGGCGTGAGGAATCCACAGCACTATCGGGAACCGGTACGTGTTCCCTCGAAAGTTGACGGGGATGGTGCCCTTGAACTGGAGGAGCAGCGCAGGCGCTCCATTCTCGTACGCTGGGCGTCATTTGTCAGTTCCCCCTCTCTTCCCGTATCTTCTGCATGGCCGACGTACTGTAGACATCCGTCCGAGGAGCCAAGCTCGGATTGCGGGCGAGGACGTGGGCAAGGTCAGAATAGGTGCGATTCGGGTCGCGATATTCCTGCAAGCTCTTGGTCAGCCCAACTCGAGCAACTGTCTGGAGGGGATGTCATACACGTTTCAATACATCGTAAAGCCAATTCAATGTCTTCTGGGGCACGCCAGCCATTGACGTTAGTAAATCTCTCGAGGAAAGGTTTCCCGTTGATATGGACGGCGGAAGCGATTCTGGTGTTGTGGCCTGCGTCGGGTTTCTATTGGCCAAGCCTTCTACAAAGAGATTACATAATGCGGGGAGGTCGCAGAGAAGAAATGCCTCCAACAGGACAGAACAGGGAAATACTAGCTGTCGATGGAATCAGGATTTGGGGGTATCATAATGCTAAGACTAATCGTACAACAACATCGGGCAGCGTTCATGCGTGTCTTCCTGGTGGTACAAAATCCACCAACCCCGTCATACCAGTGCTGCATGCAGCATCTTTTGTTGCGGACAACAGCCTATTTCTGGGCGGCGGCCTGCTTGTCGAGGTCCAGCTCAACCCCACGCTGTCTGGTCTTTCCTTCGTCGTGAATCTCGTTGTATTTGGCTTGTTCGGAGCGGTCACCAGTCAGGCCTGCCACGGCACTGCCGACAGCTCCTTGAGTACGGTCGCTGATGCCCTTGCCAAGGTCACTCAGTTGGCCCTTAGCCTCTTGCCCTTGACCCTGCATGTTCTGTTCGCGACCTTGTTGCTTCAACTTCTCGCTTCCGATGAGGTTGCCGAAGGTTTCTTTGGCGCTACCAACAGTCTGATCCCATTGGCCTTGGGTCCGGTCGGAGTTGTCTTTGGCGGGGGCGCCAGTAGAGCTGATGGTGAAAGGACCTGCCTTGGCTGCGGTGTGGGAAAGGTCAGACTCGGCGGCGCCCTTGTTCTTGTATTCCTCGGCTTTGGCCTGGGGCGGACATTAGCAAGGGAGGTCTCATGTTTGACAAGACAGGAAGTGTCAACTCACCTGATCGCCAGAGCTACCAGTCACAGCGGCAATACCAGACTGGACGTAGCCAGTGGCAGTGTCAACAACTGACTTGAGGGTCGAAGTGTTGTCGTTGGAAGACATGTTGAAGTGAGTGTTTCGTTTTGTTCGGGTGTTGGGTGGTTGTATCAATAAGAGTTGCTTTCTGAGTAATGGTTTGGTCTGAGATGAAGAGATGGAGAGAAGAATGAACCAGGATTTGGGCACAATTTATAGACCAACGCCCGGAGCTGAAGTCTGTTTGTCGCAGGTGCAACAGGGCATGTGCTTTTGGGGCAAGTGGCTTTGTGGCGCGCCATCGACGTCATCGGGGCCGTTGGTGGAGCGCAGATGGCGCAGATGGCGATCACACAGAATGCGCAATGCCCTCCACCAGAAACAGACATTTCGGCATCGGCATCTCTGGACCTGAGCAACAGGTAGGGGTGGCCCACATCTGGCCTGGGGACCATATTCCAGGAACCCAGAGTCCTTCGCGTACTCCGTTGCGTTTCGGCCAATCAGTCTGCCGATCGCCAACTGCATATCCAAGTTCAACACGAATTAATCCTCTCACCTTTATTTTGACAAGATTATAATTCCGATTTTCAATACCTCCTTGCTTGTTGTAGCTACGTAATCATGGGTACATCCACTGAAGCATATCCATACAATGCCGGACCTGACAATGCGAATGAAGGGGATGATTGGACCATATGGCGCCTTACTAACCTGAAGACAGACGAAGGAGTCGCTGACGGGGACCTAACCAGGGGCTGTGCGAGAGAGGCAGACATTAACAATGAGTGCCGCAGGCTAGACGGATAGAGTAGTGTCATGCCAACATGAATGGGTGGAGGGGATTAGTTTGAAAGAGATAGCACTGACCGCTGGTATAAGCTGACCGGCTGAGCTAGTGACGACGTTGGGCAGGGACAATCGATGTAATATCTGAGCGAACAACAAGGCAAAAGGCGTCGTAATGACGGCAGAGCGTGGGCCGCAATACCCTCAATTCAGGACATTGTGATTGTCTAACTCCCAGAAAGAGAGAGAGTCAGAGGGAATCGTCGGACGCAGCTAATCCCGACGGGGACCTAGCGTGGTCATGTGATAGTCAACATAAATTCCTCAAGGGGTGTGCAGACGTCCATCGATGAAGAGACGTGTGTCGCCGATGGATAGGTCATTGTCGTAGCACCTTCGTTGAGGAACCATATCCACAAATCATGAATCAGCGATGGGCTAATCTTGCTCGTTGGCTTCTCTCGCGCGCATCTTGATCGGCGACGGAGATCGCTTGTCAGAACGAAATGTTTCTGCCGGCTTACATTCATTCATTCTCAGGCATAAATCTTGTTGTTCATCGTCTTCCTGACTCAGCCCGGTAGAAATCGAACTGGCTGGCGACAAAGTCCACTCAAGGTCTGTGGGGAAGTCTTCATAGCGATCCTTGGCGACATTATTGTGGAAGTCCTCTGCGCGCTTGACGATTCCGCACAGTTCTTCGGCGGTGATAATAATGGTCTCGTTTCGTAGGGAGTCGGGCAACAATTTAGGAGGCGCCATTTCTGCCATTGGGATTTCCAGTTGCGCACCCGGGACAGGCTCATCGTTCGTGTTTCGTATGACCTAGGCACTAAAATGAGTATCTCGTAACACATTGTGGACAAATATGGGGTGTCTTAATCACTTGATCAACATGTTCGGCTGTTAATCTCGGCGGGCAATCGCTGGTGATACAGGGTCTCCAAACCGTCAGATCCACCTGTGAGTCTTGATGAAGTTTCACTGTAACGACCTGACGTATCTGTCCTTTTCCCGCCTTGATAATGCGAAATGCTTTCTTTTCGAGGTCCTTGACCGCGTGGGAGTAACCCACCTCTAAAACCAGGCCTGGCTGTTCTGCGTCGAGGCACATGATCTGGTCATCCGGCATGAACACATCGCCTTGTTCGGCTTCGATATCTGACTTTCTTAATGGTTCGAATGGACACACCACTTGATGTTTGGCATAGAGCTGATCAATCTTGTTTTGCAGAAGACGGCTGAACCCTGAATGGACAACCTCATGCTTACGCTTAGGCCTTCGAAGGACGAATTCCTGGGTATCGGAGAAGTAATCGTATCTGTGTGTTGAATGTTAAGCCCTGATTGGAGGGACTATCGGGAAAGACTCGAACTCTCCATACCGCACACTTTCCTGCCAACGCAGTTTCTGCTCATACTCCCCCAGTAAGTCTGGTAAAGTCTTCTGCACTCAGACGATACCGTGACCGATCGATCATATAGCCGGCAAGCCGGCGCTCAAGCTGATGAACAAGTATCTGCAATTCGGAAGTCGTTGTTTTCAAATCAAAAGGGTCTTGAGGAGGTAGGAGAGAGTCTAAGCAGTCACTATGGGAGTCGCTGTCCGCGGCGACTACCCTAAGCGGGCCCGCATCTGTTCTGGGGCTCGTCATCCTACGGTCTTGCGAGATCTCTTTCACAGTCGCTCATTGATTATCACAAGGCCGCGAGACAAAGAATACGCTCTGAGTTTAAGGAAGAGTTGTGAATTTTGCCATCATCACAAGGGAAAACTACGGCTATACCTCGGTACCTATTTCCCAGGGATTATCGTGGTATTAGGTGTAGCGAGAACGCGATTCAATCAAAGGGACAAGAGCAGCAACAGCTTTGAGCATGACTGTCACAAAGTTCCCCAACCCATCTCACAAAGTACGTCAGCCACTAGCCCAAAAAATTCATACAAAGGAGGCGCTGAGTAACCCTCCAAATAGCACTTTGTCTCCTATTCAGCTGAGGGCGCCCGACAACCGCTGGGGCAGCAGAGTGAGCTGTCACGGAACCCAAATGGCGTATCTAGCACGCGCCATCAATCCCTGGTGTCGTCTATTCCCTGTCCGGGTAGGAACATTGTAGAAAGATATTGTAGAAGAAGCGACAATAAAGGGATGTATCGTGCCACTATCGACTGCGTGTGTAGCTGACAATGTGTGCCAGGAAATTCAATGGGCGAATGCCGGCAGGTTGATGTCATTTCCATCAGCTGGGTACTTGCGAAATCTAATCCAAAACTGAGGGAAGTTATTCAACAGGCCGTGGAGGACCATGATATTTTGGTCTACTGCTCCACTGCCGATACTGGATCAAAGTCACACCTGGATGTCTATCCCGCAAGTTACGAAGGTCTGGTTACTGCGGTCTCAGCATCGAACCATTTCAGATGGGCAAGGGTTGAATCATGCCATGATGTTCACATCATGCTTGACAGTAAGGAGGTGACGGTGTAAGGACCGAAATACATGCAACAACCAAGCAGTAGGATATCGGGCTCGTCGGTTTCTTCAGTCCTCGCGGCGGGGTTCGCTTCGCTATGTCTGTTCCTGGCTTGCATGGCCAACAACGAGAACGACTGGCTGCAATTTACCAAACGGAGCACCGTGCCTCACATCTTCCGTAAAATGCAAGAGAGCAACAGCAATCGTGTCTTCGCCCCGGTGAAGCTGTTCAATGACACCTTCGACGTCTAAGATGGCTTTTACTTGCAGGTAGCCGCCACCAACTGGACTCCAGACGTTCAGATGGTTGACGATTCAGGCGAAAATAAGCAATGTCAGTCACAGTCACATGAGGGACATGCCCGCGGACCCCTCGAGGAGGCAGGCAAGATCACATCAAGTACAGCGCGCAAATGCGGCCATTGCAGTTAGTCGGGCTAGGGACTCTGGGACGTTCAACCTCATGGTGCCATACATGACCCATGCATGAAAATCATATTCGTGTTGATTGTGTACAGCGGCAAATACATCTGAAATTGTTTCTATTACCTAGAACCTTAGGATGATCTGTTACCAGGAAGGCAAGGCCATCTGGCAGGTGATAGCCCGGAGAGACATTTAGGCCTACAAATGTAATCGTGTTCACGCTCAACTCACCTCACCGGATCAGCCAGGGTAACAGCGATCGCCCCCCGGATGCAGAAAGAACGATCTATCAGGATGAGGAAGATCTGTCGAAAGGAGCCCTTTCGATCACTCTCTCAGAAAGCAACACGAGACATACCTTCACTATTGCACTATTAGCTACCTGTCCCTGCGTTCTCTTGGCGCGGCTGCGCTGGTTGAACGTGGAACCGAAGCGTGCGCCGTCGGGGCCTCTTGAGGCCGTGGCACAACGCTCAAAAGGTGCCCGAGAGACCCCCTAGCCTGCAGCCTAGCCCGGTTGTGGCGACTGGGCAGGGCAGGGCGCCGACGACCCTCTAGAGTCCCGTCCTTCTCAGTTCCAGGTCCTGTGTACCCAAGGATCCGTCATGACCTGGGAGAAGGCGTGGAACTCTCTTTTCCCGCTTAGTACTAGTAGTAACAGACCAATGTCTCCAGCGGCGGAGTCTTTCTGCAACCGAACTGGGGTGTGCCCCACGGCAGAATCTGGCCATACTTCCTGGCCTTTGCTCAACCAAGCTCATAGACTACCTGGCTTCGCGACAGTTCAGTGTCACTGGCTTTTGGGACAGACTTGACCGAAAATTCGTTCTTCATGGCGTACGCGCGGATCTGATCTTGACCAATCACCACTGCAGCAATAGGTCCGAGATAAATATGTTCCAATGCACTCTTACCCGTTGGCCTTATAAGGTGAAGGCACCTACTGCCCTGAAAGGAGACGACTCGGTCGTCGACGGTAGTAGAGCGAGGAACCAGTAGATGCAGGGGAGCTATCTCGAGATTAGACTCCTCGTCGGTGTAGTCTTCAACGTAAGCGAACACAAAATGATCGCTCGCAAGGTATTCTGCAAATTCCCGAGACATTTCTTCGGGCCTGACCAACGTATGTCTCAACTCAAACGTTGTCGCCGAGGATTGCACATTTGAGAACACAAAAGCATATGGTGGATTTTCGATCGATACAGAGAGTCCCAGGGTGCCTCGGCGCTGCGACCCTCGCCTGACTTCGTTGAGCGATACAGACCTTCCGTAAATCGGTTTGGAACGATCCTTAGGGTGGGAAATATCTTTTTTGGCATCGATTCCGACAATCTGCTTTGCCACCTGCAGGCCTCGGAGGTACAGCTTGTTGCATTTGGCGTAGTTCTGCTGCAACACCAGGTCACCGCGAGCCATCTCGATCGAGTTGCTTACACGATACCTCGTTTCCATCTTCCGGAAGTCTATTGCCCATGCGGCTGTTTGATCATTTGACAAAGGTTTGGGACTTCGAAGTCGAAAGACATCCAAAACTGCTAGGGTTTTCGTCGTGTTGATCAGAAACTTGACAACGTCTTGGTGGACCTGGTTGATAGACTTGCTATAATCAATCGGGAATCTGGCGATTTGCATCTCCAATTCCTCTGGGACTTGCACGAAGAATTTGATTGATCGACTTGTGAGGAGACCGAGAGCTCCGTAAATCCGATCTTGTGGCTCGGTCACTTGGAATAGCAAACCCTTCTCCAACACATCGAACCAGTGTCCCACAAAGTCGCGTCCGGTATTGGATGATTGAAAGTTGCCTCGGTCGCTTCCAAAGTGCTGATACTCGTTCTGATAGGCACTCAAAGTTGCAGGCCATCGATTGGTGGTGTCTGGCACCCGCTGTAGTAGGAGTTGTGCTCCGCCAACAAAGGTTTCAAAGTCCAGCTGATTAGAGCCCGCTTGGATGAATAACCTCTTAGCTGCAAAGACTTCTTGCCGAACTAGGGGATAGAGACTGCTGTTAGCGCGAAGGATTATACGCAGGAAGCTTCCAGCGAGCACCCCCCATAGCTGATACAAATATTGCGAGCAACTCACCCCAGGTCCTTGTGAACCACGCACGCGCCAAGTGTGCAGACACATCAGTAGCAATGGTTTTGAGGTCAACTTGACAGCTTTCACTATGGTTGCTCGTGGAATTTCGATCGGCAGAGTCGCTCATTAGACGAAGGACCGCAAAAGTACGTCCAGATTCTGGCGCCGGCAGACCAATCCATGCCACTACCTTGTGAGCCTTCTCGAAAATTCTGAGCATATTTTGCACTTGTCTTGACTTTTCGGCCAGACTTTGCTGATTGACACAGATAGCATCACACCATATATATCGACTGGTAGATTCATCACGAAGATAGGTCAAGGCATGGCCCAGTTCTTTCGGGACACCAAATTTTTGATTGTTGCAAATGATTTCGCAAACAAGAGCAGGATGGCCCCAGGAATAGGAAAGCGCATCGTATAGCACTGTATCATTGGTACCATCAATTCCTAGTCCTGGGCCGTCAATGAGATTCACCACGATCAGATCGCAGGTGATAGGCGAGTCTGCATCGCCTGGGTGGAGGACAATCAAACGCGTCTGCCAGCTGGTTAGAGTCTGGTAAGCCTTTGCGTTCTCGGTCGAGATCGAAATTCTCGCATCGTCGCTGAGATATGTTGGCGTCTTCGTGTCTACCGTCAAGGGAGTGCGCATTGCCTCTTTGACCCAACAGTTTAGGTCGCATTGGGGTAGTTCCTCCTTTGCAGAAGCATCACTGTTTGCCTCAGCCTCGGAAACTCTGCTTTCGCGGCGGTCACCATTGTTGATTGCTTTGGCCGTTCCAGCCGCAGCTCTCCTTCTAGCGTAAAACAATTTTTGCATGGCAAAGGACGATGGCCGAGTTTTTAGTTTGTTTTAAATGACACCAGGAAGGTATGGACTCGACCTCATGTAATAATAGGAACAAACATGCAAGGAAGCCAGTACCTCGTAGACGGGGTCCGGTTGACGTGGAGCTTCAAGTACTCGGTACTTATTCTTAGCCTAAACTGGGGCAAGCGGCTTGGCGGCTTGGCGGCGCGGATGATCGCCGCGAGGTCGTGCCAGCCTGACCATATCATACTCTCCCGGTCTTGCATCCCACATCCGCCTCGTCGCAATCTATGCTGCTTGTCCTCTGGACTCCTAAGCCAGCACATGTTTTGAAGTGCACAGACCTCAGTTTCTTAAAGCTTCAAGTTCTACCTCGGTGAGAGAATTGAGCTCAGTTACGATGGGTACGTGGTTGATGCCCTCCTGACTCGCTAGGCCTTTTGAGAATCTAACGTGTTGATTAGCGGCTAGTAATCTTCGAAAGCATTTTTCGCAAACTGCGCACCCCTCCCGGGACAGTATATACATTCCGGATGAAGCCTCCCCAGACCATAATGAGAGAACCGGCCTTCTGTCTCGTATATCGGCTACGGATGAAGTCTCCTCAGACCATAATGAGAGAACCCCCTTTCTGTCCCGTATCACGAGTAGTGAAAACGTAGCATTTACATTGCGAAAAGTGGGAAGGCTATGTGCTTCCATGTGGGAAGTGTTGGGCGGACGATATCTTCACGCCTTAATCATCTTATTTCCCCTGGCGTGTGTTGCAAACGCCAGGGAATGGGGTTCAGCCTCACAGCTTGCTTTGAATGTGTTGGCAATCATCCCGCTGCCATCCATCGTGGACACTTGCACTCTTGAATTAAGTGCAGCTCTGAACCCTGTCCTGGGTGGCATCCTCCATGCGACTTTTGCTAATACGACAGAGCTGGTGGTGAGTACCTAGTTCTTTTGCTCGTGGGAGTTACGCTGACTTGCCTCAGCTAGGTCTTGTGGCGCTCAGATACTACGAACTGCAAATTGTACAAGCCACTGTCCTTGGAAATATCCTGCTGAACCTTGTGTTCTTTACTGGTTGTTGTTGCTTCGCTGGCGGCCTCAATCATCAATATCAACACTACAGCTCCTTGCTCGTCTCCCACTTGTCCATCTTTGCCATCGTCCTAATTGGCATTCTGATGATGCCAACCGCGCTGGCCTCAACGACAAAATCCACCCCTGCCAATGGAAAACGACATGGACACGATGGAAGTCTGACCCTGGGATTAGCGATCGTTTTGCTGATAGTCTATTGCGCATATGTTTACTTCCAGGTCTCGTCTCATGCCAACCTGTTCGATGAAGACGAATCTCCTAGGGAAGTGGAAGAAAGCAATGACATTTTGCACCCGCTGCCAACGGGCATTTTACTGTCTTGCTCAGTTTGCTTAATTGTACTCTGTACACGCAACATCCTGAACAGCATTCCGGGGATGGTAAGCGATTTTGGGGTAAGCAAAAACTTCATCGGCTTCATCGTCTTTCCAATTATTGCGAACGCGGCCGATTTTGAATCACACATACTCGTGGCTCGGAAGAATCGTCTGCCGCTTGCCTTTGGCTTCATATTAGCGACGGTCATACAGACTATCCTATTTGTGGTGCCGGTCTTGATCATTGCTGGACGGATCGCTGGTATGGATGAACTGAAGATGGCTTTCGACCCCGTCGCGGCGATAGCAGTGTTCATCTCGTCTCTGATTGCGGTCCTACTCCTTCGGAGTACTTCGACAACATATTTCGAAGGCATGCTTCTTCTGGCATTGTATTCCATTATTGTAATGACTCTTTATGACGTTAAGGAGCCTGAGGGGCTAGGACCGCCATAGGGACTTTGCCAGGGATCCATTTCAGGCTACTGTGCCGCTCCAAACCCATCACTCAGAAGCCGCTCGACATGCCGCCGGCCAGTACCTGGATCTCTGGACCTCTACCGAGCCGTTAAGCGCTCCGACGACGTACGTCATGCTATTTGGACAGCAAAGACTGGGAGACTTAAAATAATTATGATGGGCGTGTGCCTCGAAGCAAGACAAGGCGGTGCCGCTCTTTGCTCACCTCGGTTCTTGGAGCCCGGAACATCGCCAATGTGTGTCACCAGTAAAAGGGTGCATTTCACATCCAATCTCAACTGTGCTTTTCTTTCTGACCATACCCCAATTCTGTTATTTAGAATCATCAGGCTCTGGATCCCCTCCTAGCGTGCACTCAAATGTTAGGCCTTAGCGTGGCACTGACCAAAACTGTGTGAAATTGTGCCTCGATCAGACAATAAGGGACGCTTTTTGCTAAAGCACGTCACGCGATCTATTAGACACTACGGATCTCGAATTGTACAGACGGAAGCTATCAGTGTCTCGGCTCGAGCAACACCGCAGAATGCTACGCATACCACGCGGGCTGCTTCTTCCTCATCGAGAACAACCGCACTGTTCCGGCAAAACCTACATATAACTCTAGCACTAGCACAACGACTGCACCGACAACGTCATTGGGCATCGCCATCCTCATCAAGTGCTACGGCTCCACCATTCTCGTCGACTGTCACTGCCTCGCAGTCAAAGGTTCGCATTCTCTTTCAACAGGTTCACAGGCAGGCATTAGTGTCGGCGTCAGCGCAGTCGGACTCGTGGTCCTCAGCCTTATCTACTAATTCTAATCATCATATAGTGCGAAGCCTGGGCGATGCGCACAACACGCGAGGCTGCCCGCAGCGACCGATTAGGTTCAAGCCACGTGGGCGAGGTCGCCTGTTCTTGCCAGCGCCACTTCAACCTGTTCAAGCCGCATTTTCCACTTTTGCTGAGAAGACTCTTTTCTCTTACATAGTATTTCCTCCACCAGTTGGCTTGAGCTGGCTTGAGAAAAGCAGACTCCATTTCGGGCGCAATAAACACAAGAGCTGCCACATGGGTGCTTCGCCCTTCGATCGAGAGGGATTAGTGCGGCAACGATGAGAAATGCAAGAGCACACAGTGTGTCTCTAAACGGAGGGCTGATGCAGGTGGGACAGGGGGGGTGGCATTCAATAGAAGCAGTCTTTTTCTCCCCATCACTTCCGACTTCTGTCCTTTAGACCGCTTTTGAGGCCCTCGTTAAATTTGACAGCCTGGAGGAGGGACGACTTTTGGGCCACTGCGTCGATGTGGTCAGCAAGGTGAGCTGGCCCAGCCGAGCCTGAGCCGACGTTGAGCCGGATGCGAGCCAGCCTGAGAAAAAGCCGCCGCATGGTCACGTGGATTGGAAGGGAGACGGGCGTCGAGATTCCGGTCGTGAAACACGGAATCCCATCTCACCCTCTCCCTCACAACAAGCTGCCCGTCACTACTCTGGCATGGTGCATTCCACATCTCCCCCTAACCGCCCCCCGAATCCAGTCCAAGGTTCAGGAAGATTCCCCCGTGACAAGGAATGTGGGCTCCATTGGTGTGATCTCAGGTCGTGGAGATCGTCAGGCACTTGCTCTTCAGAACCGGCTTCATCCATGTTGACGTCATGTTGTGCATGTGTAGCAGAACCATGGCTGCTATTCCTCAGCCAAACCTCAGCCAAACCTCAGCCAAACCTCAGCTTGGGACACACAAACACCAGCAGAAACGCCACCACCCACATCGCAAAGATCATGCCGTAAAGCTTTAGTCGTCCCAACCAGCCTTCTTCCTCGCTCATGCGTTTCAGGAATGCCATGTTCTTGCTCGCCGCCTCCATCCCACTCAGGCTGACATCTAGTCCTTCCATCGCCCGCCCTAGTATGCCCTTGTCTTGTTCCAGAGAGAATTGAAGCTTCCTCTGCTCCTGTTTGAGCTGGGCTGCCATTTTGACCAAAGACGCCGTAATGTCTTCGTGCACGCGCGAAGAGTCCAATAGTGACCGCTCTGTCCCAGCGAGATTTGAGACGCCGCTCGCCTGCGCTTCGGTTTTGCTCGTTTCGCCTTGTCCTTGGCCTCGTCGCCGCAGATTTGAAGACCCAAATAGTTCTTCCCTTGCATTCTTGTCCTTTGGTGCGACTCCCCTAAGATGTTCCTCCTCCACGCTCTTGATGGGTTTTCCTTCTGTTAGCGGGTCATCCTGCGCTCCCTCCTTCCCTGATATACCCTCTGTCGCCGGAGACTGCGCCTGCAGAAAGTCGTAAAGGGTTTCTCCTCCATCTTCGACAATGGGCGGCTTCCACTCCTCCGGGCCCATCATTTCCACCTCCCTCCCAATCTCTTCTATCCGGTCGCGCAATGCCTTGATGATCCTTCTCTTTTCGGCCAGATCTTTGATGGCCTCGTATTTAGCCCGCTGCACACGAATAGCCTGTGCTTTGCGCTCTAGTTGTAGTAGGAGTGTGCGGGCTCCCTCGACATTGTGTAGCCATTTTGTGCGGTGGTACGGCAATGGAGACCACAACTCGGCCTGGACTTGCTTTTGCAGCGGGGTTAATGCGGCGGTGTTGTGGGTAACGGCAGAAGGAGCAGGAGGCGTGAGGAGGATCAACTGTTGGTATCGTGTAAGGGTGCGGTGGAGGTTGAGGTAGCTGACTTCATGCTGGAAGGGTCGGCTTGGGGCAGTGTCTGTTGTTGACACGGGATCCCGTCTTTGGCCCGCACCAAAGGGGAGCGCGACGGGTCGAAGTGCCGTGGTTAAAGACATGGAGATGGGGGTCCGTGTAGATACCTGGATGTTCTGGTTTCGTCGCCTGCTCGCGACGAGGTCAAGAGAGCAAGCCAAACTCCTGGAACCACTCGTGCTTTATTCCTTTCGTTGTTTCCCCGGATCTGTCGTAAACGTGTCCATTTAGGCAGGAAATTGAGCCTATGGCAGAAAGGCTAGTGGGTGTCGGCAGCCACCGAGGAGCGAAGCGGCCTGGGCATCACTAAGCCTAATTCAGCTTCTTGATGCTACCGCGAGCCAGCAGGATGATTCCTCCTCCGAGTCTTCTTCCATCCTGAGCTGTGTTGATCGTCCACAGTGCCAGCTGGTCCAATTCATGAGGGACCGTAAAATCTTTTAAAGCTCAGCAATTGTTCGTTTGATATCTTCAGCATTTTCTCCCCCTCTGTTCGTCCCACCGAGGTCCTGATTGCTCTGGCACAGGCTCCCTACGGCTACTGTCGACGTTAAAGTCGATACTTCAATTACCGAAACAGTTTTGGCTTCGACTGTTTGGATTTGATATATATTCACTGCTTGCATTTTACCCTCTCACCCGGCTTCGTTCTCATCTCTCCAGCTCCAGTTCTGACTCTTCTTTCTTTTCTACCCTGAACCCTCCATCCAATCATATCTATAATTCTGCGGTGCGGTGTCGTAGTAGTCGACGTAATGACTCGGCTCCATGGAAAAGTTGTCGCGGTGCTGGTCGAACTCGACGGCGTCGTCGGCGATATAGTTGGCCATAATCTCCATGGGGAGTTTGTTGGCTCGGCTCTGGAACCATTCGGCCTGGGAGAGTGGGAGATTGAGGCGGGTGACGAAGTTGGGGTACCATGGCGCCTGCAGGACGAACATGGTGTCAGGGAACAGATCAGAACCTGACACAATGCATGGCAGGGGAAGAAAGGGACCAATCCCAGACTCAAAACTGGCGGCTGGGGAGAATGCAAGAGCACTTACCATCCAAATCTGGGCCACCATGATCCGATCCTGCTCTGTCGCGTTCGGCATCCCGGCATGCCACGTTCGGAAATCTCTGAGCATCACGTCCCCTTTCTTCATGGTCGCCCGTACAGGCGGTCTCACGGCCCTCCGTGCCTCGACGGCCTCCTCGAGCACCGGACACGACGGCGTGCCGACCTTTTGCTTCCCAAAGACCGTCTCCGGGGTGGCTATGGTCTGGTCGCGCTCATCGGTGAAGGCGTGCGAGCCAAGCCAGAATTCCGTGGCGCCGTTCTCGAGCGTGAAGTCGTTGAGCGCCGTGTTGGCCACGATGACGAACGGGCATTTCGGGTGGCGGAAGCGCGTGTCCTTGTGCACGGGCTGGCGGAGGCCACCCGTGCCGGCGAGGGCGTTGTTGCCGGTCGACATGATCCATTTGGGGTTGGCCCCGAGGTAGCTACGCATAGGTCAGCTCAGGACTTTTTGAACGACGAGAAGGCGGGAGAGTTCATTGCTCTTGGTGAGTATGGAAGATACAGAGACGAAAGACTTACGCGTTCATCACCTGGACCACGAAAGGGTTGAAATGGACATCTTCAAACAACAGCTCTGGCTTCGTAAAGGGAGGAGCCTGTAATATATTGGCTGCTCGCCCGAGGATGCATCAACATCTCCAATCTTGTCCGTGGGATTGCCGGTTCATCTGCACTCACATTTCACCCCCTGATTGTACACTTTCGCCCCGGCATGTCTCTCCCTCAAGATTCGGTCCCGGTCACCGCTCATGTGCTTGTGCAGGATGTCGCAGTGCTCAGGGTCCACGACGCCTTTGAGGACCACCATGCCATCTTGATGGAGTCCTTCAAGGGCCATTTGCAGGGCCGGGGCAGAGTAGGATCCCTTCCTGACATCTTCTTCCGTCAGGGGCACGCGACGTGGCCCATCGGGCTTGGTTTCCTTGAGAATGGCAGATGGCATGATTATTGAACCTGATACCTGACAAGAGATACTGTTGTGTCTTGGATCCTGAGCCCTGGGTATCGTGGTACCCTGTGTTTTTTTAATTCTCTCCTCTCCTGTCTAATTAGTAATTATAGGAGTGTTCAAGACTCTCTTGTTTTTCGTTTCACCTCCACAGACTGCTCTGAATCCAACATGTTCCCCATCCGGAGAACACATCAAGCTATCCGGCACATCGGGGCCACGAGGTTAAGGATTTGGGCTCCGTATCGGTCCCTCGGTCGGAGTCGAACCAGGATGCGGGTTGGTATCCACCGTTGATAAGGACAATTGGTGATCGACCGTACTAGATACGAGCCAGACCTGCCGGTGATCGGCTGGACAAGGTTAGTGTCTGTGCGAAGCGGGAGACATTGGAACGTTGAACTTATCTTGTCAGACACCACCAGGGGGGTGGACGTTATATTGCCGGATACGCGCGATAGGCTTGTGACAGCCACACAGATTGATAGGATTGCCATTGCGTGGACCTAGATGGCTAGCCTGGATTCTTCAAGTTGCATTGGGCCTGTGTTGCAATGGACTTGTTGCCACCGTGAGTGAAGGAGGCGTTGAGGAGGAGTTGGATGCGAGCAAGGTTGCGAGTCCTGCTGGTGGTATATCAAACGACGCCGCTCCCATCCAACATCTAACATACGGTGGTCCTCCGTGTGTCCATCCTTTGGAGTATTTCACTCCTCTTCGTTCAGTCTGGTCTTGTCCAACTCTCAGCATGGACACCTACAACCCAGACAAACCCCGGATCACCGGCATCAATGCCTTTCGCCCCAAGAACCTCCTTGCCTCGTTCCGCATCAAGAAGGCCAACTTCAAACGTGGTATCCAGAGCAAGGAGAACTTCAAGCAGTACCTCCGGACCCCAGGTTCGAATGCGGATGCTACAGGGTCGTATTCCTGGATCAATGATGGTATGCTCCCCGTTCCGTGGCCCTCTCTGCCCGTTTCGAGATCAACGTCGTCCTCATGACCTCGAAACTGACTGCGTTAGACCTCCTCCCAACTCCCCCTGAAGCCCGGACCTGGGCCTGGTGGAACTACTTCTTCTTCTACTTCTCCCTGTCCATGGACAACTGGACGCTGGGATCGGTCATGATCGGCTGCGGCCTGAACTGGTGGCAGTCCATCCTGATCGTCTTCTTCAGCCAGGTGCTGAGTTCGGTGGCCATGGCCATCAACTCGCGGTCTGGAGAGGTCTACCATGTCGGATATCCCATCATCTCTCGCGCAGTGTTCGGCACATGGGGCGCATACTACGTCGTCTTTGCGCGTGCCGTGTTGGCCATCGTCTACTACGCCATCAAGCTGTACATTGGATCATCCTTTGTGGTGAACATGTTGACGGCCGGTATGACATGATTTCTTTGGTGTGCAGAGAGGACAAGATCTGTCCGGAGGTCTTTTATTAATACTGACACCGGACACAGTATTTGGCAACTCATACCGCAACCTGCACAACTCCATTCCTGCGTCCGTGGGCATGTCCTCGGCCCAGTTTATCGCTTTCTTCCTCTACTGGCTCGCCCACATCCCCTTCACCCTCCTCCGACCTTACCAGTTGCGCTGGGTCTTCACCCTCAAGATGTGCACAGTCGTGCCGGCCTGCTTTGGTCTGTTCATTTTCTGCATGGCCAACACCAAGGGTAACATCGGTGGAGGGATCCCTGGAGCACCGGCTTCGACGTCGACCAGCTTCGCCTGGTTCGTCGTGTACGCCTTCAACAGCGGTCTGGGTAACACTGTAAGTTTCTGTCCGATCCCCAAAACTTGACAAAGAGAGTGTACACTCACCAGTACAAGGCCAATATCATTACCAACCAACCCGATTTCAGCCGTTGGGCCAAATACAAGTACGCCTCGGTGTGGCCGCAGCTGATCGCCAACCCCATCAGCGTGACCATCTCGGCCTCGCTGGGCATCTTGGCCACGTCGGCGATCAACCATTCGTGGGGTCTCGAGCTGTGGAATCCGTGGGATCTCCTCGACGCCATCATGCAGCGATACGACACCTCGGCGGTGCGATTTGCCATCTTTCTGTGTGCCAGCTTTTGGGCCTTGTTGATTCTGGGCACGAATGTGGCGGCCAACATGATTCCCTTCGGGGCGGACAGTACGCTGCTGCTGCCACGGTATATCAACATTACTCGAGGGCAGTTCCTGGGGCTGTGTCTCGCGTGGGCGGTCAATCCATGGCAGATTCTCCGATCGGCGACAGGTAAGAACGCGCGCGCCGCCTTGCTTGATAAATATTGTGCACCGAGTTACTCACGGTTCTCCAGTGTTCCTCAACTTCCTCGGCGGCTACATCATCTTCATGGCCTCGGCCGTGGGCATCATGATCGCCGAATACTTCATCATGACTAAGGGCAACATCTTCCTGCAGCACCTGTACGACGGCAAGCGCACCAACCCGCACTACTACTACTACCGCGGGTGGAACGTGCAGGCCTACATCGCCTACATCGTCGGCGTGGTCATCCCCTTCCCGGGATTCTGCGGCTCCCTGGGCGCCAACGTGTCCGAGACGGCCATGAACCTGGGCCACTTGGGGTGGTGTCTGTCGTTTGTCGTCTCCATCGCCGTCTACGTGCCGCTGTGCTACTTCTGGCCGACCAAGAACCAGAAGCTGATCAGGAGCATGGGCCTGAAGTTCGAGGAGACCGCGCTGGAGGAGTTCAATCCGGCCGATCTCCCGAACTTCCACTCGGCCGTCATTCATGGGCGCGAGGTCGTGCATGGAGAGCCGGAGGAGGATGTCGAGTCGGCATCGGCGTCGGCGACCGAGAAAGGTGTCGAGCAGAGTACCGTGGTGGCGTCCAAGGTGGCGTGATTGCTATCGTCGTAGTAGATAGATATACGTACATGAAAGAGGGCGACGAGATGAGGGGAATAGGTGGATGCTCCTGGGTTCATGAGCATGAGAGAAGGATCGTAGGTCTGAGATCTAGAATACGAGCTGGATTCATTCATGACCATTGATCCTATTCCTACTTCCTTGTGCATGAACCGTAGACAAACACAGACGCAACCTTGAGATCTATACCGAGTATCCCATACCACATACCTACCACTACTGTATACAACCACGGCCCACCCTTCAGACAATTCCTGAATACCTGTATCTATCATTCATTACCTTTCAAGACGAATTGATACATAGTCTAGAAAAGGACCATTCTTAAAAAGAGCCGAAAGTGTCACATTCAGTACACAATGCAGCAAAGAAGCCTAGCCTCGTTGTTCCCGCGCTCAACGAACTTCCTATCCGGCTCTTCGCTCATGTCCGAACCTCCTATCTACAGACCACGCGTCCCCAGTAAATTACACGCCATTCTGTCGACCAAAAGTCTCCCCCCGGATTTCATCCCACTCGTCCCTTCTTCTCGCGTATCAATTAGTCGAGAGATCGGCCAAGTCCATCGTTCACCCTGGGCTGTGCCGGAGTGGTTCTGGTGCTCGTGGTGCTTTTGACCTTGAATGTTTTTGGCTGAGCCGGATAACAGGTGCCCGGCTTGATGGTCCCGTCTATTCGTATCTCTGTCTTTCCTACCCCGTTCCTCAGTTCTCTCCAGGGCCTGGTTCCAGGCTATGCCGCCTCCTTCCAGGCCTCTATGTTGGGCCCCCTCGCTTCACCCGTCCGCCGTTCAACCCGACATCGGCTCTTCCGTCAACTCCCCTGCCCTGCGAAGGGAGTGTGGGCAGATCCATCGGTGGTCTCGCTGGTCCGCTTTCCGTATGCTGAGCAGGTGCATAGGATAGGATAAACCAGCTAGCGTCTTGGTCGAGGGCGCCCCATAGGAACCCCCGTCTTGACAAGTCCACGCACGGATTTTTCGAACCTGTTGATCGGCTTCGAGCGAGGACGGATGATTCGCAGCTCGTCCTGCCTGGTGTGTGTGCGTCAATCCTTCCTTCTCCCAATGGGCATTCATTCATTCCGTTCATCGAGAAGCCGAACATTCGGGTCGAGCTTGGCTTTGGGGACATAGTTGTTGAAGACTGGAAATTTTGTTTTGTAGATTTTGTTGACACAGTCGCGTATCACCTTCTTTTGACTCTTCCGTAATACTCAATTAATACTCGATTGTTTTCGGTTTTTTCTTCTTCTTTTCGATCTCGGTGTGCTGCTGCTGCTCTCTGGGGCGAGATCGAGCAAGGTCCAACTAAAAGATATTATGGAGTTCGACCTGATCGTGCGCAATGGCAATGTCGTGACCGCGTCGGATATTTGGTATAACTGCGACATTGGAGTCAAGGTGAGTAAAAAAACAATAGCAAGGGACGATGGAATATATTCCCCTCTTGCTCATGGTGGTTGGGAGCACACAACTGTAAAACAGTGGGAATAGAGGGAATAGAGGGGGCAGAAGTTGCGAAAGACCTGGAGTGGAAAAGAAGAAATCACTCTTCTCCTGCTGAGCAACTTCGAGGTATACCAGACTGACACCTCTGCTCATCAGGATGGCACCATCGTCGCCGTGGCCCGCAACCTCCCCATCCGCAACGGCGACCAGGTCACGATCCTCGACGCCGAGGGCGCGTACATCACGCCCGGCGGCATCGACACGCACGTGCATCTCAGCCAGCTGTACGAGGCGTCGGTGGACAGCCTGATGCGCACGCAGATCACCAACGGCCAAATACCCGACCTGGCCAACTACACCAACGACACGTACGACACGGGCACGCGCAGCGCCGTGGCCGGCGGCACCACCACTGTCATCACCTTCGCCAGCCAGCTGCGCAACGACGAGAGCCTGGTGCCCGTGCTGGAGGAGTACGCCAAGCTGGCCGACGGCCAGTCGTACTGCGACTACGGCTTCCACATGATCCTGTCGAACCCCACCAAGCACGTCCTCGACGTCGACCTGCCCATGATGGTCGAGCGATACGGCATCACCAGCGTCAAGATCTACATGACCTACAAGGCCTTTCAGCTCCGCGACTATCAGATCCTGGACGTCATGCACGCGGCACGTCGGCTGGGGATCACGACCATGGTGCACGCCGAGAATGCCGACGTGATCGATTGGATGACCGAGCACCTGGAGGAGCAGGGCATGACGGCGCCGTATCATCATGGCACGTCGAGGCCACCGATTGTCGAGGCGGAGGCGACGGTAAGTCATTTTCACCATGCTGGTGGAATGGGAAAGAGGCAACAAGACCAAGGGTTGACGACGTCTTTGTGTGTCTTTTAGAATCGAGCCATCGTCCTGGCCGAGCTCATGGACACGCCCATCCTCCTCGTCCACATCTCCGGCGGCCACGCCACCCGGGTCATCCGTGACGCCCAAACCCGTCTCTTACCGGTGCACGGCGAAACCTGTCCGCAGTACCTGTTCCTTCTGGCTGAAAGCATGAAAAAGGACGGTTTCGAAGGCGCCAAGTGCGTCTGCTCGCCGCCGATCCGCGAAGAGGCCGCCGACCAGGACGCCATCTGGACGGGGATCAAGAACGGCACCTTCACCACCTTGTCGTCGGACCACGCGCCCATCAAGTTCGACCACCCGCAGGGCAAGCTGCGCGGTCTGGCCCACGGCGGCGGCGAGCAGGGCAAGTTCCAGTACATCCCCAACGGGCTGCCCGGGGTCGAGACGCGGGTGCCGCTGCTGTGGTCCGGCGGCGTGCTCACGGGACGCATCACACCACAGAAGTTTGTGGAAGTCACGGCGACGAATCCGGCCAAGCTGTACGGCTTGACCAACAAAGGGACCATCGGCCCCGGGTTTGACGCGGACTTGACCATCTGGTACCCGCAAGACAAGTTCAAACCGTTCAAATTGACCAACGACATGTTGCACCATGCTATTGACTATACTCCCTTCGAAGGCGTCGAGTTCAAGAACTGGCCGCGGTATACCCTGGTCAGAGGCACGGTTGTCTTCAAGGAGGGCGAGGTTGTGGGTAAGCTGGGCTATGGCAAGTATCAGCGCCGGACCAAGAGTACGCTGGGTGGGCCGCGAAATGAGTTTCTGAGTGAGTGGCGGCCGAAGTATCCTGCGAATTAGCGTCAGACAGTGGAATACATAGACAGGTAGAAAGATTAACACGCCAGATTCCAGCACCACCATGCACTTCAGCTAGGTAGACTCATGCTGAGAGCAGGATGTAAGGCTGGAGTTCTGCCGAAATTCCGAGATCGGATTTGACCGTTTCGTGCCCAATCGCCGGGTGATGGTCCCTTCCGATCAGTAGTGCTGCTATCAGGCGTGGGGACGTCGACAGGGTGGAAAGACCCACAGAAAGTTTCCTGTAGGTGGAATCTCGTGGGATGTGGCTGGGGTAGTCATTTGCAGGCCAGTCGAGACAGCGTTAGTGGTCGCTGAACCATCTCAGTCAAATCCGAACTCGTTCATTTTCAGCAGAGACTCATTCTCAGGAATCAAGTGAGAAGCAACGTCGTGAAGCCCAGCATTGGATGCCAGCGGTCAAGATGGTGCTCAAGTCGTGGCTGGATGTGCCTGAGGATCATGACTTTTCTATCGAGAATCTCCCTTTTGGCATCTTTTCAACAGCCGACAATGTAGGTTTGCCAGCAATATCAATGTCCCATTGTGCCCCAAGGTATCTTGAGCTAACAGGAAACAGGTGACGCCTCGACCTGGCATCGCCATTGGGAGATTTATCGTCGATCTGTCAGCGCTGGTCGAGACAGAGGCATTCTCAATGTACTGCACCTGTCAATTCCCATATTCGGTGTTAAAGGAGGTATGAAGCAAGCTCCTGCGATTGACTGCTTGCATGTGGTGCGAACTGGGAACAGGAAAAATCTTTCTGACTTGGCCAGAGTGCCTTAAATTCTTTCGCGGCGCTTGGTCGCGAAACAGTCAACGCGGTGCGGATGTTCGTCAAGTATCTCCTTGTGGAAATGACCCCAATCATGAGGGACAACAAAGAGTTGCGGCAGAAATGCATTATCGACACTGCTGCGGTCATGGTCGAGATGCATTTGCCCATGAAGATTGGGGATTTCAGCGACTTTTTAAATTCTCGAACGGTGAGTCGTGGGGTGTTTTGATTTTGCAAAAGGGGACCCCTGGTCACGGCAGTGAGGCTGACGGTCCAAGCATGCAAAAAACACCCATTCAACAAGCAGCACGCCAGTAAACATGTTAGTGGACAACCCCTGGCTTGTCGGCACTGCCTCATCATGGAACCAGGTTCAATCCCCCTCGTGCGTTCACTGGGCGTGCGTCCAGTCTTGTGGTTTCGGGAACGCCCATTGTGCGACCGCTGGGACATTTGATCGACTCGAGTGGTAAAGCATACGTCGGACCGTCACAACAGATGGACGTCGAGATGGAGTTTGCTTTCTTCATCGGGGAAGGAATCAAACGCTTTGAACGGGTGTCGATCGAGGAGGCTGAGAAGCACATATTTGGTGTGGTGCTTCTCAACGACTGGTCAAGTATGGCTGTCCCCGCCGGGGCGCTTGTGAGTTGTGCTGATGGGTTTGATCTCCAGCCCGTGATGTCCAAGCACCTGAGGACCACCCTTTTGCTGCCTTCAACGCCAAATCCTTCGCCTCGACCATCAGTCCTTGGGTCGTGTCGATTGACGCCCTGGAGGCCTACCGCACAAAGGCCCAGCCTCAAGAGCCCTCAGATCTCTTGCCGTACCTGACCGACAAAAAGGAACTCGGGACCTTTGACATCTCCATCCACATGGAGTGGAGGCTGTCCCCCGAGGAAGAAGTGTTCGCCACAGCCACCAGCAACCTGACCAATGCGTACTGGAGCTTTGCGCAGATGCTGACACACCATGCGTTTGGAGGCTGCGAAATGAGAACAGGAGACTTGCTTGGAACGGGTACAATTACTGGAGAGGCAAGTAACTGAGTAGCTCCACTCGAGTTCATTGCCGGAAGCTGATTCTTAAGTTAGATTCCGGAATCAATCAGCTCTCTGGTCGAGCGTACACGGAATGGAACACAGGAAATCCAGACGCCTGCGGGAAACAAGAGATTGTATGTTCAAGACGGAGACGAGGTCATCTTCACGGGATGGGCGGGGGACAAGGGCGATCCACTGCTGGCAGGGAAGAGAGTCGGCTTTGGAAGCTGCGAGGGGATCATTCTGCCAGCGAAGCCGTTGTAGATGATGTGATAGCTACACAGAGGACAGGCGTGAGAAGAGAGAAGAGACCAAGAGACACGATTGACTTGAGGTTGGGGCAAGTGATATTGAGCTAGCCGTAAACGGAAGTCGCGTCACGTGACCGAGATCTCCAAGCTAGTCCAGGAATGGAATAGACCCCTGTACTGCACTTTACCCTGACTTTATCACTTCCTGCCAGTCAATCGAAGAACGTAGTGGACTTGACCAGATCATTGGCATCTGTCGTAGTGTTCGTATATATTGTCGATTGATTATTGAGAAAGGAGGGGCGCGATACCTCTGATACCTCTACCGGCACAACTGGCATCCAGCGTGACGGTCATTACATCCCTTGACAACCGTCCTGCACTGTGATTGGCCGAAGCGACCTCCCTCCATCCAATTCATTCATCGCGATAAGAAACTACGGCACCCAACTCTCGACTCTTGACTCTTCATTTGACTCTGTCATTTCTCTGCCTTGGCTCTCTCGACACGCTCCATCCGAGACTACTGCAATGTCCGACTCCTTCGCCCCATCTGTATAGCTATGGTGAGCTCGAAAAAAAGGTGCTGACTGGGCACGACTCTCCGCCATGTTCTCTACCGCCTTTCAACCGGTATCTCCCCAGTTTCATGAGCCTCGGGCTCCACTTACAGCCCCCGCAAGGCTCCATCGCCCTCGCACTCGACGGTCGTGTGACTTTTGTCGCTCGCGCAAGAGTGCCTGTCGGCTCGACCAGGGACCTCCATGCTACGCCTGCCGTCTGTACGCCCGAGAATGTATCATCAGCGAGAGGCCGCCGCGGAAGAGGCAGAAGTCGACGAGTGAAGCGGGGAGAGCCGCTGCCAGCTCCGCCACCGCTCACGACACGGGTGTCGCCCGACCGCCACACACCGATGTGCCTAGATCATCGAACTGGACGCAGGGAGCCCAGGCTGCAGTATCTGCCAACAATGACGTGGATCTCGCCGTCTTCTCCCCGCAGTCTAATGGAAGCTCCCAGCAGATGTCGCCCACGCATGGGGGAGGCTCCGTGACTTCGCAGGTTTCGGTGGAATCAGGTCGGCCGACGACAAGACAGGCCGTGGTGGGACGGGAACACGATGTGCTGACCGAGTCATTGGACGCATGGCCGACCAAAACCACCTTCCTCCTCGGAGACACAGGCGAGTCGGACCCCTACCTGCTCCGGCACTTTTCGTCCGAATATCTCGACTCGTCGGTGGATGACATTGCCAAGGCGACACCGCGACATATGCTCCGTGCCTCAGACCCCGACGTCATGCACAGTCAAGGAAAGCCCTTGGTGGTGTTGATCGCCGACCATTCGCTCTACGACCGAGGAGAACCGCGGCTGGACCAGCACGTCCTCGACCAAGCGGCTGACGAAGTCTCCCAGATGGTCTCGGACGAGACGGGCGTGCGACTGGTCAAACTCTTCTTCCGATACATCTACCCGTATTTCCCCATCTTGTCCAAGACACGCCTTCTGTACCCGCTGGCCGAACTGCCCGCGCGACTCAAAACCCTCCCACTCTCCCTCAAAGCGGCCATCTACGCATCTGCTCTGGCCTTCTTCACCTACGACGACGTGCTCGCAACCACGATCGTCCATTCACCCCCATCGAGCCAGCGATTGTACCGCATCGCCTGGGTCGCCGTGACGCACGAAGTGCACACGCCTCACCTGTCCACTTTACAGTCGTGCCTCCTGCTTCTCCAGCGCGTCAATGACGATCGGTACGTGATGGACACGGTATTCCGGTGGAGTTTGCTCGGCTGGACCGTGGCCCTGGCGCAGAGCTTTGGCTTGTCTACCGACTGCCAGGACTGGACGGGGCTTCCCGAGTGGGAAAAGAGGCTGCGCCGGCGTCTGTGGTGGGCGACATTCGTCATGGACAAATGGGCCTTCATGTCGGCCGGGCTGACGAGCCACATCCACGACGACAATTACGACGTCGCGCCTCTGACGGCGGCCGACTTTATCTATTCAGACGAGACAGATCCATCTCGACAACCGCAGCACGGCGGTGGTCCCGAGGGGATCGAACCTCCCCTGTCCCACTTTTACCATCTGACCCGCCTGACCGCGATTCTCAGCGACATCCAGACGGCATTCTTCACCGTCGCCGCCTCCAAACGCACGGAACGCGACTTTCGGCTGTCGATCGACCTCGCTAAACCCATCCGGCGGCGCCTCAAAGAATGGAAGACGGCCTTCGACAGCTATCTCGACACCCGCAACCTCCCCAGCCACCAAAGTAATTCCACCGCCACGCGTTCCCGCTCGTCCGGTCTCGACGGCGACGCATCCCTGGGCCTCTCCTACCTCGTGACCAACATCATCCTGTTCCGCGCGCTCCTGCGGCCCTTGGAATCCAACCTCCCCTCGTCGTCGTCCTCCTCCTCCTCGTCGGAAGCCGGGCGCGACGCGGTCCGCACCGGCGCCCGGACATGCTGCGTCGAGGCGGTCGCGTTCGTCGAGTCGCTGCGCCGCAACGTGTGGGACGCCTTCTGGCACTCGTGGTCGCGCGCGGGTTTCGCCATGCTCTCGTCCATGATGATCCGGCTGCTGATCACGAGCACGGACGCCGGCGAGGTCGACGACGTCAACGCCCTTATCCGCCGGTGGCGCTGGGCGCTGCGCACGGGCGGGGGCAGCGCGGGGAACGTCCTGATGAGTCTGGCGCTCCTGAGGCTCGATCGGTCGTTGGTCACGCGGGGGATTCACGAGAGCGACGAGGAGTGACAGAACGCGATACACTGACATGAAACAAAAACAAAGAAGAGGATGCGGTCGATATGAGACATGATAGCATATTTATTTACAATAGTGGACAAGGGAAGAAGAAAGAGAAGGAGAAGGAGAAGGAGAAGTCTTACTTGTTCGCCCTTTTCTTCTCCTTTTCTTCTCTTCTCTTTCCTTTTTCATGTCTAATTTCGGCGGAAAAACAAGGAGCAGCACGAAACATGTTGCTTGTTGGTATGGTATGCATTTATTATTGGCCATAACAATCCAGGAGGGGCAGAAATAAATACATACAAGTCACATACATACTTCAGGGAGGTACATGGCTGGGCAATATGCACATATATTATCGCTGACTGTGTATGTATTTATGGAGTCCGTACTAAGCGCATAACTCCAAACAGATTCGACTCTCCTCCGTGACCTACAGTACATACCTTGGACGCCTATTATATTATTATTGATTGATTGTTGTTGTTGCGCCGGATAAGGCGGCCCCGAAGCTTTCTGGCCTTGTGTGAGTGTGTCCTTTTGTGTGTATGGCGCCCTAAGCAGACATGTGTTTCAGGCCAAGGGTGCCAGGGCTTTTTAATTATCTTCTATCATCTCCCATTTAGCCGCCGGCCGGAATTGGCGACCCACCACCCGCGCGTGTCGCCGGGGAACGAGAGCCCCCGTCGCTTCTGAGACAGTGTTTTGTTGTGCTGAGTACGAGGTACTCCGTATGGAACGTGGGAAACACCGGGCAATGGCTGTACCCAGGTAATACAACATTATCGACGACATCCATCCCATCCCTCCCTACGGCGCTTGTGGATGTATCGGTCGACCGATGTTATGTATTACCCCGGGCAATTGCGGCATTTACTGTACCTACCGTAGGTCAGTCAAGGAGGGGTGACCAGCCTCACTAACTAGCCCGACGGCGCCCTTCCCCCCCGGGAAGGTCTTTCCTGCAGGGGAGCGGGTGCTAGTGAGGCGGTTTCGGGAGTTCCTGAGACGTCCTGCGTATCTACCTATCTGCCTACCCTGCCCTACCCTTGCTCTGAGACAATAGGCGTGGTCTGTTATCGGGCCATCGATCCCTGTGGCGCAACGAGGCAGATTTTCTTCATGTTTGTCGGCTAATTGCGATGGGTGGAACGGCCGTGGTGTCGCTTAGCATGTATACACCCCAGGTCTCCAGAAGATAGCCTGTGCATGGGTCAGTAGGTCAGTAGGTCAGTACTGAGAAGGCAGACACCCCAGGATCTAGTCCATATACACATCTCTTCATTATTCTTATTCTCATTCAATAGTAATGTGTGTGACACACAGTGTATGCAGGTCCTTTATCCTACCGACTCACCAACATCCAAATACATCCAATACATATATCTCTCGACCGTGTGAATGTCGTCGTATAACCACCACCACAACCACAGCTACAACCATAGCCATGACAGCAACAACGGCAACAACAAATCCCTACCCAGATTGCCCGGGGACAAGTCGCCTCTGCTCTGGATCAAACATGCAGAGCTTCAAGGGCAAGGGCAAGCTCAGGCCCAATCCCGACCTCGCCGCCACCGCAGAAACCCGCGCCTCCCGCCCAAGGACATCTACCTCAGCCTGGCGATGCTCCTGTGCCTGAACCTCTCCTTCCTGACCGTCTTCTACACCCGCTTCGCCATCTTCCTGGGCCAGATCAACCAGCTCGTGCTGATTGGCTTCCTCGTCGCCGTCATGGGCATGTGTCTGGAAGGCCAGGTGCTGCGCACGGCGCTCATGGCCTGTGGGAAGCGCAGAGCCACCACGCTGCAGGACCTGGACGCGCTGATGCGCAAGGACCCCTTCGCCGACCACGTCTTCTGGGCGTATCGGCTCTTGCTGGCCATCATATTCGGCCTCCCGCTGCTGCTCAGTGTGGGCTACAAACAATTCATTGGGGGCAGCAGCACGATCCTGGTGCACGAGGGCCCCGGGTTCTTCGGGTTTGCGGCGCCGCCGGGCATGCAGCGCATCGGGGACGGCCTCTCGCTGCTTGCCCAGGTCTACGTGCCGTTCTGGACGGACCCCGGGTTGAACCGCACGTACGGTTTCAACGTGTTCGTCGCCGACGACAACAAGACCGCCGCGATCGTGGACTCGCCATTCCCTTCCTACCTCACCGAAATCCAGAGCCGGCTGAAGGACGGAGAGACGTTGACCATGTCGACGTCAGTCAACGCCACCGTGTCGGAGATGCGCGAGATCTCCGACGAGGACAGGAACAGCCTGGATTTCTGGACCGACGTGGCCGAGCAGTTCGGCCACGACTATACCGTCAACGGCGGCAACGTGCGCGGGGCGAACAATGCGCTCTGGGCCGGCATGAGTGGCAACTTCCTGACCAACTTCACCACCATGTACTTCTCGGCCTGGAACACCACCAGCAACGAAACCTTCGAGTCGGAAGCCATCCGGACCGAGCAGTCGCGGCGCATCGCCAACGTGACCTGGGTCATCTCTCCCTCCAACATCACGCTGACCGCCGCGAAGCTCGTCAAGACAGCCGCGGTCGTGAACCAGACGGTGCTCCAGGACAACGCCATCGGCCTCCAAGAGGCATTCAGCAACTTCCTCGGAGAGTACGACTGGCACAACCGCGCGGGGGCCTTCGACTATCCCTATCCGATCTCGTCGGACAGCAATCCTGTGTTTGCGCAGCCCGTCAACACCGTGCCGGCTCTGGCCGCCGCCATGGCGTGGGCGCGGACGTCCAGCCTCGACACCATCGTCCGGCCGCAAGGAATCCAGAATGCGGCGATCCGAGCACAGACGGGTTACGACAAGGACGCGAAGGACATTCTGACCGTCAAGACTGTGCCGACGTTAAGACGGGATCCACTGCTGATCCTGCTGTTGGCGGTCAACCCGCTCCTCTCCTTCATCTGTCTGGCCATCAAGGGCTTGCTGCTCCACGACAGTCCCGTCAGAGACGGGTTTAGTAGCATCGCTCTGCTGGCAGCCTCCAGGGAAGCAGATTTTGTCTCGTCCAAGGACGCCGACAGCCTCGCGAGTGGCCGGCCGAAGCGGCCGGTCGTCGTGAATTTCACAGCAGAAGGGGGCTGAATGCGTCCCCGGACTGCTAACACCCGGCATGTCTATACCTTTGTATGAAAAGCAGAGGGTATGTGTTGTTGGATAATCAACGTGGTGGCAGATGTCTGCGTGTATATGACTTGTTTATAAATGAACTTATTGCTTGATTATGAGATGCTGCATTGATCTTTTCGTCGATGGGAGTGTTCCCGAAAGAGTCCTGTCAGTTCATTTAAGTATTGCCTATTGTAGGTGACCACGTTCGTTGCCATCGAGTCATAAATACGGCCCATTCAGCGAGCCGATGCACAGCGACTGCTGGTGAGCGGCGACCCACTCCTTGAGCTCCTCGGAGATGTCGAGGTGGCTCTTTTTCACGTTCCAAAAGGAGGCCGGCAGCAACGCGTCGGTACCCGTGTCTACCTCGACGATGGCGGCGCGGAGGACGAGGTCCTGGCGGCGCGCCACGGACCACCGGCGCCCGCACATGCAGATGCCGTGCATGAGCGTGTCGAAGATGGGTTCGCGCGACTGATGCATCTTGCGATAGATGAGCAGCTTGAACCGCGCCGCCACGAAGAGCATGGTCCCGAGCACCGGCGTGCTGAGCTCGGCGTCCGCGTCGCTGATGCTGCGCAGCGCCAGCACGATGTCCTCGCAGGCCTGGAGACACCGCTGCAGCGGGATCTCGTTGCACGACGTCTCGTCCGCTTCGATGAGGCGCGCGTAGAGGATGATGACGCTCGCGTGGGACAGGATGGTGGTGAGGACGAGGTTCGGATCAAAGTCGATCAGCCCGTCGGCCAACAGTGTGTAACTGGTGGTGGGCTGAGCACGCACGTAGTTCATGAGGTTGTGATAGATCTCGTCACACGTGGCAAACGCCTGGGCCTGTGCTTGCTCATACCTCCCCTGCTCGTGGTCGTACAGAAAGCTGTGGAGAGGTTGCAGGCCGATGGCAGCGAGATGTGTGTGACTGCGGAAGCTGTCTCGGAGGTCGGGCGTGCTCGCGTACGCCACACTCGACAGATGTTCCATCACTGCGGCCGACGCATCCCGCCACGAGATGCCCAGGGTCGACACGGCGTCCATGGCCAGCGTGGACCAGGTCAGAGGGATCGCGAGTTCATCTCCGGTATTGCTCCCGATTGCTGGCGGGCCGACCTGCGCAGGGCTCTGCAGCTGCATCTGGATCAACAATTTGCGGAACAGGCCAATGTTTTCGCACATGCGCCGGCACACCGCCAGCAGGCTGAATGTGCTGGGAACGTTGTCCGATCCATAGTCGAGAATGGCAATGATCAAGAGCGCTTGGACCGACTTCAAGGATGCTTTGGAGAAGGCCTCGTTCATGACCTGCGACCGGAGGTACTGTGACAGGCGATACCTCCCATTATAACCCAAACAGATGGCCTGACTCGAGTACGCGACCTGGAGCGCAATCACGGCCTTGAGCACCACGTCGTCTATGTGTGTCAGAGGCAGAGGAAGGTCGTCAAGGGCTTCCTGGATGTGTTTTCGGCTCAAGATAGGGTACCATGGCTGGGTTTCCTTAAACCACGAGTCGGCCAACGTATGGAGATATGCATGAGACAGAGTGGTTAAGTCTGCAACAGCCGCATCTGATTCAGCCGGTGGTCCATTGAATTTCAGCGGCTCAACGTGGGAGACGGATGGAGTGTTGGCGATGGAGTTTTGTGGTGGTGATATGTCGACGGGCTGGGTGGAAGCCGCCGCGGTGAGAGGTGGGCTGGGGATGGACTTTGGTGTTGTCGTCGATGATCTTGTTCGTTCGTGCTTGAACTTCTCGACCTCCTGCTCCAGAGTCTCTGGCAACGAATCAGACAACATTCTCTTCGCAAAAAAACGGGGAACAACTACCCAGGCGATTCTCGAGCTGCGAGACGTAGCCAGCACGGAGACCCCGTTTCTTCGTCTTGGTGACATACTGGCAACGGACTTTGGCCTTGACACAGAAAGAACAGTTGGGGAGTCGTCTGTCGCATTTGGTCTTCCGCTGTCGACAGAGATGGCACCTAACACGCTATGTCAGTCGTCATGGGCAGTGGGAGACGGTGGAGGAGGAAGAGGAGGAGGATGTTCACACTGTGGAGCTTCTCGGGTCTGAGAAGGAGCTCTCAGGAGATGCACTGCTCATGTCTGCCGTTGCCTGCGTCTTCGAGGACCAAGATTAGGAGGAGACCACAGGAGGAGAGAAGAGACAAAGGCCATCACGTCGAAGACGGGGAGTATTTTTGACTGGTGAAAGGACCATCGCCGAGACTTGGGCCGATGGTGGCGTTGTGTCGTGGTGGGAGAATCTTGTGCGCAGGCGGCGGGGAGACTTGGCCCGACCATTGACATCCATCCACACGTGCATATGCATTATTCTTACTTCTTCTACGTGGCCCAGTAGATGACCATGGTTTGATCCATGCCTGTATGATCACGCGACGTCAACTGCACATGCTGCCTCATATGCGTCAGGTCGAGTTGTCGACCGTCTCGACCGCCTCTTTCCACATGAGTCTCGAGAAGAGCCGCCTCTTCGTGTGATGGCTCTCTCTGTAAGTGGCTACTTCGTCTCTACAGCAGGACTTGGTTTCGCTAACCCATCAGAATCCTGCAGTGTTCCTGTTTGGTCCCGGGCAGGCAAAGATCCAGGACAGACCAGAGCCGAAGATCACAGATGCCACAGACGCCATCATTCGCATCAAGTTTGTCGGTGTGTGCGGGAGCGATGTATATCACGTTGTCTAGTGCTAGTTTCAGGATAATCTGACCGCCTTCAGGTGCATTTCTGGAACCATGGTGGCGTCAATGGGAAATTTGTCTCCGAATCGAACCCTCTAGTCATGGGACACGAGGCATCAGGAAGTCAGTCTACAACGGCATCCATTGCAGGCATGAGAGAGCTAACAACGCCTGTGTAGCGGTACATGCGGTTGGCCCTGCCGTCACCCATCTCAGGCCCGGTGACAATGTCGCCATTGAGCCAGGTCAGCCTTGTCGTGCCTGTGACAGATGCAAGGAAGGTCTCTACAATCTCTGCCCGCGCATGAAATTCGCTGCTTGCCCACCGGACACCCCGGGCTGCCTGTCCAAGTACTTTAAGATCCCGGCCGACTTCTGCTACAAGCTTCCCGCCGGAGTCAGTCTGCAGGAGGGCGTCCTGGCCGAGCCTCTTGCGGTGGCAGCGCACGCGGTGCGTATGATCGGTGTCAAACCGGGCCAGAGCTTGGTCATCTTCGGCGCAGGCACCATTGGCCTGGTATGTGGTGCCGTGGCCCGCATGTTTGGAGCAAAGAAGATTGTGGCTGTCGACCTGCTAGACCACAAGCTGGAATTTGCAAGGAACCTCAACCGGTCGAATACTTTCAAACCTGATTTGTCTGCGTCACCAGAAGAGAATGCGGCGCGGCTGATCGAGGAACATGGGTTGGGACTCGGTGCAGATGCCGTGATAGAGGCCACGGGGGCTGAAAGTTCAATCGTTGCAGCCGTGCATGTGCTTCGTCCGGGAGGATCTTGTGTGCAGACAGGCCTGGGAAAGCCTGTCGTCAACTTCCCCATTCTGGCCATGAGCGAAAAGGAACTGCATATGCACGGTGCCTTTCGATACAACCAGGGAGACTTCAAAGTCGCCATGGACGTGCTGGAGGCTGGCACCTTACCCCTGAAGAGCCTCATCTCCAACATTTTCGACTTCGAGCAAACCACAGACGCATGGGAGGCAACCAAACAAGGACGGGGTATCAAGAATATGATTCGAGGCTATGGATATAGAGATCCCGCAAGAATTAGCCACCTATAATTTCAAAATATAATCGTTTGACGTCCAGCTGGCTCCCGTGCCTCCAACTCTGCCTCGAAGCAGGCTCCTGCACCTAAAGAAAGAGGAGGGGCGATCCGAATATGCTGTCGTCCTATGTGAGCTGGTAGTGTACAATTTCATGACCCATCAGGATCTGTCGATCAATGCTGACTCCACTCGATGGTGTTCAAGTCGATTCCTTCTTGGACCAGTTCCCAGAGCGGGCTGAGCTCTCTCAAGAAGGTGACACGCTCACGGACAGCTTTCAAAACATAGTCGATTTCGCTAGTCGTGGTGAATCGCCCAATGCCAAAACGGATGCTGCTGTGTGCGCTTTCGTCACTATTTCCCAGAGCGCGGAGAACATAGCTAGGCTCCAGAGAGGCGGAAGTGCAGGCACTGCCGGAGGACAGGGCAATATCTTTGAGGGCCATCAAGAGAGACTCTCCTTCGACGTACGCAAACGAAACGTTGACACATCCCGGATACCGTCGACTTGGGTCTCCATTCAAAGATGTGTGCTCCATTGAAAGCAAGCCATCGACAAGTCGCTTGGACAGAAAATTGATGCGTTTGGAATCGTACTGTGCAGGTCCAGAGTCAGCTTAGTCTGTCAAGGCGGTGACGTGAACAGGCCAACAATCAAGAAAGTGAAATCATAACCCCTGCTATGTTAATCAAAGCGCTGGCATGTGCTGCAGTCAGACGCTCAGAAAGCCATGCATGTTAAATAAAGCATATAATCATCAAGAGAAACCGTGTAGCAAAATAAAGAAAATATTGCTTCTTACCTCCATCTCCTCTTTGGCAATACGACAGGCTTCTCCGAAGCCGACCACCAGGTGAGGTGCGAGCGTGCCGCTGCGCAGACCGCGCTCTTGGCCGCCACCGCTGATGATGGGATCCAACCTGACGCGAGGCCGTCTTCTAACGTAGCAGGCACCGATCCCCTTCGGCCCGTAGATCTTATGGCTAGAGATGGACATCAGGTCGACATTCCAATCGTTGACACTGATGGGAATTTTGCCGACCGCTTGGGCGCCGTCGGTGTGGAAATACACTTTCTTGGACCGGCACAGCTGTCCGATCTCTTTCATCGGCTGGATGACTCCGATCTCATTGTTGACCGTCATGATACTGACTAACGCAGTCTCTGGTTTGATTGCTTCCTCGAGCTGCTGGAGGTTGATCAAACCGCTGGAGTCGACAGGCAGATATGTGACCTCAAAGCCTTCGTCTTGCAAATGTCGACAGCTGTCCAAAACACATTTGTGCTCGGTCTGACTGGTGATGATATGCTTCTTTTTGCCCGACCTGCCAAAAAATCTTGCCACACCTTTGATGCTCATGTTGTTACTTTCGGTGGCACCACTGGTGAATATGATCTCCTTGGGGTCTGCGCCAATCAGTTTGGCAATGTGTTCTCTTGCCTGCTCGGAAGCTTTCTCGCTTTCCCAGCCATAAGCATGCGTTCTCGAATGAGGATTGCCAAAGAGGCCGGTAAGGAACGGGAGCATCGCATCGAGAACTCTGGGGTCAACGGGGGTCGTAGCCTGCGCATCCAGGTAAATTGGGCGAGTGCCCTGATCCATGATGGTTGCATGCTTCAAAATGCCAGCTTGAGGGCTCAGCATTGCATCGGCAGTGATCTCGGTGCCAGGCATCTTGACCTGGGAGGGGAGATTGCCACTCTCCTGGATGAATTTCTTCTGGTCTGCCTTGATGGCAGACTCGACGTCTGCAACTTGGGCGTTCGCCGGCTTGGACTGGGAGACATAGCTGCGACGACCGACGATGGACGAGGAGGCGATGGAAGCTGAGGGAGAGAGGAGAGCGTTGTTGGAAAATCGGCGAGTGCAGGCACGCGAAGCCTGCCGGATCACGACGGATGCTGGTCCAGGCATTGTTTGGAAGAGAATCAGTCCAGCTGATTATGGGCTTCTGTGAAAAGCAGAAAATGTTGCTGCGGTGAATGAATGAATCTGCATCAGTTGCTGGATCGGTGGGTGGCTGACGATGGAATTTTATCAGATAAGATTGTCGGCTAACCTTCCTGGCCGATATCGCTGACGCTGCTTCGCCACCACCAACCAAGTGCCACATAATACGAGCCGAGCAGGTAATACAAATGCACGCTGCATACGGAACGACGGCTAAACGACGGGCTTGGTCGGTCATGTCGGTGCGATCGCTGCAAGAAAGGGAGAGGTAAGCACCGACCACCCACTGCACTCCAGTCAGCTTGCGAGCTCGCGAGGTACCAACCGACCTTAAACTGATCTCAATGCAGCTAGATAGGGTCAAGTGAGTTGAAAGACAAGCCTGCTCCTTCGCACATCTCTCATTGCTTGTTGCCTTTCATCTTCTCTGCCAGGCCTCACACCGCAGACACCTGGTGGGAAGTGCCAGGGCACACACTGTCAGCCAGCTACTCTCGAGCACCGCCACAACCTTCTTCTCACTCGACTGCGTCATCGCTTCTTGTCGCTCAGGCGGTGGTCCAAGCGAATTGTGCCGCCAACCATCGCTTGCTGCCCACTTCCAAACCGCCCCTCCATCCTCCGTCCTCGCATTTACTTCCATCCACCTCTGCTACCGCCATTAGGCACCCGGATACACTACACCCCATTGTTTTACGACTCCTTCAGGAATTCGTCTCTTGTCGCCTTTTTGCGCTGTCGAATACCTTGTTCCGAGACATCCACACCCACAGGAAAACGAGGAGGGACGTGGGTGTCGGTTCGAGAATTAGCAACGCAGGATGAGTCTCAAAGGCGTGGGGAAGAGTATAACTCGAGCCCCGCAACAATTCAAGCAGCGCTTTAATATTGGTGACAATACTAAAGATGCCGTCTACATTGATGCAGAGAGACGCTTTCAGGAGCTGGAAAAGGAGACCAAGAAGCTGCATGACGAGTCCAAGAAGTATTTTGAGGCCATCAATGGTATGTCGTGGAGGGTTCTCTTGTGCACTGATATCTGTCTCTCTAACATCATCTTCAGGCATGTTGAATCACCAGATCGAATTCTCAAAAGCCATCCAGGAGATCTACAAGCCCATATCCGGCCGTGTCTCCGATCCCAACTCGCTCATCCCCGAAGGAAACCCAGAAGGTATCCGAGCTTGCGAAGAGTATGAGTCCATTGTGCGCGAGCTGCAGGCCACCCTGCAGCCGGAGTTGGAAATGATCGAGCAGCGCGTAATCGCTCCCGCGGACCAGTTACTCGAGGTCATTAAGGTCATCCGCAAGATCAACACCAAGCGCGATCACAAACAGCTCGACTATGACCGACACCGAGCCACTCTAAAAAAGTTGCAAGACAAGAAGGAAAAGACGCTCAAGGACGAAAAGGCTCTCTTCAAGGCGGAGAACGACGTCGAACAAGCCACGCAGGACTACGAATATTTCAACAATCTGCTCAAGGATGAACTACCAAAGCTTTTCGCGCTGGAAGCCGAATTCATCCGCCCTCTTTTCCAGTCCTTCTACTACATGCAGCTCAACGTTTTTTACACCCTCCACGAAAAGATGCAAGCCATCAACATTGGCTATTTTAACCTCAATCTGGACATCGAGGAGGCATTCGAGATGAAACGGGGGGATGTCCAGGAACGTGCAGAGGCGCTTTCGATTGTCCATTTCAAGAGCACGGGCGGCGTCAAACCTCGCGGCGTGTCGCGGTATGGTCTGGGTCATTCGAAGGCCAAGGAAGCAGAAGCAGGCAAAAGCTCTTATGCGAGTCGGAGGACGAGTCATCTCGAAGACGGCGTCGCCAACCCACCTCCGCCGTATTCTCCGACCGGCTCGGCCAGTGCGCCAAGCAGTCCTGCGATCGGAAGTCCTTCACTAAGTGCCGCAATCGCAGCAAAGGGCAAACCTCCTCCACCCAAACCCAAACCGAGTCGTCTGAGTGGTGTGCCCAACGCCGAGACGTGCACGGCCTTGTATGACTACGAGGCACAAGCGGAAGGAGATCTCAGTTTCATGACAGGAGATGTCATTGAGATTGTGACAAGAACGTCGAATGAGAACGAGTGGTGGATCGGACGAGTCAACGGGCGAGAAGGACAGTTTCCTGGTATGTGTGTCTTGAAAATTTCTCCTTTGGCTTGCTTGTGGTCTATTAACCCTGAAACACACAGGAAATTATGTGCGCCTGAATTAGAAACTTTTCGATGTCTCTGGGCAAATATGCGTTTCAAAAGCACCAACTGTCGACCGAGTCTAATTCTGTGCGTATCTGTCTCGGTGCCTCGACAAACCCGGAACACAGCCAAGCACCTGTGACGGGATGACCAGATGATTCCGTTCACCTGGGCCTGTCTCATTAATTGGATTTCGAGACATCGGCCCAGCCTCGTGGACTGGGCCATCTGAATATTGTGCGATGGAACTCGAGGGGTCGATGTCCGGCTGATACATTGCAACCCTCACTGACGGAGGAAGGCGACTTATGCATGGGGCGGGATCTTGGGCACGGGGGAGACGGCGTGCGTATAGATCAGGTCAGCAAGATATTATACTTAGTGCTTCGCTCAGACGATCGGACGGCAGCTTTCAACAGAGGCACGCCATGATTCGCGCATATTATCCTTCTGCCTGTATCCAGCGAGCCGTCGTTCTCGTTCCCCATCCAGCAAACGTATCCCACCTTTCCATGCTCCCTCTCCCTATACTTCCCTTTTCTACCCTCCCTCCCTCCCCGTTTTATATCATCTCTCCTATAATCGAGCCATCAATCAAGCCAATATAACCGTCTCCCCACCCCAAAACAGACTTGTGTACTTCAGGAGAGAGAGAGAGAGAGAGAGAGATATGTGTGTGTGTGTGTGCTCCCAACAAACGAAAGACCGAGTATTCTCACCGAACAGCCTCCCTCCCTCCCTTCCTTCCTTCCTCGCTTGCTGCCTGCGGAATAGACTGTGGTCCTGGACGAACGAACGAACGAGCATATGTCCATCCATGCAGCTCATGTCAATAATGCCGTAAGTGGGTTGGGAAGAACCTGAGATGAAGGGACGAGGGACATTGGAGAAGGAGAAGGACATGAGCCATGAGCCATGAGCAACCGTAACCTGCCTGCCTGCCTGCCTGCCATGCCGTGTGCCAGGGATGAAAGAAAACTTGTTATGCTTGTGTCTATCTATGTAAGTGTCATGTAATGGAATGTCATGTAACAGAATACTAATGATATTTTCAACGACTCAAAGTGTATCCGAAATATCAGCAATATGTACGATCCGAAATTTCTCGCTAGAGCAGCACACACACACAGGCATACGTGCATACGTGCATAGGTGCGTGAATCAGTGAGTGAGTCAATGGATTCAAAAGTGCCCCGTGAGCGATCCCCATCTTTCTTTCCTGTCCCCCCCGTTTTTTTGTCTCTCTCCTTGTCATCCATGTTTTCCTTTTTAAGCCTGGGCGTTGAGCTCGCTCGCTCGACATCTGTGCGCGGCCTGAACGGATGGCAGGGTAAACCTATCAACCAACCAGCCAAGTATATAGAACGCGTCGTTTATCAGAGCAGAGCACCGATTGATGCTAGAATGAATTAAACCCGAGATCGACCTTGTTGAAGAGGTCATTCAGAATTTAATTACGGGCTCCCACCCGGTCACCGGGTCAAGAACACACAGTTGACCAGCCTAGCGTAGCCAGTAACCCTTCCCGATCGACATGTACATTGCATTCTCGCGCCACGTCTGGAGGGTAGCTCTGGGAGAGGCGGACACCTTGCCTTTGCGACCTGTTTGCGTGGTGGAATCTGGGCTTGGGATGGATTTCGAAGCGGGCGTGGGATGCGAGGCTGGTGCTGATGGTGCCGGCTGTCTGGGACTCGTGCTCGTGCTCGTGCTCGCCGCCACCAAGGGCCTCCTCCTTTGTGCCTGCTGGGCCGCCGTCGATGGCAACGCGGGGTGCGAGGGCAGCGACGGTGGCCTATCCTTGGTCATCTCAGCGAGAGGCACGGGCTTGACATCGAGACCCAGGGCTTGTGCCTGCTTGTTGCCCGGTGGGAGGACACTGATTTCCTGCTGCTCGTCGCCCCGGTTCGCCGCAGAAGAGATCGAGTCTTCCCACTCTGGCTTGGCCCACGCCTCGAGCCTCAGCCGCTTCGTGGGATCCGCCAGGTCGACATCAATACCCTGGCCCTGGCTCGCACTCCCCGAATGGGCCGACTGCTGTGCCTCATCAACAAGCTCGTCGCACTCCATCTTCCTCTTCTTCTCTGCCGATCGCGGCTTGGCAGGATACCCATCGAGGCGTTGCATCCCCTGGAACCCAAACGTCGGATCAAAGCAGACAAAGACCAGAGCTCGTTCCGTCGATCCCGGCTCGCGAGGCGGCCCCGCCATATACACGATACCCTCGTCCCCCAATACGGCTGTGACGTCTCCTGCCCGGCCCTCGGGACAGAGGATCTCGTGTAGGCCCTGGGGCGCGTCGTCTGGTGGCCAGAGAGACACGCTACTCGGGGTGAAGGCGCGCTCGCCGTCCTCCATCTCCTGGTCCTCGCGGTCCAGTCTGCGCTTACGAAGCACTAAAGCTATGGAACCACCCCCGGTTGTCATCGTCGTCGTCGTCGTCGTGTCGTCTCCCACTAGCGGACTGAGTTCCTGTCTACTAGCCACACGTAACTTAATACGCTGCCGCGGCCGCCATTCACCTTCCACGACCGCCTCGTCCGTCACGAGGTCGATGAAGGCCTGCGCGTTGAACGAGTACCCGTTCCATTTGGTCCGAGCGCGGATGTATTCTTTGTTTGCCGCCTGCTGCTGCTGCCCGCCCCCGCCGTCGGCCCGGAACTCGGCGTGAACGTATCGGTCGACCCGCACTCGAGGCTCCTCCCAGCGACTGTTACTGTGCTCGTCCAGCGTGCGGCTGAGGCTGTCGTCGGGCGGATGCCGCAGCCCGTCCTTCAAGTTCTTAAAGTCGGCGCGCAGGATGGGTTGCGTGTAGTACGTCCGGATCGACCGGCTGCCGCCGTTAAGCCACTCCTTTCGACCCTCGACCACCAGCAGCTCGCCCGTCGAGTGGTCGATCTGGAAGCCCAGGTCGTTCCAGGCGTCGTTGATGGGCCCCTCGAGGTGCTGTCGCCGCCAGATGAGCTTGATAGTCAGTTCCGGGTTTGGATCATCCAGCCGGAACTGGATAACCTGGTAGTAGCTCGTCCAATCAACTTCCTCGCTCTCGTAACTGGTCTGGCTCGTGATGGCGTAGAATTCGTTGTGGTGAATCGTAAAGCACGCCGTGGAGCCGATCTCCGAGCCGTAGAAATTGCGCAGCTGCAGCGGGTGTGCCGTCACCGACTCCCCCGTGACGAGGCTGTAGACACACAGCAGCCACTCGTGGTGATTGTGGCTGTTGGTCGCCGAGTGCGAGCCCACGACCAAAAATCGGTCACTATTTCTGACGAACAGCTTGTTAGTGGAGCGGACCGGCACACACAGGCGGACGCGGGTGGGGTGGCCGCTCCCGGACCAGGGTATGGAGGATCTTTTGTCAGCGATGTTTACGGCGAAAATGTATTGGCCGAAGGGCCCCAGATCACACAGCAGAACCACCACGCCCTCGGCGTAGCTCTGGACCTGAAGGGACCGGATCGTCCGTACATCTACGGTGCCATCTCCCTCCCCCCACGTCGTCATGCCGATCTGATCGGTAAGAATGCTGCTGTCAAAGACCTTCTCAGTGGCCCGACGACAGTTGAAATTTAAAATGCGAAGGCTGTTCGCAGAGATATAACATAAAATTCCGAAATTGTACGAGAAGCTGCTCGCATATGCTATAATACAGGCGGAGTAGGGCGCCGCCTGTTGCAAAGCTGACTGTGAGTCGAGGATCCGAGCGAGGGTTTGCCTAGGACCCGGCGGCTGGGCGGGGGACAAGGCCAGCTGTGCCCAAAGAGAGTGTTGCAGACTCGCCTGATATCGGTCAGCTCAGAGGGAAGGAGAAGAACGAACCCCGGATTGCTGATTAAGAGCAGAGCCGGGAGACCAGCCCCCCAAAAAAGAGGAATGGAGGAGAAATGAACCTACCTGGAGGGCGTGCTTCGCGGTATTCTCATTCTGCAAATGTCGACGCAACGACTTGCACGTCTGAGCCAACTTCTCAAAAGAGCGAATGTCGAGCCTGGTTGCGATTTGATGGTGTACGTCGAAAGGCAACTGGACGAACCGAGAGGACATGCCCGTCGTCGACGACAGCCAGGGAGAAGCGGTACAGAGGCGAGGACTACCTCTAGCGTTGGCATGAGGCCTCAACAACGTCGGCAGGATTGGGCAGGACCGTCTCGGACAAGACCAAGCACCATTCTCACATTCAAAGACGCATAGAACGGCGAGGTTGAAGTTGAGAAGATGGTCTCCTGCTCAGTGACTTTGATGATGATGATGATGATGATGATGATGATGATGAGTCTAGGCTCCATAATGCAGAGCCTCATTCTGGATGGTTGCTCCGTGGACGTCCCTCGTAGCCACTTCTCCCCACATGGACGATTCACAATTTGACACATAGCACAGACTAGTCGGAAGTCGATTTTTCGTCCGCGAGATGTGAAGTCAGCATTCAGGCTGGGAAGGCCGACAAAATCTGGACTCAAAGATATTGGGAACACAACGGGGCGAATCAGACAGGTCAGCTGGGTGCAGAGCCTCAAATGTGCGGTAGTTTTGCGGTTTTGCATTAGTGCCAGAGAGGGTGCTAGAGTATGACACTAAGCCCTAGTTGGCTAGACCATTGAGAGTCTGAAACCCTGATAGTACTTACAGTAACAGGGTAGCCTATAATAAGCTCCGCCAGAGTGGGGCCTTATTGGGGCAACGGATACCCAGTTAGTACATCCCGGGCTCCCCAGCACAAGCGTCACTCCGTGGCCAGCCTGATTGATTATTCCAACCATAAGTCATCTTCTCCGGGCGCTCCCAACTCCTGTCCTCTCAAAATACATCGCTCCTGCTCCTCCTCCCCACGTCTCTATGTCTACTAACAGCAGAGCCGCACGAGCGGCGCCCCGTATCTGCCCGTGCCGTACAACCTAAAAGCCGGGAATGTGAAACGCGAGACGTGTATTCACCCGGCTGCGCCACAGCTCTTGTGCAAGGTCTGGCTGGGCTCTTGTTTCTCGAGCCGTACTGTCTGCTGCATTCCCTCTCTCTGGACTGCTGGCTCCTTCCGAGCTGCTTGGGCAGGATATTTTCTGCCGATGTATGACTGAGACAGACTGAGTCGAGACTCTCGTATTCTGCCGTGTTTCAACCCAAGTCTTTGGTAGCTGCTCCAACCGCTGAGCTCTTGACTGGTAAGTCTATGTTCTCGTTACGTTGTCTCCCGAGACCTCGCCAGCTGGGGCACCTGTTTGGCGTACGGTATCTGCCTTACCATGCACATATTGCGGCTGAGCGGGCAACATCTGCCGCAGCTCTTCTCTGGCGCATGACCAAGGTCACAGGGCGCCACGCAACTCTCTCTCTCTTTCTCTCTCTCTGTGTGTGTGTCTCGGCAGGATCACTCGGCTCTGAGTGAGCGGGATTTCGGTCCAGGTCCCCAACGGAGAATGAGCACAACGGCAAGCTCTTACCAGATTCGCACGAGTCAAAGAGGACAGACGCATAGGTGGTGCGTTGGCAGCTGGGTTTCGACAAAACTGCCGTGAGTGCTGTGCTGACACGCAAATAAAGACTCAGCCAATCGTGGCCTGATTGGCCTGATATATCGGATGGAACTGTAACGAGAGAGCAGCATTAGGTTATTGTGTGTTGTGCAGAGCGGGCTGAGCACCCTTCTGCGCCCAGCTCGTATTGCGCCCAATCAGTGGTTGTGGACTTTGGGGCCCAGAACGCATATGCGGCTGCGCCCTGTGATTGATAACATGGACAGACTCGAAAATTATGGTCTCGCTCTTTGCTAATTCAAAAAGTAAAAGAAGAAACGAATGGACACGATTTCAAGGTTGCCAACTTATAGTGAAGAGGGGGAGGGGGGAGTGAGCACCCAGCCAGTGCCAGCTCTGCTTTCCGACAAGTCTTCGCCACTGGTCATGGGGATGAGAGGCTGAGCCGCGTCATTGGTTACACAGCCTCCATCCCACATTGTAGCAGCATCGACCTTGCCATCGGTGACTGGAGGCGGTGTGGGCAAGTGATAGGGTTGGAGCTTGCGAACGCGGGAGGAATCACGAGATAGTCCTCTCGCGTAGGAAGAACAACAGCCTCATTGGCGCTCGCCAATTACGGATCTTCGCAAGTTCAGCCAGACCCATGCAATCAACGCCCATGTTCTTAAACCCAATTTAAACACACCAAATCCGCGATTGAATGGCACTTCTGTTCCCCCCACCAGTGCAGGAAGATTACCTCAGGGAGCGTATGCGTCCCTGCTCGTCTGGACACAGTTGGTTTTCCTACGTGGCTTCATCCAACAAGCATCTTCTCTAGGGCCTCAACTTAACCAGCACACAATCTAACTCTTGTCCCACTTCCCATACCGTACCCAGCTGTCATAGAGTGCTTTGAATATCGTCCTGCTGCTAGGGTCCATGCCTGCATTCATGGCCCGCATAACGTCCCTATCGAGGGCGTCCATGACTCGGTACATGCCGGGCATCAAAGAATCCTTCGTCGCCGGCGTGATTTGCCCGTCGAGAGCGCATCGACAGTACTCCATGACAAGATACTGCATGTGCTGTCCTGCTAGTTTCCGAGCCTGATTCACTGCGTCATTCAGCTCGTTGCGGCCACCCTTATTCGACGATCGTGCAGCAGACACCGTGGGATTGGAGATTGACGAGAGTAAACGAGCAAATTGTTCTGCAGAGGACTGCGGCAGGGGTTCTGCCGATACATGCAGCCAGTTGGGCAGCGACTTGGCGAAAGACCTGGTCGCATTCGCAGCGTCACCTCGTTGACTTTCCAGCACTTTTTGTCCGGTCCAAAACAGACATCGTAGAAGGTTTTGCAGGATCGGAAGCAGTAAATGGTAACGATCAGTGAGCCGTTTACGGTGTCGTCCAAGAATTGCCCCAATAACTCCACAAACCCGTTGGAAGATGTCGGCTGGTTGGGGGTCGGTTTCGAAGTCTCTCGTCTGTAGGCATCGCGCACCATCGGATCTGGCAGAGACGACGGCGTGTATAGTTGCGAGCAATCGATCCAGGACCGATTGATTCACCACGAGCGGATGGAGCTCGAGCGCGCTCAGGCAATTTTCCAAGGTAAGAAGTAGCCCGCTAGTGCTCAGTTTCGTAACTGTGGCGTCCATACACACAATCCCCGCCACAGCTTGAGCCAAGGCTGGGTATTGCAACATGTGTTGCATCTTGATGCGTCTTAAAATGCAAGCCACCAACACGGCACATGCCGGCTGGTATTCTGCTTGCTCGCTCTTGTGTTGAAGGGCCTCCAGCGTTGTAAGCCAGCTGGTCGGCTCGAGTTGGCAAGCGAATACCTCCGCTTCAGTGGCCAGAAGTGTGGCGCTAGTGTTTGTGCATAGATCCAAAGGTGTTATAAATGAGGCCAGCTCTTGGACATGCTGTTTATCTGACGTAAGTGTGGACTTGATGGACTGAGGGCGAAGAGAAAGATCCTTTCGCCAATTTTGCTTGACAGCACACCCCTCCTTAGAGTGCGTTTCTGCATGCAGGAGCTTTTCCTGGATGGCTGACTCAATATGCCGCAACTCATCCGATAGGAAGTCTTTGTCAAGGGAGTGGAGCATGTCAACAAGGAGCTGCAGCCTCAGGAGATTTGCAGGAGTCGACGCATCAGAAAGGGCTTTGTTAGATTCCTGCTTCACACGTCTTGCGAGCAATTCCCGCAAGAACTCAACATTCTTATGCTGGTCGCCCTTTTCCAATGCGCTGCCCGACCCGTTGGCGAAATCAAGAAAGATTCGCAAGCAAAAGAGTGGGACAGATGGATTCCGGGCTGTTGTCACCATGTAAGCCACAATTTCCTTCGCTTTGGGCCTCAGAACGGCCAGAGTCCGTGACCTGATTGACTGGAAAACCCGGTCCAAGATGTGTAAAGTCGTCACGTAAGATGACATGTATTTCTGGTAGTTCGTGATCTCCAGTTGCAAGGACCCTTCATCGTTCCATCGGAGGACAACCGCAGCGAAGTCAATCCATTTTTGCCAATCTCCGTAGTCAGTTAATGCCCCTGGGAATACGGAGTCCAACCAAGCTAAGAGGCACAAGTCGTCTGAAACAGCTTCTAGCCTTGCATCCCTACACTCGTCAAAAAGGCGACGAAGCGTTGACGCCACAAAGCCCTTGATTACCGGTCTCTTCATGGTCTCCATCGAGAGGCAGGACAAAAGTCTCATGCAAATCTTTCTGCTCCTGTTGGTCGACCGTAAATTCTTGTCAACGTGCTCAAAAATCAGCTGTCGTAGAAGAGGAGACCGAGAAATGTCCTCAGCTTCCAACACGGCCAGCAAGAGATCACGCAAATTCGGTAAAGAATCGGCTTCAGCATCGTGTGCCAATGGCTGAAAAACCCTCTCGAGGCAGGCCTGAACGAGGGCCTTGAAGCTTTCCGGATACCTGAAGAAAATCTCGGGCGTCTGTAATAGTTTCCCAATGCATGCAGCCACCAGATCATGGATGCCGCTACATCTGGCGTTACGCCCATCCCACAGAGCCACGCGATCTTCGTCAAGGCTCTGCAGCACATCTGCCAGATAACCCACCTCTGCTTCGAGTCTCGGTTGATGTTGCTTCGATTGTGCGGCCAGTTGTAGAAGGAGAGAAAAGCATTCCAGATGTTCGAGATTTTTGGCAGTCTGCCTGACAGAGCCAACCTGATCAGAGCTCCGAATGTCCTTCAGAGAAACGAAGTGTTGGGCAGAACTTAGCAGAGTATCGATCTCAACGGGCACGGCCTCGCCATTTATCATTTGCAGGAGGAGTCCAATCAGCCTCCACAGCCTCCACCGCTGGCCTTGGTAGTCGGAATTGCGAGACAGAGCATTCATTGCCCCAAGCAATAAAACGTGCGGTTGTCCATGATCGAACCGTATGTTTCTGGTCTCGGACCACGGGCTTTCCAGAACGGCGCAAAAGATGGCTAATTTCGCAAAGACTTCTGCCGTGGACCCAACCTTGTCGCCAATTTTGTCGATGGGTTCAACTAAACTTTCAAGCATCCGTTGGCCCATATTTGGCGGCGCATAAACATTGATGAGTGGTTTGAGTTCGTCGAAAATGTCTTCGTCTTCCCAAATTAACACCGCAGGAATGTCTGCTTGATTATGTCTCGAAGTGTAACGAACTCTGATTGCCTCCGCGAGCATTCGCTGCCAGCCAGTGACAAAGCCGTCCAGATCCCTTGAGCGGGCAAAGCTGTGGAGCAAAGGGCAAACGATTTGATCCCGTAACAGAACATACGTAGCCTGAGAAACTGTGCTTGACTGGATCCGGTCCAAGACTTGCTCCAGAAAACCTGCGGAACTTGCCAGGCCAGAATGTGGTATCAAGGTGTTCAGATCCAGTTGGATAATCTTGACCAAGAGATTCCAGGGGGCTGATTCCGTGTCTATAGTCAACACAGCCTGTAGGACATAAGTAATGATTTGCAAGCTGAGCTGCAGCTTTCTCGCGTGGGCAACTTCAATTAAACGTTCCAGGGATAACGCCCACGTATCCTGAATTTCGGAAGTTCGGCTGACGGGAAGTGGTTGTTGCAAGACTCCCGTCGACATAATGTGGGGTATCCGAGGCCAGCTGACGTGAACGAGCCAGATGAACAACGAGTCGACAAATGGCTGTTCCACTTGTCGCCTGCGAAAGTCTGAGATGGGAATTGAGCGCGCAGCTACATCGAGGATAATCCACGAAAGTTCCACGATCCCTGGTGCAGCATGGGCCTCAACCCGTTGAGACCGTTTGCTCTCAACAGGAAGAGGGTTGTTGTAAGCCTTCAGCAATGTTTCCATCTGTTCGAAAAGCAAAACGTCTTTCGTGACCCTCCATTTTTTAGTGAACTGTTCGTTGAATATCAGCCTCAGGGGAAATACAACATGCAGCGCTATCAGCCGCTCGAGCGCAAGTCTCGATCGTGCAAAGGATCCATGGCTCCACTGTGGTTTGGCAAGAATGTCGAGCAGATGCAAACAGGGGAGGAGACATTGTGAGGAGAATGCCGGGTCCTGTCCATCGTCCTTTTTCCGGGTGGTGGGAGCAACCGCGTCCCAGGATGACAGCAGAGTCTCCAGTATCGTGGACAAGAGATCGACACTCGGAGCATCAGTACTGTTGTTCATGATGGACGCCATTACCTCCAGCAAGCAGCCCAGCAAGGCAGCATGATCACTCCATGTGGCGGTCTTGATTACAGGAGCAGTACGACTTCCCGCGCTCCGTGAAGAGGTCGACGTGGTGGACAAGCCGGCGCATCGAGTTCCTGTTTGCAAAGCTAACCACAGCAACGTCTCCTGGGAGATCACTGTAGTTTGGCAGGCCAACTCGGGAGACAATCGCCTCCTTTTCGTCGGACGCCTCCCGTCTGTATGGTCATGCTTTATCGCAGCCACATTCGTCTGGGAGCCTTCCATGTGGAGGAGCTCTCGAATGGAGCTGACCAGCAATGGCTGGAAGTCTCGTTCGAGGAGAATCTCCGAACACACATCGCCAGGTATTGAACGACTTAGGTTGAGAAGGAGAGACCAGAACTTTGGCGACACGATGAAACTAAACGACAGTTAGACATTATACAATTGATAGTGCAGAATAGAGATGTCGCACCTTTTCTGAGAGGCGCCAACTTTCCCTTCTCCATCCTCCGATTTGTCCAAGGCACCGAGCTTCTTGAGGAGCCATCGCAGAACCCATTGCTCTTTGAAACCGTGAGACTTGGGAAATGCGATGTATAACGGTTCCGTGGCGCAACGCGTGAGGGTCGTCTCGAGATCAAGTTCCAGGATTCTTGCAGCTTCCTCTAAAATCTTTTCTGGCGGTCCTTTGGCTTTTTCCAAGCCGGCCATTCTGGCCTCGAACGAGTCCTTGGCCATCTCAAATGTAAAGGACTCCGTTCAGCATACATAGTAGGGTCGTATTTCCTCCGGGATCAGGTGCATGACTTGTCGGACTTTTTCGTGAGATATGTGAACACTATTCTATACCTTAAGCTCAAGTTCATCTAGACCTGCAAAATTTCGCCAAGAATTATGGCGGATCACCAACACTAGTGAGATTTTCCTGTTCGGGCCCAAATCCATGCTGCTTTACACATCTCATGGAATACATCGGGTGCACCGTGATAACAAGTCTGGTGCTCACCCTAGACGATGTAGCTTTCAGATTTTGTTGTCTCTAAGACCCCTGCATAGTTGCACGGCCAGCTTCAAGCCTTCTGATGCCATGCGACCCGGGTTCGAGAGATTGGCCAGGTAGGTTTATCTCAACGGGACAGTAAACGGGTGAACTGTTACTATTGGAAGTCATTGTACACTTCATACATATACCTTAGAAAGCCGTATCGGCACGCTGACAGTGGGACACCAGAGAAACGTGAGTGACAGAAGGGGACGGCAGAACCTCAGACCACTATCTTTGATCAGCTCACTGAGGTTTTCTGCAAAGAGGATGCTGGGTTCAGGCGTCATTGCTTGTCAGCCATGACATTGGCAGGCTGCTACATCCAACAATTCGGCACGCACAGGGTACATCTAGAGCTTAATATACCAGTAATATGTCGTACCGTATCATAATAGAGAAGCTGCGTGGCTGTGAGCAAAGAGAGCGGAGGAAAGGTTTATGGCGAGTGGGTAGATATAGCTGCCAAGACCGGCTCCGATTGGCCGGTACCTTTTTTCAGTGAGCTGGCTGCTGTTTCCGCTCGGAACTGCGCAGTTTACCAAAGCTCCCAATTTGACAACAGCTTGTAACCCTCTGTCTATCTCCACGTCCACCAGGCATTACATACAACTTGGGTCACTCTGAAGGTACGCATCCCACATCCCTTTCTGAATCATCTCACTGACGGACCCGCTCAAGTCTCCAAGATGCCGGACGACAACGTTTCGAGCCCTCCCTTACCCGTGGCTAAGTCGAGACCTGTGAGCGAAGCTCTGTTGAACGAGAAGGTACGTGCACAATAAGAGCTGTTTGTGGATCGGAAGACCTCGGCTTGGACTTGGCGATGCGAGGATCCTTCAAACAGCATTGAGTGTCTCTCGCAGTTGCGATGGACATCGACAAGAGAAAAGGCCAATTGCTGATATGGCATGCAGTGGGATCGTGCAGTCTCGTCCTTGGTGATCAGATCCGCACTGGGCTTTTCCTTCGGTGTCATATTCTCAGTACTGCTCTTCAAGCGAAGAGCGTGGCCAGTGTGGTTTGGAACCGGCTTCGGCGCCGGAAGAGCTTGGGAAGAAGCTGATGGTGGGTCGATTCTCCAATGCCCGTGAAACAAGTGAAGCTGCAATATTGACAAGTGATCTAGCAAATTTCAAGAGGGGCGACACATTCAACACGGACGGGCTTCGGAAAGTACGGACTGAGAGGTAGTCAGATCATGGAGGCGTCTTTTGTTTTGCCCGAAATCGCAATGGAGAGTACAAATGTGTACAACATGTACAGAGCACCTCGTTGAGAGGACCAAGTGGTGCCTTTGAGCGGTCTGAATTACTGCGTCCGTCCATTTCTACCTTCCAACTTGCACAAATCTGCCGGTCATCTGCTCGCCTTCTCGTTCTCAATCTCCCGACGAAGGTTTTCCAGTTCTGCCTCCCGTTTCCGCAAGTGCGACTCGAGACCGTCTATTTGCTCCGCCACCAATGCAAGATCATCCCTCAGTCTCTTCAGATCACCGCCTGATTTCTTCCCATTCTCCGAGTTGAGCTCGACGTACTGTCGTTGCTTGTACTCCAGCATTTGCTGCGCCTCGCGCTTGACCAGCGTCCAATTTGTTTTTCCTGGTTGTCTAGGACCTCCGTTCTCCGATCTCTGCTTTCGTCTTCGTTCCGAGGCCGCGATTGCGGCATCATGCTGGGATTCCAGCTCGCGTAGCTCGCGGAGAAGTCTGACTTTCTCCAGGTCCTCGTCCTCAACCACGTCCGAGAAGTCGGTGCCTTTGGGCTGGTAAGCAGAGCCGCCTTTCCCGCCAATACGGCTCAGATAAGCATCTCCGAATTTGGCTTTTCGCCCTGTAGATGTGTCCTCATCGTACTTGTTCGGTCTATTTCTGACATTGTCGATCTGATATTCAATCTTGTTTCCTTCAAAGCTTGCCCGCAGGCTGGGTGGTACAGTTCGCGGTATCCGAAATCCCTCATGACGGTAATTGAGGATATGCAAGAACGCGAGACAGGCGTCTTTCGAGATGGTATCTCGACCACTCGTATTGACGAGGTTCCACGCGCTCCGCACGTCCGTATCTGGCACGTCCAGACTGGAGTAGAGTGTGTGCAGGCTTTCGAAGCTGATCTCCCCCCTCCTGTCTTTGTTTGCCGAGTAGATCTCCTCGTACTTTCGCTTGTCGCCAGGATTCATGTACCAATCGAAGCCGTCTTTCAATCCAGCGTCTTCCTCGTCATCCTCAATCCTCTCAAACTGCGCTCCTTGGTGGCCAGTCAGGGCCCGGTTTGCCTGAACCAGGTGAGCTTTGGACTCTGGAATGAGCCAGTCAGGCAGGCTGGGTGGCACGTCCTGGTATTCGCCGTTGACGAGATCAAAGATGAGTCGCATGGCGACGCAGAACTCCTCAAAGTCCAGCTCGCCATCTCCATCGACATCCGCGAGATCCCATACACGCTCGAGCTGGTCATCCCGTAGCTGCGAGTTCCGGAGGACATTGGCTGCGGCTTGGTTTGTCAGCCGCGAAGAGGGTGTGGCAGGCTGCTGGACCAGCGAGGAGAAGATCTCCCAATATCGGTCGATTTCCCATTTCTCTATCCGCTTGGTGTTTGACATGGTGGATAGGCCGGTTGTGGAGGACGACGATCCAAAGCAGGAACAGGCTCAACAAAGGACGACTGAAACAGAAATTCTGCAAGACGCTCAGGAAGACAAAAGAAAACAGAATCCTTGCTTCCAATCAAGGCCCGCCTTAAACGATCATTTTGGAAAAGGATGTCAGTAGCTGTTGGGTTCAGTGCACGCAGCGCAGCAGCAGCGTCGTGCGGCAAGCAAGTAAGCGGTCCCGGCCACAGGTACTCCGGCTGCTTTACCAAATTGGCCAGGGCGCAGCTAGCTTATAGCGCCGAATGGCTTTGGTTTTGCCTACGCTATTGACGCCGCTTTTAGCAAGCTTAAAAGGGTATACCTCCTACTGACAGATGTGACTATTAGATTTCATCCCGATGTTCCTTCTCCTTGTCCCTATTGCACAGGAATCACAAATGTCCTCTTGATGAGTCGATGCCGTGTGGATGGATCAATCACACCTTGTTGTGACTTCTTGACACCCCACATCCGGTGTATCGATATCCGTTCTCACTGGCTTTACTCTCAGTCGAACTTTCCAACATCAGGGTCGTGTGTCCGGGTGCAGTCTGCTGCATGCTATTACCTTTCAGGTCAGTACTCATGCGACCATAGTCGATATGGAGCAAAGCCTCCTCAATGGTCTCGGGCTTTGATCATTTAGCCCCGTTGCCGCAGCTGTACACTGCCCAGAGAGGTCTACTGCAATAGACTGTGTTGGTAAATCTTGTGGGATGTGCTCTCTCACTCGCCAAGGCTCTTTGGCTTTTCCACAGACGGGGGTACAGGCGCAGAGAAATACTGGACAGCCCTACCAGAGCCAGGCGACCGAGTCACTAGGCTGTGCTTCTTTGCCGCTGCCGCGGCGCCAGCAGAATCGGCTGCCATTTCTTGCTCTGTGCACCTTCGTCTCTATACCTTTCCCCCTCACTTTACAGTAAAGCTCTTGTCGCACTCTCATCAGTGCAGGAATTACCCCCCTGAAGAAGAGAGCTGTACAAGATACCGAGGATTGCATCCGGCGACCTACCAGCGTTTGTAAGGATGCGGTGACTGATTGCCTCTATCGTTCTAGGATTCTACGCCCGGGCGAGGGACTATCGAGAGGAGAATGCCTCAGTATCCGCCGATGGTTTACAGCCTTGAAGCCAGGGCTGGTGCTTTCGACGGTGATTTTGACCTTGGCGGGTGGAAAGTCCCGAATGCGGCTAGCATGATGCCTGGTTCTATTATTGCTCCGCCCAATTCCACGCCCCCAGGATTCAGCCTTGCCTTCGTGTCAGGGCGCTTCAGGGCGTAAACACCACATTCTAACATCGGGTATATCTTGCAGGGATACGGCACAGAAGATTGAGGTACGTATCTCTCTCAACTTCCCCCACAAACTTGATCTTCATCAGAATGTATATTGCTCTGGAAAAACGCGGCTTCTCAACCAGCAACGCTGGCTTCAACCTCAGCACAACCGGCATCATCAGCATCTGTATCATCCTTGTCCTCTTTATCACCGTGACGAGTTTGCTGTGTATGACGAACGCACGGAAGAGGCGGCTGCAAAGACTCAAACGCCTGCAACGCAAACAGAATGCGCTCCGCACCACAGAGAACCGACCCGCAAGAGAGCCTCTTCGATTCAATCAGTCTCGGAATTGGAATACTCAGAGACCTGCCAGCACCCAAGTCAAACGTCCTGCTCCGGCACATGTGGTTGGCGAGTGTCATGATCCTCTAGAGCCTCCACCAGCTTATCAAGCATGAGTGGCACACATGGCTGCATTCGGGGGGCGCCAACCAAGTTTCACTATTGTCATTTCTTCGTTGGTGAATGCGCAGGTCATCGCCTCGGAGACATACCACCAGGACCTCAAAGAGTAGAATAATATGTTCATGCCCAGTCAAATGGTTAGGAGGGCCGGCTCGTCAGCTTTGGAGGGAAAATGCACATCTTTCTATTTCGATAGCTTCATGATGAATCTTCGACCATCTCTTTGATTTCCACCTTCTTGCTGTCCTCTGTCTCCTTTTTCAAGACCTCTATGCCCTCCTCAATGTCTACTCCCACCTTCTCCTTCTTTACTCGCCTCTCTGTGGCCTTCCAACCTCGAATCTCTGCCTTGCACAAGCCTGTCCCGGCAAGGTCACAATCACCACACCTGCGTCCGACGGGTAGACACACTGTCTGGCCCAAACCCACCAGCATCCTGTTGATTTCGTGCCATTTGTCCCGGGGTAGCCAGCCTTCCAACCACGCCCTCGTCTCTTCCGGTGTTTTTGTTTTATGCCACCCCCACAGGTTTGTGATGCGGTGGACGTGAACATCCACACCGATGCCCTCATCGATACCCCACGCGGCAGACATGCAGAGGTACGCCATCTTGGGACCCACTCCCGGTAGACGGATCAAGCCTTCTATGGTGTTGGGGATGTCGGAGTTGTATTCCTGCTTGAGGATCGTCGCAACTTGCTTGATGTATTTCGTCTTGTTGTTGTGGAAGCCGACTTTGCCGATGAGACTGTCGAGATGCTTGGGGTCGCACGTGATCATGTTCCCCACCGTGAGGTCGATTGCTGTACTCCGTCGCTTGGGATAGGTGGTTGAGGAACTAGTTCTGTGTGTAGGCGCAGCATCGCGGCCGCTGTCACCGTATCTTTTGTCTGGGAGGACAACATCAGACTCGTCAGGATGTGGTAGCGTTTCTCTCGTGGCGAAGCCGCAGGCCAAAACAGCTCTTCGCAGCCCATGGTGTCCACCGGCGCAGTTGGATTCCTTTCCCGCATGGCCTTGATGGTATCGTACAGCTCGACCCAGTTGGAAGGAGGATGTATTCGCACTGACCCTGATGGCGACGTTGTCCTCCGTGCCGGCAATTTCGGTTTTGCTCTTGCACGTCCACTAGGCGATGCCTCTGGTTTCTCCCCATCATCGTAGTCCTCCTCCTCCTCCTCCTCCTCCTCCTCTCCTCTTCCTTCTTGATCTTGCGCGGCGAGGTCCATTCGGTTGTGGTGGAAACAACAGTCGAAGTGAACGGCGAGTCAGAGCCTAACTTTCTTTTCCTGCTCGACCGTGACGATGTCCTTAAGACGTCCTCAATATCTAGAGGCGCAGCGACGCCGGCGCTCGCCTCATCTCCCACTAGTTCATCATCCTCCTCTTTCACCTCAACATCCGGATTGTAACCCAGCGCAAAAGAGGCGAGGCGTTTCGAGCTCCTCGTGGTTCGTCCGGCGCGAGCATTCGGGGACAGGGCATTGAATATTCGTGTCGTTTCCTGCGAGATCTTGGACGTCCGCATCTTGAGCAGTCCTTCTCGGTGTTATTTGCAGTCGAGATGGTGACGATAGAATGTGGTCAAGTTGCCAACTGCAGATCTCGCATTGCCCCTGGACGATCGTGAGTCTAAGGGTTTCCCACGCGCTGCGTCGCGGGTGGCTCCCCGCAAGAAGGCAGCTAATAATCTAATAGGCTCCCCAGGCACAACCTCGGCTGCACTTCTAGCTGAATTGACCTGGCAATGCGCGAAGCTGTTGTGACAACAACCATAGCACCACCACCACCAACACCACGCACTTTTCTTGACAATATCCGACGTCCTTGAGTCCTACCCGTTGCAGCAGGTCTCTATCTCACGCCACCACCCCTTTTGAGCAGTTTAGATAGTACATCGACATGTCGTCCACTCCTCGTGGGGGCAAATCCTCATCAACGAATGCCCTCAAACGCCTCACTCACGAACTTCAAGACCTCCAGTCGTCCCCCAACGAAGCAGTCCTTCACCTCGGCCCGGTCAACGAGGAAGACCTGTTCCAATGGGAAGCTGTCCTCAAGGGTCCTCGAGACCCCGCCTCTCCATATCACGGTGGCTTATGGCTTCTTTCCATCACCGTGCCGCCTACCTACCCATTCGCCCCTCCCAAGGTCCAGTTCGTCACACCCATATGCCATCCGAACGTGCATTTCTCCACGGGCGAGATCTGCCTGACACTGTTGAGTGGGGAGCACTGGGCACCGTCGTACACGTTGAGCACAACCATGGGCGCGATTCAACAGCTGCTCATTTCTCCGGGATTGGACAGCCCCCTGAACGTGGATATCGCGAATCTGTACAGAGAAAATGACTCAATTGGCGCAGAGAGCCTGGTAAGGTTCTGGACAGGCGCGAAGAGGTGGGCTGGCGAGGGCAAAGGCGGGTGGCTGAGTGAGAGGAGGAAAGGAACGGGAGGGAAGTTGGGAGAGTGAGGTGAACACTATATGGCTGGTCTCATGTTGCTTTTGGTGTTTTATGGAGCTTAACGTCTGTCAAGGGCGTTATTGAGAGGTGAAGCTGGTATTGGTGTCTCGGGCGGGCTAGCGCTGACGATGTCTACTGTTTCTTTCTGAGCGAAGGAGTAAAGCCAAGCGAGGGACAATGTGCAGTACGACGGTTGAATTTGGGGATCAACAACATATCTCTGGCTTCTTTCGACTTCGCGCCATATCAAGCCAGCGCCTTTTCCGAGAGGTCGGGACGAAGCAGAGGGGCGCGAAGGCTTTTGTGATACGTAATTGAGATGGATGAAATGATCGAACACCGTGACTGCCCGACTTTCCCGACCCAGACCGCTCTCAAGGCCCTGTTTGCCTTGGAAAGTAAGGCCGAGATTGAGATATCCCTCCGGCATCGGGCGCTCTACAATGTTGGTACTCCAAGGATGTAATTGAAGACCAGGACAGTAGACGGAATCCCAGAAGGATTGGAGCGTGTCGTTGACCACGTGGTGCCTAGTCTTTTGCTCTGGCCAACCTCCCCAGACCGCTCAAGTATGAATTGGTCTGTTTATAATGATGTTGCTGGAGCATAAAGGTCTCTCTTCGCATTAGTATATTTGATGACTAAGCTCGCAGAGTTACGGTATCTGGGAAATATCCTCCACCGGAGGCTGTACTGCCGATCATACGACCCGCCAACACCGGCCTGGACGCGCCATTGACCTGCAGCCTCGTCTCATCGTCCTGGTCCGCTTGGGCATTTCGTCTTCGTTCGCCTGTGAATCCTGCATTTACTTCTCCAGCCCCTGCGACAAGTCTGTACGATTCTAAAGATCTTTAGTATACTCTTGAGGATCACTGACAAGCTTTCACGAGCTTCCTCTACCACCCCGCCAGAATGGCAGACAGATACTCGTTTTCCCTCACGACATTCTCGCCCAGGTAACCCCGACCGTATTTTTTCCTTGCGCAATGAGACCTCCATGCTAACATGAAATAGCGGCAAGCTTGTCCAGATAGGTATTCCAACGTCGACTCAGAAGAACTGGATCGGTGCTTACTCTCTCTCCAGAATATGCTCTGAACGCAGTAAATCAAGGTGTCACTTCGTTAGGCATAAAAGGTACGGACGAGTCACAACACAAACTCCCCATGCGCAGTGCTGATGGACAAATCGCAGCAACAAACGGTATCGTCCTCGCGACTGAAAAGAAGTCGTCATCACCTCTCATCGATCCCCCTTCCCTGTCGAAAGTGTCCCTCATCACGCCCAACATCGGCATGGTCTACAGCGGCATGGGCCCGGACTATCGAGTGCTCGTCGACCGAGCCCGCAAAGTCTCGCACACGAACTACAAGCGCATCTACAATGAATACCCCCCCACACGTATATTGGTGCAGGATGTGGCCCGAGTGATGCAGGAAGCGACACAGTCCGGTGGTGTGCGGCCCTACGGTGTGAGCCTGCTGATAGCAGGATGGGACGATGGGATCGAGCCAGAGACCCTCGCCGCAAAGGAAGGCGAGACCGAAGCAGAGGCCAAACTGGCAAGCAGGAAGACGGGCGGCATCCTGAAGGGCGGCCCCAGCCTGTACCAGGTCGATCCGAGTGGCAGCTATTTCCCCTGGAAGGCCACCGCCATTGGCAAGAGTGCGACGAGTGCAAAAACCTTCTTGGAGAAGCGATACAACGACTCTCTGGAGCTGGAGGTGAGATGATGTACGAAATTCGTGTTGGACTACAAGACTGACAGACCCCCAAAGGATGCCATTCACATCGCGCTGCTAACACTCAAAGAAACCATCGAGGGAGAGATGAACGGCGATACCGTCGAGATAGGCATCGTGGGCGAGCCTGCGAACCATCTGCTCGGCTACGAGGGCGTCGAGGGCGCGGTGGGCCCGAGATTCCGGAAACTCAGCAAAGAGGAGATTGAAGACTATCTGACGAATCTGTAAGAATAAGGCGTGGAGAAGAGGGAGGCTCGCGAGCAAGACTTCAAAATCGGATTGATGGAAAATCTGTTTTCCGGTACTTTACACACAACCTTTCTGTGCCACTGTGGCCGTCGTCCTCTCGAAAAGGGGACGGCTACGAGGCTGAATGATGCCTTCTTTTCACCCACTCGCCGAGGGGAGGTACGCATGGTATCGGCGCAGGTCGGACTGGGCCTCGTTTCAAGGGGGTTTCAGAGAACTCTTCTAAGAATGTAACCATCAATCAAACCAGGCAATTGAAGCCGTCCCCCGTTGTGGTTGTCTCGATCCCAGCCCAGCAAGTGTCCACAAGCTCGTCAAACTCATCCCGCAGCGAACAATTCCGCATTTCTGTCCTGAGCCTTGAGGTCGATTCTATGTATTCATCCCCACGCTCTCTCTCCCCTCTTCGCGCCCTAAAGAGAGGACAATGGCACCACGTTTCCTTCTTCGTGGCAACCACTTTTCTTTTTCCACTCTTCCCCGATGCATTTTCTGAATCTTCGGTATATAATAGATGATAGTCGGTGCCCTTCTCAGAGCGGGACGGGAATCGAACGAGCCCTTGTTCGTTCTCGAGGATCCGTCCCATGGCTAGCTACTCTCTTACACTCACTCACCACTCGCTCAGTCACTACCCGCGTACGTCCACATGGATGGGTCTTATTAGAAGAAGGAAAAGACAAGGACAAGGGACAAGGGGAGTAGATTCCGCATAATAGTTGTTAATTTCGGGACAGCCTCGTCATGAAACCTGCCGCAGTCCACACACAGAGGAAGAAAGGTCGTCCGTCCATCGGCATCCCATTTACTACGACACACCATTTCCCCGGCATTTACACATTTACACTGTATTTTCCGTGGGGCGGGTTGTTTGGGAGGGAACGCAACGAATGGTCGGTCCATCCATCGTCGAAAAGCGGGTCCCAAGGTACGGGGAGGACCGAATATAATATACGATGTGGACAACATATACGTTATGTGTATATATATGTGTTGTATATGTAAATATATATACACTCGCCACTGGACGGCCGAGGAGCAGCAGTACCGCTCGCTCCGAATAACAAGAACAAGAACGAACAACAATGGAGGGGGACATTCGGGGCTCGAGCACGGGCGGGGGGGAGAGGTGGGTGGCATTTTCCTTACTACTGTACAAGAGGGCAGAGAAAGAGAAAAGAGACAAGAGCAAAGAGGGAAAAAGAGGCCTACTAGGCATACATGTCTTCCTCCTGGTTCTGAAACATGTCCATGTCAAAAGAAAAGCCAGGGCCCGGCGCCTGAGGGGAGTAGGATCACAGCGGGATGGAAAGAACAAAATCACAGCAGCGACTACGTATGACGTCTGAAGAATGGAAGAAAGGGGCTCTTTGATGCTTTTGTCATTCAAACTCCTCTAGGATATACGACGACGTGCCCTCGACTTGAGCTTTGACGCGCCGAAACAGCAAACGTGCCTAGGCACCTAGCACCAAAACGCCGATCGCTGGTCTTTGAACAAATACCACACGAAATTACCGACACGTGCACGGCCCTCCGATCATAAATCCACAAATCAAGACTCAGAAAATTCGAAGAGGTGCACCGCAGCTCTGAGCAAGTAGGGCTTCAGCCCCCATCAAGACTCTTCATGCATCGTGAATCGATCGCAAATAACATTGAGCTGATGAACACCGCTTGCACGTGGCTGTGCGACGACGCTCTTCGATCCTGTTGTAATTTGCGGAAAGCTCAATGCCCAAAGCCAGGCGCACCACCCAAACTGAACGCTCCCGCGCCATAGTATGCAATTCCAGAAACACCCTTGTGCCCGAGGTGACAAGTGCCTTTGCAAGGAAAAAGAAATACATAAACAGCAGCCATCTGATCATACCTTCGTAACAGTCGAATTCCAGTACAGTGATGTCAAGATGTTATTTGCGTACCGCAAACAGAAGACACTTCTCCCACCAGTCCCGTAAAAGGAGGACAGAGGCGCGCCCGTCATCGCGCTTCTCGGTTCCATCCGGGTTTCCCATGATGATGGCAAAGACCCAGAACACGGCCATGACCCAGGCGGCAATGGCATTCCCAATACTGATCAAAGGAGACACGACGTGGATCAGAACAAGGCAGGCCGGACTGAACTCAAAGGTATGAGCATGGTCGAGAGACTTGGCGTAGATCATTTGCAGATGATTGCGAAAGACCGGCGCAACCATGCGGACGAGAGATATACTAGGCGAGCATTGTTTGCGACATAGTCTGAGCGGTGCAAAGACCAGGATGACGAGGGCGGCGAATATCGAGAATATGCAACTGAATAGGCAGTGGAATGGGTCGAGAAAGGACATCCATAACTGGGGCATGTCAATATACAAACAGCATGTAGAGGGTTGGTTCCTTACCAGAATCCACAGGGCATGGTCATCCTCTGTCGCAATATCTGCCGCAATGGACTTTTCTTGGATGTACCGGTACACGGCCGAGTTGTCTTCGATCACTGGCGTTTCGCCCAGATTACTTCTTTTGGCTCCACTGTCCGAGTGTTGTGAGCCCGCGGGCGAGTATCTATTGATCGTCTCACCCACCAAGCCCCTCTCTGCTATCGGTCCGTATTGGTATTGTTTGTGTGGTAGGTAGGGCTTATATTCCACCCCGAGCGTCGACCCCGACTCTGCGCTGGATATGGAGGTCTGTAGCCGGAGAGGGTCCTTCTGACGAGGGGTGGTGGGAGTTCGTGTTGTAGGAGAGACATGGGCTATCGGAGGTTGTTGCAGGGGAGGAGGAGGAGCCGGTGGGTGATGGTGATTTTCGGTCTGGAGGGAGTTTGGGGCGTCTCTGATATCATGACGACCAGCCGTCTGTCTCGTGGACTCGGGATCTGGCTCGAAGGGCATTCTGGTCGTCAGAATGGACTCTGGTAGGACAAGCCCTTTTCATCACCGAACCGGCGCGAGGAGCTGCTGCTGCTGCTGAAGTGGTGGGCGACAGGTGAGAGCAGGTGCGAATTGACCAGTTCTAGCACAGGGGACATGGGGAGCAGAGATATAATGAAATACCAACATGATTCCAGAGAGCGGGAAACACCCAAGAGCACAAGAGACACGATCTTCTTGGTCCTGATCATCCTGCTCGCTCAATCCGGGTCAAATCCTCCACTTCCGCTGCTCGAGCCCCGGCCAAGATCTGGGCACTTGGCTCTTTCTCTAGGCGACATCTTGGCCGTCTGATGCATGGATCCCAGGGCGGTTGATTGCGTCTGCATGGGACGGAGGGCCGACTCGTGGAGGAGGGCGGTAGACGTCGCTAACTGCGTCGCCATTGCATGTTGCCGGTTTGCTACACCGTATATTTGATATACTTGTTGATTGAGGGCGAGGAGACTGAAGACTTCACCCTGCCTGCCTGCGCTCTTGGCATCCGGCATGCTGCGTGACCTGCGCTTTGATAGGGCGTGATTGCACCTTGGACTGTGGAACCCAGCCACCCACTACAGGCCGCCGCCCGGGCAAATCACTGCCTGCCCAGACGGCAGTTTTGCGACAAGGCTCCTCACCGCACCGTGGTCCTGCTGGAAAAGAATGGTGCCCTGGAAAATTGTACCGGGTAGCAGTCCAACAGGCCTGGCGGAGCAAGAAAAGAAGGGATCCTGGGAGCACGGTCACGTGGATCGGACTTGACTTGGCCATTGACAGAAAGGGGGTTTCCAATTCTCATGGAGTCCTGAGTTGATCGACGCCGCAAACAAGTCGAAAAAAAAGTCAAATGTTTGCCCCTACACAAGACATTCCGTCTCACAGATGGACTGCTATCTAACAGGTGCCCCTGAACTGCTCTCTGCAACCACCTACAAGGGCATCTTTACCCAGTCTCATGGCCTGTTGCGAAGCTCAAATACTGGCATACTCGGCATCGCCTTGTCCACCGTCTTGTCGACTTGTACTGTACGTCATCAGTCGATGGAAGGCTCCGTTCCCAGCGTGAGATTCTCCCGGCGTCGCTGGGCATCCTGCTTGGCCTTTCAACGCCAGCATGATGAAAAATTGCGTATTTGCCATGCTCAAGCTGCAACGGGGTGACTAAGAAGACGAGATAAAACACTTCCATCGCTGAAGACATCCTTGACCGGGTCAGCAGGGCAAATCATCGACCTTCCAGGTATGGAGTAACTTCTTGGATAAAAGCTTGTTCGAGTGATGTTGTACGTAGCATCACATTATATGACCACAGACATCCTCGAAACGTCCTAGCGGCTCGATCATCAACCCACAGTAGAGACCTGTTGGCAACTGTTGATGCGGAAGTCCGCATGCTTGCCTCCGTTTGATCCCGGAAGCGTCGGACGCAAATGGTGGTATGGGAATGTGCCATGCCTGGGCGTTACTTATCCCTTGATGATTCGTGGGCAGCCAAGAACCGGCAACCAGCAGGTCTTCATTCACGGAGTCCTGTCATGACTTTCGTATGCCATTCCGAACTTTGCTGCAACGACCGCCGACGCGGTCTTGGGCAGAGGAGTTTTGCTCACTGATTCTTTCAGAGGTGGACATGGGCTCCTGATGTATGATGATTCTGTTCTGGTGAGTGGTATGGATAGGCAACTGTACTATATGTAGAACCGTTATGCCGCCCTCGCATCGAATTCCCCAGTCTCGTGGTAAGTGACGCGAAGGTCAAGACCATGGTGTTACGCAGCTTCAACCGGTTTGCATCAAGCGGGTGACGAGTACACTTGACCAAGTCCTGCATGACTCACTGCGTGCAGGATCTTGTCCCAATAAGAACACAGTCCTCTTAGTAACATCTAGGGCATTGAGGGACCAAGAAGAATTGTCTTTATTTTGATGTCTGCTGCCAGATGGCTGTTCGAAGTCCACTTTCCAGCAAGCCAAGGAACTCCGAAGGATAGCAGGGTCGGCCATGCTAATCTCCCCGACTAAAGAGTCACCCAGAGAAACGACGAAGTCCTCCAGCCCTATGTCGAAAACATGAACGGAGAAAAGGTTAAAAGCTGTTAACATGTCTGACCCACGAACCTCTGAATGATGGTCTTGGCGGCAAGAGCCCGTTCAGCGACATCAAGGATTCCTGTAAATATCGCCAGGGCTATTGCCAGATACGCTGCAACTGACAGCAGGCTCTGGCTTGAGAATTCAGATTTATCGATTTTAGAACAACAGTGACACTGAGTGTCTGAGGTATGCAGTCACGGAGCGTCAATTTCCCATCCGCGAGAGCCAGGTGATGCTGAGCCAGGAATGTCAGGCGGTTCCCACCACCAAAATCCAACATGGGTACCCCATGATGGAGGAGTCGAGTTGTCGTAGATTGCCGCCAGAGGGGTAGGGGCCTGGCTACACAAAGTTATGGCGTTGGAAAGACAGACGGTCGGCAGGCTAATAGCCTCATCGAAGACAAATGTACGAGTGGCTGCCACCGGGGAACTGGTTGTTTCAAAAATTGCTGTCGTGCCACATGTCTCGACTCTCGCGCATGAGGTTGATGTTTGGTAAATGCTGCAGTCGGCCGTCCGATCTCTTGTGCGACCATCGCTTTGGGAGACCCGGGTTGGGTCTAGTGTGGCCTTGCCGGTCCTAGGATCATGGCGTCACGTGTGCCAGGCATGCATGCGAGGCTCGCCCAGATGGCTCTACCTTTGTCGGCAGCGCGAAACCCAAAATAAAATAGGGAGATGTTGAAACAATGGGCCATGCTCGGAAGCTCACTTGTTCCCACATGGCCGGCGTTTTTGAGCCGGTCAAGCGTCACGATGATGGGAGCCGTATCCGAAGATAGATAGAAAGAGAGCTCACCTAAGCACTGGGTCAACCTGTCACCCTTGGGACTCTGTCTGTCTACGCCGGAACGGGGGTGAGGGTCCAATTTGACGGCGTCATCAGTGTCTCGCGGGACCTTGTCTCATGCCCATGGGGTCCGCCTCAGACTTGACGTCGTGACAGGTATCTGCCGTAGAACGTGCGACTTTGCCGTACCACCATCCCTGCCGCTGTTTTGTGACATCGCACTGCGTAATTGTGCTGCATCGGGCTATCGGGGGGAAAGTGAATGCATGGGTGTGAGAGAGGACATTTTACCAAGGTAAGCGGGTTCCGCCCTCGCAGGGACCTGGACGCAAGGACGAGAGGCGCAGGGGGGTGATCGACTGCGAGGGTCGTGCAACTTTAGCTGGAGAAGCGAGGAAGTTGTTTTGGTTCTAGGATTGCATCGGTCGATCGTCTTGCGATTTTGGGCACAGGGGGGATGCATCTCCACTCCACGAATTCCAGCGTTATTTTTCGACCTACAGTACGTCTGGCCAACGTTCATAGCGTCGGGATGATCAGCTGTGTGGTAATTCCGTTGCTTGCAGAAGGTAGCAGCCGCTCGTTATTTGACAGCTGCTGGGGAATGGGGATGGAGGGTGCTAGCTGTGATCCGACTAGAAATATGAGGAGACACTCTGCATGCAGCACGCCACATCAGAGGTGCTTGAAAGGGTTGGCGTACGAGTAGCCAAATGCAGCCATCGAGACTGACTGAACGAGGCCTGGGCAAAAGATTGCCTTGGGTTTTGGGTACTTGTGTGTATGCCGCTTATTTGAACAATTGCAGGTAGCATAAGGCTTGGGCTCCAGGTACCAAGCTAAAACACAAAGCCATGCGCCGCCCCGACAGCATGCCCCGAAGCCACATTCCCCAAGGCTCAAGCCCGCAAATCCTGGCTAGCAGCCCCTAACCTCCTCCGGGTAATTGGCCCTGGTAAAGGCGCAAGCCCTGGCGTCGCAATGGACTTGCGCCAGTTCTGGCCCCCCCTTAAAAGTGGCACGGCAATAGCCCACGCCACGGAAAAGAAAAGCCTCGTCTAGGTACATCCTCCGAACTCGTACAAAGGACGAGTACCTGGTGACCTGAAAGGCTTTCTCCTTTTCGGCATCGACCATGTCGTTCGAGGCAATTGCGGAGATGTCTCGCCATGTACTCGGTACGAGCGAACATCCTCGTGTTTCATCCCCCAGGCACTTGGCCGGGATTAACGAGTTCTGGGCTGAAGCTTGAAAGGCTGCCGTCAAGCAATGGCCAGAAAGTTGTTGGTCTGGGGTGCCAGAGAGAGGTGGGACAAAGGCAGACGGTTGGCTGGCATTTGGTTCCTTTTCGGAATGCCCAAATATTCTGCGGTGGATTGGCTTGGTCCCGTTTCTCGAAACAGGCGAAGATTGGCCGCTGGCTCGTGGAGAGCACAAACGAGCTAAGACGCTAGGCGAGTGGTGTGGTGAATAACGGAGGCAGCTGGTGCTAGATGGATCCTGGAGGAGTTGAGCGGCGAGCGCGAAGCGAGGGAGGGGGACCCCCGGGTAAGAGAGAACCAAGGCCATGCGTACAAGAGGTACCTGCCGCCTGTCCCGTGGGCCATGGCCTTACCCATGACATTCCCCCTACCCCCTCTAGCTAGTCGAACGGGAAAAAGGTGAGTGGGTTGGATGGCAGTGTGGGCCCAGGTAAGGAAGTGAGGCCGCCCCCTTGTCGGCCCCCGCTCGCTCCTCCCCTTTCACGCCCACCCCTGGGCCCTGACTGCAACGGAGCCACTCAAACGTGCCGCAAAAAGCCAATTGAGTGGCGCACACCATCGAAAGGCACGGCCCACAGAACCTGTTCGTCCTGTTCGTCCTGTTCGTCATATGCCGTACGCTTCCACCAGAAAGCCTGACATATTCTCCATCCCCTGGTCTCGCCTGATTGCTTTTCTGGTTTAGCCTTCGCCGAGAGCGAGACGACGCCAGTCAGCCACCCACCAGCAATTTTCCCTTTGGGATGTGCCCGGTCGTTTTCGTAAGGAAGGTTGCCGGCAGGCGGATATGCGATGACGATCGTGATGATGATGGAGAATAGTTTTGGTGAGGTGGTGAGGTATCATGATGACGATGGGCAGAGGGTGCGGCCATAATTAGGATAGGGTCATGAGGAATGAGATAATATCGCTTCTTGCCACGCGCATCTCCCCTCTTTGGGAAGACGACAGCGGTAATCGAGAGCGCTGGGGCTCAAGCCTTAGGATCAGGTCAGGCTCAGGCTCAGGCTCAGGCTGGCACCCGCGGACTCCTCTTGCGCCCTCGTTTATCACCCGTGGGATGCTTGGCGAATCGTCCGCCCGAGAGGACAGTGCTACCACTCAACTCACCTTGTCTTTTTCCACGTCAAACTCATGCGCCACCCGCAAGCCTATCCCTCTGATGGGTACCACTCAACAGTGCGCTGTAGAGGGTCCGAAGGTCTTAGTAAGGACGCCTTTTTCACCAAGCATCCAGGCGGAGGTTTCTTAGAGTGTCAGACGGGGAGGGGGGCGCAAAAAGACCCACCACCACAAGGCGCTACTGGGACGAGAGCACGCTATGCGTTCCTTGACCTGGATCGCCCGACAAACCCCAATCCCGTTGCACCCCAGCGGCCATATGCAGCCCCACTGCCTGGATGCTTCACCTCGAAGCCCAAAGGAACCCATCGCCCTCCATGGATCTCCATCCACTGGCATCCACCGCCCATCAACAGCCACCCAACAGCCCATCCACCGCCCATGCCACTTGATCCGAGCACTATCGGGTCCCGCCCTGCCCACACCCAATCACCCAGGACTCCATCGGCCACTCCACCTTTCCCCCCCTTCCTGTTGCTGCTTGGTTGCCCCCCGGTCCAAGCCAGCCAGCCATCCAGCCAGCTAGAAAACTCAGAACTGTCAGAGGCCGTGCACCGTGCACCGTGCACCGCAGCCTGCTAAATGATGGCAACCTGATGTGCCCGGCTCTGCTTCTCGCCCGCCGGCGAATGATCCAGCATGAGATCTATAACCCTACCTCTAGCGTGGTTTCCCGTGACTCTGCTTGAGGACGAGCCCTCTTTCCTCTTTCCCGTCTTCCCACCGTCATCCTCCACCAGCTTCTTCTCCATGTCGCCCTACCCAGTTCTTTGACCTTTGCTTTCCCTTCACCACGTCGTCGTGAACTGTTTCTTGTGCCGTCACCTTTATCGTCTTCTACTTCATGCCCTATCATCTTGCACGGATATAACGTCGTCACTTTCGCGCTCCCTGCTATTCTTGTCACCCTCGCCCCATTTTCTCCGTTCGTCCCAAGTCGGGCGAGTATTTTGGGTCCAACCCGCCTACCTTTCTTCCGACGCCATTTACTGCGTCGTCGAGCTCTTGCTCTTTTGCTACCATACCCGTCGTGAGCCTGGTAGAAGACTGTGCATTTCGCCCGCCGCCGAACCTAGCCGACGCTCCATCTCACGCCGCAGGACCTAGCCTGGCGAAAATTTGCCGAAGAGCAGCCTCCTCCTGGTCTCTTCTCCTATCAGAGGTGCTTCGCTGTACAGCTCTGAGCAGGATCGACAATGGCTCTTGCGCCTCATCCATCGCCTCCGGGTGTCATGGGTCTGCAACCCGGCCCTCATTTTGGACAGGTCAATGGAGCTACGCCTGTCGACGCGCATATGCAGCGCCAACGCCTTTTAGCGCAATTGAACGAATCGACATGGCAACGAATAGGTATGATGGTAGCATTACTCTCTGGCCAGGCTCGTATGCTAATCGCGGCTGGTAACAGGATCGTTGAACGAGTTACTTGGAGACCACGAGGCCGCTCTGTTTGCCTATGAACAAGCTCTCAGACACAACCAATGGTCTACCCAGACCTTGAATGCGATTTCAACCATTCTCCGGACAAAGGAGAAGTACCCTGAAGCTATGGATTATCTCAAAAACATCCTGAAGGTCGAGCCCGCCAACGGTGAGGCGTGGGGAAACCTAGGTAAGCGCAGTTGATGATGGTCGAGATCTGAGGCTGACAGTTGAAGGCCACTGCTACTTGATGATGGATAACCTCCAAGAGGCCTATACTGCCTACCAGCAGGCTCTTTACTACCTGCCCAAACCCAACGTAAGCTTTCAACAACCCCCCACGCCATGTTGTCCAATACAGTCTGACATGAAGACAAGGAGCCGAAGCTATGGTACGGTATCGGCATCCTCTACGACCGATATGGCTCCTTGGAGCATGCTGAGGAGGCCTTCTCTCAGGTCATGCGAATGCAGCCAGACTTCGAGAAAGCCAACGAGATCTATTTTAGACTCGGAATAATCTACAAGCAGCAACAGAAGTTCGCCAACAGCCTCGAAGTGAGTCGCTAGCTTGCCTGCCTGCGATTACCTCTGCTGATGATCTCTCAGTGCTTCAAGTACATCGTCAATGATCCGCCGCGCCCTTTGAACGAAGAAGACATCTGGTTCCAGATTGGCCACGTCTATGAGCAGCAGAAGGATGTAGGTCTCTGTCGTCCCTTGGTGGGCCGCCCGTCTAATCTTTGTGTCCAGTTTGAGGCCGCAAAACAGGCGTACAGGCGTGTTCTCGAGCGAGATCCGAAACACGCCAAAGTGCTACAGCAGCTCGGCTGGTTACATCATCAGCAGAGTAACAGTTATGCCAGCCAAGACCAGGCCATTGAATACCTCGAACAGTCGGTCAGCTCAGGTATGTATCACCACCAGCCGTTTCCAAATCTTCCTCGCTGACCTGCTTCAGACAACTCCGATGCCCAGAGCTGGTATCTACTCGGCAGATGTTACATGGCACAGCAGAAATTCCCCAAAGCATATGAAGCTTACCAACAAGCTGTTTACCGTGATGGACGGAATCCCACATTTTGGTGCTCCATCGGGGTGCTGTACTATCAAATCAATCAGTACCGAGACGCACTCGATGCATACTCGCGCGCCATCCGTCTGAATCCTTATATCTCGGAGGTGTGGTACGACCTTGGAACGCTGGTAAGCATCACCGCCCATTCACTCTCCCTTCATCCTGCTGACGACGGGCACAGTATGAGTCATGCAACAATCAAACCTCTGATGCTCTTGACGCGTATGCCCGAGCAGCTGAACTTGACCCAACGAATTCTCATATCAAGGCCCGTCTTGCCCTTCTGAGAAGCGGAGCAGCCACAGGGCCTAATCAGCACAATGCGCCTGTTCCGCAAGATGTTCACCCACAGGCATATCAGAACGGTGTCGGCGTTCCTCCTGGTCCTCACTGGGGTGGGCCGTCGTCATCCAATCAGCAACCACAACAACCTCCAGTCGACCCAGCCCGTGTCAACGACTGGGCGAGAGGTATCGCGGGTATTAACCCGCCTCCCGGTCAACAGTCGCAGTCACAGCCGCCGGCGCAGCAGCAACAGCAGTCTCTGCCACAGCCGCCACCGCAGCAGCCGCCGCCGCCACAACAGCAACCACTTAACGGCTATGAAGGACGCGATGCCATGAGAGCTCCACCTCCACGAGCCCCTAGCCCGCGTCAGGACGGTCCACGTCAGTATGATTCAGCACGTCAGACACCTATCCGCAAGCTGCAATCACCGTCGCCTAAGATGCAGCCGGCTAACCCAGGCATGTTCCCGCCTGGGCCTCAGACTCTGCCCCAGATCTCAATGCAAGATCGTCCTCCAGCATTCGGTAGCGGGGTCCGTCCTTCTCCTACCATGAATGGAGCACCAGCGCCCCATGCTAATGGCAGTGCCTCCGGCTCAACTCTTCCACCATATGGGCGGCCTTTCAGTCCACCTAGTGAGCTGCGACCCCTTAGGGATGAACGACCGCAATCGCCAGGGGGCGGCTATCGCCCACCGCCATATCAGTCCGGTCAACCATTCCCTGGCATTGCTAATGGTGTGGCGTCCGCGGCGCCTCCTCCTCTTCCTCCCGTGGAGGGACCTCGTGACGATCGCCCACCCTCCGCTATGAAACGGAGCCGTGAGTGGGAGTCCGATGGAGGGCCTTCTAAGAAGATAGCAAACGAAGAAACTCGTGCGCGCTTGGATGACCCCGCCCGACGGAATAGCCCTCCAGGTCGTTTACCAACGCCGAAAGATCATTACAGGCGGAGCTCATCTGAGTCTCGTCGCGAGATTGAACGACGGGCAAATGAGAACTACCATCCTTCGGAGGCAGCACATCATCCGTACAGCCACCCCCAGCAGATCCCGTCAATGCAGTCAATATTGGACGCCCCGAAGGAGGACCGGAAAGAGCAGGTCGAGCAGGCAGCTCGCAAGGTCGACGTCGATGAGGACTATGACAACAACAGTGAGGACGATAAGCGCGCTCCTCCTTCAGCAGCTCTGAGCAGCCCCCAGGGGGGGCAACCTCCAGCCGTAACACCCAAACAAGAGAATGCAGCATAATCGGTTTGGCATCGGTCGGGTTTTTTTTATTGTCGGTTTCATTTTGGTCCTTTGGGTTGGCTGGATTTGTACAGCAGCAAGACTGAACCGGGCGAAATTAGCATTGGAAAAGATCCACAGTCGCATCGTTACTTCATTCTGTAAAATGAGTACATGTAACTTCTCTTAAGAAGACGAAATAACGATATCCAAGTAACCATTGGTGGCCATTATTCTTCGACCCTCGTTTCTGTTCCTCGTGTTGATCGATCTGCTGAAAGAGGGAGACTAGGAGACAAGAAGTTGTGTGGAAGCTAAATCACGTGGTTTGTGAAAATCTTGGCAACTTTGGCCGCACTTTATCGAAATATCGATTTTCTGCGTTTCCACATTGACTGCTTCAACTTCCGCTTGACAACCAACGACACCTTGACCCTCGCTCAAACAAGATGTGAGTACTGCTTCGGACTGAACTACGCACCTGCTAATGTCTGGTTAGGTCTCACCGAAAGTTCGAGGCGCCGCGACACGGTACAATTCCTTTCCTCTGAAACCTCTCGTGAAGAAAAGGCTCTCTGGGCTAACACATTTTTCTGGACAGGCTCGCTTGCTTTCCTCCCTCGAAAACGAGCTGCAAGACACCGAGGAAAGGTCAAGAGGTAGGATACTCTGGTTCTCTAGAAGTCATGACTCGTCTTTCAAGGAGTCGAAGCTGAAACATTTGGTCCAGCTTTCCCAAGGATGACCCAAAGAAACCAGTCCATCTCACCGCTGCCATGGGATACAAGGCCGGGATGACCACCATCGTCCGCGACCTTGATAGACCTGGCGCGAAGATGCACAAGAAGGAGATCGTCGAGGCCGTCACTGTCATCGAGACACCCCCCGTAAGTCCAAGATGATCGAGACTGGCGTGTTTTGTATTTGCGGCTGACCATTGACCAGATGATCGTCATCGGCCTCGTTGGCTACATCGAGACACCCCGTGGCCTGCGCTCCCTGACCACCGTGTGGGCAGAGCATCTCTCCGACGAAGTCAAGCGCCGCTTCTACAAGAACTGGTACCGATCGAAGAAGAAGGCTTTCACCAAATACGCAAAGAAACACTCCGAGAACAAGGGTTCCTCCATCACTCGGGAACTCGAGCGCATCAAGAAATACTGCACCGTCGTCCGTGTGCTTGCTCATACTCAAATCCGCCAGACCCCTCTCAAGCAGAAGAAGGCGCACTTGATGGAGATCCAGATCAACGGTGGCAGTGTAGCAGACAAGGTCGAATTCGGCCACGGACTGTTCGAGAAGCCGGTTGAGATCGACACCATCTTCGAGCAGGACGAGATGATCGACTGCATTGCCGTCACCAAGGGTCACGGTTTCCAGGGTGTCACCAGCAGATGGGGCACCAAGAAGCTTCCCAGAAAGACGCACAAGGGTCTGAGAAAGGTCGCTTGTATCGGTGCTTGGCATCCCTCGCACGTCCAATGGACGGTTGCCCGTGCTGGTCAGATGGGTTACCATCACCGTACCTCTGTCAACCACAAGGTGTACCGCATTGGCAAGGGAAAGGATGAGAAGAACGCCGCCACCGACTTCGACGTGGTGAACAAGCAGATCACACCGTAAGTTTTTCCCCTGCGTGGCTTGGATGCGTGTCAGAAGCACCTAACACCGTTTGAACAGTATGGGCGGTTTCGTCCGCTATGGCGAGGTCAAGAACGACTTCGTCCTCCTCAAGGGCTCCGTCCCTGGCGTCAAGAAGCGAGTCATGACCCTCCGCAAATCCATGTTCCCCCACACCTCCCGCAAGGCTCTGGAGAAGGTCGAGCTCAAATGGATCGACACGTCCTCAGAGTTCGGTCACGGCGCGTACCAGACACCCCAAGAGAAGAGGCAATTCTTGGGTACGCTCAAGAAGGATCTTGTTGCCGCTTCGTAAGGAGGACACGCGGGATTTGTGGGTTGGGGTGGTGGTGGTGGTGGTGATGGTGATGGCGGCACCAAAACGAAAGGCGTAGTTGTCGTCGTCGTCGGCTTCGTGCTCGGGTGTCAGAAGAGACGAGCAGCACGTGCATGAGATACCAACAAGAGACTTTCCTGTTCTCCTTGATTTACAAGCGGAATGATAGTAACGGCAAGTCTTGCCTTGGGAGTAGGAAAATAAATCCAAATTTCAAAGCATCCAGCTAGCTTTCTGATCATTGTTGCTGTCTTACTGGATTTTTGTAGTCCACTCCTCTCTAGATGATACACTCTCTCATTGCAAGTCACGATTATCTTTCTGTAGTTTCTTCGCTGCCGTTGCCATGCCTTTGCATAAAGTCCAGCACTTGATGTTCAGCCTACCCACTCCACCTGGGAGCTCGATACCAGTGATGAAACCTTCAGCCTCCTCCTGATCCCGTTCGTAGCAGTTGCCCTTTTTCATCACTCCAAAGCCGGTGGTCTCAAAACAGGGGGGCATGAATATTACTGGAGACCTCATGTTGTGATAGTTCATCGGCCTCAGCGACTCTAGCATCTGACACGGCCTTCCCTTCAGCAAAGAGCCACAGCAGCCGATAATCCCTGGAGTAGTCAGTCCGTCAAGATGCTCAGTTGATCTTGTTCGAGGAACCGAAAACCGAGATAGATACAGCCGTCCATTTCCAGCTTGTCTTTAGACGGGGCTCGACGATGAAAGCAGAGCTCCATGACCCCCTCACGTGCAGGGGCTGGACACCATCTCACGCTTTGGGAAAAAGGCAGCCCCGAGCGGCATTCGCAATTGCCCAAATATGTCAAACTGTCTGTGGTTTCTCGTATACAGTCTCGAACAAAATGTTGAGGCTGCGCCAGGCAAGGCGTGGGGGCGGCTTGTAGCATGCGTAGCCCGCTGGAAGACGATGGACATGGCCCCAACCGCTACAGATATCCGGTCGATGCCAGAACAACGGAGACGGTGAATGGCGCCATAAGCCTTTCGGGGGCCGCATTGTATGGTAATATAGGTATAGATGAACGAAGGAGTGGGCTCTTCTTGACTTGTGTTCAGAAAGTGTCGGAGGAAAATGACGTCATTGTCGACGCTGGACTTGCGGGTTGTCTTCATTTTTTCATAGATGGTATGATGTTGACTGATTATGTATTTGGAGGCACTCACAATAGTCAATGCTAAATTCTCGAACGTGGATACCCTTGCGCAGAGAAATAGTCAGTGCACAGTCTCTTTGCCTCGCTTCGTCGCAAACGCAAAAGCAACGGCAGCAGCAGATATCAAGTGCTCCCTCGCACCATTATTTGACAGACAGCTCAACAGCAGCGTGGGTTCCGCTGTCCAGACCAGGAGGAGCAGCGTCAAGAACAAGAAAACTCGCCGTTCCCTGTCGTCTGGCATATTCTACAGCCATCAGGGTGCCAGGACTGCCAGTACCGGCGTCGACTCCTCCTTCTTCGCCGCCACACCAGCTGACTCCCACTCCGCACACCATGTCCGACGACAGCTCCTACCTTTCCTTTCTTGAAAAGGCCAACGCGAACCCCAAAGCTGGGCAGACGCTCGCCGAGTCCGAGTCGACGTCTCAGCGCCGGTCGCAGCTCGATCCGACGACGACAGGTTCCTCGTCCGCCGCCCTGCCAGCTTCCCTCAAGGCCCTGCCCGACATCACCTACACGTCCGATACCGACTCGCCATTCGAGCCCGTGCTGTTTAACTATTCAGGGGCGGACCTGCCCTCACCGGACGAGTTCGCCAATTGTCTGAAGTCCGGCGGGGGCGGCGCTGTCGTCGAGGAGCTCAGCCCTCGGGACTTCGACCCGCGAGGGCAGTACGGCGAGGTCATCCAGAGAGTGGAACAGGCGGGGAAGGGCAAAGCCGGGGTCAAGGTTTATAGAGTGGAATTGGGCAAGACGAGAGTCGAGTATTATATCTTGACTCTGGGAGACAGAATGTTGGTCGGTGTCGTGACCAAGGCGGTGGAGAGCTAGAAGAAAGATAGGCAATTAGAGGGAAGCACAGAGAGATGACATGGAACGTCTGAGGAACTCCTGGCCGCTGAAAATCACTTCTCTACGTAAGAATACCACGCGTACAAGGCCGTTCCTGAGGTCGGTCGGTAAGTGTCAATGGGATTCTTCCAATGTCAAGTTCTACGTGACAGCGACAAGCATGCTCTCTTCTGGAAGTATCCCCGTTCCAGATAAGTTGACAATCGTCGCGCATAAGACTAAGATCGGCACGAGCACATTGAATGTCCCCACAGCTGAAGAATCAAGCGTTGGAAATCCAGATACAAGCGTATGCTATCAAGGTTAATGATAACACAGTACCGCGAAGATATGCTGGAGCCCAAGGTTTTGGACGTCTGGGCATCTCAGACGATCAAGTGCCGAATCAGATTGGATATGCAGGATTCCAGCCCATATGTGGGGGTGGCAGGTCCTGGGTCAATATCCGAAGTCGCATCAATGAGAAACAGGGGAAATGCTCGCGCAAAGACTTTATACTTGCTACGCGTCACCCATTGGATGACCGCGTCAACGCCGTCTTTTCGTACCGCAGCAAGACCCAAGTCAATCGATAGCCGCCCCTCGGCGACAGGGATGAACCGTAGAGGCACCCAGGACCGCGACCGTTGATCAAGGAACAGAGTATCGTTATTTATCACCGTGACATATCACGCAAGCTGTGTTCGAGAGCACGTCGAGGATGCATTTCCCTTGTCCAGGTTCCGGAAAACTCACCCATGGCACAGATTCAAGAATAGAAGGAAGACGGTGAAGGATGTGCATTCTCTAGCCAGTTGCCGTGTACTGTGGCGGCTGCCCCCTGAATGGCAAAAGCGAATCACAACGGAGCTGGGATGTGAAGAAACAGGCGAAATCAAGGCTCTCCGTCGGATTGTTCGAGGATCCGTTCCCCACTGCCTCGAGTCTCGGAGCGTCAGCACCACGGTGATTCGACCACAGTAGCGCCACTGGTGGCCGTGATTTGCTTATCCGTGCGAGGCCTCGTAGCAGGTGGATGGGGCTCAGCAAGAAATTCGAGAGCATCCCAGGGTGAAGCCGCAGACGGTATGGGGCGCTGCTGTGCCACTGCGGCCCCCGAACGCGTCAACTCTTCGGAGGCCGCTGATGCTCGGTTGTCTTTGGCCAAACACAACTCATCCCTCCGGTCCCCTTGCTCCAGTTGCTTGGATCTTGGTGGGTAGGTCACTCCGTGGGCCGCGACAAGTCTCGGCCAGGGGGATCGAGGAAATCATGGATGGAGGAAAGGGAGATCTGCATGGCAACCTGAGACTTTGTATCAGATGAACGCACTTTCAGATCAGGAAGGCAACTGGGAAAAGCACTCATACCCTCACACGAGCAAGGCAGCGGCTGTGAAAAGGTGCCAAGGCTCGCTGTTGGGAGGGAAACGAGCACAAATCCAAAGAAAGCAAAAGAATACGAACTGCTGGTACGTACGAGGTATAGGTGGGAGGCCGCAGTTTTTTCAGCGTGCAGCCGAGAGTAGTTTGTAGATGCTAAAAGGAGGGGAGAAGCGGGAAGAGGGAACAGTGCCTCCTCGCAACCACGCTTCTTCAAGGCTGATCATGCAGGTACCGACTCCCGAGAGATAAACAATAACAAAGATACCTACCATTGCGTAGTATACCATGGACCAGATGCCAATACAACTCATCTCTTTACTCACTGCAGCAGACTTCCCAACAAGGTATTCATGGTTCTAGTGTAACTGTACTCGAAACTGGTGGCCCAGTTTATTATACTGGGTCTGGATTGCACCTGCAGTCCCTTGGTCCAGGGTATCACAGGCACCCCCCCGGGGGCTGAGATGAGGCCCTGGAGGCTGGAGTTACAGCTGAGGCTCACCTATTGCGGCACTAGGGCTCGGCAGTGGGCCGCTTAAAGGGACCGGACCATCTGCGCGCCCACTAAAGTTTAGCTTGGGTGCTTGGTTGCCCAATTGTCCAATTGCCCCGTGGCCCCCCTCGCTCAGTGGCCCTGGAGCCCTGGAGCCCTTTGCCAAAGCCTCTTCTGCTGTTCTGCCATCTGCTAGGTAAACTCTTGTATCCTGAGAAACTGCGCGCGCCTTCAAGGGCAACACAAACACTCTCGTCCTCTTTGTTCGTTGCTCGACACTTCACTGCCGTCGGAGCAGTTACGTTCGTTTCCAGACCACCAGTATCTCTTTGCCCCTCTCCTGTTCTCTATCGACCTCGATATTCTTATTAGGCGCCTCCTAGAATCCTCTCCCTTTCAGTCTGGCAGAAGCTTTGTCTCTCTTTCCTGCCGGCCAGAAAGGAGTACGACTTTGTGCACGGCCTGACCGCGAACTTGCAGTTGCAAAGGTCTTTCCACTCTACAAGATCACGAACCACCCGTTCCTTTGAGCCCTGTCGGCGTCTTCACCTCTCTTCTCCCGGACCTCTTGCTATTTTCAACCACTTTGTTCGCCTAATCTGCACTGCTTACGCCCTCGTCGGTCGGCCTCCTCCACACCCCGTTCCTGAAAACTGCGGCCGGCCCTAAGATATTCGTCCTCCAGAGCCTCGACCCTAAAATCAAACTCAGCCCTCTCGCTCGTCTCTTTAGCCGGACAAATACTGTTCTTCCACCCGGTTCCTCCAGTGTTGGCGATCGATCTCCTTGACGACGAGTCGGTCGCCATCTGATAATGTCGTCCCATAGCAACAGCAGCTCATCTCCCCCACGAGTCCCTCCACACATTCGCCTCAATTCAGGTCAAGAAGACTTGGTCAATACCGATGCGAGCAATTCCTCGAGGACTCTGGTCCCGACCACCTCGAGACCAGCTACGTCCCGGTCACAATTAAACAATGTCTACTCCTCAGACCAGATTCAAGACTCGGCGGAGAGATTATTACCCCCGGCCACCGGTCGCTCAAACAGATTCAGAGATGATGGTGGCTCACCCCTGAGGTCTCCCGTCCGGTCGAGTTATTCTTCTCGCCGGTCAAGCTGGGAGTCGGATCGGAGCAGGGACAGTCGAGGTTTTGAGAACCCGTTCCGAGACTCCAGCCAGTCAAGACCTGGCTCAAGAGCCGGTATTGATGACAACGACGTCAATACCCAAACGGTGTCAGAAAAATATAACATTCTGCCATCTGCGGGACTTCTCCTATTCCCAGAAGACGTGGAAAAGGACGATTACCTCCATAACCCTGATCCCAATGACAAGGATCGGGATTGTGATATATTTAACAGGAGAGGCTTGGTCAACGTCGGCGGCCTTGCCCTGATCACGATAGGCATATTGGTCCTATTTGTGGGATATCCTGTTTTGTTCGTTCTTCCCCCCTTGTTGATTGACACGGTCTGCATGCTAACGGGCTCATCCAGGACATTTGTTCAAAAAATCACAGCGTCGCCAAACCCTTGTGCAGGCAGCAATGCTTGTATAGGAAATGGCAAAGTTCCATTACTAAAGAATATGCGCACCAGTCTTATCGATCCTGACACCCCCGACTCCGCCATGACAAAGAAAGATTATCACGGCAATACGTGGAATCTGGTTTTTTCAGATGAATTCACCAAGCCAGGACGGACGTTCTACGACGGAGATGACCCGTACTGGACTGCGGTGGACATCTGGTACGGCGTGACCAGAGATTTGGAATGGTACGATCCCGACGCGGCGACCACGAACGACGGTGTGTTGGAACTGCGCTTCGATGCTTTTCAGAATCACGGATTGAATTATCGCTCTGGCATGCTGCAGTCTTGGAATCAGATGTGTTTCAAGGGCGGCAGGTTGGAGGCCAGTATCTCTCTCCCCGGACGCGGTGACACGGTCGGCTTCTGGCCCGGTTTTTGGTCCATGGGTAACCTTGGAAGACCCGGTTACGCCGCAACAACCGATGGTTTGTGGCCATACTCGTACGCAGATATTTGTGACGCTGGCATCACCGCAAACCAGAGCTCTCCTGATGGCATCAGCTACCTACCCGGCATGAGGCTCCCAGCCTGCACATGTTCTGGCGAGGACCATCCGACTCCTGGCAAATCCCGATCTGCCCCGGAAATTGATGTGCTTGAAGCAAGCGTCGGCACCCTCGATAACGAAGGCAATCAGATCGGCATGGTCTCTCAGTCCTTCCAGGTGGCACCCTTCGACATTTGGTATCAGCCCAATTACGACTTCGTCGAAGTCTTTGACTTCTCCGTCACGGCCATGAACACATACAAAGGTGGACCCTTCCAGCAAGCCGTTTCGGGCTTGTCAAATCTGAACAACGCGTGGTATGATGGGAACGCTTATCAAGTGTACGCCTTTGAATACACCCCTGGTGCCGAGGGTGACATTACTTGGTTTGTCGGTTCGGAACCAGTCTGGCGTATGGAAGGTCAGGCATTGGGTCCCAATGGTAACGTTGGTCAAAGAATCGTGCCCGAAGAGCCAATGTCGGTCATTGTCAATTTTGGTATGTCGCCCGGTTTCTCTGCTCTGAACTTGACCGGGTTAGCGCCTCTCATGCCAGCGACCATGCGAGTCGACTATATCCGCATCTATCAAGATGATGACGGCAAGATGAGCTGTGATCCTGAAGGATATGAGACGACGGAATATATCAACAATCATTACGAGGTGTATCACAACCCCAATGTCACGAGCTGGTAAGCTTTCCCTGGATCTTGTCCTGCGTGAGAATTGAGCTAACCTAAATGTCAGGTCCGATACTGGCTACTCGTGGCCAAAGAACTCGCTGGTCTCCGGATGTTAATTCTAATCATAATGTTTCTTTCGAAATCATTTCCAGCTGCCGGTCTCTGTCGGCGTGTACAGACGTCTGTTTAGTCCTTCAGCATTTAGCGGCATGGCAAGTCAACATTACGGCGTTTCATCAAGGTCATTTTGGATGGGAGGCGGATTTGGCACTATACGGGACTGCCTCATTTGCGGGTAGGGGCTGCAAAAAATCTTGTCTAAAATTTTACGACTGAAGCAAGGGGAAATCACGAAATTTTTCCCGGTACATTCGGCGCCTTGCACAACTTAGAAGGAGGGTGAATTTCTTGATCAACACCCGGAAGGGTTCAGATATGGGAAGTGTATGTGTGGCATGAATGCATTGTGGTTGTGGACCGTGATGCTATATGAGAGCACGGAGAGATTGAAGGAGGGGTGAGATACATGTCTAGATATTCTGTGCCTTGCACCACTGGCACATGGACGATTGAGATAGGCCAGGACGTTACTATCATCAATGCAAGCACACTTGAACCAATTTCTTCCTAGACTTGATTTGAGTGTTTGACAATATTGATGGCAGTCGAGCACGTGCCTCACAACTTCGGTTATTGCCGCAACCTTTGTGCGTTGTTGTTGTTGTATGTCTGTCCTTCTGTCGAGGTAAACAATTGCATTCCTTGAAATTTGATCATCACGACTGTTTCGATGTGTCAACCTGGACGGTTCGCATTTCACTTCTGGTCACTTACCTAGCCAGCAGTCAGCCTGGAGCTTGTGCGCTATGTTCTCCACAGGATTCCCTACCACCAAAGCCCCAGACATGAGCAGAAACGCGACCAACTATCCCACGAGAACTCCTCCGGCAGATCAGGGTAATTCTGCTGCTAAGCCATCTGCAAGGAAGGAGGAGCACGAGCGAATACAACGTAAGCAGCGGGCGGAGATGATCCTCGCACAGTATGATTTGTTGATGAAGTACGCCATGGAGAACAAGCTGGTAAGTCTCTAGCAACGCTGCGGTGATCGAACGATATTTCGATGAGCTCCATTAACCATGAATGGGGCACAGTCCATCCCCCAGACTCGACAGTATTTTCGAAAGGTGGCTTTGGGAATCCCTACGGAGCCTGTGATCAAGAACTGGTTCCCGAGTTGACCGGAAAACTGGCGAAGATTTGGGGACTGTCTCGGCGTTAACTGTTGGGGCTGATGCCAAAAAAAAAAAGCCAACCTGGCCTCACAGCTCAATACATACGGCTCGCAGAAACAGAACATGCAATCCCAAGAGTTTGATGGATGCTGTGGAGGGGCCTCCATGGATCTGTCGGGATCTGGTAGCTTCATATATGATGATAGAGTCTGCGAATTGCCACGAGCTTGACACCGACGCACTTCCCTGATCCCTCCCTTTTGTGTGCTACCTCTCCACGACATCGACGTCTTCAGCCTTGTGTGATGCTATTATACGGCGGGCAAAACTGACAAGGCTGTCGGCTAAACATCGGAATTCCCAAATAAAAAATGTTGCCCGCACTGTGCATTTTGATGGCTACACCGCGGCAGCCAGCAACCGTGTAGCAATTCTGCCTGTTCCTATTGCTGTCAACATGTCGCTCGAGGAGAAGTTGGCCAAGATCAAGTCGCCGAATCTCCAGAGTCAACAGCATGTAAGTCTTCTGGACGCAGTTGAAGTCTGTGCAAGTCCACTGACACATTGCGCAGACCGCCGTGGTACTATCCTCGATCGAGGAAACCCTCACTGAGCAGAAGACGAAATTTACGGCCACGGCCTACTTTGCTGCTCTGCTTGCCCTCCTGAAACAATCTGCCTCTACAGACGGTAATAATGAGGTCGTCACCTCGGCCGTCTACCTCCTCGATCTCATCACCTCGCATGTCCCGGCGAGCCTGCTCCGATCACAATTTACCACGATCCTGTCCTTGTTGGCGCCTTTCCTGAACGCCTCTCTAGCGAATGGGCCTTTGGTGCGGTCAGCAATAGGATGTCTGGAGTCGTTGTTGATTGCCCAAGATGCTGCAGCATGGAACCTCCCGCAGACACAAGCCAGTCCGCGGCAGACGATCCCTGTGTTACTCACACTGGCTATTGATTCGAGACCCAAAATCAGAAAACGGGCGCAGGAGGCTATAACGAACATCCTGAAAAATCCGCCACCGGGGCCCGCGATTGATCATCCTGCCGCCGAACTATGCGCGGTCGCCGCTCAGAACAATCTCAAGAACGCCGTGGACCAGGCTCACCAGGTACGGCGGCAGAAGGGTCGACCGGATGACGGCCACGAGCCGGCCGTGATTCATGCTTTGCAGTTGACGAAGACCATTGCAGTGGCATCAGGTGGCTGGCCAAGCAAGAAGATTGAATCGCTCTGCGAGCTGCTACTGTCCATATCCAGGTCGAGAAACGATTATTTGGTCATGAGCGCTTTTGAAGTGTTCGAGGTCATATTCGAGGGAATGCAGGATGAGGTCTCGTCCTCCAAGTTGCCACGCCTGCTGGAAGCGATAGTGGATTTGAGGCCTCCGCAGAATGACTCGCAGCTGCTTCCGCCCTGGATCGCAATCGTATCGAGGGGCTACGGGACAGCTGCAGTCGTCGAACCAGAAGACACTTTCGTGAAACTGCCGGAACTCTGCGATCTGGTGACACCCTATCTGACCAGCCCGTCTCACAACATCAGGGTCTCGGCGTCAGAGTGTCTCATTTCGTTCTTCGCCAATTGCATTCCCGACAGCGTCATATCTGACCCCTCCGTATATGACGAAAAGGTGCTGGAGCAACTCTCGAAAAAGGCACTTGACCTCCTCTCGGTGAAGTATCAGACGGCCTGGATGGAGGTGTTCAGCACCCTGGGCGCCATATTTGACGCTTTGCGGTGGCGGGGTGATCCGTTTTTGCTCCCCATCGTCAAAGCGATCGGGGAGCTACGGAGCCATGAGGGCTTCCAGGGCAAGAAGGAAGCGGACGAGGTCTTGGGGCATGCCATCCGCAACCTTGGGCCCAGCGCCGTGTTGAGCGTCCTCCCTCACAACCTCATCAGGCCGCAGCCAGGCCAGCCCGGCAGAGCATGGCTTCTCCCGTTACTGAGAGACCATGTATCGAACACAAATCTGGCACATTTCAGATCCGACCTCGTCCCTCTCAGCGAGGCAATGTACCAAAGGATCATCGATCACGGCGACGCTGAGAAGACCATGGACATCAAGGTTTTCGAGACTGTGGTGCAGCAGGTCTGGGCCACCTTGCCGGGCTATTGCGACCTTCCCCTCGACTTGCAAACGGCCTTTGAACAGCCGTTTGCAGAGATGCTCTCGAATCTGCTCTACAAGCAGACTGACTTGCGGGTGGACGTGTGTCGAGGGCTGCAAAACCTGGTCGAATCAAACCAGGCACTCTTAGCATCGGATCTTCCGGACGAGGTTCTTCTACTCGAACGACGACTGCAACGGTCTGATGCCGAGAAGAATATCCAGCACTTGGCCCAGTTCGCGGGCAACCTTTTGGCGGTCCTGTTCAATGTCTACAGTCAAACACTACCTCAGTCTCGCACATACATTTTACAGTGTATCAATAGCTACCTGAGCATCACTCCTGAGAAGGACTTGGTGGATACCTTTGAGCGAGTGTCGACGATGCTGCAAGATGCCCTTCCAAAAGCCGATCAACCACCTCCCAAGAAGGAGCCAGACCAAACATCTGGCAGCAAACTGCCCCCGACCTCTCACACGCTACTTGACCTTGTCATTGCGCTCTCTGTCCACTTGCCACGATCCACGTTTTCTTCACTCTTCGCCATCTCTTCCAACATCCTGACCAACCCGGCAGTTCTCAAATCCGACCCGCAACTCATCAAGAAAGCGTACAAGCTCATTCCGAGGCTGTCAACTTCTCCTACTGGAGCAGAGGCGCTTACTGCTCGCAACGGGGAGCTGCAGGAATTAATTCTTCGGACTTCGGAAACAACACCTGTCCCCGCCCGACGAGATCGTATTCTGGCGATTCAAACACTCGTCTCGTTTCTCCCCCTGACCGACCTCCATTTCATTCCTAGTATGCTCAGTGAAGTTGTCTTGGCCTGTAAAGACAGCAACGAGAAAGCTCGCACTGCGGGATTTGACCTCCTCATCGCACTCACGGAGAAAATTTCCGACCCATCCAATCCTCCAGACACGAAGATCCGCAATCGCCTCGTTCCACACATGCCAGACGATTCCCCCGACGCGCCCGCAACGCTGGAGGAGGTGTTCACCATGGTGAGCGCCGGGCTGGCTGGTGTGGCTCCTCATATGGTTGCCGCCAGTGTTATCGCGCTCAGCCGGCTGTTCTTCGAATTTCACTCTCAATTAGCTGATAAGACGAAAGAGGAGCTTGTCGACACCGTCTGTCTGTTCCTCCAGTCGAACAACCGCGAGATCGTCCGGGCGGTGCTTGGATTTGTCAAGGTCATGGTTGTGGTATTGCCCACAGAAATGCTGGGGCCCAGAATGCCCAACATCGTCCCCGGACTGATGGTCTGGAGCAAAGAGAACAAAGGACGGTTGAGAGCCAAGGTCAAGGGAATATTAGATCGCTGTCTGAGGAGGTTCGATTCCGCCAAGGTTGAAAGCTGGGTTGGAGCGGATGATCGGAAGATGGTCGTCAATATTCGCAAACGGAGAGAGCGAGGACGCCGGAAGAAGAAGGGAGATGACGAAATGGACGAGGATGAGGAGACCGCGACGAAGAAATACGACAACGAATTCGACGAGGCTATCTACGGCTCCGACGACGATGATTCGGAGATTGAAGGCAGCGACGACGAGGATGATGGCAATGCTACTACACCAGGGGTCTCCTTCAAGAAAAGTTCAGTGGCGGGCAGGAAGAGAGCAAACGAACAGTATATCCGCCAGGACGAAGAGGACGACGAGCCGCTCGACCTGCTCGACCCGCGAAGTATGGCCAGCATTGCCACCAAGAAGCTCGGACGCCTGCGAGACGTGCAGCCCAGAACGAAGAAAACCAAGGCCAAGTTCAACGAGGACGGCAAATTGGTTTTTGGTGGCGAACACGGGGATGAAGAAGACGGCGATGTCGACGTGGTCATGTCCGGCTCAGGGAATAATCAAGACAACTCGGTCAACGCGTACCTCGACGCGGTGTCGGGCGCCGACGCCGTCCGACGGGGCCAGAAGGGCCGGCTGAAAGTCAAGTCTGGAATGCAGAAGAGGACCAAGCAGGAGACCCGCGACCGGGACGCTCAAGAAGAGATGGAGCTGGACCTAAATGTCGACGAGGCACGGCAGGTCGCGCGACAGATCATGCAGGGTGGCTCCGGATCTCCCAGGTCGCCCGGCGGCAGGGGCAAGGCGAAGGATCCGAAACAGCAGAGACGCGGCTTGGGCGTCGAGAAGCGGAGAGATCACTCTCAGCAGAAGCAGCAGCGGTTTCGGAGCGGAAGTGGTGCGGGCGGACGAGGCGGGAGACGAGTGCAGTTTGGAGGCCGGAATGGAGGTCGGAGATGAAATGGAGACTCTTTCTCTCACTATCGCTATCTCGCTATCAAAATCCTGGTTACCTGGTCTGGTCTGGCGTTTCGGGTGAATGAGTCGGACGTGAAGGTTGCTGTTTGTTCTATATGACGGGCATGAAGAGAACGAAGACATCATGGTCAGATGTCCAGTACTACGTATGAAAGAAAAGACGCTTTGAATATGGCTAGAAGAAGGAGGTGTACTGAGTATTCCACACGCACATTCAAAGTCTTCGTCTCCGTCTTCGTCTTCGTCTTCGTCCTTGCTTCCTTTGTCGTATTCGGAGATACGGAGGATCCATCGACGCCATCCATTTCCAAGCATGTTTCCTTCTCCTGCCCGCCAGAAAACAGAGAATGGATGATTACTCTCTACTCTGCGGTGTACTCCATAACTCCATGCTCCATGGTTCTACTCCTATTTAAGGGATGTGTTTAGGCGAGAGGAGAGAGAGAGAGAGCAGAAATGGAATGAAGGAAGGCTAAGGACCCCGCTGTCAAGCCCACCTTACCGGATGTAGTTGTATCAACTACGTCGGTGGAGCTCCACAGGAAGCGGAAAGAGAGAAAGAAAAGGCGGTTCTTGAGCTTATTAGAATGTTGCACCTTATGTACTGTACCTCGCATACCGAGTAGATAATCTACAGTACTCCGTTTATGGCGTGGCGGTGTGGTGTGGCTCCACTAACTACTACATACCTACCTGGTATGGAGGCCCAAAAAGGCCTCCTAAAGCAGTGCGTAGGGGATTTTCCCTTCCGTCGAGGGAGTGCGAGTGATTGAGTAAGTGAGTAAGTGAATGAGTTATTTGGAGAATGCCAAGCTATAGTATTGGTGATGCTATGCTATGTAGGTAGGTAAACATACCCTTTCTGGTCATATCACCTACTCACTCATGATGACAACAACGACTACAACAACGACAACCGGGCCAGCCCTTTCGACGGCTCCGTCCATCTTAACCGAGCCAGCCAGCCATCGGGTTAAATGAGAGAGCTGTATGAATGGTTTCCCCCTGGTTGGAGGTGTTGGGGAGGTGAATCTGGGAGGGACGCGTGCACGTATGGATGGAGCCATATTCATCATCTGTCCCGAGCTCTCTCTCTCCCTCTCCATTGAGCCATTTTTTGCGTGTGTATATGGACAGCCCCGCGTGTTTCATTATTCATCGGTCAAGCCACCTACCTACCTACCTACCCAGAAATCCTGTCCGTTGCCCCGGACGCTGACAAAATGAGTTGTCGCGGCACTTCGAACGGGGACTGGCTTGTAACGTTTGTCTTCGGATCCTCCACCCATGATTTACGTATGCATGCATGTACGGCATTATTAATGCGGTGCGTTGACTTGGTTACAGCGCAAACGGGGCCACAGCACCGTTGAGGGCTTTGTGAGGTGCATGGATGGATGGATGGATGGCGTGAGTCTTGAAGTTGAGGATTTAAAGAGTCGGTAGGATCCAGCTTCAAGTCAGGTCTGCTCATCATCATCAGCATCACTACCAAAGGAACACAGAGAACCTCTATCCAGAACAAAGACTCGACAACGTTGAAATCTCCGTTACTGATCACCATCATGGTTCGATACATCCTCACGGGCACCAGCGGAAATCTGGGATCACGCGTCCTGCATCAGATCCTGGAGAAGAAGTTGATTCCGGACCAGGACCTGATCATATCGTCGTCCAATCCGGACCAGGTGCCGGCCATCGCGAAGGAGCACGGCATCGAGGTGCGGACAGGCAATTACACGGACCCGGAATCGCTCAAGGCGTCGTTCGCCGGCGGTGACGTGCTGTTCCTGGTGTCGCACGGCGACCCGGGCATCCAGCGGGTGGAATACCACAAGAACGCCGTTGAGACGGCGCGCGCGGTCGGCGTCACGGCCGTCATCTACACAAGCATGATGTTCGGCGGCGAAACGGGGCTGGACAGCGTCATCGGCATCCAACAGGGTCACATCCTCACGGCCAAGTACCTGGCAGCCCAGCGCGCCGCTGGCGGCATCGACTACGTGATCGTGCGCGAAGGGCTCTACGCACACGTGTGGAACTTCTACGCCGGACCACCGACGTCGAACGTGTTTCGAAAGGGCGACACGGCGCCGATCGAGTGGGTGGTGCCCAACGACTCGTCCATCGCCTGGACCGACATCGATGACCTGGCCGAGGGTAACGCCCTCATCCTGGCTAATTACACCAAGTACCTGGGCCAGACGCTGCGCCTGACGGGCCCCCGCGCCACCCCCGTCAGCGAGATCGCCAAGCTGGCCGAGCGACGTCTTGGGGGCCGCAAGGTCAACCTGCGCTTCGTCGGCAAGGATGCCGCCGTCCGGTACCACAAAGAACACCACAGCGTGCCCCCGGAGAGGATGGGCTGGCTCGAGGACAACTGGGCCGGCTGGTTCGAGGGCCTGGCCAGGGGTGAGGGCGAGGTCGTGGATCCGTTGCTCGGCCAGCTGCTGGGTCGTCCGGTCCGGGGCATCGAGGAAATGGCCGACGAGTTCTTTACGCCGAAGTAAGGGGGTGGCAGAAGAACAGGCCGGTCAGTCGTGACAGGCGTGTGGAAGGAACGTGTAACAAACCATCGTCTATCCATGCATCTCCTCTCCTTCTTCGTCTCCATATCAACCCACCCGGCACGTCTTTCTCCTACTTCCTCCTCCTCCTCCTCCTCCCTGTCCCTTATACTCATCTGACGCTGCCGACGCCCTACTCTGTGGCTATCCCGGCTGGCGCCGTCGCGCTAACAAACGAAACTCCTCAACCGCACACGGTCTGCCCACCTCCTCCTCCTGTGGGCCTCCCGCTCTTATTCATGCTGCGTTAAGTATCAAGAGCTGAGCCTCCAACCCAATGTGTAATTGGAATTGGACCCGAGGTAATCCCCGTTCCTCTCCCCACATTGAGGCTCGTCAGCCTTACCGTGCACGAAGGAAGGACGGGGCGCAGACGGCATGGCCAATGCGTCTCCTCTCGGTTGTTGGCTTGACGTTCCCTGCTCCAATCGTTGTCCGCCAACACACAACTCCCCTCCCCTCCCCTTTTGATCCTATAACATCTCCCCCCTCCCTCGCTTCTTCCCAGCAGGATTGCCCGTGGTGCCGAACCTCCCTCCCTCTTTGCCACCGCCCCCACCCCCCCTTTTCTCTGAACGAACGCGAGAACAACGCCTAGTCAGAATAGTGCTCGATCAAAAGCCTTTGCGAGCATGGCGTCTCCTGAGCCTCCGTTGGCTGAGGAGCCGTGCGAGACTGAACCTTCGCACGACGAGCCGGCGATCAGTGCTCCTGATCAACGCTCGCCAGGCGATTGCGGCAATATTTGGTCCTGTGACTGCTGTATATATTTGTTAGAATCGGGGGGAGGGGTCAAGCACGCGAAGATTCAACAAGCTGCACAACAAGGGTGCAATCGCTGCTGGATTGTGGCACAAGCCATCCAGGTTGTGGTCGAGGAACGGAAGCTTGCTGAATTTGAAGATTGGAGTGAGTCGACAATGATTTTGCGACGAAAAGGGACATTCTCGTGTAGGGACGTTCGTTTCGGTGTCTGTCCGGTGGTTGAGATTTTTGTGGAGCAGTCGACAACGATCACGGATAAGCTCCTGTGCGAGGGGGTTAAGCTGTTGGACGTCAAGCGCAATATCACGGTGAAAGGTGTTCCAGAGGAGTGTCTGCAATTTGCCTCCGATGCCTTGCATAAGTGTGTGCGGAACCATGAGCGGTGCCGTGGCAATTCAAGGCTACGGTTCATTCCCAGGCGTCTCGTCGACGTGGGCAATGACGGTACAGTCAAGGTGATTGACGACGCTCCCTCCAGTGTTCCGGTGGGATCCAAGTATGTTGCCTTGACCTATTGCTGGGGTCCGCAATCGGTCATCAAAGACAAAATGTTGACACTGACGGCACAGAATCTGGAGCAAATGGGCAATGGAGTCTCTGTCGACGAGCTGCCTCGTGTGTTTCGGGATGCCATCCAAACCACTCGGTCTCTCCAGATACGATACTTGTGGATCGATGCGCTGTGCATCGCTCAAGGAGATGAAGAGGAGTGGAGGACCGAGTCACTCAGGATGCGAGAGGTCTATGCTGGAGCCCACGTCACCATTTCAGCCGATGCTGCATCAACCTGCGACGAGTCGTTTCTGGAAATGCCCAACAGAGGACAGAGAAAAGCCGTCGATATCGGGACACGTCGGTTTGGCTCGAGAATACTTGCGAGGTTGGCCCACAAATACTGGAAAGAACCGGAATGCAAACTCCATGCTCGAGGCTGGACGCTTCAAGAGGCTCTGCTCAGCCCAAGACTGATCCATTTTGGGTTCAGTCAGGTTGATTTCAGTTGTATAGAAGAAGAGCCATTGAGGGAAGATGGAGACAGTCCTAAGTATAATGGAAGCAACGCGTCAATTCTGAATGATTTGCGGCAAGGATGGTTCCGACCAAGCTCACGGCAGCACAAGCGCTCGAGGTATCCTAATCCCCGGCTTTTCAAGCTGTGGAGGGATCTTGTAACGAACTACACCGGTCGAGACCTCTCGGAACCAGACGACGCGCTTCCGGCCATCTCTGGCCTGGCTTCCCAACTCCAGCAACAACTCCATCCTCCTTCCCGTTACTGCGCCGGTCTTTGGGAGGAGGATTTTGTGGGAGGACTGTGCTGGTTCGGTGCCAGGGGGAAAACACCGCGGACTCCGCCTACCAAGTCTCCCTCTTGGTCATGGGTTTCTTATCCTGGTCAGGTGAAGTTTCCACCCATCGACGCATCGCGCTTCGCCCAGTTAGTGGCTCTCAGCCCATCACCCAAAGACGGGGACTTTGGTCACACTGACTCGATGGAGGCTACGATAGAAGGCCCATTGCTCGACGTTGTCCTTGAACGGCACGATGGGCGCCTACGCATTGTGCCGGTACCTGCTGGTCTTACTCCATTTGGGGGCATCTATTTTTTCTGGTACATGGACAACCAGGAACTCGAATCACTACTTCTGCGACCCATTTGGAAACGTTCCCGAGGTATTTCGAAGCAGCGTCGTGTTATGGCACACCTCCTGACCTTGGGCACGAGCGATTCCTCTTTCTTCCACCTTGTTCTGGTCAGGTCTACCACAACGTCGAACACACACCGGAGAGTTGGACTCTGTGATTCCGCGCCCCGTGGTGAGAGGTCTGCATTTGATTCTTGGTTGTCGAGTTTTGAGCAGAAACGCATTACGATAGTTTGAGAGGTCGGCTTTGCGTTGGCGAGGCCCTGCCTTGGACATGGTTGGATGTCAAGGTTCCTCTTTGTACATTCGCTGGAAGCTGGAAGCGTGGTAATTTGTCAAGAAGCCCGAAGACGTTGGATTGTAGTCTGGACAGACCGGTGAATCTCAAGAAATACAGAAGAGAGAGTACGAACTCAGCGAGTCATGGTTAAAGCGGCACGGCCTGGGCTTGCGTGGTTCCCACTTCAATAATCCCATCGATTATAATTGCTCTCCATCTACGCCGTACCTCTACCAAGTACACACGCAAGACAGCAAGTGTCCCCGGACAGCCATTGCGCATTGACTGCCATTTCAGACCGACGCACCCAGCCAAAATGTGCCGCCTCTGCGGCCGCGTGGTCAAATGCATCTTTGATTCGATGCCCTCGAGGGTGCCCTCGTCGTCGTCGGTGCCGAGACTGTGAGCCTCCCCCCAAATTCCATCCGAATCATTGAAGCACAAAAAAGAGAAGACGGAAGGAAAAAGGAGAGGAAAAATGAGAAAAGAGACAGAGAAATATTGCAACGAGATAGCTAACTGACTTTGCACTCGCAGCAGCAACAGCAGCAGATCTCTACACCATCCTCCCCAGACACGATCCCACCACCACCACCGCCACGTCTCGTCACGCACCCTCGTCCAGAGCGCCCTGAACATCCCTACCAAGCCCCTCGGTGTTGCAGCTGTAGGTGTACCGCCGCCGTCATTTCTCCTCCCGTTCCGCGCACGCCTGCACCAGGCCCGCACCCTACAGTCGGCCACGACACCCGTGTCGCAGTTTCAGAATACGCCGCCCGAGACCATCATCCCTCCCCCCAGCTACCCTCCGGGGGACAGGACGACGAACCCACAGACACCGTCCCCTTCCTCCTCCCCACTGGCGGCGGCTGCTGCTGCTGCTACAGATACAGTTCCCACGACGACGATAACATCGGTACCACCGCCCCTCGCCCGTCCGCTGGTGCTCTCGCGCTCGCTGCAGACGCTGCTCCCGAAGCTACACGCCCAGACGCCGCACTACGTAGTGGCGCACGTGCACCGGTTCCCGTACCTGGTCACGGCGGGCGACGTGGTGCGGCTGCCGTTCCACATGAAGGGCGTGGCGCCGGGGGACGTGCTACGGCTCAACCGGGCCAGCGTGCTCGGGTCGCGCGACTACACGCTGAAAGCCGGCACGGCGGCCGTCTCCGCGACCTACGACCGCCGCCGCACCGCCCAGCCCCACTAACTCGACGAGCGGCTGTTCGAGTGCCGCGTGCGCGTGCTCGGCGTCGAGACCCAGCCCATGACCCTCACCGAGAAGAAGAAGCGCCGCAACCGCCACCGTAAGATCGTCCGCAGCAAGCACCGCTACACCCTGTGCCGCGTCATGCAGGTCCGCGTCAAGTCGCTCGACGAGCTGCTCCGCGCCGAGAAGGGGGCCGTGCTCCTGGAGGGCGGGTCACAGGAGGAGAATTAGAACTAGACTGAGAGGGAGAGGGAGAAAGCGAAAGAAATGCCCACGCGAAGTTCTGGGAATTGATTCAGGGAGGGAGCCAGGGTAATACCGCTGCACTACACTCCCCATACCACAGTGAGAGGGAGGGATCGATAGGGTACGGCAATGTGGCTTGTTGCATGTAGGATATGTTCATGTGTAGCAAAACAAGGTAAAGAAAACAAAAACGAAAAAGAAAAACTCGTGTACATGTTTTGTGTTGTCTGGCGTGTCCGGCCAAATTCGAACCAAAAACGTCAAATCTACAGCGACCCAAGGATGCTTACGTGCCCCGTGTGCTTCTGGAGAAAAAGGAACAAGAAGGGTTTAAAACTATGTATGTGCTGTGTTACCAAGGAAGGGTAATGGAACGTTGCTGTTGACGACCCTCGAGCCGGTGCAGCCCCCCAAGTCAACAAGAAAAAAATAATATTGATACACTCACTCACTCCCTAACTCCCCTCCCATTGCCCTCCCTTCCACCCACAAGGAAACACCGCCTTGAACGCCACGCCATTCAGCCGAAAGAGGAAAAAAGGACGTGGCCTAAGAAACGAGGAGAAAGCATTAATGGCGAGCAGGAGCTTTTTTTCTTTTCTGGATCGTTGCCGCCGTGTGGAGCGTCATCGTCGTCGTGGTAGTCGTGGTCGTCATCGTTGCTGTCGTCAAAACATCACGGGGCATCTCAACTAACCATCTCACGCCCATCAACCATATGTATCGTGTAGAACTGTCCCGGTGTCAGAAATGGTTCTCACCTGCGGAACTTCCTTGGCTGTCTCTCGGAGGAGAGACGGGCGGAAAACGGTCGTGCTGAGTTGGCTGGGTGAGCGACAACACACGGTGTGGTAGTCGTCTCATTTCACCTGACCTCGAAGGACGGGAAAGCCATGCGGTCGCGGAGGTTGACCTTGAATTCAAAGATTCCTTCTTCAGAGCCGGCGTACCTGTCACGTCCCACAGTGTCAGCAGAGATCCTTGCCTTTTGCCCCAAACACCACTAAGCCCCCTGAGTCGGTGACCGGGATATCAACTTACAGGAATTGCCCGTCTGGGCTGAACGCGATTCCCGTTGTGCCGAGCTCGACCTGGCCTGCCACTCCTGCGGCAACCGTCGACCTTCCACCAGGACCCATCACGCGCTGCAACCGAGATCCAGCCGCCACAGGCATCCAGTTCCCGTTGGCGTCGAGTGAACGGTTTCCGGACAGGTTACTCAAGAACATGATACTCGCCACCCGCGTCTCCGCATCGATGCGGCCGGCGCCAGATCTGGTCACATCGACACGTCCGGCCTCGTTCCCACTGCCGGCACCAGCACGCTGAGCTGGCGGACCGGAAGATACACGGCGGAGGGCAGCAGTGATTGCTGCGGAGGGAGGAACAATAAGTAAGCGCTCTCTTGGAGGGGAACCAGTACCAGCAGTGTTGCTTGCCGCCGCCGCCGCCGCCTCATGAGCGTTGGAATCGGCGTCGAGCCTGCTTCCGATGGATGCCAAACGAGCTTCGGCCGCACTCAGAGTTCTTTGCATGGCCGCAAATTCGGTATCAAAGTTGTGCAGAATGACGTTTTCCAGGGCTTGGGTGTCGAGGACGGCTTGTGCGACTCGCGATTCTGCTCTGCGTACTTGTCGTTCCAAGTTCTCGACATGTGCTAGTCTCTCACGGCTGGACTCGGAATGAATCGCGAGGATGCTGGGAACGCTGTCGGACTGACCAGAAGAACTGAGATTGGTGGTGGGCAGCGTCGTAGTCCGAGCCGAGCTCATATCGGAAGCATGGACAGTGTTCACGTCGCTGCCGCCCGAAACCCCACCCAAGAGCCGGTCGCGCTCGGTTTCCAACCGTCGAAAGTACTCCGTGCCAACTCTCAATTGGCTCTGCAATTCCCGTGACCGTTGTTGTAGGTATTCTTGCTCGTACGTCAGCTGTCGCTGGACGATCCGTTCCAATGAAGCTGCAATCTGGCCGTGTGACTCCCTTGCTACCGCACGAAGACGCTCCAGTTGGTAGGAGTTCTCGGAGAGTAGACGCTGCTGTGTATCCAGCTGCCGCCGAAGCAGGAGTGACAACTGTCTCTCATCGGCGAGTTGACGCTCCAGCTGGTTTCCCAGTTGCCGTTCCGCGTCCAAGGCGGCTTCGACCCGAGTCAGCAGCGTTTGACTGGGATGACTGGAGTCCGACCCAGGTGCCGTTGGAATCGCACTCCGGGCATTTGGCAGAATGGTAGAGGGTCCCGGCTGGGACTCAGACCCAGGTGCTGGAATTGAGGTATTTGTCGACGTGGCTGCTGGGTCTTCATCGTCGCCAATGCGTGCCGGGGATGCAGATAGCCTAAGACGGTGGCTCGGGTTGAGATCGAGATATCGACTTCCGTTGGGCTCGGATAGGATCACAGATGATCTCCTCCTCGGTTCATGATGGCGAGGCCCAACAGAGCGACTACTACCATCATTTGTCAGTCTCCCAGCAATCCAAGCTGGGCTAGCAGTCGAGCTGTTGGTTGTTGGGTGACTTGGCGGTGGCGTATCCATGTTGTCCATTAGCCGGTCGAGCGCTTCGACAACTGATCTTTCTCGCGCGTCCAGATCCAAGCCCTCATAGTTGACCAGGTCGCGACGACGATGCCTCTGCACAGACTCGTTCAGAAGATCATCAGCGCCGAGCTCGTTGTCTAATCCTCTAGAAGACAGGTTGCGCATCGCTCGTAGCCGCGCGAGACGCTGCTGCGTCAACCGTTCCTTGTGACCAATGTTGCGAAACGCGACAGGAGTTCCATCTTCGAGCTTGACTTCCTCTGTTTTCTGACGATCGAGGTCTAATATTTGCCGTCGGACACACGATTGTCTCACGTCCGCGATACCTATCCTGCCATGGTCCTCTGCCCAGACCAAGAGATCCCACGGTGCTGGAGAAAAGGTCATGGACCTGACGCATCCAAACAAAGCTTGCCGGGACGACCTGAAGGTGCATATAATGGACGATTCACCGGGCTCGTTGCTGCTCAGAAGATGTTGCATGTCGAAGACCGAGATGGATCCACCTTGGGAGGAAGCGGCGCACAGATAACCAGAAGGGGAGAAAGTCACTGCAAAGCTGTGGTCATCATAGACGGGGTCACCCGTCGGTACCGTGGGATTTGCGAACATCCGCCAGAGATATTGGGCGTACCTGCTGGAAGAATCACCAGTGGCGGGGGCTTTCTCCAGGTGTCGTCTGTAGAAGTATACACGGTCGGAGTCCCCAACCGCAGCGAGGATCGTAGAGTCGGGCGACAAGGCTGAAAAGTTCATTGGGACGGGATGCACCAGAGTCGTCAGCACCTTGCGTTGGGCAAGAGAGTAGACCTTGACCGTCTTGTCGTTATTACTGATCAAGACCACTGGTTCGTCGGGAGTCTTGCCATGATTCAAGAAGCTGTGAATGCTCATAGCGTTGACGATTTCTCCTCCCAACATGTCAATATTCATATCGTGACCAAAGCATGTGGGCCGATCATGTTCGTCCTTCTCGATCTTGATGAAGGCGCAGTCGCCATTTTGTTCTCCGCCCACGCAGACCCAGCCCAGGTCGGCAGCCAGACATCGGGACTCGAAAGGTATCGTTGCGATCAACGAGTTCTGTTGGGTTGCGAGGTCGAGAACAAACACATCCTTGCAGGACACATAGTAGACGAGGTCTTTCTCCGACGAACTGATGAAGTGTCGCAGTTGGTGGTGGGATACTGTGATCTTCGCAGGGTAGAATTTAGAATGAGTAGCAAGCGTCTTCGAAGGAGTGAGCCATAGTTCGCGACTAGGTACAGTCATTTCGCGGGGGAAGAGGAGGGATCTAGGGAGAGACACGCATCGCTCGGCGAGGTACCGTAGGAGGCTGAATGAAAATATCGGGACAGAGAGCGTAGTAAGCGGGCCAAGTTGAGAAACTTTGGGAGAACGAATCCCCAGAGCAGCCACTCTCTAGGAGTAATAGAGGGAGAAGGCTTTAGGAGATACCTGTTGATTACGGATGCAGTTGTCTCTTAACTCGAGTGTGATAATGGCATTGCTGTGGATTGAGTAAAGGGTTGCTTAGGGTGCGCCAACCAGCCCGTGACGTCGATTGGATGAGACTACTGTCACTGTGAAAGGCTAGTGAGGCCAACCAAAATATATCGCAACGCGGCATGTTTGCCGAGCACGCTTCTCCCCAGTCACGTGCTCGTGTCCGGCGGAATTTCTGAGAGTTTCTGTCGTGCCAAGCCTCGCGCGAGCTTGCGGCGAAGGGGAAAGAGAGATTTTTTCTCCGTCCATTTGTATTGCGTCTACTTTGTATCCTGAGCTCATCTATCTGTCCCATCACCTATCCCCCTTCATCCTCACATTCACTGTGCTTTTGCAGGCCTTTGTCCATCTCCTACCTTCTCCGCTGGTTCTCTGTTACTTCTTGTCCGTGAGATCATCATGATCGCCTCAAGGTTGTCCAGAGCTGTAAGTCCCCAATGCTGCTTGTTTCGTCGTGGGAAGCATCTTCTGATCAGTTTACCAGCTGCCTCGCTCTGCCCCCTTCTCTCGCCTTTCTCAGATCAAAGCTCCTCGATCATCAATAATCTCGCGGTATGCCTCGACCGACGCTCCCGGGTCAACTGAAAAAGTCAAGGGTCAAGTCATTGGTATCGACTTGGGAACGACAAACTCGGCCGTCGCGGTCATGGAAGGCAAACAACCCAGGATAATAGAAAACGCTGAGGGCACTCGAACGACGCCCTCTGTCGTTGCCTTTACCGAGGGTGGTGAGCGTCTCGTCGGTGTGGCAGCCAAGCGACAAGCTGTCGTCAACCCTGAAAACACCCTGTTCGCGACCAAACGACTCATCGGCCGGAAGTTCTCAGACCCGGAAGTCCAGCGTGACATCAAGGAAGTTCCCTACAAGATTGTCCAACATACAAATGGCGACGCCTGGCTGGAAGCCCGTGGCGAGAAATATTCGCCGTCGCAGATCGGAGGTATGGTGCTGGCCAAGATGAAGGAGACTGCCGAGGCGTACCTTGGCAAGCCCGTCAAGAATGCTGTCGTCACTGTGCCTGCCTACTTCAATGACATGCAACGTCAAGCCACGAAAGACGCTGGTCAAATCGCTGGTCTGAACGTCCTCCGTGTTGTCAATGAGCCTACGGCAGCTGCGCTTGCGTATGGCCTCGAGAAGGAAGATGATCGGATCATCGCCGTCTACGACCTTGGCGGTGGCACATTCGATATCTCTATCCTCGAAATCCAAAAAGGTGTCTTTGAGGTCAAGTCGACCAATGGTGATACCCATCTCGGAGGTGAAGATTTCGACATCACGCTCGTCCGCCACCTCGTCCAGCAATTCAAGAAGGAGTCCGGCATCGATCTGTCCAACGATCGTATGGCCATTCAACGTATTCGTGAAGCTGCCGAAAAGGCCAAGATCGAGCTGTCATCTTCCATCCAAACAGACATCAACCTTCCTTTCATCACCGCCGACGCATCCGGCCCCAAACACATCAACATGAAGATGACCCGAGCTCAACTTGAGCAGATGGTCGACCCTCTCATCGCCAAGACTATTGAACCTGTCCGCAAGGCGCTCAAGGATGCCAACCTGCAGGCAAAGGATATTCAAGAAATCATCCTCGTCGGTGGTATGACCCGTATGCCGAAGGTCACCGAGTCTGTCAAGAGCATTTTCGGACGCGACCCTGCCAAATCTGTCAACCCTGACGAAGCCGTCGCCATCGGTGCCGCAATTCAAGGAGCCGTGCTTGCCGGTGAAGTGATGGACGTTCTCCTGCTCGATGTTACTCCCCTCTCTCTTGGTATCGAGACCCTCGGTGGCGTGTTCACCCGGTTGATCAACCGTAACACGACCATCCCCACCAAGAAGTCGCAAATTTTCTCGACTGCCGCCGACTTTCAGACGGCAGTGGAGATCAAGGTCTACCAGGGCGAGCGTGAGCTTGTTCGGGACAACAAGTTGTTGGGTAACTTCCAGTTGGTCGGCATCCCCCCCGCACACCGTGGCGTTCCGCAGATCGAAGTTACCTTCGATATTGACGCCGACTCGATCGTGCACGTTCACGCCAAGGACAAGTCCACGAACAAGGATCAATCCATCACCATCGCATCCGGCTCTGGTCTTTCCGATGCGGAGATCCAGAACATGGTGGACGACGCCGAGAAATACGGTGCTCAAGACAAGGAGCGCAAGGCTGCCATTGAAGCCGCCAACCGCGCTGACAGCGTTCTCAACGACACGGAGAAGGCGTTGAAGGAGTACGAAGACAAGCTCGACAAGACCGAAGCTGACACGATCAAGGAGAAGATTGCTTCTCTCCGCGAGTACGTGGCCAAGAACCAGACGGGCGAGGGCACTGCCACGGCCGAGGAGATGAAGGCCAAGATCGACGAACTCCAGACTGCGGCTCTCAGTCTGTTTGACAAGATGCACAAGGCTCGTGAGGAGTCACAACAGCCCCCGCCGGGCGGTGATGCCCAGCAAGGCTCGGCGAGCGGTGAGCAGAAGCCTTGAAGATGAAGTGACAGTGGAGATAAGGGTCCCCAAAAGCAACTTGTATTTTAATGATATCCCCTGTACTCGACTTCGTTTTGTTAACCCCGGATATTGGCCCGATCTCTTCGACATTCTTGCCATCATCACGGGCAGAGTTCTCTATGTGTATTAGTTTTTGCCCTTGGGGAAGGACAAAAAAGGTTTGCTGACGAGGACATAACTACTGCTGCGTCATGACTTATATATGCACGAGTGTTGGAAGGAGCATGGAGCGTCACATTTCATTACATGCTTTGCTGGCCGGGAGGAATGACTGCAGGAGCGGAGCACACCAGAGGGCATCGGTTTGTTCGAGCATGGTTGGTGGGCGACAGGACTCAAGACAGGTGTAATATTCTTTTGTAGAGACGGGCCGGGGCATGACACGGACAGGCTCAGCCTTGAGAGTGGCGAGCAGGGCGAGGCCTCATATGCTTCGCACGTAGTGCCCTTGTGTGAAAATAGAAACAGAAAATCTCCCCTCGTCTAACGTATTTGTCTATGCCGCAGATTTACTACCGGGCTCAATGGCTTACATTGATTTAAAACGATGACAATTCCTAGGCGATGCGGTGCGGCCGTCAGGGCCGCGTTGCAAGGAATTATCGGGAACGCTCGAAATAGGGAATTGGTTGTTTTGGCTCCTTCAGTATAGCATAAGCAAGCTGCCAATCACCGCGGAACGAGGCCCTTAGCCCTGTACGTGCTGCGTATAGTATGACGGTTCCGGCGTATACGACTAGGCGCGGATGGATTCAGAGGGAGGCTGACTCGAGTCCAAGTGGAGACAAGCTGACGACACAGGAGAGCCGGGTATGTTAAAAGAGGAAGCACGGGGACGGCGACAGGGTCGGCACGCAGACTTATAGCGCGTGCACCGATCTACGAGAAGACCATGCAGTATATTCCACACGGAATGTTTGCGCGGGAGGCACTGGGAGCGATAGAGGATACCACCACGAGCATTATTGGCCGATAGCCCCGATAGCCGGAGGGGAACAGGAGAGAGCGAATGTGTGACGAGAATATGTAAAACAAACCGATTGACTGACGGTTGGAAGACGGCCAAGTGACCGCCTGCCTAGAATGAGAGAGACAGACAGGGGGGTGGGAGTACGAGGACACGGAACGGAGTATACGGGCATCTTTAACCGTGGCACGAAGGAAACCACCTGGTCAGAAAGGAGGTGATTGTGGAGATAGGGAGTGTGAAGGGTGACAACAAGAGGCAGAAGCAGGAGCCCGATACGGAAAGGGGGAAATGTCTTCTGTGTATCTACAAGTATCGGGGTTGCGTGGCTAGCTGTGTTAGAGGGGGCCGAGCCGTGATGTGATTTGTCCGATAGCGATCCCGTATTATCAGCGAGAAATTATATCTGGCAACAGCAGAAATTAGTGCCTCGTATCCCAGGGATCACGGAGCCTATCGACGGTGGGCTTCTTGGTCCGAAAGCAAAATAGGGGGTGCCCAGCTAGCTATACGAGTGGGCATTTACCCCCTCCCGATTCCACCTCCGTCACGTCACCCGAACAAGAAAAAGGAAAATCACCACTTCGAGTAGTTGTGGCCACCGATCTAGCTTGATGACCGGATTTCCCAGTATAGGTCGAGATAATGATGAGAAGAATGGTGGTGGATGGTGGTGGCACTCGTAATAGTGATGAGTTGAGTTCACGTAAACACTACCACTGGACTAGCCAGGTCGTGGATACTCGCACGTACGCGGACCGGAAGAGGGACAGAATGAGTGAATGAATGCGTGTATTCAGGCTAACTAATCAATCAATGGGCTGGTCACGGGCCTCACTCGGCTAACTCAGCAGCACCCCAAGGGCCTTAAATGGCCGATTCGGGTTATGGCTGCTGGGGACTAGGGAGGTATTTATTACTGAGGATCCTTGAAACACCCAGGGGTGCCCACTCTGGTGTCTCTCCTTCTCTATCAAGGCTCCCTAGCACGCCCCTAGGCGGTGTCTCGTAGGTATTCCCAGCTTAACCAGATATCCGTGTTGGGCACCTACGGTGTCCACTGGGGGATCACGCTGCAAGGATGACGGGGCCTTTGATCCAACTCAATCTCGTCAATCGCCGTGTGCTTCTTTTTTAATTACCAACCTGGGTATTCAAACACTCTCCCGTATTCTGACCCCCTCTTTAGTCGGTACACTTACACGCACGCGCGCACACTCCCCTAGTAGTATTGTTCGGTGCCCATGGCAAGAAAAAAAATGTGCCACTCCAGGGTCAAGCGAGAACCCGCTTCCCTAAATTCTCTCGTGCTGCACCCACCCACACAACGCGTTCCCCCCCCATCCCATCCCATCCCATCCCATTGTCTTTCCTTACCCCCTTCCCAAGTTGTCCTTGTCAAACCATAGCCCTTAGCCCGTAGCCCGTAACCCGCAACCGGAAGGCCTCAACCAAACATGCCCACTCAGCCCACCACCCACATCCTATCGAACTTATCCACTTTTGCTATTCGGCCGTCGCATCGACGTACTCTAAACGCCTCTTTTCTCGGTTCTTGTTAACGTTTTAGCCTTGGACTTTCCCCATTTCGACCAATAACCCACTGCTTGTCTGCTCTTGAGCATATCCTACGGTCATCTAGTGTCCTTTTTCTCGCATCTCTGCATCTGGCTTGTCTTTGGCTGTCTGTCTGGTCTGGTCTGGTCTCTCTCTCTCCCTCTTTCTTCCCTCTCCTTCTCCCTCTTTTCGTGCTACTTACTCTCCTTCCCTCTTTTTCCCTTTTCTTCCCCGTCCTCCACCGTTCCGTCTCTACAGAGCGAGTTCTTCGCATCCAACCGGTCAACCACTTGCCGTTATTGTCGCCGTCTCATTTTGTACACCACTGATTTTGTCAACCTCTGTATCACCATCTCCCTGTCGACAACGCGACTGTTATCCACATGCCGATACCGCTCCCGACATCGATTTAATTTATTTTTGGGGGACATTCAGCTTCAGTCGCGCCTAGAGTGCATCGTTGCTCGACTTGTCCTCACATTTCTCCAGGCGACCTATACACACTTCAGCGACTGTCTTCGACTCACCGTCGTCATGTATTCATCCCGGCCTCCGTCAGACCTGGCGCGTAACGTTCCGCACGATATCGGGTCCGAGGTATGTGAGCATCTTTTTCTGTGTGTGTGTGTGTGTGTGTTGTATTTCTCAGCACGATTCTGGAATATGCACGATGCACAATCCCCCAATACACTTGCACTAGCACTCTGCGTCATCCGGGAATTTAAACGACAAGAAAAGAAAGCGGAGAGGAAGAGCAAATGCCACGGAGACTGCGTGAGAACTCGTTACTCCTCGCCACCGTCGCAAGCCGTCCTCCTGAGAGAGAGGGCGTAGGACAACTAGATCTGGCACCTTGAACCAGCTGTCAATTATTTGCCGTCAACCCACTCTCCGGGCGACAGAGAGCCAGACGGAGAAAAAACGCCACCGGGTCCTGAGAAATGCCAGAGGGAGCGACAGCTGAACCCAGTGACGATATCCTGGCCACTTATGCTCGCTTGTCCGCGTGGTCGAACTCTGGGGGCAGTCTCTGTACCATGCGATTCCCGGGTTGGCTCATCGGGTTCTGCAGGCCGGGACAACAGGAGGCCTCTAACCAACTCTGGCCCCTAAAGCCCTTAAGCCCTTCGGGGCTTTCAAGGCCGCTAGGCTGCCAGGGTGCCCGTGGCACTTCTTCCTCTCCGCCAACAGGAATGGGCCGCCACTGCCTCCACCTCTCGCAGAACTTGGCGTCTGGCTTCAATATCTGGGCGACCTTTTTAGGTCTGCCACTCATCCCACTCCGCTTCGACTCCTCTTTTCCGCCTCTCTCCAATCGCCATCAGTTTCCAAATCATCGTCCGTCCTATTTGGTGCTATCCAGCTGCATCAACCTGTGTTGGCGTCTTTCCTGTTTCTGCTTAGCGTCCTATTGCCCTCGTTGCACCTCCTATTGCATCAGTCTCTTAACCCTTTCTGGATACCTGTTCAAGAAAAAACCACCGACTTCACACACGACGTTTGACTGGATGGGAATGGCAGGCTTCTCTTTCGTCCCAATTTCCTGCTCATATCTGAACCTTGGTGGCTCGTCAACTCCCTCCACTGTCGCTCACTTCCCTCGTGTCTGCTGGCAGCCCCTGATTTGTCAACATCCGCCTGACCTATGTTTCGTATAACAATCTTGTCACTAACATTTCGCCTTTAGCGTCCACGCTCGTCGTGGGAGTCGCCGTATCAACACCAACCTCGAAATTTCCAGCAAGCCCCGCAGCGCTCACCGATCATGCTTGACACGATGGATCCCGAGTCTTCCGACAGCGATGTCTCTGTGAGTGCGAGTGAGGAATATCGACACACCGGTCCCTTGACTGCCCCGATTCCCCTGCCGCCACCAGCATCAAAGCACGCCCTGGAATCGTCCGATGCCGTTCAAGCACGTCTCGATGAACTGCAGCGCGTCGAGGACCATAACGTCAAGAAATATGACCTGCTCAGGGCCAAGCGCGCGCGTAAAGACGAGAAAATCCGTCGTAGGCGGGAGTACCAGGACAAGAAATGGTCTCTCATCATGGAAGCGCGTCAACGCAGAGACGCCCGGATCGAGGCGCGCCGACGGAGAGAAGACGCGGCATTTGCACAATTTTTTGATCGTGATCTGGAGGATGAAGAAAGTGTATGTTGTGATCAGCACCCCTGCGTGGAATTGGTTGATCTAACTGGTGCCCAGAATCTCCGGCGCCGGCTGAAGCGACTCAAACGTGGACTGCCACCAGACGACTCACCGGCGCCCGGCGGCCGGAGTATATCATCATCGTCAATGTCGCCACCAGGTCCCGCGCTCTCGACACTTCCTCCGCCCCCTAAGCGTCATCAAGTTGGCCCTCCAGGTCAGCCTGACGCCATCAATCCGGTGCAGTCGAGACCTCCGCCACAGTCAAATCTCCCAGCCCCTGCGAAGACTACACTGCCTGCTCCCTCGTACACCTTCTATCGCGACTCGCCTCCCACCTACTCGCGTGTGTATCACCACTCTCCTTACTCGACCACACCGAGCAATGCTTCCCCGACCATGACGACGAACGGGTCAGGCCATGGCCCCCCACCCTCTGCCGATCGGCCGCCACAACTGAACCATCTAGGACGGCCACCTTCTCCTCTCCCACGGTCCGTCCCGAGTACTCAGTCACCTGTAACACCGGCGACAAACCCCAATCCACCGAGACAGATGTATGATACGCGGCCACCACCCGCTACCACGTCCTCGGGATTCGCTTCGATCAATGCTCCACCGACCTCGGGATTTGCTACCATCAACGCAAGAACGGCCGCACCTCCACCGACCTCACACGTCCCCAACCCCAGACCGCTGAGCGATACGGATCTCCGCGGGACACCCCATCAGCCGACCAACAATGGAGTCGAGCCCAATCATTTCCATTCGTACCCAAGCGCCCCAAATTCGTCCAGCTCCACGGCGCCGACAGGGAGTGGCAAACGTACCCCGTCAACGACGCATCCATACCAGATGTCCGAGGCATTTGCGAACCGACACCACCACTGCGAAAGAGTCGACACCTTGAACCGTGGTATCTGGACGTCTCATGGTCCAGGAGGCACGGCAGAGCATCCCACAGGACCTGCAGTCGAGATGTACCTGCGGTGCAATCACGATGGATGTTCGCGTATCGATTGGCGCACCGTGCACGGTCTGCAATGCCACATTGTCAAGAACCATGATCAGCCCAAGGGCACCATCGGTAGTCTCGACAAGGCTCTCGAGAGATACGGCGTCCCGGTCAAAGAAGTCGAAGACTTCGAATCCCAGCACGGCAGAGGCACTGCGGGGACAATGGCAGACCCCAAAAACTTGAAGATGAAGCTCAAGACTAAGGTCCAGAGTTTTGGCAGAGTCGTCTCTTCGGGCGCTCCGGGCGTCGACCCTGAGGCGAGACCGGCTGGCTACCGACCCAGTCCGGCTGCAACCGACGACAGTCCCACCATGTCAGATGGCCTGAAAAGAAGTCCAGACACCCCCATCACCAACGGCCTTTCCAACCGTGCCGTGAGCAACGAGAATGGACGACGATCTGCGTCTCAAACAGCAGCCGGCTCTCCTGCAATGACGCATACGACCATTCGACCCGGCTGGATGGGTGTGAATGTGCCGCCGTCGACGCCGGCCCCCGCTGAACCAGAACCGAAAAGTCTGCAGGGAGACTTCAGTTCGGCTGAAGCTCCCAGCAACCGGGACACGACCAACTCTCAACCTGCACCGCCACCATCGAGGGAACCCATCCCTACGCCTCCCTCCAACATCAAGACTGCTCCTTTGCGACCGGAATCTCGAGACACGATGGCAATCGGTGGGGCTGTGGCCACTGGGCCCGACCTGCAGTCCTCTGCCGCACCGGTCGCGCCTGAACCGCTGAACTCTTCAACCCAAACGCGGCCAGCTGCCGAAGTCAAGAGAGAATCGGAAAAGCAAGAGGCCCAAGCAAAGGACGAGGATGTCCAGATGACGGGAACAGAGGAGGACCACCAAGCGAAGTCAGATGAGATTCGAGTCAATGGTACAAGCAATGTCGAGAAGAGTACAGCACCTGAAAAGCCAGCACAGGGAACAGATTCGGCAGGAGAACAGATCGACACGGTCGAGACAGAGGCGAGTGGCACGAAGGAGGTCGGCATAGTCACGATGCGGCGATCCACCATGCAATCTCCCACCATCACAACGAGGTCTCTCACTGCCACGACACCTGGCAGCGGACGACGACCCAGTCGACGATCCAGTGCTGCGAGGAAATCCGTCGACGTCGACGGGGAAACGGGCCGACCCGTCCAGAACGAAAACGATGATAAAGAAAAGGAAGACAAAGATGTCAAGGACGAAAAAGTGGAGAAGGAGAATACTCGGCTGGAGCCTCGGCGGTCATTGACGGGGCGGGTCCTGCGAAGGGGGAGGTTTTAGTGCGATGTCCTAGACGATTCTCTGCAAAACAAAAGAGCGGCTGTCAGGCCAGGCGAGATGACAGATCCCGTGGGCTCCACCTAGAGCCAGTGTGATGGTTTTGCGCATGCTTCACAATATGGATTGGGTATCCACGGGCCTTGATTTCCTGGAGGGGAAGGCTGGGATCGGCGACGTGACTGAATGACTTGGATCGATTGATGCTGTAATGGATTCGGAGCTGGATAGTATGGGGGATCGAGAGGGCCTGGGATTTTTCTTGGATTCTCAATGATGGGAGTCAGAGCGTCCGTTGGGAATCTGGATTATTGTCCGGTTCTACCCGGCGACTAATTGATTGGCGTCGCCCTTTCTTTTGTTTCATTTGGTGCTTTCGCGATTGGGTCGAGACTGCCATGGGATGTTGTGATTAGCGCTATCCACCAAGAGGCGGCTTTGATGTTTGATTGTTTGAGCTTTGCTATGCGCAGAGGGCAAGCGGACCTCTTTGACAGCTTCTCGATTTGTTGGCGTGTTCCAAACCACTGCGGTTCACCTTGATCATGAACGGTTCCGCTGCGTATGCAGTAATGGTGTTTGTGCGTATATTGTGAATGACAATGTGGTTTTCTTATGCCAGTGGTCTTTTCATGTCTCTCCTGCAATTGTGTGCACCAGGCTACCAGGCATGGTAGCATCGAGATGACAGAGAAGATGCCTTCAATGAAGAAGCTGAATGACAATGAGACGAGATGAACGTGGACGGGTTTCCTGGAGATACGGACAGGGCATAGAGGGAGAGAGTGAAGACCCCATCCATCCATCCATCCTCCTCCTCCATTGGAGCAGACTATCTGTCTATCGTAAGATCTGGCGTGGACCCTACGAGGTAGACTACAGAATTACATAGGTACTAACCTAAGTGCAGTGTGTGCTCTTGATATATATATATGCCCCGAACTGTGCTTTGTCCCTTACCATTTTGGTTCAGGAAAGGGAACGCGGCCGCTTTAATATGGCACGTGACGGAGCGTCCGGGAGGCCCGTCGTGGGAGCCACGGCAGAGTGTAGGGGAGCCGTGCCCGAGCACTGGCGAGCAACAGGGAGCGCTGCCTGATGCCCGTTTGCAGAAGCCAGTTCGGGCTCTGAGGTTCCCTTTGGGTCTGAGCTAAAATGCACTGTATACCGAGATTACTCGAGAACGAAAAACCTAATTGCCATACGGTTTGATCCTAGAGGGTGAGCGAAGGTCGCTTCATCTTGAGCTTTAACTGAGTCATTAATAGCCGAACATTACTGAGCGCTCCCTGAGCTACACACCCGGGGGGACAAATTGGGGCCCATGACAATCGGCTTCGTCTGCCTCTCAGCCAGGCATCTGTTTCAGACGGCGTTTTACGCTGCTGCCTAAAATTTTCCCTTGTGTTTCAGTTCAAAGAAAGTTGGCCACCAGAGGCAAGCAGAAAACCAAAGTCTGGGAGTATAGTCGGTTGCAAACCTGCCTGCCCCCGAGTGCACTTCGCAAAATTATTTGAGCCACAGAAGAGCCACACTCAAGGTGATGCCTTTGCAGTATTGAATTAAGCAATGACATTTCAACCACACCACGTTTCGCCGTTCAGATACTTTACTGATGATACATTACGGATTGATTACCGATCGTAACTAATTGGATTCGCGTTAATCTGCATAATACTGTCCCTTCGCAATATTACTGCCAGAATTCGAGAGGAGAAGGGAGTGGAAACTAACTCTATAGTTGCTAGCAAAATCGGCTGCACCCCGATGCTATTCCAAAATGATCCTCAGGCCTGCAGTTTGCCGTATCTGCTTAACCTGTAACGGATATGACGAAAGACCCCTGCGTGATTTCACGGAGGACTGGTTGCATTCAAAAGGTCCTAGGGGACTGTCAGACTTAAACGCCATTCGCTAGCGTCTCGCAAAGCCAAGGTCACATATTAGGAGATCGATTTCGTACAGCACAGGATCCTCAGCGCCATTCTCAGATTTCGGCACTGTAGAGCCCACCATCAGCTGAACCGGTTGCAGCTAACTCACCAAGCGCGAGTGCTAGGGCCTGATCATCACAAGCAAACAAACTCCCTGATGGAGGCCACAGCGAGTCGATTGAACCGGTTGATTTCTATCGAGCAAGTAGTGGCATGGATGAAACCGCGCAGTGAAGGCGTAATCATGTGACCAGGTGGAGCACCGCGAGGAAAGCTATGAACCATACATATCCTATATACATATGGAGATGCGGGATCTCGAATCTTCGATACTGTCTGGAATTGCCTTGCTGTTGCCTAATACTAGTTGGTGACGCGATATGGGAATGAATGAATGAATGGCTCAAAGAGCTGGCGTAAAGCGCCGTTGATATGGCAGTTGTGAGGAGGTTGTTGTAAGTGGCGCTAATAGTTACGGTAGGTATCGATGAAGCCCAGGAATTGGCCTTGCCACGGTAACGAAAAGATTGGTGTAGCTGCCTGGACCGAGTGGTTCTCTCGCCTTATAAGGTAGTGGGAATCTGACCATGACATTTTTCTCGCCGCGATGTTGGGTTAATATATCATTGATGTAGACAGGGACTCTGGCGTTGAGCTGCCCTGAACGGACTCTTTAACTTCTCCCTTTCTCCGAATGCAAGTACCATTCATTAAGCATCCTCCAAAATCTTGCTTCTTATTGTTGTCATCACTGAGAGCTTCCCGAGGGCCAGGTCGGAGGCGCTATGTGCTGCCCACCGCACCCTTGCTCGACCCCTGTTGCAACGACCTTAATACAGCACTGGCACTTCATATGATGACAGTAGGCGCAATTACGGGCAATTGTGTCAGATGCGCCATTTTGGCAATTACAGCAATACCACGCAATTGTACCGTGTGACAGGCCTGCAGGAGGGTTCATTGAGGTCGAGAGAATTGAAGAGGGCTCTAATCTGTAAGCAAAGCGTTGATTTCGTTGTCTCTGACGAATTTGAACGCAAAAAATGATGGCAGGACAAGATTAACAGCTGTGACACCCCAGGGCGCAGTCCTGCACGAACACGTGGACAATCCATCCGTCGAATCCGAAGTGTAGCGATTCGCTGGACCCCGTTCATTGTACCAGCCAATTTGAATCGGATGCGAAAACTATCGATATGCCTAAGCAGAAGTGCCGTGACTCTTTCTCGATTATTTATCTGTGCTATTACCGAAGTTCGTCTTAGAACCTACACGGCGGCAAGGCTGACAGATATGCTTTAGCACCTCGTCCTTAACGCCGTAATAACATTTGAAATGCTGCCACGTTGAGCAGAGAAAGCAGGGGATCAAGTCCTGTGACCATGATTGGGAGCCACACACACAATGCACAATGATCGGAGGAGGAAGTTGCTCTTCGCAAGACTTGGTGCTGCCAAATATTGCATTGCAATAAGGACACAAAACCGCAAAGTCAGAGAGGTCTTGGAAGATAGCAATGAATCCGAGCACGGTGCGCTCGCACCCGTAGCAAATTCCCTGTACCGGGATTTTCTGTCCGACCATCACGAAGTGCAGACGACGGAAGGCTTGCGGTGAACAATCTCTCAAGCTGGATGCGCATTCTCTGAAGTCGGCTGGAAGATCGGCAACTGGTGGTTCAGGCCGGACGCGTATCAATGAAACTCCCGCCAGTTGCCTTCGGGGGTGATTTTATGACGCGAGAGAAATACCTTTGACACTTAGTACTGCCAGAAGATCAGTAGAAAGCTTGGTTACGGTAGTAGTGGTATTTTGAAAGACACCTACCAGAAGGAGACCTCATTTCCGCGTGCAACCTCGGACCCACACATGGTGCAGGCTTGCACAGCAGGATCTCCAATGTACTCGAATATCATGCTCATTTCGATGACCTGCCCTGGAAAGAGGCAAAATTTCCAAGGCCTGCAGAAGTTGACTGGAATTCCAGTTTCGGAATCACGCAACAGAAATTCACCCCGCTTGATCATCTCGCGCCCAGCGCAATCAAATTTGACGGCAAGGACAGCAATGAGTGCTTCATAGCTGTTAATAAGATCTAAGTGAATAGGATAACAGTTGTCGAAAGCATCAATGAAACACACCGGTTGTTGCCAGAGTGGGCCCTTATCGAATGATCGTTCCGTACGGGATAGATACTGGGCCGATGCAACGTTTTGTTCTCTATAGTATTAAAGTTAGCTTCTAACGGCCTTGCGGACCTATTATCTAAAACTGACAGGATAGCCTGAACCTTTTCTTGGAGCATCTCTAAACTGTTCATCATGCTGCGGCTTCGATCTGAGAGCTTCGCATCTAATGTAGTGATACGGTTCTCAGCGCAAGATGCTGATTGTTGTAGATTGGTTAACTGTGCGTCTAACGCAGAGATCTCGGTTGATTGAGACTCCAGCCTCTGAATTTGTAGATGCGTACGGCCTCTTAACCAGCGCTAACACATCAAAAGTCAGACAAACACTAACTTACGCCTGGATATTATGCGTCAATGCTTGGATTGAATAGATGTGGAATCCGACAACTGCCCGCAACCGCCCAATGTCTTCTCGCATACAAAGCCGCCACTGAATCTTTCGAATGACGTCTTTGTACTGACTGGAGGAGCCGCAGAGCCGTAGATTTGGTTGATATTTGGCAATCGACTTCATAAAAGCATCGATCGTGGCACTGCAACGACCGATCGCAAGCTGCAAGGCCGTGAACTGGGCAACCTCATTTTCAAAGAATTTTAACGACTTTGCAAATGTCAGTGCCTGTTCCAAACCATAGAGCTGAGAATTCAGCTCGAGAAACTCGCTTGAAGACCCTTGAGAGTCACGGAGTGCGCCGATGAGATCCGTGACCACTCTATGCCATTGATGAAATCACCCACGGAGAAACCAAAGAGAGCAGCCATCCTGACCTGGGCCAGAAGATGGAGATGTTTGGGCTTGGCCGGTGCAACGTGAACGAAGGTTGAATCGTGGAGATGCAAAGGAAATAGTTCAGCCCGAACAGGCATCGGCTGGCCTACCCTCCCCCACACCGGCGGGGTAACCGTTGACCGCCGAACCCAATCCGCAGTTGACATATCACAGACCACTCCGGAACTGCGTGCGCAGTACGAGGTACAGATGCTGACGAGGTGTATCCATGGTTTGAACCACGTCCAAAGCTGAACGAGGAATAATGAAACAACTCCATAATACTAACACCATTCAAGAATGATTAACCTGGGTAAACCTGACTTGGCCACTGCGTCGGCCAATGACAAACGATACTTCTCCTGTACGAGCCACGTGCTCTTCTACTCAATTTGTGACACCTGGGCATAAATGCACGTACGTGTCAAGAGGATGAAGAAATGTCCAATGTATATAGTTCTAAGTAAATTGAGTCTATTCGTCTTAAGGTGGTAGTGTAATTTAAATTAGATTTTCGTACGGCAGTGGGAAAGTGCGTCGCTCGCTACGCACCTACGTTAACTATAGTTATTTGTGTTTGTGTCTTTTATTATTTTGTTTTATCTGGGGAAAAGTTTGGATCTTAAAATCCCGATTCTGTACATGCTTGCATGCATGTATTACATAGGAAATGATACAATAATGATATGACTAGCTAATAATACAATACATACATACAATATATATTTATTACCATGGGCGACGACGCAGCACGGCAATATCGCCAGCTGCTTTTCCCGGCCTGGACGATATATTATTTCAATCTTGTACAGGATTGTTTGTCGGTCGTCACGCATATCGCATATCGCACTTCGCACATCGCACATCCACCGCACAGCCCACGAGCGGAACCAACCGTGAGTAGCGTGAACCAGGGAGCTCGGTTTCTCGGCCAGGTCTTGCAGAGTATTATGGATTCTGCGGCATAAGCCAATGTCGACGAGGAGTACAGTACGTACGTCCCTGGCAGCCAGTCCCGGGCGACTAGAGCGGCTAGAGGTAGGGTTTCAAGGTGGGAAATAAATGGGGGCCGTCTGCTAGAGGGGTTGGACTAGAAATGAAAGGAGTTGGTTGTGTATGGCGACACTGACAAAGTGGAAGGCGATGTGATGTCTCTGGCAATTGTGACGCTGGCGCAAATTGTAGGCTATTTAACAAGCCGGGCTTCGAATTGTCGAGATTGATGGTCAAATCCACTGAGCTTCCTCCTCCTCCACTCCTAGACCTTGTCCCGGACCTATCATGCCGTGTGGAAAGCGGCTTTCTGACAGGATCTGCATGGAAAGCTGCACGCCCTGAGCGCGTTCTTGCGGCAAGGGGCCGTAGCCTACCTCATCCGTGGATATGAGAGGGCGGAGAACCACTGTGTCCGCTCCACGAGAAGGACGACCACCCTCGACAATCCGGACGTCAGGTGGTGTTTCGAAGTCGTACTGGAAGTGCTGCCATATTCATGGAGACCGGTGCCACCCTCGCCCGCCAAAACCCTTCCAGTTCCAACCACGGCTTCAATCGTGTATCACATAATTGAACCAGCGTGATCAATCCTTCGCAGGGGCAAAATGCCCTCCGCCACGCCAGTTCTTATCTGATCACACCGCCGACGCCGGCCCATCCCAGCACAAAACCACTCAGGGCCTCGGTGAACAGGCCGCCGCCGAGCCAAATCTCGCGCCACGCCCCTGTGCCCTCGTTTCTGCCTTGCCTCTTGCCATCTTTTTCATACAGGCCGCGCGACCCGGCCGTGCCCGCAAAGAACCGCTGAGGCTGGCCCCGGGCGAGCAGGAAGTAGAACAGCGCCGAGATCAGCGTGTTGCAGAGAAGGTAGAAGCCGAACCCATACAGCGATTCGAGGCCCAAGATGCCCGCGGCGATGCCCAGGAGGAGACCGGAGATGGAGCGGATGTTGGACAGCGTCTACGGGAGAGAAGGCGGTCAGTATGTATTCTAGCAATAGCCTCTGTCTAGGGAGGGCAGAGAAGGGGCGGGCAGAACGTACGCGAGTGTTGTGTGTAAGAGATTCTGGGACCAGCGGGTCGAGGAACAGAGACATCTCCTGCGGTGAGGGGGCCATGATAGGCTATGCAGACTCCCAAGAGGTGTGATCCTGTATAGATGAACACGTTTACCAGGAGCAGGAGCAGGAGCAAGAGGCAGGTGGTTTCTGGTGACGGATGCTTGGGGATGTTTATCCACAGCACAAGGTACAAAGTGTAGATTTCCACGTTGCAATTGACGCTTGACGGCGCTTGGCTGCGGTGGGTCTCTCTCGGCTCTATTAAACAGCCAATACCCACCACCATAACCTGTATGAATGAGTACGAGTATACCGGATACCAGCATTTCACTTTGAACGATAGAAGTGCAGAGCAGAGCAGAGAAGATAAGAGCAGATGTTCGACTCCCCCTCTAATTAAATTTTCTTCTGAACCAAAAAGAGCTATCACGCTGAGCCTCCTCACTCCCCCTCCCAGCCCGTCACAATATCAAAGCGTGTCCATTCAATTTTGGGTGTCCATTTCGGGTGTTCACATAGAAGATTCGTAGGTGGTATGGGTTATCTCGTCACGCTATATAGAAAGACGTCGATTCATCATGCCACCGATCGTCAGTCTTCGTCGAAAAGAACTGGAGAAATTACTAGGGTTCTAGCCCGATCATAGTAGAGGAGATGGTTTCGACCGGTCTCGTGGCCGTGTCGACTTCGACTACCCCAAGCAGCCGCCCCGTCGGAGATCCTGATCATGTCAAAAGGCCATCCCCAGAAGAACATGGCTGACAATGGGGTCCATCGGGATGTGAGCCCAGCTCCAGTCTCCCCTCATCACGCTGGAACAGTTACCCACAAATCAAGCCCAGCGCCCATCCTTGAATACTTGCAATAAGTCAGTGGGTGGGACAGTAGAAGTGGCCACGGAGACTGCCATTCTACAGTTTGCCTTCCGCTTGAGCTTCTCTGACTTGCTCGAACACCTGAAACCAGTCAGCCGTTGTCACCTGCTTTCGAAGTCGTCTTGACTCACCTTGAGCATCTTGTTCCTCGCACCCAACGCGTTCACACCACGCGCTTCCAACCCCTTATCATCGAGCTGTATTAATTCCTCCCATTTAAGGTCCTTCAGGTTGTCGGTGTATTTGTGTAGTCTCAATGACCGAAGCCAGGTCGGAATATCCTTCAAAAGATTTGGATCAGTCGGGTCCTCAGGAGGTTTGGAGCTCCCACGACGCCCTCTGGGCGACCTGCCCCGGTTGATCTCCGAGTGATCCGACAGATACCCTTCGCCGCCACTACCGAAGATACCTGCCTGAGGAACGAGCCCCGGCATCCCTGCACCGATCATGATCGGGGTCCCCTCATACGCAGCCAGAAATCCGTTGTGTTGAGGAGAAGCAAAGGCGGTTTGTCCGAGGGGTGTCTGCAATGGAAGACCAGGAGAGTTAGGTCGAGATCGACGTCCTTGCGCTGCCGCAATCTGCTGGGCTTGAATGGCTGCCACTTGTTGAGCAGTGAGGACTTGGCCATGATCGTTGACCATGATAGTGTTAATTCCGGGGATGCCAGAGGCGGTGATTCCAGGGGTGAGCGGGGGTTGCGGCGCCGGCTGAGGTTCGTTGGACCTGGCGCGGCGGAATTTCTTGACATCGTCCAGGGCGATCCTGTTGTTGACCGTGGACAGGGCGGCAAGTTTCATGGCGGTTGCGTTGGCTACCATTTCGCTGTGGGACTGAGCTTGGCTGAAGTTTGGCACCATCGGCGTATTGGTCATGGAAGCCCAACTCTGGTTCCCGACATTGTAAGGAGACAGCAGTGGCATGTCACTCGATATCGGGTCCGGGGCGGTCAACGTGGTGCTCTGGATATTGCCCCCGGAACTTCCCAGTGGACGCGGAGAACGGAGAGCCCCAGATGAGGGAGGTTGACTAAATTGACCCATTGGCTGATGCGGCCCCTGCTGGCCCGACGAGGACTTGGGTCGGGATATGGGAGGCTGCTGGATCTCTCCACCACCCTGACGCCAACTCATGGCATCGGCTTTCGACTCTCTCGGAGCCGCGATAGTCGGGGCCACTAGGGAACTGCGATCGCCTACGACCGTGCTGTTTCTGTTGGATGGGGGTGGATTGCCGGTTTGTTGAGCGTATTCAGCCTTTTGCTGCTGAATCGCAGCCACAGCATCCGGAAACATGGCATGTATGGTGGACTGATCCAAGCCGGAATTGCGCTTGTTACCGGCTGGAGAGACGGGTGGTCGGGTCAGGGACGTCCTCCGGTCGTCGACATTCAACTTGGACATGGCATCGCTCAGACGGCTGGACATGGCGTCTTTTTCTCCGAAATTTGCAGGCGAGAGGACGCCGGAGATGGGATGGCTTTTGGACATCTGGTTCAAAACTTGGGCGAAGAAGCGTTGCTGCATCTGGGTGGTCTGTTGGATGAGGGCATAAGTGGCAGCCGTACGCTCAGCCTCGCTTAGGACTCGAAACCACTGCTCTATTGCGCTCAACTCGTCTTTGAAGTCCTGATCCAGTGTTGCCGCTGCCATCTCTTCCAGCATGGTTTCGTATTGCTCAATATCTTGAATCCACTGTTCCCCCAACTTGCTCGAATCGTCCATGCTGCCTTGCTGAGACTGCTGGTTGAATAAGACTTCGGAGGCGGGGCGGATGGAGCGCGACGAGAGAGGAGACGTGAAGGACATGTCGGCAGAAGAACGGACGGGTTGGTTATGAGTGCCGGATGTGCCGATGGTCCTCGAGGTGGGCGGGCGAAGTGAGGTCTTGGACGCCTCCGGGGTGCTATTCCTGTTGCCGATGATGTTGCTGGCCATGATAGCCTGTGGTGAAAAAAACTCCGTGGCTCGGAAGCTTTCGTGGGACAAAGCGCGCTGACGGTGACGAATGGGACAGCGGGAAGCGGACGAAGTGAGCGGTAGAAGGAGTCGAGACAGTCACACAGACAGATCTAACAGATCATTGGATCTACAGCGTGTAAAGGAGCCGATTGGATCCAGCCCAAGGGCACACTGATGAATGAGGGTGGAAAAAGGAATGTCGAAGACGCGCTCCCAACGCAGTCACGGCTGAAGCAAAGGTGTGAGGCAGCGCACTTGGGTGGAGGTGGCGGTTCGAGGTGTCTCAGACACGACGACGAGGGCCGGTTGCGATTAAGCTACTGGTAATAGACGCGCAGGAAGCAGGCGACAGAGAGCATGAGAAAAGGCAAATAAGTCGAGATCCGTCAAAAAGAATACACTCCCTAACAGGCGAATGGAGGTTGAGAGAAAGACGGAGGACCAGGAGGAAAAATTGAGTCGAGCTGAAATAAGACAGGATAAAGTTGAGGTTCGCGAGAGTGGAACCGACAAAGCGGCGAGGCCTTACCCGTGCCTCCGTATATACTCGGTACAGGGAGGAATACGGAGCCCCAATTAGCAGTCGGGGCCTAAGGGGGGAACTTTGGCGTGCCTATTGAGCGCCCCCCAGCGGCAATGAGATACCCCCGAGTCCAGGGAGGTGATGCCTGGAGGGAGCTGAAATGGGTTGGGTTCGTTTCCACCATCGTCATAAGGGTTTGGTGGCCAACGCCCTGGCCCCCGGGATAGAGGCCTAGTCGCCCTCGTGGGAGCTCGTTAAAAGGGGAGCGCCGAGAGCTAGCCCTAGCGTGTGTGCCCTGGGACGTGTCTGAGAACTGCTTCCAAGCTCGTATCGGTTCACCACCAACCAATCCCCACAGCTAGTGAGGCTGTTTCTTCCCAGCGCGTGCACTCGTGCCATACGTGAATACCACATGCGCCTCACTGTGGCGTTCTCACTCTCTACATCCCTTATTGGCCTAGATAGTACCAATGTCGAGCTGAACAGATTCCCGTCACATGCTGGTGGCAACGCATTCTGATCAAATCATCCCATGGTTGGGCACTGGTGGCCCTTGACCCAGCCCCTCTAGACGAGGTATTGACATAGGAGATCAACGCGACGAGATAAACACACTCCTCTTGTTGGGAATAACGAGTGCAATCAAACTCGTTGACAGAGACGATCTTCAAGCGAAAAGTCCTTTATGATTCCAAGGAGGACAGCAATTGCAATGGATCGGCGAACACTTCACCCTTATCGAGCCGTCACTCATTGCTTTGATACAATTTGGTGGACCTCAATCAACCATGTAGCCCCTTTTTCTTGCGCTCAGGTCCATCCTGACGTCGAATGCTCCATGCAGTCTTTTCAACCGACATTATGACATGGTTTTGACGCTAGATCGGCTCTTGTATTCGCTTGAGTACAGGGTAGAGGAGAGAGACGTTGTGTGAATCCAAGCCTTGTTGTTTCCTCCAACTGACCAGTTCATCGAGGATGGCGCCACATTTCCCCAAAGCACCGACCGATATCAATACCAGGGCAGGCATGTCCAAATCGAACGTTGTGCCAACAGTCCACATCTTTCCCATATTGTACAAATGTGTCTCTGCGAACAGATGACGGCTGATGATTCGACGTCTATCTCCCAGGCAGCTGGCCGGACTGCATCATGGCAGCATTCTGCTCTTGAAATCTGGCTCCCAATCTCTCCGAGCCTTTGAGGAATTTATCCACGCAACGCATCACACATCCTTCTTCCCTCGAGATCAATGACTTCGTCGTGAAATCGTTGACACAATCGTCGAAGCACCGCTGGACCAGGTTGGAATAGGTCTATCACAGAGCATTGGTCAGCCTCTTGGTCACCGAAGGCCAACCTGCGTGATGGCATGAGTTTTGATAATACACACTTTCATAAATTCCTTGAGCTGCTTCGCCTCCATCCGAGCATTTAGCTCTCTCTGCTCAGCGGGGGTAAGGCTAAACCAATGTCAGCAAATCCACGCACAAATGGTTGGAATGCGAGACCAACCTGTCCATTATGGCGGTGATATGATTGAAGACAAGAGCACTGCTGTTACAATTATAGCAGTCAAGGCGAAGGAATTGGATGATGAACACGCGAGCCGCAAGCAAAAAGCCGGATCGGCAAACTTTCCCCGTTGAAGTTGGGTGTGATCAGTGGACCAACTTTTTTTTGGCTTGATCTTACAAGTTCCGCCCCTTCATCGGGCTTTTTTGTCACCGCCCTTTAGTTTCACTCACACCTCGAGCTGCTCCTTGGTTTCGCGGTATATTCCTATGCATCTATTTCTCATCCGGCATGGAGAGACAGAGCATAATGTTGCCGGGCTTCTGGCGGGGGTCTCTGATTCCCGGCTGACGAGTCATGGCGTCCTCCAGACCCAACGACTGGGTCGGTACCTCACAACTCACCGCAACTTGAGGTTTACCCAAATTTATGCCTCAGATCTTCAACGAGCTTTCATGACTGCCGAAGAGCTTCAGAGGAACCAAGCTGCGAGGTTCTCTGTCAAAAATGCCCCGGGAGTTGTGAGACTTGAACTGCTCCGAGAGCAAGACTTCGGCTCACTGGAGCTTGTTCACTGGAGCTCGCGAAGAGCGCAGCACACGCTCGATCCTAAAATACCTAACCCCGAAGATCCCTCCTTTCGCCCCCAAGAAACCACGGAGGCTATGGCGATCAGGGCAGAATTGTTCCTGAATGACTTCATCCTCCCACACTTTGCCAGTGCAGAGAATGCCCGAGAAAGTGAGCAGGAATGCGTTGCGGTCGTTTCCCATGGCCTGTTTCTGTCCGTGCTGTGGCAGACACTGCTGAGGAAATTTCGTACCAGTAGTATCACTCTGGGCCCCAATGTTGAGACCGGAGGCTACAATCGTCCCTTGGAGCACCTGCCGTCGTGGACCAACACTGGGTTTTTAGAGGTCACAATCCAGCGACCTGTGGCAGAGAGGGCTGATCAACCTCGGATTCAGCAGCATTCGATATTGATGAATATCCACTCATCCGCACTGAGCGGATATTCCATGACCGTCCACGGAGTCAACAGCAGAGGCCACCTGGTGGATCTGAAGCGGACCAGGGGCGGGTTGGGATCATCTCCGCATGACGTGAAGCAGCAGAGTCTGGATGGTTTCTTCAAGCGTCCCAAACCCAATGGCCCCGCCCCATGACCTGCAGTTTTCAACTTCATTTTACGCTCACTGGAGAAGGAAATCTGCTAGAAGTTGAAGGAAATGGTGTTAACCCGCATCCCTCCGACTTGGCGGAATACCACCTCAGGGTTGGAGAGAGATGAGGTAAGCCATATTGTTTGTTATGTACCAAGCTCCATTCCTATCTGCCTGATGAAGCACAATTTCACACAGACCTGTTCTGAAACTTCTTGTGGAAGCATAAATTGTACCAACTGCTGTCTGATCGCAGTGTTGTTTTCGTTTACACTCTCAAGTGACGCAGCGAACACAACTAACGAACATTTCTGTAGGAGAATGGATTCGTCTCACTACCGGGACACCGAACCACCTATTAACAATGCTCCCGCACGGTGGGTTTTGAGTCTACTGAAAACCACCCCCATCCAGGTGGCACTGCTCCCCCACCCTTCCTATATTCTTTAATATAGAAAGGCTGCTCAGGTTATCATCACCCTCGGGACACCGTGGAATACGACAGTCTTATTCGAGAGTCATAGCAGCCAAAGCCAAGGGCATCCTCTGGCTCAAAATAGGTCGTGTATAGTGGGGGAGTGCAACCAGGATTGAAGGCGGATGACCACGAACCTTAACAACGCGAGGCACTCTTTCCACAATGATTGGGCCGCAGCAAGACGCGTCCTGGATTGGGCCTGGCTGCCGCTGATCAGGGGGCCGTGGGGGCCAACCCTCCTGTTTCCTTGATTATTCACTTTCTCCTCTCGCTCATCCCAGCCATGAGCTCTTCTTGAATATATAATATACGTCAGATCAACGGCCGCTACGATATCGCAAAAATATTTATCTATTCGTTCGTTCCGCCTTGTGCCTTTTCCTCGTGGTGACGGACATGCCTAGAATCACCCCTACGCCAGGTGCCGGACGAGGCGCAGTAGGGCGCACGCCGCACACATCAAAACCAAGTCTTCTCCAGTACCCTTGGTACATTCGCAACGTGTGGGAGAAGTGATTGCAGATCGTCTGCAACAACTTCTGTGTCTCTGAGCCGTCTCCCATTCAAGTTATGAAGGAGTTCGCTAATTAAATCCCTACCACACCCTCCCTCCCCTTGTTCCAAGCACGGGGAAGAGGTAAGCCCGCTAAGATTACACGAGATACTCGAAAATTCCTTCGTTAACCCAGGAGACCTTCCCGATCCATCTACCACGGTAAGCAAGTCGGCTCCTCCCATGGTCGCAAGGCCGAACATGAATCTGCCGCTCAGAAGGACGAAAATCGACGACGACGAGAATATCCCTGTGGATGCGGCTGTCCATCTTGCTTTCGGAGATTCCACTCGACATTTCCTCGCTTTGAATCAGGCACCCAAAATGCAGCCAAACGCCTCCGCCGAGACCTGCGAAAGAAGAACGAGACGGGATTCACTACTCGGCACTGCTGTGCGCCAGCAAGCTAGCTACAGCAACATTGGGGCACCATTGCCCACCGTTTGAGGTGAGCTCTCTTTTGTTTTAGCTTTTCGGTCTTTCCAACTGCGCTTTTTTCGGCCGACATTTCAAATATAACTGTGAGCTCGGACCATGGTTCGCGTGGCATCGAGTCGACGTCTTTCTTGCCGCCGGCCAGCATTCATGGTGTAAGGTTCATTCTGGTACCCCATCGACAAGGCCAGGTGCGCTCTTACAGCCGCGGGTGGCGATGCCGACGGGGCTCGTGGGAGCTCTGCCACGGTAACGATTTGTCTCCTCGTCGGGACGGCTCCTGGCAGCACGGTCTGGTACGGCAGCAACTGGGTTCTCTTGAACTGCTGCTCATTGATGATCCGGCGATTGTACATCCACTTCATCAGGCCGAAGTCGGTCCTCACCGTCGCCAGCTGTTGCCCCTGGCGGAAGTGGTCGTGCACCATATGGGACAGCATAGTGTTCCACGCAAAGGCAGGGTCGTCCTCAGGGCGCGAGACGTACTTGTTGTCGCAGAGGAAACAGGTGGCGAAGGTCGGCAACTCGTGACCCCGGAAGTGCGAAAACACATGCATTTTGAAATGGATGATATCCGCAAACACTTGGTCGCAGTCGAGGATCTGGAACGGGCAGAGCAGGTCGGCGTCCTCGTGGTAGCGACATGGCACCGTCAACACACCATCTTGTGACTCCAACATGTATCCATCCCCCAGTATGCTGCTGGCCATGTCTGTGTCTGCCGACGACGACGCCCCCGAGGAATCCGTCGACGTCGCCCGGGTCAATGGAGGTACGGCATCTGTGGCGGTTGTGGTGGCGGCGGTGGAGGCCAGGGATGCGGCGTCGTCATCCTGAATGACCTGCACCGCCGTGGCGGATCTGGTCCCCGTACTTCTGGAGTACATTCAAGCTGCTGGGGAAAAACCCCCCCGGCCCGGCACTCTTTGTCCCCTCTCGATAGGGCAGGTTTGTGGGAGGACTGGGGTGGCCGGATGCTACGAGTTGAACAGGGTGTGGGTGTGGGTGTCCAGATATGTGCGATTTTACAACGACAGCATCGAGGCGAGATCGTGGACAAACGTGAGAGACTGGACACACGATGGCGGACAGCCCTGCACTTGAGAGTGAGCATACATGACGCAGAAGCCGACCTGTTCCAGCTGGTGGTGATGGTGGTAGTGGTGGTGTGGTTCGACTCACCAGAATCATTATGTCGGCATGGGGGGGAGGGAAGGGGAGGTTGCCGGTGCTGGAAGTCACGCTATCGATAAGCCCAATCGGGCGATGGGTGCGGGGGTGTATTTCGTCTGGCGGCAGCCGACGACACCGAACGTTTTCAGCTCCCACCTCTCCTCAACAGAGACGAAGACGGGAAAACCCGCAGTGATGCAGGGGAAGAAAAGCACGCAAGAGAAGGTCGAGTCTAAAGACCTCTCTCTGGAAAGATCGGGGTTTGTCTCAAAGAAGTCTCGTCGGAAGCGCGGGACGGCGACGGCGCACAAGGTAAAAAAACGGAAGAAGATCAAGATGCATGTCAAAAAACTCGACAATCGTCGCAGATCAAAGGGCCCAGAGCGCAGAGCCGGCACCAGCACGGGGAGCCTCAAAAAAGAAAAATATCGACAAGTAGTAGTCAACGACCCGTCTTTCTGGCTGGCAACTCCGCATCCCGTGAGCCAGAAAAGCGAACCTGTCAGCTGCTGCCAGCACATCAGCGTCTTCCTTGCCGACCGATCGAGGTGATTGGATTGGTTGCATACCGGAACGCACAAGGGATTGCTAATCAATCAGCCCTTGCTTGTTAGGCCATTTTTTGGTTAGGTATGCAAATACGGACTGCATGTGGGTTGCAGACACGCCACATGGCTGAAACTTATGGTGGAATGCATTTATAGTCTCGATTGAAAAAGGAAAGGTGGGAATACCTGCCTGTTTGCTGGTATGCCATCGAACCATTCTCTACATTTGAGCGCGAACCACGAAGAGCAGAGGGTACCGAGTACTTGTAGTGGTACATGACACATAACATGGATCGGCTTCGGATCGGTGCGGTTTTGCGCCACTGGGCAGCACCATCGCCGAAGATCCGATGGCGGGAGAGGAGCGCTGATCCTAATTTCACCCGAGCTAGTAGTTCCCATCACAATCAGAACCGTACTATTGTGTTTTGCAGACGGGCCCCGATCCTCGATACAGCTGAACAGAAACTCACTGGTGCATATTCACCCACAGCCTGCCTGCCTGCCGCGAGAACTGACCGAAAAATCGTGTAAGGAGTAAAAAGACAGAAGAATCGACGCGCTCAACCCAAGAAGGCCTTCGTGCTGGCATCCGCCTTGACGATGACCGGTAGTATGTCGCTGCGCCAGACCCTCTCACCAAATTCCCGTCCCTCTTCAGTCTTCAGCATCGGTCCGGGCTCAATACTCGGTCGTTCTTCCACATCTCTCCGTGGGTCTCTTCGCCGCGCACCAGGGCCGTGATGTAGCTATTGGCGCCCTGCTCGGCAGTCCGGGCGAAGATGCTGTAGAGCAGCCACTGGATGAAGATGATGAAGAAGTTGGTGCGCACCTGGCGTCCCAGGTCGCTCTTGCACAGGCCCGGGCAGACCGTATTGATGATGACTTTGGCATGGCCGTCGACATCCTTGACGGCCGGTGACGCTGCGAGGTGGCGCACCGCGTACTCGAGCAGCAGCTTGGACCGGGCATACTGTGTGGCTCCGCCCGCGATCCCCGGAGGCCAGTTCTTTTGCGCACTCAGCTCCTCGAGTGGTGTTTCGCTGGCGATGTACGTCTCCATCTGCGACGGCTGGACGGTCCAGGCGGTGCCCGAGGACACGAACGAGAGGTGTGGTTTATACCCTTTGTTCTTGCCCGAGTCTGCTGCGGCGGTGAGCAGCGGTAAGACAAGGATCCCCAGAAGGAACGTGCTGAGGGTGTTGACTTGGAGTGTCTCCTCCCAGCCATCACTGCTCTGGCGATATTTGGAGTTCATCATCCCGGCGTTCAATATGGCCCCGTCGAGGGCCGGGAATCTAGATTTGAGAGTCTCTGCAAAGCGTTGAACTTCGGCGAAAGATCCCATGTCGAGTACCATGGGAATGATTTCTGTCTTCGGGGCTGTGGCATCTCCCGACGAATGAAGTTTTACGAACTCTTCGATCTCCCTCTTTGCGGCCTCGCCCTTAGCCTCATTTCGTGCTGTAATGATGAGCCTCTCCGCGTGAAGTGCCGCAATTTTCTTTGCGGCTTCCAGCCCCAAGCCTGAGGTGGCGCCCGTCAATAGAATTGTGCGCGAAGCAAAGGACTCCGTCACAGGCTTGGGTGGATTGAGCTTTTGATCAAGCATACGTTTTAGGCCGAAGACCGCCATCGCGAGTCTGTCTCAAGAGATGGTTTGTTGGTGAGTGGTAATAGGTTGCGCAATGCTAGTAGTCAGGAAGAGGTGTGAATGCCATGAGCACTAGGCACACATATAATATAGTCGTTGTGGTCGACGCCAGTGACTCTCCGTCGGACTTGTAGTTTATCCGCAGGGCTGAGACCCCGGTGGATCGCTGACCAAGAGAGGCTCCTCCTTCCTCAATAATGGGCGGCTCCCCCAGGCAGACGAGTGTGCGACGAATCCTACTTAAGCAACTCGGTGTTTTGCCGCTCCACCGATCTGGAAAGGGTGGAATACGAGAACGCCGCTCGGGAATAGTGCGGCTATTGACACAACCTAGTAGTAGGGAGAGCTTCTGCGCAAGATCTTGACGTAGATTTTGTGCTTCCGTGGCATGAATATACCTCTTGTAGAGAGTGGTCGAGTATGCCTCTGAAATACCTTTTCAATAAGTGACCTGACCATCCACTGACGACAGAAGGAGGAGGAAGAATTGCCAAGAGACATAGACGTCAACGATTCGTTGCGAGAGCCGCGCGCCTATATACGGCGGAGCACTACTTCAGGCTGGACCATACTGCCCCGTATAAACTACTTGTGCGCACTACCCCGTCAATGCAGTCAACATCCCACCACACTTCCATCGAATCGTCTCGCATAACAGAGGAAGGAGTGTGGACAAACTTCCCTTATGAAATACTTCTGTGCACAGTAGCTGCGGCCATGGTCGAGACTGATATCGGCTGCTTCATACCTACCATTCCCGTATCTCTTAGTCCTCACCGATAACAGCCTTTAAACACCACCTACCGAAATCTCATCCCACACCTTCGTGTGTGTGTGTGTGGGTGGTTTCCAACATGGAAAACCTCAGTCTCAATGATCCTCCTCCACAGTCTGCCTCGCCACAACGGCCATCACATCCACCGCAGCAGCACCCACACCAACAGAGTGCGGCGGTGTTCCCGGGCCCGCCTCCCCCTCAAGGTGCTCCTCAACTACCGCCGCAAATGTTCACCACCGCGGCGCAGCTGTTGGACTTGACGGATAGTGCGTCCCTCTCACCCATCTCATGGAATGCCATGCCTCGCCTAGCAAAGGCTCTTTCTCTCACACACTTTGGTTTTATTTCTAGAGAAACTCCTCCTCGTCCTTCGTGACGGACGCAAGATCTTCGGCGTGCTCCGGTCCTGGGATCAATTCGCGAACCTCGTGCTCACGGAGACGAAAGAACGCTATTTCGTCTCCGTACCCTCGACGAGCCCCGCAGAACCACAGCAGACACAACCCGCTGCTCGCAACCTGTACTGCGACATCCCCCGCGGCACCTTTCTCGTGAGGGGTGAAAACGTCCTCCTTCTCGGTGAGGTGGATCTCGACAAGGACGACGATCCTCCTCCCGGATACGAAGAAGGGGACGCTGAAGAGGTGTTCCGGATCCAGAAGGAGGCGGAGACAGAAAGGAAGAAAAGGGATCGACTGAAACACAAGAAGACGGCGTGGAGGGACCCAGAGGGAAGTGGCGAGGTTCTGTTTTGATGCAGCGTATTGGTGGTAGGCTGAAATCAACCCTCCTGGCACTGATTGCCGGGGGGATGTATTCACACACAAGATGCAGGATGGAGGGCTTACTGCTGCAGCGACAACATCTCCGTTTTAGCGAGCCTCGAGCTTGAAAATAGCCAGTTCCTGTCGGTCGTCTGCGCCCTGGCACATACTGAGGGAACTCCAAAACTACCTGAGAGGACCTGGCGCAATTGCAGATGGATGAACTGTTAGCTGCTGTGTTTATTGGGAGGGCAACAAAAGTAAACTGCACGCAAAGAAGTGCAACTCGGAAGAACTAGGGAGCAGAATATTGTGAAATGCTCCTCTGTTATTTGACGGCAGGAAGGAATAGATACAAGTGTTTTCTTTCGATTCGGATGACTCTGTCTCCGGCAGCAGGCAGTAGCAACAATCAATGCCGTTACTGTGGTGTATGTGCTCCGATGGATTCGAACCTTTCCGCAAGACATGAGTTCAGGTGGTCTCCGCTGCTCTCATTCTGCTTCCTGCCTTCCGCCCTGCGTAGTCTTATGGTGGCGTGAACATGGGAACGGTCTGCATTGGTTGCGAGGCACACCCTCGGTTTCTCTCCCGTCATTCAACGAAGGAGAAGGTCATCCAGCACGAGCCTCATGCGTTCCTCCATTTTCGGGTCTGCTGGAAGAACAGGCGATGGCCATGGCGCGTTTTCCACCCGGACGGTCCTGTTGTTCGCGCATTTGTCGTCGATGTGTCCTCATCTGCGTCGTCGCAGCATGTGCCTGTTCCTAACTCCTTTCGCTCGGCTTGATCTGAACCGAACTGCCAGCGGTGTGCTCCCCTTCTCGACACCTTCCGCTCTCTTTCTGCTTTCCTGAAGCTTCTCAGCTAGAAGGTAACCGTGCCAACCAGTTCAGCACCATCATCGCCTGGGTGATCGCGACCTTCTGCCCAAACCTCACGCCGTCCCAACTGTTGGCCTGCACGGTCATGTTCCACATCCGCATCACGTCCACGTCGTTGTCCTCCGCCACGCCAGCGAGACGGCGGTCAAAGTCCCATATCTCCTGGTTGCCCTTCCTGCCACGGATCTCGGTGTGGCCCGAAGCACTGGGGCCGATCCAGAGCATGGGTGTCTTCCTGTGGGACGAGTCGGCGAGGCCCAGGAACTCTTCGAGCGAGGAAATGGCGGTCTCCGGAGTCGCTGTGTTGGGAGACAGACCGTGGACGATGGGGATCGGGTGATAGTTGGACCGTGCCACGCGAGGGACCAGCTGCTTGAACTTTTCAATCACTGGAAACGGGGCTGGGGAGGTGTTGACGTCGAGGAAGGCATGGGCTGTTCGGCTGCAGAGGTAGGGTCGGTCGGCTCGGCCTGAGGGATGGCCGGTAAGTTCGCCACTCGACGTGATCAAGTGCTCGGAACAGGTCTGCGAGGTGAATTGACTGCCACAGCTGCATTGGCGAAGTGTTTCCTTATCCATGTTCCAGGTCTTCAGGGCCCCGTGAGTCAAGTCTTGTCGGAGGAGGATGCTGAATCCGTTATAGATGGCCTGGAGGCTGTAGTCGCCCGCGAAGACGACGGCGTCAAAGCGTTCCAGGATCATGCAGATTTCCTCCACCGAGTACCAGCGGTAATGACAGTCTAGGCAACAGAGGGTCAGCGGGAGCATGATCCACGTTTTGTATGCCACAGCATTCTCTCACCTCTTGGGAAGTATGGTGCATCAAACCCGATCCGTCCCCCATTTGACATGGCTTCCAGGAGTTCCTTGCGTCGAGGACAGTAGACATGACGAGCACCCTGTGATGGCCGACCTTGCGAAGGAGCGTGGTACAGATCGACGGCGCGAATATTGCACTCGGAGGATCCACGAAAGGAGCCGAAGTAACTGTGTGGTTTCGATCTCAGATTGGCAGCCTACGTGACAAACAGCCGGTCAGCACTCACCTGTTCAGATCCTGGGAGACAGCAGGTATTCGGTCGGATTGTCGGATTGGAGTCCAATTCCCAGACAAGGGCAGCACGCAGTATGTGAGATACAAGATGAAGGCAAAGTAGAGACAGGACACCACATGGTACATGATACGCGGGAAGGTCAACTCGCTGAAGTAGTCAAGTCCGTCCCTGATCCTCCATTTCAGACGGGTGAAGAGGGGAGCTCTAGCTTCTTCCATCGACAGTTCCAGGTCATCCTTTGCCATCGTGACAGAGTTCTGGAAGGGTCAGTACGCAGGTGAGCACAGATGGGCAGTCAAAGACGCGAAATGTGCCGAGATGGGAGGAGTTTGGACAAAGCGGAGACCAAGGAGAGAGATGATGTCGCCGGTGCGGTGACTCAGCTACTGGAACAACCTGTCTTCGGTGAAAGAAGAGCATTTGCTTGTGATGTTAATTTGAACATGGTCTTGTCAACCTCAGCCATTTTTCTCTCCTCCCTTAGTCGAGTTAAGTGCCCTGACAGTTGCACTGGTGAGATCTGGTAGCCCATTCACTCATCCACTTCCCCACTCAACTTCGTCAGCCTCGTCTCCAGGGGATATATATATATATATTTCTCTCTCTCTCTCGATGAGTGATGTCCAACTCTTCCGCACACTGCAGCCAGATGCCTCGTCCTGGTAGCAGGAAGCCCCAAGCTCTCGCTGATAAATGTTCACACACAACAACAAAGAGGGGTCAAAACTTCTTGGGGAAACATACACAAGAGAGTAGAAGTTCACAAAGGCAATGATCACCCATGCATCGGGCTCTGAGTCGACAACACTTCTTTGCATGCCTGGGACCCTCACTGGCATGGTCAAGGGTCATTCGGATATTTCACCAGGTGTAGACGGATTGGAACGAAACCTGCATCATAGAGGTGGCAATGGCACCAAATACACCCAACAGGTAGCCGGTGCACCCTCAGCCCGAAAGACACTGCCATCTCGTTCCAGCTTCGCGCTGGACAACTGTCCAAGCAGGAGGAGAGTCCATCATCGTTCCAGGCCAGTCAAGGGCGATGAGGGCTACCTGGACCAACAAGGCCCGATCTGGAGTGTATAAAGCCTCCTAATACTTGCTCCATGGCTTCAGGAGACTCTTTGCAGATATTTTGAATCTTCCAACGCCCAAATCATCCAACCGGCCATGATACCAGGTGGCGCCGGCGGGTTCCGTCGTGAACCGGGTTTCGAGCATGGAAATCATCCGACACCTTCAAACCCGGGACAGACGAGGCAAGCAACAAGGATGGACAAGTATGGCCTCCAGGGAAGCTCGAATGACCTCATGTTATGGCATGAAATGGCGCTCTCGACGGCGAACCAAAGATATGAGCGGTGACAACAAAGCAAACATCAACCTAATGGAGAAGTTCGATATTCGGCGGTGGCTCGGAGATGAAGGCACCTGACCACAACAAGTCGCGAGCCTCGTCGGAAGGAATGACGCAGACTGGAGCCATTGGGGGCGAACCGGGGCAAAGGGAAGCATAGAAGGCTGGAGGTTGACGATGCCCCGAAGGAGAGAAGGAGAGAAGACCAGCCAGTCCATGAGCCCGAGATCCAATCACCGCGGGCTCTGGAGCAAACTCCACAGTCATATGTTTCTGGCTCGAGAGAAATCTCCCCCACAGCCGAGAACACCCCCCCAGAGGACGGACCAAAGCCAGGGCTAGGGCCAGGCCCAGAGCACCACCGCCGCCTATAAGCAGCACCGCAAAGCACCAGCCTTCGTCCCCGGGCGGCGGTTACCCTTGTCCCTCTCTGGTTGCTGCTCACACGCACGAGTCACATACAGAATCACCTGTCACCTGCGCCGTCCAGCTTCTTTTTTTTTTGTGCCCTTTTCCCATGCTGCGCTGCACTGCTCTGCATCACCTCTTTCTCCTTCACACATTGACAGGAGGCCCGTTGTCACGACGCTCCCAGTCGAAGAGAAGCCTCATCCAGCCCACCTTGAGCGTCTTTCGTCACTGACGCACGCTGCCTCGGCACCCTACCTTGCCCTCCAACGGTCGGAGAACATCGGACCTTGACCCTCCACACGTTCCTGGCTGGATTTCGAGTCATACTACTGCCGCAAGTCTATTGTTGCTGTCTCTCGATCCATCCTTCAGGTCCTTCGAATTGTTCGTCCCTACCGAAGCAGGCCGCAAGGCCTGAACCTCGCTCAAGATGTCGTGGAGGCCCACTGAGAAGCTCATGCAAACCATTGGACACTATGCCAGCTTCCCGCCCACAGGTGTCAGTCTTCGACAGATGGTCCAGTTCGGAGAAAAGCCTTCTGCTGGTATGTTAATGCAAGAGCTCGTCCACTGCGGAACTCATGGCTGATTCTGCGTAGGAACTCTCTTTCGTGCGTCACAATTTCTCTCAGAAGAGCTTCCAGTTCGTCTCGCACACCGTGTAGAAGAGCTGGATAAACTACCCGATGGCCTCAATGACATGCCCTCCATTAAAAAGGTGCGAGACTGGTACGCTCAATCCTTTGAAGAAATCACCACCCTTCCGCGACCTTCATTAGACACCGAAACCCGAGATCGCCTCCTCAACCCTCCCAAAAAATCCAGCACCAAACTCTCCGCCACCACGCGGAACCCCAGTCTGAAGGACCATGGCAACGGCAACGGCAAGAGCGGGATGAACACGCGTCGCTATTTCGCTGCTCTGGACGACGGCAAGGAGTGGCCTCCCGTCCTTTCCGAATACAACCGCAAGTTCGCTCGGACTTTAGAAATCATCAAGAGAAGACACGACCCGGTGGTCACCACAGTGGCTCAAGGAATCAATGAGTGGAAGCGTAAACAACAACGCATGCAGATCGATTCGTCGATCCAGTCCTTCCTCGATCGATTCTACATGTCCCGCATTGGCATACGGATGCTTATTGGGCAACACATTGCTTTGACGGATCAGACCACCAACAGACACCCCAATTATGTGGGCATAATATGTACGAAGACCAACGTCCGAGAGTTGGCAGAGGAGGCGATTGAAAACGCCCGATTCGTGTGCGAGGACCACTATGGCCTGTTTGACGCTCCCAAAGTCCAGCTCTTCTGTCCCCCCAACCTCACCTTCATGTACGTGCCCGGTCACTTGTCGCACATGCTCTTCGAGACCCTCAAGAACTCACTGCGAGCCGTGGTGGAGACGCACGGGGCTGAAAAAGAAGAGTTCCCGGTGACCAAGGTGATCGTCGCCGAGGGGAAAGAGGATATCACCATCAAGATCAGCGACGAAGGAGGTGGAATCCCTCGATCCGCCATTCCGCTCGTTTGGACTTACATGTACACTACGGTCGATACCACACCAGAGTTGGATCCGGGTTTTAATGCTAGTGACTTTAAGGCGCCGATGGCTGGGTTTGGGTATGGTTTGCCCCTTTCGAGATTGTATGCACGGTATTTTGGCGGCGATCTAAAATTGATTTCCATGGAAGGGTGAGTCTCCTTTTTGTTGTGGTTTATCGAATGCCATGTCGCTAACAGGGCTCTGCAATAGATACGGGACCGACGTCTACCTCCATCTCAATCGACTTTCCTCGTCCGCAGAGCCTCTGCAATAACAATTAGCAGTCATGAGGGACAAGGGCGGATCCCAAGGATTGGCGTTAAATAGGAACAACAAGATTGAGTCTGGTGGCCCGAGGAACTCCATCCCGGGCATCAGCAGTGGACGCCTGGCCGCCGTGCGTTCACGATTGAGGAGCAGGGAGGTGACGGAGAGGAAACAAGTGGGAGACGCGGAGAGCATGATCAACGAGGAGCCCAGCGTGGTACAGCCAGGAGGGGCGAGCCAGTGGCTGGAATGAATCTGGGAGGCCATCATGGAAAAAGTCATTGTCGATAGGAACACCAGACAGAGGAATCAAGTGGCTTTTGCTATTAGCCGGGATGGCATCGACGTGCCTCCTCGTTCAAATGCCCACTCGCTTGTGCTTTAAGGACAACATCAGCCTCGTCCCCGTCACCACCAAAGTGCTATACTATGAGTAAAGAAGAAGCCCGCCAAACCGGCAGAGCACCCACTATTCCCGCCGTGTTACCCGCCCAGCACACCCGTGACCAATATTGAATCTATCCATTCAGCACGTCGCTAGGTCATCGTAACCCAATGGCCACCCTATGCAGCATTGGAACCACCGGGCTCTCAGAGGGTTATCATTCCGTGTTGGGAATTTCGTTATGGCATCAGCCTTCGGCAACAAAATACTGTACTTCCCGTTTGTGTTGATATTTCCCCGAGGCTGCGGTGGGGGTAAATACTCCGTTCCGATTTCCTCCGATGAGGAACCTCCGGTCGATGCCAAGAGCGCCAAGATACACCGAGTACCCACAATTGAACTCCAGCCTTGTGGCGCCAACCTCCATTTACTCAAACCAGAACACCACCACTGCGAAATGCTGGGTTTGGAATAATCGTGTTGGATTTCAAGACACTTTCAGACGCTCAACGCAGTGCAGAGAAGCCTTGATTCCCTCTCTGCACATCCTCAGTCCCGCATGGTATGTTTTCAGGCTCTCCTACCACGCTCACAGAGAAAGGCACTAACCCATGCCTCTAGCACGTGCCAGGCTCATGCATCCATGTGAGGCTCACAGTACCAGTCTCGACGTCTTTCCCTGGAGGCGCGTCGAGACACTCCACAATGTAGCGAGCCACCATGCCGTCTCCAACTTCCATGTGGAACAGGTAACGGAGGCTCTTCCACTCCAGGCCACCACCTGTCACTCCAACGAGGCCTTCGTCCTGATCAGAAATTGGTCTACTAGGGACTGGGCTCTGTCGCGAGCTGATGCTCTTTCTCTTCCCCAATCCGGTTCGTTTGGCCGATTGCATGGCTTCCATGTAGCGCTTTTTCTCCGTTGGCTTCCGAGTTCTTTGAGCAGCCGACGTATTCCGCCAACGCCAGCATTCTTCGTTTTCCCTGAACAGACTCGCGAGAATCCTACCTGCGGGTGGTCTTCATTGAAAGTTTCAAGGGAGTCTTTGATCGACCTTGAATTTTATCACCTCCCACAATTGACAGCCTGGAAGATGTTACTCAGTACTCGACGAATACGAGCTTGGGACTTGCCTTCGTTTTTGGGATGATCTTTGGGGAAGTAGTCTTCCACATTATCTTTAACAGAGTACAGAGGCACGATGATCTCCACAACATGCTCGCTGGGATGGAAACTTTTGAAAAACTCGATGGGATTGGGATCAACGAGGTATGCACCCTGCAGCAGGTAGGTCAATATGCAGTCCAACAGTGCAACCGGATTTCGTGACAGCATACCTTCTTCAGAAGAAAAGTCAAACAATCGTCCACCAGGTACTCTATGGTCAGGGGATCTGGTTCAGGCGCTTTGCGTGGATGAGCCGGGCACTCCTTCGTCCAACTTTCCTGAAGGGCCACGCCTATGCTACAACGGTTAATGCGGCGAATGTGTGCGTGAGCCATCGAGGAGGAGTAGATGCATCCTTTGACAAGGCCACAATCACTTAAAAACAGTCAGTAAACGCAGTATCCGGCGCCTTTCAGGGCTCGAACGGGGTTACGAATTCGACAACGTCCTTTTTTCTCGTGGGAAATACCCTTCGAATTTCAACCCGGCCCAATTTGTCACGAATGATGCCCGATTCTGATTGAGTACCTACCTACCTACTAACGCTGGCTGTGACTTTACGTGGGCAAACGCGCCCAAAAAATGCATACCGAGCCCCGACTGGTCAATTTGGCAGCAACGTCGGCTCCCTCTACTATCAACAAAGACGAATTGCCTATTTGGCTCTCTGAAATACGCCGCGCCGCGTTGTTGTTTTCCTCGTGCGAAGGAGAGGTGTTTACTATCATAGATTTCTACCCGGATGCCCTTCACACTGCCCGTTACTGTTGCAGCAGGAGAATTGACAAATAAAAAGTCCCGAGACACAACCAAAGAAAAAAAAAGCAACCGGGAATCGGAGAGCACTGGTAGAGAGAGACGATTCCGGAATTTCAGGGAGCATTTACGCCCTCGATGCGCAACGGCCTGATTCTCCTTGTCGTACCATTGGCCAATTCTATTCAGCCCTTCTGATCACCAGTCTTCTTCCGTCGCTAAAGTATTGTGAGTTGAACAAAGAAGTCTTGTCCCTAGCGAACAGGGACGGCATATCACAGGTAACGACATGCTCTAGAGACTCCACCAACCCCGCAGCCAGTGCCCATCGTCACCGCCGACCTCATTGCTCAAGATATATCCAATTAAACTAACCCCCTCTGACCACTGAACGTGTTGAGTCATCGAGGGTGGTTCTGTAGGTTGATGAAGCTTCTCCGGACTGGGGCACAGAACTACGCGACATATCTGCTTACTACATAAGGGTTCACTTCTTCACCTCACATCCCAACCCACAGCACTGTCCACTCTCCCTCCCTCAAGGCATCATCTCATCTCGTCTCGTGTTCACACGTTCTCGTCGTCGACCTTTTCAAAATGGCAACCGTCGAAGAAAAGAATAAACAAGTCATTACCAAGTACTTCACCGAATACTGGGGCAAGCTGAACCCGGGCATCGTCGACGAGGTCTGTGCAGACAACGTGTTCCAATCATACCCGATGCACGCCAACCCGAAGAAGGGCAAGGCTGCGGTCAAACAAGCCATCGTGGATTTCAAAGCCGTCAGTAGTTATTACCACCACCGCCACGACCCTTGATCGTGATCCGACAAAGTTGGGCTAATCGAGACTGTGTCGGCCAAAAAACAGGCTTTCCCGAACCTAGGTTTTAAGACCTACGGGCCCTACCCTCTGATCGCCGAGGGCGACTACGTGTTTGGTCGTTGGATCGGGGGAGGCACGCACACCGGCACGCCGTTTGACGATTTCTCAGTGGGCGCCCTGACCGAGCCCAATACCGGCAAGCAGATGTGGTTCTCGGGCATGACCATCTTCACCCTGAAGGATGGGAAGATTGTCAAGGAGATCGGAGAAGAAGGAGGGCTCACGGCGTTGCAACAACTGGGCCTCGTCGAGGCACCGAAGAAGGGGCGAGAGATGTTCTATGATGTTGAGAACATGTAGGAGAAGTCCCGCTGGAAAGCAATACAGACCTGTGGTGGTGATCCCATTAAGGACGGTGGACCCAAGCCCTCTATGAAATGCCTTCTTTTCGCCAAAAAAGGGGTTGTTGTTGGAGTAGCAAGTTAAAGCAGCATAAGATCATAGTGTACCTCGTATTTATTAAGCTAGTTCCAGCCTCGTCCAATTCTTGGCAGCCTGGAAGCACGTGCCTCGGACAAGATCAAGCGTCGACGACATTCATTCATCTTTGCTCGAGCCGTTGTCTTCGTCTTGCTCGTCCCATCGCCCACAATGGAGACCGCAATGAACTGATCAAAGCCCCATAATCTGCGACACCTACAGGCATTCATCCCTTGATGCTCGAGCATGGCGCCGAGCGAATATATATCCGCGGGCTCTGGCAAACTCAAGCTTAAGGGCGTGAAGGACGCCAAGGTCGACAAAAAGAAAAAGAAGAAGCAGCAATCGTCCTCGTCGTCGTCTTCCAAGGCGCGGGAAGACGATGCTGCTGCTGCAGATCGGGCGGAGGGCGAAGGCACCGAGGATCCGTTCAAGGACCGGTCGGTCATGTTAAGGAAATTAGAGGAGGAAGATCAGATGATTGCGAGCGAGGCCGGGGAGAGTGTACGAAAGCGACGAAAGGCCGACTCAACTGTAGGTGGCAGCGACGATACACGGCCCGACGAGGGAAGGGAGGAAGATGGTGGTCTTGTCAAGACGGAAGCAGAGAGGCGGTATGAGGAGCAGAGACGCAGAAGGGTGCGTTCTTTCTATTATTTCATTCCCTCCCTCCTGTTCCTGCCCGGATGGGCTTCTATCTCATTGAGATCTGCGAGGGTCCCGTGCTGACATACCACATGGGTGACTCTAGCTGGAAGAACGCCTGAAACGAGAAGGCGTTAAGACACACAAGGAGCGCGTGGAGGAGTTGAACCGATACCTGAGCAGTCTGAGCGAGCATCACGACATGCCGAGAATAGGACCGGGATAATGTGGGCTGAACGAAATGGGCGTAATATTGGGAATATGCCCGCAATATTGGGAGAACACATTCTTACGTCGGTTGCAAAGACAAAGGGTATCTTGCAATTTCTGTGGTTGGGGGAGCCAAGCTGTCACCACAATGTCCAGTAATGAGCAGCATCAAATTGTCGAGGATTCCAGCGGTTCTGAAGGCCACCCTTGGATTGGGAGGACCGTGGCAGGGGAACATTGCGAAACATGCTACTTCGGATGCAGAAGGCGGACGAGCAGGATTGGGAACCCTCACAAAACTTTATGATCAAGAATTTCGAATAAACAATGAATCGGCCTGTCTTGCAATTCTGCTGTATCCTCTTTTTATGTACAATAATGTTGTGTCCCCCAGCGTCGAAGTTTCTTCACCGCCATCGCAACCACTAATCTCCGTACTCCGCTCGTCCGGGTTTCGAGTTGAGATATTCGTTCCTGTGTCCGCAATACTGGTCAGTATCCAACTCCACGCTTACCCCTCATCGATGTCCATCTCGAGCTCGCACACACGCACCTCTCTGTAGCCCAGTCCATGGCAAGATACGCGATCAACAAGGGAGGCACCCAGTACAGAACCTGGTTGCGCGACCGGCGGAAAATGTTGAAGATGCCATCCGTGATCATGGTCGACGTCGGGTTCTGGCGGTTCGGCGAAAGGGCGTATGTGACAATGTTCTTCTGTGGCGGAGAGCCTGTTCCTAGATTAGCAATTGTTGCGCAACAAGGACAAGCTGGCTCGGGAGCACGATGCAGCAGAGTTGCTGGGTCGGAGTGGAGAGCTTCAAGCTCTGGGTGGGTGCATACCTAGGTTTCCCCACGAGCCCATGTACCTTTACGCAGAGTCTGTTAGTTCTTGATCGCACGGAAAACAGAGCTTTGGTGATATGGACGTACACTCCGTTCTTCGGGTCTGGGCCATGACCAGAGCGCAGGATGCGGCTTGCTTGCATCCGCAGAGCTGCGGTAGGACGCATTGTGAGGGATGCTACTATGCAACCAAGGAGAAATCCACGGTTTGGCAAAGTGGCTGTTGTCAAAGGTCAACGATCGTCGTCGTGGTTGGAAGATGAAGGGAGGAGAGAAACAGCTCAGAGCTCCGGGGCCGCAGTCTCGAGAATTGCTTGGCTCGCTTATGTAATGGACTAGCAAGCTCCCAGGCTGCGCATGGCTGCGGAGAACATTATTGCATCTACGACTTCATCGAAAGTTCATGACCTACAGTAGAATTCACTGTTGCATGGCTGCAGCTAGACAACCTTGAACACAACCCTCCATATCCTCCCTGAATCTCGCCCACCATGTCTGCGCCGACCGTCCTCAACGCCATTTCACGATGGGCCATCCCCGTGTTCATCGGTGCCTCGTTAGCACAAAGTGCCATGTACGATGTGAGAGGAGGCACGAGAGCCGTCATCTTCGACCGTCTTTCTGGTGTCCAGGAAAAAGTCATCAATGAAGGCACCCATTTCCTCGTGCCGTGGCTGCAGAAAGCAATCATCTACGATGTGCGGACGAAGCCTAGAAACATCAGCACCACCACCGGGAGCAAGGACTTGCAGATGGTGTCACTGACACTGAGAGTGCTCCATCGCCCCGATGTCCAGAACTTGCCCAAGATTTACCAGGTAGACTTCTCCATTTAGAGATCTTCTCCTATGAGACCTCACAAGCTGACGATGACCGCCAGTCTCTTGGTCAAGATTATGACGAGAGAGTCCTCCCGTCGATTGGTAACGAAGTCCTCAAAGCCATTGTGGCGCAATTCGACGCGGCAGAACTCATCACCCAGCGAGAAGCCGTCTCACAACGCATCCGAGCCGACCTGACCCGTCGGGCGCAGGAATTTAACATCGCCCTCGAAGACGTCTCCATAACACACATGACCTTCGGCCGCGAGTTCACCCGGGCCGTCGAACAGAAACAGATTGCGCAACAGGACGCCGAGAGAGCGAGGTTCATCGTCGAGAAGGCGGAGCAGGAGAGACAGGCGAACGTCATCCGCGCCGAGGGTGAAGCTGAATCGGCAGACATCATCAGCAAAGCGGTGGCTAAGGCGGGAGACGGGTTGATCCAAATCAGAAGGATCGAGGCGAGCAAAGACATCGCTCAGACCTTGGCTGCGAATCCCAACGTGACCTACCTGCCGGGCGGTGGTGAAGGTGAAAATGGGAAGGGAAAGAGCACGGGCTTGTTGCTGGGCTTGCGGGCGTGATGCAGCAGCGCCGTGAGTCCTGGGGAGAGGGGGGAAGAAAGAGGGTTTGTACTGATATGAATTTCACCAACAGCAGTGTGAACTGTGCTGTCTTAAACTCTGTGGCATTAAATAGTGACCCCAAAAAGACCTCGGACTGAGGGAGATTCTCAACTTTCACACACAAACACACACACACAGCAAACTTCCCATTGTTTCCAAGTAATGGGCCAAAATCAATCCAACCACATTCTTCGCCGCCAGTCGTTGAGATATGGACCAGGAGTACCGCAAGTTCCTGAGCTTTCCGTCTGGATCTGAAATGCATGAAAGTATCCTCTCCCTTCCCTCATGATAGGTTGAGCACCATTTCTGAGAGATACTCGTTGGTGACGGGGTGCTTTCCATCTAATCTGTCCTTACGACGGAGGTATAGGAGTTGCTCAGAAATCCCGGCGATGGGTTCTCGGGCCAAAACGTACAGACCTTCAGAGAGCTGCAAGGGCAGGGTCGGTCTATTGTTATTCAAGATCTAATTGCTCCGCAGCTAACTGACACTCGAAGAACAAGACTCCGCGATTCTTCCCCATCTATTTGCATCCTGTCCCCATGCCGACTCAAACTACACCAGCCAACAGAGACCACGTCAAACAAGACAAAAGAAAATAAACCAAAGGACCATCGCTCGCCTAGCGCGGAAAAGGAGCCCATCGGCGTGTTGGTGTACCAGAAACGACCCGAAATAGGCACGACAATCAATCCTTGAGCTTCCCATTGTTAACTTTCCTAGCCTGGCCCGGCCCTCAATGGATACGCCGAAACCGGTCAATGTCCTCTGCTTTCATGAGCCAGGTAGGACACATAAAAATACAAGAACGTCATAATGCATGATTTTGTGGGTTACTGGGACGCGCTGCTTTCGGAGACAAAGGACCAGGGTTGGGTTGGAAAAGCGAATAATTGACCACGAGGTTTCGACACAAAGGACAAAGTGTTATTGGGAAAAGAAGTGTCTCTTCTGGTAGGCGGCGGCTACCTTCAAGTCAGATGGGCAAATACTCTAGCAGTTTGAGCATTTGTTCGAAAGTAAAGTATCAATATATACACTATCAGAAGCGAACAATAATAGTATCCAACACACAGTAGATAGACTGCTCGCTGGGGGGAAAGGAGAAGAAAGATGGTTCAGTCACCCTCGAAGCAACATTGGATGAGTCCCAGGAGCTGCAATGAAGACTTTTCAATACTTCATCACCTTCCTCCACGGCCTGTAGTTGAGCTGTTGTCTCTTCGCCATCTTCTTGCTGCCCGAACCGCTCTTCGTCCACAGGCTGAAAGCCCCGGGACCTCCACACATCTCCCCTGCAGCCCCAGTGCATGCCATGTTGCAACTGCCCTCGTCCAACTGTGGTGTGGTGATCTCGTCACCACAAAAACACTGTCCGGCATATTCGGTGCCTGCAATGGTGTATCCGCGCGAATCACAGAATGAGACGCAAGCGGCGTTGCTCATATTGGGACCGTTGAAGTTGGACCATTGCGGGAGGGTGCGCGGGTTGACCGCGTCCGTGAAGCAGCCGGTGTACGACCAGGATGGGTTTGATGTCGAGGGCGCCCCGGAAGAAGCAGGTGCAGATGCAGGCATGGAAGACGAGGTTTGGGCAGGCTAGATTAACAGACTGTTAGATGGAAAATTCTTCGATTTTACCTTGGGTCTTCCGTGGACCTCCAACTCTGGATGGGTTGAATCAAGCAAGGGAATAGAGGAAATGACAGCAGGTGTAAGGGGTCAGGCGGGTGAAATTGTGCACAACGAAGAGAAGAAGGAAGTTGTGGAATAGGTGTCAGGGAATAGTGGTGTTGCTGCAAATGAGAGGAAGTTCCTGAGACAGGAGAATTGGATGCGTCAACGGCATCTGAGCCACACGCCGACGAGGCAACAGCGGGCGGGTAAACAGAGCCTGAGCAGGTGTCATTTGCATCCTCTTCTTCATCGTCCTAATCATTGGAGAGAGAATAAGCAGAAGTTGTATTTACCGAAACTGGGGTAGCTGCTGCCGACTCGGGCGTTTGTGACGAACTCGTAGCCGCGGAGGTTGCAATCGTGGCAAGGGTGGTAGGAGAGCTGGGTGCGGTGTACGGACCACTCGAGGACGTTGATGAAGGAGCAGCGGCAGGAGCGGCAGCAGAAGAAGATGAGACAACCGGCGGCGGATTGGCAACTTGGACGGAGCCGGAAGAGCTGGGACCGAACTGGGCGTTTGTGCATGAGTCACCTGAGCACTTCTGATATAGAGAGATGGTTCCTGAACCACCGCAGAACTGGGAGTCATCGCCAGCACAGGTCATGGTGCAAGACCCAACAACGCCAGGAACAGGCTGGCCGCTAGCGGGAATGGAGTTACCACCTGCGAAGAGTGTTAGCAGCTCAACTCCTGGGGAAGGAATGACAAATACTTACAATAACATTCGTCTGCATACTCGGAACCAGCGATGGAGAAGCCCTTGCTCTCACAGAAACTAACGCAGTTGCCATTGGTCATTTGACCGTTGGACTCGCTTGCACCGGTCAGAATACGGTTGTAGTAGTTGTCGGTTCCACACCCCATATATGACCATCCCTGGCTGGTCAGATCAGTGAAAAAGGTTGCGTTAGATGGAGTGATAGTGGTGGTGGCACCGCAGCCGGATTGGGGAGTGGCGGTAGGCCCAGGCTGAACGGGATTGCAACCGGGCAAGGCCGAGAGCAGGCCGCTGACTTGCTCGTCGACTTCAGGTTCGATACGGCAGCCTTCCGCTTGAGCGTCAGGGATGAGGTCGAAAACCGGGCAATCCTCAACCTGGCCACTGAGGTTGGTGCATTGGTCGACAGCAGACTGGAGCAACTCTGGATCCCAGCCCATGACGAAATCACCATGGCCACCATAGCCAGTAGGGTCGCCCATAGACCAAACAAATGGTTGTTCGTTCCCATACCACTGATCGGCGAATTTTCCAGTATCCCAGATGACCTCGTAGAAGATGGAGATGAGATGAACGGGAAAGTCGGCTGGGCACGGACCATTATTGTAAGCAGTTGCGGGATACGAGACGTGAGAGCTATGATCTGGAGAGTCCAAGTCCTTTCCATTCCAGCAAGATGGGAAGAAGACTTGGGATCGAAGGCCATCGGGGCAGTTGTAGTTCGGGAAGTTGGGGGTTTCTGGTTTTGCTGGACCGTTGTAGTCGAGGCAGTTGTAGCTGATCGCTTGGGTGGCAAAATCATCGCCTCCGGTGCGCTTGAAGGGATTACCGGCGATCATACGAAAGCCAGGAGGGAATGCTTTCAGAGCCTCCCCATCGCCACCCCGCTGGAGATAATACACAGTGGAGCCGCCCACCTGGTCGACGCTTTCGAAAGTCCCGTTCTGGTGCTGGAAGAACAAGGCTGGGATCCAGTAGTTGCTGAAGTCCCCTTTCACTGTGCAAGAAGAACAGGTAGACTCCTGGGTTGAGTTGTAGTCCATGGTGAAACCAAACCCATTTCCTCCCATGATTGTGTGCAAGTGGCCAGACACCATACCAGGGTTGACAATAGGGTCCGCACGCTCAACGACAATAGGGGACTTGCAGGGTAGCCGCCAGAAGGCTGACACCGGCGAGGCAGCAAGAGCGGCCACGAGGCCGGCAGTGAGAACAGACATGTTGCGTGTGGGTGCGACTGAGGCCGAGTTAGAATCGAAGTCGAGATTCTGGGAACGATCGACTGCTGAATACTATAAAAGAACGGCTTTGACAAAGGACTGGATGTACGACAATTTTCGCACAGCGAATAAAGAATGGACGGCGAGGGTCTCCGACTCTCGAGCCAATAAACGAACGTGGTTGCAACAAAAGGACGATGTCGAATAACAATGAAGAAGGATTGAGAAAGACACCTGCGAAACGAGGACATGATATAGGATATTTGGAGACACATCGCCGAGGTATCTAGCGCTACCATTGATGTCAAAGGTTAGAAGGTCTTGAAATTGCAGACCCTGACGTTACCTCTTCGGGAGCACAAGCCAGATCCTTCTGGACCTGTGCGTAATGACAAGCTCCAAAGGTATGCTACCTGTTGCAAGTGGCGTGTGTCTGTTCCACCCCGATTCAAGCGGCTGCTTACTGGTACAAAGCCGCTCAACGGCGGCCAGGTCCAAGTCTGTCAATTCTAGCCCACAGGGGACATTTCCATACTCCAGTACAAGTCAGGAAAGATGGGGCAGAGGGACTTTCTCTTACTGGTGGGGAGAAACGACACAGCGACGTCGTGCCATAGCGCGAGGGATGCCTAGGCGAAAAAAGGCGAAAGTTCTGCAGAGATGGACCTATGTGGGCCAAGGCTAGGAGTCTGCAACATGGGCATGCAAGATCGGCGGCCTGTTTCAAAGGATATTGAGGCTGCAAGATCGATTTAAAGGGTCGAGGGAAATCTGATCTTAGGAAGGAGAGAAGAACTGTTTCAGGTTGAGCCACATGAGGGCCAAGAGACCACGAGGCGGAAATCTCGGACTCAAACCTTGAGGAAAACATCCTGTTAGAACGTCTGCCCTCGAGGTATGCTTTTGCTCCATTTCTTGTTGCCCGTTTCTCGATCTGAAGCGTCGGCCACGGACGAGCCTGAGATATATACGGAACACCTCGTATTCCCTCCTTTTGTGCCCGCCTGGACTGATGTCGATTTTGCCTAGTCGCGGACTCGCGGAGATTCATCGACCAACTTCGGAATTCATTTGCGCAGGAGCGGCTCCTAGTCTCTTGGCATCGTCCTGCATGTCATATCACCGTTGTCTGAGATGCTCACTTCTGAAAAGGGGGTCGAGATAGCCCGCACCGACGATGACAAAGTGAGTTAGTGCTCCGTGTGTACCACGCAGAACCCCTGCATTGTTCCCCGGTATATCCGCCTTCGTTGAATGAACGGTCGAGCACGTGGCTGAAATGCGCAGACAGTAGCCGCCGGGTCGATTTCTTCAGCCCTCATTACACACGTCAGACCTTGACGACCTCGTCCTTGGTGGGTATCTCGATCCTGAATTCTGCAGAATCTCGGTCAACTCGGCCTCTTAGAGCAGCCATGGTCAGGACGTCTTTATTGAAAAGCGTGTGGCCCAGCTTTTCAACGTGAGCCCCTTGGGGGTCGCCAGGCATTCCGATAATGAAGATCTCTGCCTCGCTGAACTTGGCCTTGTCTTTGAGAGCTGGCAAGCGATGCTTGACAGCATCTGCACCCAGGACGGTGGCGATTTGAGAAATCTCACGCTCCAAATTTCCCAGGTCAGTTCGGAGCTGCTTCGTGAGAAAGATCGTGGTGCCAGAGAGTAGATGCGTCAGCCCGGCCTTACCCCTTCCAATGGCGTCCCTGAGGTTGAAACCCCACTGCCGCTCTCGAGATCTGTCCAGGGGCAGGTATTCTTCAATGGCTTGAAATCGCCCAAGTCGATGTGCGTCAGCAATCCATTTCTCGGTCACTATGTCTATTCCCATGGCCACGGCCATGATAAGCTTTCCGGTTCTCTTCAAAGGGCCTTCCGGAATGCACAGAATTGTCGACTTGGTTATCTCTGTGCTCACCTTGCCTCCGAGGCGCTCAAAGGTTTGCATTGCAGCCCTTTTCTCTTGGATGCTGGTACTGCCGCTGAAGATAACTACAGGAGCAACAGCAACAGTATATTTCGTGGGGGATGTCGACTCGTTTCCCCTGGCCATTCTTCTCATAGGGGATGATTGCTCGTCGGGTAGGCTGCGTTGTGGCTTTGCATTTGTTTCTGTCAATGCTTCCCGGGGGTTCGACTGCTTCGTTGATTGTTTGGTGCCTTGCCTCTTTTGCGTCCCCGTTTGTGTTTTCTTCTTAGGGGAATTGATGCCTGTAGTGCTACGATCGGTCGAAACGCCGTCGTCCCGTGGGCTGAACTGACTACGCACGAGTTCTAGGCTCGACTCCGCATTGTCAATGTCCCCAAGTTTTCTCTTGCCTCTTCGTCGCTCAAACGCCGACAGAGCTGTGGCATCATCTTTGCCTCGGAATATCTCCTGGACGTCAGAAGACCCTGAGGGAGCATCGATTGTGTCTCTTGCAGACTGAGGACGACGATCATGCGCAGGGGGCTTTTCAAAAACGGTAGATGTAAGTTTATCTGCATCAGGCAGCATACATGGCATCACAGAGTCGCCAGAGGCTGCGTCTCCGGTCACTGCCCCCACATCGACCTCCTCCTGGAACTCCTTTTCGGTTGCTAAAGGTGTTCCAACGCATTCAGTGACTGGTGGCAGTGGTGGCAGTCTCCTAGAATATGAATCTGCTCCGTCCACATCACCCCAGCGAAGCCCCCAACGACCAGAGGGTCCCATGATGTGGGTGTTGGTGCCCAAGATGATTGACTTATGGTGAGAGGCAGTGGAAAGAGGCAGCTCAATGTTGATGCCATCGTCGCCAAGCACGCAACAGGGCCCGGCGGTGGTATTGAACGTACGAAGGAGAACAAAAGTGCGGTGGACCTCTGCGACACCTGGTCAGCTTTGATTGAGGCACCCGCCAGCAAGACCATACCAAGACAGATATTAGAATGGCGTTCATCGATACTGGGGCTGAGGATCAGAGCATCTTCTGCAGGGTTATCAGGAAGATAAAATGTCGCGCAGCCACCGTCGATGGGCAGCTCTGTGCATACCTCAGAGCCGACTGCGGTAAAATAGACGAGAGATATGGTAGCCATTCCTCTGACCACAACAACAAATCATTGGAAAGCGGGCTGGACAGTAAAAACAACGAGATGAAGAGGCTGCACCGGTTGATGGAGCAGTCTTTTTTGGCCGTCACAGCATGCAATATCTCTGGGTGGTGAATCGGACGTGAACAAAAGGCCTGCTATGAGCTTGGCAGCAACCAGTGTTGAACTGCACCACTCGTGTGCCTACTGATAGAACTGGATGCCCTTTGCCTTCCAGTGCATCTTTTGATTTAAGGATGAAGTGATTCTACGGAAAGAGCACTCTAACCATCTACGTCCACGTCATTCTTCCGCGGGTGAAACAGAATGTTCAGATGAGCTACAAGTAAATAAGCGACAGGAGCAACCCACAGACGACGTTTTCTGTCTTACGGGACGGGTTTATATCTGCGAGGCTGTCCAAGCAGGAATTTTGTACGGTGGTTCACAGTGGCAACCAAATGTCAAATGTCAAACGGACCTCTTCCGTGTCAGTGAAGCTTCGTTTTGAAAGCAATGATCGCGCTGCAACTGAATTCACAGCCAGCACAACATTAATCTCTTCGTTCCGACTGTGGTGAAGTGATGAATCTCTGTTGGGTCGAGCTTTGACAAGAATGGTCGGGAGGTGGTGCTGGACGGAGGGAAAGAACAATACTAAGCCCTTAGTATTGTTCTTGATGTCTCTAATTTCTACCCCCTGCTCTTTACAGAGCAGAAGATGAGGGAGGACGACTGGAAGGACTTGAGACACGGCTGGGCCAGGATGTGAAAGACTTGATGGATAAGATGCCGGCAATGCAGGAATCTGGTCAATCAAGAGATGGATTACCTGCTGTTGCTGGAGACATGACCAGGGTTGAGATACAAGGTGAGAACAGAGAACTGAAGACTGGAAAGTGAGCAGGAGATGGAGTGTGAAGCACGCGAATTCATTTCCACCTCACTTCTGCTTCTGCCTCACTTTGCTTCACTGGGCCCATCTTTGCTTTCGGCCTGTCCCTAACTCCTGTTTCTACCGGACCTCCTCGTTCCTGGGTACTGGCCAAAAACAAAACAAACATCCTCAACACCGCTCAATTTTTTCCTACATCACTTTTATCCTTTATCTCTTCTCACTGGTCACCACATCACCTGTCTACTCCTTCTGTCCTGCTACAATCTCATCGTTTCCTCAATTGTGCCAACGGCAACCCGTCACCCCATTGAGCACGCATCACTCTCCTTGGGTCAAATTCATCATGGCTACTCCGGCGTTTGTTGCTCCTGGTAGCTTGCCAACGGCGGGAGTTGGCGGTGCTCTCTACGACGAGGCCTTCCAAGTCCCGACCTACCCTGCTGCTCCGTTCAACAAGGTGACCTGGCGTCTCATCGACACCTGGAACAACATCAATGTCAACTACGACACCAACCGTGGACTGGCAGCCGGCTTGGTCTGGGCCACTTTGGTCTACCTGCTTGCCCTCACTCCAACTCGCAAGAGAACCACTCCCTTCCACACCTTCATGCTCATTGGCCTGGTCTTCATGCTCATCAAATTGATGATCGACATAGTCTCGTCTCTCACTCCTGGTCTCCAGTCTTCTTCGGCCTATACCTTCCTCACCCTCGACTTCACTGACAGCATTTGGACTAAGGAATTCATTGCCACTTTTGCCACCAGCCAAGTTACAGGATGGTTCGCCTTCATCTTCGCTGCCATCTGTCTCTGGCTCCAGGCCAAGGGGTTGATGACCGGAATCAGAGCCCGCTACCCAGTCGTCTACAAAGTCATGTTGGTGTATCTCATTCTCACCTCTGTGGCGGCCTTTGCTGCTGCTATGGCATACAGCATCCAGCAGATCTTGCAGCTTGGCAAGGATGGCGCTGAAATCTACGACTACCTCGACGAAGCGTACAATGGCCGCATTGCATACCTCGCCGCTTATACCATCTGCATTGGAAGCTTCAGCCTAGTCTCCATGGCCTCAGTCTTCGATATCGTCTGGAAGCGTCCTTCTTCGATCGTCACCAGGAACAACGCATACGCTTCAGCATTGAACCTCATCGGCTTGCTCTGCGTCCAATCCTTTGTCATCCCCTGTAAGTGCTTCTTACCCTAACATCGCTTCTCCCCCGTTAACGCTTCAACACAGTCATCTTCTGCATCCTGCAGATCATCCCCGTGCAGACTAGCATGCTGCACGCGGAGATCATGCTCCTCCCATCTGTCTACGTGATGCTGCCTCTCGGTTCCCTCTTCATGACTGTCAATTCTGCCGTCGACGACTCCGAAGCACAGAAGGCTTCGCCACTGCCGCCAAAGTCCATGCCGCCAAAGCCTCTCTTTGCCGACAGCGCCGCGACTTTGACTACCAGCACCACCTCCACTGCCTCGCGACCCTCGTCCTATCTGCTTGACGCCGGGCATGGCAAATCGGAGGTGGATCCGGAGTTCAGCGCGATCGATTCCTTGGGTACTGCCCCAAATGAAGGGAAAGAGACGGGTGCGGCATTGAAGAATAAGGATCATGAGGAAAAGGAGGCATATGTCTCCGAGAAGATGGTAGTTTGAACATACACACTCTTCCTCAAGTTGACCTGCATCAGCCATATCAAGGAGCCTGATTGATGTCGGGAAAAGGAAACGACGACCATACAACCACAATGATACCGTGCTTGGCTTGGTCCGAGAAACCTGCATTCTCGGGAGCCAACTTACCCCCATTAATGCACAATGCCATCTATCGGAGGATTTCTTCTTTGCTGGGTGAAATGTGTCACAAGGTGAAGATGCACTTACGGCTTGGGTGAAAGGCTGCATAGATCACTGGGAAGTATCGGTCGTGGTGATCATCCGTAAAGGGACTGCAGTTCAACACAGGATCATATGTACACCCCTCAATCACGGACGGGTTGATGGACGGGCGGTGGACGCTAATGATGCCCTTATCGGCAAGAGACAGACGGGCAAGAAACACACAGTCCTCGGTCTGCGAACACACAAGAGAAAAAAGCTACGTTAGCTTCCGCTCAGCTGGGTGGAAAATAGTGGAGGATGCGACGGCGTCTTCGGGATCACATACCTAGCCTCGCTAGCTAGCCAGCCAGCCAGTCAACCATTAAGCCAGCCGCAGACTGTGCTCTGAGCTTGTCAACAAACATCCACACGGAATGTGAACGAGACACACCATCTAGAAGAGAGTGTACGCTGGACATCCTTCGCACCTTTTGCTTCGTTCTGTCCTCGTAGTTTGATTGTTAGCTCAAGTCTCTTCTTTATTGGCATGGAGCAGCTTGCACTTGGGGACACAGAGCTTGCAGGTTCTACAGATATCCTCGCTCGTGTCATTCGTGAGCTCTTCTCAGTCATTGCACGACTAGTTCCAACCATATCAGAATGTCACTTTCCTTTTGACCAACCTCACCCAGCGTCTTCTTCTCCATTCTCCAGTCCTCCCGCGACTTTCCACTCTCGTGGCCTCTTCCCAATCCCTCACTGCACCGCCTTTCCCTTTCTTGTCTCTCTTTTCCCGCTCCTTCTCTCTCTTCTTTCTAGCCTTCTCCTCTTCCTTGGACTGACTCCGCACGCCGACTCTAGGAACATCGTAGTCCCCGTATGCAAGCCACAGATCGTCGTCCCGATTGACACCGGACCCGGGGGGTGGCGGGAGATCCCACACCCACCCTCCAAAGTCGAGATTGATGCTTTCCCTCCGGTTTGTAGAGATTCTCCTCAATCTCGTATCGTCGTCATTTTTGGCGTCGCCATTATCGTGATCTCCAGGCTCGGAGGCTGCTTGAGCTGATACAGGCCCATCAATTCTTTCCGGCTCGCGATGGAGAATATCGTACTCGACGCCCACGACGAGCCTCTCGTTGACCCACTCTCCAGCTTCGAGGTCCAACTCCCACTTTTTCGATGCCCATTCCCATCCCTCGGGCGGCTCAACATCTTCGAAGAATCGGGTGCCTCTGGGCCTGTCGCCTGCGATTCGTGCCGGGGACAGAGGATCGTAGGGTGAAGGCGTGAAGAGATGAGGCTGCCATTCGGCTGCTTGTCCATTAGAAGCAGTAACCGCAAGAGGGCGATGTTGTAGCTCGAAGATCTCGACTTCCCTCGTCTCCGGGGTCGTTGACAGTGTAATCTCAGAAAAGGTGGTGAAAGCAGACTGAATTGCATGTGGCGTGGCCGGGAGGGGGATGCCATGGATGTACTTTTGGTGTTTAAGGTTGGGGTCGTTCAGGGCGAGGCTTGTCTCTTGTTCAGCTCGTTTTTGCATTTTGAATAACCATGCTTGTGCCTGGGGGTGGGAAGACACAATGACAGCCCATCCCAAGACGAGGAATATCAATCGCCAAGGGAGCAGATGCGAGGTAATAAAGGAAAGGGTGGTCAGGATGATCAGATACAGAAACAGTTGGGAGGAAAATTGCTCGTCTGAGAAATTCGTCGCTGGCGTGACATTGGCCACCAGCCAATCGTGCACGTTGCTGAAGTCAGCCATGCAGTTCTGCAGATCACGCATATTGCGGAAGAAGTCTTTCGAGGTTTCAGGCGCGGGTTTTATGACCGTGGCCGGTGCAAGAGCCGGGCCTGTGTATGCTTGATGGTATTCTGTAGTCATGTTGGTGCTACTGTTGTGCACAATTGTTGGCGTTGGAGGCGGTGGATGGCGAGAAGTGAATGCTGGAATCATGATGTAGAACAAAGCTATGGCCAGGGGAACCACGATGAGTAAATACGGGTCGAGACAGATGAAAGAGTAAGTCGCCAGGAAGGATAAGGTGTGTGTCGGCGTCCGCCAGGTGAAGAGGCGGATGAGGCGATTCTGGAAAACGAACACGATGCCGATCCGGGCATTGAAGCGACGGAAGTTATATGTCATTAATGGCAGGCTGAACGCAGGGCGAGAGATATATGCACTTGAAGGAAGGCTGCTTGGGGTGGTCGGGGGGTCATCATCACCATCGTCGGATGGAGCCACTTGTTGAAGGACCCTGGGAGAGATATGTCAACGTTATCATATTACGGTCCATATCCATCGAGACTTCTCACATAGACATGCATAATATGGGGAAATAAAATCCAGCGCCAAGGGAGATGCATACTTTGCAAACAGACGATCCTGGAGAGACATTTTCCCCGCTGAAGGGGGCGCGGTCTCATTTCTCCCAGACTGAGAGGCGGCGCTGGCTTGAAGCTGGGTGTTCAACTGAGTTGGCGGATGCGCCCTCTTGGACTTGGACTTTTGGCTTGCGATATCTGCTTCCGAAGACGAACCATCCATGCCGCCGGCGATGAGCGGGATGGGCTCGTCGCGGTTGGCGAAGGCTTCAGCGGTGTATTCGTCCATGATGAGCGTCCTCTTTTTTGATGCTCACTCTCTCATTGTCGATGATGTAGTAGGATCAAACAGTGGGCAAAATTACATTGCAAAAGGTCGTGCGATATTCGAAGATGGCGACATGGTCGGCGTGTTGAAGTTGGTCGTTGAATGAACATGTGGTAACCTCTCTGGCACGTGATAGTGCCGCCACATGTGGCTCGGCTGTGGCGCGCGGTGCCGGCCCTGCCTCACCCCTGGTGACACAAAACCCGGGTTTGACATTTGTCGCGGCTCCCGGAAAGCCTGCATCCCACTACCCTTGCGTTGTGCAGAGCATCCCGGGGTCTTTCCCACGCTGCTGTGGCTTCATGGATGTGTAGCGAGGCCATTTCGAGGACTTCAATATTAGCCCATGGTCGAGGATCGATTCGAGACGAGATTGCAGAGGTTGATTGCCCTGTGGTCGGCCATACTAGTGGATAGTTTTGTTTGATGGCCAATCTCTGCACCCACCTGGACAGCTAGGGCTGCTAGGCCCCGTTAAACCTCTGCAGTCCACCCAATGCAGGAAAGCCACACCTTATAGTGGGCAATCCGTTTGGCTCCTCCACTGGGGATCGCCCCCCGTAGAACCTTTAGAGACCCTTAGACCCAGCCCAGCTCAGGCACACGGCCACCGTAGCCATGGATGATCCCCCCCCAACCCCTGTCCAGCTCCATTGCTTTTCGCAAGCCCAGAACGGATGGACCTGCGTTGTTTCTTTGTCGAGCCAGGTTTGGGAGGGTCACTTTTTGGCAGTTTGATTATTGTCACCGCAACATCACAGATTTCCCGTGGACCTTACCCTGGATACACAACAGGTCCCCCAGCACCCCTTTGGCATCTGTGTCTTGAAACAGCCCTCAACCGGGGTTCTTTCTTGCTTGTTTTTCTGATCCTATCCCATCTCCTCCGGCACCTCGGAATCCTCCCCTGACGACATTCCAAGCACGCGTCCATCACGCCGAACTGCAGCCCACGTATCTAGTCAGACAGCCTGGTCCACTTTCTCAAGAAGGTCGCGACAGGGTCGGTCTGACTTGCAACTCTGACTGCAAACCAACCTTTACCCTTCCGATGGAATGAGCACCAGGCTGGTGTGGCAATGTCGAGGCTCCAGCATTGAATGACGGGGAAAACTGTATGTAAAAGAGACGGGACAGGGGCAGTGGTACCTCCCTCGCCATGCCTTACCGACAGAATGCATCTGCAACCACACAGCCTAGCAATGTGAAAGCGAGCAATACGAGACCCGACGACCTGGATAGCAGTGGTGGTACGAACTTGATGCGATGCCACTGGATACCTGCAGCAAATGGATCCCAGCTGACTTTGTGTAACGATGCAGTCGCCATCGCAGGAGTCGACACTCTTCCCTCGTCCAAGAAGCAGCCGCCTTCTTCCTTCCCGGCCGCCTCCATGACTGTATCGACGGCGACAACCAAACGCGACTCTGGCGAAAATGCGACTACGACTCGCAGAAGACAGTCGTCCATCCCCAACGCCGCAAAACCCCCGATGGGTCCGCGTCCCTTGGATTATGGGAGTCTGGGGAAGAGGTGGGCGTCGCAGTTTCTATTCATACTGTCATTGAAAGCTAACCCGTGCCTTCTGTGCTCTAGGTCGGCTAGCAGTTCGATAACTCCCCAGTTCAAGTCTGTACGAGGTGCCTCCGCCGTTGCTTCCCATGATCCATACACCAACGAGCTATCCATCAACGACATCTCCAGATTCAGTTTTGCATCTATACAGGCAAAACCTCCGACGCGGGACGACCCTGATGGCTCATTGGACTTCGGGAATTTCCTGGAGCCGACTTTCAATTTCGACGACTTCCAAGACACGATTGTTGGCACCGAACCCAGTCTGAACCATTTCCCTCTCCCCGGTCGGGGGACAACGGTCAAAGCTCCTCCTCCCTCCGATACTTCTGCACCCGATCAAAAGAAGACACTGTCGCAGCCCACGATTCCCATACCATCCCGAAAAGGATCAGGCGTGGTCCCAGTGACCCGTAAGAGTTCCACAGCCTCGAATAATTCGAGGAATTCTGTCAAGTCTGACTCTATGGCCACTGCCACAACGTCAATCCTTCGAGGACGAAGACAGAGCCATTTCCCGCCGAATTCATTCAATAATGCAAATGGTGGTCCTAAGGCGCCGAGAAAGTCGGTGGGCCCTGGGACTTTTGTTGCTCCAGATCATTCAGAGAAGTCAACAGTGAGGAGACGACCCAGCGCAGGGGGTAGAAAGTCCAGTACGGAAGGCGGCAAGAACTTGTCCCTGAAGCAATTGTCTCATCGGGCCGAAGAGAGCGGTGCGGAAGACATAAAACCACAAAGCACAACCAAGTCGAGGGCATCGCTAGCTCCTAAGCGACAGAACTCCAAAGACTTACTCACCCCCTCGAGGACACCAGATCCGTCACGGTCGACTTCTACTGCAACTCACCACACGCCCACGAGAAGGAGTGGAACACCCGGAAGGACAACCACCCCAGGTGGAAATGTTGACCGTAACCGTCGGGTTTCCGTTATGCCTCATCATGCCACTGGGTTGGGGGCCCGTACGGTTAGCCCGACCGATGCTCGCCGCATGAAACGGATGTCCATAGTTCCTCCAGCACCGCCTTTGCCTCAAAGTCGGATCTCCCAAGCTCCCCCAACTCCGCAGCCCGAGCCCATGCCCCAGCTTCCTCAACCCGACTTACAATCTCCTGCCATCCCGAACCGCAAGAGCTTGACGCCGTCTTCTTCAAGGACCACTCCAGATCCCAATCGGAAGTCCTACAGCTCAGGTCAATCTTTATCGTCGAATACCAGTTATAGTTCTGTCCGAAATGCTGTCACAAACCCTGCAAGACTTCCCCAGCCAGTCAGCTCTTCAAGATTGCCCACAGCGAAGCCCCGGCTCGATATTTCCACGACGACAAACTACGAATTGGAAGTTCCGCCTGTCCCAGCAATACCGAAAGCATATGAGTCTCCTGGGAGTGAACTAGATCAGCCATTCTTCTCGGCGAGATCTTCCAGTCTTCCACCGTTTGATGGAGCTATATCTGCGAGTCCCGTGGTATCCACAGTAGCCGATGCTATGAAGGTATTGGAGACACCTCGAGCGCCCAGCAACACCTCACATAATTCGGCATCTCAGCCTCCGCCTCCTCCAGTCGAGCCTGAGCTCAAGCCGAAACCGCAACCGCAACCGCAACCGCAACCACAGCAGCATCCGCAGACCCAGGCCAAACCGAACAAGAAGTCTCTCCACACTCTGAGACTGCCGCCATTAAACCTGTTACCCTTGAGCACACCTACCTCTGCGAAGATCAGGTCGCTAAATGCCAAGTCTGAACTTGGGGAGCCTCCGGTGACACCGCCCGGGATGCGCAACAACATGAAAACGCCGAGCACACCTATGACGGCATCTAAGGCAAGTTTCTTTTCTAGGGGACATAAAGCCGTCGACGAGGGTCCGACAATGCGAAGTAGCACATCGCATCATGCTCTACGGTCAGACGAGTTGCGCCCGCCTAGCGAAATCAGTCCGAGCTTGCCAGTATTCTCCTTTGAATCAGACAAAAATCGCACGATTTCTCCTTTTGTGTCGTCGTCGCTGCCCAAGAGCAATGATGACTTTTCGAATTATATGCGACCCAACTTCATCAACGAGCTAAACAGGAACCCCAGTCAGCCACGACCGAACGGACCTCGTGCACCCAGCTTCTCGGTTACACCGAAAGCCGACGTTCAAGTCGTCCCAAGTCCAGCAGAAAAACAAAGCGAGAGCGAACCAGTCTTCTCCACAACATCACTCAGGAGGAAATTGAGTCGGAAACGGAGCGAGTCAAAGTTGCCAGAACCGGCGACGCAGGATGATGACTTGTCCAAATATGACAACATGCCTCCACCAAAGCTTCCAGCCTCCGCAAGTTGGACAAATACTCAAACTGGTGCCGCTAGCCCTCAACGGCCGTCCTATCTTAGGTCTAGGAGACAGACATCTACTTCAAGTACAAATAACGGCCCCGAGAGACAAGCAAGCTTCGACAATACTGCATCAAATGGTCGTCCTTCACTTGATTCTGGGAGGGTTCTTATGGTTAACTCGAACCGGTCGGGATCCGTGGCATCCAGCGCGCCTAATCCTGTTGCTCACAAACCTGCACAACAACGACAACAAGAACAGTCCCTGGATCGCGACGATCTGGTTGCGGAGGATGAAATGAAGAAGCTTGCTTCGAAGAGAAAGGATTTCGAGTCTGCCGCAAGGGAGTTGGACAGCCTTCGAGCCAGAGCCAAACCCGCTACTCGCATGTCCCACGTCACAGCTTCTCGCATTTTTGACCTAAATATCTTTGAGCGAGGTGAGATTGTTGATTTCGCGGATGTCTATTTTACAGGGACTCTAAATGCCCGGAAAATCGTGGGAGATCCTGGATCAGCTTCTACGAATTTCGGATATGATGATGAACGCGGAGATTACAACATCGTCGAAGGAGACCATCTGGCCTACCGATACGAGGTTGTTGACCTTCTCGGGAAAGGCAGTTTCGGCCAAGTCGTGCGCTGTGTCGATCACAAGACTGGGATTCTTGTTGCAGTAAAGATCATTCGAAACAAGAAGAGATTTCACCAGCAGGCTCTCGTCGAGGTCAATATATTACAAAAGCTCAAGGAATGGGTAAGTCGAGAGGGCGGAAGGTTTAGACACTTGGAATTGCTAACCCGACGCCAGGATCCTCACAAAAAGCATAGCGTTGTCAATTTTGACCAAAGCTTTTATTTCCGTGGCCACCTTTGCATCTCCACCGATCTCCTGGGCATGAACCTGTACGAATTCATCAAAGCGCACGATTTCCGAGGTTTCTCACTTAAACTGATTCGACGATTCACGAAACAACTTCTCCAGTGCCTAGTCCTTCTGCAACATCACAAGGTCATTCATTGTGATCTCAAACCGGAAAATATTCTCCTCGCGCATCCCGTTCATTCTGAAATCAAAGTGATTGATTTTGGTTCGAGTTGCTTTGAGCACGAGAAGGTATACACCTATATCCAATCCCGGTTCTATCGGTCGCCTGAAGTTATTCTGGGCATGTCTTACGGCATGCCCATCGACATGTGGAGCGTCGGCTGCATCCTGGCAGAGCTCTACACCGGCTACCCAATCTTCCCGGGTGAGAACGAGCAGGAGCAGCTGGCTTGTATTATGGAAGTCTTCGGGCCGCCGGAAAAGCATCTTATCGAGAAGAGTAGCCGGAAGAAGCTCTTCTTTGATTCGATGGGTAAACCTCGCTTGACGGTCTCTTCTAAGGGAAAGAGAAGGCGACCGAGCTCCAAAGACTTACGACAGGTCTTGAGATGTGACGACGAAGCATTCCTGGATTTCATTACTAAGTGTTTGAAATGGGATCCGACACGAAGAATGACTCCTCACGAGGCGAACAAGCATGAATTTATAACTGGGGTGAAAATGAGCTCGAGCGCGAACAGGAGAAACACCCAATCTGCCGTTAACTCCCCGGTTAAGAGAGGGAACTCGTTGACAACCGCCATGGGCGCCCGACCGCTGCCACAACCTCCCACGACGCTGAAAGCGCCAATCTCGAACCGACAGGAGGCTTCACCAAACAAAGCGGGACCGCGGCGTCAATCAACCATGCCTGGGACCTTTCAAGGCGCAGCACAGGCCAAGCGTGCGTCGCACGCAGCCATGACTTCGTCGGCGTCAAATCCGAATCTCTCGAGGCTGACTGTCGGTCAAAGGACCATGAGTAATCGATCTGATTTAGCCGCTGCTGCCGCCGCTGCCAGCCTGGTGAAGTAATGATGTGATTTTGAGTGGCTATCCTGGAACCACGTGCCTTTTGTTGCTGATGGATGTTGCCTCTTTCTCGATCATGTGGTGCGGCCAGGACGGGAGACGCGGATGAAGACGAATTTCTTACTATCATTAATGAACATATAAAAGCCTTTAGCATAGCACCAAGCATTGGGGATGGACCTGGACCGGACACAGGATGACGACGGATCCGGACATCGGCGCCTGGCATCGCTATGAATTGGGATGGCTCCCGCAGAACATTTGCTGAGACTTTAATATTGTATACCACGAATGAATCCGAATCGTTGGGTGTGTCGGGTCAAGTATTCTCCGCCTGCTCGATCTTGGGTCGTAGTATATCACCACTGCAAGCCGACCTTTGGATGATTGGAATTCCACAGCTCAACAGGCTACCGCCTGCTTTTTGATCGCCCCGTTGGACTCGATAAAGCAGAGACTTGGAGGCCGGGGGGGATGAAGTTGGGTGAAATCGACCTCAATTTCTGGTGTATATATGTATACCGTTCGGAGTCCGCATGGAGGACGGACGGTACAAGCCATTTCAGCCGTTTAAAGTAACCATAACAAAGGGACAACATCTATGGTACACTTTGATCGCGAATCGCAGCATGGGGGCGATTGACAAGACTCTACTCCGTACTCGTGCCGAACCACTTTCCAGGGACAGGGGGTTGGTCACGCACGCATGGAATGAATGTCGCGGGGACGAAAGAAGTATGAATGAATGTCTCAGGCACCTGACAGTGGCGCAGCCTCAGATCCAGGCAGGTACTAGATACTCCTATTACAACAAATGGTTCTTGGTTGGGCATCTCGTATTCGGAGCCATTCATCGGATAGAGAGTATGTCCATTGAAAAAGCGACGGGGTAATATTTTTGCGAAGAAAGAAAAAAGAACGCGCCATCAGAAACACTGAAGTTATGGGATCTGAAAAGAGGATGTTTGATATTGAACGCATGCATTAGCTGAACTGCTGAGAAACACTCGTTGTAAACGGAGTCCCCCCATTCCCTTTTGCGCTTCATCCCCGTTTCTGCTCAAAGCAGAGGAAGAGCCGCAGTGTGGGCAGGAAGAAACAGCCCACCCGCATAAAAGGAAATTAGAGGTAAAAACTCATGGCAGCCGCAGACCGCTTTTCTCGTCTCCCACTCCACTGTGTATGTACCGTGCCATATCCCCCTTCGCCGTCAGAAGAGTCATTCGTCGTTGGATTTGTTTGATCCGCAGCAGACAGACCCATGCATTGATTGCTGTATGATTCATATTCTGGTATGCGTCGTGTCTCACGGTGTGGCGGATGCGAATGAAAGAGTGAAAATCAGGGTGAGAGTTTCTCGCTGTCAAAGTACCCGGACTTCCGCGTCATTGTTTGTCTTTCCCCTTTCTATCTTTGCATTCCACCGTCCTGTGCTCTTCTCCAATCGTCGCCGCTCAGCAGCATTCGGCAAAGCATTCGCAGCAGTCCGCGCAGCATTCACATCCTTCCTCGCAGACGAAGCAGCAGCAGAGGGCAGCGAGACTATGCAGACAGTGTTAGCCTCAATGTGATCCTTAATGCGCTTGTTTCTAGCGCCACCGCGGCTTGAGCACAGGGGTAATTATGATGTTTCTTACCAAGCGCTCAAACATCCACGGTCTTGTCGTTGCGCGGGTTGTGGCGGAGGGTAGTTTTGAGGCTGTTGATACGGCATACCACCTTGCGGAGGATAGTAACCTTGTGGAGGACCTTGAGGGGGGTAGCCTCCGCCGTAGCTGTGACAGAACAAGATGTCAGTTGAGACTGCGTTAAAAGAAAACAATGGTGATGGAAGAAGTGCGGTGCCAGTGCGGTGACAGCGCGGTGAGAGTGCTGACACAGAGAAAGGGCAAGCAGCTGCTCATGTGCTTTTTGTGCTCTTCCGTTGATCCGTGTCAAGGGGGCGACACGCAAGGCAACGGAGTGTGCTGTTGGTCGGATCGGACTTGGGCTCTGGACAACTCACCTCTGCGGAGGGTATTGAGGACCACCTTGGTAGTATTGTTGGCTTGACATTGTGACGGTGAGGTAGGTGTATAGTCAGAGACTGAGGAAAGACAAAGAGAGAGGATGGATTGACAAGCGTGTGATGATTGCGAGGACTGAAGTTGGATGCTGATCGATGATTGAATTCAATCCAGTTGATTGAGGTGGGAGGTGGAAAGAAGGAGTGAGTTGGAGATAAAGAGGGTCTCGGTCCTTTGAGTTCCAGTCGATGCCCAGCAGTGGCTGTCCGGAGGGGAGGCGGGCACGAGTTGCTTGATGGAAAAGCTTGGAAGCCTGGGTGAGTGCCGAGCCTAGTGGGCCTATAAGGTTACTCGATAGTAGCCTAGAGAAACGAAAGTCTGGGGGGGAGGTTGGCTCTGTTTAATTATTAGGGTGGCTGGCGCGTTGCACGTTTGTTGTCACTGAACTTGTCTGAGAAATTGTATTATGTGAAGCGAGAAAACAAATCTTCCTGCAAGTACCTTTTCTGATATACTCGGTGCCCCCTATCACTTTCTTAGATCCGCCTCCCCAGCAGCGATTGCGCATTGGATCGACTTTCTGTTGCGCAACCCGCCCAGGCGCAGCTGAACCAAGGACATTGTGAATGGTGACGGCCTGTCTCCGGACCATTCTCCAGCACCTATCATCCACCTGTTCCACCCAATTTCCTTCACCTCTCCGTCGGCTGACTGCTCAGCCACACCTGGAGATCGAATGGACAGCTGAGACTCGGCCAATGAGTCGTGCAGGCGTCGCTGCTGTACTGTACAGCCACTTTGGTCGCCACACCTGAGCCGATTCAGATCGTGCACATGTCCCGTGTGTTGGCCACGAATCCACTGCGCCTCGAACGAGCGGTCATGACGAACTCGAAAAGAATCTGAGTCACATGCTTTGTTGCGAGACGGAAGCTAAAGACCGTACTGCAAAGATGTCAAGGAAACCTACATAATGGGACCAGTATTCGTCGGCACATCGTCTCGCATCAAGAGGGCCGTGATACCGCATCCTCAACAGCTGCTACCCTGGCACCGTACGAGGCCTTTCATGCCTTGATACATGCTGCAGGTCAAGAAGAAGAGCTGAGAGGACATGCATCGAGTAGACGGACTTAGTAGCGGCGCTGCCGCACCGTCGTAGGTGACTTTGACGTTGACTGATTCTGTGTACGGTTTGCCAATCATGGCCCTGATACCATCAACTGGCTAAGTCCTGCTAAAGCTCACGGTTTTCCGACGTGATATCTCCGTGTTCGATTCCTGAGTGTCACTCTTGAGATAATCGTCTCTGCTTTTATCTTTGGCGAACGTGGGAATTCGGAGACTCTGTGAATGGACCAGACGTTCATGTGCCAGAACGAACTGGCCGTGACAGTAAGACGGAGACAGACTGCTGGAATACAGCGAAAGCGAAATAGACTTTATGTGGTAGGTGAATAAGAATGTCTCTTTTCCGTCACTCGGCCTAGAACTCATTCAGGCGCGGCGGCGGAACGTGACTATGTAAAGTGGGTATCTTTGTGCTCCGTATCAGAATGCCCATTTTAATGACGATATGTTGTATCGTGTACCGTGCAGTGCAATCCATAGTTGCCTGCGACGGGCCCGATATTGTCCATTTCCCGCAGCATAGCAACGTGAAAGGAACATGGCGAGGCAACGTAAGAACGTAGTTGTTGGGAGCGTTGAAAACCAGACTGGAGAAACCCTTTTCGCAGGGACTACATTGTCGCCTGCCTTTGCATAACAGATGCGACGCCCAGAGGGTCAGGTGTCGCTGCCGGAAGTCCCAATGTGCGATTGCTTCGGGATACCCCTGCCGGGCGAAGTGGTGCAGGCATTGGACTAGGTCGCGTGGGTGGTTGCGGTGAGGCAGATGGCTGGCGTATTTGACTGGGTATTGGCGTCGACATCGAGGAGACAGGCACGATAGGACTGCACGTGGTATTCTCCGGACCCGTAGTCTGGATGGTGATTGACGGCCGCGCGTGGGGCAAAATCGGGCTCATATCCGGTGTCGTGGCGTCTTGGTCGAGTAATGGACGCAGACGGCGATTGCTGGCAGGGTTTGCCGGTTGACGCCGTTTCGCTTCCTCCAGGAGCGAGGCGATCTCTAGATGATTTCTATCTCGGGCTTCCTCGGAAGCAAATCTGCCTCTACTTCTCCAAGCAGGCCAGGCGCCCTTTTCCAGGAGCAGGGAGACCACTTCCAGGTGTCCACTGGCGGCAGCAGAATGAAGAGGAGAGCAAATCATATCTGGGTCGTCGTTGGGGTCATGGCCGTTTTCGAGGAGATATTTCACAATCTCCATGGAACCTCCACCACAAGCGATGCTCAGCAAGGTCCGACCAACGACATCCTGCACGATGATGGGAGCTCCAGCCTCGACAAGTCGCATGAACAAATCAGCGTTCGCTGTATGAGCTGCAATACAGACGGCCGTTAGATTGAAGATGTCGCGTGATTTGAGCAAATCGGGCTGCTGCTGCAGAACAAGCTCCAGAAGGTGCGAGTCCGAGGTCTCTACAGCCAGATGCAACACACGCCGCCTCAAGATGTCACACTGTGAGAGGTCATTCTCTGGTCGGCTGACCAGAGCGTGTGCTGCTGCCGCTCGGTTGGCCAACGCAGCCGCATGCGCGGCTGGGAATTTTGTGTTTGCTGGATCGGGAAGATGGGTTGGAAAATCGTACAGATCCCTGAACTTCAGAAACATCTCAGTCGTCGATATGGAGCCTTCGAGGAATGAATCAACCTCCGTTGTCAGAGGCACGCCTGACAATTCGGCGTGGCGGCGGCGGTACCTATGCGCTGCCGGTGTGTCGCCATCATTCGCGTAAAGACTGGATAGCCGGTCCAATACAATACGATACAGCTTCACAAAAGACTCCTTCAAGCTGTGGGCCTGCTTGCCGTTCACGATTGTATTGTGGTGATATGAGTGATAGGTCTCCCCATTTTCATAGAGCTGATGCAGGATGATCTTAGTCTCCAGAGGGGGAGCTTCCTCCAGCCGCTCGAGGATCGACTCGAAGACGCCGATAAATTGGATGGAAATGATATGCAGCACCGTTGAAATTGCAGCTTGGACATCGTCGTACTGAGCAAAGCGAATGGGAGGGTTGATGGAGATGGCGGCTCGTTTCCTGAGGAGCAGTTGGTGGAAGAGCTCGAGAAGGTGCCCAAGGATGATGAATCTGGAGAGCAGTCAGAAGAAGTGGGTGACCTCGAGGGACTGGCCCCAGGCATGTGGGTTGGAGACGACGTACTTGGTGTCGATGATCTTTTGAGTTCGGAACCAAGAGATGCCTGGGGCGATATTATAGGCATCACTGGCACCCATGGAGAAGTAGGGGTCGGGGGACGGGGGACGGGGGACGGGCTGCTGATTGAACAGCGCTCCAGGGGGAGTTGCGAGGGAGGGACCGAACCGACCTCGCCTATTCCACCCCCAGCATCATTTAATAAGCTGGTGAAGATTATGTTTTCGGCATGTTGTGTACCCGTAGCAACCGCATTCTGCAGCGCTTCATCCGTGTGCACCTCCAGATTTGTGTGACCCAGATCTTGGTCTATTTCGCGCAGAATCTCCTGCGATATTACCTGCTGCGCCCATATGTCCTCGACACCCGTCGATGTGGGAGAAATACCGCTCCCACGGCGCCTGGTGCTGCAGTTGGGACCACAGGTCTGTCCCCCATGGATGCAGCCGTTACATCTTTGGCCTGGCCATCGTCGCGTCTCAGGCAGACACTGCTGACGGTGAGTTTGCTAAACGGACCTACAGGTCATAGATGGTCAAGCTACCTTGATCTTCTTCCGTCGACATTCGTCGCATTTCTTGTGAACTCGGTTTGGGGCCCGCCTCGGGGTCGAGGGAAGGAGTTGATCAGCCATGTTGGCGATTTTCTACATTTCAGCGATCGAGGGCCGGGTTCACGAGGTTCCAGGTTTCGAAGATAGTGTTTCAAGATGATCAAATCTTCGAATGGTGAGGAGGAGGCGCACCGTACAGGGAAGGGGTGTGTTGTGGATAGGAAGTTGAATCCTATCTGCTGTGCAAGAACGCTTGAGGAAGGACGCACGCATTTGGGCTGATCACGCTCAACCCGCTCGCCTCGCCTCGCATCGCCTTCGCACGCTCGCACGCCAGCAACCGCTTACGACTCGGTTGCCTTTGCGAACCGCTTCCGCAAGGCGGCCTTCACCTTAAAAAAATGCAGGCGATCGGGCAGCGCTTGGAGAACCCCACGCTGGCGCGAAATCCTATCAGACCCGATGACCGAGAAACACTTATCCTAATCATGACAAGCGCCGCATATTGCGCAAGCGGTTCGTTCGCAAGCTACCGCACGCAATCGCAAGACTGGCGAGCACGGTGCCTCTCCGCATGACTTCCGTCACCTATCCAGCCTCGTCTTCTTTGGAGAGCTCCATTTGACACCGTCGACTGGCGCCATGACGCCTTTGGGGACGCCAGGGCGCATATCTGAATCAGTATGGCTAGAACGCGCTGTCAAAGCATGCTTTGCATTGCCTTTCTTGTCCAGGCAGCCAGACACTTCTGAGAAGAACATGTCTGTGGGGATCAGACGACGTCTGCTTCACTGCCGAGTTCCCATTCGCATGCAGGATAGAATCGCGCTAGGCATGATCTGAACCACTATTCGCAGTCTTAGCGAGTCCTGGTGAGTCCTATATCCTCAAGATTTCTCCAATTCGGATCCTCGGAGAGTCTGGTACAGGAACTGTGTGTCAGTAACTGTGCAATCGTACTGGTAGTGTTGCAAATGCAGCATGGAGCCATTTGATATATCGAAGCAGACTCTGATTATGAGCGTCGACTTTGGGACGACTTGTATGTTTCGCTCACAATGCCCTGAAGTCTCAACTTCTAACAACCTTTAGGGTCAGGGGTTTGCTTTGACAGTGTCTCTGCGGAGCGGGCGGTACGTCGGACTGAAATGTGGCATCATCATCAAAATCGCAGTTTGGAGTTATACCGCGCCGAGGGTGAAAGGGGGGACAGCTTTGTTGATACATATTTCACGGAAGCAAACTCCCCAATGGGACAATCGCTGCTGTACTGCGGGTCAAAGAATGGGAATCAGGCATTTCGAGAGGTATGGTCGGTTTCCAGCCTCCTTTTGCCAGAAAGCTGAAGTTATTCGCTCTACAGTACCAAAAGACGCAAGAAACCATCGCTCAGTGCTTTCGCTGCTCTTGGAGGGGCACAATTCAACTCCAGGCAGAAGATCTCGAGCCTTTTCATACATGGCTGTCGTGGAACTTATCTCAAGGTAATTTCGCAACTTCCTATTGTCAGTTCGTGCTAAATCGCTGAGGCACCCGCCTGTCATGCGATCATGAACTCGAGCAGACATCACAGCTCGACAAGCCTGAATTGCATCGGCTGCACTCGCAGCTATATCATTGGCTGTGCAACAAGAACGACTGGGAAAGCTCTCTCTTGATGCAGATACTTTACGGCTTGGCCTCAACTCATCGAAATTTACAAATCAGCGAATTGGCCTCTTTGGTGGCGGCGGCCTGCGGAAATTGGCAGAAGGACCTGACGGCAGATTGGGACACGTTGATGGCGACAGGGTGCCATTCAAGTCAGGTACAAGCTAATTTCCTGCTTGACTCGTTAGCAGATGTTCTTGCCAAAACCGAGAACGGAGATATTGACTTTCGAGAGCCCAGGATGCGAGGATTTCTTCTAAGAACAAAGCCAGCTGAATTGGGATTTTCCCAACTTATGCTAGGAGATGAATTTCTGGCTGTCACATCTGTCTTGAGCCTGGGGCGAATCACCGAGGAGATATTCTTACGCCCCTGGGCCCTGTTCAGGAAGTCTAAAAATCTTCTCCTTGAAAAGTGTCCATTCTGGTATTACGCTGCGCGGTTCTGGGACATACACTATCGGAATGCAGAGAATACCAGTGTAGTTGCGACCAGTTTGATGGGCAAGGCTTTGCAAGCGGCTTTGGCCAACGAGGCGAAACGGAATCCGGAATCTTTTCGTTATGAGCAACATCGACGAGTTCTCGACTTGTCTCTGACATATAGCAGGAAGAACGGCTTCGAAGTCCTTGCAAAAAGGTCGGCGAGAATGGGAGGTGAGGAGGTGAAGGAAGAAATTATTCTACAAAACTGTGGTCAGGTTTTGAACCAGAGAAGTCAGCTCGATGCCACGGGTCTCCAGGTTAAGACTCTGCCACTCCTGGATATGCGTCTGGAAAATGGACTTCGACATCGTAAGGCTAAAGAAGGAGCAAAACAAGCGGCACAACGATCAGTCTCAGGACAGCGGACCAACACCGAGCTGAGCCAACTACAGCACGCTGGAGACTATGCACACAACAACTTTCCGTCCCCGGTAGAACAGAAGCTTTTGGATCCAGATGCAATGACAATCGCCTCCAAGCTCATCTCGAGGAAAATTTGCAGCGAAGATCAATCGTGCGAACGACAATTCGCGGACCTGAAGATCAACAGCCCTGAAGACGAAACTGAGCAGATGTATTCCTCCACTTCTACGATTTGTGGTGATTGGGAAGAATCCCATTGCTTTGACCACAACGATCTCGAAGATTGGGAATTCTTACACAAGAGCAGAATATCATGATGCCTACGATCTATTTGATCCAATATACGTGTGACGAATCTCAGCAACTATCTTTTGCCAGTGCAGATCTTTGGACCTCGCGTCATGTAACAGGAAATGTGCGAAGTCAGCTACTTGGAGCTGTCGAAGGCCGCAGCTTTTTCGATTCAGGAGGGTATTTTTGCAATGGGTGCATCGGCAGGTCCATTATGATTCCCCAGTCAAATACAAGAGAATTTTACCTTCTGAAGTAGACTTCAATCGCGCTTTTTCCATGATGCATGCTACAGGAGAAGCGACTCGAGGTTGAAGTCTGGACTGAAAGTAATTCCTCACTCATGCTACCTACGTTCTTTACCCTGGCCATCGACACGGTAGTGTCTGAAGGGTAGGGGGGTGACTTCACTTCCAACCCGTTCTTCGATTGAAGGCGGGAAAGTGCCAGGACAAGGTCCGCTCAGCTGATCAGCCGTGAGCTATCGTCCTTTGGAGTGCTCAATCTAAGCGAAATGGGTACGTACACAGCGATCAATATATGATAGGCCTAAGCGTGCTTGCGGCGACGCGAATAATAGCTTTCGCACGCGAATTCCATACCGCATCGCATCCGCCGCGTCTAATCCTGCAAACAAGGAGGTGGGAGGTACGAGTCACCCTCTCTAGCAAGTTCGAGACTTTCATTTCGCAGGCTATGCTTGCTTGCGCGCATGCCTGGCTACCTCCCTGGCACCATGCCGTTGCCGCTATGCGTGCGGCCTCATGCGTGACAATAAGCGGCACGGGTGCTTAAATAGTTCTTTGATGCCCACGGATGTGGAACTACTCGAAATATTATTCCGATCCTTTTGGGTAAAAGAGGAAGGGAAAAAAAAGGAAGGGTCAGCTGAGAGAGCCCATTTCGCACACATTCGTCCATCCTCCCTTTCAAAATATCACCAGACTCATAAGACAGTATGGCTCCACAACGCCATGATCGGTCGACACAAGGACACGACCTCAGCATCCCTCTCCGCTTCGTCCTGGATTGCAACTCGTGTCTTCCCACATCCCACCGTCATGAAAAATGCTGGTGCCCACGACCCTCAGTTCTCTCTTTGAGACACGACGAGTTCAGTCAAGCTCAAGGTAGGTGCTTGCTAAGTCTCCTCTAATACCTCTGTGTGACTTGACCTCTGAACGAGTATCGAAAAGGGTCGTCGTCACTTGACGTTCAAACGAGCATACCGAGCCATAGAGAGGCCGAGGACAGTGATATCGACCTCGACGACATGGAATGCTGCCATTGGGCCCCTGCTAAAGATACATACCGGGAAGAAGCTTCAGGTCAGCCGACAAAGCCGACGTGGCCGGAGGAAGAACTGTTAGGATTCGGCGCACAGTTTGACCTGGATGTGAGAGATCAAGAGGAATGTTGTCGCGGGGCTGCTTGGCGCGCGTATGCCCAGAAAGGCGATAGGATACGTCGCTGCACTGCTCTGAGGTAGTGAAACTCGAACAAAAATATATTCTATACATACGAGGTACACCTTACCTTTCCCTGCCCCACAGAAACAAAGCCTAGGACGCTAAGAGCAGACAGAACAAAGCCCAACTTCGAGCTTGGGACAACATCACCTGGCGTTTCTTGACCAGTTCTTTCGACAGTTTCGGAGCAATGCACAGGTCGTTCAAATGGAGACTGGAGTGCCTGGACGGTGCCCCCTGCTGTCCATAGAAACTTCTATTGCTGTAGACGCCATTCTGTTGTGGATCGAGGACAGGCGGTCCTTGAGAGAGAGGCTCGATGGTCACATCTTGGGGGGTTTGACACGCATAAACGAGGGAAATATGTATAAGTGAGGGAGCATTACTGGTAATAGGACGAGCAGCACTCAGATCCGAAACAGGCAGGTGGACCTTGCTCCGTGCCAATCAAACCTCGTCTTCCGTTCATCCCCCCTAAACTGAATTTTTCGAAGGCGTCTAAACATTTTCTACGCTCTAATATTCTCTATAAGTTCTGGAAGCCCAAGTCGATACAAAACTTCCTCAACGAAGTGGATACACCACGGGACAACAAGACCGACGTTGCCGTCGGTACATCTGTCGTGCCACGATGCTGTATGTACGGTCGTTGCAGGCTCAAGACATGAATGCCAAAGGTATGATCGAGTAAGCAGTCCAGATTTTTTAATGTGTTTTCGAAGCATGAGAAGAAAGATGCAGCAACACTGAGCATGGCGGACGCGGAGAGTTTGGTTTCGTACCGCTTCATATAACCATTGCCACCTTTTGGCAATGAACTCGGGATGTGAAGGAAAGCTGCCCTAAACAAAGGCGACAATGATGGCTTGGTCGGTCTCCGAATCTCTGCATCTCCGTGACCGTTTTAGACGCTGTTTTGAGCCGAACTTCATGAGCAACGGCCAATTCACTTACAGACTACCGAGTTTGAGCCTCGGTGCAAACCCATGTCTAGATCTACCAACCAGCCTGAGGTCTACCAATTGCCACCAAGCACGTGTGGAAAAAAGCGCTATGAGAGTCCTGACTTTTCATTGGTTTATAAGAGGCCTAAAAAGTGCATGTAAAGGACAGCTACTACTTAGCGAGGGAGGAGAGGGTGCATGTACGAGGTTGGAGCACGGTTGACTCGACGCTGCAGGTTTCAACCCGCCTTGCGAAGGTTTCGCGCTACAGCTCAGCTACTCCGACGGTCATCTGCAGCTGCTCAATTGGGCTTCGCTTGTGAGTTTTCGCCAAATCTGGACCTCAGCCTCATCCTACATCTTGCGTCCCATGCCGCAAAAAGTGATAGTGTCGGGCCCCACGATTCTTTCTTCTTGCCGAGATGCTAGCGCTAGCGATTATGCTGCTGCCTTCAGACAAGTCGCTCCACGATCAGGCTGAGACATGTCTAGGCATTTAAAGAAGCGTTCATGGATCAATTCGGGCCTCTGCCTCCCCTGCCGTCTGCGATCTTTTTCTGAGCCAATTCACTATCATGGCATTGATCACGCTCATGTCTTTAATCTTGCTGTCGGCGCTTGCCCTCCAGTCCGTATCCTGCTTTAGTTTCAACAATAAGCCACAAGACACGAAGACTTTCCCCCGAGCGACGCCGGTAAGGCTGAATGCCGTGCGTAAGCCGGTGCCTCGAAATCCTCGTCGAGCTTACCCTCTGGTGAGCAAGGATGAGCTTTATTTCTCCATTGAAGTCACCCTCGGCGGCCAATCTGTATATCTCGAAGTCGACACAGGCAGCTCCAACATCTGGGCTATCGAAAAGGGCTATATCTGCCAGCCGGGATGGTCTTGTGACTATGGCACAGGCATTCAACTAAACAGCAATTTTGAACAGCTTCCAGATGAGACTTTTGTTACCGGCTATGCAGACACTCAGGGTGCGAGTGGAATCATGGTCAACACGAGTGTTGAAGTCGCGGGGATACTGATTCCGGAACAGCGAGTCGGCCTGGCAACATCGGCAAGCAATGAGACTCACTTTGTCGTAAGATGACGGCTAACTGTCCATCCCTAGCTGTACACCGTCGGAGACGGGGTCATATCTGGGTATCTTGGGCTGGCGTATCCCATCCTGACCTCGGAGACTGATGATGGGTTCGCTCAGCATTACTCTTCGGTCCCGAACACCATCTTCCAGGAAGGCCTCGCGGATCCCATATTCGCCCTTGCCATCTCACGGGATGCTTCGAACACCGGATTCGGGGGATACATGACCATTGGCGGAGTGCCTGATCTGTCGGATGCTGCTGTGAACGCGGTTCTGCCTTACGGTTCCGCCCCCATTGTAATAAATCCAGTTGTTGACGCAAGCCAAGTGACAGACTACGCCATTTACGTTGATGCTCTTGGATGGTCCAGCCCCTCAGGAACAGGTAGCGGAGAGGACAGTGCGTCAGTCCTTTACATAGTCGACTCCGGCACGACGATTACACACGTTCCTGATGCGGATGCGGCTTCTATCAACGCCCTCTTTAACCCTCCGGCCACGCAAGATGACAATGGAAACTATCTCGTGCTGTGCGACGCCAAGGCGCCGGACATATACATTACTGTTGGCGGCGTGAAGCTGCCAATCAACCCTGTTGACCTCATTCTTCCCGGAACCGGCACGTGCTACTCGAGTATTCAGGGACTCCTCAAGACATTTCCAGCCGGCATTATCGGGGATACCATGCTGCGTAGTCTGCTGGCCGTCTTTGACTGGGGTGAGCAGATGGTCCATTTGGCAAGCAGGCCGGAATACGAATCTTGATATGGTGGCTCTATTGAGAACCCTAGGAGTATTCAATACATGAAACCGTCACAGTCCATCTACCTTCAGCCTTAGTAGATCTTGTTCCAAAATCTCTGCCTTTCGTTGCTGCAGCTCTTCCACGTCCCAATTCGACCACAAGAACCTCCCTTTGGTGAAGTCAGCCTCGTCGCTGGCAAGCCACACAGCAAAGTGTGCCGGAAGGTCGACTGGAGACCGAAAAAGAGATGAGCTGTCAGCACGCACCAAGCGCGAGAGGGTCAGAAGTAGGCTGTTAGGTCCAGCAGTACTCACCATGGTCGAGTGAAAACTCCAACGTCCCCGACTTCGCCGACATGGGCGAGACCACCAGGCCCGGGTGGATGTTCACCACCCGCAGCCACGGCTCTTCCTCCTGGAGGACCTCCATGGCGCGTGTGATGGCCAATTTGGAGCCGCTGTACGGACTTTGCTTGTTGACGTAGCCTTGTCGGATCCCCCAGTGCGCCAGCACGCTGGAGAGATTGATCAATACAGGTTGGGGCGTGATATTGCCATTAGAGCACTGTGGTGGCGGTGCTGCTCTACGCACGAACTCTTGAGAGACGATGAAGCTGCCCTTGACGTTGATTTCGAAGCTCTTCCACCACTCGTCCAGGTCGGCGTCCCGATAGAGCGCAGCGGAGGACTGGTAGCCCGCGTTGTTGACCAAGACGTCCAACCTCCCTCCCGCGGCCGACGCAATCGCAGAGAAGGCCTCCCTGACGGCATTCTGGTCCGTAATGTCGACGGGGAACAGATGGAGAGCTGTGGACCGGCATTCTGTATTCTGTTCGATCTCGGATCTGGCCCGTTCCAAGTTTCCCCCGTCGAGATCAAGCATCGCCACGTGTTTGGCCCCCGCACGCGCAAACGCGACGCAGATCGCCTGGCCTATCCGACCTGCTGCGCCAGTGACGAGGACGGTCTTTCCAGCCGCCGATAGCTCGGGTCGCGTGGGCGATATGGCCGGGTAGGGCTCCCGGTGGAATGTTTTTGTGAAGGATGGGAGGTTTGCCATGGTATAAGATCCGCTTATATTCGTTGGATCTGATAAGTGAATGTCCTTTGGTAGGCGCTAGGAGGCAGGGCTGTTTCTGTTATGAAAGGTTCTTTGAAAGTTCTCTCATCGTGAGTGCCAAAATAAGCTGAGAAATAGTCAATATACATGCCACCTGGGTCAAAACATTGAATAACATAGTATAACAGCGTTGCAGGACAATATGGTATAATCGAAACCCAGCATCTGCCATGGCTGGGATGCGACGAGTCTTCCGGCTTCGCTGAATGCCGTCCCTCCCCGGCCTTCAACTTACCGAATGAACTCTCCAAACTCAATCAAAGCAGGGCGAGGATCTTCCAGATGAGAATCATTTTGTTTCTTGTCTCGGGATCACAAACATCAAACAACAAGATCGTTGCTTCTAAGCCATCGACCCAGCGTTTAAATGGAACAGGTACGTTTGTAAATCTGGCCCTCATCCCCCTCGCCAACAGGCACAGTTCAATTAAGAACCAAGCTCTTCTTGTATCTCAACTAAAAAAAACTTCCATCACAAGTTCTCACTTCGTGGACATCATGCTCTCGTCACCGGCGGGAATCAAGGCATAGGGCTGGCTTTGGCCATTGGCCTTGCTCAAGCCGGGGCGGATGTGGCCGTCTTTGACCTATCGACGCCTTCGCCAGAGTTCGACAGCATCTCCACCTCATATGGCGTCCGCACGACATACCGGAAGGTCGACGTCTCGTGTGTGGCCGCCCTGAAGGAAGCATTTGAGGATACGATCAAACCGTTCTGTGGAGAGGGCGGGCTGGATATCTGCGTTGCCGCCGCGGGCATCAACCAGATCAAAGACTTCCTCGTCACGGAAGAAAGCGATTTTGACAAGTTGTTAAGCGTGAACGTCAAGGGTGTGTATTTCACTTGCCAAATGGCTGCGCAGGCTATGATCAAACCCAGCCTGGACCCTGGCGAGCCGACTTCGACGAACAGCCTAAGCAACGGGAACACGACCCAGGACCAGAACCCGAGCCCGAGGAAAAGCAAAAGCATCATCGTCATCGCGAGCACCATCTCCCACGGTGCGATCCGCACGCACAACTCGAGCATCTACGCCGTGACCAAGGCGGCCGTCAAGGGCATGGTCCCCGAAATCGCCAAGGAACTGGCACAGCAGGGCATCCGGATCAACTCCCTCAGCCCCGGCTTCACCCTGTCCAAGATGACCGAGGGCTACCCGGACCTGATCCGGCAGTGGAAGAGGGAGACCATGTTGGGCTTCATCGGCGTGCCCGAAGACTATGCCGGTGCGGCCCTCTACCTCGCCAGCAACGCGAGCAGGTATGTCACGGGCCAAGATTTTTTGGTGGATGGGGGGTCGACGAAGTGGTGAGCCATGATCAATGGTACCAGACAGTCAGGTCAAGGCATGTGTATGTGCACGAAACTCACCGCAAAATCAGTCTAGTATTGAAGGAGGTGGACAATATAGATTGAGCCCAGCAGTGGTCCAGATTGATATGTCCTCATGAATTATTATATCTTGTCTGTGGTATTCAACGAAGTGAGATTAGTTCTAACCATACTCTGTGATGCTTTGAAACCCTGCTGATAAGTGAGCACAATATCTTACTAAATAACTAACGACTAAAGGCATCGATCACCTAGACACAGCTTCTTGCGTAGTAGAAGCCTGAACACCACCTGGGCGTGACTGTTTGTTGTGTGCACTCCATGACATGTCGATGGTTGTCCCTCGATGGTGCCTGGTCAGCCTTTCAGCCGGAAGGGACATAATGAGAAGAGGATGGCGGAGGAAACGAGCCCTCCACGTATAGGACAGGGCCGAGGATACTGTCGGAATCCCGAACTCCCTGTGACTTCTGCAACAATAGTTTCTACTCCCCGAGAAACCACAGGGACGGGGCTTGGCAGGACACATGGGAGTCTTGAGAGCGACGTTGTGGACTCCAGCCCAGGTATCTACGAACACCTTCCTACTAACACGGCTAGAGTTTCTGTCGAAGATAGCTACCCTCACAAGACTCCCCGGTCGCTTTGGTCGTTTCGCCGGCGGCAGTGGCGGCTTTGACGAAATCCGGAGGCCAGATCAGGAGAGTGAGTCAGTCGGGCCGGCATATCTGGAGGTCGAGGATAGGCGCACACAGCGCTTTAGGCCAAAAGAATAGATAACTTTGTCCGAACATAGCGAAGACTCCCCTGAATCGGGACGGCAGCTGCGATACCCGCAATTAAGAACTTCGTGTTGCGAGAGAGAACACCACTTCATCCATCATGAATAGATGAGAACAAAATATGCACTGCACATAACATACACACATTTCATCGAAACCTTGGAGTCTTTGTTTGATCTCCGCCATGATCTTGTCCACCGAGTTGTGGTTCTCGTTCCCGTTCCCCAATCGATTACATTCATCATCATGTGCATTTGTGTGCCTACGCATGACTGCACGCATCCGCCGTCTGCCATCACGCATTCCTCGCCGGATCAACAACCAGCAGCGAAAAGTCCTTTGCATACTTCTGAAACGCCTGTTGGCGGAACGAGCCATTGGCTTTGATTTCGTGTTCGAAGATCTCAACCAGTCCTGTCGACGAATACACACACGCAGGGTTTTGTCAGCGCTCCAGTTTTACACAAGATCATAGATCCAGGGTTTCATTGTCTGTTTCACCATATGGAAAAATAATGAAGATATTTCGCGGATATGAAACTAACAATAAAGTACGAAGAGATGGAACACAAAGCACAAGGAAATAAAAACTGAGATCCAAACGTGTCTCAAGGGTAAGGTAAACTCACTTAGTGCACTCTCCCCAATGCCCCAAAAGGCCCCAATCCTCTTGAGAATGAGCTTCAGCATGGACAGGTAGTTTCCATGGCCGCCCGGCTCGAACAGGAGTGCCGCCCGGATATTGTCAAAGGCCGGACCGACGATGGTGCATGAGACGAAAGGACAGGCGTAGATCAGGTATTCGGGCGGCCAGGCCTCCATGGCGCGGAAGACGAGGTAGGTATCGTTGTGCGGGCCCGTGGGCAATGAGGCCACGACAGCCGAGTTCTGCATCCCACTCTGGGATTTGATGTACTGCGCATTGCGGACGAGGACCCGTGCACTATGATATTTGAATAGAAGTCAGCATCAGTTCTCAATAAAATGATATAATACGTGAACATACGTGTGGAGCATAAAGACCGTGAGAAGCGCCCAGTTATTTGCCCCAATGTTCGCCTCGGTAAACGGGGTACGCACAATGTCCAGTTGGAAGCCCTGAGGGAGGAGCAGGGCGAAGCAGTTCAAGGTCGACCCGAAGTTGACAACGTCCTGCAGAGTGAAGGTGTTCTCGGGAGCTGCGAGGTCAGCCGCCCGCGCCATGAGCAGCGTCGTGACCAGGAACCACGCCCGCTCATCCGCCGTCGGGCAGCTCTCCAGCGTCTGCCACTCGTGCAGGAAGTCGGTACGCAGCAGAATCGACTCGGTCGGCATCTCGGAGAACCACGTCGCGTCCGACACGGGCAGCAGCACGTTCATCTGGTCCTTGTTGATCGAGTGCGGCCGCCGCAGGATCGTCGCCGCGAACACGTCCAGTTCCCACACCAGCCACCACGCCCGTCGCTTCTCCTCTTTCTGCACCCAGGACTCCTTGGCGGCTTCGTACTGTTGCTGCTGCTGCTGGCGCTGGGTGTGCTTCTCGGCGGGAGGTGCTGTGGATGATGTTGCTGCTTCGTCGGGGATGAAGACGTCCCTATCCAGTTCGTTGAGCCCCAGGTCGATCGCAAGTCGACAACAAGTACCGATCAGGAGCCAGCTCTGTGTCGTGATTCTGTTAGTCTGCTCGTAGAACGCCAGGAGGATGCACCCTTGCAGGTACCCCAGCGAGATTTCGTTCCCATCGTCGCAACCGCCGCGCTCGTCGCTCTGGAGCGCCTCCGCATACAGTGCGTTGGCTTTCCGGGCGAAAACCTTGCCTTTATCCTTGGACGCGCAGGTCGAAGGGAAAAATTCATTGGTCGAGAACCTAGCCGACAGGGCCATCATGGCGGTCAAAATCAAGGCGTCCTCAATTGACAGCCGTGCGTATCTGTCGTTGTTGGTGCTGTCGACATGAAACTTTTGGCGGAATCGAGGTTCGTGAAAAATGGGGATAGAGAGTTGTAAGCGTAAAAAGAAGAGGTCGATTCTGATGGGAGCGCACAATTCATGTTCCGTCAGTCTAAAGCCCAAGGACAGAGGTGTGGAAAGCGCGCCAGGGGTACCAGCAATATAGAAAACAGGGAGTTTGTTCTCCGGGGAAACTTACAGCTCGTCTATCAGGGCAGGCGGATATGCAAGGGTATAGGGACTCCTGTCTGTGAGGTTCAGGTCTTCTGAGAGACTGGGTGCAGAACCCGACCAGGCGTCGCCTATTGAAAAAAAGAGTTAGGCTCTTGCAATGAGACATGGAATTCAGTGTCTGCGACTGACCGTAGCGCTCGGTCGAATTGAGGAGACTAAACATCCCATAACTGTCCGTGAAGGGACTGAAGGTCATGTTCGAAAACCAGCCACTAGGATCGTGTGACGGGCTGCTATCTTGAACCTCGACCTGTAAGTGTTCGAGCACAGAGCCGTCGTTTTGGGACAAAACGGTTGGGGGATTGTGTGCATCTGCCACCATCGACAGCGGTAGCGAGGATATCGACAGTGACATATCCTGGGGTTGCTGCAGCTGATAATCCGCATTCCCTTGAGCCTCCATGGTCGCGTTCTTGTCAGAAGGTGACGATCCAGACTCTGTCGTCGTGGTTGGTGCCTGATGCTCGCGGCGCCGGAGAGCGCCACGTAAGACGTTGAGGTCGACGTTATCTAGCAACCCTTCTGCGAGGGATTTGTTAGTTTCTACCTCTGCGTAGGGCCAGACGCCTTGGCTTCTGCAGGAGGGGCACTGAACGAACCTAATTCGTCCCCTTGGTTTGACTCCATTAGTTTTCGTCGGAGGCTTTGATATTTCGTCTCCAGCGTCGTGCGCTTGCGATGCGTAGGGTATACGCACCGAGAGCCTGATTGTTGGCACCGGTGACATTTGGGAGATTTCTTGTCGCCTGTACACTGGTTAGTCACAGCTTAGTCCACAGCGGGCGGGCATGTGTTGGTTCTCGGGTCAGTCGGGCCTCGAATGTCCTAGGGATGAGGACGGACGCGACGACTTACATTTCGCCTTTTTGCTAGCGTGGGAGGGATGACTTCAGTAAGCTTTTCTTTTTGCAAGATCCGCTGCCTTACCGGTTGCATTCCTCACAGGATCTCCCCCGTGATTGATGAAGTTTGCCGGTCGCCATCCCGTCCCGGGGAGTCCATACGAGTTCTCGATGTGCAGACGCGGTGCCGCTGCGCAGACACTTATCGATGCGTCTTGACTGAAGCGCTGTCGGTATTTGGCGTGAGAAATGAGAAATGGGCAATATCACCTCCCCGAATACCCTGATAGTGCCCTCAGCTGGGAAGTCCAGAGTACAGTCCGGGCTTGTGGCAGCTGGGGTAGTGGGAGGAGAGCACATACTAGATAGATAAGTCACTAGCTCAAGTCAGTGCTAGTGATAAGGAGTATATATGACCAATGGTTGGATGCAATGCTAGCCCTTGCAGATGGTGCGGTGTACGTTGGTATATTCAATGTAAGAGAAGAGACAACGCCGTAACTGGAGAAACTGGGGTCATTTCCGGGGGCCAGATGTAGGTGGTGGAGAGGAAAAGGAAAAGAGGGAAGACAACCGAGGAGAAGTGGCAGTGCCACCAGGTGCCGTACCCACCCGGCCCGTCAACCACTCAGAGCGCTTTCGTGCACGTGCCACCCCACCCGACTACCGCATAGAGTAGCTTCGGATTCCTGATCCGGACTAACTTGGTTATCTAAATAGCCATGTTGAATTGTGAACCATGCCTTGGGAATATTTTGACAACATAACTCAACGTATCGTTCTGCACCTAGACGAAAGCTCCCAGATTTCGAACATCCGACATGTTGTTAAATCACAGGACTGCCTTGGACCCCCGCTCTATTCGTAGGAAGCGTTGTCATTGCGCTAGGGCGTCCCAGAGATCTATATCAAGTTTCAAAAGAAAGGTCTTTAAACACGGCCAGTTTAGAACCTTCGTGAGTCCAACCAACGGGTACCTTTCGACTCCTCCAAATACCATCAACAATAAAATCTCGATCGAGCTTTCCCCGTGTCTTCACCCGCCGTCAAAAGGGTCTCTTCTCCAACCAGCGGATTGTGGGAACGGCAACTCCCATCTATGATATTAAGTGCCTGGTTAGAAGTGCCAAGGGTTTCCGACCGCGCGGCACCTCTTCCGTGCCCACAGCTTTCTATTAGAAGTAGGTAGAGCTGATTTCAAGGTCGCATTGGCACGGCTCAACATGCCGTCCCACGGGAAGGGTAGTCCGATTGACCCCAGGTCAGCATCCGCAACTCCATGCGTCCACATTTGCGGATACAATAGCCTCTTCCCCGCAGTCCTGACTCAGAGAATACGAGATACAACCGTCTCTCGCTACTAGGTGGAAGATTTTCACTCCGGGATTCGCGAATGCCGGCTCTATCAATCTCATGATCAGTCGAACTAATTTGAAGCTTTGGACTTCCCGGTAACATGATTGGTCAGGCCAAAACCTATCTTCTTTTCACTCAATGAAGCCACCAGCGAACTAAGACTGGGGACTGTTCAACGAGATATCTGGCCCCTCATCCGCTCTCCGTTTGTGGAACCTAGCACATCTCCACCGATGTTGTCTGGCTAACTGTGAAGCACATACGTTGTGCTTTCTCCATGCTGCACAATGATCACTCCAGACCAAAGCGATCTTTGATCATCAGCCACGACTTATATCCTCTTTCCGCGAGGATTTCAGGGCCAATAGACTCCTTGTCCTCATCCCGATGGAACATCTCCATGCTCACCCAGCCTTTCCACCCTTTGTCAACCAGCCAAACTCGCAATATATCGTCTAATGGAAAGTAGGCACCATACTCGGTCTCGTACGGAAACAATCTCCCCCAGACGCACCAATGCATAGTGGCATCCCAATGGGCCCACTCGGCTTTGTAGGCCTGATGACCGGGGATAAGTGGCTGCTCCAGTCTCTCAGCATCGCTGAGCTGAAGGTAAAAAATCTTTTCCACAGGACACTGCTCCATAAACCTGTCGAGTGTTGCCTTGAGCGCCGCGTGCCCTCCTGGAGCGATACCTGTGCCCGTCCCGGACGCCGCATGCGGGTCTGCCCAGACCCTGGCAAGAACGTGATAAGTGTCGAGACAGAGACCAAAATTGGGTCGATTCACGCGCTTGACGATCCGTATCGCGTCGTCCATCAGTGCATGGTGAACACCCCATGCCAGTGCTTCATACGCGAAGAAGATCTCCTCTTCGCCGGGTTCTGAGGACCCTCTTCCCAAATCTGCCAGAGCGCTGAGCTCTGCCACGATAACATCCTCGTCACCGGTCGAGTTCATTTCATACGTCGTTGGAACTTGAATCATATTTGTGCCCATAGCTCGAGCTAGAGAGACATATTCCCGGGCAGATTCAAGCCGAGTTTTCAAGGGTGTGAGGACACCTGCAAAGTTGAACAGTGGCTGCAACGCTATGATCGAGATGTTTCTATCTCTGCATATGGCGCCAATTTTTGAAGCCGCCTCCAAATGCGTCAAGGAGTGTTGGTCCGCAAAGGTGACCAGGTCGGGATGATAGATCTCAACCCCTTCATACCCATGTTTGGATATGGCATCCAGTTTTCGTTCGAGGGTGTGAGACGAGTGCCAACCCAACGAGACCGTGGCGATTCCCAGTCTGTGTCTTTCTGACTTCATACTGCAGTAAGGCGGCCGGATCGATCTTGATTTGGGATGTCTACATGTGAAAACCCAACAGTCTTCGAATTGCCTCTGGAATTGAAGTTGAATGGCAATTCACTGAAAATTTTCAAGAGCGCCGAACATCCCAGGACACCCTTTCAGCCTTGTCTAGATGGAACGCCAGAAACAGAAGGCTTTTTCTCTGTCTTTTAAGGAGCGAAATGACGCCGACTTGTCATGTGTAGTCTCAAGAAGCTCTTAGGAGTAAAGCGGATCCAATTGCCATGAAAAATCCAATGCCCCGGATACAAAGATTTGCTTCAGTGTCTTAAAGCTACCGGGAATTCTGCAGGCCGGAAATCAACCACTCTTAACGGGATCCGCGAACTCCGGCGTGAATACCCCGGACTATGGTCCAGCAGGGTGTGAGACAGGAGAAACCAACTAACTTTGGAACGTCTGTTGTCCGGACCCGGGGTGCTCCTGGAGACTGGGTCAGAGGGGCGTGGATCATGGAGATGGAGTAATTGTGAACTAACGTTCTCGATATAAAATCAGGCATGATTGGCGACTCAGCGACTGGAACTCATATTACCAGCCCTCAACGCTGTTCTAGGAAGTCACGATCAAAGTCGAATACTCTGACAGATAGCAAGATGACTTTTTCTGCAGCATCCAAGAGACTGAACTGGCGGACCTTCTGGTGCTGCTTTTTCTTGTCCCTGGGCAGTTTCTGCTACGGATATGCAGCCTCGATTGTGAGCTATTCACCCTCCATGCATTCAATATCCCAGGCATGCTATGAGGTAAACATGAACTTACTGTTTTACTCCAAGATCTCCACGACCCTGGGCCAGCCAACCTTCCTGGCATACATGCATCTGATTGATGCTCAGGGAAATCCAAGTTCGAATCAAGCGGCGTTAACTGGGGCCACAGTGGGTTTGTTCTGCGTAAGTATACATCCCTAACATTTCTCATCATCAAATATCCTCCAGTATCGCTGGATCGCTGATCCTCGCTCCTGCTACAGACCGGGGGGTGTATAGGCGTCCTGGCTACAAGCTGGTCACTCGACAGATTTGGAAGGAGACCGACAATGATAATCCTAGTGGCCATCTACACGCTCGGCGCTGTTTTGGTCACAGCGTCCCAAAACATTGGCATGTTCATCGCGGCACGGGCAATCCATGGCTTTGCAGCAGTCAGCTTCATCGCAGCCAGTATGTCCTACGCATATGTCCTCTAGAGAAAAATGAAAAGGAGAAAGAAGAATACTAACTGCAACAACTCCCAACCAGCATCCACATACATCGCCGAACTCTCCCAGGCAGAAACCCGAGGATTCTTCACCGGCCTTACAGGCGTGGCCATTGCCTGTGGCTACACCGTTGCTGCATTGATGGGCCTCGCCTTCTCGTATACGACAAATCCCGACGTGCAATGGAGAACGCCCCTCGGCTTATGCATGGTTCCGTCCACCTTTCTCCTGGCGGTCCTGCTGTTCTGGGCCCCCGAGTCCCCTCGCTACCTGCTTCTCAAGGGCCAGGTGGAAGATGCATGGCAAATCGTCAGCAAACTCCACCACGACCCGCAGGACCATAACCAGGAATACATCAAGGAAGAGTTCTTCCAGATGCGGACGCAGCTGGAGCTGGACAGGACCCTCGACTCTTCGTGGTACACGATGTTCGCGAAAGCTTCATACAGAAAGCGAACGCTCATGGCAGCCCTAGTGACGTTCTTAGGTCAGACCACTGCCGTTCTTGTTGTTGCTGCCTATGTAAGTCGGCATGTTTTGCGTACCACATATTATACGGGGACCGGAGCGATACTGATTTGCCTTCTTTCTGAGTAGGGTCCTTCTCTCTACGCTGCCCTGGGATTCGATGTCAAGCAAAGCCTGATTCTACAGTGTGGCTGGATTGCAGGTATGTTTGAGCTGTGGCTCCAGGTCTCAGTATTTCCCCTCTCTCTGGCCTTTAGTTAACCTTTGTACTTCCTTTGACAGGCTCCATCCCGGCAGCGATCATCGGTGTCTCGCTATGTGACCGATTCGGACGCAAGCCGTTCATTATGACCGGCTACGTCGGGTGCGTCGTGGCCCTGGTGATTCTCACGGCCATGGAAGCCGTCTACGCTCCTTCAGGAACCAACAAAGTTGGCCTTGGCTGGGCCGTGGCAGCTTCGTACCTCATCGTGATCTTCTACTGCTTGGGTGTCGAGGCCTGTGGCGCCCCATTCTACTGTGAAATCTTCCCGACACACATTCGCGCCAAAGGCGTTTGTTTCAACATCTTCGTCAACAGTGCCGCCAACCTGCTCTACCTCGAAGTGGCACCCACGGCTCTACAGACTATTAAATGGAAATTCTTGCTGGTAAGTCACTCACGCCCTCTGGCTCATCGCGCGTTTTCGTGTGATGTAACGTGTTCACCGAGGCCGGGTGAGAAGAAAAACTAATTGTTCTTCCCTGTTTCTCTAGGTCTTCATCTGCGTTCTCTCCACCGGGTCGGTTCTCTACTGGTTCTGGGTTCCGGAGACGAGATCTGTGCCTCTGGAGGAACTCGCTCTGATCTTCGGTGACACCGACGAGGTCAAGGTTTACTCGTCTGACATCACCATCAAGGACGACGGGGAAGTAATTGCAGAGGACCATCATCTTCCCGGGCACAACTTGGTGGTAAAGCCAGAGTCAGAGGTCGTTTTGCATGAGAAAGTCTAGATCCGCTCAACGAAATGGAGGTGGGCTGATCAGAGAAAGGTTGGTTAGAGAAGGAAGATGCGATTGAATGCACCTGACTCTGAGCAACGAAGCTTGCCATAAAAGATGGTGAAGAGAAGGAAGTCCGGAAGGACTATTTCCCAGCAGACTCGGCCGAGCAGAAGGACGCAGATTTGTAGCTTCAACCTGGAGAAAACGTGTTGTACTTTCTGCTTTCTGCTGTTTTTACGGTAGAAAGATAAAATATGCAGCTATTATTCCTCCAATAAGCATTGCACACCGATAAAAGTAGATGCAATGTGCTTGCTATATTCATTGTACAGTCAAGACACGTACATAAGAATCTAAAAGGAGGGCGAAAGGGCACGTCGACCTGTTTCTCCTTGTCACACAGATTGAGCAGCTCAGCTCCCTGCAGACTGCTCCTCTAATGATTATTTCGTGGCAAAAGATTTATAATATGGACATGTAAGGCCTTGTACAATGCTCAAAGAAATTTCCCGGCGAGTATTCGATTCTTCCTTTCGTTCAGGCCTTACATGCATGTACACATCCTCGCTTGATCCTCATAGTGCTTCTTGGGCCCCTGTCGATAGTCTTTGGACCTTTTTTCGTCTCTCATTTCACGCTACCCCCACAGGAAGGAGATCTCGAAAGTTACGAAGTCTGCAAATCATCCTTTTCAAACGATGACTTGACAAAAGTTAGATCGGACAACCTCTCGTAGACCTCAATGAGACCTGGTTTGCAGAATGGGGCAAGTCAGCAGACTTGATCCCATACATCGCGTATCTCACAATGCTTGACAGCGCCGTGTTCCTCTGAGAGTGATGCTGTACGAGGCAAATGAAGAGGTGTCACTTACGCGGTTTGAGCCACAAATGCTGCGTAGCCTTCAGATATGGCTCGTAGTATGGCTGGTTTAGTTGAACCTATTGCCGTCCACCCGATATTATAAGAATCAGCACAAGAGCCAACGCCGAATTCACAGGTTGTCACTCGGACTGGGGAGATACCACATCATAGCTTGCATGCCATTCTCCGGGTCTCTTTCTGTCCTCACCAGCGAGGGCCAGGAACTCTCCACACGTACCTCGTCCAGATACTGCCTCGAAGCATTCCACTCCTCCTGAATACGAATCACGCCCGGGTCATTGGCGTCCCGAACAATTTGACAGAAGTCTAGCCGGGGATCCTTCCACGCCTCGGCGAAGAGCTTTCTGCATGCTTCCAGAGCGATAGGCACGTTTTCTGGAGCAAACCACAATGTAACATGGATCATGTATCGGTCTGGAACTTTCGTTGATGACGACATGTTCTGAATTCTGGAGATTGGATTGACGACTTGGAATTTTGTATGGGCTGGCTTGGTCGTGATTGTTCGCAGTGCCTTTTTTTAAGAAGCTGCAAGGCTGGAGCACTTGAAAGTAGCGGAGGACCAAAAGAAATATTGTAGATTTGGAAAGGATAGACCGATATGAAACTATGCCTCTCCGTACTCGTGGGGTTCCCTACCTAGACATCACGACGCAATGATATATAAGAATGCAGCAATGTAACTTTCCTTGGTATGGAGCCTAAGCACACGACGACACAGCGCAAGTGGTGACTGACTTTTTTCCACAAAGCCTGGCACCGGGATTCGTGAACACCGTTCCACCATGCATCAATGCCCCATGAGAGGGAACTGAGAGATTGACGTAGCCGAGGGCCAAGGAGGAGTCTCGGATCAGCTCATGTCAAACATATTTCACGTGGTGCTGATCCAACACAGTAGCAGCAGCCCTCGTTCAGCCTAGTGAGCCTCTGATCTGGTGGTTGTCTAGGCATAGCCTCACAGGGAGGTGTCTGGTCCGCGAGTAATCTGGATAGAAGACGAAAAGCTTGGGAGGAAAACACTAAACTTTTGGTATATTCAGTCACCTAGCTTCCCCCTCATGACAAGACACTCATGCAGTAACACAAACAATTGAAATCAGAGTTATCACGACAAATCCTGCCCTGAACTTCATGACTAGAAGCGTTTGTCCTCATCCATCCATCCACACTGAGTCACTCAATCATGACAGTAGTAAGAATCCCAAAGCTTGAAGAGCATCAAACACAACAAGAGTCCACCAACCCCCACCTTCCTACATTAACCGGGTTTATTCATTCCTCTCCGTATCATCGCCGCCCGAAAAAGTTGTCCATCTTGAATTCTTCACGGTCGGTCATGTACACATTCCACAAAGGAAACAAAGTAAGTGCATAGAAGAATGAGGGTCCCCTGAGAGACGGTCACACACATAACTATGTACACAGAAGGACAAAGGAGAGAAACGGCGACTGCCATGTCTGTCATGTTGAGTCGTCATCGTCGTGTTGTTGGTAATGGTCATGTTTGTTTGTTGTCAAGTCGTGGCGTCATTTAATACTGCCGAAATCCGAAATTCGAGCTCTCGCCGGGGAAGTCAAAGCCGCTGGCGTTGTACATTGCATTCTGGGCCATGGACATGGTGGCATCGACGTTGACGAAGTTGTCGGCAGCGAGGATGTTGTCGTAGAACAACGGCTCTTGTGTGAGATCCAACATGGGCAGGGATGGATTTTGCATCATGTCGTCGTCGGTGAGCTCGTAGTTGGCGTTGCCCATGTTGCTGTTGGCGCTGTTGGCGGTGGTATTGGCAGTCGAGGCGCCTCTGACGTGTTCGTTGACGACGGCGGGCTGGAAGGTTGTGTCAGGGACGTTGAGGTCTTGGACAATCACGCGGCCGTTGACGTTGAGTTCAAGCTCTTCGTACATCCAGTGCTTGAGGAATTCCATAGGCGGTGTGTTGCCACCACCCATGCCGCCGCGACCCTCGCTCTTCTTGCCCCGACCGCCACGTCGGTTCTTGCACGGGTTGAAGTGGGCGCGACGCAAGTGAGCTGCAGCGTTGTAGTTGGCGCCATAGCTCTTGCGGCTGCGGCATGCCTTGCAGTTGGACAAGAACTTGCCGTCGGCCGAGGCGTCCTTGCAGATCCAAACCCGGCGCACTTGGGAGTGGTGGCGCTCGATATGCCGTCGGAGCTCGTGGTCGCCGTGAAAGCCCTGGGGTTGATCGTTACAGAACTGACAAAAGGTCGTCTTACGAGGAGGCTGTTGTCGGATTGTGCGGCTGATCTCTGCCTTGTGTTTCACGGTGCCGTCCGCGCCCTGGACAGCAATGAGTCGGGGTGCTGGCATCTCGACTGATTGCGACGATGACCCCGGAGCACGCTCCATCTTGGGAGCCAGAGGTCGTGAGACTGTGTTACTGCTACGAGGAACAACAACTTCCTGCTGCGGCGGCGGCGGCGGAAGCCCTCGTGCCGACGACGACATATGAGACTGAGACAAAACAGAAACCGATGAGGCGTCGCTTCCAGAGGAAGGCGACTTCTTCATCTCAAAACTAGAAGGAGACGATGACTGAAGCTCGTCATCCTCAAAAGACAAACGGGAAAATACGTTGCAACCGAAACCGGTTCCAACCACGGAAGAAGAAGTAGTAGGAAGAAAAGAAAGTCGTCGAGCTGGTTCGGCATCCTGGGGATACCGAGGCTCATCCGGCATCATGCTGCTCGAGGCCTTGTGATCCTTCGCCATCGACATTGAGTCCATGCGAAACATCCCAAAGCCTTCGCAGAGAACATCATTGGTGTTGCTCCGAGACATGGGCTCCGACAACACAGTTGACGGAGCCGTCATGCTCGAGTCACTAGTGGCCGTCATCGGAGTAAAGACTCCTCCTGGCGACTCTATCGCTGAAGAATACGGGGACGTGAGCTGTGCCATCTGGTTGATGTGGAACTCACCACGCTCCACAATTGTGGGAGGGGTCAACGAGCCAGGCGGGTTATGATGATAGTCATCCGGTGACTTGGCGAGGAAGTCCGCGGGCGACATATCTTGAACCTCTTCAATGAAATTAAGACTGGATCCCAAATATCGGTTGGGGTACGAGGCGTATGTGGAACCTCTCCGTTGCCAATTGTTGCGTCGGGGGATGGGCATTGGCTTGGTTGTCGTTGTGGTGGTCGTGGTTGTGGCGGTCTGGGGAATAGGTGAAGTTCGAACCGAAGGTCTGCCTTGCTGGGTCCTGGGGGCAGATTGACCAACAACTGGTGCTGAGATATGTCGCTCGAGGACATGGGATGTGGGTGCCGAGGAAGCCAGGGATGCTGTCTTCTTTCTCGCCCGTCAACCAAAGCAGAGTGATTAGTCAACAAGGGGACGTACATGGACATTACGTTTGGGCGCTGGTTCCATATCACCAACCATCACAGAGGATAGAGGTCGTTTGGAGGGAACCGAAGAACCATATTCAGATGTCGAGGTTGGAGGGGAGTTCCTCATCTCGGCATTCATGGAGTTCCAGTAGCGTGAAACCTGCTCGAGCTCGTCGGGAGACAGGTGCTGGATTGTCTGTTGGTATGCGGCACGACAGGACCGAAGAAGCTCAATGACTTGAAGAGCACCAGAGTCCATGTTGTCGACCAAAGGAGGAACCAAAAAAGGTAACCAAATGTCAAAAGTGATGGCACTCCTGAAGAAGAAAGGCAAACAGCCAATCTGAGGGGTTTGGTCAGCCGATTGGGGCCCGAAGACAGTCAGTTTGTCCTCCCCGATCAATGCAAAGACTCACTGGTTGACGTTTCGAAAGGGCTAATAGAATTTTGGTGGAACAGTAACAACGAAGTCCTTCGAAAAATCCAATAATAACGGGATCGACGAAGGTGAAAGGGGTGCAATGACGGGCGTGTCAAAAATTGGGTGAGAAACAGCCTTGGAAGAAGAAAAGGACGGACAGGCTCGGGGTGTTATAGGACTGCTCCATGCAGGAGGAGTTGTGAGAAGAAAGGACGTGGGGATGGGCTGAGTCCTGACAAAACATGTGCCATAAAATCATGACGGCAAACTGCCGCTTGGGCAGACTTCGACGAACATCCAAGTCGGGCAACGTTTCCAGGGTGGCTTTGCTGATCTTAGACGGGGTAACCTGGGCGCTCCGGGATCTTGATGGGTTGAAGAAAGTACCCGTCTCTCAGAGCCCCGGCCCGGACGCCTCTTTCTAGGCACTCTTTCAGCCTAGACACGCCCACCTTCCGAGCGTTCCATTCGCCTGGCCTTTGGCCTAACTGCGCCGGAAGTATCTGGGCACGGGTCGACCCTGGCCCAGCCGAGTTCAACGAACCTGGGCGTCGTGAGCGGTCTCGTAACACCACGAAAGGGTGGGCAGATCTCGATTGGCTGCCCATGAAGGTTCTCTGAGGAACGACGATCACGGAGTCTGATCGACGGCTCATTGGGTGTATGCAGGCCCCTGCAAGCGGTCTTGGCCGCCTCACTTTGAAATGAGGGCGCTCACCGAGTCAGGTTTGTCGTTCTGCTGGAATTCGTGCCCAACGTGGCTCGGAACAATTGTGATTCGTTGTCCCTCAAGGGTGGCCATGTTGCATAATCTCGAGTTCCTTCCATCACATGAGCCTAAGCACAGTAATCCAACCGGTTGACCATATGGCCTGGCTCGTCAATGCCCCCCGAGTACAGTACACGCACTCGGCCGCAGCAGGGGCGTGATGGCAGGTACAATGACCTGCATCAACTGCCGGGACGGCCAGCAGAGTGGTCCGAAGGAAAAGAACTCTGCGTTCTCTGTGTAACCACCGCAAGAAGGAAGAGGTCAGCCTGGAAGCGAACCAACCCCAGGAGATATGGGCACGACTAGCTGGAGCGAGGTGCAGGAGTTCATCTGCTCTTTCACAATTTTGGAGAACTTGTGGTTCACGTCTCTCTTCGCTAAAGGACGACGGGAAGCAGGTACCTGGACCTGGACTCGAGACCTGATTTGCTGTTCAGCGGTTCTTTGCAGCCCAACCCATCTCCCTGCTGTATAACGTCGCGTTATCGTTCATGAGTCACTATCCCTCCATGGTGTACGATGGTGATATCGGACACGACCAGGAAGAGACGGTGCCGGTTTCCGTAGCACTGGCGTGGGATTGAGAGTCTGGCGCAAACGGCGACGAGGTGGCATGCTGTAATTTGCAGGTCATCGTTGATAGACGTGGATGAGCTTCGTCTCAGTCAATCGACAGGGGCCTTTTTGCGCCAGGGATAACATCTCCGTCACCTGAGGGGACGAGATCCTCCGACATGTCTAGCACGGCTGAGGAATGCAGCGGTGATAGTCGCGCCACTCTGCCAGACCCCATGGCTGAGACTGTGGAGTGTATAACCTCGAGTAAGTGAATCGCGATACAGCCTCACCGCTTCGAGTCGGAAAGGCTCTTCCGACTGATCACCTCAAGGGATCATCGCCGTCGCTCGCTGATCGATCCGTCACCCCATGCTTTGTGCCTGCTGATCATGTCGCCGAGATCGTGAGCTTAAGCTGGGCATCTGTCACACCAGCGTCCGTTGAATCGTTGGATGACGCAAATGAATAGGGACTGTAGATCGTTGATAGACGCATAGCAGCACGTACGAGACCAAAGGGTGGCTGGTGGCTGGCCTCATTGTAGCCTTACAGATGATCACTTTGATGTGTGTCTGAATGTATGTAGGTATTGCGTCCCTGTCGCTCAGTGGGCCTATCTATCATCTTGCCACCACCGACACAACCTGTGGACATGTCGCCGCCGCTGCATCTAGACCAGATGGTGCTTTCCCACGCTAGACAGAGACTCTGACCTTCTATATCTTCCTCCTCCTCATCTTCGCAATTGGTTCCTGCTCTTCTTCAGTCCACCCTCCGTCGGCCTAACGTACAGGCATGTCTGAAAATATCTGTGAGGTCGCATCGAATCGTGGTCAAGGACAGGCGGAACCGCACTCCCAGCTTCGACATCGAGAGACTTCGTAATTGCCACCTGTCCATTCCTCAGGGGCTGGTGACAGCGGTGGCGAGGTCATGTCCATCATGCAAAGCGAGATCCTTGTCGTCCCTGATGGTCCTGTCAGTGCACACTCGCACCATGGTCTTGTATCCACCTTCCGCAGCCACGCGGATATGGTGTCCGGGGATCCCTAGTCCACAACACCTATTCGTCCCAGGGTGCGTTGCGTACACCAGGTATGTGTTTTTGGAAAGGCACGCTCAGCACACCATGGCAGAAGACGGCCTTGACAATCTGTTTGCGTAGTTTTAGCAGTTCAAGCAGCAGACCGCCAACGAGGGCTGCAGACGATGCCCAACGTCTCTCCGGCCACCGCATCATCCGCAGCTAGTTACGGCGAAAGGATGGTGTTGGTAGCCATCAACCATACCATACCATTTGGGCTGGTATCCTCCGACTTGGAGGAGTGCACGACTCGAAAACTATTAGTGAACAGTGAGGAAGCTTTGCCGAGATGAGCGGAGAAGGTCTGCCGAGGGTGTGACTAAGCCAGGGTATGATTGATTTAATTGGTTGCAAGTGGGGCTCGTGGTTTGTTTACTCCTCTTCCCAATCTGGCTGCTTGGACCTTTCGACATTCGACAACGTCGCAAGTCATCGCAGGAAGTCTCACCAAAGCTGAGAGGCAACAATGTCAGTCGCGGAGATCTTCTTTGACGCTCAGCGCTCTCTTGTGGGCCACAAGACGCTGGCGAAACGACTGCGCCGTCTTGAAAGCTCTCCAAACTTCGAAGCGCACATTAAACAATGTGTCTTCCGCCTTCTCGATGTCGCGAAGTCCGAACCAGCTGGAACCCGTGTCATCAAATTCCTCACGACATATCTCGCCAGCGACGACGCCTCAAATCAGATCTCTTCCGCCATCCTACTGGGCATTCTCCCATTTCTCTGTGCCAAAGACAAGACGATCCGATATCGAGCCACCCAACTCACCTGCCAGATCTTGGGTGTCCTCCAAGCCATCGACGATGATCTATACAAGGTTATCAGACACGAGCTGATCAAAAGAATGAGAGACAAGGTCCCCGCGATCCGGCTGGAAGCAGTCATGGCCCTGGGCCGTCTCGTGGAAAGTGAAATGGAAGAAGCCGAGGACCAAGATTCAGATGAGGATGTCGCCCCTGGCTTGCTGGACAAGCTCCTCGATGTTCTCCAAAACGATACCAATGCAGATGTCAGGAGAGCCCTTTTAGTGAATATTCCGGCGACGCCCAAGACCTTACCCTATCTACTCGAGCGAGCCAGAGATCGCGATGCTCCGACTCGACGTGCCCTGTACGCAAAACTGCTTCCCACACTTGGCGATTTCCGACATCTGTCCCTGTCCATGCGAGAGAAACTGCTGAGATGGGGCTTGAGAGACCGTGACGAAAGAGTCCGCGGAGCTACCGCTCGCCTGTTTAGAGAATGCTGGATTGAGAACTGTGCAAGAACCGAGGCCGAGAAAGTTGCTGAAGCACAGGAAGAGAAGGATGAGAAGGAAGCACATGTCGGCTTCTATGATCCAAGCATTCCCGCTCTGTTGGAGCTTTTGGAGAGAATCGACACTTTGAACACTGGGAATGACGATGGCGTTGCTCGTGAAGCGATGAAAGAATTTTGGGCTGGCCGACCAGATTATCTCGAGGCGGTCACCTTTGACGACGATTTCTGGCAGAATTTGACTCCCGAGTCAGCTTTTATGGCACGCACGCTCAATGACTACTGTCGGTCGGACCCAAACTACCAGGAAATGGTGGAAGAGAAAATGCCAGAGGTTACACGGCTGGGATTCCATCTCCAGAGACATATCAACGAGCTGTTCACGAGGGTCCAAAGCGCCAGCGAGTCGGATTCGGATGACAAGATCGCATTGCAAGCGGAACAGGAGTTCATTGTGGAGCAGCTCTTGTACATAGCCCAGTCTCTGGACTACACAGATGAAGTTGGCAGGAGGAAGATGTTCTCGTTGCTCCGACACGCTTTGTCCGTGGCCGACTTACCAGATGAGTGCACTCGGCTCACCGTGGAAGCCCTACGACTCGTATGCAACTCGGATGCAGCTGGCGAGAGAGAGTTTACCTCGATCGTTCTCGAAGCCATCGCCGAAGTCCACGATAATATCGCTTCTTCTGACCTCGAGAATGAAGCTGAAGCAGACGAGGAAGACAGCTTTGTCTCAGCCCGCAGCGAAGTCAGTGGGGACTCGACACCGAAGACTGAGCAAGCCAGGAGCAAGCGCAATAAGCACCTCACCGACGAAGAGCAAGAAGCCAAAGCGATCAAAGAAATTGTCATCAACATGAAGTGTCTCCACATCGCTCAGTGCATGCTGCAGAATGTCGCAGGAAATCTGCAATCGAACATCGACCTGCGCACCATGTTTGACAATTTGGTGATCCCAGCCGTGCGATCCCACGAGGCTCTAATTCGCGAGCGTGGCGTGCAATGTCTGGGATTGTGCTGCTTGCTTGAACCCAAGCTTGCAGACGAGAACATGCGGCTCTTCACTCTCTTGTTGAAGAGAGGCCACGAGTCCCTCCAAGTCATGGCTCTGCAGATTTTGTGCGACATCCTTCTCGCACGAGGTCCGCCTTCCCCTACGCATCTGGAATCCAGCCCTCCCCCAGAATCCCCTGTTGCCGCGACTGAAGCGTCGGAAGATGTCCCGGCTCCCGCCGCCACCGCTGCTACAACTGGTAACCCCAGCAATTCACTCCCGGGCCTTCTCTCCCCTTTCATCAAGGCTCTCTCACAGACCTTCCCAGACGAAGTCCGTGCCACATCCACGGCCAGCTTGTGCAAACTCATGCTGTGCGGATTCTACGTGGGTAATGAAGAGTTGTTCGATCAGATCGTCGAAAGGGCAATCCACGGCGCGGCCAAGGGGTGGGAACTTCTGGAGAAAGTGAGGAATGCGGTTCTCGTGGACAAGGACCAGAGCAAAGGCAAGGGTGCCGACAAGAGTGGCGGCGACAAGACCAAGGAGAGGGAAAGGGCAAGTAACGGAATAAGTAGTGCGAGAACGAGCAATGAGGGCGTTGGGGACGGAAGCGAGCGAATTGCGGGTGAGAGCATGGAGCTGTGAGGGTGTCTTCGTCTATGCCTTTGAAGAGTTAATGTTTACGTCTACGTCTGATGTGCCCTGGGGAGTAGGCCATGAGGAGGATGTTATGTACTGTTTCTTATATTGAGCACTCAGGACTGCCTCGCTTTTCAAACCGTGTAAGGGCGGATTTTCATTTTCATTTTCATATGACCCACCAAGCATTCGTCAAATCATCAAGAGACACTCTGCTCTCCCACCACACCACGATGTCACTGTGATACATCATTCCCAGAATGGGGAGAAAGACGGGTTGGAAAGAGGAAACAAGACACAAAATGCCACCCTGCACCAGAGCCGTCGTTGCACTTTTCCTGATGATCTGCCCCCCGTTCGCCTGTGTTTCGGGTATCCATCCCTGCCCAACCGCAGCCAAGCCGTACGTACGTACGTATGTACGAATGTATGTATGTAATGCGATGCGATACAATGTCATGCGCAAAGAAAGGATGAAAGGGTGAATGAAGTACCTCATGGTAAAGACCATCCGACGAGGGCACCGCCCGTCCTGTCATAGAATACCCTGCTTCTGCAGATCCAGGTAGATGCGCTCGGGCATGACGTTGCCCTCGCCGTCCTCCATTTGCACGACCTGGTCGTCCTTGACCTCGCGCTCGCGCTTCTCCTTCTTGATCTTGTCCCAGAGCTTAAGGGCGTCGTCGATGCCCGTGATCTCGCGGAACAGGCTGAGACCACCACCGCCGCCTCCGGCCGCCCCAGACAGCGCCGACCCTGTGATGCCCAGGCACTTGAGCCCATAGATGTGGCGCGCCTCGGAGAAGTGTTTGTCGAACGCCCGCCGGCCCATGTACACGAAGTTGCCGCAAATCTCGCAGTTGAACTCCACCCCCAGCCCGTGCAGCTTGTACAGCCAGTACGGGATCGGCTTGCCGTCCCATGCCAGCGGCAGTTTCAGCGGGTTATAGATCTTCTCGTCGCCTTCCGAGTCGGAGCCAGAGTCGTCTGCGCCGCCGCCGCTCCGCTTCTTCCCTGCGGCTCGCCGGTCGGACGCTGCCACAGCGGCATCGTCTTCGGCGAAGAGGGCGTCCAACTCAGCCTGCCGCTCTCGCTCCGTCATGCCTTGTTTGCGCTCCACGTTCACCCGCGTGTTGCTCCGTTCGTTGGAGAGAAGGTCGGCGAGCGCGCGGACCCGGTGTTCGTGTGAGGCGATGGCGCGTTCTTTGAGCGCCGTGCCGGAGAGGGAGGGATCTATCGTCGTAGGAGGTTTCGAGGCACCATTTGTGGCGGCATCGCCATTAGCCGCAGCGGGCTGGGATTTCTTTGCCGCGGCGTTCTTGAGATGTTTTTTGCCCGTCAAGTGCGACTTATAGACGTTCTCGTTGGTGAACTCCTTCTCGCAATCCGGGCACCATACACCGGCGCCGGTGCCTTCAGTTTGGGGCCCCGCGGGCGCGGAGGCAGTACTTGTAGTAGTGGAGTCCTGCTCTTTCTGCTCCTTTGTCCAGCCCGGCACCGTCCCCGCTTCCCACGCCGTGTCGAATTCCCGCTGGTATCTCAGAAACAGTTTCGGCAGGTCGTCGAGGGGCCTCGTTCTCCGCACAAAGCTCTCCAGATAGTTGTCGAGGCTGGCGACGTATTGTAGATACTGGTCGGTGATTTTATGCTGCCGTTTGATGGGCAGCCGCGGCGGTTCGAAGGCGTCGAAGTTGTCCAGGTACTGGAGGTACGTCAGGCGCTTGACGCCGGGGAGGTTGAGGTAGTCTTCATGCAGTTGCGTCAGGTCCAGGAAGCGGCCGTTCGACTCCTCCCCGCTGAACATGTTGTCCACCTCGGAGGGGATGTATTCTCCCTCTTCGGGCCGCCGGCGCTTGTAGGCACGCTCCAGGTTTTCGACAGGCTCATTGGGGTAGCGGCGGTGGAAGTCTTTGACTTCCTCGAACTGCTTGTAGAACTCTTCGAAGGGGTCGCCGGTCGAGAGGGACTGGACTTCTTTCAGGCGCAGGCCGTCTGCGTCTTTGTATATGTCGAGGAGGCGCTTGGATTGCTCTTGGATGCGACTGAGGAAGCCGTCAATTTGGTGATCCCGCGTCAATCGGTCTTTGATCTGGGAGGCTTGTTAGCTGCTTGCGGTCGGTTTGCGACTTCAAGTGACCAGACTTACATTTTTGGGATCCTCCGCAACGCGGTCGGTGATTGCTTGCTCCAGCCGCTCCAGATCCTCGTGGAGGAACCTCTGCTCTTCAAGGATCATCTTATGCCACAGTAAATGTGTTGTAGAGGCGTTTTCGCGGACACGAACCTGCATGTTGGAAAAGCGCAAGATTTGAGTGCATTCAAAGTGTACGGTGGAGTCTTGCGCCGGGCAGTGGCAACCACTCCTGCTACTGCGGCGTATTCGATGCAGCCTCGCCAGTATCAAATACTATCTTGCTACGGCCTCTCTCATCTCTTCCGAGAATCTGTAAGCGTATCCTTCCAATATCGTCCCCAGCGCGCTGCTCCAGATGTTATCTTTTGCCGAGAATCAAGCCCAACTTCTTGACTCCTAAGAGCAAGTGCAGATCAGCGGCTGAGAGCCGAATGGACACAAGCGCTGTCAGACCACATCCGATATGAATCGCCAAAGCATTTGAGAGCCCTCAAGGTCCTTACATCAAGTTACAAGGCTATTACACAATCCCTTAATGATCTTACAGTACCGCCAACGTCAAGTCCCAACTTTTTACCGCTCTGTCCTCGACGAGCGCAATTTCCTGTTCTATCCTACATTTCAACAAACCTAAAGACAAGTTGACAGTTAGGTCAACATGCAACGCCACGGAGGAGAATAGGTGGGAGTGTGCCCTAGACGCATTGTGAAGCCCAAGAGCGTTAAGAGTCCAGATGTGGAAGAAGAGCCCACTGGACAGTGCGCCCTCATGGCACATATCGTGGTAATTGTTGGTCCGCGTCTGTGTCCAGCACCGTCACAGTTGTTGTTTCTGGCCCGGTAATTCCTGGTAGATTCGTGTCTGTCGTCGATAAGTCGTCATCGTTGTCACCTCTTCTTCCTTCTCTTCCGGCAGGTGAGTCTTGAGGGCGGCCTTGATATGTAGCTTGAACCGCCGCAAGTCGTGCCCGAGCTCGATCCTCAGCTGCCTCTTGAGCCTTGGATTTACTCGCTTCCTTGCTGCCACCCGTACCCTGAGGCCTGAACCCGGCCCCAATGTTCGCGGGACTCGGCGGCCCAAATCTTGCTTTCTCCTTCTCCCCTCCGCCGCCACCGCGGCTTTCATGGCTCCGACGAGCCCAAAATGCCGTTGAACTGGATGCAGATCCCGTGCTTTCCGTTGACAGGGCCTGCATCAGATCCCCGTCCAGGAGCAAATTGCTGTCCAACTCACTCTCTACGCGCACCGTCGCGGGAGGCAGAATGATGGAGATTTCCGGACCATTCTTCACAGAGGAGAACTTTTCAGTCTTTTCGGCGCATTCGATCTCCAGCTCCCACAAGAGTTGGTAAGACCTTGAGACATTGTAGGTCGCGAAGCTTGGGCACATGGGCGTCTCGAGACGAGAACCCAGTTTGGCGTTTCCTAGACGCAGATCGCACAATTTGCCAAGGTCCAGTGTCGCTTGCGAGGCCGTCGTCGTGCCATGCGCCATGGTCAGTGGGTAGCTGAGGGTCTTGGACGGCAATATAGGAATCTCATATGTCTTGCTATCGGCAAATGTGCCTGCCGCACGGCACCGAACGTGCGTCTTCAGCTCGATTTTGGCGGACCGGAGAGTCACCGTAGGGAAAGACGTTGACGTGTCAATGGTCGTGCTCTGGGGCGACAGGTCTGGTGTCGCAGTGATAAGGAACGGTATGGGATTCGGATGGAAGAGTTGGATGATGCTGGGTGCTTGGACAGCTAAGCTGAAGGAGAATCTGGGGATAGAGTCGCGTTGAAAGATGGACCGGGCGCGATCCCTGAACCCGAGACTGGTACCGGCATGTTCGGGCAAAAGCTTCAGCGTCGAGATGGTGAAGGGGCGTTGATCGGTGGTGAGGTTGTAGTTCTCGATGGGTTCGGGAGTGGACAAGGGGTGAAAAACAATCGGATAGCTGGACACCTTGCTCTGGGGTCCGCGGATATGATGTAGGCCTTCTGGCTCGGTCAGAGTTGCGTCGAGCACGTACTCTATGAAACATTCCGCCTGCCGACCGAACATGTGTCTCCTGTGGTAGCACGAGGGAGGAAGAGTCAGGTCGAGGTTGACTTCATCCGTGGTCGCACGATAATGCTCCTTGGGCTTCCATCTCTCTCCACTCAAAATGCTCTCTGCGTCGGCCTGTTCGGGCACCACGAATTCAAACGGCCAGCTGAATGATCCGGGCTTGTGGGTGTATTGGCCCTCGTACAGGAGCAGCTCCTTTTTGAAGAACTGGGTCCGACCCCTGTGGTAAGTGACAGTCTGGCCGTGCTGTTGGATGATACGCGACTTTGACCGGCCCCAGAACGAAACCACTAGCCTGCCAATAGCACTGTCGGCGGCAGTATTGAGAATCACTCGGCCGCTGATCACGTCGCCAGGCGAATAGTGTTGACGGGGGTTGTTGAATTCGAATGAAAGGCCAGGCGAGTTGTCGGCCTTGGTGAGGCCCATTGTGGTGTCAAATTCCGATCCAGTTGATGACTTTTGAGTGTTGCTGGGAGTGATGTCTTGTCGATATCTCTGTCAGTTGCGGTATGGCCTCACCTAGGAAGCCATTTTCCATCTCTTGGTCTGTCGAGGCCTATATAAACCAGACCATGGGAAAAAGCGCTCGACTGATATTCCCTTGCTCAGGCACCCCGACCCGAATACGCTACACTGCCACCCGGAGTCAAAGCCTGGGCACTTGGCTCGATTGGGGATTCGCCACCAGGTGGATCGTGGTAAGGCGCATTTTCTTAATCGGATGGTGACGGCGCCTGGATACGAGTTCCATAACAGAACGTTAGAGCCCAGCAACGGTGCCAGGCACAGCATTTCTCAGCCTTTTGTTGGTAGCAAGTGTCTCTTGGTTTTCCTTGAGCTGAGGTACATCGGGACGTATGAGGCTTGAGATCAGATGCTGTTGCTGTAAGGCCTTTTCTCATCCCTCTCCACTTCTCCGCCAGTCGAATAAGAGCAGTCTGTGACTATATACGGTTTGCCAAAATACTCGTTAAAAGCAGAGAGGCTCAACGTCATTACACTGTCGCCACCATCGACGCTGGCAATGCTTTTGTATCTGATACACTCCTCTTGTAGTATTCTCTTGTTCCACGAACCGATTCCGCTTCACCCACCAGCCAATGTATGAACAATGCCAGCCCTCAATGTACAACAATGTAGTCTTCGATATTCTCTTTTTCCTTTACGCCATGGATTGATTATTGGTCGATGCGATATTTGCTGATATCATGATTTTCCTTTCCCTTTCCCTTTCGTGCCACCTCGTGCTCCGCCACCAGTACCTCGCTTCTTCTTCGGTTCGTCGTCGCCCTCCGGATCGACATCACCAGCATCATCAGCCTTCTTTCTCTTCCCTTTGCCCTTCGCGCCAGCGCCGCCAGCAGCAGATGCGCTTGCTCCCTTCTTCTTTGGTGCTTTGATGTATTTGTCTTTCTTGAGGTCCGAGTCATCGTCTTCGTCAACCGCCTCAGCTTCGGCGAGGAGTTCCTCTGCCTCGGACTCCTCAACCGCCTCTTCCAAGTCCGGTTTGTCTCGCTTGGCTCCTGCCTTCGCGGTTCCTAAAACGTGGCTTGCCTTCACGAACGGCATGGGGTGGCTCTGGCTGTTGTACAGCCTGGTGAACGAAGTCTTGGTGGCGGTGTCGATCTTGACGTCTTCCATATCGTACTTTCCAACGCCCAGTTCCAGTACGGAATCGAAGTCTTCTTTGGTCAGGTAGTAAGAATCCATGAAGTCTATGACACCTTGCACAGAGTCCTTGCCTTCCTCCTGAAGTGTACCGACCGTCTTGTTCCACAGGGCTGGGAGATACTGCTGACGGATCTCATGACGGTCGGCGGCGGTACGAAGTCGCATATGTCCCTGAATTTCCTTGACGAAGCGAGAGAGTTTCACTGAGCAGAAAGTTAGAACGCGGATCCATAAGACATCAAACTGCAACTTACTTTGCTTGCTATTCTGCCCGAACCAGGAAGGAAATCCTGCTTGGCCCCCAAGATTTCCATACATGTAGCTAGCAGGTCGGACAAAGCTGAAAATGGCGTGAAGTGGCATTAAACTCCATTGCTGTTGAGAGCCGTGGATCATCCGATCAACGAGGTCGCCGTCGGAGATGCTGGCAGCAGCGTTGTCTGCGAGTTCTAACAATTTCATGGCACGCTCCTTGCCATTGTAAGAACTCGCAAGGGCAGGATTCGTCTTGAGGTAGTTCTCTTGGAGCATCAGGTAGCTCATCTCGTGATCATTGAAATACAATTCGGTTTTGTCGTTCAACGTTGCGGTGGAACTGGCAGCAAACATCTGGGGTCGGAGGATCTTGTTCACAATGTCCCAAGGCTTCAGAATCACATGTTTCTCCCACGCTTTTGTTATGGCCTTGGTGTCGCTGAAATCGAGATCCTTGTTATCGAGTTTGATGGTGGAGATCATGTTGATGATTTGGCGAATGTCGCCGTTGCATCCTTCGATCAACGCATTGATAATGGGTGTGGGCAACCTCATACCTTCGCGAAACAGGATCGTGGCGATCCGACCTCGAATCATGTCTGTGGTCGGTCTCCGGAACTGGAACTCTGCCGTCACATTGGTGAGTGGTCTCATCTTTGGCTGATTCCGCTCATTGCAAATTAAGATCATCGGGACGTTGGTCTTTTTGACAATGGAAGCCAGAGCACCCACGCCACCACGATCTCCTGCTGACATACCATCCACCTCGTCCATGATCAGGAGGAGCTTTCGTTTCGATTGTTCGACTTTCTTGCCATCGCCAGCGAAATACCCGAGAAGAGACGTGGTATCCAGAACACCAGTCAGGCCGGTCTCAAGCAGCTTCTTGTTCCGAGTCTCGCTCGCATTGCTCTCGACGACATCGTAACCCTCAAGTTTGGCGACCAAGTGGGCAGCTGTGGTTTTGCCAACACCTGGGGGACCATGGAGCAAAGCCGCGCGGAAAATACCTTTTCCATCAGCGCCTGCCTTCTTGAAGTCTGATTTCGCAGATTTCGGCCAATTACGAAGCCATCTCTGCAAACCCTCGACCTGACCCTTGTTTCCGCAGACGGCGCCCATTGTATCTGGAGCATATTTGTCCACCCACAGTCTGTCCTCCACCCTAGGTCCTTTGTGTTTGGCGGAGGGAATTGGAGCACCGGTTCGGGCCGCGGCAGCTTTGGCAACTTTGCCAGCCTCTTTCTGTCTCTCACGCTCGCGTTCTTCCTCTTCTTCGGCCTGCTTGCGGATTTTCGCCTCTTCCTTGGCCTGTTTCTCGGCATAAGCTTCTGCAGCCTTCCCATCACCTCCATTCGCAGGAAGTTGTCGAATGAGTGCGAAAAGACCCTCTTCGTTGATTGTCTTAATGCCCAGCTGTCGGATGGTCTCCAGCTTTTTCGGGCCGGCATCAGAACCGATGACTACGTAGCTAGTCCGCTTTGATGGAGCGCCCGTCACCTTACCGCCGTACTGCTTCACGAGGTTTTGTCCCTCTTCACGGCCAAGCGAATTCAGCACCCCGGTGAAGACGAAAGTCAGTCCAGCAAGACAGTTATCTGCTCCTACTGGGATATCAGCAGAGCCAGCTGCGGGTGGAGCGACATTGGCGTTGCCTCCGCCGTATGTGAACTTCTTCTTGTCATCTCTTGGTGGGGGAGTCGGGGCTCGGACAGTAGGAATATTGTCGAGAATGTTTTGTATCTCCTTGCTTTCCTCCTTCTCTTCCTTTTTGGCTGTCGTGCGGGGCTTCCTGGCCGCGGTTGCCGTCCTCGGTTTCTTTTTCGGGGTGCCATCGTCATCGTCCAGGTCGTCCTCATCTTCGTCTTCAAGATCTTTAGACTTTCGTTTGCGGCTGGAAGTAGTTTTGGCTTGTGTTTTCTTACTTGCCGCGTCACCAGGCCCATCATATCCGGGGATCTGCACCATTTCGATGTCGTCGTCATCAACATTACCATCACCACCAGCACTTTGCGGCTTATTGTTGTGACCATTGACAGTCTTATTAACTTTCTTATGTGGCTTCAGATCGTCGTTATCGGTTTCTTCTTCATAATCGTCGTCCAATTTTCTGCTCTTCAGATCGCTGAAAATATCATCATCGCCTTCATGGTCATCCTTCAACAGCGTGCTCAAGTCCTCGTCCTCTTCCTCTTCCTGTTCAGCATAATTCTTTCTGCCGGTCTTTCTGGAAGATCTTCTGCCAGTTGACGGTGTTTGGGCTTTAGTTCCTTTGGTGGGGGTCTTTCCTGTGCCGTTCGTAGTGGCATTCGTGATTCGCACCGGGGTAGTCTTCGTAGGCTTTGCCTTTGTGGCAGCAAAGTAGGCTGAGCTGGTTGTCTCCTCTTCCACTGGCTCTTTAGTAGACTTCTTCGGCTTGGGAGTCGTGGGTTTCTTGGGGATGACCTCGACCACTTCGTCATCATCATCGTCAGACACGACGTGGCGGCGACCTCGCTGTTTGGCATTCACTTTGGCACCATCCTGTGGCATGATCAGTGACCTATGCCTCACACTCGGCTGAATGAGATTGAGGCTACGATACCCATACGAACCTTCGGGGCTTCGGTCTTTGTGGAGGGTTTTGCCCCTCCACTTCCGAAGAAACTCCTGATATCGGACGGCATGTTGTCTTCAGGTCAATGGAGAGCAAGCGGAATACACAAGATAGCCAGGACGACCATGAATAAGAACGGAGTGTGAAAGCAATGAAACCCGTGAACGCTTAATCGCAGCTCGGGAAGGAGCAAATGAAATGCCGTAAAGAGCCCGCCTTACACCTCTAGATGGACGCGTCGCGTGAAAACTACTTTACGCGCTACGGCGGAGCAAATGGAGCAAATGGGTACTGCATTTGTCCTCGACGGCCAGATAGTCAGGGAAGTGAATTAACGAGATCAATTCATGTCTAACAAACTGTACACAACAGGCCATGTACGCCTCATTTCTCGTGTGAAATTACTATTCTATATTAACAAACTTTTGTCACGATGTGCGCAGTAGCGTTCACCTTGTTCCTTTATGCTTCTTCCACATCGCGCCCTTCGTTATATGCCAATCAGACCTTCTCGGTCTCTTGAGACCCTGCGTACCACATGGCATGCTCTGTCTTCTGCTCGCCTCCTTCTGAGAGTCGACTGTAGTCTCCGGGCTTTGTTGATCCATTAGGAATATAGAATCTCTTATCGATTCGGGAAAATGTCAACAGGGCAAGCAGGATGATCTCGAGCGTGAAGTTGAAGACGTAGAAACAGGCTTTAGAGTCATACCAAGGTGGGTTGGTGACTGGTCGTGGAGTTTCCCAGGTGATGCCGGCCTTGAACCCTGCTATCAACATGCATAGACACCCCGAACAGGTCACAATGACCAACTTGCTCTTCATGCCCCCTTGTCCGAAATTCTCTGCATCTTGCGACGTCGGCAATATAGCCGCCACTGCAGTGTGGATGACAGGGAGGCAGGTGAATACAAGAAGATAAGTGATCGCAGCCAGTTGGATGTCTCGACAAGCAGATCTGGTGTGCGGATTGAGCGTATAGGAGGATAGGACGACGGACGTGATGACCATGATGAGTGCGGCAGCGATGCCGATGTATAGGAACTTGTAAGCGGCTCGCAAGATAGGGTTCCATCCAATCCGTGGCTGGGAGGCTCGTAGGATGCGTTGTGCCAGGATCAAGTTGATGATGTAGACTATCAGGATGCCTGCATTCACAAAGATTTGTGCAGCAATGGCCAATCGAACGTTATGCGGTGATGTCGCCCAGGAGATCCGCAGACACAGGGTGGCTATCCTGGCCATACAGAAGCCAAACATGAGCCCCGATGGGAGGAATTTGTGGTTTTTGCGGCGGTTGAGTTGAAATATGGTCATGTTTGTTGCTGCGAAACAGACGTATAGAAAGATGAAGACCGCGTCGGCTGGGACGTCCGTGGTGACTGTCGGGACGCCACCTATCCCGGCCGTCTTTGAAGGATATGGGCCTCCCATTTTGCTGGCGAGCTGTGTCGATAGTAATTCGGTTTCGTTGAGTTTGTAGTAGTTATGGTTAGATAGTGTCGCAGACTTCCCGTTGTATGTTGAGTATGGTCATCTCTTGCCAATGGGCAGCCCATCTTATATAACCCTTGTGTTCGAGCCATGACGCGGGCGGATCGCAAAGATGCAGAGTCCGAACAAAAGAAAGGAGGGGCCCAGAGTCTCGGTAGGGAGTTAGACTTACAGCCGGTAGGGGCACGATCTACTTGTCGTTCTTTGTGATGGTTGAGCTGTAGATGATCGCAATGGAGGCCAATGAAAGTCGATGTCGACGGTGTTGCAAGACGGAAACTCGCAGCATAAACGGAGCCGCGGACAAGAAACATAGCCGCGACTTTGCCCAAAACGGTAGCTTTCTGGGCATCTCGGCGGTATAATGAATTTCCTTTTGTTTCCAAAATCCGAAATGCGAATATTATGTCAGTCTGACATAGGTTCCCTGTGATGCCCTGCGGGGAAACAATCCCTTTAGTCGGACACTGCAAAATCTTCTCGTCCGAGCCGGATCTCTCTTTTCTCCGTTGAAGTCGAGCGTCCGTTCGAAAGTCTTGCCAGGCAGCTAGGGTCACTGCTGATTAACAATGCGACTATGTCACAATCTGAGGTGCCAAAACCAACCCGGAAGGGCACAAAGAGCTGTGCCGAGTGTATGTGTCACCATGGCGCTTCATCCCCGGTCTCCCTGTCCTGATAATATGCAGGTAGGCGTCGCAAAATTCGCTGCATTCGAAGGTCCGAAGACGCAGAAACATGTCGAAGCTGTGACGACCGAGGCTTGAAATGTGTCGCTCAAGTGTTCACTCTTCGGCCAGTTCACGAGCAGAGGATCCCGTCGCGTCATCGGATTGCCCTGCTGGAGTCCGAGGTCACCAGTCTGCGCAAGGCTGTGCGGGAGATCCAGTCGAAGCTAGGTTACCAAGTAGCGGACCTCGCAGGACCAGCTTCTATTCAGCCTGCTAGCAGCCCGGGAGACGATGTCTCCGATGATGAATCTAATGGCTCGGACGTCTTTGCGACGGAACATCCGTTGCACCTTCGCTCACTGTTTCAGAATGACTGGCTGAGTGGTGACTTTGGCCGACAGGATCAGCAACTCCAGGAACGCAAAGCCAAGGCATCTGCCCATCTTCTGGATCTGGCCAGGCAGACACTGCAACAGTTGATCCCCCAGAGAGACGACGTTGTAGAGATGGCCAGGACGGCCTCGAAATGGATTAATCTAGTTCATGCCATACTTCCGCAACCGTTTGCGGTGAAATCTCAGCGGGAACTACTGGACAGCTATGAAACCATGTGTGCGCCGGATGCTGATACCATGAACTTGGCGTCGTGGCTGCTCGATCTTGCCGTCACGGCCCAGCAAGAGCCACAGGACCAAGGAAGTCCTGAAACGTCGCTGAAGAGGTTTCACAGAATATCGGACTTCTCCCGAGCAATCTCTGATGCCGTGGAGAGGACACTGATATCCCACGATCGGCTGATGGGAACAACACAAGGATTGGGGATGGCCATGCATGTGAGCATATCCTTTCCATGAATAAATTACCAAATAGCACAGACTAACAACCCACACAGTTCCTTCGGCTGTAAGATGTCTGAGCCACTGCTTTCTTGCCCGGTATGAGCTGACAAGCACGGTAGTCAAATAAGCCAGGGCAATTTCCAGAAAGCATGGATCCGCATGCGACACTTTGTGGCAATGGCAGAGCTTCTGGGGCTGCCAAAAGCCTCTCAAGGCTTCCAGCCGAGCGGTATCGCCGGTGCACCAAACCCGGTACAGCTCGAAAAAATCCAGCTCTGGGAATTCATGTGCTCCGCTGAAAGATTACTTTGTATGGTCATCAATCGTCCGCCTGCCACCCGGCGCTTCGAACACACAATTGCCCAGCCACTCACAATCAACGGCAACGTCCAAGTCCACGTTTACCTTAACAAATTGACGGACATCACGGCCAAGTTCGATGCTTTGGACGATCTCGGCGGCACCCATGGATCTAGCGCGCAGGCGTACGCCTACGCTCTGGAGCTCGATCGAGAGCTGCGAGTTCTTGCCTCTCAAACTCCAAAGTCTTGGTGGGATCTGGACTTTGTGCATGTCAAACCAGAAAATCTTTGCCAACTTCTACATTATTATTTCCTAATGAGGGTCCATTTGCCCTTTACGATGCGCCAGGACCCGGCAGAGGGAAACATGTACAGCCGCCTGACTTGCATGGAAGCTTGTGAAGCGGTTGCGCAACGATATCAGCCCCTACGCCGTCTGCTCCCATCTGGCATTTTTCTCTCTCCGATCATGGATCTCCAAGCATTCACGGCAACAATCGTCCTTCTCCTGACATCCCACAGCGGACCCTCCGGCAATGGCCTTGATTCAGAGGCGAACAAAGCCAGAGTACAGGGCATTGCCGCGCAAGTACTCCAGGTCATGGACGAAAAATCTCGTGATGCGGCAAATTCCAGCTTTGCGCGGCTCGGCGCTTTAACCATTCGTTCCCTCAATGCTCTGCTCCAGCAAAACGGCGACTCTACAGACTCTCGTCAATTAGATTTAAAGGTGCCACTGCTCGGAAATGTTAATGTGCGCCGCAACATCAACCCTTCGCAGGTGCCAGCCACGTCCGACCAACAGCCTTTCCAGGTTCAACCGGATACCGGCCTATGGAGACCGCACGACCAGATCCTGCACCAGCAGCCCGGTATCATACCCGTGAACACCAGCTCGCAACTAGCTTTGGCTCAGACCACAGCTGAGTGGGGATTGAATCCTCTCTCGTGGTCTTTCGACACCCATGACAACTTCATTCAAGATGCCTTCATGGCGGATACGTTCGACCAGACTGGGATGTGGCAAACCGACTACAATGGCTTCCAATCGAATACATAGGGAGACAAAATGTTGTGATCGAGAAGCGGCCCTTCCAGCACAGCGATGGGCAGAAATATACCTCCAGTGGCAATAGCAAGATGATCAAAAGTTGGGAGGGACACCCAGCACGTCGCTTAAAGCAGCGGGATACTAGCGAAGTAGTGGAGTACAGTACCAGTAATGTTACAACCCAATACAACTGCCTAATTGCACACCCTAGGTATTGGCTAGCCTCATTCGGTATACCTATACCTACCGTAAGGGAGGAATAAGGAGGTCCATACAAGACGAAAATTACCCTCTTTGTCTTTAGAATTCTCAACTTGTATGCCTGTTATGAGGTAAACACGGTGGCTGAAATACCTTCCTTGAGACCGCCATCGCAGAATCCAAAGGCTGCGGAACAGGCGCCCCCATTTTATTCAGGCACAGCTGAACGCTCCTCCAACGGATCCATCGTTGTAGGCGTCGACGATACTTTTGATGGTGGTATACGTTCCCGCAACTGTGATGAAGGAACCAAGTGCAATCACACCAAAATGCAGCCCGCACACAGCCCTCTTTCTCCAGTTCGCTCCGTGGCTGCCTCGGTCCATGTAAAGCCCCATGAAAGCCGGAATGATAAGCTGGTGTACGGGCATGCGAGGTCAGTTCGGACTCTGTAGCAGCATCTTTGGATGGAGTAATGTGGACACTTACACAAGTCGGGGCACAGCAAAGAGATCCGATCAGACCGAGGAGGAAGCTGAAGAACGGGATCGCCTCCGCCACGATGAAGGACAAGAACGTAATCCCAAGAGTTGACCCTCTGGAAATCTGTCAATGGGTTTGCTCAAGTCAGTTGGGGAGAGCCAACGTACAACCATGTGCTCCAATGGATGACACTATTGCTCTGCAAGTGGGGAGAGTTCCGAAGTATCTTGACGAAGAGCTATCAAAGGGTTGTCAACAATCTTGCAGCCTGGCCGGTAGCACAAGATACCCACAAACTTAGCAGCCATGTGAACCCATAATGTTGAGGTCATAATGAATCCGGGAATGGAAATGCCAAAGGCAATCTTCTCGATTGTACCCCCAGCGCTTGCTAGGGATGGACTGGCCACGTATTGCCCGCAGTAGCTGAAAAGTTGATCAGTTCAGATGCCCCATGAATTCAAACACAATAGTCGACTTACATATAAACAACTGTGCCAAATGTAATATAGCAGATTGACAAAGCAGCTTGCGAGCTGAACAGAGCCTTGGGAAAGGATTTTGGTTGTTTCATCTCCGCTATGACAGGCATGAATGTTGGAGTAGCCCCGTAACCAGCTATGTGGTGAGATCAAGTCAGCTTCAACTTTTCTGTCTCTGGATTTTGCAGTTTGCGATCTTACAGAAGAGATTAAGTGTTGCCGTCAGCCCAGCAACAAACCCTGGCGATCCAACAGCGATCACACCCAGGTCGAATGGACCAGTCTTTGGTGCTGCAGCTGGCCTAGAGACTTGCGTAACGCCGACACTATAATGATCAAAGTTGTGAGTGTGTATTCCCCCCTGGCCAATTTCGATCTTGGAAGAGACTCACACAACGATGAACACAGCCGTGAAGATGGACGCAAAGCCAATCCAGGTCAGGACGGCCAACTTGCCCAGTGTTCGGATGCTTGACACGAGTCCGGTACAGATGGCAGCAACGACTGTCCAGACTACCGTGCAGGCTTTACCATCAGCGAGAATCTTCAGTCCTTGTGCCAGCCCAATAAATCCTGAGCCAGCAGCCAAGCTATGTACCATCTGTCAAATTTTGTCTTGATCGCAGGGAGTCTGCATAAGCTCACATCCAAGTCAACAGGAACAAGCCTCCGGCGACCTCGCGGGCAACGGGACCGCCCATTATCGCGGCGGCATCGGCGATGTTGTGCACACCTCGATATTTCATCCGGAAGAGATACATGACATAGGCGTAATCTTGTCCCAAGACATGAGCAAGTGCGACATAAGCAGAATTCGATGAGAATATTGACTTACAGGTGGTCATTGAGCCCCAACCGAACAGGATGCAGATACCAGGTCCATAGCCAGTCACATTGAGAGCGTACGGAATTCCCAATACACCTGTTGCGAAACAGAGCTTCATGAGGATGATGCCCGCTCGAATCCTGGATGTTCATGTCTGTGTAAGATAGTATTCTCCATGTTGCCCTCTTCGAGGAAGTGTCATACCATCCCAAAAGGCGAAACTCAGCCACGCCAGTGTGGCTCTTGAAGACCTCGCCGTCATCTTCGCTCAAATCTGGCTTCAAGACGTTGTCTTGAACGGATTCCTGGGCGACTCCCACTTCGATCTTCTCCCCAACCTCTTGTGTAGCGCCTGTCTTGAAGTCTTGCATGATTGGTCTTTCCAAGATGTGCTCTCGACGTTGCAGGATTAATTGGACAAAAGAATCAAGAGTCTGGAGAGGTCGTTGGGCGGTCAAAGATAGTATATTAAGTTGACGTGAAACTCTCTATCTCTCTCCGGCCGTACTCCGTGCGCGAGCCATAGGGAGATTCGAGATACCGGACTTGGTATCCAAGAAATTTCCCTGTAAGCTTGCCGAGATAAAACAAGTATCTGAGCCTGGCTCGAATGCCATGTGTAATAGGCTCACGGTTCATAGATAACCGACAGAAATCGATAGTTGGAACATGCTCTGGATCGTGTTATAGGCCTTCGGACAAACCACTTTCAATCCGAGCAACGGAAAACAGAGCACTGTAATTATCACGCCCAATCCGTGGTCTACTAAGTCCCTTCCTAATCGGGACTCAATTCCAGCCGCCAATTGGCGCCAACGCGCCACGCCTAAAGGCTGCTCTTATCATTGAACCGAACGCAAAACTCCGACGCCGCAGTTTTCCGAGTTCTCGGCTTCTGGCAGCGTAGTAGTGGTTAGTGAGCCTCAGTTGCCGCTCATTTTCCGGGAGCCACGACAAAGAATACAAGTGCACATTGTACCTGGGTCTAGATCGGCTGCTGACAAGGTAGGAGTGGATAATGGAGCCTTGACCAAGTTTCCCTACGCCGAGGGAGTTTGGCTTACGCATTGCCAGCATTCCTGCCTCGAGCTTCCGCTTTCCATGCCGGCATCGTGAAGAGGCGTTGAAGATGGTGATCAAAGCGACACCACAGATTCTGAAGCGAATCAGCATTCGCTGGCCGCCAGATCCAGCATTTGAAGACACGGAGACAATCGCCCTAAATGTGGGAGGATATTTTATGGACTTGCGCGTGACATTGGCGGACAAGACACTTCAATGGAGTCGAGCAGGCGAGCGCAAAACGCTTCAGGAAACCCCCTGTAAGTCGATCGTCCCTAGACCTGGGTGAGGTCGGCGACTGAAGCTGCCAGAAGCCTGCACGACTGATGACTGCCAACTGACAACCCTGCCAGTGACTTTTCAGTGGACAAGGATCATCGATTCAATGGGGAGTCGTCGTCCTGACGAGGGTTCGATGGAGGAGATGGCGAACGGTGATGATCTGGAGACAGGACACTTTGACCGGGAAGGGAATGGAGTTCCTGTAGACTACGAGGAGGTATGGCGCGATGTGACGGGGAAAGCTGAGTCGGATGACTCTGCATGGATATTGCAAAGTGTCGACGGTTCCGTATTTCTGGGAAAAGTCGGCGACACCTTCTTGGGGATGCAGCAGAGTGGAAAGGGGGATTTTGCCGTCAGGAAAGAGGTCTACAATTCGGAGGCTGGTGTGTGGGAGGGTGTGTTCGAGGCCGGTACGGCACAATCCATCCCTCGAGCTGCTGATGTGCTGCGCGACTTTGGCCAGCGAAAAGGTCAGACTGCGGAGAAAGGAGAAACTTTTCACGTCTGCAACAGGGAATATATCATTCGAGGCGCTAATTAATGAATCAAGAAAGGGGAGTCCAAACTTGCTGTATGCCTCTGGCAGAGTGCCGTCGAAAATGGTTCATGCTTGATTTACGATGGACTTTCCACCGAACAGTACACACTCCAGCATTGCGGCTCCTATCATCTCAATCCAGGAAGCATAAACTCTCGTATCTCGTTGCTTCGTAGACAGCATGTAAGGTGAGGGCTCTATCAAGACCTATTAGCCAGATGCTTGGCTGACTACCTTGCGAAGTGAGGGCACACTCAGACCACTACAGCCTCGTGACCTCGACTTGGTTCCATGAATGCCTTTGCTTCAACCCTGATCTCATACAACCTCCAATTGCAATGTCATTAGCCCAGGGAATCCATCGGAGAATATCCTCCCACAAGATAACCTCGTGGCAACCCGTGGCGTCTGGTGGTGTCGGATATCGAACCGACTGAGCCGTAGCATTCCGACCCGAGATCCAGATCTCCATATCTTATTCCGAGCCGCTCTTGTTGGCTACCGGCGGTTCTAAACATTCCTTAGATACCCAATTATTACTATGTATGTAATTTCGAGTTGTCATAGCAGTCCGCTCAAAAGGTCTAGAATGTATAACCATAGATCAGCGCCCTGCACTAGAGATACGCGACCGCCAATGATGCCGTCGCAGGTACGGGAAGGCTACGCAGGATTTCCCACAGTCATTAGGATATTTCCTCAAATGGAACGGCATCATTGATCTATTCTAGGTACTCGGTTATCCTGACTACCTGAAAAGTGCTTTTGGTTGAAGGCATCTACCACTTTCCTCGTCTCCTGAACGATCTCGACGCATCCAGGACTGTCGGAATGACAACATATCGAAGTGCGGTAGTCGTTTATTTGGAGTGCACAACTTGAGCCGCCGATGGTCGTCACGCTGCACGTCTCCAGCTGCTGGGTAACTCGTCGATTGATGTCTTCACGATCCCAAGGCCTGTGAGAGGTGAGAACGATCAGTCAGTATAAATGATTTCATTGACAGATGGGGCTACGACTGTCCCAAGCTTGTAGAGCGATACAACGTACTGTTTCTGTCGATCAATGACCAAAGTGCCATCTTCATTATACTTGACATCCGCGAAAAGCTCGGCGATGAACTCGATTCCCATGTCTCGCGCGGCTTGTTCCATGCATGTCCCCGCCAGTCCAAAGACAGGGACACCCTTGGGGATGCCTCTGAAGACAGCCCTCGCCGCTTCGTAATCTCGACAGCAGACCCCATAGAGCATGCCGTGCGGCTTGACATGGTTGAGTGGCACGCCTTCTCGGTCAAGGAACCCCTTCAGTGACCCTATTTGATATATCGTGATCGCGGTGAGTTCTTCAGAGGATAACTTCATTTCCCGTCGACCGAAACCTTGAAGGTCAGGAAATCCAGGATGGGCACCGACCTTGACGCCGTATTCTTTGCATTTTCGCACGGTCTCCAGCATTATGAGCGGATCTCTCGAACAACAAGTCAGTATCACCAGGGTCTATAAGGAGTCAGATGCTTACGAGGCATGGAAGCCACAGGCGATGTTGGCGTGATCAACTAGGGGGAGTAATGTCTCTGGATTCGGTCCACAAGCCCAATTTCCATATCCCTCTCCCAGGTCGACATTAATCATCGCCTTGTGCTTGACCCGAAGCATCTCGCCAGCCATTACGCTGGAGTATGGTCTGGTAAAAGCCCAATTTGTGAGGTGTTTGCGTGCGCAGATATGAAGCCGTCTCATTTGAGCCATCTGTAACTGATCAGTGGGAGAAGTATCGTTTAGGAGTGAGGGCCTTTAGTAAACATACAGTGGCGTCTTGCAGCAACAGTAGCCGGAGGGAGCCACGGTGAAGTCCTCGGCAATCCGCGGTTCGGAGAACCATAGGTTGATCGAATAATTTCACATCGGTCCTGGTGGACCTCTCCATGGCTTCAATCATGAGTGCTGCGTGGTTATGTTAGGTTCTCATATGAGCACAAGGTGGGGCGTATAAGGACAATCTTAAGACTCATAGTTCCGTGCTGGATCCGTATACCTATGGCTTTGTCAAGAGGAGGCTTAGGAGGTCAATTGCTGGTACATTTTCTAGAACAAATTGGTGGAAAAACTGAATGAGGTATCATGCCCGTTGCCCAAAGTTACGTCCTGTAGAGACATGTCGGTTTCCACCGAAGTCATTGGAATGTATCGCATGTTCTGATCCGATGTCATAGCATCAACAGGACGCGTGATATCCCACCACATCGAGTATACGTCGAAATTGGGTGCTTGTAATGTGGCGCCGAATCCATTCGCATTGGTACGAAGATTGAAAGCAGGATCCGGATGATTTTGATGCTGTGTGCGGCGACTCATGCTCGGTGGTCGAATGGACACCTCAGGAACCTCAGGCACTTCTGAGGTTCCCGTTTGATTTCCATTCAACTCGCCCCTCTCAGAGTTAGATACTCTAGCCTGTTGTTGAGAAAGTCGCGACTGAAAGCTGTCTGTTAACTTAGCTAGAAGGACACCCCATCGAGTGCTGAGGTGTGTATCGTCAACCACGCAGGTCTCAAGAGCGCCTGCGAGTTGCTTGATCTGGCTGAAAGTCGCAGCGATATCGAGAACGTGCTTCATTTCTGATGCACACAGCTATATGGTATTCAGTGTCCAGAAAACCAAGTCAGACTACCATGTGAGAGGATTGCGTTCATACCTGTAGGAGCACTAGAGCTGCTCCTAGAATTCTCGAGTACGAGCGGACGGGTATGTGCTTTACATCACCATCAGGGAGAAGGTCATCAACCACAACGGAGACGATACTCCGAGCTGCTCTTGCTGTTCGACTCAGATTCTCTTCATCTGAGCTGGAAGCCTGGAAGCTGCCGTTGTCAGCTTCAGTGGCCACTGTTTGACATCTTCGCAGCATCATAGCTTGCAGGCTCAGGCTGAAGATGCACAGCTGGATGTAGTTGAACTCGATGGACAAGATGAGCCGCATTTGTCTGGATACTGATATCTATTAGCTCGACGGTTTGGGCGCCAGGAGAGACTCAGTTACATTTTGCATGATTGAATTTGATAATGAACTCTTGTAGCAGCGGTTGGAATGACTGCATGATTGAGATATACTGGCCATTTCTTATGATCTTCTGGGTATAACGTTGAGACCTAAACAGTGCTTCATCGGCTCTTTTAACAAGCGTCGCCACACGAACCCAGCACTCGGTCGCATTATCCAGGTGAGATTCGATACGAAGCGCAGAAGGTGTTGGAGTGCTGATTCTCCAGCCTAAGGACCCATATCAGTTAGATCTTATAAGTATCAGGAAAGATTGAAGAGAGTGAGCGTACTTGGCGGTCCTGTTTGCTGCTGTGTCGCATATATCCAGATCAAATACTGCAGGGATTGCGCCCGCTGACGAGTTGACGGAGCTCGGTATAAGTCATCGCGGTACTCAGAATAGTATGTCGAGGGTCCTTCTTTCCCATCGAAGAATCCGAGTTCAGTTGCAAGCATCGAAACGGTGGAGAGCATCGAGCGGCATAAATGGCCAGATCGAGCCAGCCAAAGATGACCTGCCCCCGTCTCGTACTCGCCACTCGATTTGCTGGGATTTCGGGTGCTTGGTGTTTCAGTAATCACAATCGACGTCGTATCATCATCAATCGGCGGGAAGTGGAGGGCCCTGGGATGCCAATCCAGAACCAGCAGGAGAGCTTCGCAAGTCCCCAAAGTACGAAACCGAATGGAGCGCACGGACTCTTGACCTCTCTTTTGCATGCTACTCGAAGGATCACTCAGTGAGGTAAACTCTCCGACAAAGTTGTCTTCGAACCAAAAGAGACGTGAAATCATCCCCTGAAGGTATCTCCAGAGTCGGTCGTGAACAACACAAGATCTCGAGGCCGCTGCTGGTCCAGTCCATTTTCGGTATCGAGACCCGATCATTAATATCGTTATGGTCAAGATTGGCTCTTCCTCAATGAGAAGGTGATGCCTGCTATGATGCGCATAATACTCCGGAGCAGCTGGAGAAAACGGTGCTTGGTAAGTGTAGAAATGGTCAACCATATCCATGGCTTCTTCAGCCGTAAACAGCCCGCCACGCACAAAGCGAAGTGTCGACCAGGCTCGCAAAGCAGCTTTGGTGTCCTGTGAAACAGCGTTGTCAATGAGGGGGAAAGGAGCAGGTCTAGCCTGTCTCATGTTTGCATGTTCTTCGGGAGACAGTGACTGCTCTTCTGCTGTACTGATCTGCGTCCCATTTTCATCGCAGACTCTTGCAAGCAATGTGAGAGCGTCATGCCAGGTCCGAGAATGCCCATTCAGTAGAACTGCTTCAGCGCGTCTGCCTTGTGTTTCTTCCAGTGTGGATTCTTCTAGCGGTCGAAATGAAGCAGGAGGAGATCCATCAGCGGATACTGACGATCGTGGCTCGGCTTCTCCAGGATCATATTCAGTCCGCTGTCTTTTTGTCGAAGGATTGTGAGACTCATGGCCATGATCCTCAATGGGTGCCGCTGGAGTCTTCCTAGTCCGAGTTGCGGCAAAGAAACAGTCTCTGTTCTCTCTGCGACAGCGTGCACAAGGCCCTTTCTTGGGCTGGTCGACAGATCCCAGTTCACAGCGGACCTTTTTGAGCCTGCAAGGCTCACATGCCTGGGGGCCTTGGTCAGTGCATGATTGCCACACAGACGACAGACCTAGCAAGTCATACCTGATAGACTCGTCTATGCTCACGTAGGGCTGGAGTGGTCAACATCATCGAACCAAGCGAGCCGACTGTCTGCCATTCTGAAAAACGTTGCCAGGGGGTTGATAATTTTGAACTGATGCTCCTCCCCTTGCCATGCGCTGATATCCGATACCATGCTGGGAACCCATTTTCTTAGGTAGTCAGTGCCCGTCGCTCTAGGAGTCCCAAGGTTGCCGGAAGTCAAATGTATAGGACCATTTTACGTCCAGGATTGTGGTAAGTGGCGCCCAGAGATAAGGGCTCATTAGGCAACGTCTCCAAAAAGCAAGAGCCAGCGGTGCCAGTTGACACTACCCAGAGCGCTCAGCCTCGCCGGATACTTTCCACGATAAGACCCGACTTTCGGGTGGAGACAGGCTCCTTGGTGCCTGATGAAACCGATGAGACCCCACGGCAAACCGCCTCTGGAGTCTATGAGGGGGTCTATGCAAACTACTCGGTAAAGCCATTGACATTGTGACTATTAGTGCGAATGTAAGTTTGTTGTTCATCAAAGTCATCCCCCGGTCATTTCGCTCTCACCTTTAGTGTCTGGCTGCAAGAGCAAAGCCGTCAAATCCAACTTTGTGATATATCATCATGGAAGCATCGCTGAAGGAGTTGACTATTCCTCGCGCACAGAAAGGTTATCGCGATGGCACGTTCACAGCCCGTCAAGTGGTAGAATACTATCTGCAGCGTATCAAGACGATCGACCAAGCCGACGATGGGCCCAAGTTGAACAGTATATTGGCGGTTTCATCAACAGCTGTCGCGGAGGCAGATGCATTAGATGCACATCTCAAATCGACTTCGGAATTGAAAGGACCCCTTCATGGCATCCCAGTCGTCGTAAAAGATCAAGCTAGCACAAAGGGCCTCACTACCACATACGGGTCGATTCTCGCCAAAGATTATATCCCGGAGCAAGATGCAACTTTGGTCTCAAAGTTGAAGGCGGCAGGAGCCATAATTTTGGCGAAGACAACCATGCCAGGTAAGACCTGACCCCTATCAGCAGATGATAAATAACTGAAAAGATTCTTGAAGATTTCGCTACGTCTTGGCACTCGACGTCTTCTATGTCAGGCACGACGAAGAATCCGTACGATACGAAAAGAGACCCGGGGGGCTCAAGCTCTGGCACAGGTTCCGCTATAGCAGCTGATCTGGGTCTCTTGGGCGTGGGTGAAGACACCGGGGGCTCGATTCGAGTACCTTCTTCGTTCTGCGGGCTCGTTGGTATTCGATGTACCCCTGGTATAATCAGCCGTATGGGCATGTCACCCCTCCTGGTTCCCCAAGACACACCGGGACCTATGTGCCGAACCGTCACCGATGCTGCCTTGATGCTCGACATACTCGCTGGCTTCGACGAACAGGATCCTTATACAGCAGCAGCAGTCATCGCCGGTCCGCCCACCGGAGGAAGCTATGCGGCCAATCTATCCGTGAACAAGATCAAATCGGCACGGATTGGAGTCCTCCGAGATGTGTTCGGACCAGACTCTAATCCGGAAAGTCAATCCGTGAACAGAGTTATCACAGCAGCGCTGCAAACGCTTCAAGACAATGGCACGGTCCTTGTTGACGTCGAGATCCCGAACCTGAAGAGTCTCCTCGAGATAACATTCACATATCACCAACGCTCTCGATCCGACCTCGATAATTTCTTCAGTCAACACCCGTTCTTGAAAACGAATACTAAGGAGATTTACGACTCGAAGAACTACCATCCTGCCCTTGATCTATTTGAGGGTATTGCTCTGGGGATTGGCACTCCCCAGAATGACCCCGACTTCACCGCTCGGCTTCTTGCCCGAGAAGAGCTTCAAAGGGCGATTACTGTCACTCTAGCTAAGCATGGCCTCGATGCTCTAGCTTTCCCAGATGTCCAGATCCCGGCTCCTCTACTTGAAGATGTACTTTCTCAGAGATGGCCTGCTGCGGCCTTCCCTACCAACACGCTGGTATCATCACAGTCGCTTTTCCCCTCTATCACTATCCCTGCAGGCATGACCCAGGGGGACAGCGGCTTACCTGTTGGCTTGGAATTGGTTGCCCTGCCATACCGAGAGCAAAAGCTGCTGGAATTGGCATACGGAGTGGAACAACTCGTCCAGGGTCGGAAACCTCCAGTACTGTGAGCGTTCGCTCCTAACGGGAGATCCTCGTAAGAAATTACCCTGATTGGCGGCGTTTCACGAGGAACGAAATGGTCCCAGTCGCCGAGCAGAAAAGAAAGATACGGAACACCCGTTTTGCAACAGCTGAGCACTCTGCTGCCTTCAACATGATTGTGGCGGAAGGGGCGATGCGTAGGCATGGATCCTGGAGAGTATTGGCTGCTCTTTCAGAACTGAATTGAAGGTGTTGAGTATCCTGGTCGTGCAGATGCGGATTATCTGGCATAGACAGTATTCCATCAGCTTCTCAAAAGGCTTTTGCTTCTCTTATTGAATATACTCAGAACTTCTCGCTTCTAGATGTGCTATATCGAGGATCCCACACACTGCAATTACCAAGAGCTGGTAAGATACGACTCGCACTAGCCCATAAAAGCTTAGCAACCATAGTATGTTTCTAATCTCATTAGATTGATTGCCTTGTGGAGTCCCACACAGAACTGACCTCGTAAAGCGGCCGGATCTTGGCAGACAATCAACCCCCATCTAGAGCTTTTCCATCTTCAATGCATCTTGTCCACCAAAACGTATTGTGACCTGTGAACAAGCATAATCGCTGATCTCGACATCGCATTGATTGTATCTCACTCAAAACACAGCTTCCTCCTCGAGCCCACTGAATTCCGTATAAAGTGTGCTTCTGATCCACGAATTGTCGACGCCGCAAGATGGCTGCACAGCCAGCCGGACCATCTTGTACGAGAGCTCCGGCCGCATGTTTGAGGCTTGTTTTCAAGACTGACTGCTTTCCAGTTGCATGTTTGCGATACCTACGAACCAAAACTTTCTTCCTAAACCACCCAAGAACGTCGCCTTCGAGACGTGCCCGAATACACTGTCCTCTCTTTGCCAATCGCGCGATCCAAGCTCCGTCAATATGCAACCGCTCCTTCTCCACCACGGCAGCGCGTCAAGATTGGTTGACGCCCAAAAGACCAGAAGTGAGAAAGTCTCACGTCGGACGGCCTCGAATGCCCACGGGTGGTTCGATGCGTGGAACGACCGTCGTCTGGGGTGATTACGGCTTGCGCATGAAAGATCACGATCGACGAGTCTCGGCGAAACAGCTGAAGAACGCCGAAGAAACCATCAACAGAAGACTGCGAGGGGAACGCTTCCGGCTGTACAAGAGAGTGAGCGCAAACATCGGTGTTTACACGAAAGGCAGCGACGTGCGCATGGGCAAAGGAAAGGGTAAATTCGACTACTGGGCTGCGCGTATCCCCGTCAGCAGGGTGGTGTTCGAAATCAAGAGCAATATCCACGAGCAGGTGGTAAGGGACGCCTTTCGATTGGCGGGAAACAAATTGCCTGGTCTATGGGAGTTTGTCAAAAAGGGAGACCCTCCGATGGTTGGCATCACAAAGTTGGGCAACGGAGTGACGTTGGAAAAGCTCAAGGAGGCCCGAAGAGAGGTGGAGCCCAAAGACAAGACGAGCTCACAGCCCATTATATCCTCCTCGATTGGTGTACCTCCTCAGACGGTCGCGACTGAATTCGACCCGCCGCCGACAACTGTACACGTTTCGCCTTGAGGCAACTGATAACATATCCCGAGTCGATCTCGACAAGCTTTCCAGCTTATGCCCCGACTCCGCTTCCTGCCCCATATCCTTGCTGTGGCCTGGTATCCTTCTGGCCTTTGGACTGATCTTGTGTCCCTCCATAACCGCTCCCCTGGGCGGCGCTGCCGCCCTGCGCCGTTGTCTTACCCCCCATGCCAGACTCTGAGATATTCTGGCCATATCTGATATTCTCGGCTGTCTGCTTTCCTCGGTCTTCAGCTCTGGAGGGGCTTTCCGAGGTATTGGGGCCGCCTGGAAAGAATGTCAGATACAGAGGGGAGAGCGACAAGGTTTCAATGGCCTACCGCCCAATTGACCCCTCTGCTTCGAAGTGGGAACAGTCTCGGTCTTGATGGACTCATATCTGCGGAGAACTATCAGCATGCGCCAACAGGCAGGCATGAGAGAAAGCAAACCACCACATACTGAGGGGTCTCGCCTCCAGGAACTGTATCCATAGTTTTATCTTGAGCCTTGTTGCCTTCCATCTTTATTGACTTGAACGAGTCGTACCAGTCGCAAGTCAAGACTTGGTCAATGGTTTGAGTGATGGTGTGGAATAGGTCCATTTAAACATCAGACAGCAACTGCGGGCCACATGTTCGTAACCCTTCCATTTGGCTTGTTGAGTGAAAGGGTTGTTGAGGTGCTGTTTTGCCTCTTCACTCCACTCATTCGCTGAGAATGCGTCGCAGGTTTGACGTCACGGCGATGCAAATGGAGATCCCGATCGAGGAAAGAGCCTCCGATGAGTGACGATAGTGACGATTTGGAGGATTGACGGTGCCAGCTTATGTAACGTCATCGACGTACTTTTCACGTGACCTTTGATCTGTATACGACTACGAGATACTAATAGGTCAACGTGAAGGGAGTTAACTACTCGTCTATGGCAGAATGCCTCGCGTTCGGAAGAAGTACACCGATACTACGCAATCTACCAGTTCGTCTAAGGACGCGAAATTGTTCGTGTCCCAGTTGACAGCCCCGAGAAGGCTTGGCTCTCTCCTCTGAATTTCTTTAGAACCCGTAGGGGCTGCTACCCGTATAGTAGAGGCCAGGTATATTACCTATTCTACACTCACGCAAATTGCAGTCCAAGCGAGAAGTTGCACCGTAAGCCCCTGCAACCGCATACTCAGGTTACAGGCTCCTGGCTTCACAGCCTTGTGCGGAACGCCTGAAGCATTAGTGCTCCAACCATAGTGGGACTAGCACTGATGCGGCTAGTTTGCCGACGTAAATGACGTGACAGATACAGGTAATTTTGAGGTCCCCTTGCAATAATCTGTCTTGCCTAAACAACGTTGGTATACAGTCTATGTGCCTTCCTATCCATTGCGTCTAGAGCTTAAGTCTTTCTAACCGTCGTGCATGATCGACATACTCTGCGGGAATATCTTTCTTTTAGTCCTGGCTTGTTGATCAGCGGCCAAGTATTGACTCCCAATTGGGTCGACGCCCCGACCTCGATTCAGCCCCAACACGCTACCTCTGTAGCAGATCATATTGAGATTGCTGGCTTCTTCTGCCTGGGCGAATCACCTGATACGATTCGACATCAGCTTCAGAAGATCGACAAGTGGAGTCATGGAGGTTAAAGAAAGGTCACCGCCCTGTGCCTCTTTAAGAAGCATGAAATTCGAGTCGGTGCAGCGTCTTCTCGTGCTCTAAATCTTCCCAAACAATAACATTCGACACATCCAGAAAAGCACCCACTTGCTTCTTTCAAAAGCGCAGCAATAGAGGTCAATATGCCCGGTGCCAGGAGCAAAGGCTGCAGAACATGCAAACAGCGACGCATAAAAGTAAGCAAGCCACCGTGCAGCCACCCTGATGATCGCTCAGATCTCTATTTCAACTCCTCCCGCAGTACGAAGGCTGTCCCTGCATATCGCAAATCTAACCGAGATCTCACCTAGTGTGATGAACGCACGCCGATATGCTCCCAATGTGAGAAAAGCAAACGTCATTGCACAGGGCCAGATTCCCCCTTTCGATATCAGTACGGCTCGGCAGAACAGCGCACCCAGCTTCTTCAAGCCTTGGACGCGATTCCCGTTGACGAAAATGGTGGCAATGCTTTTGCCAACTGCTTCAAATGGAACGACGCGGCCTGGCTTGAGGAAGCCATCGACCCTGTGGCAACAGTGGTTCCACTTACTCCGTCCGAGCGCCTCGCGGCAATGCTGATCACAGCGCTTGAAAGGCCCTCCGGGTTCGGTGGCCGTCTGCAGCAGATGGGCTTCGTATTCGGCAAACTTCCACAGCGTCTGGGTCGGAGCCGGGCACTTGACGCTGCAGTCAACTGTTTCTTGTACTCTTTTACTGCCGTCTCTACGGGTCAGTCGCGCAACCAGTCCCTGGAGCTGGCCCGCTACTGTACGGCCATCTCTGCGCTTCGACAAGAGCTGGCCCCGTACGACGGCGATGGTTTACTCTCCACGCCGTCCGAAACACTCTGTGCGTCGCTGCTCCTCGCGCAGTACGAGATCCTCAAGCCTGGCCCGGCTTACTCGTTCGTTACGCTCTCGGGCGGCGTCTGTGCGATCCTCAGGGGCTGTGGCCCCAGCCGCGCGCAGGCGTCGGAGTTTGAAGCCGCAATCTTTATGACGCAGTATCCCACCATCATCACGCAGTGCATGCTGCGCGGCGAGGAGTGCTTTCTCTCTGGCTTGGAGTGGGCCAACGCGATGCGCAGGACTGGCGGTGCAGACTCCGAGAGCCCTCTCACGGCGGAGCTATGGACGGTCCTTGCCAAGCTGCCTGGATTACTGGTGCGTGCTAAAGGCTTAGACCCAGTTTCACCGTCCTCGGCCTCATCGTCTCTATATGCAGAGCTGCTATCCCAAATATACAAGGTCCGCGCCTCGATCGTCATTCAGTCCGAGACTGTCACGCGCAACCTCTCCACACCGGGCGTCTATGCCACCTACCCTCGGGCCTACAGGGGTACGTACCCTGCTTCAAGCTTCCACCCGGGGAACAAGCTCGAATCGCTGCAGCCGGCGCGGTACATCAAACAAGCCACGTTCTATCACGGCTGCGTCATCCTGATCAATACCGTGCTCCAAAACTTCCTCTCAACTCCCAACCCCGCCCTCGCCCTGCAAACCGCGCAGTCGGCAACATACATCCTGGAGACGCTCGACTTCGCGGCGTCGACCAAGCCCTTTGGTTCGTTCTACATGACCTTCGTGGGGCCACTGTGCTACGGCGTGCTCGCCGATCCCCTCCAGAAGGAGATTCTGCTTACTGGAATGAAATGTATCTTTGACGACGTCGGCATCTTCTGGACGCACCTGTCGATGCAGGAGGTCTTTTACGCACTGACTGAAGGTGGTTGGCGGACTCAAGTGGTCTTGACGGCAACGAGATGATGCTGACGCACCATGGGTGGGAAAGGAATGCTTGTTGTTTTCATTGAGAAGGGATGATAAGCAAGTTGAGGTGCACTTGGTCGAGAACAAAATATAACAAAGGCAAAGAGGATATACCAATTCTAGCCGACAACCAGTAACGATGGTGGCACAGGTCTTTGAGTTATTTGTTGGACTCTTCGGACAAGCAAAACGGTCATGAAGACAGCTTCACATGCTTCAAATGGCGGAACTAATGTATCGGACCATCACTAGAAGTTCTATCTGCACTTGGGTGTGTTTGCCCCATATTGACTGGCGAGCCAAATGCGGATCTTTCAGGTTCGTCGGGTACAGTAACATAGAAAGAAATCCTTCAATCCATTTCCTGAATCTCGCAACTATCGCCTATTAAGGGAGTATATCGGTGGCCACCCCTGCCAGATACCAATCCAACATCGAGGATCCAAATATCAAATAAAAAGAGACAGACACTCATTGCTAGCTTGTCTGGGGACTACTGTAGCTTGTTGTTGAAACCGTCCAGTCGTCTAACTCCGTTTTATGCATAGTGGAAGACGCGTCCGCCTTCTTCAATCGTCGCTTGACTCCTAGTCAGTCGGGCTGCTTCGACCAGTTTTTGCACAACCCAAACAAGGTCCGACAGGCTTTCCCGAACTCGACTTTCGGGTCGAAGATGCGCCACGATCCTTGCGCCTGGTGCCAAACTCGAGCTGAGGGGTCTGTGACCGGCTTCGAGCCCATATTGCCGTATCTGCCTCGTCCTGGGCTGACCTGAATATGAGCATTTGAACGGCGAAAAAGGCATGAAAAAGAGGAGCGCACATACCTAAATCCAGTAATTGGTAGAATCAGGACATCTTCCACCAGCTTGCTTCGGCCGCCATCTCCTGACCCCGTCAAAGCGTTCCATCGCAACCCGGTTCGCTCCTCTAGCCATGTCTTCACTGCGACGGTCACGGCAACTGGCCCGGTCAAGCACAGAGGCCCAATTTGTCGTAATTCCTTGATTGCCTCCGGAGTGTTGATATTTCCCCTATTGCGCCTCGCAACACCGTCCATCCTCCGTTGAAGGTTGTCCATGAAGCGTAGAAGAACGGCGTGGCCAGCACTTGACGCTAAAGCCCACTGTGTGAGCTGCACAGGGTATGAATACCCCATGCGCCAATAATCACTCTTGTGAGGCGCACAATCTGCTTCAATGCCAAGGATGCTGCTTACCGGATTGTCGAAAGAAAATCTCATTTGTGTCACAGAATCTGACCAGGGAGCAAGATCAGAAGAAGATACCCATGATGTAGGCTGACGAAGCGGTCGAGTATCCACGTCTGCGTACTAAAATAGTTTCAATCAGTCTGAAATACCAATAGATCTTGATAGAAGCATGAGACACCTACAATTCCACCAAACCATTTTAAAACCAAAATGCGGAAGACATCAGCCCGTTCCACGTTCGAAGGCAAGAATCCAAAGCGATGAGCAAAGTCGGGTTCAAATTCAGCCAGCATTCGTTCAATGCCATCGTCTTCCCAGAAGAAGTAAGCCATGTCATCGGCCACTACGTAGTGTAACCATTTCTCCACACTGGCGCGAAGCAGATCCGACCATTTTTCAACTCGCCGATTTTTCCAGGTCTGATGAAGTAGTAACGGAATGTTGGAATGGTCGATGAAGCGGTTCTTGTTACTCTTCGCAGCTTGCGAAGCTAGAAGAGCTGCATCAACTATTGTCTCAGGCTGGACATCGGTCGACGATAACCAAGAGGGCGGAATGTACCATGCTGGGGCATGTTAGTAGGAAGCTGATGCAGAAGAACGGTAATTACGACAAAGCTTTGTTGTTGGTTTTTCAGCCGAGTCCTTTACAGGGGAACACGCACCTCCTCCAGTGCCGTTGAACGTGTGCACGTGCCGCCAAAGCATGGGGTATTGCCGCGCCAACTCGGCTGGCTGCTCTTCATGTTTTGGACTTGATGGAAGCAGGAACCAGACGGTGAATGCGGACAGAATGGCAGATAAGAGAAAACGGCGTTGAGATTGACGGGAAGATAGCCAAGCAACTCTCATGCTTGATAAGTCGACAGAGCCGCGGCAAAGCGCATGTACACAAAGGATTCAGACGGTAGCTAAAAAGGCACAAATCATTGACATTGAGTGACGCTGAAAGGAGGGCCGCAGGAAAGGTGCACGCAGCCCGGACGAGGCTTGGTCCTAGGTTCTTCTTGGGAGGCATGATTCAACACACAGGCATTGACAATTTTTCCAATTGGGAGGGCGTGCGAACGAGAAGCCACACATGTTGCAATGGCGTGAATTCCAGACGCGCCGTCGCAAGCCAAAGCCATACGTAGCACAAAGCTTGGGCAGGATCTGCGAACTTGGTCATTGCTAAAGGAGGTCAACATGCCACCAGACCAGGAACAAAGGTGACGGCGTGGAATCAAGTGCGGGTAGTGGCGAGGACGACGCAAGATGGCGCGGCGGTGCCTGTGTATTGATACATCCAGGACAGTTCGATAATGCCAGTGAATTTCCAAACGTGCCACGAAGGGATCGACGTGATTGGTGTCTGTGTGTCACTCCCGCATTCTGGATGGAGGATGGAAGAGGAGCTTTGGCGCCTCCACTTTTGTCAATTCCGGAAGACTTGATGCGAGTGAAAGGACAGGGATGGCCAATCCAGGCCGACATGCGATCTTCTACTCTGCAGTGTATGAGAGCATTCTTGAGATGCTATGGGTAGCATACGCGATAGGGAAACTGTGGAGTACGTCTTTTCTTATGTAGGATAGGTCGCATTCAAGCAATTGCGGCAGCATATTTGACCGGAGGGCCAAGTACTTCCCCGTAACGGTACTACGGTGGCGCATAACCAAACTGTGCGGAGCTACCACCGCGGAAAGTTTGCAGCTTCGTGAACTCGAATCAGCCCACTAATTGTTCACCCTGTCCATTGCACTGTTCCGCCATGAATTCTCTGTGTTGTGCGTCTGGCAGAGTAATATCTGGTTGTTGTAGATCCTTCCGTCGTCTTCAGCCCCACGATATAATATCTCGGCCCCTTCAACCCGCCAAACGCACTCGTCCGCTTTCGCAGTCTGCGAAAAGCTCCCAATATGCCAACGCTTTCGAGGCCGCCAGAGCTCAGGCTCGAGAGAAGAACCGTACGACCCTGTGTGTATATTGTAAAAGCAACTCCAGGTCTGCAGGCAGCTGACTATACGCATAGGTACTATGGGCTGAGTGCGGGAATTCTACTCCTTGCATTGTCCTATGCTTCAGTTCCCCTCTATAAAATGGTCAGAACTTCCGCACGGGAACACCAAATGGCAAGCTCACGTTGCTGAACCCTTGACAGATATGTCAACAAACAGGGTGGTCCGGCCAACCTGTCAAAGCCCACGATTCCACCGGGGACCCTGCTCTCCGCCTGAAACCCGTCGAAGACCACCGCCGTCTGCGTGTCACCTTCAACGGTTCCGTTTCCGACATCCTCCCTTGGAAGTTCACGCCGCAGCAACGAGAAGTCCGAGTCCTTCCTGGCGAGACCGCTCTGGCTTTCTACACTGCTACGAATAAAGGGGATGCAGATATCATCGGTGTGGCTACATATTCCGTGACGCCTGCGCAGGTTGCGCCGTACTTTAGCAAGATTCAGTGCTTTTGCTTCGAAGAGCAGAGGTTGAATGCAGGCGAGACGGTCGACATGCCAGTGTTCTTCTTCATCGACCCCGAATTTGCAAAGGACCCACAAATGAAGGGAATCGATACCATCACACTGAGCTATACATTCTTCAAGGCAAGATATGACAAGAACGGAGTGTTGACTACAATACCTATGGCCATGGCAGCGGTATAAAGAGAAGCCTCAACAATCAGGGGAAGGGCGAAATACAAAATCATACACCAAGTCCATCCACCGTTGTCGAGCCCGCCTGTCAAGAGCAGGAGCATACTGTAATGGTTCCTATCGACCCTTCAACCACTCGATCAAGTCATCCACACCTCGATCCGGGGGAAACACGGGATACCACCATTTCACCACCTTACCGTCCTGCATGGCAATCATTGAACGTCTGAGGACCTTCTGTCCTTCCCAGTCGAATGTGGGTAGATTCAACCCTCTCTGGAATTCCAACTCCTCGTCACTCAGAAGATCATAGGGAAGGTGCAGCCGTTCGTGCACCTCCGCTTGATACGCGGGTGATTGGGTGGAGATGCCATAGATGTGGGAGACTCCGAGCGAGCGCAGTTCTGGCAGATTGTCCCGGAAGGAGCAGGCTTGTGGCGTGCAGCCTCTTGCGCCTGGGATGGAGTTCCACGAGTCGGGAACGATCTCATTGGGTGCGCCTGGTTCAGAATCCTCTCAGTATCGGACCGAGAGATTCTCAGTGGCCAAGGCAAAAATAAAACAAACTAAGAGACTAGACAAATACCTGTCCGCGGATAGCAGAACACGACCGTCAAGCCCTGCAACTCGGCGAGAGTGACCCGCTGCGTGGGGTCGCGTGCGACGGGAAGGCTGATGGTGGATGGGATTGCGAAGCTGCTTAGATGGTCATATGCACCGTCATCCTGAGGGACAGGAAGGTCTGCCGGGAACGTTGTGTCTGTGAAGAGGTCGGAGATGATCAGCTGCGTATTGTGGGCGGGAAAGGTGCACGGTGTACTGAGGTGTCCTTGAGGAAACTCCAGAACGACTGATCGGCCATTTGTCCGAAACTGTGCCGTGACCTCCCTGGATCAGGATACCGTGGAAGGAATAATTGAAATATACGTACGAGCCATGTCTCGATATCTCTACTCAATGCTACTCCTTTTCTCGTCTTCTTCTGACTCAATCGTGGACCGTGGCTCAGACAGAAACCCTTGCTCTGCCAGTGTAGATCTTGATTCGATGATGGGAGTGAATGGTCCGGACCAGGACGGACTTCTTTAGGATGGGGACAGAGGCTTGTCTAGGTACGAGTATGGGCGTGATCAACTGTCAATCCAATTGATTCGCGTAGCTAGCTCATTGCCAGCATGGACGTTTCACAGCTGAGCTCCAACACATTGTTGGGAGAAAGGAAGTTGGATGGAGAGGTGCAAAGTAGTTGACGGCGGGGAATCTGCGCGGAGAACGAATCTGCTGGTGCTTTGGCAGGATATGTATCGCTCGTCATCAATCGATCATTTATTGTCTGGAGGACTATGTATCTACACAATCCTTCAACTGGTATCAGCTCCATCATCTCTTCTGCTCTTGAAGAGGGCAAGTGTCTCGCATATCTCATTGCCCGGCCAAATCTCAAGTTTATTATGAGGCCATTCTTTGCAATTGTAAGATTCGCTCTGGTTCATCTTGCCATGTGCGTGAAGCTGTGCTGAATGCTGGACATGTCTGTTATCGGTCGTCGTATCAAAGCTTTTGCATTTATTCATTAATTTACTTGCTCAAATCGCGAAATCTCGTGTTTGAGCATATTATTCGGCACCTGGGCCTCTGCATGAGGGCGCTCATCACCAGGACACAAGGAAGCCATATCGAGTTCCTTTCAACCTCCTGGGTGCAAATATGGTGTGCTTGCATCGAAGATTTGGAGGAGAGATTGACCTTTCAAGACCTTCCAACTCCTAGCACATCCAAGATTTTCTCAAAGTCAGGAGTTCCAAAGCCACTTGCAACGTCCCATCCCTTGGCAGCACTGAAACCCCGTCCGTTACAGCCCACACTGCTGCCATTGACGACGTCTGTAAATGCCGTGAAGCCTGTGCTGTAGAGCCAGGGATTGAGCCAGCCCATAGGGGCTCTACCCGCTGCAGCAAGTGCGTCATTCACCAGGGAGAAGATGCTGGCCATGGTTGGAGCGGAGCAGCTCGTGCCGTCAACGCTTTTCACGGCTTGGCCAAGAAAGACGAGGTACTTGTACCCCTGAGCCGCTATGTCTGGATACGCGCGACCAGAACGGTTATACAGCCCTTCGAACTTGTCGCCAATGATGTCGAGATATTTCTCCACGCTAGTGTTTTGCCATGCCGGTCGAGCAAAATAATTGCTGAAGCCTGCTCCGGAGGCGAAAGAATTGTACGTGTCATAGGCGACAACTTCGGGATAGTTCATAGTTCCGCCGACAGTGGTGACATATGGACAGGAGGCGGGGAAAGCAGGGATGAACGCGGTTCGATTCGTTCCATCGTTGGTGATGCAGCTGGAGTTATCACCTACACCAGAATCTCCGGAGCTGAAGAACAGCGAGATGCCCTGAGCACCCAAGGCGGCGAATTGATTGCAGACGATCTTAGCGTAGCTTTGGGGTACGGTTTGCTCATGGTCACCATAGGAGGTGGAAATTACTTTGGGGATGGTGTTGATGTCTTGGTCGCGCAGAAAGAGGAGCCAGGTCAGGTAGGGCTCATTCGTGTTGGTCTCACTGTAATCATCAGGTTGGAAGGGGGGTTCGCCACCAGTAGAGTACAAGGTGACTGGCGTGGGATAGACGAGTCCAAGGATGGTTTGGAGATCGAGATTGCCTTCCAAGCCAGCTCCCGACGTGCCATTATCAACGGCGCCACCATTCACCGAGATCTGGGTGGCGGCGTAGGCGGAGTCGACAGCGTCAGGACGAAAGGTTCGCAAAAAGGTTTGAGCGTCGGTTCGGTTGGATACTTGACCCAGGTAATTGGTGAACGCGATTGAATTATTTTGTGGGGCTTGGGGTTTGTAGTTGATGGTGTTGTACAGAGTTCGCAGGCATTTAGGCGTCATGCCACCAAAGTTGCAGGAGCTTTTGATGGTGGTAGCATTGGCGGCGGCAGCGAGCTGGGAAACGTCAACGTCAACGGGGACATCAATGAGGGTGCTAGCTTTGGGATTGGCTCGGAGGAAGGCGGTCGTTGGTTGAATCGTAGTGACATGGTCGTGGAGGGACTGTGGGAGAGACCAGCTGGTGGTTCGGATGAGTTTGGTGCCGTCCTGATGCTGGTAGACGGCATATTTGGTGCCAAGCAGCTCCTCAGCTTTGTGGACGGGGAGCGTAACTGTGATCCAGTCTCGAGCTGAATTAATTCCACAATGGGATGGGTCGATGCCACTGTCGCTCAGCCAGTCTTGAATTAGATGGTACGTCTCGTCCGAGGGTTTGATAAGGTCGTGGACTTCTTCCTGAGACAGGTGTTGGCCATAACGATGGTGAAATGGGTCGGAAACTAGGCAAAGTTAGAGCAAGAACTGGGGGACCCTTCCGCAGCCTCGGCTCACCTTGATGGAGGTGTTGCTCGAGGAGATCGAAATTACTGGGTTGCAGGCCGATGCTGAGGGTCAACCGTTGTAGAGGATGAGGACTGCCAACATGGGACCAGGCAGGAGGAACGTTATGAGACTCTTTGACGGCGTATTCAGAACGAGGGTGCAGTGGCGATGCAGAGGCCCAAGGAAGGGCTGCTAGGGCTGCCACCAGGACTGAAAAGATGAACATAACGAGTGTGGTGGAGAGAAAACACGCAGACGAAACAACGCGAACGAAGTAACGAGCGGGAAGGAGGGAGGAAGGGATGGGAGGAAAATGGAAGGCCGGATAGGATAATGGACTCAGTATGTATGAGGCAGTAAAGTGGAAGGTGAGTGAAAAGTGAAGTAGATTATTATGGGGTAACGTGGACAGCGCTTGGGAGTTCATGGGCAGGCACCTGGACGAGTAACTTGCACTGCCACTACCCGCTCCATATTATACACATATGACCATACTGGAGCACTCTGCACCATCTGTATCTACAAATATTATACCACCGGCTTGTAGCATCTGGCGACTTCACCTGTGCATGCTCCATTGGCTCAGCTCCTTTTGCTTCTTCCCGCCTTCATCTCCGAACAAGTTGCTGTGTGACGGAACATACGTCACCCGAGCGGCCAATGACGATCAGCCCACCAGGTTCACGGCCCTGAGTCGCTAAAGCTTTAGTGGAAAGCACTTAGGATGTTTTAGCAGTCACTAGCCTCTTGGCGACTGAAGGAGGCCTTCACGTATCACTTCTGAGGTTTGAACCGAGGCCCCTTACAATCTAAGCCAAACCTACCGTCAACCATGTCTTCCCTCCCTTGATCCTATCCAATGTGCAGATCGACGGCGATGTCTCCCTCCTCGTAGCAGTTGCAGCAATTCCCAACACCTCTCTTTAGAAGAGAAGGACTGGGTGCCACAATGCACCGAGAAACACACATCCATCTCAAGACCCTGAAGCCCCTCCTTCGAGCCTATGCCCTGGGATATCTCACCGTTACTGCACCCAGGCTGTTTGGTTTCCTGAGGACGCTTCGACGCAGCCATCTCGCATCCCGCGAGGTTTTTTCCATCCTCCGGAGGATTCTCATCACATCCACCCAACTCAATCGCTTCCCAACTGCCGCTGCCGTCATCGTGGGCGGAGCAACTGCCCTTCCGCGTTTGCTCCTGGCAACTCTTGAAGGTGTCCTATCGTTGCTTCGCAAGGGGCCACCTACGCGTCTCAGCAGAAGTATTGTGGGACTCATCCACTTCCTTTGTTCTTTTTGGTCGGCCTGGCTCGCCTTTGCTTTACTCAACCGTGATGAAACGTGGGTTCGAAAGCGCGCCATATCTCGAGCCAGTCCGAATACCGATGCCAGTGCTCTGGGCGCATCGACCCTGCATCAACCATCTCCGCCGTCATATCATCCTCACTATGCTGGGAAAACCATTGACTTTACAGCATTTGCCTTCTGCCGTGCGGTGGATGTTATGGTGATAACTCTCTGGACCCGGACTCGAACTCGCTCGTGGCATCCAGAACAACGGAATCCCCGACTCTCAAACCTGGTTCGCAAGCTTGCTGATCCGTCAGTTTTTGCAGGCTCCGCTGCGATCATCATGTGGTCATGGTTCTATTCACCGGAGCGACTCCCTCGATCATACAATCAGTGGATCTCGAAAGCAGCCGACATCGACCCTCGCCTGATACAAGCACTCAGATTAGCTCGACAAGGCAATTTTGTCTATGGCGAGGATACCGGCCAAGCACCGCTCCTCGCCGGCCTTTGTCGGGAACTAGACTTACCTGAGGAATTCGCCGACCCTTCCAAGACCATCCCAATCCCCTGTGAGCTATATCATTGCGGATCGGGCAAGAGTTGCGAAATACACGCGCTTTCCAGGTTCTGGAGAAGTTGGAAATTTGCAATGGAGATATACCTGCCTCTCCAATTGCTGACAATCTTGCGTTCGCCTAGACCTAAGTCTGTCCTCAAGGTTCTTCAGGCGGCATCAAGGTCTTCATCCTTCCTGTCTGGCTTTGTGGCTTCATTCTACTATGCCGTCTGCTTGGCTCGGACTAGGCTTGGCCCTAAAATCTTTTCGCAACGGACAGTAACGCCCCAGATGTGGGATTCAGGACTTTGTGTTTTGACAGGCTGCCTTGCGTGTGGATGGTCCGTCCTTCTCGAGAAACCAAGTCGCCGGCAGGAAATTGCTTTCTTCGTGGCACCGAGAGCACTGGCGACGATTCTTCCTCGCGTCTACGATCAGCAATACCGCCACAGGGAACAAGCAATTTTCGCCACGAGCATTGCAGTCGTTTTGACTGCCCTCAAGTCTGGCAATGAGCGCAATATCCGAGGAGTGCTTGGGAGAATTTTAGGTGGCATATTGAAAGACTGAAGGGTCAACCGAAGGACCCCCAGTGTCCGACAGCAACGACCACCCGTGTTATGTTGAATCCTTTGCTTCGACCTTGGTCAGTTCGTTTTTCTGGAAAATCGCCACAGTAGGCATTCAACAGGATCCATTGTAAGCACCGCAACCATTAGACAACATAAAGTACGGTCTGTAGGACTGAAAGGTGATTTGGCCTTGCCGCTGCTATTGACCTGATCGGCCTTCAAGTGATGTACAGCATTGATACATCGGTGATCTCAGCTTGATTCATTTCTCCCATCTTTCATCTCCGAATACACAGGACCGAGACAATCAGGGGCTAGAGCCTCGCAGAAATTATGTCAGCAACTGCTAGAGTATGCGCGCAAACGAGCTTGATCGGTGCACAGAGATCCAGTCGCAAGTCTACACTCAAATATCCTTTAAAGAGTGCTCGTTTACAAAAAGCAAGTTCTCTGTCCAGGGTGCCCAGGACACCGGAACGCACGTAGACGATCCCGTTGGCGATCCTCCTGTGGATCTCGCCGATCACTGTTTCACAATCGCCAATCTCAGCGATCTCAGCGTCATACGGGGAAGTGCTGCTACAAGAGGCCGGACTTGGTAGGGAGACTTAGAGGGCTTGCTGACTCCGCCGTGATCACTTTGTTCGGCTGAGTCGCATCTCTTATGGAGGGTTTCTGAGGCATCAACGTGCGAGTAATCATCCCAGCATGTAGTCGACCATGCAACGAAGTGGTAAGTCACTTGGCACAGAGAACCGCTTTGCCTGTATCTTAAAGCTGCCGCAATCTAGAGCAAACAAGCAACGATTGCGTCGACCACGACTGAAGCCTCCCAGCCGAAGGAAAGAGAAGATACCACTCACCGCTACCATTGATCTTGGCTACCAGGGAGTAGGAGCTATGGCAGGGCACACTGTATATGTGAATACCTTCAGGTTTCCAATTATCCATCTCCTATCATGTGCGAACTTTGAAAAGTAGAATGCTGAAACCGTGCTATGTTGAGGACGAGGTCGATTACAAGAGCTAGGCCGAAGCATACCAAAAACAACAAGTGGCCAATTTGATAAGCGGTGCCCATTGGGTATGGCAACTTCGTCAAGTCCCGGCGTCCCAGAGCGAGCTCTTGCGTCATCACCACCATCTGGTATATTCTGCACTAAGTCAACTACATCAACGCTAATGGATCCGAAACATCTGAAAGTCGGAGATCAATGTGTTCACTTGCTGCATGCTGGTCTCATCGTACTTGTCGAGCAGAGGGCCGATGGTCTCATTGCCAGGAGCACTTAGGGGACTCTGTCCCTGCCCTAATGAAGCCTCTATGGAGGCGGTTGTGGCGACTGCTTCGGTAAGTAGTGGTGGCGGTGGCGGCGGGGCGGCAGAGAGTCGCTCAACCATGAGGTTGGCGAGGTACCAGTACTCGTTGGCGTGGCGCATGAAGCCCACCCGTCTCCACAGCTCGTCGGGCTCGAGGCGGTCGATGTCGCATTCGACGGTGCAATGCGGTGATTCGCGCGAGAAGCGGGTCAGGTACACGTGCCACACTCTCCTCCAGGACTCCAGTGCGTGCTGGATGGGGTCAAGCGAGCCCTGGCAGCTGAAGGAGCTTTGGTGGTGGAAAATCAAAGAGTGCAGCGCCGACGTCATGGCGAAGAGGTTGAGAGGCCCCAGGTCTGCCAGCGCCAGCCTGACATCGTCGTCGAGATCGGTACGATAGAGCAGCTCGAATGCCGAGGTGAAGTCGTCTGCCACGTTCGGCCGCAACAGCGAGATCCCTTGGTGTTGGTGCTGGTGCCGGTGCTGGAGAATCTTGAAGCATTCTTCTGCCGTCATGGCCTGGAAACATGCTTCAGGGTAGGCGGCATTCATTTTCATTTCTCGGATGACCATGCGTGGCGGCAAGTTGTTGAAGATGACGAACGCCGTGTCGAGGAGGAACACCCACAAAAGCACCCGGATCAACTCCTCGGTGCTGGCGAAGATGTCAAAGGAAAAGTCGCAAAGATCCATTCGACTGTAATCGGGATGGCGGGCGGTGCGGATTCCAACGTCCCTCGCCGCCGCGATGACCATGCTGAAGCGTTGCCGCCGAATCCGTCGCTTACTGGAAGTTGTGCCCTCCCAGTTCTGGAAGAGGCAGACCATGTACGAAGCCTGGAGTGCCCTGACCTTCCGCCGGCGCCACCGCAGGTCACTCGCGGCGTAGGAGAGGCCAGTAGGCGCGTCGTCGCAGAAATCTTCGTCATCGAATACCATTTCTTCCACACAGTTGAACCATTTTTTTGCACTCTCGGTGTCAGTCGGGTCAGACGAGACGCAGGCGCCGATCAGAGACATGGCCGCCAGCAGCTCGGCTTTGGCGTTCGTCAAGTCGAACGTCGGCTTGTGGACAATGTTCACGTTGGGGTGCCAGATCGCCCAGTAGAGCTGCACGAACCGCCGGACGTTCGTTGGGGAGAAGAATTGGGCACATGTCTCGTGTATGGTGGGCGACCATGAGAGTGTGATGTAGCTCTTCCTTGACTTGTGCAGCACGATATTTTTGATCGAAGTGACAATCTCATGGCACTTGAAGGCAAGCGGGTCTGAGAGCCAGCGACTCAAGCTGGTCCCAGGGGGTTGTTCTCCATTGGCTTCGTCCCAGCTTGCATCATCCCTGCACATACCGGAGGAGTCTGCCAATACAGACTGTGCCAAAGACTTCTCTGGACCAGCCGGTGTGGTCGCATCAGAATAGTAGGCATTGATTCGGCGCCGTTGCTCGACTGTCCCGCAGTCGAACGAAGACACGAACCCTGTCGTGCTGGTGAAAGTATCCAGGAAGCTTAAAGAGCCGATATCGTCATCTGTGCCCTCGAGGCCAGCACGGGGGGTTTGTGTTCCTGAGGTGAAGTTCAAGAAATCCTGCCAGACGTCGGACCGGTCGTCGAGACTTTGGTTCGGTGTGAAGCCGCAGGAGATCCATCCAGTGATATGCTCGAAAGAGTCACCGGGAACGTCAAAAGTATATAGTGCTTGACTCTCGTCATCATGAATCTGAGACTCTGCGGCGGATGGACGCGAAAACGAGGTTGCTGTGTCTTTGGCCCCGGTGGACTGTGTCAAGGCCAGCCTCTTGGGATGAGGCTCTGAAGAGTCCGACGCGCCATCAGCGAGCGTATCGCACGTTTTGAGGTGCCTCTTAAGCACATCGGAGCGCTGGAAGGTGCTTCGGCAGAGAACACACACGTAGGGCCGTTCACTGCCGTGCGAAAGTTGGTGGCGACGCAGGTGTTCGGGGCGTTTATATGACTTGGAGCAGGTCGGACACACGTTCAGGGCTAGATGATCGGCCATGTGAGTCTTGCACAAGAAGGCAAGGTATATTCGCTAAAGTAAAGGTCACAGAGGATGTATCGGAAGCAGGATTCTTTGAATACATGCCCTATTTCTTTGTCGTTCAGGCATTTGATCTCGGCAAATGCGCCGTTCCCCGGAAAAGCGGAGCCCCGCGCTTTATTCCCATCTCCGCCCACCAGATATACACATGTACATAATTCCGTGACGGTGTACTTTGAGGTATGTATAATGAGGGAAATTCCAACTACCCGTCCTAAGGCTTCTACACCTACAGTTACAACTAAATCTCCTATTGAGATGATATAGTACTTCCAACTAGGAACACACAGGATGCTACGGCTGTGCATGGCTCAACCACTGTTTGGTGTGAGGATCTAGGCACTCAATCTCGGCTTTGTACCACTCATCCCTCACAATGCGCGCGCGTTCCGCCGTTCTCGGGGTGATACTCGCCTGAAACTCCTCTGGCATGCACACAAACCCCTGTGTCAGCTTCTCCTGATCAGGCAGGACCTTGTTCCCTTCGGTATCGACGGTGGGCTCGACGTTGAACGCCCACAAGATCCGCGATATCCCCAAAAACAAGCTGCGCTCAGCGACGTGCATGCCGGGACAGATGCGCCGCCCGGCGCCGAAGGTGAACACGTCGCGCTTGCGGGCGTCGGCGTTCGCGGCTGAATCGTAGAGGCTCTGTGTATCGTGGAGGTATCGTTCGGGGTCGAATTGTCGAGGGTTCGGGTGGCGCTTTGGATCCATCTGGATCGCCCAAACATTGTTCATGACTCCGGCGCCCTTGGGGATGAGGTAACCCATGTACTCGTCATCTTTGGTCACTGCGTGTGGCACAGCTCCTAGGATCGTGGTCGGCATCCACCGCAATGTCTCCTTCATACAGGCACGGACATATTGGAGACTCGAATCGTCGTCCATCGTCGGCAAGCGGTCGCCCACGGCCTTGTCGATCTCCTCCTGTGCCTTCTTCTGGACTTCCGGATAGAGGAGCATGGCCTGGATGAAGCCATAGAGCGTGCTTGAGGTGGTGTCCGAGCCTGCTTCAAGGAGTGTGCCAGATATGTACGCCGCTTGGTCGTCACTAAACCCGTCGGCCTTCTGAGCCTCCGCCATGCCCACGCAGAAGCACGGCTTAATGCTTCCATTCTTGATATCCGCTTTCGCATTCAGCCAGTGTTTCAAGTACAGCGCCTTCTCGTGCTTGTGGAGGGACTTGGCTTTCTTTTGCGCCGGCAACAGGAAGTCGGGCAGGTTCCGAAGGACCGGATAGAAATCAATCAGCGCGGCTGCACCAGTCTGGTTGATCTCGGCGAACTCAGAGAACCCTTCGAAGAGTTGCTTCATGTTAGCATCTTCGTACGTGGGCGTCCGCCAGCCGAAGACCATGGTGGTTGTTAGAGCATTCGAATACCTCCTGATGTGCTTGAGAAAGTCGTCGGGCTGCTCTAGCAGTTGGTACAGCATCTGTTTGTTCTCGAGCATCTGGTATGCAATGTAGGACTTGGATGTGTTGACGTTGAGAAGTCCGTGGATCATTTTACGGAACTGATCAACATCGAGTTAATAGATATGCTCCCGACACAATCTTCTGCACACTCACACCTCTCCATACTGGTCCGTATCTCTTCATAAGCAGTTAGCAGCCGGTGGATCATCAAAAGCATTGGAACTCACCATCATCAGCAATCTCAAGCCCCCACTGCACAATGTTTGACCGATATACATGTCCAGTCTGTCCGAGTATATGCCACTTCGTCGGTCAAGAAGCTCCTTCACAGCCTCGTCGCTCGACAACACAATCAAGACCTTGGTGCCGAGCATCAAGCTGTATACTGGACCGTATTCGCGCGCCCATTTTTCGAATTGTAGGTGAGCATCCCGGGTTGGCATCTGGAGAATTGACGCCAGTCTGTTAGATTGGAAGTGATTTCGCAACAAGTGAAGAGGGCCCAGATACCTGATGAAGATTTCCCAACACTGGCAACGTAGGAGGGCCTGGCGGGTAGCCTTTTGGCCTCCGGCCAATGGATAGAAGACGTATCGAGCCCATCACCAGGGCCACAACAGCCAGGAGAAAGTACATGCCGGGCATAATGTCTGGAACCTGATGGAATACTCAACGAGGCAAAAACTCCAACAGTCGATTGTTCATGGTTGCCATAAACTGCGCGACTCAACTATAAATCCTTCCTTCAAGAAATGGACAGGCTGGTCTGGCAATGAAAAATTGCATGGTTTCCATTGGTTGATACTCGGACCTTGCGAACCGGACCGGAGTCCGCTGAGTGTGTGGAGGTGGGATGCCCAGAAGGGTCCTCCGCCCACAAGCAAAATGCGGGGGTGGGGGTGGGATGAACTACTACTCGGACTGGAGGATAATTGTATTCTAACGTATCAAGGAGTATTTCGTCTGTCCCTTCCATTGGTTTCATGCTCTCGGCATTACTCGGAGTCTTATTCGGTACGTGCGGTGGTAGTTCACTCCGGCATCTGCTCCCAGGAGATATTTGTGAAAGCGGCAGGAACGGAACTGTGGATACACTGAAGCATTAGCAGTCTGGTGACTGATGGAGTTGAGTGGTGCATTCTATATCCTGTCGTCAATGCTATATCAGCTAGCCACGGACCACGGCCTCCCCAGCAAAATCATCTTTCGAGTCTGTGAAACCACTCTCTTTTGTATGGAAGTTAGGGTTGCCAGGATATCCAGGACGGAGTCTGTAGTTGAAGGGCTCGAACCTACCTCAACATCAGACTGCAAAGATCTTGATGATATTGTCGTGAAAACAGACCATCTAGGCTTCGAGATTATGCAGTTCTGAGTCGTTGGTGTCCGGATCTCGCTCCTCTTCGCCAGATCTGGGTCGCCCAGCCGCTGTCGGATTGAACAGTCGATGTGATCTCAAAAACCTCAACACTCGGTAGTACCATCCATCTCCCTGTCGCCCACCACGCGCACTTACTACTAATTTCAATTTCTGGCAGAATCGAGCAAGATGTACAGGCAGTTTCCCGACTCTATTGCACAATGTAATCCCGTATTCGTGGGCTTCTTGGATACAAAAGCTCAAAAGGCATATGAATCCAAGGACTGCGAACGTCACCCAGAATCCGACCCAGTTGATATTGGTGTAGTTTCCATCCCGAAAGAGGATTCTCCCGCACAGAGAGTATTTATCGATGAACTCATCCAGCACGCCAGGGTCCTTGAACATAGCCGAATAATCGCTCAAATGGAAACGTGCTCCGTGGCGAACTGTAAGAATAGCGTTGAGTATGGTTTTCCTGAACCAGGTTTCGACCTCAATGATCCACTGTTCCAAGTTGTCGTCGAGCGCGGTGAACATGTTCGGCTTCACGCTGAGTTGCTTCAATGGCATCATGCCATGCCATTCAATCAGCTCGGTCAGGTATGTGAAAACCGAGAAGTAGTCTGGCAGAAGCCTCAACAAGGCAATAACTTCAGCCAGTGAATCGAGAGTCAACCCTGGATATTTGATCACCTTGTATGCTTGCGTGGACCCTCGACCCCAGGGAGTGCAGAACCCAGTCCCAGATACACAGTACTGGGAGGTCTCGAAACAAGCCAACGCTGTGGCCTCACGGTCTGCATAGTAGTTGTCGGTGAGATTTGTCCAGTCCTTGTTATGCGCAGCAAAGAAAGGGTCATCAACGGGGCCATAATAACTTGTGGTCCCAGCTCGATATATGATGAGGTACGCCAATCCGTCATCTCTCTGAATGCTTCTGTGCAGAGTTTCCGGGTGAAACATGACGCCTTCAGCACCAGCCCAGTGCCTCGGTAATACCGTCAGGTCATATGGGCTGTGCTCTTGTGCCATACGAAGTCCAGAGCTCTCGTTGGAGACCAGGTTTGGGCCGTTCATGGTGTTCAGCGGCAAAGTAAAGTTGGGCCATGAGCCTCTCCCATCGGGCAGATCGAAGTTCCTGGTAGATATCCAGGTCTCATGTGGCGGGTTTTTAGTAAAGAGAAGAAAGGGTGTCAGGTCAGCCGGTGCGCAAGTGAGCCGATGGTTGAACGAGATTTTCGATTTCGAATTGACTCCGACCTGACGAGCCGTGACATTGGTATGCGTAATCTGAAAAGGGCGCGTCTGGTTGTGACAGATGTTTTCAGGGAACGGGCAATAGTCTAATCGCTCCTTCACCACCACAGGCGGTTGTAGATAGAATGGAGTGTCACAACCTCCATCTAAACGATCAAGGCACTGTGAAAATATGGCATCTGATTTGGTTGTAGTGGAGACAAGAGTGAATAGGTTGGATACTTTGTCGGACTTCAGACAACTGCCAGTAGCCTTCGACCTGACTACTGGTGTTTCCGCAGTCCCAAATGAGAGGAACCATGGTACCGCTACGCCCACTGTGACAAAGATTGCCACGTTGAACAGAGCGACCATGCCAAACAAGGGTGAGATCGCAGGGTCATTCGATCTTGACCCGTCGGTGTGGGGAGCGTCTCTGCTTCGGAAAGTTGCTGTAATCTTTCTCCCAATTTTGCGGACGCCATTTGCAGCAAACGGGAGTACCTGGGCAACTGCTTTTCCCTGGGAAAGGTGCAGTAGCGGTTCAGGAGATGTTTCATCGGGGATCCTGACAGGCCGGATTCGAGTGCGGCTGAGGATAATATAGCGAGAAATCACCCAAGCGCGGGTCTGTGTGATGGCGATGAAAAGCCCTAGGGCAGCCAGGATCAACAGAGCATCTGAATCCTTGACCGTCCAGATCCGCCTCCGCATTGCCGGTTCGCCATGTCTCTCCCACACCCCCTCATACGCATACCCAGAGAGCTCGTTGTAGTCTCCGTCGGAGTCTTTGCCCAGCATTTTGGTGGAGCTGAGAATGGAAGCTGGACCTTGGCCAGCTCAAGTTTCGAGTCGTGTGGCCTCCCCTCCGGCCGCCATGGATCAAAACGCCGCCTTATAAGCTTCTGTCTCGATATCTTGTCACGCAGTGAGGCTCATGGATGTGCCCGGAAAGGATGGATGCCTGAGCCTCACTAGTCTTCTCGGCGGGCTGTGTCATGGGGCGGTGTCTGCGACCTTAGCTACATATCTCGTATTCATGCGTGGTCAGGCAACTCTTGGCTTTCTAGGCTTAGACTAATTCGGCACCCCCAAGGCAGACGAACTGATGGGGCTAATCGAGGTTTGTCCGAGAATGTGGTAACATGGCTTGCAAGCACCGAGTCTGGAGTGCGCCATGGCTTGGCAGAGAAAGGGAAAGAAAGAATGTTCCTGTGGGCAGTACTGCCACGCAAGAACGAAGGAGATAGGCGAGAGTAGGGCAGAAAGCTGGCGGAGAGCACCAAACCTACCTGACTAGGGCACGTCAAAAATAGATACGCTGTCACTCACCATCAGGGACGCCGATAGTGCTGAGGATCGATATCTACACTTAGTAGGATAGAGAGAGAAAAGGGGGGCGGAGGAGTTGGCAGCGTCAGTCCTACATATGTAGCCAAGAGGAGGGAAGTACGAGGTAGAAATAGCGCTGCCCTACGAGAAGCTTACAGCTGTTAAAGCGGCAGTTGTTACCTACCAAGGAGAGACTGACCCCTTGGCGCTTGGCAGTCATTGGTTCGCGAGTTGACGCGGGAGGAATTGACGCTCCGATCCGCGGTGCGGTTTTCAGCGCTCAGAGGGTCACGTGAAATCTGCAGACTGCTCGATGACGTAGATCATTCTCCGACTTCCCCGGCAGCCTCGTCGCGTCTTCGCGCGCGCGTCTCGGCATCAAACCTCGGTTTGGGACGTTAGAAAGATGAGCTTGTCATGTCATTCTTTCTAGTCAGCTTATCTCGTTTGCGCATGCTTGCTATAAAACCACCAGTAGACTTCTCTGTACTGGCTTCAGCGGACCCAATGGACAGCAAGTCCAAGTCCTATACACGTGCGAGTCTTCCCCTCCATCTCCCGCTTTTGCCACTTCCCATTTTTCCACGAGTCATGTAGCCATCATCCACCTTTTCTCAGGTGTACACACTCAAGAATCCCTTGGGGAAATCCATCAACGTCTTACTCCACGGTTTGCCGCTCGCGCAGGACTCCGGATCATACCCCTCCTGCGAAAAGATTTTCTGGATCTGGCGACGTCGGACACCGGTGTTGGAACCCTCGAACAAGGGTAGGCACAGGGCGTCGTCCATCATCTGGCCATATGGTTGCGATGTGGCGTAGGCGGTGACGCCGACGGCCTGCATGGCCTCGAGCACGCACTGGATGGCGTTCTCTGAGCCCCAGACCTTGGCCTGATAAGCCATCTCAGCCTCGCCGGTGGTCTCGAGGTAGTGGCACGCCTTCCAGGTGAAATAGCGGGTGGTCTCTTCGCGCATTTTCATGCTGATGAGGAAGTCGGCGACGGACTGATAGTTGATGGTCGTGACGCTACCGCCGCGCTTCTCGGTGGTGACAATCTTGTGCGTGTGTGCGAAGCAGCTTCGCATCAAGCCCGCAGAACCGGCACCCACTAGGGCTGCCGACTCCGTGAAAGCTGCCACGTTAACCATCGCCCCCTTCCCGGGCGGCGCGAGGATGTTTTTGACGGGGACGCGGAAGTTAGTGAACTTAGTGCGCGGACCTGAGTGTGCACGGAACCCGTGCGTCTCGATGTCGTAGAGGACCTCGAAGGCGCCTTTGTTCTTCTCGGCTTCGAAGTCGGCGCGGGTCAGAACCACCATGGATAGTGTCTCCTTAGGGTCTCCTTTGTCGCTGAACCGACACAGCAGGGTCAAGATCTCGGGTCCCTTAAAATCCCACCCAGCACTGCTTGACGCAAACTGCTTGCCGCCGTTGATGACGACCTCGTCGCCCTCGATCTTAGCCAGGGTCTGCACGCCCAAGCCGCCCTCATTCTGAAGGTAGTTGGCGCTGCCCGTGGGCTCGGTGAAGCCTAGCGCCGCCAACGCGTCTCCCTTGCAGTCGATGAAGGGGGCCAAGAATCTCTTCTTCTGCTCCGCGTTGCCGTACATGAAGATCGGGGCCAGGCCCAAGCCGGTCACGAGCCAAGTGATGGGAAAGCTCGAGTCAGCGGCGAAGAACTCCTCGGTGATCAGGGCCAGGTCAACCAGGCTCTTGCGCGAGCCTCCTTCACTCTCTGGAATCTGGATCTTGATCCATCCCTCGGCGACGCACTTGGCGTACGCTTCCCTGGTGGCGCGGAAGCGCTCCTGTTGCGTGGGCAGTTTCAAATAGGCCTCACGCGTTGGGACTAGGACTTCTTGCGCAAACTTCCTTGCGGCAGCCTTAAGCTTCTCCTGTTCAGGAGTAAGGGTGAAGTCAATCGCCATGGTCGATTTGCTCAAGATACTGTGGGCACGACGGTGCTAAATGAAGTATAGATCCGGATATAGACACTTCCACGGTAAAACTTGGACCGTTGGCGTGAATGAGAAAGATAGAGATTCACTTCCTCCTGGTAGAAATTCTGGTTGCTTCAGTTTCCATCCAAACACCTTGAACATACCCTCCTTCTTATACGCCGCGCCTTCATAGAGGTGTTCCATCTCGAGCCCTCTTCCATATGCAACAAAGTTCATACCAAGGTGCAAACAAAAACCTCGATAACGTACAGCATTCCGTGAAGTCTCCACTCCCGTTGAACCCTTATCTGTGTCCTCACGAGCAGAGTCGTCGCTTTGGGAGAATCCTTTTGGGGATGAGCGCGCCCGTGGTTCGGACGAAGATCGTAGACCACCCAGGACTAAGTCACTCGCTCACTTTGCGGATCCGCACGCTGGTTGGTCGACAAGTGGACTACCCCGTTTGGAGAGTTTGAAGAAAGCGTCGATAAGGAACCGTGAATGCTCCTGACCTTGATATTGTCGCAACCTGTAACTTCAGCCCTCTTTTCTCCAAGAGTGTCTGTCTGTGTCCAATTCCTCCATTCGTCGATATGCGGGCCGCTCTGTCTTCCAATCCCTCAACGGATTGCGGATTGATATCTCGTCCACCGGCTTATTTAGCGTCAGGCCGTCCGTGAAACAGGTGGTGGAGCTTGTTTTGGGTGGAGACGGTACCGTTATCATCGAGAAACTCCGTGTCCTGAATCTTGGAGAACGGTAATGTACATGTACGTACGCGGCATAAACCTTAAATGTGGGATCCGAGCTAGCATATTTCCAGTTAGCAAAACCTCCTTGACGCGTCGTTTCCTCTTGATATGCTGGTGCTGGCGGGTGAATAGTTCGCAATCAAACCGAAATCAGAGCTCGGAATTCGGGACTCGTCTCGATGCGTCGGTGCTGTCCTCAATCTTGACCAATCACTTCGCGCACTTCTAGATGTCCGAGGAGATGAGTTGGCTCTTCGTGGACCTCTGCGCCCGTACCCCAAAGTTTATACGCTCTACCTTCTCCATACCGGAAGGCCAAAGCCGGTTGACGAGCAGTCTCCAAGTCTGTATACCCAGTTGTGATCATCCCAACTCGGTTGATCAGGCTGTCCTATTCAATAGCGACAGTCTCGAGTCCAATTCTTATCTTGAACCGCCGATTGGGTCGAGAGACGATCGGCAGGTAGCGTCTCGACTGCGTCTCCTTTCGTGCCCGCGGAGATACAACGAGATGATGAACAAGCAGAACCGTGATTTTGGAACCAGTAGCATCCCTGTCCAGGCCATCCCCAGCTAATTGTGTGGAGGCTGACCTCCGTGCTTGGATCAGTGGTTCGCGTGCCTGCATGAAACGAGCCCACATCCAGTACTCAGAATGGTTCTCGTCACCAGCGACACGGGAGATAGGCCAAGTGCCCATGGGGTGGGCTGAACCTTGCTATACCTGATCAGGTATTTTGCTTCGATGCTTCACTGACGGCGTCTCAATTGCAGAAGACAAGCTGGCGACACAATAGCGACCGAGGCTGGTTCAATCTGGGTCCAGCGAGAATTCCAGGTAATTCAAATCTGTTTCGACAGCATGTCGAGCTGAGCTAAGAGGACAGAAGACGTGAGTGCCCGCTGGCGAGGCACAGTCAGGAACGTCCAAACCCCTTCAATCTGTCTCGGGTTCCAGAGAACTAGGCTGTGACCAATGCTCGCCGCACATGGTTGCTGTTTTCGAAGGAGGCGCAGCTGTCATATTGCCATATATGGCAAGCTCATCTCGGTAACATACTGGCTGCAAGCGGTCCACTGGCATGTCGCAGCTGCGACCACCCAGACTTAACCAGGTCTATCGGATTAGCTTTCGTGTTTCTATGCTCGACGAGACGATAAGGGGTGTATCATGGAGATGGACAAACATCTCTGTTGACAAGGTGGCCGCCGGAGGCCGCTGGTCCCATCGATGCGGCCCTGAAGAAGCATCAATTGACAGTCCCCGAACCGCAAGCTTGACGTTTTCTTCAACACCCCAAAGAATTAGCCTGGGAAACCACATCCAGCCTTCTCCATTTACTGCTGGCATATGTCTCGATTTGGCCGAGGAATTTCCCAATGAAGTATATTGGCAGCGAGCTGCGTTTGTTAGTACGGTCTTCCTCGACCTTGCTTGTTATCTCTTTCATCTCCTCTGCGGCCCACATTCGACGAGAAGTCAGGTTTGTCTCATTCTGTCAAGAGACGCTAGTGATCTGGAAAATCATAAAGGTATGTCCGCGGATGTCGTCGCCATTTCCTCTGTGGAAGGACATTCCACAGCTGCGGTTGCGGAGTTCAAGATAACCACTTCTTCGACAGCTCCGCGGTGCTTGGATCTACTATCCGTCATATCAGGAGGTATCAGGGTTGTGGATGCAGTGGCGTCGTCATTCGGTATCCGGTGGTCGATTGGTGATGAAAACGGTGGATGCCATTCTGAGAAAAGGGGGAACTGAGAGACGATCAGCAAGGAAGAACATCCTGTGCAATATCCCCCCTAGTCCAATGACGGTGTTCTTCAAGTCGATATAATAAGCGACACGGCCAAACAAAGCTTAACATACTCTTTCAAAAAAAATAACCTGCTCAAACCCGAGGGACAAACCATCATCACTCAAATTGTTGATCCAAGGAGACACGATGGAGAAAGAAGCGTCTGACCAGATGGCGCGTATTGCCCGTGAGATTTCCATGCCGCCATCAACGTACGAGAAGATCTACCTCTCGCCGCCCAACAGCGACGTACGGCAGCTGCGCAAGACGTTTGCCAACCCGACTCCTTTGTACGTGTTATTCTCATCTCCTGCTTCAGCCCTAAGATCCTTACCTTGGATTCGTCCTATTGTTTGATGCCACAGGGACTAATGACTCGGCTTTAGATGCCTTCTAGGCTTCATCATGAGCCTGGGGCCTCTGTCCTGCGATCTCATGGGCTGGAGAGGTGCCGGTGGCAACGGATCCTCATCCATCGGCGTCTTCTTCTTCATGGGCGGGCTTCTAATGATCATCGGTGGTGTCGGTGAATTCATCCTGGGAAACAGCTACCCGTTTATTGTCTTTTGCGGCTTCGGTGCGTGAATATACCCGGCCTTTTCTTTACTTGTTCGGAGTTTCTGCAATATCCATGCTGACATGCAGCCTTGAAGGGGGATGGTGGTTGAGCTTTGGCGCAACACTGAAACCTTCCTTCAGTGCGTATGGAAACTACTCTCCTGATCCCGCGAATGCTGCGGCCGGGTTGTCGACCACCGGTTTCCTGGCTGGATTCGGTACGTAAAGCCTCCCCAGGATCGCAAATTCTTCGCTATCATGGAGAGCCATCGGAGACCGGTTTGACTGACATTTGAGATTTCCATCTGTGAAGGGTTCTTCCTCCTGTTCATGGCCCTTTTCTGCCTGGTCTGCCTTGTCTGCGCGCTGAAGCTCAACGTCTGCCTGGTTATCATCCACAGTACCCTGGTGATTTGCTTCTGTCTTCTCACAGGATCATTCTGGCATGCGGCAGAGGGAGGATCAGGAATTGCCTCGAAGCTTCAGGTTGTGAGTTCTTCTCCAAAATATTCCCCCGGTGCAGGCCGACATGGGCTGATGACGAGTGATTGAATGATTTTATATAGGCTGGAGGAGCATTTGGCTTCGTGTCGACGGCCGCAGCAGGATACCTTTTCTTGTCGCAGATGTTGTTGACTGTCGAATTTCCTATTTCTCTTCCCGTGGGTGACCTGAGCTCGGTGTTTGCAAATCCTCGCGGGCTAGTCAAGGGCAAGGAGCAGAGAGATGATCCTTAAAGAATGGGCGATGAAGATCAGTGAGAATACCGCCGATTATGGCATGATAAGAACTACTGGGGGTATGTGCCTAGGTGCTAAAATTGGCACCTAGGGGTCTGCAAACACACAATGTGGTTTGACGGTCGCTGGGACACTAGCATACTCGCACACTCTTTTTCGATCCCTGGCATCTTTGTCCACGGCCACTTGGGTGGCTATTGCTATGCCTATCATTTGGCTCGCTGTATGTTCTGTTGTCGGAGTTTCACCTATACTTGGACCGTAGTCGTAGTTTTGACATGGCGCACCCCGTTTTAAATTGATTAGAGTACGGAACCAACCTCCAATACTACCATCTACGAGTTGCAACGTCGCGCTTAACATGCGGCAAGAGGCTGAGGAAAGCTTTATGGCCCTTAAAAATTCCAACCACAAGTATGTTCTCTTGAGTATGGGTCTCCAGGAGCCATCACACCTTTGTTTTTGTTCTATAAGCTTCTTTCCTCTCATGCTACCAAACTCCAGCATGTTCACGCCGTCGAATAGTCCTGTTGGACGCAGATTGCCTTAGAGCTCTCTTACCGGCAATGGCCTGTAGAACCGTTTACTTTTACCAAGTACAGTTGCAACAAATTGTCATCAAGCCGTAATTCTATCTTTCGTTCTCGAAATCCTACCAAAGGGGCCGAGCCAGAATATCTCTCCATCTCCCTCCATGCGACCTGATCGCGGTTATCTATGAGGATTCGTCCACTCCCTTAACATCAGATGACATAGCGGAACAGCTTGTTCTCCTTGTCCGTCAAGTCCAAGAACTCGACATTCGTGCCGTGGCCGTCCGAGATCTCACCGCGCTCGAGCATCTTCTGCCGCCGCTTGTTCTCCCATGTGTTGAGCACAAAGAAGCCACAGAGGATGAGCACGCTGACGACCCAGAGCACGAGCAGGCTGATCTTGGCATGCTGGTAGAAGGGGGGATCGCGGAACGTCTGGGGCCCAACAAGGTAGGCGACGCCGAGGATGAGGAAGACGATGGAGTTGAGCGTCGTCTTCTTGGTGGTGCCGAGCACGTTGCTCGACAACATGGAAATGACAATGAACCAGGCCGTGGAGCAGCTGCCACTCATGAAGAAGTAGGCGACCAATTGGCCATACTTGCGGTAGAAGTGGCCGTGGTCCCCGAGGCCGATGAACAGGCTGGCACCGAAGAGGGAGAAGAGGCCCGCGAGAATGGCAGCCCCGCTGCGCTGATGCGTCACATCGGCAAGCATCCCAAATCCCATGTTGCAGATGACGCTGATGGCGCCCTGCGGAATGTTGAGGAGAAGAGTCTCCTTCACGGTGAAGCCCAGAGACTTGATGATGATGGACTGCAGGAGCACGAGGCCGGCAGCAGGAATCTGGGACGAGAGCACAAAGGTAACGTACATCCAAGTCTAAGATACGTGTGAGTATCGCATGCAAGCGGGGAGAATTGGGGGCTGGGAACAAACCCTGTAATCGGTTATAGCCTCAATGGCTTGGTAGCGCTTGTACTGCGTCGAGCCAACACCTTGATGGTTGTCTCGCAGCCGTTCGACGGCCTGAGTTCGCTCTTCCTCATTAAAGAACTTGGCAGTCACAACACTGGTAGCCATGAATATGAACATGCAGATTCCGTAGACGATCGAGACGATGCCGGTAACGACGGCCAGGATCTTCCAACTTGAGAAGTTAGCGTCGGGATGTTTCGTCTCTCCATCCACACATCCAAAAGCAATCAAGCCGCCAATCATGGTGGCCACACCGGTACAGCCCGACCAGATGCCGGTCCGGCTGCCATGCTCGTACTTGCGATACCACGCCGCGGTAATGAGGGAGAAGCCGCAGTTGATCGAGGCCTCAAGAGCGCCCAGAATCGTGCGTTGGACCATCAAGCCGGCGAAGTTATGACAGGCAGCCATGCACGTCAGAACCACACCCCAAGCAATGACACAGCACGCGATGTACTTCGACGGCGGGAAGACCTGGAACATGCGGTTGTGGACAGGAGCGAAGACGATGTAACCAGCATAGTAGATTGAGCCGAGCCACGTGTATTGACTGGAGGTTAGGTTGGTCTCCGCTTGGAGACCCATGACACCGGCATAGGAGAGGCTTTGGCGGTTTATGTCAGCCAATGTAGACAGGAATGGGTAGCAAGGAGACCTCTCACACTCCCTTGTCCAAATACTGTAGCACGTAGAGCCCGCACAGCCACGGCAGGACGTGCCAGTCAATCTTCCGGACCAAGCGCTTGTTTGTCTTCTCATCGATCTCCATGGCGACTGCGCTGGCGTAGTTATAGGCGCCATCCGCCCCCTTGATCTCTTTGACGTGACCGACATCGAGGCCCAAATCCTCAGCGGCTTCCTGGATAGCGAGGGTGGGGTCCGCCTCACCAGCCTTCTCATCGACAGCGGTTGTTGCCGCTGTAGGTTCTTTCCCCATAATGAATAGTCGACAGGCAAATGGCAAGGTATATGGAAAAGAGGGTAGACACAGGAGGAGGCTTCCAGCACGGATTTTCTCTATTCCTCAGATCAGGTTGTGGCGCTGCCGAGATGGGTGACCAGTATCTTTATACCCGTTATCAGCAGCAGAACCGCACAAAGACACAACTCGGCAGCAGAACTTAGCAAGGCCGATTGGAATTGCCTATTACTCGGACACCTTGACGGTCGGATGTCTACTGAGTAATAACATGATTTCAAGAGTCGCTCAAGTCCTACCGTTAGAGGCGCCACTGATAAGGACAACAAGGTATTAGTATCCCTTGGTGATCCTTTCTCAAGAAGGTGTTGGTCGACTAGGAATCTGGCCGTTCTCCAAGACTTTCTGGAGCCCAGGGGTCAGGGAGTGCATGGGAGTATACCATACGCCATTCTCGCGTTGACAACGCCAACTGGGGTATCTGGGCATTTGTCCCCTCGGCACATCCGACCGATAGCTGTCGGGAATGATCGATCGGGAAGTCCCGACCCACCTGTGCTGGATGGTCTTGATCAAAAGTGGACAACCGAGACGTAGTCTGCCCTGCTAAACACCTGGCGAGAGGGTGATAGGCAAGGGACATGAGAAGAGGAGGCGTGGGAGGAGGCTGGTCTGCCATTCTGATAGGCAATGCCATGGTGCCAAGGCGACGGCCGATCTGATAGGTGGGCAACGCTAAGAAAGCCACGCGGGGCACCACTGCGCGGGAGATCGGCCCCTTCTACCACTCTTATCCTCTTCCGCCTTCTACTCACCTACTTTATCGAGACGTTGATAACCGCCGTAGCCACCCCTCAGCGCGCTCAGCTCCGATCAGTGGCAGAACTCCATCCCAGCGTCGGCAAACCCGCCGCCTGCTGAGATATAAACGCTATGGCTGTCCTGCCAGGGGCTGTGGCGCCTTGGAAGACCGTGACCTGAGCTTCGGATACCAGTTTAAACATCTCATCGACACACATACTCAATCTGAAGCCCTTTGTCATAATGGGTTCTCTCGGTTACGAAGAAGTTGAGGTAAGCCATCGCTCTATAGGTCCTTCACGCCTCTAACCGGTACATACAGTACGTCCACTACCATGCCGGTGGCAAACGGGGTTCTCGCCCTGTCCTTAGAGGAGCGGCGGCGAAGAAGACGTTCGAGTCCATCCCTGTAATCGACATCTCGGGAATCTTCTCTGACTCTCTCGAGGACCGCAAGAAGGTCGCGAACGAGGTGGGTCAGGCGTGCCGGGAGGTCGGCTTCTTCTACGCCGAGAACCACAACATTCCAGACGAGGTTGTCGACCAGACCTTCGACGCCGTCAAGAAGTTCTTCGCACTCTCGCACGAGGAGAAGATGGAGGTGCATATCCACAAGTCCAAGGCACTCCGCGGCTACGAGCCGCTGTTCGAGACCAAGATGGAGGGTGCTGGCAGGGGAGGTACGTTCGTCCTTTCTCCCCACCACGTGCCTTCAGACTAACCAAGACGCCACGGACGAAGACATGAAAGAGGCCTTCACCATGGGTGATGATGCCACGGAGCCCGAGTCGCAAGCGCTCGGCAGGATCAACTCGACCGGAATAGAACGCAGCAACTGCTGGCCCTCGGCGTACCCCGAGTTCCGACCCGTCATGTACCAATATTTCCGTTCGGTCATGGCCTTGTCCAAGAAACTGATGCAGATCTTCGCCTTGGCACTCGATCTGCCTGAGAACTACTTTGATGCCGCCACATCATTTCCCATGGGTGGCGTGCGCATCCTGCACTATCCGCCCCAACCCGTCCCTAATGGCGCCGACATTGGCCTTGGGGCGCACACCGACTACGACTTCTTCACCCTCGTGCTCCAGGAGTCGGTCGAAGCATTGCAGGTGCTCAACGCCAACGGTATCTGGGTTGACGCACCGCCCCGGCCGCGCAGCTATGTGGTCAACATTGGCGACTTTCTCAGCCGCATCACCAACGACAAGTTCAAGTCGACAGTGCACCGCGTCGTCAACAAGAGCGGGAAGGAGCGCTACTCGATGCCCTTCTTTTTCAGCCCCAACCGCGAGGCCACCCTCGCTACCGTACCCACCTGCGTCGAGGAGGGCAGCAAGTACGAGGAGGTGAACGCCGGCGAGTATTTCCGCGAGCGCCTCATCGCCGCCCGCTACCAACATCCCGCCGCGAAGGCGGCTGCGGCCATGCAGGTCGCCGCAACGGCATGAACATTCTTTATGCCTGTGAACCTCGCTTGTTCTGGGGATGAATGTAAACCGAAAAAATCTAAAATTAAAATTACCATGTGTTGCTTGAGAGAAACACTGTTTTCTATTGTGACTGTCAATCGCCTTGAACTACATCGTCCATCACGACCTTATTCCCACCCATCAAGGGAACAATCTTCCGATTCATGCCTAGAACACTTGCACCTTGTATCTTCCAAGTATGGAAGATATTCTTAGGAGAATGTATCGAGGAAGACAAAACATCGAGGTTTGAACAGGTTCGTTTTGATGGAGTGGGGTCTTATAGTCTATTCTCTGTTATATCTACGCATCCGTCGTACTCGGCTCTTGATTACGCCGCGTAAAGTATCCAATTATTCTCCTTCTCATATTATCTTAGAGCTTGTGATTCCGATATGAAACCCGATGCTCTCTTCACTGACCCCACTGCTTCATCGTCGAGGTCATTTCGAGGCAGTCCGCATTGACTCGTCCTTGGAAAGTCGTATGTACTATGCGGTATTGATTCGCAAGCATGCCTATTCGCAGACTATCTGGGTCAATGCCGGCTTCTTTAGTCCACTTGAGTTTCATCTCCTTCGAGGCGTCTGGGTCAAGCTCGAAGATGACCGGATCATCCCCGGGCCTTTTCCCAGGTATTCTGGGGACGCTTGCTCCGAAGTTCACATGTGTATCGATGTCCACCCCGGCCGTGAACTGCTCGTCGTCGCGGCGTTGCACCAATATGAAGGTCTGGAACAGAGAGGGCAGGTCGGAGCCCCGCGACTTGTTTTCTGTGAGGGTTCAATGAACGTTGCGTTTATAGGCTATGGGCATACCACCATACAACTTCATGCTTTCGCCGTTCTATTCGGAGATACTCAGTCAAGTAGCTGAGCGGGAGTCGTCCATATTGTAAAGTTTTGCTTCTCATCGGCATCTATAGGCCAGTGCGATGACGACACTCCATGTTGAGACTTCAGGGTGTGGCGACATAGAAAAATCAAAACTGATGAACGGCCAACCCAATTCTGGCTGAGGCTTCAGAACGGCAGTTGGTGCTTCTCGAATCGGATACGAACAACTGTTGTAGAGACATGTGGAGCTCACCTTACCAAGTATCACTCTAGCGCCATCTCGGCCATCCTCAACGCTCGGCGAGTTGACGCAGCGAACGAGGCTTTTCTTCAAGTTGCGAGTACCAACGCTGTGTATTCATTCCATTTTTGTAGCGTCGACTAGTAGTTAGTAAAAGCTTAAAGTTAGAGCTCTGATCCAAGTGAGAGAGCGTGTAGACCTGATTGCAGAACACCTTGTCGCCGTCTAGACAAGGACAGGTAGCGAAGGGCGAGTCATAGGTCGATGAGAAGAAGGGGGAGGGGGAGCTGCGTGGTGAGCAGATGGGTTTAAAGCAGCGTGAGTGGGTGACCCCTTAAGTGAGGCCCTGGCCCGTGGGCTGCTCACACTCATCATTCATTGCCAAGGCCGCCGCTGCGATCAAGACACGTCGACTCACTTTGTCCTTTAATATCGATACTTCGGCTCTTACAGCAGCTTGGTCCTTTATTGACCGCAGAATCTTTACCAATTCATCTTGCGCTCGTGTTCACCGCTTTCCTGTGTGACAGGCACCATGGCTTCGACCGACGACGCTTTGGAGACCTACACGCACCTCCCCCTTCATATCGATCCCCAGACGAAACAGATATCGATCCTGTCCTCGGACAAGACACTCCAGGATGCCATCGCCAATATCAATAAGCTCCACACTTCCTTCAAGTCACTTGAGACTCCGAATAATATCCCACCTCCTCCTCTCCCAGTCAACCCCAAACGATCAGGCCAAATCCAAAAGATGCGAGACTCAGCAGTGGCATCCTCACGCAAAGGTCAGCATGCAGATGCAATCCGCCTCCTCGGATTCGGCATAGACATGGCCGCCGCACGGCCCGGATGGGAACCTATGGGACTGGCAAGAGAAGAGCTCGCTTTGATGTATCTGTCTCGTGCAGCTGCCAATGCTGACCTTCAAAATTGGGTCGAAGGTCTAAAAGATGCAGAGTGCAGCCTTGAATGTAAACGAGGCCCTGGCACCGGTCCCAACGGGGAAAAGGTTCCTGGGAACGCGAAGGCATACATTGTCGGCGGAAGATGTCTGATGGAGATGGGACGTTGGCAGGATGCCGTTGAGTGGCTCGAGAGAGCGATCGAGATCGAGGGCAAAGAGGGCGACGATTGTCGCGAACTCATGCGACGGCTAGCGGAATCAAAGAGGCACACAGCAACCAAAGACTGAACGATCAGTGCAGCCCACATCAGTGTTTGATTGCTGCATACCGCAAGCACGGAGACCGCGAAGACTAAAGTCGGGTCGATGTTTCCGGCATGAGACTAGCAACCCAACTTGACTGGGAATCCGCTCGCCACCTGTCGTTCGTCCCGAATCACGATGCATTATTGTATTCGTTTGCCTTCAAGAGAATACTGGTTCTCACAAAAGCGGCGCCAGCACCAGGTATCTAAAAGGGTCGATATTTTCCACCATCTACCCACACACTGGAACTTGGGGAATCGTACTTTGAGGCACCGAGGCTCACTGGATCTTTTCATGGCATACCGACGGCTCCTTTCGCTGCTCGGATACTGACAAGCCTCTCGGAGAGATTACACGCGTCTTTTCCCCTGGCCAAAGGTCCAGCTCAGGGATTATAGCAGACCGTTGCGCACAGGACTTATACACAATGGGGGATCCAGAGCCCCGACGAAGCAGAAGCGGAAATCAACTCCTCACCATTTTTCGCCTTGATTCGACTCTAAACACCATCGCAGTCGAGACGATCAACCTCCTCAATCCACCATGAAGACCCGATATGGAGGTATCGCCCTCTACCGGAACATCAGAAGATAGGAAATTCCGTGGTGTTCTTTCTGGGCCACTAATTCATCCCACAGGACCTCTTCCTTGGATTCGTACTTGCAAAAGCGAGCACATAAGGCAGACAACGGTTTCTGGAAGGTGTGGCTGGGTGAAACCCATCTGCTTCGTGGGTAGTCCGTTCGGTAGTCTAGCCGTCAGCCATGATTGTAACATACCATAGATATAACAAAGTTTCTCGAGGAAGATACCCTCGATCATAGACATTACAGGTCCTGAGACTTCTATTCTGGATGTTAGTCCAGTTTTCATCGATAATTTCTCTACGCAAGATATATTTGTATTTCGGTGAGTGCAAGTCTGGGCCGCGATTGGTGCCGTATTTGCGGATTGTGAGACAAGCGTCCACATCGTCTCTATCGTCAAGGTCGCACTCTGTTTTTGTGGATAATTTACCACTTGCAACAACATGCACGGTATCGGCCTTTGTGAGAACAAATATAGGAACAGCTTGGCAAGGTCAGTTGTAGGTAAAAAAGAAAACTCACCAAAAAAGACAAGGCGGTGAAGGTTGATATCGTGGCGTCAATTTCGAGTTCGACGTACAGAAAGTACCCTTGAGGACGACCCCATGTCAGTACTTCCTGCCAGAGGCAAGGAAGTGGCCCGGGAGAGAATATCAGCAGTGAAGATCAATACGAACTGAGCTACTCTACGATCATGGCAGAAAAGGAGCCGGACGCTGCCACTCCTTTCCAGAAAATTGCTACGGTATTCGACCAATATATCCAGCCTGCCTACGAGGTAGGAGAGATTCGGAAACACTTGTTTCCCGCCGATGCGACAGATGATATGGTTAATCACCAGCCACTCGACGCAAATTTGAAGGTCGAGTATCTCGAAGCTGTTCGGACGAACGTCGCAGCAAGGCGCCGCTACATGGAGGCCGTTGCTCTTGCCGTTCCGGAGGCACCTCACCCAGATTTGCCGTCTCGACTAGCAACGGATCAGAGGGATTTTCTTGATCAGCACCTTGAACTGTCACGCCTGAGGAAACAAAGCGCGCAATTGACAGCCTTGAATGGTGAAGTGAACGCCATTCTATCTTCGTCCGATCTACCAATGGTACCACGGGGGTCCACTACTGTCAACCCCGAAGCTGCAACTGTTTCTTCTGAAAATGGGCAGCAGCAGGATCTTCCGAGGTCCATCATGCAGTCTATCCAGGCTCTCGAAATGGCCTTGGTTTATGCTAGACACGAAGCCACGCAACAGAAGGTATTGCTAGACCAGGCCAAGTCCAGCATGTCGGAGCCTGGGAACGCATCAGACGAGCGACGTCTTGCCGCGTTGTCTGTGGCGAGAAAGATATTGACTATTTGGCTGCAAGAATCTCTGGATAAATGTCAAGAAGGTCCTGATGTCTGGGACGATCAAGTCGTAGACGACGCCCGCCAGACCGACGAAGACGTAGAGGCGCAGATCGAGATGGAATACGAGCAATACCTCGAGGCGCGCCGACAACTTCTCTCTGTTACCGCAAAGCTGAGAGCCCTTCTACCCGACAAAGAAAAGCCGAGAAAAATCGAGGACAACAAGCAAGTGGAGCAATCGTTCGTATCTCAAGCAACCGATCTTGTAAATGCTATCGAACGACGTCTACTCTCGTCCATGCAACAACAGCGGATGTCGTCCTCCCATGTCGCATTGGTGGATGAGCAGATACATAAAGAGTCCACCGCGACCATCAACATGCTTGACCGGCTCAGTGACGAGAGCCAGCTCCTCCAAGCTTTTCCACTTCTCGCTGGCTCCGGACGTTTCGTGCATGCCACGTCCATTTTTGGAGACAAGCAAAAGCACGATGCGAATGTGGGCACCAAAGACGAAGTATCGAAACGACTTGGACCATGGATGTTTGCAGCCGAGGCGGCCGATGTGGCTTCATCAGGCGCAATCGAAAAGCATTTGAAGCAGGGACGGGAGGCTATGGATGAAGCGAGGAGAGGTTTGGCAGCCATACAGCTGAAGGAAGCTCGGATATGAAAAGATTGTTTGGATTTCGCAAATCAAACTCGACTCCACTCATTGCTTCTCATTCTGAGCATAGAAGAAATTCGCGCCTACAACTGTCAAATCATTTTCTTTGGCCCAGTCTCGGACACCATGTCTGGGCTTGCCATAACCCCAGTGCTTTCTATCTGATGGCGGTTCCAAGGTGGAAGCGTCACCTTTCAACAAGACGAAAACATATCGATGAGCGCCTGTTTTTGGCGGTGGACCGGGCGGGAGATATTCCTCCAGCTCTCCAGGTTTGGCTTTCATAACCTGAAATAGTGAGGGAGGCTCAGGGATTGGGGTGGTCAAGTTGGTGAGGATCCAGTGACACATTTCAGACCACTTTGGGTTGTCGTGAGATTTCGCATCGGGATCTGTTAAGACCAAGGTGAAGGTGGAATCCTTGACTCCTTCCGTGCTAGATGGAGGATTTATGGAGTGGAAGGTGAAGACGGGTCGTTTCGACACGGAGTCGACGGGGATGTCGTTGCCCAAGAGGACAGTTTCATGGGATTTTGGGTAGGTGATGTCGAGATAATAGGAGGGCTCAAAGTCATCAAGGACATCGCCGATGATGTCGTGGTCAATTAGGACGTCTCTGATAGTCGATAAGAAGGAATATGATCCATCGGAGGAGGGTTTCCGAAGCTCTCCCTCGGTGACGGGAATCTGAACATCGCTGTTGATCGGATACGTGGAACCCTGGATTGTAAGTAGGAGGCCAGTGATGGCAATTACAAAGCCAGACGTGGGCCGCATGGCTGTAACAATGGTGAAGTGTTGGGATATTGGGAAGAAGCCTGAGGAGATGAGGGTAAGTTCCGAGTAGAGCTCATCTAAAGTAAATGACCTTGTTGTCACTGAGCATGTCGTAATATTGACCCCGCCTCATGTGTTGGCTTCTGGCTAGATTCTTTATTGCTATGCCGAAGCTGTAGCGAGAGATGATCGTAGCCAGCCTCCAGCCACCTGCCGCCACCGGATGGATGCACGACGTCAGAGCTCAGGAACCCCAGGCACCATCGGCTAGTATATGGGCGAATCATTTAATCCAGTGGTCTGACTAAATAGCCAGCGGGCCCTACACACCAGAATTGGTGATGTCTCTGGTATTCACTGCACAGCTGCTCTCGTCATTACATCTTCGCTCCTCATTTCCCGCGAAACCTGCTTTCCTGGGCGACCTGAATTGCCCATCCTCGCATCATGCGCCTGCGACTCGCCGCGTTGCTCCTGCAAACTTGTGCTCCCGTATCCTCCTCCCCCAACGTACGCCAGCAGTAAACATGTGCCCATCGGTGGCCATCTGACCAAAAGCCTCACCACGATCTCGTCTTGTTCCTCACACACTCTCTTTCTCTTACGTCGCAGTGTTCTGTGTCCTACCTGTTATTTAATCACCATTCAGAATAACTATCTGTTTTGGCTGGCAATCGACTTTTCGCCTTGAAAACACCTCTCCTAACCACTTGCGACCGCGGCTATCGACAATGACCACCCTCGGCGATGACCTCCTCCGCACTGTAAACAAGCTCCAAGACCTCGTCTTCAACACTATAGGCAACGACTCCCTTGATCTCCCCCAGATAGTCGTTGTCGGCTCCCAGTCGTCGGGGAAGTCCTCTGTGTTGGAAAACATTGTTGGCCGGGATTTTCTACCACGTGGAAGTGGAATTGTAACTCGTCGGCCGCTGATATTGCAGCTCATCAACATCCCTCCCGAAGATGACGATTCAGATATCAATGGCAATGGCGATGTACACATTCCCCATACGGCAGCCAGCGTGGCAGAACATGGGGAGTGGGCAGAGTTTCACCATATCCCTGGTCGCAAGTTTACCGATTTCAACCAAGTCCGCGCCGAGATCGAGAACGAGACGGCGAGGATAGCGGGCAACAACAAGGGCATCAACCGCCAACCCATTAACCTTAAGATCTTTTCTCCCCATGTCCTCAACCTCACCTTGGTCGATCTTCCCGGCTTGACAAAAGTCCCAATAGGCGATCAACCTTCCGACATCGAGAAGCAGACAAGAACTCTCATCTCCGAATACATTGCCAAACCAAATAGCATCATCCTTGCCGTCTCTCCCGCCAACGTCGATATCGTCAATTCTGAAGCTCTGAAGCTCGCCCGGCATGTTGACCCCATGGGAAGAAGGACTATTGGCGTCCTGACAAAATTAGATCTGATGGATCATGGTACAAATGCTCTGGACATCCTATCGGGTCGTGTCTATCCGCTGAAGCTGGGATTCATCGGTGTTGTCAATCGATCGCAACAAGATATACAGACCAACAAGCCCATGTCTGAAGCTCTCAGATCAGAGGCAGAGTTCTTCAGACACCATCCCGCCTATCGGAATATGGCAACAAGATGCGGGACACAATATCTAGCAAAAACTCTGAACACGACTCTCATGGGGCACATTCGCGATCGGTTACCTGACATCAAGGCGCGGTTGAATACTTTAATGGGCCAAACACAGCAGGAGCTGGCATCTTATGGGAGTAAGCAATTCAGTGGCAAGGAGCATCGCGGATCATTGATCCTTCAACTCATGACCCGCTTCGCGACATCTTTCATCTCCTCTATTGACGGCACATCTTCAGAAATATCGACAAAAGAGCTTTGTGGTGGTGCGAGGATATACTACATCTTCAATTCTGTGTTTGGCAACTCTCTAGAAACCATCGATCCTACACACAACTTGTCCGTCCTCGACATTCGAACAGCCATCCGGAATTCTACCGGGCCGCGACCGAGTCTTTTCGTCCCTGAACTTGCCTTTGACCTCCTGGTGAAACCACAAATCAAGTTGCTGGAGATCCCCAGTCAGCGGTGTGTGGAACTAGTCTATGAAGAGCTGATCAAGATATGCCACACATGCGGATCCACAGAGCTGTCGAGATTTCCGAGGTTACAAGGCAAGCTTATCGAGGTCGTGTCAGATCTGTTAAGAGAACGACTGGGGCCTTGTTCAAATTATGTCGAGTCTCTTATTGCCATTCAACGTGCGTACATCAACACCAATCATCCAAATTTTCTGGGAGCGGCCGCAGCTATGTCTTCTGTCATCGCAAGTAAGAACGAGAAGGACAAGAAAGTCGCTCAAGCCGAGGAGAGACGAAAACGAGAGAAGCAGCGCATGAAGCAACTAGGCGTTAACGGCGCCGCCACACCAGATGAAGAAGACGCCGAACAAGAGGACAAACCTACCTCGTTGCCAAACAGGAAACACCCGACATTAAGCCGCAGCATGTCGCCCGCCGTGGCTCGCGAGCGCGAAAACGGCATGGGCAGCATCTCCGCGGCCACGGGCTCAGCAGGCACGGCGAGGGATTCGTTCTTGAACTACTTCTTTGGAAAGGAAGGCGGATTACCAGGTACCTCTCTACAGGGCAGCCCGGCCGTTGTTCCGTCGTCTGCGTCCGTGGCACAACGACATGCTAGTCACAGCGTCGATCCGAGCTTTTCGCAGAGTATTCGTCGGATGGACCGTGGCAGCTTTACAGATCGATCGCCCGTGTACCCAGCGGCGCTACATGACGACTATGCGCCTGGGTCCGAATATGGCGACTCGAGCTTACTATTCGTATGTTGAATTCCGCCTGTGTCTTCTCGTTTCATTTGCTGACATGGACATATCTAGCCTGAACAAAATGCAGAGCCTGCCCTAACGGAACGTGAAGCCCTGGAAACCGAGCTCATCCGCCGTCTGATCTCTAGCTATTTCAATATTGTCCGCGAAACCATCGCCGATCAAGTGCCAAAAGCCATCATGCACTTACTTGTAAACCACTCGAGGGATGAAGTGCAGAATCGTCTTGTCAGCGAGCTGTACAAGGAGGAGCTCTTTGGCGAGTTGCTATACGAGGACGACGGGATCAAGAAGGAGAGGGAGAAGTGTGAAAGGCTCCTGGCGACATACAAGGAGGCCGCAAAGATCGTGGGAGAGGTTTTGTAGTGGAGGAGTACATGAAAGAAAGAAGGATATACAACAAATCAAGTGGACATTGTGGATTGTTCGACGTGGAGCAACCTGTATCGCATCCTCTTCTCCTCGGTGCGGAAAGAAGAGTCTCCCCTCGACGCGAGTCTCACAGACTCTCATGTGTTGATGTATCTATGTATCCAGCTCAGACTTTGGGCTCTCCCACTGCTGACGGACTGGCCTGTAAATTGATCATACCACTACTGTCACGAATACCTCAACATCAGCCTCTGGAAAAAGGTCTGGAGGGCAATCGGCCAGCCAGTACTTCGAATGTAGGGAATGGGAGTATGCACACTCAACACTCTCGAGGGGTTCTGGTAGCATTTCGCAGTCGCAAAATCTATCCGAACTATTAGGGAAGTTTATCTGTATCACTTCCTTTGACTCTTCTCCGTCACGAGGGCATATCTGATCATCATGGATCAAAGTGCAGGATCCGTCCGTGAAATTCTCTGAGGCGTCAAGCCCCGTCAAGCATATGCTGGTGGTATTGTAGTCCACCGGCTTCCGGCCATTGACGCCCAGCATAACCAGCAAAGCAACCAACCAACCAAACAAGACAAAGGGGGCGTTGCTCTAGGTCCTGCCCGGCAATGCTTTCTACGCAAGTAGACTGGCACGAAGCCATCCTCATGCAGTCCCAGCCTGTCGCAATTCGGGTGGCGCCGTATATATGTTCACCGCCTCACAAGACGACGGAGCACGACATCGATTCCATCGGAGAGTTCGTTCACACCACCACAGCAGAAGTAGTCGTCGTGATGGGAAAGATGGTCACGATAACTGGGAAGCTCGGATCGGGTGTCATGTCCGCATCCGACGGCGTCGGGGGTGTGCCGGACTGGAATGGGCAATCTGCGTTTCCACTCTTGCCGGGAGATGAAGTTTCAGCCGCAGACGGACTGGTCGTTCCGGAATACCACGATTGCGTGACCAGATTTGGTTGAGGCTCGGGCACAGGAGGGGCGGGCGTGGATAGCGCTGTGGTCGGCGGAAGCGTCCGCACCCATGCAGCTGCCGTCAGTGTCGAGTCTGCTGAAAGGACGGGCGGTGAGGAGTCGGTGACAATGTCAGAGACGAATGTGGCGCTTGACAGGGCCGTGGCGGTCCCGATGACCGTCGATGCCTGCATGTCGCTAGATTCAACGGAGGACGAGTTTTGCGAGCTCGGAGAGCTCAAATCAATACCGTTGGTCCCATTCCCCGGCCCAGGAGACGGAGATAGAACTTGCGTTATTTGAGGGTCGTTGGCGTTCGTCACATTACCCGTGTCAAAAGGGTAGAACCTCGGCCGGGGACGGTGCTCTTTAGCCCCCCTCTGGAGTCGCTGGGATTGAATGTATCGAGTTGGCATCAGCATGGTGTGAGTCGAGGTGGGTGCTATCCTGATGTCGTCTGATAGCGAATATTGCCATCGTTTGCCGTGCGTCCCGGTTTCTCTCGCGACATGTACGTCGGCGGCCGCACCAGTCTCGCGGGGCGCCTGTAGTGGAAAGTCATGTCTGATTGTGATTTTTGGTAATATCGGGTCTGGAATAGGCAAAGCCGAGCCTAATCTTATGATGAGAGCGAGTGTTGCGGCCATCATGCCGAAGAGACTGAGCGGGACCATGGGTGTTCTTCTTGCTCCGTAGAGGCCAGTGCTCAAAGGGCCAAAGCATCAAGAGCGGTCACGAAGCACTGACGGCCGCCGTTGATATATGCGGTTGCAAGGGAGAAATCGAGGCATTTCCCTACCTTGCATCTCGGGGAGCTCCTTGACAAAGGAACAGAGAAGAAGTCACCTACCCCAGTCGTCACCGGGCAGAGCTATCTGCAATATGACCACATCGTCGAACAGCGCGTAAAGACGAGGGCCAGTGGTGACGACCTCATCACTCATCTCCCGAACCGTTGTACGGGCACAGCCCAGCAGTCTGCCATCGAGGCGCCCGTATCCAACAATAGACCCCGTTTGACGCGGGATTCTCTGCAAGATCCCTGCTCCACAGTGCCGGGCATTCTGCGGGTTCAGCGCGTTTGGCTGGTCGCTGAGTAGGCCACGCAGGAATACTCGGTACTCGTGGCTGGCTGCAACGAACTACGAGTACGGGGTGAAGTGCCGTGAATCAGCTTCCTGGATATATGATTGGTGGTAGGAGCGAAGGTTGAAACGATGTTGAAACACTGAAAGGGGTTGCGGGGGTTGGATGTTTAGCCGTCAGGGGCAAGGCTGAGCTCACATCCAGGTGTTGAGATGTCAGCCTCTGGAAGTCCGGCATCTGCCCTACACGGTTCTATGGGCATCAGAGAGTGCAGAGATTGCAACTATCGACTAGTCTAGACCTCAAGTCCTCAAAGGAGGAGTTCCCGCCTGCGAACCAACACGATCATGCTTCGGTCATCTCTGGGGCCAGTGTCCCTATCCGGTTCAATCGCTTCAATAATAGCTCGCCCCACTGCCATAATCCCGCTGCGTACCAGGGAAAGCCCCTGCCGGTGCTGTCGTTGTGTCTTCGTTTTCGTCCGAGCTGTTTGCGGCGCCCAGTTCATCGTCGTCAGGCGGCGCCCTCATTGCTGCCAACTCCCCTTCCTCCAACGGTGCCGGTTTCCATTTCTCGTCTACCGGCATGTTCATCCCGCTAGGCAGCATTGCCAGCAGCGGTTTCCACTCCGGAATCAGCTGGACGTTGATCGTATCGTTCTGTTTGTTGAACTTTTGGTCCAGATATTCTATAATCCGACCTTCCTCGAGCTTGCCACCATCCATTCCCCACGTCATGCTACCCTTTTCGATCCGTTTGTCTTCTCTTCGTTCAATCCAAGATGACTTTAGCTTGCCCAAACCCGAAGACTTGGATCCATCTTTTCCCACTTCCATTCCCAACTCATTCATGGCTGCTCTTAGCCACGCGATTGCTTTCCCTACCTGGCCTGCATGTGTGTCTTCCTCCAGAGCCTGGAATCTGCAAGCTTTCGCCCGTGACGCTCGGTGGATACCATCACAATATTCGAGTAGCTCTTTCGATGCCTTAGTAGTCTCGACCTTCAGTCCTACAGCGGCAGCAGAAGCATGTTCTGCCGCTCCGATGCAGAGCCGAGTCAGGACTTGGCCCCGAACCTTCTGGATCTGTGGAGCTCTGATCATCCACTCTTTGTCGTCCTTATTTCGTGACTGAACGAGTATGGCGGGATATGGGTCTTCCTTCAGCACACAGAGCAAATTAAATTCGGCATGGGTCAAGTGTTGCAAAGCCGACTGTACACTTGTCGACACGTCAACCGCAGCGGGCGGGAATGTCGGAGGTCCATCGTTTGAAGAGTTTGCCCTCAATAGAAGATAGGAATGGATCGCGTGTGCCGTCTTGAGGCACTTGGAAGCACTTTGGATCAGCGATATCCGCTGTTCTGATGTCGGATTGACTGAAGAGTAAAGCCCAAGGAGAGATTGCCTTGCCAGCAGATTCTGAATGAGCGCTAGCGTATGGTGCACAAAGAAAAGCTCGTAGTCAAGCCCCTTGCCCTTGACCCTCTCGTTCTCACGGCCCGGAATGGCACTGGAGCCGAGGGTTGGCCGCCATTCAATTTCAGGTTCCTTTGCAAGTGCAATGTCGACGACCTCACCAGCCACAGGCTTGCCAGATAACGCGACGTCGAGCGTGACAAGGTAGCGTATGTAGCTTTGTACCGTGGAAGCAAGAGACAACAGGTTTGTAGCTTGGTCCGTCGCTGGCAGTCTCTTGTGAGCCTTCAGCGCCGCCCGGAGGGCCGCTCGCTGAGATGTTGCAGCGGAAGGGAGCGACGGGTGGGTGGATGAGATAAGGCTGGCCTGAAAGGAGATGTGGGAGGTGGTGGAAAGCACAAATGGAAAGGGCATATTTTCGTCACGGTTCCGCCTGTAGAGAGGAGATCATGGTACTTCACTACGACGCTGGCTTCTGGAATCGTTGATGAAGGGGGCTGCACATTGATTCTCTACCTACAAAGTTTGTTCGTTAGGTTACGTATATCCCGTAGGCGCCCAGGCGTCCAGGCTCGAAGATGTCGCCGATTGACGGATAGGGTCGCTGTACTCTGCCGAACTCTCGACTCCTGGGAATCACTGCACCGTGGCAGTGCAATTCCATCCTCCTTCACTCCGGTCCATATCGACTGTCTCTGTCTTCGGGCCCCGTACCCCTCTTCCATCTGGCTTTCAGGTCATAACCGGCAGTTTTCTGGCCTCATCTGCCTGATTCCCACGATTGAACGCCTACCGAAATACCCCCAATGGATAGTGACATGCGGGCCTGTTTAAGAGACGGCGAGGTCGGGACTTCTACATTCGCGTCAACTCCACCTCGCTTGCTGAGTCTGACACGACATTTCCCGAAGATGAAGGAGACTTCGGTGTATCCCCGCAACTGCCGATCGAGTGTGGAAGCAGAGCATTCAGCTTGCGTTGCAAGGACTCACCGTTGCCCAGGGTCTTTTCTCTCACCATCGGACCTACGGGTTGCACAATATGGAACTTGAATGGGGTTGTTTTGCTCAAAACGGAGCAGATGAGCGAGGTGCCTAGACGAGTTGGATCAATTCGTTTCTTTACCCCTCATATGATGCGAGCATAAGACGGTGCCAATGGCATTCCTATAGCAAGGGTCCAGGGCTCTATCTACGGAAGAGTCCACTGCACGTATCCGATGCTGTGCTGAGGGTATAAAGGTGCGTGAGAACCCCAGTCGGATCGTTCCGAAGGCGTCTTCAACTTCAGCCATTACCTTTCTTATTAGCTGTCTTCTATCCCACCAAACCATATGGACATGAGCACCATGGCACCATCCATTCACCCTCTCGTCGACAACGGCATCACCAAAGGCAAAGACAACTTTCCAGGCGGCACCCTGCGCTGCCACTGTTCTTCCGATCCCGTCGAGGTCGAGTTGAAAGGCAATGTCCTCCACAATCATGTCTGCGGCTGTTCTCAGTGCTGGAGGCCCGAGGGCGCTCTCTTCTCCGTCGTGGCAGTCATTCCCGGCGACAACGTGCGTGTCACCAAGAACGCTCACAAACTCGAGGTGTTGGATCCAAACGCCACCATCTTGCGCAACGCATGCAAGGAGTGTGGTGTCCATATGTACGGGCCAATCGAAAAGGACCATGCATTTAAAGGGTTGTACTTCGTGCACGTTGACCTGAGCGATGAGAAGGGCTGGCAAGAGCCGCAGTTTGCGGCCTTTGTGTCCAGCCTGATTGAGCAGGGCTATCCTCCGGAGAAGATGGATGAGGTGCGGAAGCGGTTGCGGGAGCTAGGATTGGAGCCGTATGATGTGCTCAGCCCGCCATTGATGGATGCCCTGGCTACCTTCGCGGCTGAGAAGGCGGGCAAGAGGAGCAAACTTTGAAGTCCGGTAAAATAACAAGGAGGCCGGTATGAGACCTGCATGGGAATGGAAAAGGTCCTTGGACTTTCAATTTAGCCACAGGAACCTTGTGCTCGGCCACCATGTCAGAGCTCCCGAAAATGCGTATAGGTGAACTCTTTCTAACTTGCCTTCTCCCTGGGAAACCGGTTTCAGTGGAATCAGCATGTCCAGAACAATGAAATTGCTCATGATGCAGACCCTCGACGTATAGTCGCGGGAGCATTTCTCCATTGTCAACGTTTGGTGTTTTCACTTTGTACCTGGGGATTTACAGACTTCGGTGGATAACAGACAGATGGACGATTACTCATATTATGGTCTTGATTTAACGTATCGTCCTTTACACTGCTAGCACGCCACTAAGCCGGGAACACAATGGCTTTTCAACCATCCATATAACGCCCGAGGGAGCATCACCAGGACAAGAGCGGAATCATCTGGAAATTGGCCTCCATTGGACCACGCCATGTTTTATGTACATAGTTCTTCCCATGGCGAGAAGTTGTGTGTCAGATGGTCTGCGCTTGTCTCCAATCTCCCCCACGTAGCCGAGTTCTTTTTTTATTCAGTACAGCGTTGCGCCGCCCTTTCCCGTTGTATTGCCTGGTCTGTGATCTGTTCCTCTGGATCCCTTAGCCTCTTGTGCACTCGGGTAGTCTGTATGAACCTCAGGGCCGCCTGCGGGGCCATCCACGCCGGGAATGTAATTCTGCTGTTGGCCGCGGAAACCGGCTTCGCGCGTCGATTTAAGGAGCTGGAGATAGCGGTCTGTGGAGTTTTTGCGGGCAATTAGATATGATGTAGTCCGCGTCGAGTCATAGCAGATGGACCAAGGGGTCATTACCTCTGTATTTTCCGCACTTTTCAAGATGATTGACTCCTTCTCGGGCGTAGCACTTGCCTGTGGAGATAAAATATTAGAATAGACCATCAAATGCATGCTGGGCAATAACGTGGTTGTTGGATGCCAATGTTCAATGCCCAACCCTTCAGGAAAAGCCATGACATCTTAGGCGCGGGTGCTATGCGGGCACACGTCTGTTTTCCTCTCTGCAGTCGAGTTCCTGAAGACAGTATTACAGAAAGCACGATCCGGAACTTACCCATCTCCTCTCCTACAAGTCTTCTCATCATCCTCTGAACCCATTGTTCTCGAACAATTGCATCTCTTGCATCTGCGACTGCCTCATTGTCTTGGAAATCGACACCTTGGAATGTTGGGGGGACTTTGGGTTTCTGGCGCAGAAACAGCTCTGATTCAGGCGTAGGCATGCTGGAAGTTGTATCGGGGCTTCGTTACAGAATTCGAAGGTCTGGTCGAGGCTGTTCGAGGGGTGGAGATGGAGGATTATAAAGGGAAGATACGCTACGTCTCCCTTGTACGGTGGCTTGCCCAACTCCTGGCGGATACGTTTCGGTAGAAAGGCACCGGTATAAAGCCCCTTGTGAGGAGTCGAGAAGACGCAGCGGGTTCCTGGTGCACGTCGTTCACAGAATCAACTGCCACGACCGCTAGAGCTCAATCCAAGCTTCCCCGAGTGCCAAGCTCCCTGAACTAAAAGCGGCCAGAGAAACCACGTCAGCTTCGTCGTGGAAATTGGCCGCATTAGCCAGGTTCTGGGCGCCGCCTTAAGAGATGAGGTTCATCATGCACGAAGTATCTAGGTAGTTAGAAATGGCATGCATATCTTTATCAACATCAAGGACCGTTTGTCTACGAATCCAGTTTGCCCCAAAGCATGAGCTTAATACAGGGGCACTTCCGGGAGAGAAACTGAAATTCCACCTGTTTCACAGCATCCCCAATCTCATAAACTCGGCAGAACATCGCCTGAGCCTCGATTTAGGTGGATTGTCTCAGTACATCTGAAAATGCCGCAAATGACAATCTCGGGAGGGATTTAGAGAAAGGCCGAATTGGAGTTTGCTCAGGAGATTCCGGCCTCGATTCTTCAGTGTTGCTCTGTTGAGATTCCTGTGCTGTTAACAGCACGTCCCTGACTGGATCCGCTGCTTCTGTTGGAGGCCCCAGAGCGAGAGGATGAATATCGCCGTCCGCCTTCGTGATCCCTTGCCTCTGTCCTGCTGGAGGTTGGTGTTCCATTATCATCGCAAAGGTCGTGGATGCTCGGAATAACCTTCGTCGCGTCAGTTCCGAGCCCCTCTCGTTTCGTTCCGCAGATCGCATAAGGATCCGCCTCTCAAGCTCTTCGCGCATGGATGCTTCGAAGGCATCAGTCCGAGTATCTCGCCCATCTTGACAGGGAGGACAGAGTCTGTTGATACCGAAGGTGCGCAGTGGATGCGTCAGCTTATCAAGGCAGTGCATGGACGGAGTTGAGTCTGTGAGATCGGTCGCGGAGCTAGTCATGGTATTCAACCGGGCTTGGTAGAGGGTTTGGGTTCTCTTGCATTGTGCTCCTTCCCTGTGTGGTCGATTCGTTTTCAATACTTCGTGTGGGCATCTGGAGTTTGCAATAGGGTTGCTGGACAAGGCGACGTGCCCGCAGGTGAGGAAGATATAGGATGTGTACCAACACATGTTGTCTCGGATCAATTTGTTCATCGCTTCTGTTGGATATCTTGTTTTCTGAATTGAAATGGAGCCTCGAAATGATTGCAATTTGAGGCTTCGGCGGTAAACGGTGGCAACATCGTGGGGCACAAACAAGTCGAACTTCCAGCTCAAAGTGTGTTTGAAGTGCTGCTGTTTCATCATGATGCTCACATCACTCGCTGGTGATATCGACGAGACCTTTCTTTGTCTCTGTGGCCGGGTGTGGTGGCTCTATATCCGAAAGCATGGAGGCATTGCTGTCACCATTGTTGTTCCATTGCGGCGAACAAAGGCCGCAGCCAATGACACCAGACTGCGAGTCTTAGATTTTGTCGCTGGAAAAGGTTTTGTCTTTGCTGTTTCTGTAAAGTGATAAGCGTCGTTTGTTGCGCATGGCCTGTAGGTGTGGCCGTGCCTCTGAGCCTAAACCTAGAGCATGCACAGAGATCTTTGAAATCCAGAGTGAGAAAAGTTGCAAGTGCAATACTGCCTGCCGCGCGAGACGTTGAACAGAGAACTCATTGATGATAAGAGGGCCAGAGCTATAGTGATTGATAGATAACTGAAGAGATTCCATGTGCATAAGGAACGATAAGGATACCAGTGTCCTTAGCTGACATTAATCTCTCTTCTGTAGGCAACTCAGTAGTTGCTGCGGCTCGTTAACCACATTCGACCCGACTGGTCATGAGTCACAACCATACCTTTCTCTTTACTCACTCCTCCGCAGCCAAAACCACAGCCGGTCGACTGGCCTCGTCACGGCCCTCTCTTCCCTGGCCCAGAGCGCTGGCGATATCTGCTTTCTTCCCAGTCCAATCTTCCTGTTCTTCTTCCTCAATCTCCTTCCCAGTCCGCTCTCCCCGTTTGTGTAACTCCCGCTCATGATCGGCTGCTTTCTTGTCCATGTTCTGTGTCAGACTCTCTTCCTCACCATGTCCCCCGCCACCACCTGTTCGCACCGCTCTCGCGACGTCGCCTTCGCCTGGCATCCGCATTTGCTCGCCTTCTAAATTGCTGTCACCTTCGGAGTAGTTTTGCGCATCGGACTGGGGAATTCGTTTTTCTGTGAGAGGACCTTGCTCGCCAGAACCCAAGGCGCCTGGTTTCGCCGCTTCACCGTGTTCTGAAGGGACATCGTGGTTAGAACGGTGGTCGACGGTCTTTGACTGGATAGATGAATTGTCATGTGCCGCGGTTTGTTCTTGGGAGGTCTTCGAAGCTGGATTTTGGCGTTGGTTCAGACCGGCCTGTTGGCTTGGTTGAGAGGGTGCATGTGGATCAAGGCCGGACATCATAGTATTTTGAGTGTTTCGGAGAGTACGTAGGAAGAACGGAAAGTTGAAACCAAGGAACGTCCTGTGTGACAGGAATCCACCGAAAAGTAAAGCGGCAGAGGTTATCAAACAGTGATATCAACGGGACAAGTCAGTATGTTGAGACGTAGCTGATGGGTTTGACGTTGGTTTGCTGTGTAGTTTGCGAGATCTCACCTCGCTAACAGGGATGAGAGGGCGGCGGAAAGAATATCTCGCCAGTAATTCCAGTGAATCTTATAATTTGGTCGATTGTGTCATAACAGTTGATCATTGAACAGTGGGCAGGGTGGGCGGGAGGACATTGACGTCATTGGGGCCAGCCTCGTCTTCATCTTCCGGATCGGAGTTGGGCAAGGCTGAGTCGCCGAAGCAGGTGATCGATAGTTGTCGATGTATCCTAGAAGCACAAACTAGGAGTCGAACACGCTCCCCAAATCAAGTGTTTTCAACGGTACTCTTGACTTGTGCACCCTCTGACCCAAGCCAGTTGCAAGCGCATGTCCTCAGCCTCCACTTGTTGATGTGGGATCTGTCCTTCCAACAGGCCTTCGGACACTCCTCGAGTTTGTTTCAATTATACCGCACCCTGGCCGCATGAGGCGACCTCAGATTCTTTCTCAACAGTCCTTTCTGATCATGCCAAGGTTGCACTTCTCTTCGTTGAGCCTTGCCGCCTCAGTATTTCCTGACCGTCACCTCACGCCAACCTGCCTCGTCACCCACCTATCTCTCCTCACACCGTGGTATCTCCCCAGCATTGACGCTTCACATAACACCATTCAGATATTGAATACCTGACTTGGGCCCTTTTGAAGCGACCTTTTGTCACCTCCAGCCTCCTCAGCTATGCCTGTCGAAGAACCGACAGCTGCACAGTGGGTAGGAGCATCTCCCCTCGAGTCATGTGGCTGACTGTTTTCAGAATTGCTGCAGCGGAAAAAGCCCTTGGAAGGGAGTACAAGGAGTTCAAGAAGGCAATGGAGACTGCTCGGAGACAGAAGAAGATTGCCAGCCGTCTGAAGAGCCTCCGCTTACGCCTCAAAGACCTAACCATCCCTGCAAGAGTTAGCAATCTCGACCCAGTTATATCATCGCTACAGACTCACTAATTGTGCCGTAGATCTACCAGACCAAAATCATCAAAAATGAGAAAGACAATCTCACCAAGATTCCCCACGAAGTCCGAGCCATGATTTTCAAAGCACTGCCACTTAATGCAGACCGCGCCTCTTTGGCCCTCACCTGCAAAACGCAGGCCGCATCATACGAGCAGTTGAAAGCAGAGAGGAACAAGAAGGACTATGACCACCATGTCCCTAAACGTTCCCTGCGAACCCACCGTCTGCAAATGCTCGTCCGCCTCCGTGACAGCATGTCGCCAACACATCGCCTGTGTTATACGTGCCTTCAATTCATCGATGTTCACCATCCAGACAATAAAGGGACCTGGGGAGGGGATCCTAGATCAGTGCAAGGTTTCGAAGCTAACAGAGCTGCCATGGTAGAAGGTCCCCGTTGCCCTTTGTGTGTCGCTGCTGAGAAGCTGGAGACTGCGAAACATAAAGACACGTACAAGAAGTACCTGGCTCTCGCAATGAGCTGCTCTCTGAAAATGTGAGTGGCCAAGGACACAACTTTGAAGGTCAAAGTCTCGAGTGGTTGCCGTAAACGTTGAATCACGCCTGGCCATTGAAGCGCATTCCGCATCAGGGGATTGTCCAGAAGGGCTTTGACCACATGGTTGATATGGCACTGGCAGTTCAGGGCCTTTGTAAAGTGAAGGGACATGACAAGATGTGCTGGGGCAAGCGACCTTTCCTGGTGGAATTTCGATAAGGACAGCGATGATGATATCTAGCGGTATCATCGCTTGTCAAGTCAGAGAAATGGAAATGAATTTTCAAGATTCAGAATTACGTGGGTTCCGCGGAGTTCGTGCCTGGTCTAGTGTGTCCACAAATGGACGGTAGGGAGCTGCAATTGTGTGAGGCTGAAAGCGATCTTGGGTGTCGAGCGATTCATCGGTAGCGCCTGGATATTGTTGCTGTGTCTTGTGAATTCGTTCCAAAGGCTCGCCAACGATGTGATACTTAGCCCACTCTACCGGTGGAGTGCGAACGATGTTTTGAGCAGGTGGGAAGTGTCCAAACTTGGACACATCTACTGCTGTGTCCGCAGCTGCGACGGGGTCCAGCTCATCGACATCTACGCCAGACCGTGGCGAACGACTGAGTTTTCCTGCTTGAAGGTCTTTGACGAATTGCTCGGGGTCCCCCAGAGCGGCGTTTTTCATTTTATCCAGCTCCTGCATGTCCCGTAGCGCTTGCTGCCGCTGAATTTGGAGAATAGATAAGGTGGCTCGCAGAGCCATAGCGTCTGGATTGTCATCGAGGCTGACTGGAAGGGGTTGGGGTGGTTCATCCATCCATTGGGCAGGTGGGAGATCTACCCCTACGCCCTCGTGGGAGGCCAAGCTGGTATGGGACAGCGTGGGAGTGACTGGCGAATAAGAAGGGCGTTGGGGACTGCCGCTTGACTCGTGCTCAACGGTAGTTTGAGGGCGTGCTGGTGTGGAAAAGGGTAAACCATGCTGCGAACCCTTGTCCACCCTGTCTTGTCTGTCATGGTCGGTCATGGTCGACTTGAAGTGTGCGCATGCAGGCGGAGGAGGCGGAGGAGGGACAGGTGGTACGAAGGGGGGAGAGTATGGCCCAAACCGAAGTTTGCCGAAGTTTTAGCTGCGTTGGAGCCACAGCAACAAATATAACAGATTGTGGGATTTGAAATACACCGCCGCAGCTGCTCGTGAAACGAGTTGGGAATACGGCGCGGGCAATCGGTCACGGGGTCTTAAACACAGAGATTGTAGCTCCACAGTAGAGGGAGTCCTGCTTCTCGGCGGCTTTAAAGCGACGGCCCTCAAGTTGACAAACAATACACTTCAAAGAATGGATTTTGTGCGGTTGTCTCTACGGCAAGCATGAGTTGAGGGGTGATGTGAGGCTGTGATCCGCTAGGACGGGGTATTATTCCTACTTGTACGAGGTACGGGTATTATTACTACATACCATAGGTGTGTCCCGGCAATCGCTGAAGGGTGGATCACAAAAGGAACATTTCCGCCAGGACTATTCGCCACTATATTGTGGCTCTTGGCTCAAGGGTTCCTTGTGGGTGGGCAACTGGTCTCCCTGTAAGAGGGTGTCGAGTGTTGCATCCTCATGCAGGTGCAAAAGTCACTTGTGCCGCGTAGCCCTCGCAATCCCATGACTGCCTGCCCTGCCACGTGTTGGTGTGCCCCTGCCCTTCGGTTGATCGTCTCAAACATGCAGGGTGTGTTGGCTCCTCCCCCATGTGGCTTGGAACTTTCTCCTAGGCCTGTCTGTTTATGAGGTGACACAAGGGTGACACATGGCGCATGCTTAGGTGACTAATGACTTTCTCCTGTCAAACACCCTTGAGGCAAAAAACACTGTTGATTCGATCCGACATCTGCCACTCCTTTGGTAGCTTTCTCCTGTGCCCTGTAAACGCCAAGCCGAGAACCCGCCATGGAGGCCACGGCAGGAGAGGAAGAGGAAGATGTTATTGTAGCTAAGCTGAAAAGAGACTCCAGTGGTGTCTTGCTTGACTACGGTTCGGGTAACATCTAGCGGCCATTGAGTCAGCGGCTTGAACCACAAGGGGAACAGAGACAAACACATCGAACCCATACCACCGCGTACTCGTACAGGGGGACCATTTCAGTGCAAACCGCCTGAGGTACCAGCGACTTGTCGCTATCTTTGTATGGGCACAACAGAGGGACAAAGAAGTGGAGAAGTGACAATCACAACGGCAGTGAGGGAGCGAGAGAGTTGGTGGCAGGTGGGCGACTCGAATGGAAAAGAGCACTTGGGGGTTTTACGTTGTTCTTAGCCAATAATGACGCGCTCGACATTCCCCCGAAAATGGAATCCCTTGTAGATGCGGAGTCTATCTGGGACAAACACCCCTAGGTTCTCGTAACAGCAGCCAATCACTCCCACCTTTTGACTTCGTCCATGATTGCTCCCCTACCGATCATCGAGTTTTTTATTCCTTTCCGCTGGGGCGCATGTGCGATCCGCCCTGTTGAGAATCGAGCATCACGTTCCCCGTTGCAGCTCCACACGTGGCTGCTCTTTTGCGTCGTGGTCTTGCTTGCCCTCGCCTCAGCCTTAGCCTCCATTTGTCCATGATGTGCATCTACCCCATGGCGAGAGCCGCTGAAGGTGGCCAGAGGGACATGTCAATCCGAACCCGTTACAGACAGCCCCTGTCCGAGTCTCGTCCAATCTGCCATCGACGATCCCGGGGAAGTCTCCATGTCAACGGCGAAATCCAACGTCTAAGCTTTCTTTCCTGCAAGATCCTGCCTCTCAACGCTATCACTTCCATGCTCACTTTACTTCCTGGACTGCATTGTTCCTTACACTCCAAGCTCCGCCCTCAGCTCCAGTGAACTTGCTGACGTGCAGTCTCAAGTCCCTTGTATATCCTTTTGCCTGCGCAGCGTCCGAGTCGCATCTTGGGAATAGAGCACTCGGCTTCTGCAGCATCTAATTATCCACGCCCCCCTTTACAATCGGTGCTGCGCCAATATATCGGACTCAACACTGCTGGTTGCGTTTGGTACCCCCTTCGGTCATTGCTATGGCAGTTTAACCGTCTCCGCGACCTGTTCCTCTCCCACTATTTGGCCACGCCACTGTGGTCATGCCAACAATTGTATCGGGCATTGAAGAGCTAGAGAGTCGGCAAGGTACATCCAATGGATTGCAGTACGATAGTTTTTCGCCCTCGCACGGTTTGAGCCATCCAGCGCCAAACCGCATCCTAGGCGTGACATTACTGGAAGAGCACCTACAAATGGCCGGTCAAACCGATCAAGATGCGGACTCCAAACCTCTTAGGCCGCGTCTTACTATTCGTGAGCTCCGGGAGGCTGCTCAAAAGGAATCACTGGCAAGCCAAGCTGGTAAGGCTGCTCAGACCGCGCAAGAAGCACGACGCAAATCTACTTCAACACCGCAGAAGAAGCCCTCCATTCTGAGCGGCCTGTTCCAAGTCCGAGAGCCGACTCAAGTTGCCTTGAATCAAGTCGCTACCCAGTTGATCGCACAGCATGGGTCAACAAGCGCCACCAGAGTCCCGAATGTGAGGTTAGAGAAGATGCCGGACTTTGTACCTAGAGTCAATTCGAAATGGGACGGGGTCCCGGAGAGTGTGAGGCGAAGGGAACGGAGAGAAAAGGAAAAAGAAAAGGAACGAGCTAAAAGAGACACATTTTTCTCAACAGACTCGAGCGCTCGCAGTGACGATGGCAAAGACAAGAGACACACGAATATTGCGAGCCGAAACTCAAGCTCGACGACCGGTTCTTCTTTTGGTGCTCATGGCAGCTCCAGCGGCTCCCAGGGTGCTTCTTCTCGTACGCGATTCTATACCCAGTCCGTCAACTCATCTGGTGACCTCGTTTCACAGAAAAGAACTGATCCCTCGACCTTGTCTCCTTCCTTTACACCATCCACATTCAGTGTGACAGAAAGCTTCTCTGACAAGGCTTCCTTTCTGCTCAATGCCTCTAGCTCGGCTGCTACAAGACTACTTTATCCGCGTGGCAAAGATCTGACATCGGAATCTCGAGATCATTTAGACAAGGGCCAAACACTTTCAAGTTGTCCGACATCAATGGCCAAGGAATACGAGTCGCTCGATTCTCCCGTGGTCACTCAACGTCGGGACGAACGGGGAGAACTTTTCAAGCAGGCTGGCGACACTGCTCCAGATGTTGACGCTCGCTACGCCAGTGCTCGAACGGAGCCCGCGCGGTCTCGATCTATGGCTACCACCAATACCTTTCTGCCACCTCCGACCTCACCGCTTGGGAGTTCTCGAGATGCATCCCCAACCTCTCCGTCACTCCCTGAGCCGCTCTCACGAGGCCGACACGGTGTCAATGAAATGACTAGTCTGCAGGCCGCTCTGTCATCCTCCGAATCTGACGTGCTGAGGCCACTCCCTTCCATAAGAAATAAAGCAGGAGTAAAATCTAACAACGCGTTCCTAGCGGGCGAGGCTCAAGAGCTGGTGCTACCCGATGATGCCGGTGACTGTGACAAGGCAAATCCAGCAGGCATAACCTCGGATTCAGGTCGATTGCGCATTCAGCAAGTTCTGGAGAAACGACCCGACAGCTCTCGAGATCGCCTGGGATTGAGGGCAAGCATGCTTTTTAGCGACGACACAACACCTTGGGAACTGCAAGAGACTAAACCGCCAGCATCACCGAGTCCCTCGCAAGCTAAACATGTTCCAAGCACGAAGACCAAATTCCATAAGCCTTTTGGCAGGATGGGCAAAGAGAAGGAGAAATGGAAGACAGCTGTATAAGCCTCAAGGCAGTTAAAATCATTCGAAGCATTTGAGGGATACAGCTTTCAGATCTGTTGGGCCATCCGTGATAGATGTCGACTTCAGCGCAGCTCCCTCTTTTGGTATGGTTACGAATAATGAACATTCTGAGCGCGTTTTATGTATAGGATACCCTGTGGAGATATTGCACGTTGTGGAAAATGTTGAACGGCATGGAATCAGGCATGTGTGTTCATAATTGGGCATTATGGTGGTGTGGTTTACGATGGAAGATGACTGAGCCGCCAGTGCATTTCACTCTACAGGTATTAAATAATTGGTGGCTTCTGATGTTGCGGAGAAAAAAAAAAAGCGAAGAGCGAGTGGTCTGAGCAACCTCCACACGCGCAGTCTTCATGCAATTATTTCACACTTCGAACTTTATGCGGAGGTGTTCACGACGCCTCTGATTTCCCTGTCAATATTAAAGCCCTGTGAAGCTGTCTATTTTACAAGATGAAACGTAAAGCATTCGAGGATGGAGGATCCCCGCCGAAAAAGCGTGTTGTTTCGGAAGACGACAGCGGCATTCAGTCTGCTTTCCGCTCAGATCTTTTCGAGGTTGACACTCGAGAAGCTTTTCGCAAATCCTATCAATCGTCGAAGCCTTATCCACACGCCGTTGTACCCTCGCTGATCCAAGAACCTCTTCTCCGCTCTGTGCGGCAGGAAATCACGACCCATATTCACTTCACCCTGAAAGAAACAGACATCTATCGCATCTACCAATCCGGCGATCTCGCAAATCTCTCCAGTCTTGATGCCGAATCCCTCAAAAATTTGCCCAGCCTAGTTCGCCTGAGGGATGCTCTTTACAGCTCTGATTTCCGGGAATGGGTATCAGCTGTTACCGGCGCAGGCAAAGTATCTGGTAAAAAGACCGACATGGCGGTCAATGTCTACACCCCAGGAAGTTACCTGCTGTGCCATGATGATGTGATTGGGAGCCGAAGAGTCAGTTACATCCTGTATCTGACAGATCCAGATCATCCATGGCAACCCGAATGGGGCGGTGGGCTAAGGCTGTATCCCACCGAGGCAAGAAGAAACAAAGCTGGAGAGGAAATCAAGGTCCCTCTGGCCGAACATAATCTGAACATTCCCCCTTCCTTCGGTCAACTGAGCTTCTTCGCCGTTCGACCCGGTGAGAGTTACCATGACGTGGAAGAAGTCTACCACGCACAAAGCCATGAAAAGGATGGAGGAAGAATCCGCATGGCAATCAGCGGCTGGTATCACATTCCGCAAGAGGGTGAAGAGGGGTTCGAGCAAGGCATGGAACAAGAACAGGCCCAGAAATCCAGTCTTGCGCAACTCAAGAGCGCTTCAAATGAGTTTGACGAACCTCAACTGGTATTCCGTCATTTTGACGAGCCCCGGGTTGTCATGGATAGTCGGGCTGTCGCAAAAGAGATTGACCCCGGTGACGATCTTGACACCGAAGATGGCATACTTACCGAGCAAGATTTGACCTTTTTGCTTCATTACATGACACCAAGCTATCTAACGCCAGACATGATCGAAGACTTCTCGTCTTCATTTGCCGACATGTCGGTGCTCCAGCTCGAGGAATTTTTCAACCCAGCGTTCGCAGCCGAGCTAAAGGACTACATTCACAAGGTTGAGAGGGAAGAAAAATCCACGGTTCCCATGTCATCGAAATCTCATCACCCTTCGACGTGGAAAGTAGCTCGTCCGCCCCACAAGCAACGCTACGCGTACCTTCAAACTGGGGAGGCGCTACACCGCGACAAGTGTCCGATCTCTCGGATCCTAGCTGATTTGATACACTCGCATGCCTTCAAGAAGTGGCTGGCACTTGTGACAGGGCTGAAGACAAACAGCCTCATTCGCCAGAGCGCGATAGCCCGCAGATTTCGACGAGGAAAGGACTATGCACTGGCATACCCTTACCATGGCGAGACACCAAGACTAGAGTTCACCATTTCAATCACTCCGAGTGAGGGGTGGGAAAGAGATGGAGATGCAGATGAACCAGAACATCGAAAACTGGCGGCTGGTGTGCAAAAACAAGCCAACGGCAGGCGGTCCTCCATTAACGCCTCCGAGGACCAGAATATGAAAAATGGGAAGGCTACCGCAGTCGAAAAGATTTCCGTCTCCACGTCATCCGAAATCGAATTCGGCGGCGAAGAAGTCTACATGGCCGGCGACGATGACGAAGAAGATGGCCTGCTCAATGGGAGCGACTCGCAGCCTCTGCCAAGTGTCGGTAAGAAGCCAGCCCGTGATCCTGCAGTCTACAGAGCTGGAGACGATGAGGACGATGGCATCCTGTTCGCCAATCCTCCGGCCTGGAACAAATTCAGTATCGTGCTCAGAGACAAAGGCACATTGAGATTTGTCAAATACGTAAGCCAGGCGGCACGGGGCGACCGCTGGGATTTGAAAGGCGAGGTGGAGATTGATGAAACTGGTTGGGACGGAGGAGTAGGCAGCGGGGCAGAAGAGTCGGAAGATCCAGATGAGGAGGAGGACGACATGAATGAAGGAGCTGCCGACGAAAATCTGGAAAGCCATGACGAAGACGATGTCTGAGCTATCCTGTCCTGAAGCATAGCCGATACGATGGTCGACCAATATCAGCGGAAGCACAACCCAACCCCTGACATGTGCTGATCTGTACCTTCAGCCCGCACCCATAATCAAACGCCTTCTGTACAAGCTATACAAATTTCGCTACATAGTCCAATTCGCGAACTTGGGGGCCTCAAGTACAGTGGTATTGCTGGATGCAGCAGGCCCATGGCTTATTGCCTGAGCGCAATACTCCCATCGACCCTTTGTAACCTTAGCCAGTTGCCCTGTCCGCATTTCAAGTCATAATGGATACCTGCTGCGTGAACTGTTGTGGTCGAGTTCGCGTTTACTGCCATATTATTCTACGGAGGCAGAAGGGCCGAAAGGGCCCATGATCCTAGGGAGAAACACAGAAACGTATGTATAGGGACGATTGAGAAGGAATGCCAGATATTGACGAGAATCCAAGATCAGATGGGCCGGTATTGATCACTGGGGATAAATCGCAGCAGTCAAAACTTGTCTAGCCCGTAAGTCTAACGTCCCCATAAACTCCTACCAGTCATCAACTCTCCAAGCTCCCGCCCCAACCGCTCAAGTTCTCGACGATAGGGACCCCTCCCGGCGCGCGCACTATAACCCACACGGCTTCTTCATCTCCGTCGTTCACCTCCTGATGTTCCCTGTACGCTGGGATTAACGCCCAATCTCCTGGCTTGAGATCTTGCCTGACATCGCCAAACGGACCGTCTTTCCCCTTGCCCGAGGATGATACAAGAGATCCATAGCCGCTGACGGCGTAGACGATAGTGTCTTGCGAGCCATGATGGTGGACTGCCGAAGCAGAGTGCGGTTGCGCACGCATTAACGTGCCACAGATGGACGGAGATAACTCGACAATGGCCGACTGTGCGCAAGAGTCAGCGAGCCTATCCAGTGGAGAGAAAGAGGAGATTATAGACGACGAGCCAAGGGAGGACAGCGCGAAGGGGAGTGAGGCTCAAAAATCTCGACGTTGCATCCCATGCGTCTCCTTTTGATATAATGTGCTCGTGCGGACAACAAGAGTCGTTTGCGCCTGTCCTTCTCTCGTTGCGAGAGAGTCTTGTGGCCCTATTTGGGAGACGCCTTGATAGCGACACAGAAGGCCTGCTTTGCGGCGTGTTGTCCTCTTCCCACCACAGTAGATTCAGAGCTCTCGTATGGTACAGTCCTCCTTGAACGATCCACGCGCAATCCGAGGCTTGAATCAAATACTGTGTACTCACCTGGCGGATCATTCCCTCTGTTTGTCCATGCGCTGTCTTGACCTGATCAGCCCTGGTCTTCTGGACTGGACGCGGATTCTGCTTTTCGCCACTGTTGGAGGTTGACATGGTAGCTCTATATCTACAATCACAAAGTCAGATGAAAATGGACGAAAAAAGGGAGCATTGGAGGATCCATTTACCACAATGGATGAATAGACAGCAAGAGCCAACAAATACTCGCAGAATACTTGTAAAATCGGCCCAAGGAACACCAAGATATCCTTTATGGAGGGGAAGGCTGTCGTACGTCACGCAGCGCGGAGATCAGGACGAGATGCGGAGTCGATGCCGTGTCGTATTCAAGCACTTGACTAATTCTCTCGTGTCGACCGTGGCCCTTGTATAGAACTCAGGGCGCCGACATGATGTAAGCAGCAGATCCAAGAGGGAAAGGCATCCGCAGCGTGGAGAACCCTGTAGCATGTACAATGAGCGTGTCTCTCGTAAAATACTTTGCCATTCAAGTCAGGTCTATGTCTCGTAACGAGATGAGCTGTATTGCGAAAAGCTCGGCTGCATCCTTGCCGCAATCCAAGGTGGAGAAAAGAGGTCAGCGTCACAACCATGGGGTATCCTCACAACCACAGCCGCCCCTCAGCTCGTGACCTCTTCCGTGTCATGCCGATGCAGTGAACCGTGAGTCCCAGTGTCAAAGGGACACGACTACTGGGATCTAGAGCACGGTGCGCAAGAGCACCATGTACCGTTCTTCGTTCCCTCCCACCTCCCGGTCAAAATATGCCAATCCGTACCCATCTATCCCTAGCGCCTGCAGTGCCGTATGGTCTTTTGTCTGCTCATATTCAGAAACAAAAATGGGGAGCATCAAGTCATAAACATCCATCAGGCGACAGAACGACTGCGTTGTAATTCAAGAACAAAACTCAAGAAATTACTGCCATGCCTTTCCGACATTTCCAGGCGCATGCGGCAAGTGAGAAGGATCAAGGGTCTGGTGCAGGGTTGATGCCTCAGACTTGCCCCATAGACACCATCTTCTTACGGAGATAATTTTTGTACTCTCCGATCGTCCCATCCCATCGCCGGACAGTCTTGTTTTCGCACACCATGATGTCCTTAGCGATCTTGTCAAGCAATCTGTGAAATTGTCAGCCTGTTTGTCAGCCATGTCTGGCGGAGCGTGGACATACCTGAAATCGTGAGAGACAACCACGACACCGCCAGAAAAGGCATTGATGGCATCAGCCAGAGAATCGATCGTGGGAATATCAAGACCATTGGTAGGCTCGTCAAGGAGGAGCATGTTGGGACCCTCAATTGCCAAGAGAGCAAAGACCACTCGAGATCTTTGGCCTTCGGAAAGCGTGCCCATTAGGGCGGTCTGCGCGTCACCGGAAAGACCATATCGACCAAGCTGTTGGCGCCAGTATTGATAATCCTGGGATGTAGAGGAATACTTATCTCTGACGAAATCGAGTGCCGACTTAGTCAAGTCGAGCTGGTCGGCCGAGTGCTGTGAATAGAGTCCGAGTTTGAGGTGGGTGTGTCTGCTGACTGAGCCACCTGTAGGGGAGAGTTTACCGGTCATGATTCTTAGCAAGGTCGATTTACCAACACCGTTCGGTCCCACGAGAGCCATTCGGCTGTCCATGTCCACACCCAGATCTAGGTGCTCATAAAGATTGTCTTCCGGCTTCCCTGAATAGCTAAATGTGACGTCATCAAAGGAGAGGACCGGGGGAGGGAGCTTTTCGACATCGGCGAATCTGAAGGTGAACACTCGATCCTGAACGACTGGTTGAATGAATCCGTCTGCCTCCATCTTGTCCAAGATTTTTTGCCTTGATTTTGCTTGCCGGACCAAATTAGCGTATGTACCGGCTGAAGCAATGAACTTCTTGATGTGAGCAATTTCTTCCTGCTGTTTGAGGTATGCCTTTTGTTGGTTGGTCTCTTGTTCCGTTCGAGTCTTGATGTAGGAATCGTAGTTGCCACCATAGTAAAGTAATTTCTTTTGCCGCATATCAATCATGTTTGTGCAGACACCATTAAGGAAATCCATGGAGTGCGAGACTAGAATCAACGTCTTGTCCCACTTCTTGAGGTACTCCTCCAGCCACACGCAAGCTTCGAGGTCAAGATGGGCAGTGGGGTCGTCCAGAAGGAGGAGGGATGGCTTGACGAAGAGAGCCCTGGCGAGCGCAACTCGCATTCTCCAACCACCGGACATGTCTTTAGTCTTCTTGTGGATTGTTTTCTTGTTGAAACCTAAGCCGGTAAGAATAAGGGAGGCTCGAACTTCAAACGTGCTCGGGTCCATCGCTTCGGACCGCTGGTAGTTCGTCAGTATAGGCATATCGAGGCTTTGTTCCGTAATCTTACCTCGTAGATTTCAAGCAGTGTAGGACTCTCGGGACCTTCTTTCTCCAAGATCTCCTCGGCCAGATCGTCGAGTCTTTTTACTTCTTTCTCAGCCTCCTTGATGACCCACTCAAGAGCGCCCAGGTCAGTGGGAGGGGCGCCTTCGTTCAACAGGTAGATATCGACATGCTCTGGGAACGGGAATTCTCGTTTATCGATGGCCTTAAGGAGGGTGGATTTGCCACAGCCGTTCTCTCCAAGCAGACCGTATCTCCGCCCAAAGTTGACCTCGATGGTGGAGTCCGTGATAAGGACCTTTCCATGGAAGACCAGAGAGGCAGAGGTGATCTTGACGTCCCGACTTGCTTCTTGGGAGGCAAGCACGCCAGTTGTGACCCGATCCGAGAGACCGTGCTTATCCATCTGTTCCGTCAATTTCTTGACCTTATCCATTTTGTCGGCGCTTGTGGCGGGGGCATCTTCTTCATCCTCATCGAGCATTGGAGGGTCGTCATCGCCAGCGACGGACGAGGCTTTCGAGCCGTTTGTCGAGGGGTTCTTGGAGTTTGCCTTGGAGGATAACCTAGAGGCAACAGTCTTTTTCTCGGGCTTTTCGCCCTTCTCAGCTGCCTTTTCGGCCTTTTTGGCCAGGCGGGCGGCTTTAGAAGCAGATACGGGCATGATAAAGAAGTTTGCGTAAAAAAAATCGAACAGTGGTGCGGTCTCCCTAGCGAGAGAAGAAGGCTTTTTGGTGGGGTGGAAATTTATCGACACCTACCAAGTGGAAGGCGGCGACTGCGATGGGCGTGATTTGTCGGTGCAGTGAAGCACTGCAGGATGCTGGACTTAATGGATTTTTTGGTCCAGATGGAATGAGCAATAAAGAAAGAAAAACCCACAACTTGCGCTTTCAGACAGGTGGAGGGGAGTTTTGTTGGCAAGGTTGAGAGGCGCATAGTCGAAAATTTGGGCCGCAGTTGTCGCCCCGCCAGTCACATTTCCACCCATGTGGGAAAAACACGTCATAACTGCCAAGACCCGAGCCTCCGAGTTCCTCTTGTTTATGTATCAGGAGATATCGAGATACTAGATTCTTCTTCCTCTGACTTTTATCCTTCAGTCAGAAGCCTGTGAATGGAACTGAGGAACTAGAGGTACCGCGATCCTGTATAGAGTTTGCGGAAGGAGTTGCAGTTGGCGCCTTTTTTATCCGACTTGAGATTTGCTGGCTTCCGAGCGAAAGGCTTGACTTAATCAAATTCATGTCATTTGCATTATATCCTGTATGTTGTTGTTCCACCACTTTGTCACAACCTGCCTCGACAATCAAAGAGTGACAACAGTGGGAACGATTGTCTTGAGGAGGGCTTTATCCGGTATACTTTTCAGACCATTTCATCTGAATGTACGTCTTGGACATGTCTGCATCCATTCGTCAACATTACCATTTCCCTCTCCATCCACCCTTGCTCCAGCCTGTAGTTGAAGCGGAGTCAGTTGAATAGTCTCCATATCCCCCTCCGACTGTAGACCATTTGGTGATTGTGGCGCAGGTTGAGGTACCACCAGGTCCTACGTTGGTGCATTGACCCGTGGTGGTAACGGTACTGCCAATCGCTGTCAGCCTGGTCCAATCTGATGGCTTCATATGGGAGCAACTCATTTAGAAGCCCCAGAGCTCTAGTTGAGAGACTTACGTGGTAGGTCCAGTGGTCACAGTGGGCCCGGTGACAGTAACGGTTTGGCCGGGACCGACGTTAGTGCACTTCTCAGTAGTCCTGGCCACATTGTTAGCCTCTGGAAATGTCTGGAGCGGCCGCTGATAATCTTTTTGGCGGCAAATAGAGCTTTAATGACTTTCATGAAGATGAGACTTACGTTGGTCCGGTCACGGTGATGGTCTGCCCAGGGCCACCGGGTAGAGATACTGTGGTCGTCATGGTGGACGGAGGCCCATTTGGCACCGTGAGAGTACTAGTGACAGTGTCTGTGACTGTCTGTCCTGGGCTGACCTCGGTAGTAGTGACGGTTTGTGTCTGGACGGGGCCGGGTATTGTCGAAATGATTGTGGTGGTCGAAGGCGGAGCTTGAACTGTAGACACCACCGTCGTTGTCTCTGCAGGACCGCGCACTGTAGAAACAACAGTGGTGGTTTGGCCAGGCCCCTGAACTGTTGAAACTACAGTGGTAGTCTGTACTGGGCCTGGAATTGTAGAGACGACTGTAGTAGTCTGGGCTGGGCCAGGAACCGTAGATACAACAGTAGTAGTCTGGACTGGGCCGGGAACTGTAGAAACAACGGTGGTAGTCTCTCCCGGGCCGGGGATTGTGGAGACTTCGGTGGAGGTTACGGTAATGGTCCGGGCTGGAATGACAACCGTAGTTGTGGAAATTCCACCGCCGACCGTCGTCGTCGAAATCAGCGTGCTAACCACTGTCGAGGTAGCACAGGGACCAATAGGGGAGCTTGGTGGAGGGCAGTTCGGCCCGGTAGTCACTGTGATGGTTGTGGTACCCCCAGGAGGGGGCGGAGGGCAATTTGAGCCAACGGTGACGGTGGAAGGTGGAACAGTTGGGCAAGAATTTCCTGGGCCAACTGGAGTAGTGGGTGGGCATTGGCTTCCTGTCGTCACTGTAACTGTAGAGGGAGGCAAGTTCGAGCAGCCGCTGACTCCGCCCACTGGGGTGGTTCCGGGACAAGTGCTCACGGTAATCGTAGACGGAGGCGGTGGCGGCGGGAGAGCTGGGCAGGAGCTTGGGCCACCAGGCAGTGTGACAGTCAAAGTGGTTGTAGCCCCCGCGGAACATCCTCCCACAGGTGTGCTTCCAGTGGCAGAACCATATCCCCAGCCAGAGGATGTTCCCCACCCGGTCGAAGAGTCGCCGCGAGGTAGCACCGGATTGGCGGCAACAAAGATGCTAGATATGTCTGAGTGAGTAGGCCTCATTGAGAAGAACGTAACGGATCATACCTCAAGGCAGAGCTTGCGAGCAAAGCGGATTGCACGAGCCCACAATACATGATGGATGAGATTCGAGAAGCCTTGACGCCTTTTCTAGTTCTATGTGAAACGAGTGGAAGACGGACTGAATCCTGTCGAGGTGCTTGGTGAATAATGCCTTGGAGAGTTGTTGATATTTATACCCTCATGAAGACCATCAACTTGGGCATCAAAAGCAGGAACAGGCGCGGCTCCTGACTCTCTGTGCGCCATGTTCTGTCGTCGTGGATGGTCAGAAAAAAACAAACATTCCACAGCATCAGAGGCTGGCCAGCATCGAATGCATGTGTCATTGGGTACTGGGCCAATATTATGCAACCGAGATTCTAAAAGCAAGGAATGTCGCTGAAGCTGCGTCTGAATTGCTCTGAGGGGGCGATATCTCACCGGAATCGTTCGCTCGAACAGCAAGAATACCGTCATTGCCGCTGTGACTCGAGTCCGCCGGTTCTCAAACAATGTTGCACCGCAGGGGCAGCTAGGTAGCGGTGTCCTGTTCGAAAGTGGAGAGGCTCAATGTGTTGTCCGAACGGACCATCTTGTCTCGGTGATCCTTTCACACATGGTCCCGAAAGTTGCAAAAGGCTGGAAATACTGGTACCTGCTAGACAGGACCGAAATTCAGGCCTTTTTGTGCATCTGGCGAAGTACCGGATGCATCGCGCTAAGTAATCGGAAGGAAGAGAGAACACTGATCAGGACACGTCGTTGCATTGAAGATGAATAACTCTTTCTGCCTAGCGGCCCAAATGGTTCAGCTCATGCGCTCAACAGTGGCTATTGTTGTCATGGCGGAGCACCTACAACCATAAGTGCAAACGGAGAGGAGGTTGGAGACAAGTTCTGGTCTCTGACAGATAGTCCCGGTCCGACAATTTCAGACCCCTGCTTCTGTAGCAGTTCTCATCACGAACAGGACGAATGAACATTTTCATTCAATTGAAGCACCTGGTATGAAGTTCGTGAAGAGAAGCTGGTTCACTCCACAGAAATGATCGGTGGCTGGGCGATCAGCGAGAATGGTTGTGAGTATACAGACAGCTGTGAGCGATGTAAGATTCCGAGACCAATGATCTAGCATCATCCAGCTTCCGAACAAGCAGTATCAGTGACCTTGCCTGAGCCTGTCTGTTCCGCTAGACAGGCATTGTTTCGGCCCAGGCTTTGATGAAATTGATTGTCTCAGTGGAATGCGTGTCTGCTCTGAGACCGTAGAACTGCATCATGCTCGATGGTCGGAGGCACTATTCACCATATCCTTGTGTATTCGGGAAAGAGCCCTGTCCCTGACCCTTCCCGGTGGCAAACCTCCGAGACAACATATTGTCAAGTTACCCGTGTAACCGAGACTTTGGTCATAATTTCGATTGTGTAGTACCATTCCACTGGGCTCGCATATTGTGATGTGCTCTACTATTTGAACATGGCTGGAAAATTCCGGAAGATCTGCAACAATAGAGCAACGAAATTGAGGGACATCGTGGCGTACGTGACAGCGATTGGCTCCGGTACGCCAACTGAGTCAGAGTAACAAGAGACATACCAAGTTCCTGATCCAAGTTGCCGTTCAATTCTTTGCCGCTACCTGTGAAGGCTTGAGAGCGGTTTTATTTCCATGGACACTCTGCCCCCACGAATCTTATGATACCGATGCATCTCGCTAGGTTTAGACTGCAAAGAACTGCTTCAGACGATCTGCTTCGGCGGAGGTGCGGAGTTTTTTTCGCAAAGCAGAGCACCAAGCCGTGCCAAAGACGGACAACCATTAGCACACGAGGTACAATCAGCAAGTTGGATGTAACAATAACAACGGCTGCCTTGGGTCTCATGTACTACACCACTTGGGGTTTCGGGCTTCCCACAAAGTGGCCTCTTGGGGCCTGGGTATTGTGGATATATGGACAAGTGGGAAACACCACACCAATGAGGACATTGTTGTGTTGAAAATATAACTGTCCACCGTGGTACGTACCAGAAAACTTCGCTAAAGGTCTCGGCTTCCTTGAGCTCCGACATTGTTGCTGCCAGCAGCTCATATCTTCCTTCAAACGCACTGAAAAGTGCATTAAGGTTACCAGTGTAGGCAGCCAAGTTCCATGCTATCATCGTTGCCAACTGTTGGCGAATCTGGGATCGTGGGTCGGGAATCCAGCACGAATTTGCGACGATCGAGGCCTCCCGAAGTTCCCATCAGTGGCGTGACCTAGATCGATTAGCTCTGACCTAGGCTTGCTGCTCCAGAGAAAGTTGTTGTGTTGTCCCTTTGCCTGCGGCTCGGGGAAGTCTCCCAGTGGGTGATAGGAACCAGCAAAATGAGCATATGGCTTCTGCTTTATCAGATCAACTTCTCCAATGGTATCGGCTAATACATTAGTTACATCCAGCACAAGAAGATCCGGGGCAAAAGAGGACTCATTTGATTAATAGGAACCTGATACAATCAGAGCCTGGCGACGGCATGGATTCTGAGTTGCGAGCCGGCAGTTATCGCTTAAAAGGCTACTCGGATATATTATGCTGGAGTATCTATTCATATACCCTGATTGTGTCTCCCTGTGACGCCCTGGGGTAGTTGTGCTGACCAAGCTCTTCCAAGCGGCTTTGTTGCTGCATTTACTACCTCTCAAGCTTCCACTTCTGGAGGAAACTCCACGCTTTGGCTACAACAACTTGAGGCCTTTACCTGAGACCAACCACACTCATAATTCAACATATCGACTGGAACAGCAGTGCTGTGGGGGTTTGAATTGGTCGAAGTGCCGACAGGGACGCCAAACCCCTGGTAAATGCACATGGGTGGGTGTTTTGCCCATGTACGATCCGAACGACCGAGTCTGTCTTCTTGGGTTTTCTTTCTGAAACAACTAGTGTGCTCGGCGTGCACTATTCTGCTGATCTACCTCCATCCGTTCCAGAACTCTTCCCAAGCCAGGACAAGGACTGAGACAATCAACACCTGCACCCCATGGTTAATCACGGATAACCGCAGCAGGGGCTATGCTTTTCTCTTTGGCAGCCTCGTCATCCCCTGTTTTTGTGTGCACACAATCGAGAAGAAGCCTGAGCATGAATCTAGCAAATATGTCGACCCCTGTGATTATTCGCTTTATAACAGCATTGCTGCTAATCGATGGCTTCGTATCTGCTTCTGGTCCGTGCTACCATTATTTCATATTTCCTACCGCAAGTATGCTCGGACCGATCCATTCACGTGAGAGGTCTTTTCGTGATGCACACTTCAGCATCTACACTCCAACTTTTGAAGAGAGCGTTCAAGAACTCATCACAATTTAGACCAGTCCCACAGCATATGGCAAATATGGACTTATTTTGTCCTTTCATGGAATGTGCTCAGCCTTCATGGAGTCTTCTTCACTCTTCATGTGAATCTCGACGGGCTCGTCGTGCGTAACCTCGTCAAGGACCTCAGCGCGATAGTGAGATTGCTTGAAGCGTTGGTGGATCTGTTCTTCGCGTGTATCGGAGAGAACGATACCATCGCCGAAGATCTCGGCGACATCTTCAAGTGCGAGGCCTTTAGTCTAGATCACAGTTAGTCAATATTTCAAACGACCACGAGGGAAAAGGACTTACCTCGGGGAAGTAGAACCAGATAATAACGACGTTCAACGCAGTCAGGATGCAGAACACGAGGTAATATTTCCATCCAATGTTGTTGAATGCGGTAGGCGCGGCACTGTGCGGAAGGGGTTAGTCAGAGGGCAATGTTACACTTGTTTTCTAAAGCTCACCTGGTGAAGACAATAACCGCCATGAACAAGCCAGCACATGAGATTCCAATGCCGCGCGCACGTAGTGGGTTGGGGAAGATCTCGGTGGCGTAGATATAGGTGCTGGCATCAATGGTCCATCCGTAGAATCCAATATGGAGGAAAAGGAAGAACACCGCGGCTTTGGCAGCAGCGGGTGAACCAGTTTTCTGGTAGACAGCAACCGTTGCACACTCGCCAGCAAGTGCGATAACGTCTCCAGTGAACCCGAAAACTAATATCGTCAGCAAGATCAACTATTCCACGGTGGAGTACTTACGTAGCATTCGAACTCTGCCAAAGTAATCGATGACTGCGGCGTTGAAAGCGTTACCAAGGAGACACACGGTGATCCAACCGCACTGGATTAGAAGCTGGTTCACAACGGTAAACCCGAGCTTTCGGTAAAGGAATGGTCCGTAATCTACCATGTGCGTCAGCAAAGTATCGTGCGTCGTGATGGGAATTGCTTACTGTTGATAACAATTGTGCCGGTACATTGGCCCGCCACCATGGTCAACCAACCGATCCAGCATCTCTTGCGCAGAGCGGGCCTTGTGAAGAACTCCTTCAATGGCACGTGGTCCTTCATCTCTTCAATGACTTGAGAATGCAACAGGTGGAATTCCTCGTTAATGGCATGCTCGTCGTTGTGAGGTCCAGACTCGGTCCGGCAAGCCCTGAACGCTTTGAGCGCGTCATCGGGACGGTTCTTTGTGAGCACTTGGAACGGTCAGTTGAGATATTGAGCTCTGGCTCCGTGGGATAACTTACACCAACGTGGAGACTCAGGGATCAATAGCACACCGCCCGCAAGCAGGAGAGGCCAGAGTGCCCCGATTGCCAGCGGCATTCTCCACTGCGTGCCACTTGCGCTGACGAAATAGAAGCCAAAGCCGATCCAGCTAGCAGCAACGTAGCCAGTGGCGATGCCTGTTCCGTGCATGCCCACGAGAAGCCCGCGAATCTTTGGAGGGGAAATCTCGCTTTGGTATAGAGGAACGAGACTCACCAGGGCTCCCACGGAGAACCCGGTGATCAGTCTGGCAATGATAAACATGGCAATATGCACGCTCCCAGCCGCCAGACCATTCCCGAGAATCGATGTGAAGGAAGCGGCCAAGATGGCCATTTTGCGACCATATTTGTCGGGGATCCAGAAGCATGAGATACAACCAAACAATCCTCCCACTGAGAACAGGCCATTTATGGCTCCTAAGAGCGCAGCTGCATTTGACCTTGTATCAAGATCGAAATAGGACAGAAATGTAGGCTGTCCAGTGGTTGTGGCAATGATGCTGGATCCGTAGCCATAGGTGATACTTCCCAGGCCGACGAAGAGAACAATCTGGCTGACGCGTTAGTGGTCGTTTCAACCACAGGAGCTCTCTGGTAATTTACCCCAAACTGTACTAGGGAGATCATGCTGGGCGATAGGTGCTTTCCTCTTGGACTCGACGACACTCAAGGACAGTGACTCCAGTTGTACTAGAAGAACAGCCCCAGCAGAGGAGTCCCTGTTCACTGATATACGTACCTGTAAATACCATTTTTCCCCCACGCATTAGTTCCCCCATTCCCTCGGGACTCGGGTAAGATTAGCTTTATGAAATAGAGGTAACTACTCCAAAAGCCAAGTCCTGCGCAAGCGAGAATGCTAACAAGGGGCTGGAGTTAGATATCTCAACCACCATGCCTCACCAGCCGCAGTTTAAAGCGCAAAGGGATCAAGCCCAGTTAGACATCCCATGTCAGTGCTTGAGGGACTTGTCCCTCAGGAATCTGTCTGTATGAGTCGATGATGGACCTGGAGTAAGCGACAGAGATGGGAAACACAAGAAGACCAAGGTCGTGGGAGATAAGGCGAGATGATTCGTCACCCCCTTGCCATGCGGATTCCAGCCAAGAAACTGTAATGCGGGGTGCAGCAAGTACCGGGTCAAACCGAAAGAACCCCATGGGACAAGGGGGGCCGTCCGGGGTGAATTAGCACCACAACACCACAGCGTGGCGAACGTGGTCTGGCCAGGGTACTCCGACTTCTCCAAGCCGCGTTGAAAGAAGCCCAAGGAGAGGGAAACCCCATCAATACCGCGTCAAAAGCTCAGTCTAGAGCTCAGTCAGAAACGCTATGAAAATCCCCGCCAAATCCCCCATCAAAAACCCCGCAATATCTGTGCTGATCCGCCGGAAGACAGGATGTCAATTTGAGCCTTGAGTCCAGAAGTTCGTCGATGTTGGAATCGCCACCCCAAGCTACATTTGGACGGTATTTCGGGGTGCCTGGGCACAGATGAGGCTTACGACCGCATGGGCACTTGACCAGTGCGGGTTTACTTTCTCGAATCCCAAGCTCGTTCATTTCAACGCCTCGTTCTAGGCTCGAGGGAATATTCTCCTTCGAGCAACGGGCTCCTCCTCATATATTTCTGAAGGCGGGTAGAGAGCCCTCGAAAAATGGTCGCAGTTGGCCCCCCGTCTCATCCCCACTTGGCTCCAAAATGAAGATACCCCATAAATAGACCCCGGACACCGACACGCCGTACCCGTCAATGTGAGTGGGGTGCTGTGGACGGCTCGTTCACGGTGGGCGAGAATTCCCCGCTGAAACAATACACTCATCCTTGTATCAGCAGTTCTTGATACATTTCATTCCCAGGACATGGAGTCGTCGGTTGAAATTCTGATATACTCAGCCTCCATGGATGGGTGATACCAACGTCCTCTTAACAAGAGCGAAAGAAGACATTGTAATATTCTCCAGAAAACAATGGATAACAATCCTTCACTCCAAGCAATCCCTGAGGTCAGTCCACATTTCCCAGATTTGCTGCGGTGGAGCGGGTGTGGTAAGCTTGTGTCGCTGATGGCGTTTTACTTTTGCCTCAGATTGGTTCGGACCGAACTCACTTGAACACTATCCTGATTAAGTTGTCTCTCGCATGGGAAGGATTGTGTAGACTGGCTGCTCTGCTTTTACCAAGGGTGGCTAGTTGCTTCGGCTGATGAAGTCCGGCAGTCATATAGCTCGCACGTCCTTGAGAGCATTCCCAATCCAAAGAGGAAACTCAGCACGAAGTATGAAGTGATTCTTTTGCGGATGGATATCTCTCTTGTAAGCCCTAACGTACCATATGATCTTTTGTTTGGTCCAGGAGAATGGAGTCCGTGGTGTGGGGCAAGGATTCATTTTAGTTCGGGTTAATATGTCCGGTGATTCTTGACGGAGGGAGGAAAACAGTGGCGGAGGACGGAAGACAGATGCGGATTACAAGGTACAATCTCCACAAGCCATAGGACCGGCCCACGAAGGACTGGGTGAGATGTGACTGGATGGGTGATAAACTTCATCTTCTTGAGATTGGTACCTCCGCATTATGAGCATGGGCAGATAACGGGCGGACTTTTATCGTGGTGCTTTCGCAGTCGGAGCGGTAGAGTAGTTGAAGCTTCCAGACAGTTGACTGATCAACGTTCCCTATACGTTCGCCGACACATAAACGGATAGAGAGCGATGACACGAAGCTTTGGGACTGATCGAAACGACATATGCATATCGCACTGCAAAATATTATTCCACAGATCGTCCTAGAGCTCTGGAGCAAGCTCGTCCAGGTTGTCGAAATCAACCATTAACTGGAATATAGCCTCTAGGTCGGGATTATCAGCAAGTAAAATATCATCGCAAAAGCCCCAATTTACTTTTGATGGGCTCGGTATCGTGTCATCGGTGTGCTGGCTGCATACAGTCGTCTTCGTCGTACAAGGAGTGTTTTCCGACGAGTAAAGAGTGTGGAACGATGCAACATCTTGGTCATGATAACGGCCGTTGGTATCACTGGGGTCCGGATTCGATCCAGGTTCGCAAGATTCCGTATTGCGAAGGTGATACTGACGGTCTCGATAGCAGACCCCAGCAACTTTCATATTCTCTCCAACAACCATATTGATATTTGCCCTCTTAATAAGGTCAGCGGCAAATTTGAGCACCAAGTCCACACCCACGTAGAGGTCTTGCATTTCCTCCCACACTTTCACACAATAAAGTATTGATTGCAAACAAGTTTCAAGATTACGGTTCTCTTTGGACTGTATATGCTTCAGGTGAGTAATGAGGATCGGAATCTCCAGCGTAGCGGCAGTGGGAGGCAGCGAATAGCCCAGATGAAGTTTGTGGATGTGGTAGTTGATTTTGGCCATTTCCGTGGTTGCTTCTTCGACCCTCGATCGGGATCGTTCCCGAGATTCTTCCCTCTGAATCACATTTTTAGCGTCAGGCTTGTCCAGATACACTTGTGGCCGATGGAGTGCTGAGAGAGTCCCGCAAAAGCAGACTTGCAGGAAAGCTTGGTGCGCCATCACCACCGCAGCGGATTCAACAATATCCTTTGATCGCGGAGGTTGAAAGATGGCTGATATAGGCCTGTTGTCGAACCACCCCTGCAGGGACTGGTCGCATCTCCTGACTAGCTCTAGTTCCCTTGGCTCAGACCTGAGATATAGTATTGGGGTCGTCCGGCCTGTCGGATCCTCCACGGAGTGGTCGTAACTGTCGCTAGGGAGAATAGAATAGTGCAGGTTGATTACCATCCCTATTTGGACACAAAGTTTTGCCATCGTGATGCACATTTCGGCGAGACTCTGCTGACACTCCGGCTCTAGAACTTGGTGCAGAACACTATCTGGTGTGTTGTTCTGTAGTTCAAAGTCCTCCAGTTCGAGCAACGGCGTGCTAAAATCGACATCGTTGATTCTGAGTGGCCGAGACATGCCAAGCGCTAGCATACGATCTCTCATATAGCAAGACCACCATATTCTTTTCGATAGGTGTTTCTTCACGGAGGGGTTCGAAAAGGTCTGTTTCCGGTGGAGCCCTATTGTGAGGGCTAGCGATATGGCAATCCCCAGGAAATGCCAGCCTCCCTTATTGTCGCCTGGTGTTTCATTCCAGAAGCTCATGAGAAGCGTCGCTTGAATGATGGGGATGCGGTTTTCTTCCACATCGAGCTCGTACAGTAACTGCGACGTAATCAGATCGAGCTCATAAAAACAAACCGCCATGACTTACTCTCACCCTCTCATAAAAGCTTCTTCTTGCTGCCCGTCTCGATTCGAAACCTCCCTTATGTAAATGCTGTTCGTCGACAAATGTGACACCGATAAACATTACCGCCTGCAGCACCAAAATGCTGATTGTCGGCATTCCGGGGCGCCAATGGCCACCAGTACAGCTCAACAGGACATGCTGGTCCAAAAGAGGCATGAACCAATGGAAATACTGGAAATAGCTCCGAATGATTGCGTCGAGAAGCTCTGCTTGGGGAACATCTAGGGCGCCTTTCCTCACAAGATAATCGATATCGTCTGAAGATAGTTGGGGAGAAATTGCTTTCACGAAGTCCGGGAGCCTATCGTACTTTGCCACATCTGAAACGGAAGCCAGGGCGTCGGAATTCGAGGTGTCGAGTGCGCTCGAAGTGTTATTTTCCACGGCAACACATTCAATTAGTCGGGTATAGGTCAGCTCATGGTGCATATTGTGTAGCAGTTCAACTGCCCCTAAAGCGGTCAGCGATGACTTTATGGTTGCCACTGTATCGTTCGTCTCGGCTTCATAGCGTATAAGATCGATGCTCACTCACTTGGTCTAGAAAGCGGATGATGGTATGGAGCTTTCTCGACGATGTATGCGTGGCTTACTCCACAATCTATCAGCCATTCACTGGTATGTTTCCTTTCCGGAGCGTGACTAATCGTGTCCATAATAGAGGTCCCATTATCAGCAACTGACTCGAGAGGACCTTGAAGCCCTGGCCCTATTGAACCACTGCTTGAGGGTGTGACTTTCAATGGCTTCCTGTGAAGAACTTCTGAGCGGTTGCCGCCGATGGAGGGTAGAGGGCCTCCATATAATGAAATTCATATCGTACCTGCCCCTTCTGCTCTTCTGGACATGGCAGTTCACACTATCGGTCATGCAATTGCTGCATGGTGGACCTTGCTCTTCAACATTGCATTTGACCTTGCGAGCTCTGCAGCTCAAGCAGGCTCTTCCAGCCCTCTTTGCGAAGGACCATCGTCTACCAGACTCCGTCATTCTCTCACAGGCCCCATCTGGGTAGGTTGTGTCTTTGATAGGGAGGCGTGCACAGTCTCATCCCACCTCGGTGGACAGGATACAGCTTTGCAGCGAGGCTGATGTTATTGAAATAATGCTTCTTCCAAATAGACACTAATACCATCATCCAGCACTGGACTTCGTGCCTCGTCTCCTGCCCCTGGCAAATCCAGGAAACCTCCGGATTGCCCAACCCCGCAATTGTCGGGATCAGACACCCGTCAAGGTGGTCGTGTCAGGCCAGCCACTTGGCGAAGAATGGCAGAAGCCGAAGGAGCCTCGGCGCTTTTTGATAGCCGAATATCTTGGGAAGCCTGACATGACACCAGCCAATCGCGTGTGAAATCGACATCTTACTGCCCAGATATCAGTTTCAAGACATGCCGAAAGGCATCAGGTCGTGGACTACGGTCCGGAACTTCTCAGCTCCGAAATCTGGGGTGCATAAGAGCCCGGCAATACTAATTTATCCGAGGCACCTCAGCACTGGGAGCTGGAGTCCGTTGTGCATTGTTCCCAGGTTGATATATAACGAGATCTGTCCACGTCTGAGCATTTGCGCCATTGGCGACCCTTCAAGATGCCGTTCCTTGCTCAAAAAAAGGTGCCGATCCCTAACAAAGATATCCTGTCTTGGATGTTCGACAAGCCAAGGTTCGACCAAGAGAAACCGGTGAGTCCCCTGCGTAGAACAAGCACCCAGATCCTCAAATCACAGTGCTCTGATGTTGGCCTTCTCCTGGCTGTTTAGGTTTACGTTGATGCCATTGATCCGTCGAAGTCGATTTCCGCAAATCAAGCTCGGGTGATCATCCGAAAACTTGCTGCAGGCTTCCATGCTGCTGGAGTGACCCCCGGAGACTGTGTCTGCATTCACAGCTTCAATAATGTCTGTTGCTAAAGTGGCCAGCTACTTTACTTGGACCTTGGCTGAAATAACTAGATCGACTATCCTATGCTCTTTCTGGGCATCATTGCAGCAGGTGCAATATTCGCGGGGACCAATCCAGCTTATACTCACTTCGAACTTGCTCATCACTTCAAGACATCGCGCACCAGGTTTGTCATCGCCGAGCCTGAGCTGTTGCAGGCTGTAGTGGCAGCAGCAAAGAGTGCGACATACCGCAGTCCAACATCTGGGCCTTCGATAGCCACAATGAAACAATTCCGAAAGGATTTTCGTCTTGGAAAGAGCTTATGAAATGTGGAGAGAGAGACTGGATTCGCTTCGATGATGAGCAGGTCTCCAAAAGGACGACGGCGGCGAGGCTATTCAGCAGTGGGACTACGGGGTTGCCAAAAGCCGCAGCGCTGTCCCATTACAATCTTATTGCCCAGCACACGTTGGTCAATGAAACACAGCCGATCCCTTACGAGGTTAGCCTCTGATGCTAGACGCTACAGGAAGCATCTAAATATGCTGACGTCGTGTGGATTTAGCCGCGCCGCTTACTATATCTGCCGCTGTTCCATGCGGCAATGGTTCCGGTGGCCCATGTTACACCCCTTCGATCAGGCGACTTATCCTACATCCTGCGTCGTTTTGATATGGAGCCCTTCCTAACTTCCATTCAAAAATACAAACTCACTGAGATGGTCTTCGTCCCACCAGTTGCCGTTGCTGTGTTGAAGTATCCATTTCTTCATAACTATTCCCTCAAATCGATCAAAGTGGTCGTCTGTGGGGCCGGCCCGCTGGACAAGGAACATCAAAACGCACTCCAAACCATCCTTGGCTCCGAGACGTCGTTCACTCAAGTTTGGGGCATGACAGAGACTAGTTGTGTCGCTTCGAAGTTCTACTACCCGGAGCGAGACGATACTGGCAGCGTTGGGCGCATGATGCCAAATCTTGACGTCAAGTACGTCCTAATTTTTGAAAAGGGTTATGACAGTGGCTGATCGAACGATTATCAGGCTCATAGACGACAATGGAAACGATATCACAGCCTTTGACGTCCCAGGAGAGTTGTGTATACGAGGTCCAACAATAATATCAGGCTATTTCAACAGTCCACATGCTACAAAGGATTCAATTGATGGAGACGGCTACTTCAAAACAGGGGATGTGATGTATTGCGACTCGAAAACAAAGAAATGGTATATCATTGATCGGAAGAAAGAACTCATCAAGGTAAGGGGGTTTCAAGTAGCACCAGCCGAGATCGAGGGAGTCTTACTTTCTCATCCACATGTATTGGATGCTGCTGTGATAGGGGTGAGGAAACAGGGCGAACCGGACGTGGAGATGCCAAAGGCTTATGTGGTGCGGAAGCCTGGATCCGATGGTGAAGCTCTGACAGAAGAGAAGTTGAAATCTTTCTGCAGGGAGAGATTGGCAAAGTACAAGGAGCTGTCGGGTGGGGTTTCCTTCGTCGATTCTATACCCCGAAATGCAACGGGAAAGGCATTGAAACGTATATTGAGGGACATGGCGAAAGCGGAGGGTGGAAACCGTGGCAGACTCTGAAAGACTTATTCCTATGGAAGTCGAGTCTTCTGGCGATCCAATATAGATTGACGCTTACAAACCTGCAGAATCTCACAGAACGGTCGATAATAAGTTGTACAGACGCAGCAAGCAGGCAAAAGGCTTAAAAGACACTGGGAGAGAACTCCAATTTTTCCAAATCTGTTTTCTCAGTAGGCACGAGCCGTGTCCACATTTTCCACAGGCTTATCTGGCACGATACGATCAATCTCCTTTATTTTTTTTCTTAAATACCAGAGGTACTTCGGATGAGATTGCGATGGAACTTCTGGAACTGAAAAACATACGGAAACCGAGAGAGATGCACTCTTTCCCCTTTCCCTCTCGACGGTTATTGGTCGTCTGTAGTACAAGAGGAAATCCGCCTGAAATCCTCTTGCCTTTGTAATCGCGCCATTTGTGTTGAATCCAGAAGGCCTCTCGTTTATGCGGCCCTTTTGATTGCCCATTCATGGGACCATCTCGAGTTCCGTTTCTGGGTGGCATTGCCGGGCTAATTGGCAGGCTTAGATGATGGTTGGCCTAAATCGTTTGCTACATCTAGACTCTTCCTATTGTTTCCGATAGCTCTCTAGAAGACTTTTCAAGTGATTCATACCCGTCTCGTCATAATCGTGAGTCTTCTTGACAAACGGGCTCAGATGTCTATTACTCTCCAGGTTGTCAAGTAGAATCTTTGCGAGGAACCAGAACTGGTTGGCGTCTTTCATAAATCCAGCATTTCGCCATCGGTCTGCCAGATTGTCTGGTATTTCTTGCGGTGGAAGAGGCGTCCCAAACGCCTCTGCCGTCTGACAGAGCCCCTGGAGATTCCATACTATGCTCCAATTCCGTAGCCAATTCCGCATGGTATATATTGTCTGCATCTGCCAGCAGAATGAAGATCGAATCTGGAAGATGATTGAATGCATCGCTGAGAGGAAGGAGGTGTGAGTTGATTCAAAGACACAGAAGACGATGGTCTTACCAACGGCGAGAAAGCCAAGATTCAAATATCCCAAGTGGGTGAAAGCCTGCAGCTTATCCCAACTCATATTCTCGCGACTTAGCTGTTCCACTGCATCCAAGAACGATATCTGACCTGCACTTGCCAAAGGGTGTGACAGCCATACTTTCAAATAGCTAAAGCATTCAGAAGCGGATGTTGCTTGAAAACAAGCTTCTGGGCATGCGAGATCAGCTTGCAATTCAGAAACAAACACTCTCGGGGGCATATTATTCATGACAATAAAGCCGAAATCTAGGACTGCCATATAGTTCATAGTCCTGTAGTCCAGGTGAGTCTCACTCTGTGGAGGATCAAGGATGTCAAAACTACCTGATAAGCTCCTCTTTCAAGATAAACTCTTTCCAATTGAAGTTGCATTCCGTAAGAGAAGCCAGGTTCCCATGAGAGGCATGCGCAAAACCTAGCTCGCACGCCATCTGCAACCTTGTGAGTAGGGATTTGCATGCAGTATAAAGGAGACCTACAGCAACGACCTGGCCGAATCGGTGCCTTCTGGCTCTTTTTTTTCCGGTCTCATGACCCTCCCACGCCTGATAAAGGCACATTGCGTGCGCAGCTTGAAGACTTCGTAGCCGTCTTTCGAGGCAGGCGGCATTCAAGACCGAATAGACGGCAGAATCACCGAAATATTCATCGCCGAAGACAATTTCTTCCACCCCATCGCAATATATTCGGGCGAAAGCACGATCTTGAGGAATGGTCGAGTAGCTTGCTCCAATGAGCACCATGGCAGCGACCAGTGTGCAGGGGGCCTCAGATGCCTGAAATGTCGACTTATGAATGACTGGCCAGTGTATATACCAAGTGACCCAGTAAAGGTCCACAAAACGGTGCAGGTTAACCGGGGAGAAGAACTCAATGCATTCCTTTTCAACTTCAGGGCTCCACCGCAACTTGATATAACTGTTTTGTGGCCTGTGTGCAATAGAGTCTCGCAGTCTACCTACAATTTCTTGACTCATTGCCGATAAGGGATCGATCTCCTGAGACACCTGAACAGGGAAACTGAAGGGAATGTAGCTGTTATCATCGAAGGGTGATACCTGGGGTGATTCAACCACATCCATTTCGATGCCACGGACGTCCCACTGAGGTACTTTGGATATTTCGTCATAATCCATATTGATATCTCTGTTTTCCATGTCATGGTTCGTCCAGTCAGGATAACGAAAGGGTGTTGACAAGTCCAGGATCGATTCAAGAGGGCCTAGCGACGAGTCTCTGGTACTAGCCTTATTGCAGTTGTCAAGCATCTGCGCAGCGCGTATGCCGTTGCCAATACGCGACGATAGATCCGGGTCAAAGGTTCCGGCCAACCCTCGCGTTGTCGTAATGCGAAAGAAGAGATCCAGTGTGTTCGGGATGGCTTTTTGTGCATATTCTGCCAGGACATTTTGTTCGAAATGGAGGAAGCGAGATTCTGAGTCGGAAGATATAAGTGGTGGATCAAGGCCGCGCCTTTTCTGAGAGTCTTTCCCAGGAGCATGGTTTTTGGTCATTTGCTGTGGAACTTCTGGGGTATCTCCCTTGTCTTGCGAGTGTCTTGCAGAAGATCGGGGCGCCTTGCAAATTGCCAAGTGTCGAGTATGGACATCCCTAGATAGACATGATCCGTGTTAGCACTCGTTCGCTCTGCAAAAGACCCAGCATCCATAAAAACGAAGGCCTGCTTGATGTAGGGTGTTACTCACTTCCGATTGAAACTCAACTGGCAATTAATGCAGACGAATGGTCGAGTCTTCGTATCTGCGGTATAATCAGAAAGAAACCTTTGAATTCTTACCGGCATAAAAGATCTCAAGACAACCTGAAAAGAGTCTGGATTTGCGACGGGTACGGGTACCACCTACGGGTGATAAGGTGACGGGTGAGGTGCTCTTTGCGGCTGTAAGTTCTTCCGCAAGCGGGACAAGTGTTCGATCCAATTTTTGCCATCCTTTCTGCCTCGGTGTGCGGGATATAGGAAGAGACTAAGGCATTTTCGAGGCTGCGTATTGCTCAAGATGTGAATGCTCGAGATGACAAGGAGGTGAGTTTGGAAAATTCCCCAGAACAAAACACGGGCCTTGACCAAAGGAATGTAGAGTAATCGACAACGGAGGACGTTCAATTTTGTGGCCGCCACCCCCACCCCCGACTGACTGACAAACACAGTAATATGGAGAGGGGGGAGAATCTGACTGGGTCCAACGTTCCCCAGGCCTGAAGTACCGAGGACCGTGGTTTAAAGGCTCATCCCACCCCCACCCCATTTCAGGGGCCATCCTGCAAGGCTGAATTGCGACAACAGGCACCCAACATGTATAAAGAGAAGTGATAAAAGAGATGGATAACTCAGGGTTTCAAGCAGTACAATCACCTCACACTGAGCTCCCACGGATACAAACAGTATCCAACAATGAGCTCGGCAAATTATCCCTGCCGCGACAGCGGTATCTACCACAACTTGCCCCAATTTGATCCGAAGTTGACTGGCCTTACGGCTCTGATTACCGGAGCCAATGGGATCTCTGGATACAATACGTTGTTGGCGCTTCTGGACTCACCACAAAGATGGGCAAAAGTGTTCACTTTGTCGAGACGTCCACTTCCGGCTGAAATGATGAACCTCATCCCAGCAGAGCTTCGCAATCGAATCCAGCATATTTCATGTGATTTGCAGGCAGAGCCAGCGACCATTGCCAAAACCCTTGAACTTGCCGGAGTTCAAGTGGACTATATCTTCTTCTATGCCTACTTGCAACCTAGACCGCCTCCAGGTGAGCGGGCATGGTCCAATCAACAGGAGCTACTCGATGTCAACTCAGCGCTGCTTCGAAACTTCCTCAGGGCTATTCCGCAGGCTGGTATTAGACCAAAGCGATTCCTTCTCCAGACAGGAGCAAAGAATTATGGCCCGCACATTGGCCGTGCGCGTACTCCGAACGTGGAATCCGACCCTCAGCCCCGTCACTTAGGACCGAATTTCTACTATGCTCAGGAAGATCTATTGTTTGAGTACTGTGAGAAATATGAGGTTGAGTGGAACATTATACGACCACCATGGATCATCGGCTCCTCCATGACAGCCCAGATGTGCGCTCTATACCCGTTTGCAGTCTACGCCGCTGTCAACGCCGAGCGTAACCTCCCCCTACGCTTTCCGAGCTCTTGGTCATTCTGGCAACAAAATTGTTCTCACTTCGGAACTGCTCGGTTGACTGGCTATCTCAGCGAGTGGGCAATCTTGGAGGATAAGTGCAAGAACCAGGCTTTTAATAGCCAAGACACGAGTCCGATATCTTGGGACCGTATCTTTGCAGAATACGTGAGGTGGTTTGGAGTGGAGAAAGGTGTATTACCGCCTCCCGATCAAGAGTCTGGACTACTTGAGCTGAAGCTGAATGGTGGAAAAGATTCACCGATGGGGTAAGTCGAATTCATAAGTCATATACATGCTGTTCAATTTTACTAATACCAAGCTCCAAAGCTATGGACCGCCCATTGTTGAATTGTTGTCTTTCACGATCCTTAGCTGGGCACAAGACCCAGAGAATCAGAAAGCATGGAAGAGGATTCAGGATAGAGATCACCTAACGTTCGACCCCTTTGAGGATATCGAAGGAAACTTCACCTTTTCAGACACGGTGTTTATGACATTCGGGCCATTGAGCATGAACAAGGTAAGCTCATATGGGGAGAGCCCAGTCACCTTATACTATTGTCGACTAACTACAGTGTAGGCTCGAAGGTTGGGATGGACAGGATTTGTGGATACCATGGAAAGTATCTTCGAGATGTACCAAGAAATGAATCAGCTGGGGATGCTACCAAAGCTAGAAGTTGGGGAAGCTTTGCCACTGATATAAATGTACAGCGTATGCGCTTTGAACTGCCCCTGGCGGCGGGATCCAGGCTGGCCGACACTAAAATCGGAGGTACTGGAGAGCGTCCTTCGATCTGATCAAGATCCTATAGGCCGTAACCAGTCCCCTCTTGCAGCTAGAAGCGCAGCCAGCGAGATTAAAAGTACAAAGCCATGTATTGATGTATGTCTTGCAAAGACATGATGTTCGATTTGGTCATATCTATCATGGGGAGAATTCCCAAGATAGTTTCTCAGCGGTCTGCGGCCAAATACCATTCTTTCCCGGCGCGAGAATACCCTTCGGGTCCAATGCGTTCTCGATTGTCTCATTCAACTTCATCAAAGCATTGCCGTTGAATTTGTACGTTCCGCCAACTTGATCCATTGACGCAAGGTATGTGCGGTATTCACCACAGCCTCGCTCCGCTGAATCATCAACCAACGTACTGATCAGCTTGTGGGCTCAAAGATTTGAGTCTTCAACTGTTCGGTCAAAGACGATGCAGGCAATATGATGCATCTCCCTCATTCTCACGACGAAAGCGCCGATGAAACCGAAACTGAATTTCTCGCTTCGGCGGCATGCGAGTTGATACTGTGCTACTCATCGCCGGGTTGTGCATGGGGCCCCAGACTGAGATCGGCATCAGGATTGGGCAGAGCAACCATCCCAGTTCGAACAAGGCTGCCGTTTGGCAGAACTACCTCCGTCCCTCAAAGCATCACTGCAGAAAACAATCAGCGACAAACACAATAAAAGAGCATCTGCCCAAGACTATTATCTTACTGTAGTGATCCGCGTACGGAATATAGCCTACTCAACGCTCGCAAGCATTGCCGAGTACTGATCCTCCCCCTGGGTCAGGCACGTCAATCCAGAGTTGATCTCTCAGGTCGTTCGCGACCAATTAGTCATGTAGATCAGAGAATCTTACTCCTGGTTCCACCACTGCGTAGGCGCCTTCGACGTTCACCGACAAGATCTTGTTCATGTGCTGTTCCAGATCCATGCCGATATTTTCAGGGACTCTAGGTGCTGCGCCACCGTATCCAACATTTCGGCCGGTCGAAAAGGGCCAAATTGGGGTCGCAAACTCATGGCACAGACGCATAATTGGCTGGACATCTGGGACGTTTCTGTGTGCCACGACTGCTGAACTGACAAATTACTGCGCGTCGAGAATGTGAAATATATCATGCACTTTGCTCGGGTCTAGGTAGCTCTCGTGAGAGACGAGTCCTCCCTGCAAAAACGATGGTCACATGTATCTGTCCAACGATATCTATTAGCCGTCCAGTGAAGAATTTGAAAGTCTGAGGAAAGTCTGAGATTTGATTCCTGGTGAAAGAACGATTGGATCTTCCGCGTTTCGAGGAGCGTCTCCATTGGGTCGACGCTGGGTTGTTGCTGAGTTAGCTATGCTAGACATATTCTCTTGCGACAATCCGCAAGGCTCCCCAATATTGAAGACAGATTTCCTCTGAGAGTAAGGAAATTGCCAAGACGAGTGAGGACTCTCCAGATTCAGAAACGTTCATCTTCTTTTACATAGTACCCAGCGGACATGAGACATGGAAGTTACCGCCATCAGAGAACATATTTCGTCTCAGCCTCAGGGTAATAACATCCTTTCTTCCCTTCATTGAACGAGTTCCCAAGTAACCTTTGCGGATTTGTGGGGGTGGATCTCGGTAGTTATGCTCGACTAATTGCGCCTCGCGATCGCTAACCTGGGGCAGAGTGTAGCTTCCGTATCCCAAATAAAACTGTAGCGACATGATACACCTTTCGAGAGCCTGATCTGCCACCGGCGAGAACCCTTTGCATGAGAGATTCCTATTCAATCTTCGAATGATGCAGCTTGAGTCCCAAGGCACACGCAAATTGATCTACGAAGCTTCCGAAAAGGCCAACCGGGCCCTCAGTGCCACTGAACATACAGTCGCCCTGATCATCTACAGAGGGATCTTCAAACGCGCAAGTGCACTACCGAAGCTCTGCGACTGACCTTTCTTGAAGACACGAAGCTGATGGCGTAATACCTTAGACGAATCCACATTTTCCCATCAGTGTTGCAATTGTGGAAAATGCTTTAAACACAGATGAGTATATTCTCTCGTCCAATTTTCACTAACGCGCGCCGCAGTGATGTCCTGAAACGACACTCCGAAAGCCTTTCCAAAACATGCTCTAGAAAACTAACAGTCCCACGACGTCGAGCTAGTCGGCGTTCTGCCGCGCTAAAAAAAAAAAAAAAAAAATCGCCTGCGACTACGCACATGCTTGTAAAAACTGCATCAAACCAAGAACCACTACGTTTATAGTATCCCGAACTCTCATGACAATATATAGAGCTCCTCAGAATCCCAAGAAAGACTAACAGAGCACGGCAGGACTATGTTGCAAACATCTCTTGAGACTTGCCTTTTACTTCGCGCATTCGACCCGGACACACATCCGGCAAGGTCATTTCCTTTCCTTCTGGAGTTCATGAAGCACATTTCTCTGCCACATTCCTTTGAGAATGCCACGTTGGTAGGACTTGACGCGTTTGAGCCCGGTGAGCAATATACAGAGAGACCAATGTCCATTGATTTCTCCAGGATCGATACCTCCCACCTACCCGACCACATGTCTTCCACAGAGATATCGTGCCTGGATTTCTTCTAACCCATTCAACTACGTAAATTTCTCGATATATACCAGAAGATATGGTACCCAAATTGGCCAACGACTCACAGACCTCTATTCCGACCCGGTACGATCGCCGCGCATTCTTGTCGCAGCAATGGCTATTACTGGGGCATGTCACTCTACGGAACACCTGTACCACGAAGGCTCGAAGTTTTGGGCAAATGTTGTTGGGCAATTGGTCTTCGACGAGTTGCACGAAGTCAAAGACGAGATGTCTGATATTCGACAAAGATAGACGAACAAACTACTTCAAGCAGCCTGCATTATGCGTATCTGTCAGCATTAGAACGGGACCAAAGCAAGTAGAAAGAGGATACGAAGGTAGCGCTTCAGGGCCCTTGTCAGTGTGACGACTCAGAAATGGACGTGCAAAGCTTATTTATGAGAAGTGTGTCGCCATGTTGGGATATCTCGGGCTTCTCATCGAGATTACCGATCCGTCTCGCAAGCCGACTTTGAGTGGCAGCGCCTCATTGAGACCAAAGAAATGTTCCGGTAAGATCACGTACGATGTTCTGGCCTCACACTTACCTTCTCAAGGCTTTCATCTGGATCTTTATGATTGATACTGCTTTCCTCAACAACTTCCCACCGCGAATAGTCTTGGGAGAGTTGAGGATGGATGTCGCACTTCCAGGACGATGCTTCCAGGCTTCTTCTGCGGAAGAGTGCTATCTAGGTATTCAATAGTGGCTATATAAGAGTCGTAGGAAATAGGCACAGAAATATTCACCTTTGTTTGACTTTATCCGAGCTTTCTGTCGCGATAGGACTAACCCATCCGAAAAACCCTGAAAATTTCATCCCTGAGCGGTTGCTTCCTGAGCGGTGGCTCGACAGCGAGGGAAAAAGTTTGGGACGACACATGTTGAATTTTGGAGCCGGGACGAGAACTTGTGTTGGCAAGAATGTACAGTTCTAGGACAAAAGTTCTCGCCCCCCACCACTTTTTTTGCATAATCAAAATATTACAACCACCACCAAAATCACTACTACAGTCGTATTAATTAATTATCTATCTAACTAATAGCCGGACGTGATAGATAAGCCATTAGACTATCGAACCTGACCCTTTTTGACCTAACCTAGGCTTTCTAGAATCGTGTGTACCACCCTTTAGCCTGTCGCACTGCGTTTACTCTCGTTGTCATTGACCTGATTATATTATCGATCTCTACTTGATCTAGAGCGTTCCACTCGTCCACAATAGCTTTGGCGAATACGTCAATAGTCTCCTGAGACTAGCCTTGACTTCCGAGGTCTGGGTATCGCTCGTTAATGCGCTGTTTTAGGAGAGCCCAGACGTATTCGATTAGGTTGAGATCAGGCGAATAGGGTGGCCATTCAAGTCGTAGTATCGCGTTCATTTCAAACTAGTTATCCACGATTTTTACTGTATGGATTGCGGCGTTATCCTGCATGAATATTAGGCCAGGAACCCAGATTCGCTGTAGTTGATCGTCCAGGACTTTGATATAGGACTGTGCAGAATAGCCATTTCGCTTTGCCTCAGTATCTCGCTCCATTATAATCAAATCTGACCGTCCGCCGATCCAAATTACTACCTAAATTATGATCGAGATATCCTTACCCTTAGTCTAGGGGTCAATTATCTCTTGATTCCACTTCTAAGCCGGTGTACGAAAGACCCAAACCCTAGTCGCACTAGAGCCTTTTTCGATAGAATATTCATCGCTTAAGATGACCTTTCCCTAGTCATCTTCTGCGTAGTCCTGGTATTAGATCGAGAACTATAATCGTTTCTTAACATACTCGTCCTGTAATAAAGGTCTTTTCTTCGCTACCCACTTCTTAATTCTATGTTTTACGAGAAAACGTGCGATAGTTTTGGCATAGACTTTGATAGAGACCTCACGAATTAGGCGCCGATAAGTCCATTTTGGATTTCGTCTAGCTAGACGAAGGATAAGTCGACGATCTCGGGTCTCTAGATGAGGAGGACGATCACTGCGTGGTTGCGAAAGTGCATCGGTTCGTTTGCTGGCTAGTTGAATAGTCGTACGCGCCGTAGATCTCGGAATTTCGAAGGCCTGACTAATCTCGTTCTAGGACGCACTAGTCTCGCGAGCACCTTCGGTTTTTGCACGTTGATAGGGAGTTAAGTCCTTACCCCTTCGAATATTACTATCTATCTCACCCAGAGGGCGCCTAGGCGTGGCCATTGAGTGATTGTAAAAGGTGGTGGAAATCGTGACGCGGTACGCGTTCGGATAAAACGCGTGTGGGGGGCGAGAACTTTTGTCTAGTAGCTGTACGTCATTACTTTAGTATATCCTACCCGCATTCTAACGGTTGCACCTAGACCTCGTACGGGGGAGTGCACAAATTGATTCCGCGGCAATTTGGGCTCGAGTTCGTTGACCTAGCGAAGCCGCGAAAGACAACAAGGTTTCGGTTTAACTGGACTCCAAGTCAAGGTCAAAAAGCGTCCGGAAAAGAGATGATCTGCTTAGACAAGCAATGTGAATACACATCATATAAATGGTTACCCATAATATATCCATGTGTGCGCTAGTGGACCCGGCACCCTTCAATCAATTAGATTCATTACACAGGTTAGCTTTCCTACGTATGGTGGCACAGAGGTTTTGAACAATATGAGATCGATATCTATAGTTACTTAGGCGAAGGAATCACCATAGAGCCAGATTGTGGTGATTGCCTTGTCAAAAGCCTGGTTGCCGGCTCGGTTTACTCGCCACAAGACTTGTACAAAACACGAAATGACGACATTGTCCTCGGTCTATACTATAGGTAAAGTTGGAAGTATGAAAAACCGAAGAAGGAATTTGATCATTGGGGGTCCCGAGGCTGAATGTTGGAGTAACGATATGTTGGAGTCACCGTATCCGCGGCAAACCCAATTGAATTTCGAATCCAGAGGTTCCAGAAGACACAAGGAGCCAGGACACTTTTTTAAGGCTCGAATTTTTGAAGGATTCAGTCCTATCGTCCGAGGACTCCCTTCACCTCGGGGCTTCGGCCCAGTGCTTGCGGAGTGTGAAATGCGGGGTTGGTAAGGCTTTTAGTCAACAAGAATAGATGTTTTCCGCTTGAAGAACATTGCTGGCGAAAGATGGAGTAGCGGTGTACGATGACAATATCGGCTTTTCCACACAATTAGAGCTACATTTGAGCTTGAATCTCTCGAGCGGGTGGTTCGTGCCGTTGAGAGCGGGGAAGAAACCAGGGAGAAACCTAGGTTAACATCGATCTGGAGCAAGTGGAAGTACTATATATTCCCTTGAAGGGCTCTCAAGGTCGGGTTCCGATCTAGATATTATCACGTATTCAAGCTCATTCACTTGCCAAGCTTAAGTGCTTATATTGAACCAAGATGTTTCTCGCCGTTCTTCTTCAATGCTTAGCTGCGGGTGTGGCTACATCTTTAACGCTGAATGGCACCATCTCTATCCCCGTGAACTATACTCACCTGATCACCCCGAACTATACGAGCAACGCGACGACTTATTTCATCAACACAAATACCAACAATAACAACCTGGCGAACATACTGCAAGAAGCTCAGAATGCAACCTTTATCTCATACAGCTCCGAATTCACGGATATGCTTGGACCTAATCCTCAGGCCGTGCTCGTACAAGAGAGAAATGACTCATTTGCTTTTGAGGCTAGTTGGCACCTCCTAACTGTTCTCAGCATATTGGGTCTGACCTCCCAGTTTAGGGTGCTACATATGACTGGCGAGGCGACCAGGTCTGGTTCACAAGTAGCATTCTCGATGACAAGCCAACAACCATTTACCGACTGAATCTGACCGACAATACGGTTCACCAAGTGAAGACGAACCTTGTCAACCCCAACGGCTTATACTACTTTGACAACTATATCTACGTGGTCTACTTTGGCAATGTCTCTGTCCAGCCAGGGGTTGCACGGGTCAATGCTATTACATACGAGGCTGAAATTATCGCCAACTCGTGGTTTGGTCTTCCCTTTGACGGGCCCGATGATATTACAGTTGTGCCCAGCAACCATGACGGGAATGGTCTTGACGCAGTTCAAATCTACTTCACCGACAACCTTTATGATGGGCTTGTTGATCGACCAGACTCGGATTACCAATTGCCAGCTGCTGTATGGCGATATACACCATCTACTGGAGCATTGGTCGCTGTTATACCCCGATCTGACATTGCTGGAAGCAACGGTGTCCAGGTAAATGCAAATGGGACCAAACTTTACGTTGGTGAGTATGATTCTCTGCCCGCTGGTCAATTAGATATTGGAAATGAGTAAGTTTACCCTCTAAGCCCCTCCCCTCAAATACAAGGCTAATCTCTCCCGCAGTAACCTACCTGGCTCGATGGCACTCTTTGAATATGATCTCGACAGCCGGGGCTTCCCAATTAACAAACGCATGTTTGGCCTGGCGAGAACATACGCAGATGGCCTCAAGGTTGACGATTATGGGCCTGTGTGGACTGGAGAAGGGGAGGGAATCGTCGTGAGAAACAATCAGGGAGAGGTGATTGGACTCTTTAACCATCATACATTGATGAGTCAAAAGATGCAAAGTACCAGCATTGCCCAGGTAGCCCTGGCAGGCAATTCAGCGATCATTCTCGCATCAACCAGGCTATGGAGGATTGACCTAGCCCAAACTATTGCGAGCCCTGGTGCGTTCGGAAACTGATGGAAGTATTTAAGTCAAGAGAACCAGAGATATATGGGACAGCATATAGGTAAGGAGAAAGCTCCTAAGTGGTGTATTGGCTATATATAAGAAGACTAAGTTGAAGAAAGAAAAGAGAAAGAGAATAAGTCGCGGCGTCAACGCGATGGTAAAAATACCCGGCATGTACACTATAAGTAATAACCTAAACATTGGACGGTGACATATCTAAAGGAGTTAAATAGAGAGAGCGAAAAAGCCTTCTACTGTGCTCGATAGTACCCATCGATAGATTCTATTAGGTTTTATATAATGGGTACTATCGAATTTCAAACTCGATTATCTCTTGATACCTATCGTAAAGATCGCTAGTTTATTCGATTATCCTGTAGACTAGGGTCGATGTTTTCGAGATATAGACTAAGATTACTAAAATAGTCAGTAGATAGACTAGTATAATACTAACTCTATCGCGTAAAATAGGATTGTTAAATCAAGGTGGGGAGGACCTTATAGGGAGGTATAGGCTTTGACATGGGCCGAGTCGGCCCGACCTGGGTCGGGTTTGGATCGACTCTTACCTAGCCCGATAACCTAGTTAGTCGGGCTAGTTCACCCTCTAACTCGACCCGAAAACCCGTAGGCGGCCCGAAGTTTAATTTTTAAGATTATACCTTCCTAATAGGGTAACTAGACCTTTAAAAAGGGCTAGAATCGCGGGGTAACGATAATATTAACGGCGAAATCTATATATATAGACTAGATATATAAAATCTAACACTAGAATAGCTATCTATAGTAGTAATATTTGTAGTAATAGTACTAAAATCATTGAAATCGACCTCGTTATCGACCTAGTGCGAGGTATAGGTCGGACTCGACCCGACTTGACCTCGACCCGATATATTTCGAGTCGAGTTTGGGCCGGCCTTTAGCTAGCCTAATAGTCCGACGAGTCGGGTTATCTACCCCCGAAACCCGACCCGACCCGGCCCATATTAAAGCCTAGGGAGGTAGATGACTAGCTTCGAACTTATAGATTAGTAACTATCTAAGGGAGAAGGAGTAGCCTAACTACTATATTCCGGTGAATTCTAGCCGAAATATATATAAAATTAAGGTTACGGGAGTAGTCTTAGTGTTATGAATGACAAGTATATAAGCTAAGAGGTCTAAGATCTGTCATGAAATAACAGGATTCTTAGTCTTTTTAGGCGATCCCTAAGGGGCTATAGACCTCTTCCTAATATTATCCTATCATTTTATACGGAGCCTATCTCTAAGATCTATACGTAGGACGTATAGGTACGCTATACTCCCGTACTAAGCTATATACGATAGGCGAGAGTTCGATCCGCGTAAAAGATATAAGTTTTTTATGACTTTTCGGATTACGTAGCTTTTGTACGTACTTAGCGAGCCGTGCGTACGGGGTCTATATCCTCCCTAAGAGTCGACGTCTCGGAGTACTTATTCGGACCTACCTATACGACTTAAGGCCGAGCCGCCTAGGAGGAGGGGATAATTA